CCCCCCCTTTTCTTCAATCTAGACTGCCTTTCCCTCCTTTTCCCCTCCAACCCGCAACCCCGTCTCCCTCTCTACCCGCTCCAACCCCTTGCTCCACCCACCCTCCACCACCCTCACACCCTCCTTGACCTTGGCCTCGCTTTGGCCCCAAAGACCGCGCATCGAGCCAACGAAGGACTCGCGTTGCTCCTTCACTGCCGAGGGGAGGTGTCGCGCCTCGAGCTCCTGGTAATAGAGGGAGAGATTGTGCGCCGTGTGTGGGAGGAAATAGTTGAGGGACGCAAAGAGGAAGAGGGGAGGAGAGACCAGACGGATTGGGAGGGTTCCTGTGTCGTGTCGTGCGAGGACGTGGTGCATGTCAATCAGTCAGTCAATTTCAACTTCGTCGTCGTCGTCGTCGTCGTCGCGTTGCCGCTTCTTTTGGCGCTCCCTTGCTCCCGACGCGATACCCACGATATCTCCCAAAGACGCTCCCGGCCAAAGTGGCTACACCGACGTAGAGTATTCCGGGAGTCAGGGGCTCATCGCGAGGCAGGATATCCAGGACGCGACGCTCCACGCGCTGCTCGACGCCGATCCAGCTCTGCACCGTCGAATGGACGCTGTTGCGCAGCGACTCTGTAGAGGCCACGACGGCCCGGCGAGCGGAACCGACGTGTGATTCGAGGGCGGTGTGCGTTTCGACTAGCTTGATTGGCTCGCCAGGTGAGGAGTAGATGGGGAGCTGAGAGTGGAGGAGAGGGAGGGAGGGAAGGGAGGAGGTGAGCATAGCGCAGCGCAGCGTGTATGCTACTCTTTCTTTCCAGACTACATGCAGCCAAAGCAGCGCAGCCAGCGAGGCGGGGAATGCTCACCTTTCCCTTGACGCTGCCACTCGCAGTGGCATCGCCCTCCGCATACACAGGCCGAAGCGTAGCCATGGTCAAGGCAGTCGCGGCGGTCCCTCCAACGAGGAGCGGGGAACGAGCAAAGAGCTGGACGAGGCGAGAGAGAGAGACGGACGAAGCAAGGCAAGACAGGTCAGCAGAGCAGATCTCCGTGAGATGCGAGAGGCTAGCATCGCGAGTGGGGGGAAGCTCACCCCTTGAGCAGCCATCCTGAGGTCGTAGTGTGGAGATGAGGTAGGAAGAAGCGGAGACGAAACGAGAAGCGGACGGGCAAGCAGGCACCTCATGCGTCCCGACCGGCCAGACCCGCCCTGCCTGCCTCGTGCGCCACGTGGTACTCAGCGCGAGCGAGCGAGCCCCCCTCTGCCACTGGTAATGCTGAAGCTCTGAACGACGAAAGAGCGAGATTAGAAGCGAGTTCTGCTATTGTTACAAATGTTGCCCTGGCCTCGCCCGCCTCACTCCCCCCTATATCTTCCCCTCCCCAATCCCTCCAATAACAGCACCCCCGCTTTCGCCCCATCGATAACCCAAACCCTCCTGTCATCCCCACCCGCCTCTGCCACACCCTGCAAAACTAATCCCTCCATCCCTGCCATGCCGGCACACCCCAAAATAATGGCCTCCGCCCCCCTCTCCACCACCAGCCGGGCTGCCTCGCTCTTGATCCGTTTCTCGACGTGCCCGCGTAGAGAAGGGTCGCCCAGCTCCAACACTCCAAGCTCGGTAGCGATTGACCCCTTGTATCGCGAAGAGACGCCGCCCAGGTAGGAGAGGACGCCCGCATCTATATCCGGTAGCATGGCTCGCCCTGTCGTGAGGATACCGAAGGAGCTTGCTCCACAGGCCAATGCATGGCCTACAGCCGCATCTAGGATGTGCATGCAGTTTAGCTCTGGCCATTGGTGGCGGATCATCCCTACTAAAGGGTGGGAGGAGAAACAGCAGACTAGAACTCCGGATTTTGTTTCGAGTAGGGAGGGAGTGGAGAGGAGGGCATCGAAGCTTGTTTGGGCGGAGAGGATTGAGGTGGGCGGGTCGGAGATGCTGGCGGGGGAGGAGGGGGGACCTGTGGTGTAGGTTAGGCGGACGGAGGGGGGTCGGAGGGGTTCGAGGTGGTGACGCAGGCCAAGAGTGATGGACTGGGCGGGTGCGGGCAAGGACAAGGCGGTGGTGAGTCTCGAATGAGAGGTTACGCCGGCCGCGCGTACTTACGTCGCTCGAGTTGGGGTTGAGGATCAACAGGTCTACCGTGCCCGCATTTTCCCCACCACCACCTGGACTGGCCGCCGCCGCGCCATTGCCGTTCCCATTCGCATTGCTCTCCCCTGCACCCGTCGCTCCGCCATACGCCAGACTAGCCGCCTCGGCCGCAGCGGCCACATCGAACTCCCCCGCAACGCCGAGAGCGTGTATGCCGTTTGTGCCCGCCGAGCTCGACGTGGACGGTTGAGCGTGGTCAGCGTGCGCATGCGAGGAGTGGGATTGGGCCTGATGCGCCGCCTGAGCCTGAGCGTGTGCTTGGCTCTGGTTCTGCTGTTGCGCCGCTCTCAAAAAGTCCTGTAGGGCTTGGGCCGGAATACTGTTGGGGAGGACGTGCCCTCCTCCCGCCAGGCCGGTCGCATAATCGTGCTGGTGCTGCTGATGATGATGATGATGTCGCGAGGAGGATGGTCCTGGACTCCCACTTCCCCCCGCCGTAACGCCAGGTAATCTCAACCCCCCACCCACACCACCAGCACCCACAGCAGCAGCCGCAGCAGCCGCCGCACTTCTACTCGCGCATAGCTTCTGGTGTTTATGCAACGTGCTAGTTCCCGTACTACCATCCCTCTTGATCCGATAGGATGTGCCGCAGTTGAGACATTTCACCTCCCAATGCGTCTCGCTTATCGGGACACGTTCAGAGTAATGGTTCCACACAGTCGTCGTTCGCGGTTTCTTTGCTGCTGCGGGTGCAGAGCTCGAGGAGGGAGGAGGATGCGAAGGGTCTCGACTGACACTGGCGCTGAGGCTGGCGGTGGATGTCGACGAAGGACTGTCCTGCGTTCGTGAGTGGGAGTGGGAGTGAGAGGTGAAGGAAGGGAGATCGTACTCGGAGCTGTGCGAGCGGGTGGGTGTGAGAGGTTGATCAGCACGACATCCGTTGAATATTGCGCCACGCAGGCGCACGCGCACACGCACCGCTCCGGTGAGCGATGTTGGTGCTCTTCGGTCATCTTTGCGTGAGTTGCATGGGTGGTCGTCGAGGTAGCAGAGGGCACGAGCGAGGCAATGGGAATCCAATCCAATCCAAGATTGCAACTTGCAACTTGGACACTTCAACTCGCGACTCGTCTCTGTCCGTTGCTTTGCGCTCGTCCAGTTTCCGCTCCGGCTCACGTCGAGAAAGGCTCAATTCAGCTCCACCTGCCAGTCCGAGTGCGAGTCCGACAGGCAGCTGCTCCTCCTCCTCAACATCATCATCCCCACGGCCACGCAAAGCGCAGCGGCAGCAGCGGCAGCATGGCATCCCCAGCGCCAGCATCGACGCACCCGGCATGGCAACACAGCATCGCTCTACGAGTGACACAGCGCGACGCGAGGGAGCAAGCGCATGACGCCTTGATCAAGGATTGTGAGCGGGCGGCGAGCGGCGAGAGATGTGCGGGGGAAGGCTGCATATATGCTGACCCTGACGAATGATCAACGCACGCGCGCAGACCAAAAGCTCGCCCAGTACGCCAAGAGTCTACGAGGCCGGCCATCAGCAGGAAGACCAGGGGTGGAGGCTCCACCCCCAGCTCCAACTCCAAGTGCATCCAGCTCCGCATCAACCTCTGCGCAACCGCCGCAGCCGCAGGCCACGCCCGCCTCATCCAAGGACCTCGCAGCAAAAGAGTGTGTAGCGAAGTCTAGCGTAACGTCCCATTGTATCTGCACACACACACGCACTCACACCACCATTATCCCGCCTTTCTCCCCCGCACAGCGCCCTCATCTCCTCCCTCCAATCCCAACTCCAAACAACCCGCACAGAGCTCTCGGACCTGTACAAATCTCACACCCACCTCACCACCCGTCTCCTGACCCTCAGCGATCAATCTGCCTCCCACTCTAGCTTAACAACCCAACTCTCCCTCCTCACACGACGCGAGCAGGACTTGCGCGACTCCTCCGCGGAAAAGGACAAGGTCATCGAGCTACTCCAAGACGAACTGCGTACCCTCAGCTTGGAGTTGGGACAGGTCGAAGAGAGGGAGGAGAGACTTAAACGCGATAATGCTGGGTTGGTGAAGCGGTGGTTGGAGAGGGCGAGGGAGGAGGTGGAGAGGGTTAATGTGGCTAATGAGTGGGTGGAGGAGGTGCAGGAGAGGAGGAGGAGGGAGGGCCACGACGCCGGGAACAAAGAGGCTGGGATGGGGAGGGAGACGGAGGGCGGTGGTGATAAAGCGAGAGGAGAGTAGAGTGTGGAGTGGCATTCGATTCTTGTTTGGAAACGGGGTGGGAGACGAGATGGACATACGAGCAAGGCTAGACTAGCCTCTCCTCTCGAATTGATACCAGCTTCCTCAGACGAGCGCCTCGCCTTTCGCAGCCCTGCCTTAGTAGCGCTCATCGTACCTGCTCCTAGGCGGGGGCAGGTCGGCGTACCTCCCACCACCACCGCCACCGCCACTCGCAGGGGGAGGGCCTCGCATCCCACCATCGTACCCGCCACCCCTGCCGTACCCGTCGCGAGGAGGAGGGGAACGTCGCCCGCCGCCGCGCGGAGGAGCGTCCCTGTAGTCACCGCGAGGGGGAGGACCATAGTCCCCGCCGCCTCGAGCCGAGGGGTAGGGAGCATAGTCTGCTGGAGGACCATAGCCGCGAGCAGGGGGATGGGCACCGTAGCCGCCACCACCGCCGCCGCGGTAGGGGTCGCGACCGCCGTATCCGCCTCCGTACCCTCCACCGTATCCGCCACCATAGCCGCCGCCGTACGCAGGAGGGTAGGCACCCGGGTAGCCACCACCACCGCCACGTCGTCCTCCACCGACTGCGAGGAGGCCGAGCGAAGACGAAGGAGCATCAATTAGTCAGCTCATGCCTCACCCCTACCGCACGCCGCACGCCGGACGCCGCACTCACACTCTCCCGCCTTGGGCGGACCCATGTACTGTCCTGGGGTCGGGGTCCTCGCACGACCGCGCTTAGCCCGCTGAACCTTGAGGTTGCGTCCCATGAGCTCCATTCCGTCCATGGCGCTGATGGCGGCCTCTGCCTCGTCGGAAGTCTCAAAGGTCACGAAGCCGAAGCCGCGAGGCTCGCGCGAGTGAGGGTCGTACATGACTTGCGCTTTGGTAATCTGAGCGTGTGTGAAGGGTAGTGAGGAGGGCGAGGTGAGCGGGTCAGATGTAGCGGGCGAGAATCTCGGCGCATACGCACCACGCCAAACTTCTTGAAGGCGTCATCCAGATCCTGGTCCGTAACGCGAGCCGCGAGGCCAGAGACGTGGAGGTTGTTTCCTGGATTGTTCTCCCCGCCATTGTCCCCGCCACCTCCGCCGCCACGAGGGGGAGCTGTGGGGCTGTTGTGGCGAGCACAAGACGTTGAAGGAAGAGTCACTTTTTCCAGTAAGCAAGCAAGCGCAGGTCCTAGCGTGGCGCAGCACACTCACCGACCACGCGGACGCTCAGCCCTCTCATCACGGTCTCGATCTCCGTCGCGCTCACGCTCGCGCTCGTCGCCACGCCTAGGAGGAGGGGAGCGCGAGCGAGCATCTTCGCCACGCACGCCGCGCGCTTCGTCTGCGCCATTCTCGTCTGCTCCTGCTCGGGGGGAGGGGGAGCGAGCCTCGTCGCGGGCGTCGCGAGAGGGGGAGCGGGCTGTGGGTGTGTTGCGAGGTGGTGGTGCAGTTGATGAGCGGCGGGAGGTGTGTGCGTTGAGTTGTGTGAGCGAGGTGTAGCTGAGTATATGCGGATGGTTGCGTCGAGTCGTGACGGATAGCAGAGATGGAGAAGAGAGGCGGAATCGAGGAGGAGGTGAAGGAGCGAATGGTAGAGCAGAGCCTTACGTCGAGCCAGATGGGCGTTGGTCGACATAGCTATAGATGGGAGTGAATAGCAGCAGCAGAGAGTGGAGTCGCATCGAGTGGAGTCGGATCGAGTGGAGTCGGATCGAGTGGAGTCGGATCGAGTCGGCAACGCAGCAGAAATCGAGTCGATGGTAGCTTGCAGGCCGAGTCGACGATCCTGCCTGGCTGAGCAGCGAGGTGGATGAAAGAGGCTGCGTCGAGACAGGTCGACCCGACGCGAACCTCTGTCGTGAACCAGCACAATGGCATCCTCGTCGATGAACCGTCCTACTACGTTCGCACGTCGCGGTTCTCCTCGCTAATCTACGGTGATGATACCAGAGGAATCTCCCGCCGAGCCGAGTCGTCGTGAGTCGAGTCGAGTCGAGTCGGAAACGTACCGTCGTTGTCAGCCATCGTTTCCTTGTCGTCGGTTGTGAGTGTCGAAGTGATTGGTAGCGATGGTGCGGAAGGAAGACAAGCAGGCGAGCAAGCACGCGGCCCGCTGCTTTGCTCTCTCTCTCTCTCTCATCCACTTGCCCCACGTGGCGCGGCGTTGGCGTGGCGTGGCTTCGCGCCCGCTCTCTCAGTCCGACGTGGAGATGGACAAAGTGAAAGTGAGGTGGGCTGTGCGGGGTGGCGCTCGGACGTTTAGTTAGACTCGAGGCACAGCGACAACGATCGAGCGACAACTCGCCTTTGCTCCAACCACTGACCCCACTTGTCACTGCTCAGTCCAGTCACGCCCTTCTCGCTCGCGCGGCGATGAAGCGCATATGGGCTCAGCATCGGCTCAAGGGCAATGCCGATATTACGCCCTTCCAACAGCAGCGCGAAGGGGACGATACTCAGCCACTTCCTCCTTCTTCGCAAGCGCACCACGATCCACGCACCTCCTCCCCTTACCCGTCCTACGGGGTAGAAGAGGCTCACCACCTCGAGACGACGACTTCTTCCCTCTCGTCACTACGTAGCCATCGCACCTCAGTCTCGGAGAGTGGCGGCAGCACCAGCATCAGCACCAACAGGAAAGGCTCCTCGCCCGCTGAGCAGCAGAGACGAGGGGCGAGTCCGATTGGAAGGCTTGCTAAGCAATTTGCCTCGGCCTCGCCGTCGAGAAGAGTGAGCGACAATGGGAGTCAGATGGAGGACTTGCGCCCGCGACATTACCATACGGATAGCGGAGATAGCCAATATCGCGTTGGGGAACAGCAGTCCCACGCCTCACGAGACTCGTTGCATCGATGGTCTAATCAGCCACACGATAACACCCACGCCAGCCGGCCAGTAATTCATCTCAATGCGCCACCTGCCCCTACGATCGACATAGATGGCGGACCCATCTCCCCCGAAAGCGCGTACGAGAGCTACGGCCATTTCCAGCCGTATCATGAGCAGCCGTACTACGTGGCAGAACAGCCAAAGTCGATGGCAGCAGGCAGGGACAAGAAGAGCCTCTGGTCAGGCTTGGCGGGGAGGATAGCGGCCAGCAAGGAAGGAAGAGGGAGAGGCGGAGGGGCAGCAAGCGAACAGTCTGCAGCTGCATTCGTACCCGCACCTGATGGCCTGCAGGCCTTGAGCGGCGTAACAACAAGTCAGGCCTCTTCACCAGGAGGACCAGGAGCAGATCCAGACGCTGCTCCAGCTCTAGAGGGTAGGAAGCCAGCAAGCAGCGGTTGGTTCAGAAGCAACGATAGGGATAGGGACAGGGACAGGGACAAGGGCAAGATCAATCAAGCCGCCTTGGAGCAGGAGGTCTCCTCTCGCATCGGGCAGCTATGCTCTCTCCCTCCTTCTTCGCACGACAGCGCCCTCCTTCACGCCCTCATTTCCCTGATCTCCCCCTCGGATAAGGCAAGCAAGGAAGCGGCGCGCTCTCTCCGCAAAGAGTTTAAGTGGGGCCAACCCCCTGGGCAACTACGAGCCGTGCGCGTCTGGGGGGTCTTGATGCTCCACTCCTCCGATGCTTTCAAACGCCATGTTGCTTCGAAGCGCTTTCTGGACGTGTTAGAGGGGCTCATACAGGATCCCAAGACGAGCCTGCTCGTCAAGGGGAGACTGCTGAGCGTGTGGGCCATGCTGGCTCACGAGTACAGGGGAGGACGTGTACTGGAGGAGGTGACAAAGGCGTATAATAGGGTGAGGCCGAAGGACTGGCCCAAGGATGGAATGCCGCTTGACCTGTGGTGTGAAGATTTGACGTTGCTCGAGGAGCAGGGCGCGAGGCCACTGATGGACGGGGATGGGGAGGAAGAGGGGGGATACTACGGGGCGACGCCTCTTGAAGCGAATGGACAGTTGGCCGATATACGCATGTCGCAGCAGCAGCAGCGGGTCGCGTCACACTCGCACGATGCGCAGGCTATGTACCGTCCTTCGGGCCCTGATCTACAGGCTCGAGGGGAGCACCAGCAGCGCAATGGCATCAACAACGGCGGCTATCACTCCACTACTCAGACTCAAACATACCCGAACCCATACGAGCGCACTTCACAAGCTCAGCAGGTAGCACCAACGCCAGCGCCCTTCAACGGAGACGATATGATCGCCTCGCTTCATCGTCTCGCCCTCTCTTCGCCATCGGGTCAGGGAAACCCTTACCCTCAGCATCAGCAACAGCAACAGCAACAGCATCGCGACGCCGCCGTGGACGCAGAGCTAGCCAGGGCGATCGAGCGGAGCAAGCTCGACCATCGACACGAATATGACTACGATCAGTCACCGCAGCCGCCGCCGCCGCCTATCCCTCCGCGTCCCTCTGGCCTGACTGGCACGGCAACAGGAATGGCTCCCTCAGCCTCGCCCTCGCCCTCGCATTTGAAGAAGTTGGAAACACGTCCACCACCTCCCCTCCCTGCTGCTGCCCTCACGTCCACTCACCACCACCAAGCAGCGCACAATGCAGCAAGAGAAGGGCGGGGCGTCGAGCGCTCCTTTTTCCCCGCGCAAGGATCCTCGTCCTCATTGCCCGAAGAGAGGCGCCGCAGCAGGAGCAGCGATAGCGAGAGCTCGCACGTTTTCACACCTACTCAGCCGAGTGAGAAGGCGCTGGGGAAACGGAGGGCGGTCAGTCGGCAGGGGAGCTTGGAGATGGGCGGCGCGGAAGGTGGGCCAGCAGGGAGTGGTGGCTTCCTTTGAGGATTTGAGGAGGCCCTGTGCCTGGCTCGAGGATTGACTGAGAGTCGTGGGCTGGCGTCGTGTAGAGCCACGCCACGAGATGGCTAGGAAGAGCATCTCCGGCCATTCTGATAGTTCAATTGCAATTCATACCCCATCGATCACACAGAAGCGTTCGCGGCCCCTCGCGTGGCTTTGGCGCACGCGGCGTGGGAATGAAGAGGCGGGGCGGGGCGGTCCGTGCCTCGTAGTCTATCGTACCGTCGTCCCATTGGCGCCTCCCGTGGCAGCGCAGCGCATCTTTGCTCCCTTATTCCACCATCTCATCGCCCCTCACGCCCGCCAATGAGCGGGTATGCAGCATCGCATCCATCGACACGACCACCACCGCCGATCGTATCGCTCTGACTCGTTCCCCCTGCACTCAATCGACGACGACGACGACAACGACAACGACGGCTCAATGGCTCGCGGTCGAAGCCATGTCGACCAACCCTATCGCGACGATGCCAACGCAGATGCGGATGACGACGAGCAGGCGCGCCTCCTCGATGCGGATGCGGGTGCCTCAACCAAGCATCCTACTCGTCAGGACCAACGTCAAAGAAATCGACGACGACGCTTCTTCTCCCTCTTCTCCAAGCCCCGCACAGCAACGAGCGCGCAAGGTCGCACCATCCCCCTCGGTCATCCCTCCGCCTCTCACCCTCGCAATCTAATCCGCAATCAAAAATACACTCCACTCACATTCCTCCCTCTAGTCCTCTACGAGCAGTTCAAATTCTTCTTCAACCTCTACTTCCTCCTCGTTGCCCTCTCTCAATTTATCCCCGCGCTCAAGATCGGTTTCCTGGCAACGTACATTGCGCCGTTGAGCTTTGTGCTTGCGGTTACGATGGGCAAGGAGGGGTGGGACGATTGGGAGAGATGGAAGAGGGATGGGGAAGCCAATGCGAGTGGGTATGAGGTGCTGAGGGCCAGGCAGGGCGGCGATCCTGATGCGGCGGGGAGAAGGGAGGATCTCGAGGCTGGAGCTCGGAGAGCGCCCCACACGCGCAGTTATCGTGCTACATTGCCCAGCAGTAAGATTCGAGTGGGAGATTTTGTTGTGCTGCACAAGAATCAGAGGGTGCCCGCCGATCTGGTTTTGCTCAAGACTTGGGCCGGAGATCAGCAACCTCTGAGGGAGGGGACGCGCGGCGCTGATGCCCGCGAGGAGGAGGAGCGGGATGAGCGCTTTGTGCTGGATGACGATGATGACGATGATGGGGAGGGGGAGGACAACCCCAAACACGCAGCTAGCAAGGCTGCTGAAGCGCGCGTGGAGGATCCACAGGCTGGAGGGACGTGCTTCATTCGTACGGATCAGCTGGATGGAGAGACGGATTGTAAGTTGCGCCTCCATCCCGCCACCACGACGCGCACACGCTGACTACCATGCCTCTCTCACCCGCGCCTTCGCAGGGAAGCTCCGCGTTGCCATCGATGTAACGCAGCGCATGTCGGAGAGCGACATCGCCTCGCTGGCTCTGCAACCTGGCCGAGCGACAATCTACGCCGGCCCGCCGATCAAGGACATTCACACCTTCGTGGGAACATTCACTCTCAATCCCCCGACCCGCGAGCCCAACTCTGCGACACCCGTCGCCACGCTCATTGACGACCCATCCTCTCGGGACGACCCATCCTCTCGGGACATCCCCCTCGACGCGCAACCTTCCGTCGCTCCTCTCACAGCCGAGAACCTCCTCTGGGCAAATACAGTCCTCGCGGCAGGCTCGGCCATCGGCCTGGTAGTCTACACTGGCCCCGAAACCCGCGCAGTCCTCAACACGCAATCCCCCACGACCAAAGTGGGTCTCCTCGATTTAGAGATCAACCGACTCTCCAAAATCCTCTGCGCAGTCACCTTCGCCCTCTCCGTCGGCCTTGTAGCCCTAAACGGGTTTCGCGGCCAGTGGTGGGTGTACATCTTTCGATTCCTCATCCTCTTTTCCTCGATTATACCCATCTCTCTGAGGGTGAACTTGGACATGGGAAAGACGGTGTACGCGCGGCAGATACAGGGGGATGAAGAGATCCCGGGCACCATTGTGAGGACGTCGACTTTGCCCGAGGAACTGGGCAGGATCGAGTACCTGCTGAGCGACAAGACGGGGACGTTGACGCAGAACGAGATGGAGTTGCGCAAGCTGCACTTGGGAACTATGAGCTACGGGTGGGATACGATGGATGAGGTGGCTACTCAGCTTCGCCATGCACTCGGCGCCAGTAACGCGAATGGCAATGGCGAGACGCCGGCCAAGTCACCAGGCGTCTCTGCCTCTGCGACGCAACAGTTCTTTCCTCTGGGCTCAGCGGGGGCGACAGGGGGAGCAGGAGGACGCCGCGACATGTCGTCGCGCGTGAGGGACGTGGTCCTCGCCCTTGCGCTGTGCCACAATGTCACGCCGGTAAGCAACGCCGATGGGAGCACGACCTACCAGGCCTCCTCGCCCGACGAGGTGGCCATCGTGCGCTGGACGGAGAGCGTCGGTCTCAGCCTGGTGGAGCGCACCCGCACCAGCATGAAGTTGCGGTCCCACTCCGACGGGGCCCTCATTTCTTTCGACATCCTCGAAGTCTTCCCCTTCACTTCGGAGAGCAAGCGTATGGGAATCGTCGTACGCGATCGCTCCGGCGGTTCCTCAGGCGGCGTCGACTTCTATCAAAAGGGCGCAGACGTGGTCATGTCGCGCATCGTGGCTTCAAACGACTGGCTGGACGAAGAGTGCGGCAACATGGCTCGCGAGGGGTTGCGCACGTTAGTCGTCGGACGCAAGCGACTGAGCGAGGCGGCTTGGCGCTCCTTCGAAGATAAGTACAGGCAGACGCGCGTACAAGCCTCTCTTGGCCTCCGGGCGGGCAAGAACGCAGGTGGTGTGCAGAGGGTCATTGCTGAGCATCTGGAGCAGGATCTGGAGCTCCTCGGCGTGACGGGCGTCGAGGACAAGCTGCAGGAGGACGTCAAGTCTACGCTGGAGTTGCTGCGCAATGCGGGAATCAAAGTGTGGATGCTCACAGGCGACAAGATCGAGACGGCTACGTGTATCGCCATCTCGTCCAAACTCGTGTCGCGCGGACAGTACATCCACCAAGTCGCCAAGCTAGGCCAGCAGCAAGCCGCCCCCGCCGCGGCCACCAGCACCTCCACCCGCTTCTCGACCGACCTCCCACCGCAGCAGCACATGGACAGCGACGCTGCCGTGCGGGACCTGCTGGCCTTCCTTCGCTCCAACCTCTCCTGCTGCTTGGTGATAGATGGCGACTCCCTCTCCCTCTGCATGACCCCGCCCTACCGAGACGACTTCATCTCCCTCGCCACCCAACTCTCCGCCGTCGTAGCATGTCGCTGCTCCCCCACCCAAAAAGCCGACGTGGCCCGGCAGATCCGTCACTTCACACGCAAACGCGTCGCCTGCATCGGCGATGGCGGAAACGACGTCTCGATGATCCTGGCCGCTGATGTCGGGCTCGGCATAGTAGGAAAAGAGGGCATGCAAGCCAGCTTGGCCGCTGACTTCTCCCTGGTGCAGTTTAGCCACGTCACCAAGCTCCTCGTCTGGCACGGTCGTAACTCGTACAAACGCAGCGCCAAGCTAGCCCAATTTGTCATCCATCGCGGACTGATCATCTCGATCATCCAGGCAGTCTTTTCCGCCATCTTCTATTTCGCGCCAATCGCCCTCTACCAGGGTTGGCTCATGGTGGGCTACGCGACCGTGTACACTATGGCGCCCGTATTCAGCTTGGTCCTCGATCGCGACGTCAGCGAGGATTTGGCGTTGCTCTACCCGGAGCTCTACCGCGACCTGACAAAGGGACGCAGCTTGACGGCAAAGACGTTTGCGAGTTGGCTGGCCATCTCCGTCTACCAGGGAGGGGCCATCATGCTGCTCAGCCTGTATCTGTTCGAGGCAGAGTTCCTCAACATCGTCGCCATCTCCTTTACGGCGTTGGTGCTCAACGAGCTGGTCATGGTCGCCTTGGAGATCACGACGTGGCATGTCTATATGGTCATGAGCGAGGTGGCCACACTGGCCGTCTATGTAGGCAGCATGAGCGTTTTGCCAGAGTACTTTGGTGAGTGGAGCGAGGCGTAAGGCGAGGTGACGTGGTTCTTCTCTGACTTTTTCCTTCGCTTGCTGCTCGCACAGATCTGTCCTTCGTTCTGACGACGACTTTCCTCTGGAAGACGGCCCTCATAGTGGCGGTCTCCTCGCTGCCCCTCTACGTGATCAAAGTAGCGCAGAATAGGCTGAGCCCGCCGAGCTACTCCAAGCTGTCCGTCGCGTAGCGTGTAGCGCGTCACGCGTAGCCTCGTCTTGCAATGCAGGGCAGAAATCGCTCAACTCGATCGACCGTGTGATGTGCATCTCGTCGTGTGATCAAGCTGCTCGCCCTCTCCCTCTCCCTCCTCCTCCGCCGCCTCCTCTGCCCCTCTGCTGCTGTCGCTCCCTCCATCCCATGCCAATGCCAATCGCACTCCTCTGAGGCCCACTGAGCGTCTCACTCCCGCTCTCCACGCTCACGCGCACAGGGCCGCCGGCTCCCAGCCCCGTCGTTGCGTGCGCGTGCGCGCCGGCTGAGATAACGGTACCGGTGGAGACATAGGGGTACGGGATGGCAGTGCTGGAGTTATTGCTGTTGCTGTTGTGCGGCGAGGCGGTGGAGAAGGGGACGTCGGGCGAGGAGGGCGCACCAGTACCGTACGGTGAAGCTTGCATGTTACGCCTTGGCCCCACACCCAAGCCGCGGGGTAGATGAGCGTGTTCCTCGTCTCGTCGAGGTCCCGCCGGCGAGAGGCTCAATGCGGCCATCCCTGGCTCCGTCTCTCCACCCGGGCACGCCTGCGCATGCTGCTCACGCACCGGATTCCCCGGCGGAGTCTTCGGCCTCAGCGAATCGACCGCCTCACTGAAGGGCACGACGTTCCTTCTCTCCCCGAGCGGGCATCCCACGGGATCCACCTTGAACCTCGCATCATAGCGCGTTTTCTCGTACTCCTCGCCATGCCCCTGCCATCCCGGTGCATCAGGCCCGAGGGCTGCCGCATGCCCTACCGTAAGCCATCCAGGCCTCAGGTTTCGATTGGTCCCAAAGAGCTCGATTCGGCGCGTGCCCTGGCAGAAGTTCTCGATGATGTTGTAAAGCTCAGGGGGTTTGAGACGAAGATCTATGGGGCCCTGCCCGCCTGGAAGGGAGGAGGAGCCGTCCCAGAAGAGGACGTCCGTGTCCACATTGCAGTGCACGTAGTTGCCGTCTTTACTGCGGCGGACTGTTCCCTGGAAGTTGGCGAAGAATAAGGGCAATCAGTTTACGCCCGCCGCCCCCTCGCCTCGCTCCCCCGCATGCACGCACCCTCATTCCCATCAAGCAATGCACGGCACTCGTAGCGAATACGCCTCCTCCCTTGCCCGCGATTCGAGGAGCAGGCTGACCCTCCGGGCTAGTAAGACACCACGTAATGACTTCGCATCGCCTGTACCCCCATCGAGCGAGCGTCTCGCGTCCCCGCTCTAGACCATCGGAGCTGGAGGGGCCGACCCAGAGGAAGACGAAGCTGGGCGAGCGAGAGGAGCGAGGAGGGTGAATGAGTGAGGGAGCAGAGGCGGTCAAAAAGAGGCGGGGCAGAAGCGCTCTCACCTCTCTTTCGCGGCCAAGAGTGAGATGGGCAGCTCGCTGATTTGGGACCAGGACCAGGTTTTGGTGGATTCAGAGTTGTTCGAGCTCGGGACTGAGGACCATTCTGGCAGAGGGGTCGGGATGGGCAGGGGATGAACTCAGCTTAGCTCAGCTCTCTCCTGAAGCGCGCGCGCGCGGCGCCTCACCATAGCAGTTCAGCGGAGGATCGATGAGGACTACGTCGTACTTGACTGGCATTAGGGTTGCGAGGTGGAAGGGCGAGCTGGGCGACTGCGCAGCCTTGACTGGTGGTGGTGGACCCAGCGTGTCACGCAGGTCTGCGCAGAGGTACGTCGGCGGAATAGCAGAAGCATTGATGAGATCGCGCTTGAGGTCGAGGAGGTGACGCAGTCGAGGGTATCTGTGAGCGAGGAAACGGAGAGGCTCAGCGAATGGGAGCTTGGTTTGCTGCGTTCGGGTGACACCCACTCTGCAAAGCGCGTCTCGAGGGATCGATTGCGCACTGCATTGGCTGGCAATTCGGTCAAGCCTGACCTCACGTAGTTCCACGATTGGTCTGGGCGAAGCGTTTGTTCGTCTGGGAACTGGCGGCGGGGCAAACGTCACCTCGTCAGCTCAGCATCCTCCTCGACCTCGAGCGAGCTGTACTCGCACCCGCGCACCCACATATGCTGGTCCAAAGGCAGCTTCCACTCGCCTGCGATGCTTCGTCCACTCGTCGCCCTCCTCTTTCGCCTCCTCCAACCGCGCTACCGCCGTACTCGTCGAAGCTACCTCGCTCGCTGGGCCGAAGCGCTGCCAGAGCTCGTGATCCCGCAATGAACGACCGTTGAGCGGCAGTGGGGCAGGAGCTCGCTCTCCGCTCTTCAAGCTTGGGTGCTCGCTCAGCAGCTTCTCCCTCAATCGTATATGCCGATCGTGAGCCGCTGCGACGACGGCGACGTCGACCATGATCTGGCGGATGGAGCAAAAGTCAAAGCTGCCTCGCTGCCTCGCTCGCTCGTCTCTCCGTTCATCATTGCTCTCTGTCCGCCCATCTCCTCGCTCGCCCGCCCGGGACTTGCTCCACTTCTGGATCAGCCGCGCGGAGAGCAACACGGATGAGTGACAAGTCAAAGTCAAGCCGAAGCTGCCGAGACGGCGGGCGGCGGGCGCGAGGAGGAGAGAAAGGAGGTGGCTTGGACGCGTGCAGGCAAAGAAGCATCTGCGAATCCTCAGTTCAACTGCTTCAGCGCCAGAGGCGAGACGTTGATGGGTGGGGAAAGTGCACGCACGCACAAACGCACGCACAAACGCACGCACGACTGCACTTCGGCGACCTCCTTGCCTTTGGACTTGGATCGAGATGCCTGCCAAGCAAGCGTGTAAGCTGTTTGCTCGTTGGCATGCCCATTCTCCTGCTCAGCTGGACCCCTCCGCTCGAGCTCACTCAACAAACTGCTCACGGATGGATGTGGGCGTCACCGACGTGAGCTGGCTGGGTGGCTCCTGTGAGCTGTGCGCTCGCGCCCTGCCAAGGAGCGGCAGTCGAATAGACTTCGTTCGGTCTGTCAACACAACTCCGCTCGTCGTCGAGTCTCCTCGCCCTGAGACTTGACTTTCTTTATCTACCTGCTCATCGTCACCTTGAATCTTGTCCTCCTCCTCACCACTTCTACCACTCTCACTCCCTGTCACCCTCTCCACTCTCTCTCCCCCTCCCCTTCCCCATTCCCTCACCCCATCGCCGCCCTCACACTCTTTTTACACGCCTCGCTTCGCGTCGCCCATCATGCGCTCCACCTTCCTTACCCTGCTCCTGTTGATCCTCTCTACGAGCACCACATTCGTTTACGCCCACGCCGACGCCCACGCCCACCAGCAGCCTCACTCGCACGGCCTCGCCCGCCGCTCCCAACGCGACTCGGCAGTCATCCACATCCCCCTCGAGAAGCGCTCCCCTGCCCCCTCGGCGCACCCTCTCGCCCTCATCAAGTCCCAAGTCTCAGGCCTCTCCCGCAAGTACGGGAAGAATGTCGCCGCCTTTCGCAAGAACAAGCCCGGTCGCGTCAACCCCGACATCAATGGTACGGTCATCGACGTTCCCGCGCTCGACGTCATCGCCAACGTGACCGACGCCCTCAATGCTACGATGATTCGTCATGACGTCGGCGATCTCGTGGGCGAGCTGCTCGAGGGTCGATCTACCAGCGGGACGGGCTCCCTCACACCTACGTCCGACTACGGCATGTGGACGGGAAGCATCAAAATCGGCACGCCCGGCGTCGATGTGCGAGTCAACTTCGACACCGGATCAGCCGACACTGTCCTGAACCTGAACCAGGGGTACGACCCCTCCAAGTCCTCCACGGCTCGCAAGACCAACAAGAGCTTCACAGTACGCTACGCCGATCACAGCGGGGAGGGAGGCACAATCTACAACGAGACTGTGTCCTTCGCAGGCAAGAAGGCAAAGGGCCAGGCCATCGGCGTCCCCTCCTGGTCGAGCTTCGCAGCCAGCGACCCAGGTATCGTAGGCATGGCGTTCCAGTCCGTCTCGTCCTTCAACCGTCGTCCCCTCCTCCAGACACTCAGGCGCTACGACTCCATCCCGCGAGCCATGTTCGGCGTAGCGCTCAGCCGCACGGCGAGCAAGGCCGAGCTGCGTATTGGCGGCTACAACCCCAGCAAGATCAAGTCAGGCAACTCGATCAACTGGGTGCCTGTCGACAACAGCGGTGGGTTCTGGACGGTCACGGCTAGCAAGACCAACCTTGCGCAGGGCAGCACATCTGGTTCGCTCGGCAGCCGTAAGCTCATCCTTGACACGGGGACAACGCTCATTTTTGGCTCCACGGCAGACGTTAAGGTGCGCTCCTACCCCGTTCTTCCCTTCTCTCTCTCTCTCAGTTCAGCTAACCCATTCCTACCTCTCTCCCCATTGCCCCCGCCGCAGCAACTCTTCAACGCGAACAACATCGAAATCTCCAACCAAGGAGACTATGTAGCTGGAATCTACTCGGGCAATACTCCCCCCTCGCTCAGCTTCACCATCGGCGGAAAGACGTACAGCCTGAGTGGCGACGTGATGAACATGGGTCAGGCGTCCACAGGCAAGTACTACGTCAGTATAGTCGGGAGCGACTCGCTGGGTCTCAAGAGCGGCGAGTGGTTGGTAGGAGACACCTTCTTCTCCAAGGTCTACTCGGTATTCGATGCGGATCGTACCAGGGTCGGGTTGGCCTATGGCAACTTCTAAGACAGCCATTCGCGTCCCGCTGGCTTGTCAGCTGCTGCTGCTCCATCATGTTTGTCGTCACTCGTTACAGGCTGGTCACCGTTCCCGGGAAGAGTCTCTGCGATCCGTTCCCATCCAATCATCATCATCATGATCACACCATTTTGCGGCGCAGTGCGCAAAGATTGCGCGAAGATTGGCGATGGCGGGCGAGCGTGCGTGCCTCTAGGCATGAGCATTTGGAGTGCCAAGCTACAGGAGGAAGAAGCGCCGCGCCGCGCCGCAGCGGGCCGGTATTGGCTACACAACCCGGTCGGCGGCGATATGGCCGGCGGGTATTGGCCTTGCCTTGTCTCGTGCGGTTGGGCTCGCCCCACGGGCTCGCGCGTTCCTGAGAAGTCGTCGCAGCAGCAAACTGCATCCAATAACTTGCCGTGCGTGCTCGAGGGACGATCCGCAAATGGGACATGGCGAGATTAGATGTGGATGTCAGGGGGGTGGAGAGTCGATGCAGCTGACCTTGACCTTGACCTTGCCTTGTCATTGTCCCTTGCCATCACACTCACGCCTCGCTGGCATCGAGCGCGAGTATCCGCTGTGTCCCCCCCACCACCAGAAGTACCTGCTCCACCCTCTCCCTCCTCCCTGCACCCACAGCCCAAAGCTCTCATCTCGGCCTCACTAGCCCGCAATGAGCGGTCACGCCCCTTCGCACTCTCATGCCTACCAGCTGCACACACTCAACAAGGACGGCACCTACCTTCGCGCCCCCACGGCGGAGCGTTCGGTGACGAACTTGACTCCCGGCTCTTCCCGCGGCTACACCGACCACGATCATGACCATGACCACAAGGGGTCGGAAGTAACGTCTGCCTCGGACCTGCACAAGACTCCCTCTGCGTCTCGATCTGATATGCTGCAGCCGGGGGTCGCGGGTAGTTGGGGTGGGGCAGGCGGAGCAATGAGGAATGGGACGGCCGCCACTGGTGGCGGCGGTGCTGGTGGTGGTGGTGGTGGGATGGCGGGACGTGCAGACGGGTCGGGAGAGGAGGGAGGGGATCCTATCATCTCGACAGGGATGGATGTCAGCCTTTACTTGGTCAGCTTCGTCGATGAAGGGGATCCGGCACTCACGTTCCGGGGATTCGTGCTGGGTAACTTCTTCCTCTTGCTCAGTAGCGTCGTTGGTTATGTGAGTGTGGTCCGCTTCGCCCCGCTCCGTGCAGTAGGCGCGACGCTGACATGCTTCATGCTTCCTGACTGGGCTGCGACGCAGATTTATTCGCTCAAGCCCGTGACCATCCAGCTGTCTCAGGTGTTCATCCAACTGGCCATTTGGATTCTGGGGATGGGATGGGCAAAGCTATTGCCGACGACGCAGTGCATTCGACGTAGCTCTCGTTTTGCCTTGTGAGTTCGCGCATCCTCGCTCTGGCCGCAGCACATCGCACTGACTCCCCCCGCCTTTTGCACGCACGCAGCCTCAAGCCTTTCATTCGCTTCATCAACCCCGGCCCTTTCGGCCTCAAGGAGCACGTAGTGGCCACGATTATCGGCACCTCGGGGCTGAATGGAGCAGCAGGGGTCGATACGCTGGCGACTATGAAGCTCTTCTACGGGGCGCGGATCACGCCCTTGATGGCTGTGCTTGGCTTGTTCTCCGTGGGGATCATGGGCGTCGGGTGAGTAGCGCAATTGTTTGCGAGGAGCAAAGGCCTAGATCGATCCGGCGAGCTGACCATTCGCGCCCGCGCCGGGACTCGCGACAGGCTGGTCGGCCTGCTTCGCCCCCTCATCATCTACCCGTCGAGCGCAGTCTACTACTACACCTTACCCATGGTAAGTACCGCTTCCTTCCCTTCACCCTGCCTACGCTCAGTCTGACTTCTCCGTGCGCACGTACAGGTCGCCATCTTCGAAATGCTCCACCACGAAGCCCGGGGTAATCGCGTGCGGAACTTCTGCCTCTGCTTCTTCGGTACCTGCCTCTGGGAGCCCATTGCGGCCTACATTGCCCCTATCCTCAATGGGGTCAGCCTACCCTGTATCGCCAGCATACACTCCCCCATGCGCATTCGCAAGCATGTTGCACGCATCTTTGGTGGAGCGTCGGCGAACCAGGGGATGGGCTACTTCAGCTTGAGCTTTGACCCGCAGTACGTTAGTCCGTGTGAGTTGCGCGAGCTACCGCAAGGCATGCCGTACAGGCAGACACTGACATGGCGTGGCTCGTCCCTCTGGCCCGACAATGTAACGCACCGTATCGTATCGCGCCGCCGCAGCCAACTTCGCCGGCTTCCCCATCAAATGGCAATCCAACTACTGGGGCGGCATGTGGCTCGGAGGTCTCTTTATCCTCCTCATCTACTACACCGACTCCTTTTCCGCCAAGACCTTCCCCTTCCTCTCTGCCTCCCTCTTCACCTCTGAGGGGAAACCTTACCCTCAAGACGAGGTCTTCGGCCAAGGAAGCTGGGAGTTGAATGAAGGGGCACTGGCAAAGTATGGCACACCGAGATTGACGGGTAGTGGAGTTTGGGCATTTTTCTGTCAGCTTGCTGCGATTGGAGCCTTGTTCACGCATGTGGGACTGTTCATGGGCAGGGATATGGTCGGGTTTGTGCGCGAGCATCTTACGGGGCAGCATCATGATCCGCACTATGTGGCCATGAAGGGCAAATACAAGGAGGTTCCGCAGTAAGTGCCGCTTGCGCGCGACTACGGAGTGGCTCCTGGTCGTTGTTCCTTGCTCATTGTAGCTCGCTCGCGCCGCACAGGTGGTGGTACCTCGGCCTCTTCGGCCTAGCAATCATCGCCGCCTTCATTACAGTCACGCAGGCGCACACTACCCTCCCCGCGTGGGGGCTGCTCGTCGCGCTCCTAGTCGGAATAACCATCACGCCTATCAGCGCCATGATCTACTCGCAGTATGGCTCCAGCGTGGCCACCAATATGTGTGGGTGCACCGCAGAGAGGGCGAAAGAAGATTCTCTCATGCCGTACTGATGTAGCTGCGCCCATGCCCCGCCCGCAGTCTCGAAGATGATCGCGGGAGCGGTGCACCCTGGCAGGCCTGTCGCGAATCTGTGGTTCTCAAACTACTGCCATCAGCTGGTGAGTGCGCGGAGAGGAACATATGGTACCGTGACACACCGCAGCAGCTGGCTGACCTTGCCGCTCCTGATTCGCACGCTACAGGTCGCAATTACCGTCGATCTGGCCGACTACCAGAAGTTGGCCATCTACCTGAAGGTGTGGCAAGTCGCAATCAGCACGCCCACTTGGCCTCACCCTGCTCATCCTCCTTCTTCTCGCCCACCCACGCAGGTCCCACACCGCGTAGCCATGATTTCGCAATGCTACGCCACCATCGCCGGTTCCTACCTGGGCTGGGCGATCCTGTCCGTTCTGGTCCAGAATAAGCGGGAGATCCTCCTCGACCCAGTGGGGGATAATCAGTGGTCCGGTGCGTGCCCCAGATTCCTGCCCCGATAGACCGGCCTCGTACTGTAGACACTGCTGCTGACTCCTGCTCTTCACTCACCACCTCACCTGCACACCCCTCCTCCCTTCGTCCCGGCCGGGCACGCGCAGGCGGCCACCTCCAAGGAATGAACGCGCAAGCCATCGAGTGGTCTCTTGCCCGCCAAGTATTCTCCGTGCACCCAGGCAAACCCGCTACGCACTACGAGATCGTACCCCTCGGTATCCTCATCGGCGCATCCGTCCCCGTGGTCCACTGGCTCCTCTTCAAGCACATAGAGCTCATCCGCAAAGCAGGGGAGATGATCACTACCCCGCTCGTTTTGATGTATTTGCAGGATATGACTAGTGGGATTAACTCGACTGTTACCAGTTCGATTATACTGGGGTTTAGTGAGTACAGTCAGAGACGAGAGGAGCAGGGAGGGAACAAGCAGAACCATACTGCGAGCGAACGGCTGTTGACCCAGCCAGCTCCTCCTCCTTCGCTGCTTGACGCGCAGCAATGCAAGTCTACCTGCGTGTCTACCGACCGCGCATCTTTCGCGAGTGGTGCTACCTCCTCTCAGGAGCCATAGACGGGGCAGCGCAGATCGTCGTCGTCATCCTCTCCTTTACCGTCTTTGGCGGTAGCGGGCATAGTCACCCTTTCCCCACATGGTTCGGCAATCCAGACGGGCCCAGCGATCATTGCGTTACGACAAAGACGGCCTAGACGAGGTGGAGGAAGGGAGGAGTGGAGGTATACCATCCCGCACCTGAATGGCAGGTGGGCGCGCTTTGATTTCCTACATTTTGTGCTGCGCTGCTGCGTTTCTCTCTCTATGCTTTGCTTTGCTTCCCGTCGCGAATCTCTTTTCCTTCAAAAATCAGCTAGAGGCCTGGTCTTCGCTCAAAGGTAGCCTCTTGCGAGCCGATCCGACCAGAACGGCCATTCCTTGCTCTGATCTCTCTCTTGCGTTGCTCGAGGCCCCACCTGCTTTGCCCATACATCCTTGTCGATGCCCATACACCCTCATTCTCAACGACTCCTCATCTCTCACTGCTCGCCCCAAGGATTTCCTCCTCCGCCTTGCCCAGCAAGAGGTTATCGATCAACCTCGTCCGTCTCGCTTCCTTTCCCTCGCCTTGCCCCTCGATCAACGCTACCGCCCCGCTCAGCACGGCCCCGTCCGCCGCAGCTGGTCCCTCAGCCGCAATGGCCTCAGCGTAAGGGCGCAAAGTATATCGACAGTTGAGGCTGACGTAATCTACTTCGAAGCGGACTCGCCCACCACTCTCCTGTTCTGCCTGCTTTGCCAGACTGTCGATCTTGCCCAGGGCTGTCGATGTGACTTTGCGCTCCACCTCTTTCGCGCTCTCCCCCGCAGCTATCGCAGTATCGAAGGCGCTCCTCCCTTCCTCTAGGCCGCGTATGAGCAAGGGTGCCCAGCGTCGTCTCGCCTCGTCACTAAGATAGGCATTCCGACTACTCAACGCCAACCCCGTCTCCTGATCCCTCCTCGTCTCCACAACCTTGAACCCCTCCTTGCCCGGCGCACCAAAGAGGAGACTGCTCACCATCCCTCTTAAAATGAGGGCCTGCTGGATGTCCTTCTGGCCGAAGTAGACCCGAGTGGGCTCAACGGCGTGGAAGAGCTTGGTGACCACGGTGGCCACCCCACGGAAGAAGGCGGGGCGGGATGCCCCCTCGAGGCTGGAGGCGAGTGAGCCATGCATGGTTACGAACGCTCCCTCTTGTTGTTGAACGTTCTGTGTGAAGGGGGTTGAGGTGCCCGGCAGAGGCGGGTACATCTCCTGTACGTTGGGCACGAAGAGGGCGCCGATTTCCCCCAATCCTTTTTGGGCTTGTTCTGCTTCGATTAGGGCTTGCACGTCGGAGGGGAGCGTGCGGGGATAAGAGGCCAGGTCCTCATTAGGAGCAAATTGGGCCGGATTCACAAAGATGCTGATCACCGTATAGGCATTTTCGCGAAGAGAGCGTTGGACGAGATCGAGGTGGCCCGCGTGGAGAGCGCCCATTGTCGGGACAAAGCCTACACTAGGGGCGTCGTGATGCTGCGCGGAGGAGGAGGAGCTGCTGCTGCCGCTGCCGCTGTCGTTGCCATTAGGCATCCCCTGCGCGAGGGCCTGCCGTCGTATTGTCCATCGCCAGGCTTTGTAGTCTGCGATGGTTGTGAAGATTGGCCAGGGGGATTGCGGGGGAAGGGAAGAAGACGACATGTTCCGAGATGGGACTATGCTCCAGGACGCGATAGGTCTCCTGCGTGGACAGCTTTGTAGTAGCGTCCCTCTGAGTGAAGTCCTTGCCAAGGACATGGCTTGTCCCTTCTCTCTCTCTCTCTCTTTCTCGCTCCTTTAGAGAGAGAAGAAGAAAGTCAAGAAGATGACCAGCCCATCTCGAGTCAGTCACTCTCGGTCCGTCAGTCCGACCTTTGCGCCCTGGACGGAGAGACGAGACGGAGAGAAAGTGGCCGAGCGGAGGTTCGACTGCATCTTTTTCATATTTCATCTGTTCCTGTCCACTTGCTTGTCGCCTCTTTCCCTTCCCCTTCCTCCCTACTCATCACTCTCACCTCATCAAGCACACCATGCCCCCCTCTTCAACCCGTGAACTCCTACACATATCCTACGGCTCCCCTTCCTCCCACCTGACAACCCAATTCTTCAACACCCAACATGCCTACTTTGACTATTCTGCCTCCAGTAGTTCTGCGCCTCCACCTCTAATCGACCACGACATCTCATGGCAGGAAGGTGTCGAGCCGGGAAGTGGGAGAGAGAGATATACGCCTAGATGGTTGGGTTATGATACGAGAGAGGGTTTTGAGGGGTTGAGATTGCAGGACGATGTGGGGGATGATGACGAGGAGGAGGAGCAGTGGGGTGAGGGGGTAGAGTGGAGTGGTGGAGTGGAGAGGATGCGAATCGGCCACGAGGGTAAGGCGAGAACGACACCTTTCAGGGCTTTGAGTGTTCGAGAGGCTCAAGGTGAGGAATTTGATTGGGATAGAGAGATGCAGAGGGAGATGGATGATGATGACGAGTACGGGTATGACGACGAAGGAGATGAAGAGGATCAGCCTGCCAAGACGATTCGCAGTGCACAAGATGGCCCAACCACCTCTACGATCAGCTGCTCCCCGTCAGGCCAACCCGGGCCCTCTTCACGATATCGTCGCCGCCGTCCATGGTCACACTACCTCCTCTTTTCCCCTCACCCACGCTCCCTCATCCCAATCCACGCATCGGGCAACCTCCCTCTCAATCGCATGCCCCTCCACGAGGACGCCGCCTCCGCTGCTGCCGCCACCTCCTCCTCCTCATCGGATACGGGCGTCGAGCTCTTCTCCCACTTCGAATCCGGTTACACCCGCTCCGCCGGTCAAGAAGCCGAGCAAGACACATTCGACACGACGCTACGCTCGAGCATGGAAGCCTGCGACAGACCGCAAGGGTTCAACCTCGTCCTCTCCGCCTCCGATGCCTGGGCAGGGTTCGCGACGCATCAGCTCGAATTTCTTGCGGACGAGTACCCCAAGCTGGGTAGAGTGGCTTGGGCTGTTAGATCGGGAAGAGCAGATTGGCAACGCGGCCATGACGAGGAGGAAGGGGAGGAGGAGGGGATAGATCCAAAGGCCTTGCAGCGCAGACGCGCTCGGGCTATGAATGAGACGTTGGCCCTTTTGCTGCTCAGCGAGAGCGTGGACCTTTATGTTCCCCTCGCCGCGCCCGAGGGAGAGGGGGCGACGCAAACGCAGACGGAGAGGGAAGGAGCGGCCCTTCTAGCCAGCCATTTCGAGACGGCAACGCTTGGCGCTAGGCTGAGGGACTCGCCTACCAGCCTGTCGAAAGTGGTTGACCAGCTCACATGGAGAGGAGGGACGCCCTTGGCTTCTTTGGGAGGCGAGGTACCACAGACTTCCTCCTCCTTCTCCTCGTCTTCTGCGGCGACAACGAGTACAACGGCAGTGGACCCAATCGACGCTCTCCTTGCCTCGCGCGGATACACGCCCGCCGGTACGTCAATGTCAAACAGGTCTGGAGGGGGAGGACGACGCCACCCAGAGCAGGAAGCTATCAATGCCCGTCGAGCTGCTCTGCGGGAAGGGGCAGAGAGGATCGATGCACGATGGCGTTGTTTCTCAGAGGCTCGCCCGTACGAGTCCAAGGGGACAGCCGCATCTACTCAGTCTTCCTCCTCTACATCCCCGCCGTGGAGTAGCAGCACCAAGCCCTTCGCCATGCACGCCATCTCCCGGCTCGGCCCGTCAAAGCCTTTCCTAGGACGTGATCGATCGTTCGCACCCGCGCCGCCCTCACGAACGGACATAGTGCAACATTGGCTCCATCCGGACGAAGAGGAACGCAACCCCTCTCCCAACACGCCGGGCCCTCAGCTCTCCGCACCCTGGGCCCGTTTGTTGAGCACCCCACTCGCCCAGCCTACTCACGCCGCAATGCCTCGAACTCTGCGGGAAGGATCTTCGTCTTCCTCCACTGCAGGCCCTGCCCCCCTTAGCGCACTGTATTGCTCCCCTCGTCCTACCCTTTCCCACCTCTCGCACGCCCGAAAGACACTCCTGGCCGCAGTGCGCGGTCATTCTTCGCTGGCGGCTTGGGGTGTTGGGGAAGGGGCGAGCGAGGGGAGAGTGGGAGGGAGGGATGGACTAAAGGATTTGTTGGAGCGGGTGGAGGAGCTGAGAGGCGGGTATGAGGATGGAGGCGCTGCTGATGAGGATGAGGAGGACGAGGGAGGCAAGGACACAGATGAGGATTGGGAGGACGGGGCGGGCGAGGATGAGGATGGGCTTGATTGGAGTTGAGGCGCGCGCGGGCGTGCGTGCTCATCGTATGCTGTTGCAATTGATACCTCAACTTGTCTGACCTGCCTTCAGCTGCTGCTGCTGCTGCTGATTCCCGTGCTGCCCTTTTCTCTTCTTCTTCCTCGGCGGTGTCGATCCAGTCGGGGCATCAGCCTCCAGTAGCGACCGATCGATCTGCGCAGACAAAGGAAAGTATCATCAGCACGCCATCAGCGCGGCTCTGCACCTCTCTCGGCCGCAGCACCGCTAACCCACCTCATCAACATCCCCGGCCTCCAAGCCCAAAAAGCCACGCATCCCTTCCTCTCCCTCCCCCCACGTCCTCATCTCACTCGGACCGCTATACTCTGCCTTGTAAACCACACGGCGCAACGTACTGCTCGCCTTCTCCCACTCTGCATGCTGTCGAGCAAGCTTACGTTCCGCTGACGAGCCGGACGCGGATGAGTCGGGACCTCCTCCTTGCTGTTCCCCACCGCCGCCGAGCTGCTGCCCACCACCTTCAAGCGCTTGAGCTGCTGCGCGACGGGCGAGGATCTGATTCTTCCTCGGGGGCTTAGGTGGTCGCACTTTGCCCGGGAGTGAGGGGGGAAGGTAATGCGCGAATGTCTTTGGGAGGGTGTAGGATTGCTGGTGCTGCTGCCGCGTGTCACTAGGTCCTCCAGTTGCTTCTCCTGAGGTGGGCCTGGTCGGCGTGCTGGGCCCTGCTTCGGCCTTGGTGGTGGGGACGGTGGTGTCGCGCGGCTGATGATGGAGGTCCTTGCGGAATGGGTGGAGTAAGATGCGATACGAGTCGTGCAGGTGGAAGCGGGTTATTAGGTCGTCTGAGGCTGAAAGGTGGTGTGAAGGGGGTGGAGGTTGGAGAATCTCCTGATTGGGTAGAGAGAGGGGCGCTGCTATGTGAGTTGGAGGGGACATGATGGTGCGGATGGTAAGGAGGGGACGATTGGAGCATCGACTGAGCGGCGGCTTGACATCGAGGTTGAGCTCAACCTTGTGTGGTTGACAGGGCGGAAGGAGCCACGCGAGCGGGCGAGATGATGCAGGTCAGGGCCCCGACGGCTGATTCGGCAAGGCGAGGCGACAAAATCACTTTGACTTCATTCGCTCCTTGTCCTCTCAACTCGCAACATGGCCATCGAAGAGCAGGCGGCCACAACGTCAGCCGCGAGCATCTCACCGCTCGCGGCTGCAGAGCAGAAGCACCAAGCTTCCAAAGCAGCAGCAGCCGCGTCAACCACCACGACTCAAGAGAGCTCCTCCTCCTCCTCTTCGGCAGAGTCACACGACCCCTTCCCCACCTTTTCCTACTCGGGCTCCCTTCGCCCCGCATACCCGCTCAGCAAGAATCCGCGCGTCCCAGCCCATATTCAACGCCCCAACTATGCGCGAGAGGAGGTGAGCCAGAGCTTTTGGGCATTTTGGTGGGATGTGAGCGCAGCGTCCCGCCCTTTGCTTTTGAGCACTTAGCATCCATCCCACCCTCCCCCTCCTTCTTCTCGTCCCTCCTCCTTGACTTATCGTTGCTGACCGAAACTCTGCTTCTGCTCCCCTTTTCTCGTCTGTCAACCCCTCAGTGGATGCGCTCCCGCAACATCCGCACCAACACGCCCGAGGAAGTCGCCGGGATCCGCCGATCGGCCATCCTAGCCCGCCAAGTCCTCACCGCTGCACGAGACGCCATAGCCATCGGCGCCACGACGGACTCGATTGACAAGGTAGTCTTTCGCGAAGCCATAGCGCGTGATTGTTACCCTTCGCCACTGGGGTATCACGGTTACCCGAAGTCGGTCTGCACGAGTGTGAATGAATGCATCTGCCACGGGATCCCCGATCAACGCCCGCTCCAAAGGGACGACATAATCAATATCGATGTGACGCTCTACCATAAGGGGTTTCACGGTGACCTCAACGCTACCTGGGCTGTGGAGCCTGCTGCTCACCCTGAAGGTTCAGAGGGGCAGAGACTAATCAAGACAGCCCGCTCTTGCCTCGATGCAGCCATTTCCATTTGTGGACCTGGAGTCCCTTACGGTGAGATAGGCAAAGTCATTCAACCCCTCGCAGAATCTGCAGGCTTTGCAGTAGTACGTCGATACACGGGTCACGGAGTTGGGAAAGTCTTCCATGGTGCGCCAACCGTCTTTCATCACAAGACTAAAAAAGGTTGGGGAATCATGGAGGTAGGACACGTCTTTACCATCGAGCCTATGATCTCTGCCACTCCCCCGCCCGTAGGGGCTGGAGATCTCTCCTGGCCTGATGACTGGACGGTCACTACGACGGATGGGGCACATAGTGCCGCGGCTGAGGAGACATTGGCTATTACGCCGCATGGGGTGGAGATTTTGACTGCCGCGGGGGGGCCGAAGGTGATTGATACGAGGGAGGAGAGGGAGAAGAGGGGATTGATTACGAGAATCAAGGAGAGGGACGATTGGGAGGAGGAGAAGGCGAGGCGGGCCAAAGAGGGAGAGGGAGATGACAAGAGGGAAGAGAAGAGGATCAAGGTGTAGTAGACGCGCCATGTCACCCCAACTCCTCAAGCTAGGTGTAGATCTATTCGATTCACGTCATCTCTTCCTCTGGTCGTCTTCGCTTCTGAGTCTGAACAGCTGGATGTACGTGGAGGTTGGGGAAGGGGAGTGGGACTTCGCGTCTTTCAGGTCGGGTAGATGTAGGTATCGCTGGTGCTCGAGTTGGATGGTAGTGGTCTCGTGTGGAGGCTGAATGGCTCGTGCATGCTGGTGTCGTCTGCCTGGCCTTGAAGGCTGCTATCCTCTTCCGCTGGCTGCGTCTACGCAAGGAGGCGCGACTTGAAAAACTGCATTGGCCCAGAGCGGCGGGTAAAGACACCAGGAGCCTGCTGCTCCACTTGCTCTTGCGACTCAAAGCCTTCATTGGTTCCTGCTGTCGGCTCAGCATCCTCATCGTCGCTGGCGCCAGTAGTCCTGCGCAAGTCGAGCCTCGCCTTGCTCCTGGTCAGCATGGGCGACGGGCTACGCTCGAAGCCAGGCAGGGGAAACAGACTCATGTATTCCTCCCTGGCTGAGTCCTTTGCAAGCGGCGCATCCTTCTTGCTGAAGGGCAACGTGGAAGCGGTAGCGCTCAGCTCGAGGTCGGAGAGGAAACGTTGCGTGTCGGTGGCTGGAGGCGAGGATCGTGCGCCGCTACCTGCCGTGGTGCTGTGGCAGGCGGGAGGGCTAGAGTTGGTAGCTCGAGTAGCAGCAGGGTTCCTGGGGCGCTGCTCGGGCGTAGTGGGGCCGGAGCGGATGGCGAGCCGGTCGGTTGGTGGGCGATTCTCGTCGCTCAGGAGCACAGGGGCGTTCTCATCGCTGCCGTCTGCGCCGTGCTCCTCAGCAGGAGAGCTGCGGCTGCGCTGGTCAGCCTTCTTGTTGTGGTGCTGGTCCTGGTTAGAGCCAGTGGCAGGGGCTGAATCGTAGAAGAAGTCCTGAATCTCCTTGTCGGCCTCTACCAAGGCGGATGGAGTGCTTTGAGTGGCGCTCATTTCCTTCGTGGTAGAGCTATTGGTCTCGGTAGCATGCTTGTCGACCTGCTGCCCGATCCCGGCCTCCTTTACAGTAGACTCGCTGGGCTGTTCGCCGTCGGGATGCTTGCCACGCTCGTGGTGATTCTGAGGTTCAGGAGAAGACGTTGGCGAAAGCGAATGATAGTCTCCTAGTAGCCCGCGAGGATTGTTGTCATCGCGGATCAGGGTGTCCTCATCATCGTCGCGCGAATTGGAGCCAGAGTGGTCACTCATGTGTTGGCGGTCATCGTGCTGACCTTGACTGACTTGGGGCTGCTCACCATCATGACGGCGTCGAATGGAACGGTCTTCGACTTGTTGTTCCTCATCGGCGCTGACCTCGGGTGTCTTGCGCTTTTGCTGGACAGTACCTTGCGTGGTAGTGGGTCCGCCCTCGAGAAGGCGCGTGAGCTGCTGAAGACGCTGACGAAGGAGTTCCGTGTTGGCATTGGCGAGCTGAAGCGACTGGGCATTTTCCCTGACGTGCTCCTGGATCTGTGCAGAGGAGCAGACGATGATTGAGGTCACCATATACCCTCCTGCAACTCTGCGTCGCCACGCCAACTCACCCTCCAATCAAGTACGGCCAGCTGGCTCCTCAAAGCGTGACACTCGGCTCTGATGCGCTCGATGTGCACTTCCTGGTTCAGCACCTCGCCTGTACGCTGCATCAAGACGCGGCAATGGGCCAAGACCAGGGGCTGAAGCTGCGGATACTTGGCCTCAAAGTACGTCAGCTGTCCCTTGCTGAGCATGTTGCGCTCATCGAATTGGTCGAGTCGGTCATTGGGATGCAAGTCGTACATATGCGAGAGGGCCAAGAGGCGCATGTCCGCGTCTGGGTGGAAGTTGACCACATCGGCGAAGATGTGCTGCGTGGTTGCAGGCGAGGTGGGAGGAATGTTGTCGGGGTAGGGCAGGCCGGGAGGTGAGGCGCCGTTCAGCCAGGCTTGATACATCTTGAGCTCAATGGCGGTCATACTGCGCATCGCGACGGCTTGCCTGTGCGAGTTTGAGGGGGGTCCAGAGTGAGTGTAAGCTATTGCTCGGCCATCATATATGCCGGGCACTCACGTCTCTAGGATGCTGCCTTGATACTGCAGACGGCCCAGAGAAGATGCAACACTTTTGCCTTGAAGAACGAGGCTTGCGAGCTTGCTGTGGGTGGGCGGGCGTGAACGAGCAAGCCGAAGTCAACGCGACGATGCTCAGCAATTTCGTGCTTGTGGCCACTCACTGCGACTTGGCAACAATGCCCTGCCATCCATCATTGACATTGAGCTCACTATGCGAGGTGGTGAGTGGTCAGTAGTGTCGCAGCTGAGGGTCGCACTCGCGCGCGCACGCACACCTCAGCATGAACGACGGCATTCCAGTCAATGTCATGAGGGTTCTGTGCGTGTATGCGGTCGGATGGGCAGCTCAGCAACGGCTCATCGCCAGTCAATCCACTGCCGCCGTGCCAACTCACAGGAGCTGGGAACAAGTCGAGAAGAGCGAGAGCAGGTGCCGGCTGGGGGATGGCTACCTCGCTGACCTGATTGCTAGCCACGGCCATCTCGGGCCCTGCGGCTTCCGACTGCGCAGCAGCTGACACGGTCATGGCGTCAACTGCGGCTGAGCAAGGCTGGGAGGAGCCGGATGGAACGATGTTCTGACGTCGCTGCCAGCCGGGGGAAGAGCGGGCAGAAGGGGTCGAGATGGGAAACGAGACTTGGTGGAAATGACAAATTCGATGGTATTGGAGAAGAGGGAAGGAGGACAAGACGCAGAAGCAATCGACGAGCCGCTCGAGATTGGGCGAGCTCGCGTGTCTGAGGAGCCGCCGCCGCCGCCGCCGCCGCCTCATCGAGACGCGCCGTCGGCAAAGCGAGCAGAGCAGAGTACAATTCGGAGAGATGGAGAGATAGCAGAGCCACGTCGCGACAGAAGCTGGAGCAAGCACCAAAGTAGCAGCGAGACAAGCAAGAGGTATCAAAAGGGAAGGAGAGACCGAGCACTCACGGAACCACAGCGATTTAAGCCCTGGCGCGGGTCGCAGGCCCGATCAACTCGTAGACGGCCAAGCCAGCTACGAGGGCGGTACCGAGGAGCTGAACATTGGCGTCGAGGGGCACCCAGCGAGAGTAGGAGAGCGTCGAGGCAGCACTGGAGACAAAGTCGGAGCCGGCTGCAGCGTTGCCCAGCATCGAGGAGAGCGTTTGCCCACCAGGCTGGCCAGCCGCAACTCCGAGGGTGCTGGGCAGCTTTTCCAGACCATGGGCCGAAGACTTGAGGAAGGAGAGTAGCGCAAGACGCACAAAGGTAAAGGTTACAGCAGAGGGCTGCCTGCCGCGCTGGAACGTGACGAGGTGGGCTGCTGCGGAGGGAAGGGCAACGAGCCAGATGGTCCAGAGGAGAATGGGCTGCCAGAAGTTGAGCGAGATGATGCCGCGTACATCGGGGATGGTGATGGCCCAGTGGGGGACAACGCCAGCGTCGATGCGACCGTGGCGGAGGAACGACTCGGCGCGAGACTCGCCCAGACGGATGTAATGGGTGGGCAGGACGCTCAGCACGAGGACCACGGCCTCGATGGCGATGAGCAAGCGCACCAGGTTGCCAGCGTCCGAAGCAGCATGCTGGGCGCGACTCCAATTGGCGTTGACCACAGCGTGCAAGCGACGATCCCAACGACGCACGTTCTTCTGGGCAAAGGATCGGGCGTGCTGCACCTCGTTTTGGACCTCGTTGCCCGAGCTCTTAAACGCGTTGGCCAGATTATCGAGAGAGCGTTGCGTGCGGGCCTTGAGTTGCGAGCCAAAGGTGTGCGTCGCGTTGACGATGGCCTCCTCCGCGACGGCGGCAGGTTGAGCGATGCCGTTAGCAATGGCCGAGGCGGATGAAGGGGTGCGGTGCGTGTGCTTGCGGGGCGTCTTGGCGGGCGTGACGGGGGAGCCCTCCGACTCGGATTCAGCCGCCCTGCACGGCGGCGAAATACCAGGATGAAGCGGTGTTGTCAGTCGTCGTGAATCAAGGCGTGGCGTGGTCATTGTCGTCTCGCTGCTCACCCTCCGTTGCTGGAGACGCGCGCGGCACGCCTGCCCTCGCGGTCCAGAGCAGTGTAGAGTCCCTCCATCTGTCCACGCCTCTCGAATCGCGATCGGTTGGCAATCAAGTGCTCGCGAACGATGGCCTCCAAGTCGTCGCGCTTGGTTCCGTCATCCACGGTAATGCCGAGAGTGGATGCAACTGCAGCGTACGCGCGCGTGGGAGACGCGACGTCAGTCGACTTATTGCGCAGTGTTGACGCCGCTTACACTCACTCTCGACGAGGTCCTGCTTCCTCTTTCCCTTGAGGTTGCCCTTAAATGGCGTCGACGTCGATGACATGGCTTCGCGATATCTGGGGATCTGAGGTTGGTAGTGACGGGAGTGGATGCAAAAGGTCGAAAAGGAAACAAATGCGTCCCCGCATCGCATCCGCTTTCGCTCGCGACGTGAATCGATGATGCAGTCCAGCGCGGGACAAAGGGCAGACCAGGCGCAGGCGGGCGAGATCCGCGACGAGACCTCCCCCAAAGTGCAGAAAAACGCAGGGCAGAAACGCAGTCGAGGAATCGCGAATCGATGAGCCCGACGCTCGCTGCTCAGTCGACTCAGGACAGCTCCACTCGAGAAAACGGCATGGCTTGTGCCCAAGGGTGGTGCGAGCGAGGGGATCGCGAACTCGTTTTGAGTCACTTTCATCTTTCGCCACCACCACCGCCGCTACGACGAGGCAACCATGAGCATCCGCTTCCACGCCTCGGCGCCCATCGTCACGCTCTAGTGAGCAATGCACGCCTGCCGTCGTCCAAATGAGCCGACAGCTGACCATTCACGCCCCTAACACACCTGCAGCCACGACCTCCGTTCCCCGCAATCGCAACAAGCCCTCGCCCTCCTCCGCCAAGCACAACGTGGCGGCGGCGGCGGCAGCTCCTCTACCAACGAGGGGAACGCAGCCATCTTCCTCAAAGAAGCCAGCAGCCCCGCCTCGTCCTCTCTGGACCTCCAGCTCGAAATCAAGGAGCGGGCCAAAGAGCCCCCAACGCCCGGACAGCTGAGGACCATCCTCGAGTACCTCAAAGCTTCCCCCCCTCCTCCCCCTGCGGCGGCAGCTGCCAATTCTTCGGTCGAAGGCGCTCCTGCTACTACTCGCTCTACCCCAGAGAATCACCCCGCAGCAGTAGGTGGAGCAGGAATTGGCGCTCGTCCGCAGACGAAGCGTCCTACCAATCCACCGCCCGGCGTAACAAGGACGAGAGTCAAGACCACCCTCGAAGATGATGATTCGGCCGCCAGCAGCGAGTCAGCCGTTTCACGTCGCCTTGAGTCTTCACCTCTCCTCCTCGTGGACTGGGATGCAGGGAGAGCGAGCACAGATCTTGCCGGTGTGCAGGAGATGATCGAGCGATGGCGCGAGGAGCAGGCTAGTGGGAAGCAAGGTGGACAAGCGTCCAAGAGTGATGCGGGGGGCAATTGCGTGGTGATGTAGAGACGGGCTCTGGGTGGATGACTTTGGATATGGAATCATGGCGCTGCTATGTACAAGGACAAGTGACGATCAAGCCGGCATCAGGTTCTCCTGCTCCTGCTCAGCCCAACCACGACTCCTCCTCGGTGTCGCATCACTCATGGCCGACATTCTGGCTACGGCTTCACCGGCTGCCCTCCGCTTGGCGAGGAAGGACTCCATCCCCGGCATCTTGGACATGGAAGCTCCGCCAGAGAGGGACATGCGCGACGAATTCGACGAAGCAGACGAGACACTGCTGCGGCTGCTGTTGGTCGAGGCGCGACCTACTAGGGCGCGACGTCCTGCTGCGTTTGCTGGAAGGGAGGGTCGGGAGAGGGAGAGGGATTGCCGACTGCGAGAGACGTTAGTCAGGCTCATGGGCTCTTCCAGGCCGCCGTACGTGCCCTCCGATGCGATGGAGTGAGTGGGCACATCGGGAAAGGTGGTGCCAGTGAGGTCCCGCGAGGAGGCGCGCGTTGTTCGCTTCTGCAGACTTGCGGACGACGAAGAACCAGTGGAAGACAATGAGATGCGATGCCGCTCCTCTGTCTGCTGCTCTTGGTCGCTTTGGCTGGCTTGACTGCTTGATCGTGAGTGAGATGGGCGGACAGCGATCGTGGAGTGACGAGGGTGGTGGACGACACGCCTCGTCTTGGGGGTAGCTTCCTCCTCGGCCAAATCTTCTTGGTCCTCATTCACGACCTGATTGACAGTCGCTGATCGTAGCGGCCCACCGGCTGCAGCGCCAGCGCCATCCATCGTCCTCCTTCCCCTCGCCTTGGCAGGGACAGGTCCACGCTCGAGAATCTCTTCTGGGGCTCCATGCTCCCACGAGCTACTTGCTGCCTCATAGCGTCCGTCGTCCAAGCTCGCCGGAGTCTGACCTGGAGTGACCAGCCCAGCCTTCCTGACTTTGCGTTTGAGCAGTGCAAGCTCCTCCTGCTTAGCTACGAGTGCCATTGCGTGGTTCTGGATCTCGAGCTCCAATTTCTCGTTCTGACGCTCAAGCTTAGTGATCGTGAGACCGCGGTCGCCTACTTGAGCTGCGAGCTTGTCGCATCGGGCTTGCAGCTCGGCAGCCTCTGCTGAGGAGGAGCTAGATTGCAGCTGCTTGGTCTGCTCAGCGACTTGGTGCTCCAACTCTGCAATGCGGGCTTCCTGCGGCGTCACCACCGTGCGCTCCATGTCGGCCACAGCAGCCAGGAGTTCTTCGCGCTCCTGCTCCATCCGCAAGGCAATGGCGTGCAGCTGATCGTGCTTGGCGGCGGCTTCCCCGCGTTGATGCTCTACATCGGCGTCGTGATTCTGCTTGAGCTCCCTCTCCAGTGCAGCTAAGGCGGCCTGGTGAGCCTGATCTCGCTCCTCTCGCTCCGCAATAAGTTCTTCAAGACGAGTCGAGAGCTCCTCGTTGGCAGCACGAAGCTCTTCCACCTCGTGCGTACTGGCTTGTCGCCCCTTCGACCCATCTGCAGCCTCATCGCGCTCGGCCACAGCCTCATCCCTCTCCCTCTGCGCCTTTGCCAGCTCCTCACTCAACGCCTCTCTCGCATCGCATGCCTCATCTCGCTCCTCTCTCGCGTCATCCCTCTCCTGACGCGCATCATCGCGCTCCCTTTCCACCTCCTCCATCCCCTCTGCACGCTGTAGCGCGTCATCGCGCTCCCGCTGTGCCTCAATCAACTGCTCCTCCAGCGACTCGAGGGCCTCCTCATGGTCACGCTGCAGCGAGTAGACGCGCACTTCGTGGTCACGCTCGACACTCTCCCTGGCGAGGCGGGCGATCTCCTCCGTCGATGCCGATGGCTGGGGCGATGCTTCGCGCGACCGTTGTGATGAGGGAGAGGAGGAAGTGGCGCGCACGGCAAGAAGGCGAACCTCATAGTCGCGCCTTTGCTGTTCTCTCAACTCCCTCTCGTGAGTGAGCTCATCGCGCAATCGGATCACCTCCTCATCTCCACTACCCACCCCGCTCGCCGCGTTGGCCGCGGCCACGCCCACCCTCCTCCCCACCTGCTCCCTCATCCTCTCCACCAGCCTTCTGAGCTCCGCATCCCTCCTCTCCCCCTCCTCCCTCTCGCGTTTCCACTCCTCCAGCACGCCCTCCTTATCTCTCATTCGCTCCTCTAACTCCCACTTCACCCCGGCAAGCTCGCGCAGTAGCTGCGACTTGCTTTCCAGCTCCGAGGTGAGGACGTCCCGCAGGAGGGAGGCTTCAGAGAGGGTGGAGGTCAGACGGACGGATAGGGTTGAGAGGCGGGAAGAGTGTGTGAAGAGGTACTCGTCTAGTGCGTGGCGTACCGCGAGGAGACGTGTTTGGGCGTCGCCGCTCGGTGGAGAGCCAGATGGAGGGAGGGACAGAGATGTTGCTGGTGTGGGCGGCCATTGTTGCTGCGTTGGGGAGGAGATAGCTGATGCTGGGCGACGTGTGGGGGAGGGTGTGGCCATTTCTGCGAAGTGGCCGTGCGTTTGAGCTGCGGCAGGGTGCGGGCTCTGCATTTGCTTACGCATCGTCTTGTCCTTCATCTTGGGCGAAGCGACGACGCGTGCGGGTGATTGCGCGCTCCTTTCTTGCTGCGCCTCTGCGTCCTCCTCTGTCTCAACTTCCGTCTCAAGCTCGCCATCCTCTTCTGCAGACTGCCCAGCAGTAGCAAACGAGACAAAGTCGCTCGAGGCGGCAGACGTGGCCGACCCGCCGCTCGTACGGCCTTTCGTAGCTCGCGGGGCTGAATCGCCTCCCGCGCGTAAACGCTCGACGCTGGCCCTGCCTAGAGCAAGGCGACGTAGTTTATCCGCCGATGGGCTTGCAGTGTAGCCGGACTCTGGACGACGAGGTGCTGGACTTGCTGCGGGCTTGGGTGAGGGCGAGGCGGATGATGCGGTGATTGACGAAGAGGAAGGCGACGCACTGTCCGCTTCTAGCTGACGGCTCGCGGAGACAGCTGAGGTGTTGGCATCATGTTGAGGTGATGGCTGCGGCGACCTTGCTGCGATCTTCACCGTGGGGGAATCGAGCATGCTGCGAGGCGACGAGGTCTCGAAGCTCTGTGCCTCTGAGGTCATCGAGACCTCAGGCTCCACCACTGCGGGCAAGGAGGCTTCGGCCTGCTCTTCAGCCTGCTCCTCGTCCTCGTCCTTCTCTTCAGCCTGCTCCTCGTCCTCGTCCTTCTCTTCTTCGCCCTGTCCATCAGATGAGTGCACAGCAGAAATGCCAGCCTGGCTTACGTCTGCCACGCTGCTTTCGTGCACCTCAGCGTCACCCTTCCCGCGCATCTCTTCCCCAGCGGGCACATCTGAGCTCTCTGCGACCTGCACATCCTCCACCTCCTCTTTCGCTTGCTCCTGCCCACACTGCTCCTGCCCACCCCAAAAAGCCACTCGCAACTTCTCCCCCTCCCTCCTAAAGAAGGAGTCATTCAAGCTCTGACTACTGAGCGTGCTCATATCCGCCACTGAGAGGGACGAGGAGTTGGTGCTGATCGTAGTGCCCGTGGAAAGACGCTCGCGTGGTACGTGTGCGTGTGCGTGTGCGTGTGCTTGTGTCTGTGAGGGGAGAGTAGAAGCTGGGCGAGGCATCTCCGTAGCTGGGGAGGATGAGTGCGCGTGCAGGGAGGAGGAGGGACTCTGCTTCCCCGGAGGGAGCAGAGGTTGAGCTGCAGCTTGACGAGGACGCATAGGTCGAGGCGTAGCAGTAATCGATGGGTTGGGCGAAGATGTCGGGCGATTCCTCGTCTGACTGACTGCTCGAGGCGTCCTGCCGACGGAAAGCACGCTCCCGCTATTCATGGAGTCATCGAGATGTCGCAGCAGGTTGCTATTCGACGCATTCTCCCCCATGGAGAGGAGCGGACCCCCGGTGTTGGAGAGAGAGGAGAGAGACAAATCCGTCGATGCGGATGTTGAGGCGTCTAGCGCTGCGGGTGCGGTCGGAGGACGTGTGGAGCGAATGGAGGTGCGACTCGTGCTCGTGCTCGTGTTGGCGTTGGTCGAGGGAAGAGAGAGACGACTGGAGCTTGCCTGCTGCTCTTCATCCTCTTCGCAGTGCTCCTCATGATTCGAGGTAGGCGCAGCCGTGCTCCCCGCCGTCGTCACGCTTATCTTGCTCACATCTCCCTCGTCGGTCATTCTGTAACCCCATTCCACTCCTCTACCGCTGCTGCTGCTGCTGCTGCTGCCTCCTCCCAGCATCGAAGAAGAGGAAGGAGTCTCCGACTGGCGCAGGATGCTCTTTAGCGCCGAAGCTGGCGTACGAGGTGGGAGTGGTTTTGGCGGCTTTGGCGTGGCGGATGGGGTGCGACTTTGTGCGATGACCTCGCTCAATAAGGCCTTCCGACGCGGTAATGGAGTGGCGGCGATGCTGTGCGAATGCGAGGATGAGGGGGAGGGTGTGTTCTCCTTGTCTCCTTCTTGGTAGCGGCGTGAAGGTGAGGAAAAGGAGGAGGAGCTGGAGAAGGACGCCATCTTGGAGTCTGAGATGGATAGATGACGAGGATAGAAAGTTGAACAAGACGAGGAAATAGGACGATGCAGCATCTCCTCCTCTGTCCGCCCCTCCGTTTCTCCTTCTCCGCATCAACTCGAGTCGCGTCGAGCGCGAACCACGTGCAGGCGGGCGGCGAGGCAGGCAGCCGAGACCAACACCAGGAAGCTCTCACGCCTCACGCCTCACGCCCCACGCTGTACGCTACCACGCTCTGCCCCGTTCCTTGATAGACTAGCAACAGCCAATGCTTGTTGATGAAGATTTGAACATATTACAGCGATACCGCACTCTTCTGACCCTCACACCGCAGAATCGCCTCCCTCACCCCCTCTCCTTGATAGACTAGCAACAGCCAATGCTTGTTGATGAAGATCTGAACCTATTACAGCGATACCGCACTCTTCTGACCCTCACACCGCAGAATCGCCTCCCTCACCCCCTCCGGCTCAGGCTTATCCGCAACCAGGACGTCTTGCAAACCATACAACTCGCGAAGATGCTTGGCCGTCGTCTCCCCAATCGCCACTATCCCCGGTCTTGACTCGACGCTACTCCTCTGTTGTGATGACCTTGAAGAGGAAGAGGAGGAGGGCGCCGGTGGCAACCAGTCCCGCTTGCGCAGCTCATCAGCGCTAAAGTCGACTCCCGAGGGAGAGAAGAAGACGAGATAGTTTGGGTGAAGCGGGTTACTGTCGACCGGTAAGGCTGAAGGGGAGTCGGGCATCTCTTGTGGGTCCAACAAAGTAGTGGTCGTCTCCTCCCCCGTCTTCTCCGCCGCATCTCCTCCCTCGACGCTACTCATACTGATCTCGTTCCTCAATGAATGGGACAGCTTAGGGCTCGCGCCACTGCCCCGTCTACTTCCCGCCCTACTTGCTGCCGCTACTCTTGATGTCCAGCTCAGATCTTGCAATAGGGTTTCTACTCCGGTCAACCCTTTGCCAATCCCAGGGTCGGCGCACGTCTCGTACACCAGGCACGTCTCGTACGCCATATCGTTATCCGAGAGCAGGTCGGTGAGAGCGGGAAGAGACTTGTCTCCCTGAAGTATGAGGAGGGGCTTACGTGGTGCTGAGGACGAGCTATCTGCTGAGGATGAGGTGGCGGGCGGCGCCTGATACTGGAACCAATTGAGAATATACTGCCCCAAGGCCTCACCCGCGCTCCCTTTGCCTCCCGCATCCCCAGCATCGTCATCACCTCCCTTGGCCCCTCCTCCTCCTCCTCCTTCTTTCCCGCGATTTGGCGCGCCGTACACTTTGCTGACCTTGGGTCCCCACCCTTCCTTGACACCTGCGAGCTTGCTATTCCTAAAGCTTGCAGCACTCCGTGCCGAGATGAGGAAGAAGGGCGTATTTGTCCAATCTTGCTTTGGCTCCTTGCCCGCACAGCCCGAACAGCGCATGACGGCCTCGCGCCAGGCGTCCCAGGCTCGATTGCTTGTTGCTACCACGCCTGACCATTCGCCCTCTGCTAGGAGATGGTCGAAGTGCGCTTGGTTTGCGGAGCGGCTAGAAAGGACGGGGAGGGAGACGATGCAGTATTCTCTCGGAGGGGAGGAGGTGGTGTGGTGTGTCGTTAAGGTCGGGGCGGTAGACGAGGTGGTGGTGGAGGAGGAAGCAGCACCCATCTGAGAGCTGGAATCGGTCCCGTCGTACGAGGCCTGCTGGCGTGTATAGTTGCGCTGCGGCGAGCTAGCTCGTCCACGGGACTGCTTGGCCTTTTGTTCCTGCAGTGCGCCGAGGAGCATCTCCTCTGGTCTTGGTCCCTCTGCTCGCTGCCCCTCGAGCGCATCAGCCAGCGTCTGACCACTGGGCAGCATCTTTGGCGGCAAGGCTAGCGGTGTAGCGGCGCCCGAGTCGAGGGCAGAGAGAGGGAAGGAGGGCAGGCAGAAGGATCCAAAGACATCATGGTAAGGGTCAGTGCCCTGCGCGGGCGGGATGGGCGTGCGCAGAAGGAGGACCGTGGTGGGATGAGCAGCTGTTGGCGACGAGGAGGACGATGGGTCTGATGCCATTGTGAGCGCGCGCGTAGAGGAAGGAAGAAAGGAAGGAAGGAGAGTAAGTCAAGGGCAGCAAGGTCAAGACGGACGGGTTCACCGAGGCCAAGACGGCAGTCAGGCAAGCGCACTTGCATCGGCGGCGCGGCGGGTCAAGTGTTTGAGTGGAGTCTGGGCCCTCAACTCAACGCAACGCATCCCACTCGACCTCGACCTCGCGAGGCCAGGCCAGGCTAGTCTAAATCGGTCCCCTCGGCCCGCGGTCCGCTCCACTCCCGCTCTCCTTCCTTCCTTCCTTCCTTTCCGTCCTTGCGAGTCTCTCCTCCTTATCTTCCCCAACCCTCCCCCCGACCATCTCGCTCACTCGCCATAATGCAACCCTTCAACGCCGGCCCCTCCCACTCAAATCGCGACTTGATCGGCCGCTCCCACGACATCGAGCAGCCCTCCTTCACTTGGCCAAACGGGGCACGCGTCTGTCTCTCCTTCGTCATCAACTACGAGGAAGGAGGGGAGAACACGCTCCTCCACTCCGCCGAGGAAGGAGACACGCATGCCGAGTCCTTTCTCACCGAGAATGGAGTGGCTCCCACTGTGCTACCTCCTTTGAAGGAGCGAGAGCTCAGCAGAGAGTCGAGCTATGCGTATGGCTCTCGTCAGGGGTTGGGAAGGATACTGAGGCTGTTTAAGCGTTACGGGCTGAAGAGCACCAGTTGGAGCGTAGGAAAGGCGATCCAGCTCAACCCTGGTGCGGCAAAGGAGATGGAAGAGTCTGGCTGTGAAGTAGGGTCACATAGCTGGCGCTGGATTAACTATGCGGGGATGGACGAGGAAAAGGAAAAAGAGCACATCGAACGTACCCTCACCACGCTCCAATCAAGCACATCTAGCTCCACCACCAACCCACCACTCGGCTGGTACACCGGACGTTGCTCCCTCTCCACGCGACGCCTCGTCTACGAAGCCTACGCAGCTCGCGGTCTCCAATCCCAGTACTACGACAACGACGCCTACGATGACGATCTCCCCTACTACCTCTCCGCTCCTACAACCGACGGTAAAGGGGAGCCTATGCTAGTCATCCCTTACACGCTAGACGTAAATGACATGAAGTTCGGCATTTCCCCCGGCTTCTCCACAGGACGACAATTCCACGAGTACCTGAGCGATGCGCTTCGCACCTTGCTTCAGGAGGCAGAACAGGAGGGTCGATCCTCCATCCTCACCGTCGGACTACACTGTCGCATTGTAGGGCGACCCGGACGTTTCGCTGGTTTGGAGGGTTTCGTACGCGAGGTCGTTGGGATGCAAGGTGGGGAAGGGAGGGAAAAAATTTGGGTCGCAAGTAGGGGAGAGATTGCGCGATTTTGGAGGGAGAAGTTCCCGCCGCCGCAGCAGAAGAGCGTATGAAAGTGATGATGGATTGGTGTCTACTCTACTTCCTCTCGTGTGAATCGATACAAGTACAGTGGCAAGAGTGCCGACCTCGCACGCAGCTACGCGATCGTCGTTGGCTTGGCGCCCAGACCTCGGCGGAAGAGCATCTCCCTCACGTCCCCTAGTCCCTCCAGATGTCCCTGGGCCACGACGGTCGTCTGCCCGCTCCCGAGGCCGTGGTTCAACATCTTCCCACCTCCGGCCTGCTGTGGCCTGAGCACTCGTCTCGCAACGCGCTGCAATACCTCCAAATCCACCCGATCGATCTTCTCGCACATCTCTTCCACCCCCACCTTTGTCCCATGCACCTGGACCTGCCTACCCAGGTCTTCCACTTCCACCAACCGACTCTCAAGCGCCATCATCAAGCTGCTCTTGAGCTGGTTGCGAGCACGAGCTAGCTCGGCGCGAGTCACTCCCCCTGACCCGGTCAAGGTATGTCTTCCCCCACCTGCCCCCGTGCAGAGCTCGAGTTGCTGAGCGATTACGCTGGCTATCTGTGGCGTGAAGCGCGGCTCGCACGCGGCCGCGATGCCGAACAAGGCCGAGTCGTTGTAGCTGTGCAGGAATGCCGCAATATAGTCTACGGCGTGCTGCGTGTTCAGGACATTGTACAGGCGGGAGTACATGCCTTTGCCCGGACCGCCGGCGGAGAAGGAGGAGCCGCCGCCGAGGAGGATCTGCAGGACGGCGAGGGCGTAGATGTCGTCGTCGTGAATGCTTACCCCTTCAAAGGCGATGTAGATGTGCGTGAAGGGGAGGTCAGGACGGGGCAAATAGAGGTCCCCACCTGTATAGCGAGCCTTGGCGGTGGCAATCTCCGCGAGGGATGGCTGTCCTGGAGCGTGGGATGCTGGCGTCTTTGCGGTGGTAGAGAAGGGCGAGGCCCAGAGGGATGATGCTGAGGACGAGGAGCGGGAAGATCGCCCTGATGACGAACCCGCTGAACTCGCACTCGCACTCGGGCTGTCAAGCACAGTCTCTTGTGCTCTCGCCTTGCCAAAGAGCTCCCCTGTCAATCCCACCAATTCCTCGTGCGGCATCCCCGCCCCAGCCACAACGATGCGCTCCGGCTTGTACCACTCCTTGATGAATCCCTGCAGATTCTCCACCGTCATCTGCTCGAGTGACTCCATTGGACACAACAGCGGATTGCCCAGCGTGTTGTTCTTGTACGCCGTCATATGTAGGAGCTCGGGAAGGATCATCTCCGGCTTATTCCAGATCTCGCTGATCTCGTAGGCGGCTGCCTCGCGTTGTTGGTTGAGCTCCTCTGGGAGGATAAGAGGGTGTTGAATGGTATCGGCGAGGATGGAGAGTACGGCGGGAAGGTCCTGATTGAACATGCTTGACCTGCGGGTGGAGAGGAGATGAGGTCAACTCGGTTCCCGCCTCTACTGGGCACCTCATCGTCGCGCACTCACTGGTACATGATCGTCTCCCTACTACTGCTGCACATCACCTGCCCACCCAGCTTCTCAATCTCGCCGGTCATCTGTTCGCTACTCCTATTGCTCGTACTCTTGAATGCCATCCGGTCCAACAAGTGGCTCACCCCACTCTCCCCTGCAACCCATGGCCTTTCGAATCGTGAACCTGCATCTACGTAGACTCCCACGGCGGAGAAGTGGCCAGGAGTGGACTCGGTTGCCACGCGCACCCCGTTCGGGAGGGTTGTCGTTTGGACGAGGGGAGGACTGGAGAGGGAAGAGGGAGAGTGGGAGGCGTAACTGCGCCCAGGTTTCGTGAGGGCTGAGCGTGGCGGTGGTGATGAACGCGGAGAAGAGGAGGCGGCAATGCTCAGCGCCTTTGCGACTGTGTGCCTGGTATAGGAGCGTGACGACGCGGGTGCAGCTGCCTTGCTGGCCGCAGAGAGGAGCAACGCTGATGTAGGCCGCATCCCGATGTGATGGTGGGGGAGCGACAAGGCGAAGGCAGAGAGCGGTCAAGCGGTCAAGCGGTCAAGCGGTGAATGAATGCAGCTTTGTCCTCGTCCGAACCCGTCACTTTCTCCGACTGGATCGAGTCGATCGAGCCGGCTCCGCTCCGTTCCGGCCACAAGCTCTCGCTCCATCCACTCCAGTGCACGGACGGCGGCTCACGTCCTCACGACCCACAGCCAACACACCTTCGCTCCAACACCACACGTCGTCGCCTCACCATCACCACATCGCTCTCACGCCATGGCATCCGACGGATTTCGTTCGATCAATGTCGACATCTGGGAGGAGGACGTTCTGCAGGAATCAGACTTGGTAGAGGCGTACCACCTCGATGGAGCAGAGGCGCAGCAAGAGGCAGAGGGAATTAGCCAGCAGGTGCGAGGCCACTTGAACAAGTGCGTATATATGCTACCGTAGACGGCCATGATGAAGGAGTGCAGCTAACCGGTCAACCCTTCTCAATGCCTGCTCGGGTAGAGGCGACGCTCCGACCGCCCTGTCCTCGCTCCTCTCCTCCCCCCTCCCTTACGGTCCCTCCCCGACCCTCCAACCAGCAAAGGAAAGCATCCTCTCCACCCTGCTCGTGCTGCTCAATTCCGTCAAGTCAACAGAGATTAGCGCGCTGCTCAAGAGCTTGGATCTAGATCAGAGGGATACGCTCATGAAGTGGATCTACAAGGGGCTTGCGAGGCCCGAGTTGGGTGCGGGGGGCGTGCTGTTGGGATGGCACGAGAAGGTGAGTGTTGGGCGGCGCAGTAGTGCGCAGATGAGTACGTGATCATCGTGACGAGATTGAATGCTGACCTTGTGCTTCATGCCTCGCTCAGCTCACGGAGATCGCAGGAACAGGCTGCATCGTCCGCGTAATGACGGACCGTAGGCGGGTCTAGGCGTATAGCGCGCGCTCGCACTGTACATGCAATTGAGAGAGAGGGTTTCGCATTCTACGATGATATCACGCGCCCATCCACCAGCCTCCCGAGCCCATCAATCTCTGCTCCCATCCCGCTCTGACCTCATCACCTCCACAATCACCCTCCAGTACAGCCCGCAATGCCTCCTCGTCCTCCTCTACCGCCATTGCGGCCGCATTCTCTCCACTTGCTCCATTAGCAGGTCCCAGCCCGGAGTGGAGCGTCTCCATTGCTAGACTCATCGTACTATCGCGGACGGTGAGGTGGGTTGTCTCGCCAGTGAGGAGGTGGATGGAGGAGGGAAAGGAAGTGGAGAGACGACGTCGCTTCTTGCCCCGAGGCTGCGAGACGCCAGTCATTGTGTCCCTCTTCGAAAACTCCTCGCAATCGCCGTGGCAACCGAGCGCTTCCTGCCACTCTGCCTCTTCTCCCTCTTCGTCTGTTTCGGCATCCTCAGCGACGATGTCGTCCAATGACCAGACAAAGTCGTCCGCCCCAAGGAAGAGGGAGAGACGACCCTGAGCGCTGATGACGCTGCCCGTCGAGCCTTTGTTCTCCTCTCCCTCGTCGTCAGAGTGTAGAACATGACGAGCAAAAGCTTTCTCCTCCTTTATCGCTTCTTGCCCCTTGTCATCATCTGCCCCCTCATCCGCGCCCGCTGCTCCATACACGAGCGATGCAGCAATCCCGTGCTCCTCACCTGCCGCCGCGGCACCACCCTGAACCCACGACTCCAGCCTGGACGCAAAGACGTCGAGGTTCACCCCCTTTGCCGTGCCCCTGCTCAACCTCTCGCTCAACGTCTCCCGCACAACTGCCAACCTCCTAGTCAGCGCAGCAGCCGGCCGAGCAGAGAGTGCCAGGCTGGTCTGTGCCCCCAGCGGTGGACGCGTGGCCTGTATTGGCGAAGAGGCGGCGAGGGGTAGGCCGTTCAAGGTGGGGATTGAGGCACCGGGAACCAGACCTGAGAAGAGCGGAGTGGCACCTGAGGATGATGAAGTTGCTCCTGGTACCAGCAAGGAAGGGAGAGGCGTGCTACCTGCTCCACCTACAGTGGGGAGCGGTGTCACGCCCGTGGTGGGGCCGGGCGTTTTGCCCGTCGTCCCTCCTGCGGCGCCGTTGGTTCCCTCCTTCTTCTTTGGCCCGCCTCCGCCACCATTCGCCAGGAGCTGGTCTTCCTCCATCCGTGCGACTTTGCGTGCCAACTTGACGCCTTTGACTTCATTGATCAGCCTGGCGGACGATTGGCTGACGAGAGTGGAGCGAAGCGCTGCTGCTTCAGGCGTTGAGGCGCACGCTTTGTCGAGCCAGGAGAGGAGGGAAGTCAGGAGTTTCAGGTTGCGGGTCAGGAGGTGCAGTGTCAAGCTTGCTGCTTCGCTCGAGCTGCGAGCCTGGGCCAGAGTGGTGAAAAGGGACGAGCCTCTCGTCGTGCCTCCCTCTTTGACTCCTTCTGCTGCGGCATCGTCTTCCGGCGGGCTTTGCGGCATTCCCTCTCCCTGGAGGACGGCATATCGGCAGACGTCCTCCACTTCTTCGATCAAGCCCGCAGCTAGACCCGTGAGAGAAGTGACGCTCAGCGGTTTCCAGTCGTCTGCGCCTTGACGGGCAGAAGAAAAAGAGCGGAAAGTGTGCAGCTGTGCGAGGAGACGGTGCGAGGTTACGAGCTCCTGTCGGGGGAGCTTTGGTCTGCTGTTGATAGAGAGGACGCGCAGCATGGCGACGTGCAGCTCTAGCAGCGCGGCCAGTGCCTTGAAGTTGAGTTTACCCAGCATGTTCGTCGACGTGCTACCCGCCATGTCTAGCCCAAACGCCCCTCCCACGAGGCTGAGCAGCTTTGCCCTGTTCCTCCTCTCCCGCAGCATGCTCGACGAAGCCAACAGGACATCCGCGTACGTCCTTTTGTTGATGATAGCTTGCAAGATTGCCGCAGCCAGCCGTGGAAGAGAGCCGGAGGTGGGTGCCTGCGGGGCGGAGAGACGCAGCCCTCGTGTGGTTGCGTCGTACCATCCCCTTAAGCTTCCATTGGCCGAGAGAGTGACGGGAGGGTCAGGTTGGATTGACCTGCTCGGGGCTGATACGCTCTTGATCCCATCGTCCTCCCCGAGACGCGCAGGGTCAATAGTAGACAATCCGCGCTCGCATCGTCTCCTTCCATTTACGTCTCCAGTGCCAGACCAAATGGCCACCAGCTTGCTCCTTACTTCTCCCTCCTCGAGCAACGCACGCGGGTAGCCCACCAGCTGGTGAAGCACCTTCCCCTCCTCTATGCGCTCAGCGTGTAAAGAAGCGGACCACTCCTCCACCTCCTCCTGTTCCACCTCGCTGAGACTCTTCTTGCGCGACTCGAGGTCGCCGAATGCCTCGCTCAGGGAACCCTTGCCGCTTATGTCTCGCCGTCGCGTGAGGGAGTAGGAGCGCAGCGTCGTGCCCGTGGTATCGAGATGGGAGAAGCATCCCAGCAGATGGATGGACTCCGTGTCGAGATGCTTGCCGCTGAGAGTGCTGTTGAATCGGAGGTGGAGGAGGGAGCCAACTTCTTCGCCGTAATGGATGGGCTGGACCGGCTTGGTGCGAAGCAGTGGATCGTCACGCTTTGTGTTTATGACAACCTCGGTGAGGTGAATCAATCCGTCGTCAGGCTGCCATGCCCCGCCGCTGCGCTGCTTGACCGCGATGATCAGTGAGCTGCTGCCGGAGACGGGGTGCATGGTGCAATGCGACAAGCTCACGCCACTCGCCCCTGACTCAGCTACTGGTCTGGCATAGTTGACCGTCGCAGGAGAGTGCAGAGGAGCGCTCAGTAGCTGCCAGTCCTGGGTCGCGAGCGCGGGCGATTGCGAGTAAATGGAGACGTTGCGGTGGAGCAGGTGGACGAATCCGTTCGAACTGACGAGCACAAGAGCCTCAGGTCTGGCCACCGCTGATCTTGCGCTCAGAGTCGGTCCAGCATCTGGCACGCTCATCGTCCTGAACTTGGGCTGCTCCCTCGCCTTCCCCTGCTTCTCATGGCTCATTCCGGGCAGCTGAGTAGTCGGGGCGACTTTCTCGGACTCGGCCTTGATGATGTCGGGTGGTTGGACGAGGACTTCCTTGCCCTCTTCCCGCAGCCAATGCAGACCAACAATCCCGCTGCCCAGCTGACCGCCAGCCTCGAGCAACGGCCATTGCCCTGTGAGCGCCCATTCGCTGTTCAAGGCCGCTTTGCGTGGGTTGCGACTCCATATGCAGACGAGACCGTATGGCGATGGTGCAGATGAGGACGATGCGAGTCCTCGTTTACTGCGAGGTTGTATGATTGCTGTCAGAGAGGAACCGGAGGGGCTGAAGGCGACTTGTCGTACGAGGTATGACGTTGCAGCCGCCGAGGAACCAACAAGAGGCAGGAGCGGTGGGTAGAGCAACAGCGGCTGCGTCGCTTGCGTAGGTGAGGGGGCGAGGAGCGGCTTGATGGCAATGGCAACTGCAGGGCCGCTTTGCATCGGGAAAGCGACAAGGCCATGCGACTCAGAGAAGGCGACACAGTTGTCGTGCTGGTCGCGAGCTGCGTCAAGGGCGGAGGATTGGCCCAGCAGGGATGCTAGTCGCTCGCCTGCTGCGATGATGCGAGTTGCGGATGACGATGACGACGACGACGATGATGATGATGCGTCAGCGCTACCGCTGGTATCCATGGGCTCAATGGCCATGTCGGCCTCGAGGATCACGGAAGCGGCCAAATGATGAGAAGGCAAGATTGGAAGTTGCGATGCGAGTCGGCCAAGTCGAAACAAGGCGGAAGCGGAGCAAGCAGGCCAACGCCAAGACCACGCTGCTGCCAACGTGTGGAGAAGGGCGACAACGATGCCAATGACTTCTGTGTGATATTACATTTGCTGTACTTGCTTGATGCTCTACAAGGCCTCGTGAAGCCACTCGACAAGCGCCGTCTTGATTTGCTGATCATGCTCACCCAACGCCTCGATCGCCCTGCGCCGCCTCGCATCCCCACTCACTTCCTCCCTCGCGCACGCCGACCCCCCTGGCATCGGCGGGCATTCTGCAAACGTATCGTAGCGCTGGCCGACAATACCCTTGACGACCTGCTCCCATTCGTCGCCATCTCCACCTTCCATCTCGGCATTCAATACGATGCCATTCTTGCAATGCACCTTCAACGCTGCCCCCTCACCCAATCCTAGCTCCCTCAGTCGGCCTTTGCCCTTGTACTCTCTTGCTTGGATAACCACCTCGAATTCCGGGCAAGACGCATATATCCAATCCCACTCTCCAAGCAGCTTCTCCAGCTTGACCCTCTCCGGCTCCTTGGCGAGGGGCAGATCCTCATGCACGTCCACCCATCCTCTGCCCAACTCCTCCAGCACACTGCCCCCTCGCGCTTCATCTCTCCCACTCTCTGCATCGTACGTGTTCCAGAACTCGCGCACGACCGCACGTGTGAATTTCTCGTGGTCCAGTCGTCCTTGTTTGGCTGCAGAGGGATAGGCGGCACTCAAATTTACCACGGGGCTCTTGACGCTCTCCACCCCCTTGGACTTCATGGCGTTGGTCTTTACGTTGCGCAGGGAGGAGCCCAACGCTGAGAGGTCAGAGGAGAGGAGCATCGTGCCGTGGTGATACGCTCGGTGCGTGAGGATCTTGAAGGCTGAGCCGGAAATCTTGCGTTCTGCCCAGTGCGACTCGTGCGACCCTGAGGAAGCAGCTTGGTCGACCACCCTGACTACCAAGTCGTGTCGCTCATTGACGTACGCCCCTTCAGGGCTGCCTTGCCCTATGGCAAACCGTTCTGCAGGGGGCGAGGCCTCATCGCTTCTCAGCGTCCTGAGCCCCACTCCGGGCCCATTCAGCGCCCTAGCAATCATCTCCGCCCCCATTCTCCTCTCAAATCGCTCTCGCGCAACATGCAGCGAGAAGTTAGTGTTCCCCAAATCGTGGTACACCGCTCCTCCGCCACTTCTTCGCCTGATCAGCGGCAAATGACGTTCCTGCATCGCTCCTACGTTCAGCTCCTTCCAGTGATTCTGATTGCGCCCGAGGACTATGCAGGGGGAGTTGCGGTAGATGAAGAGGAGAGGGGTTGTGGGTGCAGTGGTGCGGAGCAGGTGTTCTTCTATGCTGAGGTTGAAGAGGGGAGAGTGGGAGCGCGAGACGTAGACTTGCGGGCGTGTTGAAGTGGACTGCCGTCGCAGCTGTAAGCAATGCCGCCGCAGTGGCGCCCTCACAGCATGACGGGCTCCTTCGACCGCTAGCATGTCGTTGTGCGAAGTCAAGAAGCAGCGGGCGCAGCGGTGGCAGCGGCGGCGGCGGCTTGAGCTCGAGGCAAAGTGTTGGATTCATTTCGCCGTCGCCCGCGTCGTCGTCGTCTCCCTCAGGCACAGGGCGGACTGGCAGCGCGGCGCGCCTCTTCTCGCCTCGTCTCCGTCCGCGTGCGCGTCTTGGTCTCCGCCATCTCGTTGCTCCCGCTCTTTCCTTTCCTCTCCATCACATCTCCAAACCCGCTTGCCAACGCCGCCATGGCGCCGCCATCGTCGTCGTCCCCGTCGAGTAGCGGTGGCAGCTCCCGACGTCGCAGTGCCGGCTCGTCCTCCTCCTCGTCGTCCTCCTCGACGCCACGCTTCCTCACCCCGAAGGATGAGGATCGCCTAGGCAAGCTGGTCACTTCCAAAGCCGCCTTTGCCTCCAAGATCCAACAAGGGCGGGGAGCGATGGTCTGTCTCTTCCTCGAGCTCAAGGACGTCAATGGCGGCGAGAAGCCCTATGAGTCTATGGACATCGAAGCACACCCACTCCTTCCTAGCAGGCAGCGAGCCTCGATTGACAATGAGCGTGTCAAGCTCACCTTCGACGGCACAATCGTCAGCGACTTTCGCGACTTTCTCTATGAGCACAGCACAACGCTGGATGCTGCTACTCCTATTCGATGCTTGGTCAGCGGGTATGGAGCGCGTGTGACTGCAAAGAATAAGACGATCATGTACGACCGGGATGAGCTGGTCGTGAAGCTGTGGACCCCGGCGGTGGAGGTTAAGCCCGTGAAGGGTAGGAAGGCCGCGCTGGCTTCAGAGAGCCAGCCGCAAAGCCAATCACAGGCATCGCAGGGCGAGGGCGAGCACTTGTGGTTCGATCGATACCGAAGGGAGGAACTGCAGGATACCCAGGCAGATCCAGTCGATCCTCCTCTCAGCGAGCCAGTCCAGAGCACTCAGGCTATCAATCCTCTGGTCGAGGATCAGCATAGCCACGCGACGGACTCTGCGGCAATCGCTCCCGCCACCGCACCTCAGACGCATACGCAGACGCAGACTCAAGAGTCGCAAGCAAGCTCGCCGCCACGCTGGAACTCCTCGCCGCCACGCTGGAATTCCTCCCCTTCACACGGCGCAGACGAGAATGCGCTTGGCCCCTTGCTATCCCTTGCGTCTTCATCTAGTCACGAGGGGCCTAGCCAGGATCAGCCTGCCAAAGACGACGTACCTGCACCTGCTTCCTCCGATCAGCCCGCTGGCCCATCCAGCGATGAAGCCAGCGCGCCTACGCCTGTGTCGCAGCCTGCTCCCCCCGCTCCCCCCGCTCAGCCCACTACGTCAACTCAGCCCGATGTTGCCAACCTTGCCACGCAGACTGCCGCAGCCAGCATCGCTGCGCATTCGCCGAGTAAGACAGCCGAAGACGACGTCATCCTTGTCCCCTCGGCTACCCCATCTTCCCCGCCAAAGTCTAACGGCGAGGACTGGTTCAACACTCCGCAGAAGAAAGAGCGCGCATTTGCTCCCCGAAGCGCCAGCGCACACGACGACGACTCCAATGCACCGGACGAAGCTGCCCTCTTGGCGGAAGCCGAGGCCTCGCAGTCGCAGGCTGGGCCCTCCGCCCAAGCGTTCCAGCCTCGCGCTCCAACCTTGGGAAGTTGGCCTGTTGCTAGTCGTCCTGCGTCGCGCCGTATCACGCCCTCCTCTCTCACCTCGATCACCCTCCTAGACGACTGCCGCCTCGACTCGAAGCGTACCTACAAGTTCCTCGGCGTGATTCACACCTGTCAATCCCCACGCCGCACGAACGGCTATAACAAGAATCTCTCGATGCACGTTGTCCTCGTCGACAAGTCCGGCTACCTCAAGACGATGTTCTTTTCCAGTGGTCCCGAGGAGATTGACGAGTTTGCGCAAGGCGTGACCGTCCTCATCGAGCCTGTCAGTCTACAGGAGTGGCCAGGAGCCAAGAACCCACGCCAGGGCAAAGCAGAACAGGGCGTCTGGCGTGCCGCGTTCATGCCTGCTCCGCAGCCGGAAGAGCCACTCGACTCGGGCGCTGTTCGCGGAACGCTTCGCCCGCGTGACGAGGAGTACGAGCGCATGTTGGCGTTGCGCAATTGGTACCATTTCGAACGCGGCAACGTCGAGTCGCTCCGCAAGTACCCTACCGCCTGGCTACGCCCGCTCAAAACCATCTCGGAGCTTCGTGGTCGAGCGGAGAATGGCGGCCCCGAGTTCTACGACCTCCTCGCGCAAGTCGTCGAGGTCTACGAGCCAGGCGGACCCAATCAGCCCGCGACCGTGTACGTGACCGACTATACCTACTCAGAGAAAGTGCGCTCCATCTACGATATGCATCTGGGTTACGAGGAGAGCGAGTACATGCCTCGCGCTGTCAAGAGCAAGACGAAGGTTGGTGGCGGCTGGGTTATGGGCGTTGCCCTCTTCTCCAAGCAGCAGCACGCCCTTTTCGGCATCAGCAAGGGGCAATTCATCCTTTTCTCTGGCTTGCGATCACGCTGGCACGACGAGTATGGCTTGAGCGCAGCAGTGGGGAGCGACACGGATTCATCGCTCAAGTTGAGGGAGGGGGCGGATCAGCCTGGAATGGACGTGCTGCTTGCAAGGAAGAAGGAGTGGGAAGAGAAGAGAGAGAGGGAGATCAAGGATAGGGAGGAGCGCGAGGGTGAGATGGAGGAGGTTTGGGAGGAGGTGCACGGGAGCGGGGCCATGAATCAGATGCCCTCGGTCTCGATCGGTAAGAAGGAGAAGGACGAAGTTGGAGTTGGGGGCGATGGGGCGGAGATGCACGCGGCGATGGACGCTCAAACGCAGAATGGTACGCAGCAGGAGGAGGAGGCCAGCCACGACAATAGTCTCGGAGGCGAATACCAGATGGTCGAGAAGCCCGTGGGTGAAGCAGAGAACGGGGTTGCGGAGCACTCCGTCCAGAGCGAGGCCCCTCGAGAGCAAGTCGCTCTGGAGCAACAGCGGGCGGACGAAGCCGTCCAAGGGCAAGAACAGCAGCACGGCGAAGCCGATACTACGATGGCAACGGGCGAGACAGACCCCGCCGCAGTCCAAGACATCCCGAGGATCACCGGCGGAGGGCTACCAGCAAGTAAAGAGCCGAACAGCAACGGCGGTGACGACCTTGATGGCGAGGACTCAGCCATGTCAAATGCAGAGAAGGGCGAAGGCGACCAGTCTCCTCCGCAGCCTGGGCCTGAGACTGAAGATCGAGCACATCAACAGCAAGAGGGTTCCCACCAGCAAGCCGTCGACGAGCAGCAGGCATCTCAACAGCCCGTGGAGGAGCAACCAGCCAATCCTCCGGCGGCACCGATCGACGACGCTACCGACCAATACATGGCCCCAATCGAGGACGTGCCCGTCGAGCAAAGCATCGCCTCCGTAGAAGAGGCTGCTCTTCCCACGAATGGCCACACGAATGGCGTCAACGCCGCAAGCGCAACGGTAGTCATCGACCGTACGGCCTTCGCGTCCGTTTCGACCGCCTCGTCGTCCGTGGACGCCGATCAAATTCCCAGTATGACCGTAGCTCAAATCGGAGAGCTCTTCCCAGCGGCTCAACCGGAGTTCCATGACTTCAAGGTCTACGCGATGATCAAGGGGGCGAAGCTGCTTGATGTCAAGCCAAGGGAGGCTAAGGAGTGGATTAGAGGCGGAAAGAAGGGCAAGCAGATCATGATGGCTCTGCTGCTGGCTGAGCAGGGTGAAGGCGAGGAGCTAGGCATGAGCATCAACCCACATCGCTGCTTGCCTGTGTTACTCTCAGGCGATGCAGCTTGCCAGTTCTTTGGCGTCGACGCTAGACGTCTCAGCGAGGACATCGACTACGAAAGCGTAGCCCTCGCGATCGTCAAGAAGAAGCTAGAGGGCTTAGCAACCGTACAGCCCGCTAGTACGGTGATCAACGGCAGCAACGGCGCACCGCACGCTAATCTCGTCAACGGCGATCGTCACACCGGCAATACTGAAAGCGACGACGACGACGAGCAAGCAGCCTGGCGACGTATGCATCAGCTTCCACTGCATGACTGGGGCCTCTCGATCTGGAAGGGAAAGAAGAGCGGAAAGGTTCAGGTGAGCGTGTGGGGATGCGAGGTTAAGGTAGCCGGCAGCGGGCGAGAAGGCGAGGGGGAGGGAGAGCCAGAGGAAGCTCGAGAAGTGTGAGGGGGGGCGAGGAGGAAGACTACAGTAGACTCCGCGTCTTCCGTAGCTGGTTGGCGGGCCTTGGCGTGGTTTTTTTGTTTGTCACATTTACGCATCCGAGCTCCATAATGAGCTCACTCATCGACGACGTCGCGTACCATCATTTCAATACCATCTCAATCATCCCCACACATCGCGTGCGCCCATCCCAATTCTTGATGACCACCCGTGAGACTTTCCCCTGTGAGGAGGTCTTTCCCCTACTCAAAAACCTTGGCTCGCCTTTGCTCACCACGAAAGGCCTGGCCAATAGCTAGCCTCATCGGGCTGTCAACCCAACGCAACGCGGTGCGGTTGTACCTTGAGCCTGTCTGTCCGCTCGCCCTCGACGAGGATGAACCTTGACGCCAACTGCCGCCAGGAAGAAGCGGCGGTGGGGCCTTTGGCTGGCTGAGGGTGGGACCCTTGGTGCCCTGTCGTCGCCCTGCGCTGCGCTGTGCCTGCGCACCCACGCCACATCGCAAGGCCGCTGCGCTGTTGCACACTTACCCGCCTCGCCTGACTGCAAGATCTCCCTTGGAGCATGCGGGCGTGCATGTCGTCCGTACCGCGTTGCGTTGCCGTCCCGCTCCCCCCTGCCCCAGTCAGCCGACGAGATTTTGCTCCACCGCACACCGCACACCGCACATCGCCGTCGGCCTCTTGTCGATGCTATTCAAGCTCTCCCACGTCGCACCTACAGGATGTCAATTTGAGCCAAGCCCGGCGTGTGCAACGCAAGCTCACGGACATTGATCCAGGAGCACAGGATGACAAGGGGTCCTTGCCGAGAGAGCTAAGATAGGTAGGGAGACGTGAGAGCGAAGGAGCGAGGGAGCGAGCAAGCTTGATTCGCTGTTAGCATCTTCCCGCCGCTTTCGCGATGGCAAAGCAGGCAGCGGGTCCCTGGAAATGAGAGGAGATTGCAAGACGACTGGTCGATCCCCTCTTCTTCCCACCCCTCTACCCTCTACCCTCACCTCGAGACTTCACCAAATCACACCCGCACTGTGGGAAAGCACGAGGGAGGTTGCTGAGCGTCAGCGCACCACCGGCCAAACAAGCGGCATCTCTCCGTCGATCGACCCTCACTCACGTACGTCAAGCAGAGCAAAGAGCAGAGCAGACCACCTCGACTCAGTCAGGCACACAGTGTCGAGGGCTGAGCGCCAGCCTGTCTCCGCACTTGCAACCAACAGCTCATCACCCGCCCGCAGAGGCTTTCTGGGCCGCACACGCCGCGCACGCGCTCTTGTCGAATCGACGAAACTCGAAAAGAGCTCAATTATATAGGGTCGAAGCCCCGTCTCTCTTTCTTCCAATCACCAACTAGCTACACTTTTCCGCCCCCACGCCGCCTTCTCCTTACCCTCGACCCTTCCTCCAACCCGTCCCTCACCTCACCACCAGCCAACACCCTTCCCTCCCCTCGCCGTTGCACTCCTCCACGCTCGCTAGCCCGCCATGGTGGTCAGCATCGAAGCCATGCGCGTCTGTACGACGGTGGCCTTCTCCTGTTTCGCCACCGAGTGGCTCTGCTCATTGGGCAGGGAGATCAAGTACATTTGGAAAGCCCGATTCTGCCTATTGACGGCGTGCTTCTTGGGTGCGAGGGTGAGTGGTGATGACGCGGAGAAGCTTGGCTAAGCGCATTGCTCATACGACGTTTGCGTCCTCTTCGCCACAGTATATCACACTGATCAACCTAAGTGAGTGCGGAGTGGCGTGATGGTGGGTGCTACGGTCGCTGACATCTGCTTTCCCACTCTCGCCCCTTGCTCATCCCTTCGTACTACCAGCATTCATGATGTGAGTCGGCCACGCCCTCTTCCGACCCTCTGCCCTTCTGACCTTCCCTGCTGACTGTCATTCTCATCCACCTGACCACGCAGGGCAATGTTCCATGGCTCATGGACGGCCTCCTTGTGCGATCGCCTCTACCTCGTCATGCCAATCCTGGCCACCCTCGGTCTCCTGTGCGCCGAAGGAGTCTGCTGCATCCGCATCTGGACCATTCACAAGCGCAGCCGCTTCATCTTCTCCTTCCTCGCAACACTCTTCACCGCCATGGCCGGCATCCAATTCTACGCCATATCCAAGTACGTGGCATTTCGCGACGAGACGGGAAGCTGCATTGCTGCGGGTCAAGGGGTCTGGTTGGCCCTTTACTGGTTGGCGCCTGCCACTCTTGACGTGAGCATGATCCGTCTTGGCATGTTAGCTTGCACCTTCACTCACTCCCTCTCACCCTCTCTGCCCCGCTTCGCAGCTGATCCTCCTCTTCCTCGCCATCTTTGCCGTTGGCCGCGAGACCCGCCAATACGGCGCCAATCGTCTCCTCGACGTGATCCTACGCGACCAAGTCTTCTACTTCCTCTTTGTCTTCTCCGGCTGCATCATCTCCGGCGTCCTCATGACGGTCAATTCTGCCTTCCTTCAGTCCCTCAACAACCCACCCGCCATCGCCGTACCCGCCATCGGAGCCACGCGCTTGGTGCTCAGCCTCAAGAGCGAGGGCATGAGACAGATGGGAGTCTACCGTCACGGGCAGGACAGCTCGGGCTCCTCTGGACGCAAGGGCCTCCCAAAGAAGAAGGGAGGCGTCCTCAGCTGGTGGTCCACGCGCGACAGCGGACAAGACATTCAGAAAGCTTCCTTCCCCGACTCGCCCGCCGCTACCACGCGCAGCAACAATCGCTCGTGGCTGCAGATCCATCCGGGCACATGGACTAGCAGCATGGAAGCAAGGAAGATGGCCTCGAGCAACTCGGAGTCTGCTCATCCACTCACTAGTAGTCCTGACGTTGAATTGGCCTCGTTTGGCCAGAGCAAGGGTGATCACACCTTCGACTCCATCGAGGTGCACCAAGCACCCGTACCACCTACGGCGCGATGCAAGACTTCTTCGACGTTTTGGAGCGGCCAGCGAGGCGTGCCTGGTAGCGTGGATGAGAACGGCGAGTACACGACCAGCGGCAAGGGTGAGGTAATTCTCGGCCCTTCTATCGAAGTCGGTCGACACCAGCCTCACGCGGATGAACGCCTCATAGGCCTGGGGGACAACACCATGTGGCCTCACAGCAAGGCTCGTCGTATGGCTAGCTGTGACCAGATTCATGTGCCCGTCACCGTCCCCGTGACCCGAAATGCGCACACCGCCACGGGGACCCGGGACAGCAGTCGCGATACCTTTGGCGGCCATAACCACACGAGCAGCAGGTCTGGAACCAGGCTCGGCTCGCCTACTGCTCCCCCTTCTCGAGGGCAAGGCAATTTCATGAAGGGTTGCGCTATCCATACCGAGACGACTACCTTTGTCACCCGCGGAAGTGAGGACTACTCGCAGCACGCTATGCCGCAGTACAACAGCAATGGTAACAACAACAACAGCAACGCCACTGCCTTGCGACCAGACACGGCCAACGACCCATACCAGCAGCACGTCGCCTCTTGCCCCACCAACAGCAGCAACACCAGCAGCAGCAGCAGCGCCCCTCCCCTCCCAACGCAGCCCCGCGTGTCCGCCGCCCCCTCGGCGAGCTACGTAGTTGCGGAGGACTCGGGAGAGGATACAGAGGCGGAGGAGGTTATTGGGTTCGCGAGCAACACGCCCCCAGCTAGCAGTGGGTCCATCGCTGGGGCTCACCAGAGGCAACTCTCATGGCAACACAGTGCGAGCAACAAGGGGAGTGAGGAGACGATGCGCGCCCAGGGACCGCAGTAGTAGGGATGGACGGTTGATTCGAGCGCTGCCTGCGACGACCGTCTTCTCATCCTCAAGTCGTGGCTACCATTTCGCCATCACCTATTAGCTCTGCGACGTCACTTCAGCGTTACCTCTCTTCTCTTCCTCTTTCTCGCTCCGGGCCTCTTAGTATCGCGCATGAGCGCCACCCCTTGAAATCCAATCACTTTCAACTTTGCCTGACGATGAGCCTGTTTTGCATTAACTGCTCTCCTCTCGCCTTTCTATATCATAACATCCTCTCCCCATTCGCGAACACTCATCGCCTCGGCACCCCTCCTCTCTGCTTAAGCGCCCTCTGCGCTGCTCCAGGGGGCAACTTCTGACCACCAGGCTGTCCCTGTCCACCAGGAGGCTGACTCTCCTCATTCCTAATCGTCTCATCCACACTCAAGATCAAACAAGCAGCCTCAGCCGCACTGCCCAATGCGTTGATCTTGACCACGCTAGGCTCCCAGACAAAGCCAGCCATGTTATCCCTCACGTCCTCCGAGTCAATGTCCACTCCGTCCCACTTATTGCCTTGGGCGTGCGTCATACGCAATTTGTTCAGAATGTCCGTAGCGTCAAACCCAGCATTATCCGCCAGCTGACGAGGGATACATTCCAGCGATTTCGCAAAGGCTGAAATGATCAACTGTTGTTTCCCAGAGATGGTACGGGCATGTTCGCGGAGGTGACGACTGAGCTCCATTTCGATTGCTCCACCTCCGGCGACGACTGTCGAGTTCTTCATTGCACGCTTGACGATCATGATTGCATCGTGCAGGCTGCGCTCTACTTCTGCGATGAATTGTTCTGCTCCACCGCGGAGGATCATCGTGCAGGTGCGTGCGGCAGAACAGTCTTCGAACAAGTTGAAACGTTCCCCGCCGATCTGTTTCTCTTCGAACTTGCCGCATGTACCCAGGTGCTGAGGGGCAATGTCCGACGTAGTGGACTGGACTGACCCGCCTACGGCTTGCACCACGCGCTTCATGTCGTCTGTGGGGACTCGCCCTGCGCAGAAGATGTTGCGGTCGGCAAAGTATTGGGTGGCGAGGTCGCCGATGGGGAGCTTGGAGAGGACCACCTGAGCGCCCGTTTTGACGATTGCCTCGAGCTTCGAGTAGATGATCTGCCATTCTGCGTCGACGATGGCTTGATACTCGGACACTTGGTTGATGCGCACCTCTGCGTTGTCCTTTTCTGCCTTGAGCTCTAGCTCGACGTTCAAGCAGAGCACCTTTGGGTTGGTGAAGCTCTTGGGCTGTTGCTCGAAGCCGGCATAGGCGAACGTCTTCTTGAATGCTACGCCGCGGACGAGGAGAGAGTCTTGCATTGCACCTCCGGGGACCTTTTTGACGCCGATGAGGGACTCGTCGAGATCGTTTGGGTCGAGGGTGGTTACGGCGTCGACTACCATGCGGGAGAAGAAGGGGCGTTGTGATACGATGAGCTTCGAGGACATGGATGTGCCGGCGCATTTGATGAGGAGGTCGCGGAATGCGCTGCGAGGTACGATGCGAAGAAGAAGGGGTCAGTACCGTTCCAGCGTTGTGACAGGAGGCATGAAGTTTCGCTTCTCGCCCGCACTTACGCTTCGTCGGATCGGTCGATGGATACAGCCAACTCCTGGATCCTTGCCGTAGCCAGCTGCGCCGCTTTCCTGTATCCCTTGATGATGGTATGTGGGCTGACTCCCTCTTCAATAAACGCCCTACACTCCTTGAGCATCTCTCCGGCCAACAAGACGACACTCGTAGTGCCATCCCCGACCTCTGCGTCCTGCGCTCGCGCGATATCGACGAGCGTCTTGGCTGCTGGATGGACAATCTCCAGCAGCTTCAGAATCGTAGCTCCGTCATTCGAGATGGTCGAGTCGCCGCGACCGTTGACAATCAACTTGTCCATTCCTCGTGGGCCCAGCGTCGAGGCCACGCATGAGACGATGGAGATGCAGGCTCCAATGTTAGAGAGGAGCTGTGGAGTGCCCTGCGATGTGTCCGTTCCCTCCTTGAGGACGATGACGGGTGCTCCGCCAAGCATGCCGCCAAGACGATTGGACATGATGGGCGGGGGAAAAGGGGGGGGATGAAGGATGATGGAAGGGAATCGAGGAAGCCAAAGTGTTGCTCACGGTCCGCCTCAACCCTCAACGCTCGACGCTCGACGCTCGACTTCCTTCGTCCGTCCTCGTCTCGCATCGCTCTGTCCGCCACGCGAAGCCCCTCGCCCCGTTCCGATCACGCGTCACGGCCCTCACAGCTACTTCATTCTCCCGCCTCACTTCTCACACCTTCACGCACGCATCGCTCGTCTTGAAGCCATTGGTATTTCGCAGTCACGAACTAGACGCACTCATAATCGTCCTCTGGATGTACGCCGCCAGCACCAAGATAAACAACGTCAACATAGCCGTGAGCAGCCATGGTCTCTCGAGCAGACTCTCCGTCGTCCCACCCATCTCTCCCTCCTCATCGGCCGTCAGGGGCATCCTCACCACCCGCAACGTATTGTCCGCACTCCCGCTTACCAGCCAGCCTCCATCGGGGCTGAAAGCGAGCGCCGTGGGAGGGAAGGAATGGGCGTCCAGTATTCTCATTACCGGGCGCAAGGTGCGAGCATTGATGACGCCTACACTCAGGTCGGAAGACCCGTATGCGAGGTAGCGACCGCAAGGGCTGATGGCGAACACTGTTGCTGGCTTCTCGGAGAGTTGGCGAGTCTCAAGGAGGTCCCAGGTTGAGAGGGACCAAGCGCTTAGGAAGGACTTGCGTTTCTTCGACTTACCGCCTGATGAGCGCTTGGCGTTTACCACTGTGAAGAGCTTGCCCTCCGAGCCCGATGAAGGCGTCGGTGCCGATGAACTCGCTACTGCATCGCTCTTCTTCTCGCTGATCTTGTCATCACCTTCCTTATCGCCCCCAGCAGCTGCTGCTGCTAGTCGGTCAGGCCTCCGCCTCGCCTTGCCAAATCGCACCGCTCTAAACTCGCATCCGCCCTCCCCTCCCAGCGCAGGATTCTGGATCGTCTGCCAAATAGGCGGGTGGCCCAAGCGTGAGGACGAGGCACCATTCACAGCCTGCTCTCCGTTCGTCTTCTCCTCGCCTTCGCTGTCGTCGCTTCCTGCCTTGGCCGGATTCGGGTACGTCCCCAGCACCTTCAACTTCCTGCCCGTACAGACGACAACTTGCGTCCCATCAGGTGAGAAGTCGCCATCCACTATCTCCTCGCCTTCAAAGTCCGTCGTGGCGTCGAAGGCGGGGCTGAGGGACGGGTAAGACTGGACTGCGTAGCTGCCCTCGGTGGAGGCGGTCAGGAGATGTTGGGCATCCGAGGAGAACAGGAGGCGGCGCACGTATCCTTCGGCAGGGTCTTTGAGAGGGAGAGAGGGAGAATTTGAGGAAGAATTGAGGGTGACGCTGCGAGCGCAGGGAGGCGGGAGGTGAGATGTCTGTCGGCCAATCGTATTTGTACTGCCCTCCTGCAAGCTCACCTGACCGTCCCCTTCTTGTCACCCGCCGCGCTTTCTGATCTCTCAAATCGAAAAATCCTCAAATGCTCATTTCCCTCCTTCTTCTTCTCGTCCGCCTCATTCACTCCCAACACCAGCGTATCTGAGCTCGTATCGACGGCCATAGCCATGGGCGCATCCTCGTCCGAGCTCAGCTTGATCTCTGCTGCGACAGCGACGTCTTCTGCTGATTTGGCTGAAGAGGGGACATGGATTGCGCGCTGTCCAAACCAAGGTCGTCGGTAGTCAGCGTGGCTACCTAGCATGTATGCTACTTTGACAGGGCCATCGTCAACTCACGATGAAATTTCCCACACCCGTCCTTCCCTTTCCCCCTCCTCCAGCGAACACGAGCACATCCTCTGCTAGCCAATCGAGACAGTATACTGGTAGCTTGGCTGCTAGTGGGAAGTGATGTGGGATGGTCATTGCAGCCAGCGAGAGCTGATGAGCGAGGGGTAAGGGAGGATGTCAAGATGCAAGGACCGTCTTGCTTGCTCGTTGGCTCGCAGTCAAGGCCAACCGGCGGACAGACGACGGAGCGCCGCGCCGCGTCTGCCTTCTTGATTGGATGTCGGACTGAGGTCCAGGTGCGCGCCTTGTTCAAGTGTTGGATTCATTGCCCCCCTCGAGTGCTCCAACTTCCTAAACAAACACTCCTTTTCCGCAGACAAGAGATGGCGATAGCCTCTGCTGGACCTTCGCGCCATTTCTTCGAGCCTCAGAAGGGTAGTGACAAGGATGCGCAGCCCGATCCTCTGATCGGGCTCCTCCCGCCTCCCGGCGCCGCCTCCGAATCCCCCATCCTCCAACGTCTTCGCCGCATCGAAGCACGAGCTGCTACCCTCTCCCCAAAGGAGACGCACGAGGGGCGAGCTATATGCGGTGATGATGAGCTGGCATGGCGGGATAGGTCACTGCTATGGAGTCGAGGTGGACAGGTAATGCGCAGCTTCACCTTTCAGCAGGACGTTGTGCAGGCTTGCTGGGCAAAGATGGGGCCGAGCGGCAGACGACAACGTAATCGACGACGCAGTCATGGTAGCGATAGCGAGGGCGAGCATCGCTCATCGTTCAGCGCGGCTCAGCGCCGTATGCGAGCTTCGTGGGTAGGAGGCAACGAGTCTGCGAATCCGGCCTCTTCATCCTCGTCTTCTACCCCCTCCAACTCTCGCCAACTCGTCGTAATCCTCTCGGACTCTTTCTGGATCTACTACCCCAGCTCAGGTCACGAGTACACAACGGCGAAGAACTTCAAGCTCGCTCATGCCTGGCCAGCTACAAGCGGGGTATTTCTGCAAAGAAGTCTCGAGGCAGAGGATCATAGGCCCGCTCAATCCTCCCACGCCTTCGATGCGGCGCCACAGCTCCCGACGCTCTTTTTCCTTGGAGATCACTTGGACGAAGTCACGCCTGTCATGCTGTCTGGCTCTCTGCCGGCTTTCACCGAAGACGTGCGAGAGACAATCGTGTTCGTGCACGATGAGGGACATATGCGCATTCTCGTGACGGTCAGACCGGAGGCGGGGGAGATCAGATTGTATGCCTACAGTATTGGCGCGCCATGCCCATCGGCAGCGTTGCAACCTCCTCAGCAAGCGCACCACTCAGCCTCAATGACCCGCAGCGAGTCTGCCCCCTCTGTGCCTCCAAAGCTAGGCAAGGGTCGACCATCAATGCCCCGTCGTTCCTCCCGCCTCTCCAGCACAACGGTTGCCACGCTTAAGAGCGGGTCCGGTCCCTCCGCTCCTCCAATGACACGTCGTCGCAGCTCTCGCTATCCGTCCACCGACTTTGGCACTGGTAACATGTCCCGCATCGAGGAGACGACCTTCAACCGCAGCGTAGCCGCTGGCATCAGTGCCGCAGGCCCATCCACTTCCTCCGCGGCGGCGGTGGTTCACGCCAGCTCTGCAGCAGCAGCAGCAGCCGCGTCCAATGTGGCGTCGATGACCACTCTCGAGCAGCAGGAGGATGCAGTCGAGGCGGAGGAGATGGGTCAGATGGTCGAGGGGCTGGCGCGCGGCAAAAGAAGCATGAATGCTCAGGGAGACGACTCTATCGTGCGCCGGCAGTCCATCAGTAACGCGAATACATCAAGACATCACCGTCGAGTCAGTCAGATGGGACGCAGCGGGACGCATCCGTATACCACCCCGCGTAACATCAGCGCTAGGCACTCGACGGGGCGAAGGCGCCGGTCTGGGGAGGGGGTGGATCTCGACCTTGACCCTGTGTCGATGTCAGTCAGGGACGGTACATTCGCTGCAGGAGAGGAGGACTTCTCGCAACGCATGGGTGAGGATCAGGCAACGGCAGCCAGGCTCGTGGATCACGCCCTGGGCGAGCATAGCAAGCGGGCGACCCTCCAGCTCATCGACGTCGTACGAGTGGAACCATGGACGGCGGAAGAGGGCAATCAAATCAGCGTCTTTGTCAATGAGGATGGACAAGTGCTCCACGTCTACTTTCACGCGCAGGGACGGCTTCATTTCCGTACCATGCGCTTTGCATACGCAGGCAAGGACAAAGCTACTCCTCCCCCGCAGGTGGTCGCGCAAGGCTGTGTGGAAGCTCAAGGAGCGGCTGCAGTTGAGGTTGAAGCAGGACGCAGACAAGTTGTATTGCTCAACGAGAAGGGTCAGCTACATCTTTGCCTTGAAGACGATCCCAGCGGGGCAACACTTGCCCTTCGTCTCGATGAAACAAGCCAGGGCTCGTGGCTTCTGACGCCAACTACGCAACACACCAACCATGGCCCTTCACCCAGCTCCATGGCCTGCGACGACGGCCGAGCGCTCGCCCTCACAATCGCCTCGAGCAGTAACACAATCGTTCCGCGCTTAAATTTCGCCTTCTCTCCGCGAGAACCTACGCTATGCCGACTTCTCAGCTCGTCCGAAGTCAGCACGACTGCTGGAGCGCAATTGCGGCGCAACTGGATCTTGGCACATGGCGATTCGGTGTCAGAGTGGAAGGCGCTGTGGATCGCTCTAGGCGGCAGCGCGTCGGAGCAGAAGGGCTTGGACGAAGACGACGAGATGATGGCTCAAATTGATTCATTCGGCCTCTTGCCGCCAGCACCTACCAGAACAGGGCCGGCGACGCTCTATCTGGATTCGTCTCTGCGCGCAGAGTCGCTGCGACTCCTCTCAATTCTCGACGCTGTTGCTCAGGACTGCAGGCTGGACGTCACATCGAAGGACGTCCCACGGCTCGCAGAGATCATCGTACAGCTAGCTGCCGCGTGCGGTGCGCGTCACTACGCCGACTACTGGTCGCTTTTGGTGCCAGCTGCCAGCACGAGCGCTTCTTCACAGCTTGGGGACGTCAGCTCGTATCCTTCGGACATTTTCCACCTCCTCGAGCGCTCTGTACGCGGCGAGTCGCATCTCGAATTGCTCAACATGAGCGAGAGCCAAGTATCAACCGTGATGCCCAACTTCTCGCGCATTCTACGCGTCCTGAAGGCCTACAAGGCGCCCATTACCACCCGAAGTCGCCCACTCGGCTCAGACGAAGAGGTCCCCGACTCTCTCATCCGCAGCTTCGCAGTCGCCAACGCAATGGTACGCGAAAGTCTCACTCCTTCGCAAATGGATCGCCTCCCCTGGTCACTCTGGTTGCCGCTCCGACTCACGCTGCTACGTTGCGCCTCCAATCCCGTCGCCTCCATTTCCGCACCGCTCTGCCGCCTCCTCGAGCGATTCGACCTCGTTCCGCAGCATCGCGAGACGGCAATCCGCTACAACGCTCCCGAGTCGCTCCGCTCCCTACCTACGTCCGGCCCTCGTCGCCTCGACCCTCTCTCGGCCATGCTGTTCAACAAAGACTACCGCCTAGTGGACGTGAGCGAGATGCTCGAGACGCATCGCGTCGCGTACGTCGCGGCTCCCGCAGCGCAGGACAAGAGCGATGAGGAGCTGCGCGAGTTGGGCCTCAGCCTCGCCCACAATGTTGCCGAGCGCACAAAAGCTTCCTCAGTGGGACGCGGCATGTTCTTCTTCCTCACTCGCCCTTTCCAGCCTACCCTGCGATGGACCACCCCACCCCTCAATAGACGTATCCTTCTTCGTCCCGCCCAACCGTACCACTTTCCCGAGCCTCGCGCGGAAAGTGTCGAGCTGGACTGGCCCGAGTTTCACAACGGGGCCGCTTCTGCGCTTGAGATGGTCGTGCAGGGCAAGGAGAAGGTGGACTCGATTTGGTACTTTTCTCAGGGCCAGGGGGAGCGCAATGCGCGACATGCGGGGCTACTGCTCGGGCTTGGACTCGCCGGACACTTTGAGACTATAGGACAGGTGCACACGTACCGCTACCTCGGAGACAGGCACGGCCTTACATCGATTGGCCTACTGCTCGGCCTGTCCGCCACCTTCGCTGGTCGAGGCGACCCGGACGTCCGCTCCCTACTCGCCTGTCATGTCAAGGCTTTCCTCCCCGAGCATTCTGCAAACCTCGCTCACTCCACCCTCGTCCAAGCTGCGGCACTGCTGGGCACCGGACTACTATTCATGGGCGCCGACGTTTCGCACATTGCCGAGGCTCTCTGTGACCAGATTGGCGCGCAGGAAATCGAGACGACAGACCCAACGATGCTGAGCCGCGCCGCCTACTCGCTCTCTGCTGCGCTGGGAGCAGGGTTGGTGATGCTCGGTCGAGCAAGGAGAGTCGAGGCGCTGACCGTGCGGGATAAGAAGCTCTGCCGTAAGCTCGAGCGATATATGGTGGGTGCAGGGAGGGATGCGCTTGAAGAGGAGGAAGTGAGCGATTTGCATTGGCGCGTGGATGAGCGCATCACGTCTTCGACTGCTGCTGTGGCGTACGCGCTCTTCTTCCTCAAGAGCAACCAGGGCGATGCAGCCCGCGCTATACCCATGCCGAAGGATTTGGTGGAGCTCGATGCGTTGCGCCCGGACATCCTGCTCGTCCACTCGGTGGCCCGCAATTTGATCATGTGGGAGGCTGTGCAGCCTACAACCGACTGGCTGGACGGTGTTCTGCCTACCTTTTTACGCAACGACGCCAAACTCGGCGCCCACGCTACGCAAGTCAAGGTGAACCTGATCGCCGGCGCTTGCCTCGCGCTCAGCTTCAAGTACGCAGGATCGGCAAGCACAGACGCCAAGCGCCTTCTTTTATCTGTGTACCACGACCTCGAGGGACGTGCGAATAAGACCAGCCAAGTCAGCTACGACGGTCGTATCCTCCACTCGACTCTGCGCTCCTCTTCCGACCTCATCGCGCTTGCGCTATCCATTATTCTCGCCGGGACTGGTGACCTGGACCTACTCAAGATCCTCCGGCCCGCCCACGCCCGTATTCCCAGCTCAGAACCCTACGGCAGCCATATGGCTGTGCACATGGCTCTTGGCCTGCTCTTCCTCGGCGGTGGGCGCCTCACGCTCGGCACATCGGACGCGGCCGTTGCGGCTATGCTCATCGCCTTCTATCCGCGCTTCCCAACGAAGGCAACGGACAATCGCTCCCATCTACAGGCCTACCGCCACCTCTGGGTGCTGGCGGTGGAGCCGAGACTGGTCGTCACGCAAGATGTCGCGTCGGGCGAGATGGCTGCCGTGCCTGTCCGTGTGAGAGGGCAGGAGCCTGTCATGACGCCCTTCCAGCTGCCCGATCTCGGCAAGAGCGCTAAGTTGGAGCTCGACTCGGATCGATACGAGAACACGGCCCTCGAGTCTGCGAGCCAGGCGACTCGCCAGCGGCTGCTACTCAAGCACAAGGAGGGCTATTTGGATTACTCGCGCGATCCGATGGGGCATCGGACTGCTATGGCGAGGGAGCTGGCCGCGGAGAGGGGTAATGTGGGGCCAGAAAGTAGCGGCGTGTTGGCGGCGAGTGGTGAAGGTGAGGACGCGACGATGTCGGCACACCTGCGCCTCCTGGCTGCTCACACGAGTGGCGACGACAGAGTAGCCTCGGCGCTGCGCGAAAGCATCGACCGTAATGCGTCGCAGCTGCTGCCATTCGCGATCGCAAAGGGTCAGCTCGTGGACGGAGGGGATGCACGAGACTGGGCTTGGACTCCGCGCTTCCTTGCGCTGCTTGGTCTGCCCACTGAGCCTGGCTTGGAGGCGGCGCTCGCTTCTTTGCGTAAAGGAGCGCGCGAAAAACTGAACAGCGAGGAGATGCGCAGCGCCATCCTCAGAGTCATCAGAGGCGAGACGGTCATGGGGGCGTGCAATGGGGACACGAAGACGATCGAACGCTTGGCCGACTCGCTTTCAGCTCTTGCTCCCCGTAACACCGTAGACGAGCTCGTCCGGCTGCGCGGCATGATGAAGACGATGCTGTCCGAGCTGACAGCTGCGGAGCCAGACGCTGCAGGAGACGAAAGCGTCATTGACGCACTGGTGGACGTCGGACGAGCGGCTACGGGTGGAGACGTCGACGAGCAGCTGCTCAGGGCGATGGCAATGGCGGAGCTTTGAGCGGCGGCGCAGGGCGTCTTAGGCGAATATATCCAGGAGGAGATTGAACCGTCGGGGAGCATACTCTCTCCGTCCTCGCAATGCAATGACGGTGCAGCCTGGCTACGGCGCGCCTGGTCCTGTCTGCGCGAGCGCCATTGCGCCTTTGAAAAGTTACGAGACTCTGTCCTGGAATCAGTCATTGGCTGTGACCAACAAGCGTGAACATGGAGGCAGTATCAACCGATGCTTGGATTTATAGCTCTTCACGGGGTAAAGAGCAAAGCACTTCTCTCGACGGCGGGCGTCGGCAAATCTGTTGTCGAGACTGCTTTTGCCCATCGCCGCCAACTCGGCGCACGGGACCATCCTCGGAGTCGCAGCATGGATTCGCAGCATCCGCGTCCTTTCTCTCTTCTTCTCACCTCGATCCAGCTTGTACCAATCCCACGTCGCGCTGGACCCTCTCTTGGCACCTATCATCACGCCTCAGTCGAAGCAGCGCTTGCCGCAACGTCAAGCAGCAGCGTCTTGCGGCTGCTTCGATCACCCAAGCCCCCAGCGATGATGCCCAGCGTCTCTCATTGGGTCTCTATGGAACGTGGTACTATGTGTGTATGTGGATATCGATGTGACTCTATCAACCTCTGCCGGCCGGAGCGAGAGGGCGTCGCCGCCTCGCCAGCTACTCCCGCTCGACGGCCCTGCCTCCTCGCCCTCGCCCGCAGCCTTCCCTTTGCCCTTCACTCCAGCCTTGCTGCCCCCAACGGCCTTGCTGCTCCCCTCGGCCTTGCTCGCCCCTCCCACACTGCCGCTTGCCTCTGCCGCCGCAAGCTGCTTCTCAAACTCCCGGACCGCCTCGACAACCCTGGGCGTGACAACTCCCTTGCCATCGACCCATTCCTCCTTCACTCGGTCTCACCATTGGAACTTCTCCTTGCGTGGAACGACCCTGGCCCGCACTGTCGCTCCCTCGCCCTCTTGCTGGGGGAGCCAAGCAGGCGTCGACACAGAAGGAATTCCCATGATATTCTTGAACTTGCTGGATGAAGCCAACATCTTGTATTCGCCCTTTATAAGCAGATCGTATTGATCTTGCTTACTCAGGTTGCGCTCCTTGACCGAGTGTCTTGCTGGCGGAGGCTTCTTGGCCAGGAAGAAGGCGTCGTCGATCAGGGTTCGCAGGCCCTTTACGTCGATCTTGTCCATCTCGGTCCAAGAAGATGGTGATGCGACCTCCTGCTGTCGAACGATGGAATAGAACAGCTCGTTCCGTTCCAAGTCCAACGCCAGCACCACATCGACTGCGTCCTCCTGGCAGGATCCAGGACCTTTTTTGGGCGCGGCCACGGTGAACGAGCTCGTCCCGCTTCCAGGCTGGAAGGTCTGCACGTGCCAGCCCTTCTTTTCGCCCTCGATGTACGCGGTCCTCCTGAGCGTGCAAGTAAGCAGGTTTACTGCCTGCAGGTATTGCTCGCTCGACCACGAAGCGGGCCGATCCCTGAGGTCGGTCGGGACGGTCACATCGAGACCGGGCGGCGGGAGGAGGGACGAGGCTTTGCCCATGTGATCGCGCAGGAGGCCAATGAAGCGGCTGGTGACGTGAGGGACCATTTTAAGCGGTGGCAGCGTAGGATCGCGCGGCGACCGGCTACCTCGACGACTATGTCCCAGCGCGAGAGAAAGAGGGCGTCCTCAATCGAACCCATGAGCGGGAGGGCGTGCTGCTTCTCACGGGGTGACACCCTGACCAGCGCAAGGCTCTTGACGGGAAGGTTGTTGACGTCGAGGTCCTTCCAAACCGCTTGAGGGAGCTCGATCCGGTTGTGCGCTCCATCGTCGAGCAGGAGGCGAGGAAAGAGGAGCATAGCGTGGCGGGTGGGAGGCGCGTTTGGCCCCGCCGTGTTGACGTCCCGCCAAAGAGTGAAATACACCCCCTCGCGGCCAATGACCTCGAGGATGGCCGCCCGCTCTGCCGCTGTAGAGACTTTGGAGGGGTCTGCAAGATTTCCCAGAGTGATGCCCGTAGTGAAGCAGCTGGTTGAGTTGAGACCGACGCTGCCGGGAAGGGGAGGGCCAAGGGCGGCGACGTTGGCGGCGGCGAACGTGGCGACGAGGCGGAAGGCGTGTCGATGGATCGACAGGAGCGCCTCACAAGTGATCAGGAGCGCGTTGAGGATGACTTTGTCTGGGACCGCCGGTTTGGCGCCGAGCTCCTTCTGCAAAGCTGGCCACTGCTTCCTAATGAAGACATCAGTGGCGGCGGGGTCCCTTGACTTGCACAGCGCCTACCTTCCTTGTGTTCAGGGCGATGCTGTGAGCGAGACAAACAAGGCATTTTTACCTCCTTGCATCGCGTGCGTGCTGCAGCGACCTGACCCGGCTGTGGAGCGTGATGCGGATGTCGAAGTCGCTCGTGCCAGCTTTTGGGCGAGCAGGATATGTCAGCCTGGAGCGTGGTCATGTTCACGAGCTTTCGTCATCTCCTCACCCGGCACGAAGCAGCCGCTCGGGCGATCATTAAGAGGGAGCTTGCTGAGGTGTATGTATGCCATGGGATCGTGTGTGTCCTCCCTGGCGGTATAGGTGATGTCTTGAAGATCATGGAGTGAATGCAGTTTGCTATCTTGATTGACGAGCTGAGTGAACAGTATCTTGAAAGCTGGAGAGGAGAGCAACGCAAGAATGAAGGGCATGACCTCGAACCCGTGCGACGGCATGCTGAGACCAGCAGCGACGGCTGTGTCCAGCTGCTATGCGAAGCTCGATGCCATCCCTTGGTGTACGCCGGATCGCGGGATCTTGATGAAGTAGATCTCTTCTTCGGCCGTTTCTGTGTCGCGCAAGGTAGCAGAGTGCCACTCGCTTTAGCGTCAATGGCAAGCAGCTTGAGTCCGCAGCTCAGCACTCACCTTCTTGGTGTCAAGATCTATCTCGACTTTGAAGTAGCCGTCTCCAATGACCGTATCATTGCTTCCTCCTAACGATGCTCTCTCATCGTAGGTGCAATGGTTCGATCAACTGCGAGCGAGTAACGGCGATACTGAGGCCAACGTGGAGCCAATGCCTTCTCCGCCTCGCGCGCAGTCCAGCTGGAAAGACGCAGCTGCGTGCGCGAGCGAGCGATTGAGCGACCTCTCGCTCAATGGACATTCGCAAGGCTGGCCTGTTAGGGTGAGGCGAAGGCTGGCATTGCGAGGGTTGCGCTGCTCGACCTAAAGTGATGAAGCTGACGTGACATCTTGTTTGGTGAGGACGCGTCGCGTACTTTGTGAGTCGCACGAACAGAGCAGAGGATGTACTGTGTCAGTAGCAAGCCTCTTCCTCACTGCCTGCCCAGCATCACTTACCCGTGCCTTCCTTGAGAGGTGTTGTCCGTCCTGAGGTGATCCGCTGCTTGGCGAAGGTGTGATGGACATCTCGCCTGCACGGTTCATGAGAGCAGCAACGAGCGCTGGTGAAGGTACCGGAGCCGTGGCTGAGGAGCTGAGCAAGAGCATATAGAATCGATGGTTCGACTTTGAGTAGACTTGCCCTTGGTTTCGCGGGGTTGGGCCTTGTGGTGGCCGCTCTGATTCGACGAGTGGAAGGACGACGATATCTGCAGGGTGCAGTAGAGCCGCGGGAGTCAGTGCAGGCTCGTTACTCGTCATCGAGTGGATGCACCTCACCTTGTGCTTCGAGATTATCCATTCCCACCCTGCTGAGCACTCCCTCCAAGCATCGCTGACTCGACTGCCTGCCTTTCCTTTGTCTACATCACAAGTTCAAGGCAAGCTGCGGGACTACCACGCTCGCCGTGGTGACGGGGTGCACTCGGGGGTGAGAGTGGTACCGGAGGAAGGAAGAGACAGGCCGGTAGCCAAGCAGCGAGGGAGGTGATGATTGGATGGAGCGTTTGGCCAACCTCATCTCGCTCTTCGGGTGTTGGTTCAGCCGCACGCTCAGCCCACTCGCGCTGGCCCCGCACTTTGACCCTGACGGCGCTCCTCCGCCTCCGGTTGCCGCTCCCGCTCGAGCTCGAGGTGCACGAGCCAGGCAATGTTCAATTCTTTTCGACCTCAAAGCCTTCAATCACGCGTGCGCTCTACGACAGCCATCGTATTGCATCAGTACAAAAAGATACCGTGCGGATGAGGTGCGCGCGACGCTACCTTGCTTCGAGCCTTGTCCAGGCGAGCAATGAGCGCTGTCTCATTTCTCCAATGTCTCGATTCCCCACGTCGCTCACTGCCTGACAAAAGCCTGCTTGTGCTCTTTCTTCAGAGTCGAGGTGTGTAGCTTCTCGCCCGAGTCAGAGCGATAGAAGTTGATGATGAGCTCCTTGGCGCTTTTGAAGGTGAATGAAGCGTAGGAGAAGGAGGTGTCGTATGCGAATGCATTATAAGACTGCTTCTCTCCCACTCTCGTCAGACCCTCGATATTGCCGGTCCCGCCAGATACAACATACATGGGCGCCTTTGGGTTGTTGAGGCCTGCGGGGTCGGCGGTGTTGTTGTAAACGCCTCCAGCAGTTGCTTGCGAGTTGTGCACATGTCCGAAGACAGCGACGTCGACTCCGTACTTGTAGAGGGTAGGCTCGAAGGCCTTGCGGCAGGGCTCGCAGTTCTGCTTCGAGCCGCCCGTCGAGTACCAGGGGCGATGGCCGGCCACGACGACCCAAGGCGTGACTGTGCGGTCAACGCTACTGAGGTCGGCATCGAGCCACTCAAGCTGCTGACCCATAGCTCCGATCGGACCACCGTTGAGGTTGGTGCCAGGGCCATCAGGGGCCGATGGGAAGTCAGTCTCGGTGTTGATCATGGCGACATGGAGGGAACCGTAGTCGAAGCTATACCAGAAGGGTGGCTCGGCGAGCGTCTTGGCCTTGTTGGCTGCCTGTTGAGCGCTGTTGTTCTTGGAGACAGAGCCGTAGCCGTGGGGCATCGTCTTGCCAAATCGGTTCATGAAGTCGCTGAAATTGCGCTGGCCGGCCGGGCAGAGCTGCGTTTGCCCGGGCACTTCAGAACAGTCGACTCTACGGGCCCAACAAGGGAGCTCTGGTCAGCGGTGGCTTCCACGAGCGTAGTGTACATTTCGTGAATACTTGCTCATGATTCCCAGGGCTGGCTTGATATCCCTTGCGACGTGCAATGGGCGAAAGCTGCTCGTAGAACTGCTCGAGGATGGCTTGGTAGGCCGCGCTGCCGTCACCCAGGTTCTTTGGCTTCTCATACCCTGCGGCGAGGGCGAGATGGAGGTCAAGGAGAGGTGTGAAAAGTCAGTGGATGTTTCTATCACGAGCTACGCCCCTTCTACTTACAGTCGTCGGCGTAGGCAAAGTCACTACGGTGGGTGAAAGATGGCTAGTCAGCCTGACGCGTGCCTGACGCGTACTGCGGCCACTTCCGTGCCCTACTCACCCGGGGTGCAAAATGAGCTCATAGTCGTCAATGGTCTTGGCGAGAGCTCCGATCGTGGTGTGATTGAGAGCGGGCTGGATCTTCGGGATCTCATCCCTCTTGCTCTTGTCATCGTGAGGCAGCGTGTAGCCATCCTCGCCGTACACACCCAAGTCAATGATCGTGTTGAGCGTAAACGGCGTCTTGTCACCGGCAACGCGGCCACTCTGGAAGAAGTCAGTCGAGCTGTTGGTGCTGCGAATCTTGTAGAAGTACTTGGTGGCAGGCTTGAGGTTGTTGAGAATGACAGAGTTTGACCACGTTCTGGAGGTAGGGTAGGTGATGGACGAGTCCGAGCAGGACGACATGGTGAGCTTGCCAGGCGAAAGGCCGTAGTCAACGCATGGCTGAGACTGCTTCTCGTACGTATTCCAGCCCACGGACATGGCTGCGAGAGTGCGCGTGAAGCGCGAGAGGTCAGCGCAGGATAGCAGAATAAGGGACCCCGCGTCTGCTCACCTCGAGGGCCATAGAGGGCGATACGCTGCTGGACAGGCGTCGTCTTGTCCTTCGGGATCGGAGGATAGCTAGCTGCGGCCCATGTCTGGCCGATCAGACAGCAGAGGAGGGCAAGAAGGAGGGGAGCGGCACGCATCATGGCGATTGAGTACGGGGAGTGGTGAAGAGGAAAGAAGGCTTACCGGCCGCGATTCCTTCTTATAACATCTCGTTACTGCTGCTGCCTCTCACGAGCATCGACGAGAGTGCGTGCGGGCATCAAAGCGAATGTGTGAAGCTCGATGATTTGCAATAGCTCGCTGCTCGTGGGTCGAATGGGGAGACGTCAAGAGTGAACGTGTTCGCCGCTTTGCCCCGACCTCGCTTGCATTTTCGTGGGCCACCAATCTCTGCACCGTCGGCATCACCGTGTGTGAGTGCGCCGTGCGCCGACCGAGCTTTGCTGCACGATGCCTCTAATTTCTCAGACTGCGACTCAGCGAGCAGATGCCGTGAGTGGACCTCGGATGGCAGGCAGGTGCTGTAAGTGACGCGCAGAAAGGCCGCGGGGCGCGTCAGGGTCCAGTCTGACAACGACGCGTCCTGTGGATACGGGAGCAAAATCGCCATGTGACGTTGGGTCGAGCAACTGAGACACCGGCCGACTCGACGCGTCCCGCAGAACGGAGCTTATGAGGGGCCAGCCAGCATGGTAGCAAGCTCAATGGCGGCGGTGACGGCGCGACGTCGGCGTGAGGGCGTGGGAGTTGGCGTGGCAGCGTGCGAACCATGACGCTGCTGTATGGTAGGTATTGGTCTCGCGCAAAGCACAAGGCCACTGCGATCCCTCAGCACTTTGTGTCACACGACACTCACACTCCTGTTCCTGTCTCACAAGTCGTGGCATTGTTTCACAGCGCAAGCAGCCTGCGAACGTTAACGGGCCTCTACACCCTCTCCCCTTGACGATACGGGCCTCCCTGCGGCACCAGTCCCTCGACCATTACGACGACCTGGCACAGAACGTCACGTGCTTTAGCCTTCTCTCTTGCAGCCCCAAGTCCGACCCTTTCCTCGCCGCACGACGTGCTCAATGGCACAAGAGCAGAGCTCGCGAGCAATTGGCTTCGAGCGTCGACGGCCTCGAGCCTCGAAGGGTATATAAACCCCCCCGCCCGGCGCCCACTTCTCATCTTTTTTCCCCTTTCTTCACCAGAATCTGCCTCGTTTCGTTCACGTACTCGCTTACGTGATCACCATCTCTCGCGCGCACAGCACAGTAAAGACATTGTCAAGACGCACTATCAAGCGCGCATCCCTGAAAACACAAACTTACCTGAAAACATCATGAGCTCAATCGCATCCACGACTCCTCCCAGCTCTCCGCCTGCTATCGTGCGCCGTTCTTCCCTCTGCACAGCTCCTTCCTCCAAGAAGAGGTCGCTCTTTTCGAAGATCGCCCCTTCAAAGAAGATGGATCCCTCTACGCCCACCCTGATCCGCAATGCAATTCTCCAGTCGCGCCGTCAAGTAGTCGCTGCTGCCTCTGCCGCTGTTCTTTCCTCGCTGGCCGAGAGGGAGAAGCGCGAGGTGGCCGACCTCGTCCGCGACACTGTCGTCACTCCCCTACCTACCATCATTGTCACTCCTCCCACGCCCGTCAAGCTTGCGCCCGCGGCTCGCCATGACCTGTCCACCACCCCTCGTACGCAAGAGAAGGACGCCGGGACTGCCTACACCGAGTACGAGGAGGCTTCGCCTTTCCTAGACTCGGCGCAGGACTACCCCGTCTCCGTCTCTCGCAACGGCTACTCCGTCTACTCCTTCTATGCCAACACGTCCGCCGAGCGAAGTGGGCGTCGTCGCTTCGGCAGTGCGCATCCCCTTCTCAAGGTGGCGATTGGCAAGAAGAGGCCAAGCGACGTAGCCAAGCTCGCTCTTCCCTCGCTCCCTACCCTGTTCGTCACCAAGCCCACCCCGGCCGTCACCCTCTCTCCGAGTCTCGCCACGGCGGAGGAAGCCCCATGTACGCCAGCCAACGAGGACCTCGGTGGTGCACAGCAGCCTCGCGTTGTCAGACTGTGCGAATCGTCGTCGACCTTTGAAGCCATAGTGCCCAGGCTCCCTTCATCGTGGCAAGAGTACGACAGCAGCGTGGCGGTCGAGCAAGGTGAGGTAGTCGAGCAGGTCTGGGCTGAGAAGAAGGGCGACTGCGAGGATGAGCGCATCGTAGAGGTTGAGGACGTCGTGGTAGAGGTCGTCGCACCTGCTGGTCAGAGCGGCGACACCATCTATCGCGACATCTACAGCTTCGACGAGAGCGAACTCTGTGGTGGATACGCGGATGAGGCGCAATGGTATGGTGGCCAGGATGACGAGGCCTTGGAGATGGTCGATGAGGATGAGAGTAGCATCGGCGATGCGACCGAGGGGGAGATTCTCCCCTTTGGCAACATCCTCGATCTACTTCTTCCCACGACAGTCTCGACGTTTCAGGCCTCTGTCGCCGTACTCGCCACGTCTGACCCTACCCCCACTGCTCCCATCGCCGCTGCGTGCTCGAGCTTCGACCTCCCTTTTCGCGCCCGCTGGCTCGGGCCGTGCAAGGTGAGGGCAGAGCACACGACGCGCAGCAGCGGTGAGAAGCAGGTCGGAAGGAAGACGATGACGACTGCGCAGCGACATGAAAGGTGGACTCAGCTTGGAATCAACCCTAAGCAGAGGCTCTTTTCGGTCTACGAGGGCGGCAGCGAGAAGGACGCGTAAGAGAGGAGAAGCAAGGTGAGTAGGTCGCGATTGAGCAGATGGAGAGAGTTGGGAGGACGTGCGTGGAAGGAAAGGCGGAAGACGCGACAGTAGGATGGAAACGATGGGTGTTGTTGGCGTCAAGATCGAAGTTGAGCGAGGGGAGGACTATCAGCGCTGGTCGTTGAAGTCCAGGAGGGGCAGAGACGAGCTAGTCCACTCGCCCACGCGCCAAGTGCGCATAATCTTTTCCAAAACCGTCATGGAGGCGCTGGCCACCGTATACGATAATCAAGGGCCTCATGCTCCCTGCGAATCGAGAAGAGCGAGAAGCAAGGGTGGAGCGAATGTATCACTGTATTATAGACGTCATTCGTTGACTCCAGGAAATATAAGCAGCCGGAGCAGAGCAAACGACGCAATTTCAGTAGAGCGAGCAGCGTGCATAGGGTGGCAACGCATAGAGAGCAATCGCTTGACCGTAGCTCTCAATTGCACGCCGCGTGGCAGCCAGTCCGCCCTGTCTGCGAGACCAACATGCGCTCTCCGTCCGCTCGAGTTGCTCGCTCGCTCGATTGATTGCCTTTCCTGCATCCCGCACAGCCCCCTTCTTCAGCATCTCCGCAGTCACCACCTTCATCTTGATCAGCATCAGCATCATCATCGACTCGGCATTGCGTCCTCCACCGCACTCCAGCATCTGTACCGCGTTCATACAGTCAGCCTCTGCCGCCAGCCAGCTCGCCCTTCCCTCCCTCACATGCATGCAAGGCACCGAAGCCTGCCTCATCCACAGAGAATTGTACAGGGTCACTCGGGGAGCGAAGCTCATCTACAGCTTGATCAAGCAGCATGAACGCGCAGCTCGACGCCTCCGCCACCCCATCCTCGTCCGGCTCGACGTCGCGTTCTCTCTCCTCGGCTCAGATGATCACCGTCCCCTCCTCCTCCTCCTCCTCCTCACCCACAATCCCGATCATCCGCCCTCCCCCCTCCCCATCCACACATCGTCGCCAACGCAGCGGAAGCGCAGTCTCTGCCTCTTCCTCAACCAGTGGCTCGGCCCGACCAGGGCAACAGCGTCGGATCAGCTCGTCCGGCCATGTCCCGCGGCGAAGTATCGCTCATGGCCCTGCAGCGCTAGGCATACACGATGGCAACTCGTTGCTCTTTGATGCGGACGAGACGGGAGCGGCTGGTCAGTGGGACGATGTGAATCTGGATACGGTGGACGATGCTGCTGCTGCTGCTGCTGCGAAGGGGTCGAGGAGAAGGGGTGGATCCCTCTTCCGTGGTTGGAGTGGGTTGGGAAAGGGGAGGGCGACGTCGATTGAGGAGAGGCGGGAGGATGAAGAAGAAGAGGAGGAGAGTATTGGGATGAAGCAGTATGAACCGACAAGCTCTGCATCGCTGCCGCCACCTCCAGCCTCAGCGGCTCGCAGCAGCGAGGCTGAGGAAAGCGCGGCTGCTGGTAGGAGATACTCACAGGCGCAGCCGTGGAGCAATGACGAGGAGGATGACGAGCGACTTCTCTTTGCTCAAACAGGCGCAGGCGAGGATGATGCCCAGCCTCTTTCCAACGGCCACTCCTTATCGGCTCACAAGCCCACTCTGCCCTCCTCGCACATCTACGAAGACTACGGCTCGGACGAGGACGAGGGTGACGAGGAGGATGCTCTGCGACATGGAGGTGGGGGTCGCAGCGCGCAAGGCAAGCTGCGCTTCGAGGCTTTGACTCGCGCCGAGAAAATGAGCTACGCAGCTACCACCGTCGTTGTGCTTGGGCTGAGCATCGTGGCGATCGCCATTGGAGTGGACTGGATCGATTGGCCGGGGGATGGGATTGGCAAGGACTGAACGATGAAGCAATGTCATACGGCACTCTGGCAGGAGGCATCTGCATTGTACAAATTATCACGTCTTGAGCAGTGAAGGGAGGTCAAGAGTTCATGCGCCTCGCGCCTCGTACACGCCTCACAAGGGTCTCTGCTTCTCCACCAACTCGATACTCTGCACAACGTCCCCCTCCTTGAAGCCCGCAAACCCTCCCTCAAACGCCATCCCGCACTCGGTACCCTTGCGCATCTCGCTCACCTCCTTCTTGACGTGACGCAGCGAGTCCATCTTGCCCTGCCAAACGACCTTGCGCCCCCCGGTGTCTGCATCGTCCTGCTCATCGTCATCCGCCGTATTGTGGCCGCGAGTACGCAGAATCCGCACGAGGCGATTACGCTCCACGACGCCGTTTGTAACTCGACATCCTGCAACGGCTGCTAGACTTCCCGCTCCCTTGGCGTTGATTTGGAAGGTCTGAGCAATCGTCGCTTCACCCACAACTCTCGCCTCGACGATGGGCGGCAGCAAGCTCGCAAGACTCTTGCGCGCATACTCGATGACTTCGTAGATGATCGAGCTGGAGAAGATGGGCACATTGTGGTGTGCCGCCTGCTGCTGAAGAGAACGGGATCCCGAGCCGACGTTGAAGGCGAGGATGTGAGCCGAGGCTGTACGGGCGAGGGAAAGGTCTGAGTCGCTGACGTCGCCTACGGAGGAGTGGATGACACGAAGTGCCGCATCGTGGGAAGTGGTGATGCCGCTCAGAGCGCCTACGAGGGCTTCGCCTGTGCCGGAGAAGTCAGACTTGATGATGAGGCGCAGCTCCTTTGTCGACGATGGATGAGCCTCTCCGTCGCCTTCTGCTCCCGCCGCCGCCGCGTCGCCGTGCTCTCGTGCGATGTGAGTAGCAGCCACCTGCTCGGCCTGCTCCACGCTCTTTCCCTCGCTCAACGCCAGGCGATACACCCTCTGCTTCTCGCGCTCCACGAATTCACGCTGTTGCTCGCGTGTGACCTCCTCGCTCTTGATTCTGCGCTGCTCGTTGACCGCTTCGGCCTCTTTGATCATCCTCTTCCCCTCTGCATCGCGCTTGCGGTTGTCCAGCGCACGCTTCACCTCGTCCTCCTTGCGTGCGCTGAGCACCTCGTCGCCTGCCGAGGGCAACTCCTTCCAGCCGGTGACCAATACTGCTTCTCCTGGCTTGGCTTCGCGGACGGAGGCATTGTTTGAGTCGACCATTTGACGCACCTTGCACCACGTTTGGCCGCAGATGAGCAGGCAACCCGGCGTGAGCTTGCCGCGAGAGACGAGAACAGTAGCCGTGTTGCCTCGCCCTTTCTCTGTGCGACTTTCGAGCACAGTACCCTCTGGCAGCCCCTCAGTCGGGGCGCGCAGGTCGGCCAGCTCAGCCATTGCTGCGAGCGTTTCCTCGAGCTCTTGGAAGCCTTGTCCCGTCTTGGATGAGATCTCCACACACGGCACGTCCCCGCCCATGGCCTCGACGAAGATGCCCTGAGCACCAAGCTGCTCGAGTGCGCGCTGAGAGTCAGCTTCTGCTCGGTCGATCTTGCTGAGTGCCACAATGAGCTGGATATTGGCGCGACGCTTGCGGGTCGACGATGACGCAGCGGGCTCTGCGCCGGTGCTCGCAGCAGCCTCAGCCGCCTCGGCCTCGAGCTGCTTGTATAGCTCAATGACCTCCTTCGTCTGCGTCATCACGCCGTCATCCGCCGCGACTACTAGCACAACAATGTCCGTTGCCTTGGCCCCTCTGGCCCTCATGTTGCTGAACGCGGCGTGGCCAGGGGTGTCGAGGAAGGTGATCTTGTCCACGGCATTCCCCTCTGCCGCCTTGACCGGCACTGAGAAAGCTCCGATATGCTGCGTGATCCCGCCTGCTTCTCCCGCCGCAACAGAGGCGCTCCTCAGCCTATCGAGCAGACTCGTCTTTCCGTGATCCACATGACCCATGACCGTAATCACCGGCGGCCTGAACGGGGCTTTTCCCCTCTCCTCCTCGCCCAGCGCAGCAGCGGGATAGATGTCGAACGCAGCCTCCGCATTGTCCACCGCATCGAGATTGAGCTCGGCACACAGGAGCGAAGCATCATCGAACGACAACAGGGCGTCTGCTCGCGTATCGCGCATGGAGAGTTGGGTAGACATGGTTGATTGAAGTGTGCGCAACTTGATGCCGAGGAGGCGGGAGAGATTCGAGAGGGAGATGATGGGTGGAAGGAAGACTTGACGTGGCGGTTGCTTACGCTTCGGTGGCGGGGCAGGTTGGGATTTAGGCTTCGGCTTGAAAGAGGAGCCGTCCGGCCGTGCCTTGTCCTTGCGATGCTGCGCCTTTCCTTGCACGTCATCCCTATCAGGATCGCGAGCCCGCGACCAATCTTTGGCTTGAGGGATGCGACGACTGCGCCTCGGATCGGACTTGCCGCTTGAGCTGCCCGCTGGAGGCTTGGGGGGTGACTTGAAGCCAGCTGCGGGTCCGCCTCCACCAGCTTGATGTGGGCGATCCTCCCGTGGGCGCATGCTGCTGCTGGCACCATCAGCTCGCGGTGGTCGATCTTGTCGCGGCGGTCGATCTTGTGTTGGATGCGCATTGCCTCGTCCATCTTGCCATTGACTTGACGAGCCTGACGCCTGCTGTTGGTGGCGTCTGGGCGGTCCTCCGTCATTTTCTCTTCGCTCGCCCAATGAGCCAGCTCCGCTTGGCGGCGGCCGTCTGCCGTCAGAAGCAAATCGCAATTGCGATGCTGATGCTGTCACAGCTCCAGCGCTGAGCTGTCGAGCCAGCAAAGCGCGGGAAGCTGCGCTGCTCACTCGCAGCATTGTGTCGTGTTGGTTGCAAGAGAAAGGGAAGAAGACTCACAATTCCTTCGGCGCTTCCTCGTCCACTCCATCTTTCCTGCCGCTCGCGTGGCTGCTTCCGCTCCATCCACTTTCGCGTCTTGACTTCTTGTTCGTGTCGAGGCGGAGCATCTTGGCCATCGATCAATCCTTTCCCGCTCAGTGGAGGGCAATCGCCCTCGCTCGTCGTGGCAACGCTGTGGCCGCCTATCTCTGCTCTTCAACATGTCGTCCGAACACGACGACGGTAACCCATACGGCGAGGTGTCAAGGGAGGCGAGCTCTTCGACCCACGCCCCGCCTCCCTCCTCAGATGACATTTCGCGCTACTCCACCCTCCTCCACGAGCACGCTCAATACCTCTACAATCGACTACACAGCGGAGGCGCAAGCTGGAAGCCCCGTCCTTCCCCCCATCCGCACGCGCAAATCGCTCCATCCAGCTGGACGCGCTCTGAGCTCTCTATCTTCTTCCGTTCCCTCGCCCGTTACTCTCGTCTACGACCCGACCTGATCGCTCGAGATCTTGGGGGTGGCAAGACGATCGTTCAGGTCGTGCACTACATCAATGCTCTGCAAGATGCAAAATCAGCCTCACAACGTGGCCGCCGCAGAACTCGAGCCGCGGTCCTTGGGCGCACTCCTGCTGCTGTAGAGGTGGATGACGCTTGGGTGGAGAAGGAGGAGAGACTGGCGGAGGCGCTCTATCCTCGGACACCGACGTCCCATCCTGGGCTCGGCGAATGGACAGAAGATAGCGTCGCCTCTGCAGCCGTCTACATCGCCAATCGAGCCAAGGCTGAGCGCGAAGCATCCCTCGATTCGGACGATGGCAAGATACCCATCTACCAATTCTCCTCCCTCATCTCCTCCCTCTGCCACACGTCATCAAAGCGATCGCGAGGTACAATGAATGGCGAGCTGCGCAAAGCGTATCAAGACTTTATTCGGACTCATCCTGCGGTTCCTTCACTCGAGCGGATGAGAAGGTCAGGTGCAGGGAATCTCGTCCGGTCACCAGAGAAGATGCACCGCAAGAAACAGAAGAGACGACGCGCCAGCGAGTCTGAGGACGAGGACGAGGGAGAAGAGGCCATCGAGGACATTACCTCCCTGGCGCATCGCCTAGTGCTCCGAATGTGCGAGCTAGGCTTGCTTTGGAGGGTCGTAGAGACTGGGGACAATACAACTGCCGAGCAAGACGACGAGCAGGTCTCGCCTCGCTTCCGCCTCGCACCTCCCCTCTACCATCCCACCTCCTCCGTCATCCACCAGTTCAGCACCTCCCGCAAAGCTCTCCACATCACTGCCACCCAGCCACAACGCTTGCCGACGCGCTACCTCGACACGCAATGCCTCGTTTGGGCCAGCGACATCGCTGGGAGGGATGCGCTGCTGCCTTCGCAAAACGAGGCTGCGACGGATGGAAAAGGCGTGACAAGTCTGCTCAAGCATAGCATGCGGCGACGGATCGCCGAGGGACATGCGAGGATGTTGCAAGCGAAGGAAGCAGCATTGGATCGACTGCTTGGATCTTTGCGTTGCGAGGAGTTGGAATGGTTGGAGACAGGCATAGGGGGCGAAGGGCGCGCGAATTCACCACAGCGAGGCTCTTCCTCGTCTCAGCCTGCAACCGAGCCTCGCTCGTCCCCGGCTGTTCGTACCTTCGAGGTTCACCGCGGCGGCCGAGGCAAGAAAACGACTACCTTCCGCGGTCACTCACTCGAGGGGATGGACGAAGATGAGCGGCGTCGCTTCAAGGCGAGGATACGCAAGCAGGAGAGAAGGAGTGGCTTGGCCCAGCTCAATTCGGGCTTAGCATCGCAGCCTGCTGCTGCCGAAGCCAACGGCAACGGGTCTACTTCACCAAGTCTCGCTCCAGGCGCCGGCCCTTCCTCACCCTCCTCCCATACGCCGGCCCCAGCTTCGAGCCCTTCACTCTCCTCGCAACGGCCTCCCAGCTTGCTCAATCCCTTCAAACATTTGCTCCTTCCCCTGCCGCCGGATAAGCGCAAGAAGGCCGAAGCACGCCTGCGCAAGCGTATCAAGCTTTGGGGCCTCGAGGAGACGTTGCGAGTTGGGTTGGGCAATTTGGACGTGGATGTGAGGTTGAGGGGGAATCAGGAGTTGAGAAGAGCGAGAGAGGCAGGAGATGAGGACGTAGATCGATCGCTGCATCAGGAGGACGTAGCCGCGGCGCTGCAGGCCGCGTACGGCTCTCAAGCGGTTCACAAGGGGATCCAGGACGAAGAATCTCACCAGCCCTCGATCTACAATGGAGCAACCACCTCGCTTCAATCCAGCAGCTCATTCGCGACTCCCCGCATCGACCACAGGTCAGATCGCTTCCGTGCCGTTGGCATCACGAGTCCTGCCCCAGCGCTGGATCGGCTACATATCCTGGTTCAGCAGCTCCTGCCCACCCCGCGAGGAGGTGCGCACCCTGACAGAGCGGAGCAAGAGACGAAGACCTCAATTCTGCAGACCGTCAGCCTGAGGTCATTGGCCCGCATGGTGAGAAGGAACGCGGAGCATACGAGGCTCATCTCCGCAGGCGAGCTGAGAGACGAGAGCGAAGAGGGGACGCAAGGCGATGCGGCCAGTGAGGAGGCCAGCGAATCCATGACGCCATCGCGCGCTGAGGACATCGCGAATTCGAGCTCATCACCTCTCGCGCCCTCGTCACATCTCACAGCCCAACTCGATCTCCCACCCCTCCTCGCCTTCCTCCAACAATCCCTGCACGCCTTCCTTCAGCGAGCAATCGCGCGGCTTGCCCACCCCGCCGATGATGACCTCAACAGCTCCGCTGCGGCCCGCTGGCTCAACGACAAGGAAGTGAAGCGAGCGCTGCGGGAGGTTGGGGTGGAAAGGCTAAGTCTGAGAGACACAGAGCAGGTGGCAGTGCCATCGATCGAGGATGAGGAGGCGCAGCCACGAGGCATGGTCCTCGACTGGATGCAAAGACCATCGCGGCTTGGACGCGACGAAGAGGAGCCAAACGACTCGATCGGCGATGTGAGGCTCGCGCACGCCCTCAACGCCGAGAGCTTCAACTTCAGACGCGCGAATTCCCGGCCCTCTCAGCTTCCCACGCGCGGCCATGCACGTGACGCTGTACCCGATAGCGGCGAGGAGGAGCTCTCGGATGACGTGAAGCACGACGATGACGAGGTCTTTGAGACTCTGGGCGAAGCGCACGAGGTGGAGCATGTGAGAGAGATGTGGACGGCGTTGAATGAGGCAGCGCCAAGGAGAGGGCAGAAGAGGGCCATTTCCGAGGACGACGACGAGTCTGATGAGAGAGAAGAAGAGGATGATGATGATGGTGTGATTGATGAAGCAGAGGATGATGACGATGTGATGGATGAAGCAGAGCCTGCGCACGATGGCTACGATGAGCAGCTCGATACAGAGGACGAGGACGAGGACGCACGCATCGCCCGTCGAGACGCTGAAGCGGATAAGGCGTATGCAGCCGTGGAGCGGTCGAGGTGGTTTGGGTCAACTTAGCTCGTAGTGTCATCGTTGCAATCATGAATTCTTCTTTTCATGTCACGCCCTCATCGCAACCTGTCACGACGCGTCAAAAGGCTCATCGTAGTAAGGGCTCAGTCCGGCAAAAAGACGCGGACTGAGCTCTCGGGAAAAGCGGAGTGCGGGGTTGATTGAAGCGCGGACGGAGCACTGGGTTTCTTAGCTTGTTCTCCTTGAGACACCCAACTCTCCCGCAGCCTCACTTTATAAACAATGGTACATCGCTGCCCCCTTTTTGAGCAGTGGCTCACCACTGCCAACTATGTCTGCTTCTGACAACATCCCCGGACGAGAGCTTGTCCGCTCGTCGCCCACAGCCCAAACGAGAGGGCGCGTCGTAACTGTCGAGGATGTCAAGAACAGGACATGCTGGATCTGCCAGCTCGGCGATGAGGATGACGATGAGGAAAGGAAGATGCAGATGCAGAGCAAAGCGGCTTGGCAACGTCGCAACAAGCAGCTCGACAGCCATCTCCGCTGGCTCCATAGCTGCCACTGCTTCCTCATCGCCCACGAGTCCTGCCTCCTGAATTGGATCCACTGCATGTCCAAACTCGACAAGAAGGCAGACAACGTAGTAAGATGCCCTCAGTGCGCTCATCCGTATCTTTTTGTCTGACCCACGTCATGGCATTTGCGCTACTTCGAGAAGGCAGATCGTGCCCTGCGTAATGTTCTCGGCATGGCGGAGGTAGGCATTTTTGCGGGGTCGTTCGCATTCGCCTGTATCAAATACGGAGAGTACGCGACAAGAGCCTGGTTGGGCAAGGCAGCTGCCAAAGCCTTGCTTGATTCAGGTCGTGGGAGTGTAAGTGATTGTGGGCGCTCATGGTCCCGTTCGTTGCACTGAACATCTTAATCCTCTTCGCGCCGCCGCAGATGAAGCTCTTCTTCGTACCCCTCGTTCTATTGCTCAGCCGCATCCCTTGTCTTCCCGACGATATAGAACTCCGTTTGCGCTACCTGCAGTCGGCCGTCCCTCTTTGCCATGACATGGCGCATGTCCTCTCCGCCCTTGCGGCCTCTGCCAATGCTTTGACTAGGGACGGAGGCCAGTGGTCTGAGAGAGGTCAATTATTCACTGTGGCGACTAGTCATGCTGCACTGGGAAGTCGCCTGGTGGATGTACTACGACACCTTCACCCGCCGACGCTGGCGTGGTCCTTTGCGCTGCTGCCCTGGTATCGCGCTGCATACGGTAACCTCAGGTATCGACTCACAGATTGGCTACTGGAACCGCTTGTCGCGCAAGCAAAGAACCGTACCGGACAGCAGCAGACGCAGACCCAACCTCGGCCTTTCAATGCAGTTCGAGTGGGCGGGCAACCTCGTCCGCAACTACAAGAACGCGCGCAGTACTTTCACTTCACTCCAGTCGGCTTCGGGGTCCGGGATGATCCTGATATCGATGTAGACGGGCAAGCTCAGCCTCCTCCCCTGGGTCTGGACGGCATAACGGACGGCCCTGATCCAGTCGCTCAGGCAGCCGCTCGCGAAGCCATCAGGCGGGGATTACTCCCGCCGAATCCCACGATTCTGACTCACTATTACTCGCCGCGCAGCGTGTTGACATTGATTCGGATCACGCTAGGGACCCCTTTCATGGCTGCGCTGGTCGGCGCAGGGCTGCAAGGTGTTGCGATGTCGATGAGTCCCGGCAACTGGCTGGAGAGGTTGCTCGCCGTCTCTGCATTCCGAAAGGGCGGGACGAGTGTGGCTGGTAATTGTTCGACGGCGAGGGTTTGCGGAGTGCCCTCCTTGCATTGGAGGAACACGGTAGCACTCGGGCTGTACGTATTTGCCTGCGATGCGGTGAGCCTAGGCTATCGTTACCTGCGATTGAAGAGAAGGGCATCTTTGACTGTTGAGGACCTGCCGTTCTCTGAGGGCATGGTTCGGGATTTGGTCACGAAGAAAGTGAACTGATGGCGATGGACGGGAGGGGGGAGGTTCTGTTTCACTTCTACCACTGCGTGTATGACCCGAAGTAATGCTATACCACTCAGCCATCCTCTTGCACTGGACGCAGAGTGGCGTTCTTTTGTTACGCAGAGCTGCCATCTGCTCATCGTCGACGCGTCAAAGGCTTGTCTGTCGCCCGGCTCAGGCCTCAGTCCGAGATGTCGACTTGTCGGACTGAGCCTCGAGGCGGAGTGCGGGGTGGAGCGGCGGATTACGTCTTTGCTTCTTTCCCTCCTTACCTTGTCCCTCCGCCAGCATAGAATCGCAATCTTTCAAGCCGTACAGCTCTGCACGCCGCGCATTCTACTCGCAGGCCCCCTCGTCAAGTCAGGCAATCCCTCGTTCTCGAGCCAGCATGGCCTCTCCTTCCTCCTCTGCGGACGCCGCCCTGGTGGAGGACCTCCTACATTCACCACCCACACCAAAGTCCCGCCGCACAGTCGTGACAGTCGACGACCTCAAGGAGCGAACTTGCTGGATTTGTCAGGATGGGGATGACGACGACCACGACGACGGCGTCAGTGATGACACTAGGGAGCAGTCGGAGGTGGAGAACGCTGTTGGCAGTCCCAGCAGCGGCGAGCCCAGCAGCAGAAGTAGAGCCTCCTCCAAAAAAGAAAAACGCACCACCCATCCCGGGCGCCGCTTTATCCATCCTTGTCGCTGCACTTTGGTAGCACACGAGTCTTGCCTGCTACAATGGATCTATCGCAAGAGGACAAACTCGCAGCCCATTGTCAAGTGCCCGCAATGCGCTCATCCTTACACGCTCGTCGCCCCGAAATCGCGGGGGCTGCGTTGGTTTCAAGTAGGGGACAGCATCTCTTCCATGGCACTGGGAGTCGGTACCGTGTTCTTCGGCTTTGGAGCTGCGAGTTGGCTCTGCTATTCGTATGGCTCGGGATTGATCAAGCTTTGGCTGGGAGGCGAAGCAGCGGCGCAATTTACTGATTCGGACACCGTCGGTTGGGTGAGTTCGCTGATTGTGGACACCCAGCCATACGCCGCCTTTTCTCTCTCTCTCGTCTCTGCAGGAACTCAACTGACCCTTCTCTTCCTCTCGACCGATGCCTCTTCATCAGTACACGGGTGAGCTCGTCGGGGTCCCTGCGCTACTAATCCTGGCGCGCCTCCAAACGCAAGCCGAGATCACACGACAGGCCGAGATCTACCTCGGCACAGCAATGTGGATTGTCCCAACGTACATGCATCTATTCCACGCCACCACTTCATCGTACATGTCATGGTCGCGGACGCCCCTCATCATCAAGGGTGGCTGGCAAGGCGGACGATGTCCAGGATCGCCGAGGGAAGGGTACTGCACCTGGACTGGGCTGTGGGACGCAGTGCGCTCGGCTTACCCGCCTAGCTTCGCCTTGTCTGTCACGATGCTGGTTTGGGGGAGACACGCGTATCGGGCGGCGAGAAAGAGAATAACGGCGTGGCTGCTGCAGCCCCTTGTGGACAAGGCCAATGCGGCGCAAAAGGCGGCGGAGGAAGAGCAGCAGCAGCAGCAGCAGCAGCAGCAAGCACCCCAGCCAGCTCAGGGACCGCAGGCCCTACCTCGCCCTCTTCCTGATCAGCCAGTACCGCAGCGACCTCGCCTGCCTGGGCGAGGCAATCTCAACGACCGCGCCACTCGCCGTCAATTTGCCAGCACGACCAAGATCGTCATCGTCGGCCTCGGAGGTCCAGACGATATGACCCAAGTTGATCCAGACTCTCGCGCCCAGCCTCCACCTTTGGGAACAGAAGCCGTGGTCGAAGAGCCTACCCCACCCGCTGTCGCCCTCGCCGCTGCCATGGCTGGCGTGCATCCTCCGGTGTACAGGTCCATGTACATCTCGCCCTCGTCGGTACTGCGCCTCGTCTGGGCAGCGCTGGGAAGCCCGTTGGTGGCGACAATGCTTGGCGCGGCATTGCAGGGCATATCGATGGGGATGAATCCGGGCAACTGGTTGGAGAGACTGTTGGCCGTATCCGCATTTCGTGAAGGGATCAAGGGGGGTAGAACAGCGAAGTATCAAGGCGTCCGATCACTCCACTGGCGCAACACCCTCTCCTTTGGCTTGTACGTCGTTGCATGCGATGCTGCTAGCCTCGCGTATCGCTACCTGCGCTTGAAGAGGAGGGCGCAGACTACGGTGCAGGACTTGCCATTCCAGGGTGGGATGGTGGAGGGATTGGAGTTGCGAGAGGATTGAGAGTGGGAGGAGAGGGAGCGAGAGGCGTGAGGCGTGGCACGTGAGAGGCTTTGTATCATATCGACCAAAATTGAGCACTGAAACCACGACGCGACGTAATCCGATACCACTCAGTCGCACGCACCACGGCGGTCAGTCGCATGCGGCACTGCCTCTTCTTTTGTCTATCGGTGAAGAAAGTCATTGACGAGTCAAAGTCGAAAGAGAGAGAGAGAGAGAGCGAGAAAGGCGCAAAGAGAGCGTGGCGTAGGGTCGTCATGAAGGTTGTTACAAATACAAACAAAAAGGAAAGAGCCGAGGCGAGGCGGGGCGAGGCGAAAGGGTTGAGCTGAAGAAGTCGAAGCTCGCAAGCAAAGAGCGGGTTGAGGCTGGAGATGGCGAGACGCGCGCGTGACTCTTGGTGAGATGATGGGAACTTGGACGAGTCTGGCCGGATGAGAGTGAGATAGGAGCCTGTGGATGGTGCGGGTCGAGGAGGTCCTGCTCGGCAGCTTAGCTTGAGGAGGTGGTGCTGGTGATGATGATGGGGTAGTGATCGTCCTGTACGTTCTCCTTCCAGTGCCCCGGGAACCCCGCTTTGATCTATGATCGTCGCAGCGATGCGGATACCACCTTTCCCCCGCCTACTCCTGCGTGCCGCCTCAAAGTACATGCAATACGACCTCCTCCCCGGTCACGCGACTCTGCTCCACCGCCATCTGCACATCATCATCGTCCTGCATGGCGACGCGGTCCCCATCTTCATCCAAGTAACGCAGCTTAATCGCCGGCGCTGCGGCTCCCGTGCCCTTGACTTTGATCGCAACCTTTTCGAGGAGAGCGGGAAAAGAGATGTTGGCCAGGACGGCAAGGAAGGCGACTTCCCCGGCAAAGTGGACGCGCACTCGAACAACGTTTTGGCTGCCGGAGCTGGGGCCGGAGATGCTCCCAGTAGGCGTGCCCGTGCCGTTGGACGAAACAGAGGGGGAGCTGGTGCGCCCAATCCCAACCCCTTGAAGCTGAGCGTGATGCGCGTGTCCGTGCTGATGAGAGCCGTTCCTTTGCGGGACGGCAGGCATGCCGCCGGCAATTCCTGCCTTGATCGCGGCTGCGGCTGCGGCTGCATTCGCTCCGCCATTCGAGCTTCCTCCGCTCATGGTCAAGGGCGAGGAGGTGGCCGTAGAGCCCAGTTGTGACGCTCCCGAGTGATTCGAGTCAAGCGTCGAGTTGCTCGAGCTGCTCAGTCTCTTCGGCCCTTGTCCGCCAGCCGAGCCTGCAATTGGGTAGCCGTTGTGCGTGCGCGTGTTCCCTGCAGTGTTGATGCGCAACTGCTGCTGCGGCACAGGCGGAGCGTTGCTGAATTGCTGCTGGTAGGGCGGCGCAACCTGAGACGTGCTTGCAGAGCGATTGCGCGCCATTTGCTGGCTGGACCCGCTGTCCGAGTGCGCGCGACCCATGCTCGCCCCACCGGCGTAGTGGGCGCTCGCATTGCTCTCGCCGCGATGCCTGGCCACGGTCGGGTGAACGGTCGGGTCCATGCCGTGGTATCCTGCAGAGGGAGGTGTCATTGCGCCGTCGACGTCGCTCATTGGGTCGCCAGTGACGATGTGACGCAGCGGGGGACGCGAGGCATTCTGGCGCAACTGCCTGCTGCTCGAGGCCTTGCGCAGGGCGTGCTGCTGCTCGCTGCTGCTGCTCGCGCTGCTGCTGGACGCCTGGCGGGGGAGAGGTGGGGCCACTGAGGGCGAATGCGATCGCCACTGCTGGAGCGTGGCTGACTCGTGATCCTCGGTCATTGCGCGTGGTTTTCCGTCGTTGGAGGTCAGTGAGAGCTGGCGTTCCCTGTGCTCGGCTGGCTGAGAGTAGCGGCCGTTCCCCGATGGCGTACCTCGCCCATTCGACGAGTAGAGCCCGCTCATGCCCACCGTCGCCTCGCTCACTGGGTCTGACGCATCATCGCTCGACAAGGCAGGAGTGCGCGAGAAGGGATATACGTAGCTCCCCTCGTAGATTGGTGTCTGCGGGAACAGACTCGCAGAGGGACCGGTATTGCGTCGTCCATTGGCTCCCGCGCCAGCCATGTTGACGGGCGATGAGGCGCCTGAGTAGAAGGCCGCCGAGTTGCCACCCTGCTGCCTGCGCAGCTGCGCCTCCTCGATGAGCTTCTGGATCGTCGACTGCCAAAGCTTGAGCTGCTCCTCATTCTTGCAGCGCAGCGAGAAGGCTTCGAGTTCGAGGTCTCCCTTCCACTGCACGGCGAGGGAGTGGGAGCCAATCCCGCCGAACTGCGAGGGGATGGAGTCGGGGATGGCAGCAGTGACGTTGTTGATGAAGATGCGGCCCTTGAGCTGGAGTGTCGTCTTGGCCTTCTTTGGCGCGCCAATCGAGTTGGTGCGCTGCTTGAGCAGCGAGTTGGACTTGGAGTTCTTTTTGCCCAGATTCGGGACGAGCTCCTTGCAGCAGAGCAAGATGCGCTCGAAGAGGTACACTTGGTACTCGCGCTCCGTCTCGCCCTTTGCGACCATGAAAGTCTCTGTGAGGAGAAGATTGCCAAACGTCGCAACGTGGTGTCCCTTCCAGTCTTCTACGCGTCCCTCGAGCTCTGCGACGAGCTGCTTGTTCTCCTGCACTCGGCGCACCTCGTTGACCTGCGCCGCCCCTTTTTGCACGATCGCAAGACCCTCCTTGAGCTCTTCGTAGTAAGGGCCGCTGGGATCTGACTTTTTCAGCAGCTGCTCGAGGAGGAGCGGGTATTTGCAGATGCGCTGCACCGGCTTGATCAAGAAGGCTGGCAGCTCATACGCCGGGTCGAGATAGCAGCCCTCTGCTGCGGGAAGGCCGCGTAGGCGTTGAATATTGGCACTCTCTTGCGAAATCACCTCCAGCGCTCTAGCGTAGTTGGCGCAGAATGGCCAGTAGACGTCAAAGTTGGACTCGAGCATCTGGAAAGCACGACCGAAGCGCTGCTCATCAGGCGGCCTGCGCGCGTTGTCTTCGAGGTTGATGAGGCAGCGACGCTGGAAGTCTACGAGGTTGTTGAGGTTGCTGAATAGATCGTGGAGGCGGTCGGCTGACAGGATGTCGTTCTGCTGGAGGGCTCGGGCGCAATTCTGGAGAACTTCGAGGTCCTGGACGTACTTGCGTTCGGACTCGAGGAGCTCGCGAACGATCCATGCACGCTCGTCGCTTGGCTTGCCTACGTCTTCGCTGTGTCTGGGTCGCTCTGACTCTACGAGAATGCCGCGGGCCTCGAGCTGGTCGAGCAGGCGGCCGACGACGCGCACGACCTGCGCGTACACACCAGGATGAAGGATTGGATTAGCGCTCGTAATCAAGCTGCGGTCCATTGCTGCCTCGCAAACTCACCTGAACCCAATCGTTGGTATTCTCGCGGTACACCTGCATGACCGTAAACATCTCGTCCGGGTCCACTCCCATTTCGCTCTGCATCGCAATGATGAAGCGGGCGACGAGCTTCTTGCAGGCATTGGTGCTGTTGACTGCGTCTCCCACGTCGGTTGGCAGTCTCGTCGCCGGCTCCAACAGGTTGTAGAGCTCGCAAAGTGGTGTGCCTTGGCGGAAGACGTCGAAGAGTTGGGTGACGGGGTCGTTGGACGAGGGCGGCGCTGTCGACGAGCTCGCAGCCCCCTCTGCCAGATATCTCTCGCCAAACTCTGGCACACACCACAACCTCTCCCTCAATATCACGCAAGACTGGTAAAGCCCGGACCCGGCTACTGCTGGCTTGTTGGCGATTGTATTGGCTGCGACTGGCGCGCCCGGCGCCCCACCGATGAAGGATGAGCCGATGCCTCCATCTGACGTCGAGCCGTTACGGCTGGATGCGCCCGAGGCTGGGAGCGAGTTGTGCTGTGCCTGCGCTGTGTAGGCGGATGAGGACGAGTGGATGGAGGGGGGCATCGGGACGGTCGATGTCGAGTAAGGAGTTGGGCCTGCCGTTACTGAGAACTTGCGCGGCGGACGAAACGCTGATGTTGAAGGGGCTGCCATGATGAGGGACGGCAAGTAGCGATGCGCAGAGGCGCTTGCTCTTATCGTCGCGACGTGCGCGGAGAGATGGGGATGATGGTCGGCGACTGCGACGGCGAGGACAGTTGTCGGTGATGAGGACGGGGACGGCGAAGATCCCGTAGATGTAGGCCGATGGCGATGACGATGGCAACAATCGGCGGGCTAGCAATCAAGGTCGGTGAGATTCGTTGCGCGTGCGTGGGCGTCGGGTGTCTTGTTGGCCAGCCAGCAGGGATGATGACGAGGGGCGAGAAGCGAGGCGAGAGGCGAGGGACGAGAGGCGATGACTATGGAGCTGAAATCCGTTGCGCGAGGATGATGTTGCGCGAGGACGGCGCGAGGACGGCGCGAGGACGAAGAAGGTGAATCGGTGCAGTTGCGCTCGTCAACAGGGGTCGGATGGGAAAGGCAGCAATCAAGGGCAGCAAAACGTCGAAGAGGGGGTGGGGAGGAAGAGAGGAAGGCTTGACCAGCTAGCTAGTCCGCTGCCAACACTAGGCGTCGTAGTGGGTGGGGAAAATGGGGTATTGTGATGTGTGGAAAAAAGACGACGACGACCACGATGACTGGCCGATGAGGCGCACACTCACAAGCAGGGGGTTTCGAGTCGTCGTCGCCCTAACACACAGAGACTAGCAGCGGCGGCGGAGGCGGCGGAGGCGTAGAGCAGACGGAGAGCCACGCTCTAAGACGCTCGCACCCAGGGCGGGGCGGCAGGCGGGGGCGCCGGCAGCAGACGAGAGGGACGAAGGGCAATCTGACGCTGCTGATCGGAGACCACGCCGCGCACGACGCCTGTGTGAGTGAGAGAGGGCAGGGCAGCAACAACAAAGGCCGAGAGAGCGCGAGCCGCTAAAACAAACGCCATGGTCAGCAGCGTGGGCCAGCAGCGTGGGCGAGGCGAGAATAGACTGTACGTGCGTGCGTGCGTGCGTGCGTGCGTACGAGTAGCAGACCGGATACCCGCGATGGTGGCATGATCATGGAAGCTATTATTGTCGAGGCGCAGCCTGGCAAAGCGTAGGGCATGACCGAGCATAGAGGTGCCGATGGTGCGATTGGGTGGTGCGATAGGGTGGAAACGAGGGGGGTGGTGCTGGCACGCTCCGGCTGCCATCGGCGATCGCGGTACCATCATCGTCGCGATGGGAAGACTTGCGTGTGGCTACATGAGCGGGCTACGTGAGCAGGCCGATGGCGAGAGAAGCACTTCTGGATCGACGAGCGGCGAGAACCTGGGCCGACGTCACTCATGACAGACGACGGGCGACGATCGATGGGCGATGGGTCACGGACTCTTGGTAAGTTGCGAGCACGCATGATCTCGACAGCTGCGCCGCCGCTACCCTTGCTCTGGGTCCTGGATGGCAGCCACCGTTGCGATGATGGCCGCCACCATCGCCGTCATCCCCCTGCCCACTCCCTAGCCACCTTGCTCATCGTGCCGCCTCATGAGCGGCTCCTCTTGGCGCGGCCCGCAATGCCCTCCGTCCCCAGCTCACCATCCGCCATCACCACGATCGAGTGTTCCCCCGCTATCATCCTTGGGCATCGTCTCCTCCCGTCCCGCTCGCCGGCTGCTCGCACACGCCGACGTGGCACCCACTCCCGTGTCCCCCGTCCGCTCAACTTTGTCAGGGCGGCGGGCTGCGCTTGGACCTTCTTGCCGCGCGTCGGGCAGAGCGCCAACAAAGCTCCCAAGAGGCGAAGCTCGACGAAGGTTCACTCTCAATCCCAACCTACCACCCGCCAGACTCCCTCATAGCATAGCAGCTTCATCGTCTCACGCAACGCTCGCAACTCTCGCACCGCTCGCACAGCAATGAAGTTCGCGCAAAAGGCCCTCTTGGCCGCCCTCTCGAGCGCAGCCCTCGTCGCAGGGTCTGAGGCCCCCTCGGACGTCCTCGACCTCACCGAGTCGTCGTTCAACTCCGTCGTTGACCCCGAGCCGCTCATGCTCGTAGAGTTCTTTGCTCCGTGGTGCGGCCACTGCCAGGCTCTCAAGCCCCACTATGAAGAGGCAGCCACGACGCTCAAGGACGAGGGCATCAAGCTGGCAAAGGTGGACTGCACCGTCGAGGAGAAGGTGTGCTCTGACCAGCAAGTCGGCGGCTACCCCACCTTGAAGGTCTTCCGCAACGGCTCACCCTCCGACTATGCCGGCACGCGCAAGGCGGACGGCATCATCTCGTATATGCAGAAGCAGGCCCTGCCTGCCGTCTCCCATGTAACTTCGGCCAACCTGAGCGACTTTAAGCAAAAGGACAAGGTCGTGGCGGTGGCATTCCTGAGCGATGGCGACTCCGCTGAGCGCAAAGTGTACACCGAGCTGGCTGATGCGAACCGCGACGACTACATGTTTGGGCTCGTGACCGATGCCGAGGCTGCCAAGGCTGCGGGCGTGACTGCCCCCGCCGTGGTCCTCTACCGCAAGTTCGACGAGCCCGAGGTCAAGTACGACGGCGAGTTCAATGGCGAGGACATCAAGGCTTTCCTCGCTGCAGAGCGCGTGCCGCTTATCGACGAGGTTGGGCCGGAGAACTTTATGACCTACTTCGAGTCGGGCCTGCCTCTCGCCTACTACTTTACTGAGCCTGAGGCCGAGAACCTGGACACTGTGCTTGCTGGCCTCAAGCCGCTGGCCAAGGAGCACAAGGGGAAGATGAACTTTGTCTGGATCGATGCGGTGAAGTTTGTCAACCACGCCAAGGGGCTCAACCTGCGCGGCGAGTCGTGGCCCTCGTTTGCCATCCAGGACATCCAAGGCTCGACCAAGTACCCCGTCGACGACTTGGGCAAGGACCCGGTCCAGTCGATTCACGACTTTACGACCCAGTACCTCGCTGGCAAGCTCAAGCCCAGCATCAAGAGCGAGCCCGTCCCCAAGGAGCAGGACGGGCCCGTCCACGTCCTCGTTGCCGACGAGTTTGACCTCATCTTTGACGAGAAGAAGGACGTCCTCGTCGAGTTCTACGCGCCGTGGTGCGGCCACTGCAAGAAGCTGGCCCCAACGTACGACACGCTCGGCGAGAAGTACGCCGCACACAAGGACAAGGTCATGGTTGCCAAGATGGACGCTACGGCCAATGATGTGCCGCCCAGCGCTGGGTTCCAGGTGCAGTCTTTCCCGACGATCAAGTTCAAGCCGGCGGGTAGCAAGGCGTTTGTCGACTTTGAGGGGGACCGCTCGCTGGAGAGCTTCATCGATTTCATCTCGCTGAACGGGAAGAGTGGCGTGAAGGTCAGCGCCGAGGCGAACGACAGCGGTGCGGCCCCGGTGGCGGAGAAGGCGCCATCGCACGAGGAGCTGTGAGCGCGTGACCAGGGGTCAGCGCTGGTCAGGGGCGCCCATGCAGAGCCGTGCCTGCCCACACCGAGTCTCTCCTATCTCTTTTGCTCTCTGCGATGCCATGAATTCTATTTTTCCACGTCACGCGGTGATGTGGGATGCGTGAACAGTAGGCGTGCTGAGCTGCGAGCGATTCTCGACGCTCGTTGGAAACCTCCACCTGGACCCTTGTTCCTCCCCCTCCCTCTTTCCCCACAAACACACACACACCACCTGCCAGCATGTCCTTCCAATCAACCGCACCCACCACCAGCACGGCCTCCTTGTCTGTCACATCTCTCTTTGACGTTGCAGGCAAACGCATCCTTATCACCGGCGGCGGTTCGGGACTGGGAAGCTATGCTGCGCTAGGTCTCGCCTTGCACGGGGCCAAGGTGTTCATCGTCGGGCGCAGGGAGGAGAAATTGGCGAGCGTGAAGAAGGATTTTGAGAAGAGGCGGGGCGACGAGGGCGCTCCGCAGGCTGCTGCTCAGGGCGAGGTCATAGCGTGAGTGCGCGCGGTGCGTAGAGGAGACAAATGCTGATATCACGCGCCGCGCTCGCCATGTAGCCTCCCTGGCGACGTCTCGTCCAAGGAAGGTCTGGACAAGCTTGTGGCCGAATATCGCAAGCATGAGGAGCACCTCGACGTGCTTGTGAATGGCGCAGGGGTCAATGGCGACTGGATCAAGCTCAAGCCCGAGGACAAGGACGACAGTGGGTGCTGCGTCCGGCGTAACTCGCGATTCGTGCTAACGTTGCGCAACCCTCGCAGCCAGCAAGGTCCACGCATCCCTCTACGACGAGGAGTGGTCCAACTGGAGCAACACGCTCAACGTCAATACGGTCTCGCCCTATTTCACAACACTCGCCTTTGTGCCTCTCCTAGCCCGCAGCAAGACTCCCTCTCTGCGCGATGAGGGACCCTGCGTCCTGCTGGTCACCTCCATCGCTGCAGAACACATTGCGCGTAACCACTCCATCTCGCACGTCTATCAGACGTCCAAGGACGCGGAGGAAAAGGTGGCCAAGCTGCTCGCCGTGAGGCTGCAGCCGTACAAGATTCGGGTCAACTCGATTGCTCCCGGAGTAAGTTGGCGGGTGGGTGCGCGGTGTGGTAGCAATGAGCTGACCCGCTTTCGCGCTCGCTCTCGCGCCCACAGATCTATCCCTCGGAGATGACCAATCATCCCACGGCCGAGTCCTTCATGGAAAAGGCCAAGACGATGGTCCCCTACATTCAGCGCAGCGGGACGCCCGAGGACTTTGTGGGCTTGATGCTCTTTCTCACCTCGCGGGCGGGGGCGTGTGAGTGGGCGCGTGATCAGGGAGAGGCGATACGACACGACGCTGACATTTCGCTCGTCGCATACAGACCTCAATGGCTCGCAGATTGTCACTGACGGTGGGAGGTTGCTCGTCCAGTCGGGAGCGTAGAGGCGCCGCCATGACGATGTTGTCTCGCTTCATAGAGTCTCCATAATATTCAGCTCATTCTCATTGCGCGCCACCACCATCGCCCTACTAACGGCGACGTTGGCGTTGGTATCTCGCGCACCGGCCCGTCCCCGGCGAGTCTCGCACTCGCGCGTGTGTTGAGGATTATCTTGTCGCCCCAAGCGTCGTCGCCGTCGCAGGTGGAGCTGGCGTGCTCTCGTCGTGGCGCTGCGACCGTGCATCTCCTGCGCCCGCCGTCCGCCCGCTTGGCCTGCGCCGCTTCGCCCGCGCCGTGGGTGCGTGGGTGCGTGACTGTGCTGGCTGGCCCGGCCGCCTTTTCAACGACTGCTGCGCCTTCTTCCACGCCCTTCTTCCTTTCCCATCAACACTACCACCAACAACAACACCCACACAAACATGTCTGTCCAAATTGGTATCAACGGGTGAGCACGACGCGTGAAGATGCCGCGCGCGCCGCGCATTTTGTTCTTGGTCACTTACGCTGCCTCCGCCGCAGCTTCGGTCGCATTGGCCGCATCGTCTTCCGCAACTCCATCGCCCACGGCAAGGCCGATGTCGTCGCCATCAACGACCCCTTCATCGACCTCGACTACATGGTCTACATGCTCAAGTACGACTCCACCCACGGCCCCTTCAAGGGCGAGGTCAAGACCGAGGGCGGCAAGCTCATCGTCAACGGCAAGGCCATCCAGGTCTTTGCCGAGCGTGACCCTGCCCAGATCCCCTGGGGCAAGGCTGGCGCCCACTACGTCGTCGAGTCCACCGGTGTCTTCACCACCACCGAGAAGGCCGGCGCTCACTTGAAGGGCGGCGCCAAGAAGGTCGTCATCTCGGCCCCCTCCGCCGACGCCCCTATGTACGTCTGCGGCGTCAACCTCGACCAGTACGACCCCAAGGTAGAGGTCTTCTCCAACGCCTCTTGCACCACCAACTGCCTTGCCCCCCTCGCCAAGGTCATCAACGACAAGTTCGGCCTCGTCGAGGGTCTCATGACCACTGTCCACGCCACCACCGCCACGCAGAAGACCGTCGACGGGCCGTGAGTGCGGCGCCGCTGTGAAGCACGGCACTCACGCCGTGAAGCACGAGATATTGCGCTGCGTGCTAACGTCTCCCTTCCCCCCTCCTCTGCGCGCAGCTCTGGCAAGGACTGGCGCGGTGGTCGCTCCGCCTCGACCAACATCATCCCCTCGAGCACCGGCGCCGCCAAGGCCGTCGGCAAGGTCATCCCTTCGCTCAACGGCAAGCTCACCGGTATGGCATTCCGTGTCCCCACGACCAACGTTTCGGTGAGTGTTCGCGTCAGACGACGATGCAGGAGCCGTTGCTGACCTCGCTACCACGTCCCCGCCCCGCTCGCTACCACGTCGCGTCGCCGCAGGTCGTCGACCTCACCTTCCGCACCGAGAAGCCAGCTTCTGCTGACGACATCAAGGCTGAGATCAAGAGGGCTAGCGAGCAGGAATTGAAGGGCGTGCTTGGATACACGGAGGACGCTATCGTCTCCACTGACCTCAACAGTGAGCTCACTAGCTCTCAGTCAATCTTGAGTCTGGTAGATTCTCACGCGATCGCGTGTTCCCCTTCCCCCTCACAGGCACGACCTACTCGTCGTACTTTGACGCCGCAGCCGGCATTTCTGTTCGTACAGTCGCTCCTTCGCTAGCACGGCATGCCCGATGTGACCGCGCGTCGCTACCACGCGGGGATGCCGTGACCTCGCGTCGCTACCGTCTCCCATAGCCGTAGCCGCTGACCATACTCTTTCCTCTTCCTCTCTACCCTTCCCTGCGCTTCTACTGATATGTTCAGCTCAACCAAAACTTCCACAAGGTCGTCAGCTGGTGAGTCATTCGTCGCCGTGGGGCTCGCCGTCTGGGCGTGCAAAGTTCCTCTGACCGTCCTCCTTCGTCCATCCCCTTTCACCTCCGTCTGGGACAAATTTCGCCCAAATTCAGGTATGACAATGGCAAGTATCTAAAGCAATCTTTACATCTCAGATGACGATAGGGGTCCCCTACCGTAGCCGGAGACCTCTCGCCCTCGAGGCCGGCTCTGGGAGCAGTAGCGGGACCCCTGACACAGGAGGACCGCTGGAAATGCCTTGTAACTAACCTGACGTCCTTCTTCCTACTTATCCCTCTCTTCGCCGTCAACAGAGACTGGCTACAGTGCGTTGGCTTCAGGATCGACGTATAAGCCTGTCACGCGCTGACACCACCTCCTCCCTCCTCTTCCAGGTATGCGCGTCCTGGACCTCCTCACCCACGCCGCGGCCGTCGACGCCAAGTCTGCTTAGTGCGTATCGAACAGAACGAGCTGCAGAGCATCAAGAAGGTGAGGATCTCGACCTCCACCGCTACCATCGTAAGGATTGCGACCCCCCATCAACGAATCGGTCGCCCCAAAGAGGAGGCGCTGACTTCCTTCCGTCCACGCTCCCCGCAGCTCGAGGCTCTGATTTTCGAACATCAAGACTGCTATCCGTCTATCTATCTTCTTTCCCTTAGAATGAAAACATCGTCCTCCTTTCTTGAGACTGATTACCCTGCCGGTCACCGTGGAGCATGGCGAAGTCGGTTAAGGGATGGCGGGCCGAATGAGCTTCGCAAGGTGGCCCGTGCGTGCCCGCGCTTCCGTCGGACTTGCGTCGAGCGGTGTTGAGCAACGTGTGCGTAGCGTGCAGAGCAAATGAGATTGATCTGGAGCAGAGCAGGAAAGGGTCAGCCCAAAGATCATGCTGCCTCAGGCGAGCCTCACATTAGCAGCAAGGTCCTCGAGACTGCATCACCGACGCGATTCCCCCGCATCCTTGGCCTCGCCTCGCACAGCACGCAGCGTAACCGATCGCAGGGCCTTGATCCAGCTTCAGCATAATTCGGCGCCTCGCGCACTCGCTCGCTCATGACCTCGTCGCCGGCTCGTTTCGTCCCATCGTATTGCTGAGGGCCATACATCCCCTCTTGTTGACTCGCTCATTCACGCACGCAATGTCTCATCCATCGGTCGGGAGGAAGCAGTGTCGTTCCAACGTCAGGGCTGCGCTCGTTCTCCTCATCATCAGCTCCCTTCCACCGCTCCTGCAGATGCAAATTGCTCGGATTAGGCAAAGTGCATCTTCTTGTATCTTCGATTCTACTCTAGTAACATGAGGTGTCATGGATATGAGATGTTGACGCTCATGGTGAGCTTTCTGGAACTGGCCGCCTCTATCTAATCTTCTTGTTTGTGACCACGGCTCTCCGCGCCGCCTTCGCGTCATGCCTCCCTGCTCTTCATTCCCCTTTCACTTTTCCTTGCGCCGTGAAGTCTTCTCGTTCGGCCACGATCTCAACTCCTGCCATGCATCCCGCTCTCAAGACTCCTCCTCCGTCTCGCTGCCGTCAGAATCTTCTTCATCCTCTTCCAAAGCCCTGATCTTCTCCCTCTCCTGCTCCCGCGCCTCCCATTTCTCGACAAAGATATCCAGAGCTCGCCTTGTGCTAGTGTGCTCGACTTCGTACTCCTTCGTCTTGGGCCCACGGACGAAGACTTCTTCTGGGCCCGGTTGATCCTTGCGAATCCATCTACCCCTTTTCCGATTGAGGAGACGATGTCTCGCGGGATTATGACGGCAGCTTTCAGCCCCAGCATCGTCCTCCCAGTGTCCTTGATGTTGATGGGGAAGTCCTCGCCATCGAGCAGGATGAGCTGATCATGGATGGGAATGGGCCTTTTGCATCCGTTACCATACAGCGGCTTCGTTGGCAGCTTGCATGCCTTGCGGCAGTCGTTCCGCGCCTGTCGCATCAGGCGGGTCTTCTCTCCCGCCAGCATGCACCATTCGTCGGGTGCGAACCCTGTGGGATCGTCCCTACGCTTGAAACAGTAGTAGATGTCTTCGCTACTGGCATCGATGCCGATGGTAATGTCAAAAAGCTTGACATCAAGGCCGCCAGGCGGAGGTGGAAAGCCCTGCCCATCATGAGTCCTGCTCAATTTTCCCTCCACCCGCAGACTGTTGCGCCATTGCCCATCTGACGGCTTACAAGCTGGGCGGAGCTGGCCCGTGGCAGCCGCAGTTGCCTGGGAGAAGTCGCCGCCTTCCATCCCTACCTCTTTGACGTATACTCGCGACCAGCGGCGCTCCACGTCTGCCTCACCACCACCACGACCTCAGTCGCATCTCTCTCGACCTCTACCCTCACTCCCACTCGGAGTCCTCATCGTCCGAGTCGCCCGTCCACTCGCTGTCCTCGCTATCCTCGTTGCCATCCCCGTCCCTCTTCTGCTCTGACGCCCTCTTTGCGGTCTCCTTCTCCGCCTCTTCTGTCTCCTTCCTTGCCTCCTTCTCCCTCCTCTCTTGCTCCTTTCGGAAGGCTTCGACAACTGCGGGGACGTTGGTCGTATTGACCCTGTACTCGCGTGTCGACCTTAGCCCTCTCACCTTGAGCATTTTGGCGCCGACGTCAACACGCGCCCATCCTTTCACTCCCTTGCCAAGGACATCAATGGCATCCTTTTGCAACCCGACCTTCTTGTCGACCCCAAGCATGCGGCACATACTCGCCAGAATAAAGACGGGGAAGGTGCCGTTGCCGAGCAACTCGAAGTGCTCGTCGAACGACATCTTCTTGGCGCCGTCATGCGTGAAGACGGGAAGCGGAGCAAGGTCAAGGAGCTGTCGACAGTGGTTGATGACTCGGCGGGTTGGAGTGTAAAGCTTCTCGTCGGGAATGAGGTTCCACTCGTGGGCAGCGATGGGCGAAGAGTCACCGCGCTCACGATACGCGTAATAGACCTTGCCCTCCCGCGCATCGATGCCGAGGACGGCGTCGAACTCGATCGGCGCCCGCTCCTTGTCGGCAGGAGGCAGCCACTGATTGCCCATCTTGTTTGATTTGCCGAGCTTCTCCCGGATGTTGGTGCGCCAATCGCTGTTGAGCGCGGAGCACGACTGACGAAGGCGGCCCATCATGGCGGCCTCGGCCTGAAGCCGCAGCTCCGGCAATATGTCAGGGATCGCGGGCGCCTCGGCAAGAGCGGCGACATCGTCGAGACTGGCGAGAAGGGACAGGGTATAGCTGCGAGAGGTTGCTCGCCGAGAGGGAGCGGGCCATGAGCTCGAGAAAGGCGGCAGCCACGTTCGGTAGCAAGTAGATGCGCGGCCACTCGAACATAGATGTCTTGCTCTCCCCGTTGGCATGGTGAATCGTAAGTTGGAGGCTGTACCCCGCTAGGATGCGGTGATGGTTGATGCCAGCCATGAGCGCCAGAGGGAGGTGAGGGCTGGAGCGGGGCTTCAGCTCCAGCAACGCAGACGGGCCGTCGGAGGGGAGCTTCTTAATACCCAGCTCGTTAGGCATATTGTCCGTCAAGGTGACCAGACTCTGGCCATTGCCTCCCAGCACGGCCTGCGGCAAGAAGAACGCGGCGTAGTTCTTTGTCGTAGACCTCTGGTTTTGCACCCTCACGGATACGCTGCCCTCCGCCATGGCCTCGATGCAGGCGCGCTTCGTCTCCTCCTTCTTTGCTGCCTTGGCTCTCTGCCTCTCTTCTTTCGCATTTCGCCTCTCTTCCTTCGTCATCGCTACGCTGACTCGCTTCGCTGGCTCCCTTTGAGCCCAGTGTCGGATACCATAAAGGCATGCTGTGCTGTTGAGTCCAACGATGCGGGGAGGGCGGCCGAGGTGCTGATGAATGCGGCTGCTGTACACGGCGTTGCCGCGGTACGAGAGCCAATAAGCCGCCATGATGGCCTCGACGGCCAGGGAGCTTGCGTGCGCAGGACTTTGACGTCCTCAGCGCGGTCAATCCAGGCAAGGGCCGCCGAGAAGTAGTTCAGAGAAACTTGATCATCCTCTGGTAACTCGACCGCCACGTAGATCTCCCAAGAGGAGGCGAGGACGAGCGCCGAGTATACGAGGCGGCGAGGGGCCTGCTTGTGCCCATTTTGGTGATCCTTCGACCTTCGCCGCGGATTGATGGTGATGCCATTGTATAGGCCGTTTCTTCCACCTGTTGCGCAACGGAAGAAGGGGCATGGGTCAGTCGAATACTAGCCTCCAGCGCTGCGTTTCACGCTTACCTGGCTGCGTCGAGCCCGCTTGACGCTGCGTAGGCAGGTCAGCAAATATGGCATACGCCGCGGAGCCTCTGCAGTCCTTCAGCTTCGTGGGCTGCTGGGCGAGCTTTGCGACGTCCGCGAGGCTCTGGCACTTAAAGACGTCGAGATTGACATGCTTGATTAGCCAGGGCAGGAAAGAAGGCGACTGCAGCATCAAGACGATGAAGTCGGCCAAAGCCGAAAGCATTGCCTGCCTCGAGGACTGCTTTGACGCTGATGGCGAGCCTGTCCTGCACGTCCTTGTCGGTGCGAGGGAGGTACGAGGGAGCGGCAATCTGCTCCGTGATGTAGAATGAGGGCGTCTCTGTGCGTGATAAGGACAGCATTAGTCCACATTTGATTCGGAAAGAAGTGTGGCTTGATGCTAATCCATGCTGCTCGACGATCATCAGATCCGCTCGACTCACCCTCGTATCCCTCAAGCCTATCACCCTCGATGTCGACCAGGTGGTTCCCCGCGGCGTCCTCGAGCTCCCGCTTCACGGCCATGGTGCCCGCGGTTGAGGGTTATTTGTGAGTCCAGGAGCAAGGTAGCACACCGTGGCGGACGAAGTGACTGCTGAGCTGAGGTTCGGTTAGACTAGCCTGCGCTCAGACCCTTTCTTTGCACCTGATGGTTTCTTGAGCTCGAGTCTGGGTCTCCTTCAGCTCCCTCTCTTTTGATCTATCCCTTTGAATCGACGTGCTTCATATCACTGTGACGTCTCTCCCTCGGTATCTTCTCCGCGGTCCACCTCTGTGATCCATCGTGAGGGCGAGCAGAGCAGGGTGGCACTAGAACTCCCACTCATCCCTGGCGATGCTGAGAGCTGCGTATAACAGACGTTGAGGGGCGTTCTTGATATCTACTTCATGAGCCAGCCAGCGCGAATGCGGATTGATGGTGATGCCGTTGTAAACTCCTCAAGATCCGGCTATGGAGCGAGGGGAAGGCGCGAAGAGGTCAGCTATGCAGTCATAGCTCGTGTATAGGCTTGACATCCTCACCGGGTACTTGGGAGCCAGGCGCGTGCTGAGCGGGAAGGGTGGCGAAGAGAGTGTTCGCCGCAGACCCAGACGCAGTCTTGAGCATGGCAGGCGGAGTGTCGAGGTCGCGGATCTCTCAAGGGCTGCCGCACTTGGAGACGCCTAGATTGGCGTTCCTCGATATGTACGGCATGAAGGCGTTCGACTCGAGCAGCTCTTTTATCTGCGTGTTCAGCCCATAAGGAGGACTGCTGGCGGTCGAGATTGCTGCCTGTCTACATAGGTCAAGGCGAGCTCGCACGCCGTCGTCCGTGGTAGGCAGGGAGGCTGCTGCAGAAGTGGGCTCGAGGACGTAGTAGTCCGGCGTTTCTGCGGGCGACGGCAATGGCGGGCAGAGAAGAAGAGACGATCAGCTTCTCGCTCGGCCAGAGAATCAGCTTGACGAGCGCTCACTTCCAAAGCCCTTGAGGTCAATGACCTCCGTGTCGAGGTCGGGCAGCGCTGGCGACTCCTCGCGCTCGTGCTTGATGGACATGACTCTGTTGAGAGGCACGCGGAGAGAAGCCGTCGTCGCATCGTCTGCGCCTTGCTCGTCTGCCCAGCGTTGCCTTGCTGAGCGCGCGTGCTTGTGCTCGAGGCCATGACGGTGCCCGCGTCGGTGACGGCTCGCTCAGCAGATTCGTTGGCGGGACGAAGAGCCTGCGTCCTGGCAAGTCTCTTTGCTTGCGATCGAAGGCGTGAGCTGGGTGAATTGCTGAGCCGTGGCATGCTCTTCTTGGGGTGACGAGTTACGAGTTTTGAGAGTGGACAAAGAAGCCGAGTGGAAGACGCGATCTGCAGCTTGCCTCTTTGGCCAGGACTACGATGGCGAGCAGGTTGGACAAACCGTTGGCGAGACGGTTGTAGATGGCTGTGCTGACGCCGTAGCCGTAGGGAACTTGAAGCCTGCGGGGCTTGACGTCGAAGGGCGGTGTCATTGACGATCATTGCGACCTTGTATGCCATCTGAGATGCGGGACGATATGTTGAGATTGAACGAAAGTGAGGATGACAGCGACGAGGCAAGCTGAGCAGCGGGGAAGCGGGGCACAGCGTGAGCGGGGGATCTTTAGGCATGCTTGCCTTCACTACCACGTCGTGTTCTTACCGTTGTGCTCATGATGCTCAGCACCGGCGTGCAGGCGCTCTCGCTAGTGCCACACTGCCTCGGAGCGAGGCAGCGAGGCTTATAGAACAAGCGCTTAACCTCAGCAAGATGACGGCGAGGGCGGTAGGGCCACGCGATCATGGTGAGTGGACGGATGCACGATATGGGAGAGATGGGAGGAGTGGGGAGGTTGGATGTATGGCTGGCCCAACGACGTGATTGGTTTGCGAGCCTGCACAGCCACCGCCGACGACCGAGTGATGATTGCTCTCTTCGTTTGTGACTGCTCGACGAAAGTGTTCCTGGCCCTTGGCAAGGAACAACGAGGGGCGTCCGTGCGCTGGGCGTCGTGGCAGGCTGTCTGTTGGTCTGGGCGCGGCGGGGCGGGGCCGGCGGACGGTTGCGCCGTCGCCGACGAGGCTGCATCGACTTCTTCCTTTCCATCCTCGCTCGCCATCCTCGCCCCGCGAACCACAGCTGCGCTATCATGGCCACATCAAGAGGGCTTCTTGCCCCGCTGATCGCCTTCCTGCTCCTCCTCCTCCTCACGACGCCTGCCTCAGCCCTCTCCGCGTCGGGGCAGCGCGTCCTCGTCGTCACCTCTTCGAGCGGCGAGGCTGCACACTACTCTGCTCTCTCATCGCACCTCGAAGGCCGAGGCTTCTCCGTAGCTCACCGAACAGCGCAGGGTGGTGATGCTGCACAGAAGCTCACAGAGTTCGACGAGCGACGATTCGACCACATCGTCTTCCTGGCGGACGACGTCAAGAGTGGGTGTCCGCGCGCGCCTGCACTCCGCTGATCGCTGACGTATCCTCCCGCACGCACGCACGCACGCACGCACGCAGAGCCCTCCGACGATCTCTCGCCTCAATCGCTCGTCGAGTTCAACAAAGCTGGCGGGAACATTGTGTTTGCCTACTCCCCCCAACGCTCAGACTGGCTCCGCGATCTCGCTCGCGAGTTCTCCCTCGAGCTGGCACCCTCTGGGCAGAAGTTGGTGGACCACTTCCACCCAGCCAAAGACGGCAGTATCGAACTGCGTGGTACTGCACTGGTCGAAAACAACGTCGTATGGGACGCAGAGACGCTCCAGGAGGTGAAGCGCGAAAATGCCATCCTTCTCAAGGACGCCAGCCCTCACCTGGTCGGCAACAATCCACTCGCCTTTCCCCTCCTTCGACCCGATTCAACGTCATACGTGGGCGGAGAGGACGGTATGCCGGCTTGGCTGGGCACAGAGCGCTCCCTCTCTCTCGCCTCGGCCTTCCAGCTTCGCGACTCTTCTGCGCGGGTCGCCTTTGTAGGGTCAAAGCATCTCCTCAGCGATGCGTCCCTCCTCTCGTCGCGCGCTACTTCGGCGCTCATCCATTCTCTCACCTCATGGACCTTCCAAGAGCGCTCTGTCCTTCGCCTCGAACGCCGCAGCCACTACCGAGTGCGTGAGGGCCCCGCCGACGTGCGTGAGAGCTACGAGGAGCCCGAGGAAGGCGGGGAGGCAAAGATCTACAGGATCAAGGACAACGTCCGCTACAGCATCGATGTGGCTCAGCACGACCCGGTGCGCGGGTGGGTGCCCGCCCCCACCAACTTGGATCTGCAGGTCTCACTCAATATGATCGATCCATTCATTACGGCGAAGCTCGTGGCGGAGGACGCCTCACAATTCTCGAGCAACGCCGCGCAGTTCCCTCCGCCTCCACAGCAGTCCAACTCGACGACTCGCTACTCGACGACGCTCCGCTTGCCGGATCGCCTCGGCGTCTACACCTTCCGCCTCAACTGGTTCAGGCACGGCTGGACGTACCTCGACGACGTCAAGGACGTGGCGCCCATTCGCGCTTTCAATCATGATGAGGGGGAGCGTTTCCTGCCTGCCAGCTGGCCGTACGCGGCGGCGAGCTTCTCGACCATCGTTGGATTCGTGGTCTTTGTTGTGCTGTGGCTGCTCGGCGGGGATGCAGAGAAGGGTGGGAAGGGGGAGTGAGGCGCGAGGGCAGTGGAGGCGTGGGGGATTCGCCTTGATGTCGTACATCCCGCGAGCCATCGATGGCACGCAAACGACTCTGTCTCACTCTCTTTGCTCTCTCGATATAATATGCCATCCTGTCAACGAGCTCGCCCGGCTGCGGCTAATGCTGTACGAGCCGATTGCCTCAAGCGCATACGCAGCTCTCCCTCCGATCCTCCGGCTTGCTTCTGGCTCGTTCTTCTTCGCTTCTTGTACCTCGAGGTACCGTGTCTCGCGTGGTGGTGATCACAAGAGCGCCTAGGACGCGGCATTAGTGATCCACGGCGGCGCGACTGCCTTGGCGCCAAGGGTTGCAGCAAGCTTAGAGCTTCCAGAGGCACCAGAGGCACCGATGCGATCAAGAGACGCTACCATGGCTCAGCATTGACTTGGCGCGGGTACCAAGGAAAGCGATGCCTGGGCGGCTTCGCGCTCTTTTGACTTCTGAGCTAGTCATTCAATGGGCCCCGATCGTCGTGTGGGGTCGTGACGCAAGCTCAGTAGCGGTGACGGGAATGACAATGTGAGCATGCGCTGCACACACAAAGAGATCACACACGCGATATAGTAGCTGACCGATCAAGCAAACAAAGGTAAATGCAGGGCCAAGCACTAGCGCCGCCGTACCTCGCATTCTAAGAAAGCTTCCCTGTCTGCGGGTCTGACGACTCACGACTCGCGATGACGCTGGTCAAGATCGCGAATAAAGTCGAGCTTGTCATCAGCATTTGTAAGCCGTTACGTACGCTGCCGCAAGAGCCCGCGGCCTGATCGCTACCACCGAGCTTCGAGCAAGGTACGGCCTGAATGGGCCGCACCCGCAGCCGATCATTATTCCGATCGCCACTGACTGGCTTTACGAGCGTTTCTCCAAGCTCAACGAGATGTTCTACCCCCCACCTGCTAAGCCCGGCAGCGGCTGAGTCCGGCTGATTATGGATTCCCGTCGCGTCGCACCCAGGGTCCTCAAGAGGCCCCTTGCGTGGTACGGTGCCGAACCTTAACCCACAGACGCCGCGAGCTCGGCAGACGGGTAGGCGACGGCGACAAGCAAGGAGATTCCAATGCAAAGGGGTTTAGTGATGTTCGATCCTCTTCGATTTTTTTCGTGCTCAGCTCTCCATGTTACAGCGGGCGACAATGATGCCGAGAGGGAGGGAAGATTGAGGGCGTGAGACGGCCATGACATCGCTGCATGCAAGGAGCATTAAGTCCTAGTCACTGCAATGCACGGAGGCCTGCTCATTAACATCCAGGGCAATGTGCTTAGGCAGGGCGCAAAGCTTGCTTGTTGGCATGCCATCGTCACCGCCGCCCTTGGCGAAGAGTGAGCGCGCCGATGAGCGCATTAGCATCTGTCAGCTTGATAGGACGCTAGCTTTGAACGTCGACCATGATCATTCAATGACTTGGCAGGCTCGGTATTCGTGGCGTCCTTGCCACTCTGACACGCTCCAGACAGGTGACCTACGCCACGTCAGCAACAGCGCCACGAATGTCTCCCCAAGTTTCAGCGTCAAGTCTCACCTTACATCGCGCTGGCTCGACGTGATTCATAGGAGAACCGCGACGCGTCGAAGGAGAAGCGTGGGACAAAGTGCGCTGCGTCGCCCGCGATCGAGATGAAGTGCCGCGTCAGCGTGCAGGCCAAGGCGGTCTCTGCTCCACGACTCGTCTTCCACGCACATCGTCTGCGCCGGCCCGTCTGCACTGCTGCTTCGATCCTTGGTGCGATCTTGCTCCTCGTCCTCGATCGCGACCTCGATGTCTGGGGGAGTCACGGGCGGTGTATGTGATGAGAAAGGAGATTTCGTCGCAATGGCAATGAATCCTCAATCTTGCCTTTGTTACCATCGCTCCGTCCCGCCCCCGACCATCACCGTCTTTTCCTCACTGCTACTGCTTGCATTCCTACGGACTCACAGCTTTTCTCTCGTCGCGGCCCCTTGCCCGCCTACGGCTCCTTTGCAATCGCCCGCACCCGCAAACGTACCCGCAAGCGCAACTTCACTTGCGCCCGCTCCTCAGTCCGACGAAGCCCTTGCTTGTACGACTCGCCACTACCAAGACCGCACCGCTTGCTCTGCATTGCTCTTCATCATCGCTTCCGCCATCGTCTAGGCCCATCGTCGCCTCACCTTCTTCTAGCTCAGACGGTGGTCTCTGGTAGCTCGTCGCGCTCGTCCAACTCCCTTTGCGCACACATTGCTCAACGACTCTAAGGTCGACGGATAGCTAGCTGCATCCGGCGTCAAACGCTCACGCCTCGATTTCGACGGACCCCAGGGTCCAAGCTGCAAGCGAGCGAGGAAGACAAGCGCGCAAAGCCAAGCGCGCGAAGCCAGTCTCTCTCTCTTCCGCCCCAGCCGCCCACGGCCAAGTTTTCTTGGTGAGTTCCCGCGCTCTCGTGCCCTTTTCTGGTTGCGTCCAAGCTGCGTTCAAAGTCCGAAACATCCGCTACCACGTCGGCGACGAGAGGCGCTCCAAGTCGAAGTCTTGCTCTCGATCTGCTCTCGATCCAATTAGGCAGGCCAGGCTCCGCCTTGCTGTCAATGGGTCAGCAAGCAGCGTCAGCGGGCCCTTTCGCTTCGTCCTTTCGCATCAGGGTCGTCGCCGGTCAGGGTTTTCTGCCCGTTGGTGCGCTCTGATCCCCGTCTCTCGACAGCGACGTCGACGTCCGCGCCGACGACTGAGATGGCCGCATTTTGCTCTCGCCCCCACCAATCCACCCACGCTTGCAGTCGTCCTCATCGTCGTCGACGACGCATCTGTCCTCCTCACCACCACCCACGATTACCACCACACGAGGCGTCTGCTTCGACCCCGCATCGACGCACGCACGCACGCACACACACACACACACATTCCCTTGCTTCTCATCTCGCCTCGTTCCTAATCCGTATCGGCTCGCGATCCACGTCGTCGTCGCCGCCGCCCGCTGCCCGCCGCCCGCCCTTCTTTGTGGCGTTGCTTTGCGTACCACGATCTTGGTCGCTCGCGTCGCTCGCGCTGCTGCTATAAGGACGAAGAGATCTCGATCAGTCAACAGAAATGTCTCGATCCCAATAACGACTCTAAATCCTCGACGATACCATCGCGCATCCTCGTCTTTGCTTGCTCACACCTGCACACCTGCTCGTGCTCCCCATCAGCCGCTCGACGCTCGCCGCTCGCCATGGCCCCTCACGCCGACGCTCCTGGCCCTCACAAGAATCTCATCGGCCACCGCATCGCCGATGGGCGTCTGGAGTTGGTCTCGGTGCTGGGTCTGGGCGCATACGGTGTCGTCTACTTGGCTCGTGATCTCCATCATCCTGCCCAACAAGACCGACCATTCGCTGCTTCATCATCCTCTGGCATTCCTCGATCGTTGGCAGCGTCCAACGGTGGCTCCGCTGCCACGGGCTTCTACGCCGTCAAGTGCCTCTCCAAACAAGGTCTCGATGCTCGTCAACGCTCCTTCCAGCGCCGCGAAATCATGCTCCACACCATTGCATCCAATCACCCATCAGTCGTCACTCTGCACCGCGTCATCGATGCGCCCGAGGATCCCTGCGTTTATGTCATTCTCGACTACTGCCCCGACGGTGACCTCTTCAGCATGATCACCGAGCACCAGCGCTACCTCGTACCGGCACCAGAGACGTACGCTCAGCTCGAGGAGGCGGCCATCGAGCAAGCACACGCAGCCAAGATTGACGCCGATCTCTATCTGGCCAAGCACCGCGACGCACTCAAGATGCGAGCCCTTGAGAACGCGGAGCTCTACCTCTCGGAGCGTGCAGCGATGGACTCCCTCATCAAGTCCGTCTTCTGCCAGATCCTCGACGCCGTAGAATTCTGCCACTCGTACGGCATTTACCACCGTGACCTCAAGCCAGAGAACATCCTCTGCCTCCAAGGCGGCAACAAGGTCGTCCTTGCCGACTTTGGTCTAGCTACTGGGGAGAAGTCTTCGACCGACTTTGGGTGCGGCTCAACTTTCTACATGGGGCCCGAATGCCAAGGAGGCATCACTAGCCGTCTCAGCGAGTACAGCACAGCAGCCAATGACGTGTGGTCGCTGGGCGTCATCCTCGTCAACCTCATCTGTGGGCGCAATCCATGGAAACAAGCTTGCACCGCAGACGAGACGTTCCGCGAGTATCTCCGTCGCCCCGACTTTCTCATGGACATCCTTCCCATCTCAGAAGAGGCCAACGCCATACTCAAGCGCATCTTCACCGTCCGAGCAGACTGGCGCATCAACACGCGCGACCTGCGCAAGCTCATCCACCAAGTCCGTCACTTCACCGTGACCGACGACGAAATGAGGGCGAGGGAGCACAGGAACCGAATCGCGCTCGCACAGGCAAAGGCGGCCCACAAGAGTGCGGCGCGTACGCTCGCAGATCGCCGCTTTGCTCAGCAGCAAGAGGACCAGCGCCGGGCTGCGGAGCAGCGCTCTCTTGCTCACCAAGGGCAGCAGTCTCACACTCACAGCCGCCGCCACGTCACGCACGACGCTCAGCAGCGATCGCCTCAGCCTTACCACAACGCGCTCTACGCCGAGGCCTACGACGATGCGCCCGATAGCGAGGGCTCGACGGACGAGGAGGGTGACGACGAAGTCTACTACGACGAGGAGGATGGCGAGGAGGACGATGGCACCGCGTGGAGCGACGAACGATCCACCTCATCGCGCAATTGGATGCACGCCCGCCTTCAAGACCAGCACGAGTATTCTTCGCACTCCAGCGGCAGCACGGGTGCCTCTTCCTCCTCCTCGAGCGTCCCTACTAGTCCCGAGTCAGCCACCGCCTCTGCCGTGGCCATCTCTGCGCGCAAGTCACAGCACAACGCCAGCCCTCTCCGCCAGCAGCGCCGACGCGAGACTACGGATGAGACGGCCACTCCGGCCTCGTCATCGTACGACGAGGGCAACCTGTCCGGGAGTAGCGTCAGTGGGGATGAGTCGACGAGCTCGAGACGCAGCTCCTTCTCGTACACCGGCCTGCCACCCACGCCGCGCTTCACCACTCAGCCCACGTTCTTGGATGCTGGCGGGGAGCAGTCAGAGATGATCGACGATGCCGACGTTCAGCAGAGGTTGAGTGCACTCGCTCTCCGCGCCAAGAAGGCTCCGGTCACGCCGGCGACACCGCAGCAGGGAAACGACCGCCGTCACCACCAGCAGGCCATCTACGGATGAGCAGCACGGTTCTACCACAGGCTCGACTACTTTGTATCATTATCCACAGCGCGGTCACCTCACCTTCGGCCCTATCCACTTGCGAAACACCACCTCGACATTGCTCCGCCGCACCGCAGCGCATCGCTCCAGCCCATACTACGTCGTCACCGCCGCCGCCCACATTCCCGCCATGGACAGGGCGGAAAGAACAGTTGTCCCCCTCCCCACGCTCCCTGCCACTCCCACATTGCTTGCTTGCTAGCAGCCTGACCGAGCCATCCCATCCCCGCATCACGCGGTGAATGGCAGCTCCGTGTCTCAAGGCGCGCGCGCGGCTCCTTCGTCTCTCGTTTGCCTCCTTCTTTTCGTGGTCGCTCCATATAGCTCTTACTACTTTGGTCGTGCGGCCCCGCTCTCCCTGTTCGTATGAATACCCCCGCACTTCTATGTTATAATTAGCAACATGCGACTGCGCAATACACTGAGATATTGAGTTCCCGTGAGACCGAGAAAGCAAGATGGGCAGGCAGCTTGAACCGTAGACGCGAGCACAGAGGCAGAGAGACCGTGGCGCTGAGCTGAGTGGGTGGGCGTGGGCGCTGCGTGATCGTGGCGCCTTTTTGGGTTTCCGGAACCTTATGCAGGGCTTCAATAATCGCCCGTAGCCCTCTCCCACGCCTGTACCAATCCCGCTTCTTGACCCGCTTTCCCCCCTTAAAGGCTTGAGAGGGTCCGAAGAATGCCATTGAGGCTGCCTGCCCATTCCAGCAGTAAGGCTAGGTGGAGCTAGGCGTGGCGGCTTAGCCTTGAACAGATATGAAGCCGATACCCATCGGGATGCCCTCGCCGTCACGTCTGGCCGGATACAGGCGAGCGAGGCCGTCTTTCGCCTGCCCACTTGTCTGCTGCTGGGCAACCGCGACGAAGTCATGTAGCTTCTTCTTAAGAGATCCGGCTCAGCCTAAGCTCATCTCCCTTGCGGACAACGGCATCCTGGATGAGCGACAGTGAAGGAGACCATGGGATCCGGCTGGGATGGCGCAGAGGGCATTTCGCTGCTCTCAAGTAAAAGGTGCAAAGACCCTGCCTGCGAAGCGCAAAGTGTCTCTCACGAGAACTTGACACCCTCCATCCCTTCTCCTCTCTCGGACCCAGAGAAAATCTGCGCCTGGCCCTTTGCTACGAGCGTTTCGAGTGCGAGGCGAAGCAGCTGCGGCGGTAGATTGGCGAATTCTGTGCGGCAGTCGAGGATCCAGTCGTCAGCAATGGATCGTACAGCGACTTTTGCAGTGCCTGGCCGCCCTTGGTGCGCACTACGCCAGGCTCGCTGCACTCACCCTGGTCCTCGACGAGGTCTCCCTCGGTGAGCTCAAAGAAGGTCATGATGCTCTTGTCCTGGCCTGTAGCTACAATCCAGTCTCGGATGAGGCGGCCCCACTCGTCTGGCCTACGCCAAAGAATCAATGCCCTCTTTGCCGCCTGTTGCTGCGTCTTCCCCTTCTCTTGACCCTGACCCTGCCCTTCCCAAACAGCCCTACCCTGCTCCACGAGAAAGAGCAGCACCCTTGCCCTCCCTTGCGCATCTAAAGATCGCCCAATGGCCGGATTGCTCCACAGCCTGCCGTGCGATGCTGCATCGTCTGCGTCGAGATAGAAGGTGCGCGTCGACTTGCAGTAAGATTGAACGAGCGAAGACCAAGCAGTCAGCTGCGTCTTGAGGGTTGCCGGATTGGGTTGAAGAGTGAAGAATGGGGGAAAGGAGAAGAGGGTGGGTGGAAAGCCTGCTGCAGCCGTCCCTCCAGAGGCGGAGCTGCCTCCGAGCACGCTGAAGGGAGGTTGAGGTGATGCAGTGGACATCAATGGAGAGGATAGATGGATGAGGAGGAAAGGATGGAGCAGCAATCTCGCCTCAACCAACAATGCAGCGTCTCGCCGCAACGTCTTGCCGCCGTCCGTGCGCACCTCGTCGTCGTCCCGCGCACGTGGCTTGTGACGTCGCCGCGTCTCGATCAGCGACTCACGACTGGGACCCAACACTCGGCGCCGCCTCCGCCTTTCATCTTCTTCTTCTCCACCACCGCGTCCCCCTTCCCACGCCCACCACGCCGCGCAACATGGATTTCCTCTTCGGTACAAGCAAGCCCAAGTCGGCCTACACTGGCCTCGTAGACTTCTCACAGCCGTCTCTTTACATCGCAGCTGCGAGCATTGCGTTTAATCCTACGTGAGAGCGCGTCCGACGGCGAAAAAGAGATGTCCTTATGCCTTCTCACGCGCCTGACTCTCTCTCCCTCCTCTCCACACCGTCTCGCTCAGATTCTGGAACATCGTCGCGCAAAATGAGTACCACAACAAGACGATCACGCGCATTCTCGGCGGTAATCGCTACTTGGGCTGCTACATGCTCGCCTTCACCATCTTCTCCCTCGGCATCATCCGTGATCACCTCTACAACGCCGCTCTGCAGGACCAGCCCGCTCACCCTCTCCTCGAGAACAACCCAGTCGTCAAGGCTCTGTCCGCTGCCCTCTTTATTAGCGGTAACGTCTTTGTGCTCAGCTCCATGTGGGCCCTGGGCGTAACGGGCACCTACTTGGGCGACTACTTTGGGATCCTGATGGACCACATCGTCACAGGCTTCCCCTTCAACGTCATGAGCGACCCAATGTACTGGGGAAGCTCCATGAGCTTTGCTGGTGTGGCCCTCTGGTTTGGCAAGCCGGCAGGATTGCTCTTGACCGTCCTCGTCGTAGTGGCCTACACCATTGCGCTGCGATTCGAAGGGTACGTCGCAAGGAAGCGAAGAAGCGCGTCTGCTACGACGCGACAAGTGACTGACCTTCGTCCACTCCCTCGCACACGCAGCCCTTTTACCTCGCAAATCTACGCCGCTGCTGCTGCCAAGGGGAAGCGTTCGTCCGGTCTGGGACATGGAAGCACCAAGGGTCAAGCGGCCATTGATGACGAGGGACCGGCGCACCGTACGCGTGCTTCGACTGGGACGCCCGTCGGCAACAGCTCGTCCAACGCTGCCAATGGCGGTGGGTCCACGCCGGGCACGCCCAGCAAGAGGAGTACGAGGAGCAGGAAGAACTGAGGGAGGGGAGGAGTCGTGATAGGGGAGAGGCGGCGGCGGACAGAAAGTAGCTGTTGAGGACTGTGAGCCTTTCAACAGGCTTGCAGCGCAGGAAGAAGCGGAGGACGCGGTGGGACGGACCGAGCCGATGAGGCAGTCGGTTGCCGGTGTGATGATGAGTTACAGGTCGGCAGAGGACGGCGAGCTTGGAGGATGCGAAAGTCAGTGCAGCGCTGTGAGCGGAACCAGAGCGAGGGCCGCGGCGTGGAACGGCCGCTCGTCACCCATCTATTCATTCATCCGATGTACGTACGGTTGGCTGCGCACAATACCCATGATGCGTTGTGGTAGCTTCTCTTTCCCTCGGCAGCACGAGTCACGAGGGGCACCGATCCGGAGAGATACCACAGAAGACCTAAAGACTGGATGCATGAAGAGCGTCATGGGAAGAGGGAAGGAAGGAAACGGGCGTGACTTGTTGCTGTCGTAGACACGCCGGTACAACGTGGCTTCGCGAGGATTGTAGCGGTCGCGCAGTGGATTCAAGCGGCGATTATGTCGTCGAGAAGCTTTCTGGACGTGCTGTCCGCCCAGTAGCTTCGTGCGTGGTAATGGTCAAGACAGAAGGTGCGAGCCGCATTGGGAACAGGGTTCAACGACACTGACCAGCGCAAGGGGGTCGCCGTCTTGCTTCTTCGTACACCCGCGACATCGTGATCGTAGAGCTTGTTTGGTCAGCCCTCGCCTCCTTTCGAAGCGATAGCACATAGCAACCTCCAAAGGGCAAGAAGTTGAGGCAATAAATCGCATCACGACTCGTCGCAAGGCCAGAAAGCAAGGAAGCAAGCAAGACAGCCTCGGTAGGCCGGCCTCTGAAGCTGGAAGTAGCAAGGAACAACGAGAAGTCAAGCTTCCTTGTTTTTCCCACACCCTCAATCTTCCCTCTGCCCGTACGGCCATTGACCGTATTTGCGGTGCAGCCCGAAGCGATAAGGGTTCCTTGTTGTCCCTTGTCGTCATGGCGATGTACACGCCTGGGTGCTGGCTTGCCCGAAGTAGGTACGTCGATATCTAATGTGGGGGCTTGCGAGCTAGCGCGGGCATGAATACACAAATAGGCTCTCAGGGGACGCGATGTTGCGCAGTAATTGACGGCGAGAGCGCCGAGAAGACGACAGTGAGGCCACAAGTTGCGGCGCTACCCTGCCTTCGTTGCCCTCGGGCCCCGATGTGCTACGCTGCGACGGGCTGCGAGGTCGTCATCAGCATCGACTGCACAATGTGAGGCTGCAACGGAAATACCGCTCGAGGTACATTGTGCGCAAATCGATCAGGTCGCTCGTGGTCACGCGTTCTCGTGTTGGTCCTTCCATTTCCGCTGATCGATAAGGGTCAAGGCAATGCAGTGCGGCAGCCGTCGCGAGGTGGCGTCAAGTCCTGCCGAGTCTAACAAGCTTTGCTAGCTGCCAACACGCCAAGCAGTGAGCCAATACGTGAAGGCCGCGTTACCTTTCGTGGGAAGCCAGCCATCATGTGAAGAAGCTCTTTCGCAAGGCCGGTACCGAGCTTCGTCGCGCATTGCATTGCTACCCAGACCGTAGGCCGTTGACCCTTGACAGGCGGCAATAGCGGCGGCGGTGGATGATGCAAGCGAAGATTGGACGGTGGCGGCGATCCAGGCTGGGTCATGCGCAGCCACTCTCTGGCTATACCATAGAGGTAGGCGATCCCAATGTCTCACGGTGTCTCGCGGGCGGTGCCGATCCAGAGCTCACCATAATGTCAAGTTCGTGGTCGTCGTCGTCAGGATCATCATCCTGGTCGCCCGAGGTAAAGTGTCAGCGGGTGCGGCTTGGCGGCTCAGGCGGCTGACAATGAGATGCTGCTGTAGCGTGTCGTCGCTTGTTCTTCCTGTGCATAGTCATCGTAGCCGGGCTTCCATCGAAGCCGTGGCGCCTGGAGTCGCTTTCCGCTTTGCCCTGCCGTGGGCGTGAGTGCGTGCCGGCGTGGGGGTGGAGAGAGCCAGGCGCGAGCAAGCAGAAGCAAGCAAGCGGCCAGCGGCAAGTCCGGGCGCAAGTCTCGGTCGCACTTGCCGGCAATTTCGTGTTGCGTTGCAACGAGCGAGGGAGAATGATGCCTCATCCTCGCGCTCCTCGCGCTCCTGGCACTCGCACTCACACTCGCCGTCATGGTCATACAGTGCGGATGCGGATCTCGTCCCTGGCAAGGCGATGGACGAGTTGATATCGCGAACACAGAGCCAAGCCAAGCAAGGAAAGCTGGAAAGCAAGAAGCGGCGCAATGTGAACTGAGCCTAAGTCAGCCACCAGCCACCGCCGGCTGGGCGATACCCAGATTGTAATTCGTCGAAAGTCTGCCTCGAGAGGGCAAAGCGTGTTAGCTCGAGATGCTCATGGCGAACGGCGAGTCATCTGCCGCCTGACGGCGTCATGATCGTGCTCTTCTTCCTCTCCATCACTCCTCCCCTTTGCTCACCTCCATTTGGTACAAGAAGGCGGCCAATGGCATTGCCACAACCTCGATTCTACCATCCCTCATCCCAGCCAGCCTCTTCCTCCTTCCTCTCAAACCTTTTCAGCTCCCCGGCTCGCCACCCTCCTCAAGCATAAGACCTCCCTCCACCTCAACCATAATGCAGCTCTCCCTCACCTTCGTCACAGGCCTCATCGCCGCTGGCCTCGCTCTGGCCGCCCCTGCCCCTACAGGCTCAGACGATGCTATGCTGCGCGTACCCCTCACCAAGCGCCGTATTGACCTTTTCGTGTCCGACGACAGTGACCTCATCGACGATGACAAGGTCTCTATCCACATCAAGAAGCTGCGCAACAAGTACTCGCACACCCTCGAGAACCTTGCCCTCCACGAGAACAACGAGCAGAAGCGCGCCATCTCCAACATCCCACTTGAGCCTCAGGGGCCTACGGCTTCTTTTTACTCCGGCAACGTTCAATTTGGTGGGCAGACGCTCAATATTGACTTCGACACGGGATCCAGCGACGTTACCTTGAACAAGGGAGCTTGGAAGCCCACGACCAACAGTGTCAGGACGGGCAAGCGTTTTCAAAACGTCTACGGTACCGCGGTGAGCTCAACCACCGCCCTCCTCGCGCATCATCTTGCCCATTCAACTGACTCACTTTGCCCAACACGCACGCACAGACCAATCGGAAAGTCGTAGAGGGTGAAGTCTACCAGGACAGCTTTGCCTCAGGCAACGTCAAGGCTTCCAAGGCCTCCATCGGCCTCATCACGGGCAGCGACAACATCATCGACGGAGCTGATGGACTCGTGGGGCTCGCATACCCTTCCATCTCCAACTACGGCTCGGCCCTCCCGCCGCTCTTCGACTCGCTGATGCAGCAGAACGCTGTTACCAATAAGGTCTTTGGCTTCTCGCTCGGCCCGCAGGGGTCTGAATTGACCCTGGGTGGCATCGACTCAAGCAAGGTGACTGCGAGCGGGCGATGTGATCAAAGAGAAGTCCATGAGAGCTCACTCATCACCACCTTTCCTCTTCGCTCACGCAGTACTCGGGCCAGATCACTTACACCCCCGTCACCAAGCAAGCCTACTGGGAAGTGGACGCCTCGGTCAACGGTCAACGCTTCTCTTCCCTCATCGACACGGGCACAACCCTCGTAGTGGCCCCTACGCAGCAAGCCATCTCCTTTTTCCGTCGCATTGGCGCTACGCCCACTCAAGCCAGGTCAGGCGACATCTATGGTGTAGTCCCTTGCAACCAGGTGCCCAAGATCACCTTCACCTACGGAGGCAAGCAGATTGCCATGGAGGGTGACAGCTCCGTCTTTGGGCGAGTGGACAGCTCGAGGTGCGCACTCAGCATCATTGGGGCCGACTTTGGGCAGCAGGCTTGGATCACGGGTGACTCGCTGCTGGTCAACACCTACACTGTGTTTGACCGAGCACAGAACAGAGTCGGTTTTGCGACGAAGAAGTAGGCGAGACGAGCTTCCCCTTGTCGACCTCATCGTCCCCTTCTTGTCCCTAGTCTCGAGAGCTGTTCAGCGACGTAACACCATCATCATCAGCAGCAGCAGCATCACAGTACGGTCCGAAACGCCTTGTTCCCACCTCATTTCCTTGTACACACTTGAGTCGAGACACACTTCACCACAATGTCATCCCTGTTACGAGAGAATGCTTGGCGTGACTGAAGTGAGCGCAATGTACAGCAAGAGGGGAGTGGGAAGAGGTTTGCGGGCAGCAGGAGACGAGCAAAAGCTGCCAAAGACGGAGCCCGGCTTGCCCTGCTTTTGCCAGGCAGGGACCTCTGAGAACCTTCGCATTCGAGCAGAGGCACGGTCTCGGAGACGCACAGCCACCATGCCAGGACCTCCGCTGTGATGCATCGCTCTTCACCTCGAGTCGAGCTTTGTCAAATGTGTGTATATGCCATTGCCCAATCTGGTGTCTCTCTGCTCGCCTACGCAACGCTCACAGGCTTGAAGCTGCTCGTCTGTCCTCTTCCACCAGCACCTGCTCCGCCAGACCCACCTCCACCCGCTGCAGCATCTTCATCATCGTCATCTCGTACTTCCTCCTCTCTTACCACGTCGGACTTGGCTGCTGCGGATGACGAAGAGGCTGCTGCTGCTGAAGATGATGAGCCGAGGTTGCCCGGTACCTCCCCTGCGAGGGGAACAACGGCTGCGCTCGAGTTGGTCGCTGAAGTCGAGTCCCTGCGAGAGCGGTCAGAGAAAGGAAGGGAGGCTCGGTCAGTGAGGGCTTCAAATGCAAGCGAAGGCTGATGAGCGCGCCCGCGCACTCACCACTTGATGTTGAACCTGGTCACCCTGGGCTTGCTGACGAGGACCTCCCTACGAACGCGAGTGAGGTCGACCTTCTCTGGTGGATTCTCCCTCTCCCTGTACGCAAGAGGTCGGAGATGGTCAGCCTCTCCTCCTTACCTTTAGCACCATCTCTCCCTCTTGACCGTACTCACTCCAACGTCTCATACTCATTATTCACGTAGTAGCCCACGCGAATGAACTCTTGATCCCTATAGCTCCCCGTCAACAAGATGACCGTCACGCCCAGTAGGTCCTCTGCAGGGATCTTGTCCGCCCCTGGTGCTGCAGCCTCGAACTCAAAGCTGTTAGTGCCCGTCGGGACCGGGCCGACGAGACAGTTGTCCAGCTCCTGGTCGTACTTTTCATCTTCAGCCGAGCCGACGTAGATGAGCTTCCATTCGAGGTCTTCGCTGAGAGGCGAGATGCACTCGAAAGTGATCTTGAAGATGTACGGGTCTGTGTGCGTGGGACAAGGAGGGGAGCGGGGCGAAGGAGGAGTGTGTGTGAGCGGTTGATGGAGCGGGAAAGTGCTATGAAGCTACACACCTGCAAATGCAGCGCTTGCGTTGAGAATCTCGACGGCCTGGAGATGGACGACGGACATGCTGGTCAGGAGTGTTGCGGTTCTATATGTTGCTGATGGTAGTGATGGGTGATGGTGTTGGATAGAAATCTGGAATCGAGTGCGCTCACATCTCGTCTGGGTCGCTCCGCCCGCCCATTCACCCAGGCATCCGCGCGTCGAGCCACTCTACGCGTGAGCAGGGTGCGACGCGTGGCGGGAAGGACACGCGACAGTGAGAGTGGGACAGGCGCACGGCGACGGTAACTGAGATCGGTATTGATATGGTGATGAATGGTATGATCGCTCTGAATTGTAATCGGCACACCCAGCTCTCAGAAAGCCGGTTTGGCAAGCGCGCTCCAGAAGTCGTCGCCCATCCACATGCCCTCGGCCACTGCCTCAAACATCTTCGCCTCACTCCCCTTGGACCTCTCTTGCCATTCGTTCATGCGGACTCCCTGCGCAAAGCTCGCCAAGTAGCGCTACGGGAGGGTCCTTCGAGCATGTCGCGAATCATGAGGAATTTGAGCTGCTTGCTCAGCTCAAGAGGTGTGACGCTGGCAGGAATACCGAGAGCGGCAAGGCGAGCGGGTCGGGTGGAGTTGCGTTGAGTGATGGAAGGGCAGGAAGAGGCATTGCTCGCGGTGCGAGACGAGGGTTTTATGCTGATCGTGTTTTCGGCGGTGGCGCTGCCGTTGCGCAGGGTAGCCATTGTGACTGGTGCGTAGGAGGGTGCAGCTGCTGCTCCGGCTGCGGCGGCGGGCTTGGTGCCGCTGCTATTGCTCTTCGTTTGCTTGGCACCGGTCGACTTCTTGATGTTGCTCATTCCCATGACCGCAGCCTTGCTCTGCACCTTTTCCAGCACTTGTTCAAGCGAGTCGTCCTTCTCTTTATCTTTCTTAATCTTCTCATCCCTTCGCTTCTTCGCAACGTGCTCGACAGAGACCCGCTCAATCGTGTCGAGAATCTGGTTCATGGTGTCCACGCCCTCTGGCCCACCCTTGGAGGCGATATTGCGCTGCCTCATGACGGCTAGGATCTCGCGCATGTTGGCAAGGGAGTCCACCTCCAGCTGCGCATCAACCTCTGCATCCTCGTGTGACTCGCAATCAGAGTTGCGGTGATCGACGTCGCCTGCGAGCTTAGCTGGGGTCGTTGGCTTAGCCTTTACCGGCGCAGGTCGCGCATGCGCATAGATGTGTCGCTGGACACCCCCAATGGAAATGCTCTGCTCCTTTCCCACGATGATCGCCCTCTCATCATAGTCGTCCTCGTTCCACCTCCACCAATCCACCCCACCTGCGGCAAGCAGATCCAAGTCCACCTCCGTCTCCGGCAGCAACTTCAATTCGCACGGCCCCACAACCGCATAATTGCGCACGCCAAGGATGGGAAGCAGCTCGACCTCCCCTGCGGCAAAGCTCTCCGCGTCTTTTTTCTTGCCCGCAATCGTCGTGACGTAGGGGCGGACGTCCTCTTCAATTCGATAGGTGGTCTTGCGCCTGATCTCAATCGCGGCAGAGATGGCTTGCTCGATTGCCCCAAGCGGGACGTATTCATCGTTTGCCGTGAGAGTAGCAGGTAGCTTCGTACCGCCGTCGTCGACGACAATGTAGAAGCGTAGGGAAGATGCTCCTGCGCCTCCTCCTGGTAGACGGAGACGCTCCCACTTGTCTTGGATCTGCGCCCAATTCTTGATGCCGAGCGAGCCCGCGGCGATGATGGATGGATTGTCGGGGTAGGGGCGGCTGGTGATAGGCAGGGCGACGGGAGGTTGCGAGGTGGCTGCAACTTGGTTGCTAGCAGGTGCACGGCTGCTCGTCGTAGCCTTAGCGGCACCGCCAGCACGAGGGCGAGCTCGTACGTGCGCAAAGATGTGCTTGGGATCGGCGTCCATCCACTTGCCGTTGCGCCACTCGAGCTTGTGTCCTTCTTTGTTGGTCTTCTGCTTATTCTTCTTGCTGCTGATCGAGTAATCGCCGGAGCTGCCGTCGGGAATGGTGGGAACGACACCGATGGGCAGCACCCACTCCTTGCCCTCTTCATGGGGCACAATTCTGACCTCATCCGGCCCTAGGACCTCGTAGTGACGAATGTCTAGCCTCGAAGCCAGCTGTGTCTCACCAGCCCCGTATCGCTTCACGTCCTCCTGATCGCCACCGATCGTCGTAACGTAACCGACCATTTCGATATCCTCGCCATGCTCATACTCATAGCGGCAGCAATCACAGATCTCGTCGTGGTTCTGCTGCTGGATGCTCTTGCGCTTCATCTCGTCCTGGCCACATTGCTCTGCTAGGCCGAGTGCGGCAGTCATAGCGTCTTGTGGGATGAGGGTGCCATCCGCCGCGAGGGTAGCGGATACGCGTGTGCCCTTGTCGTCGTCTGTCAACCATCGGCCAGTGTGCCCGTGAGCAGGGCAAGAGAGGTTGCGTGGGTAGCTCTGGCCGATCTGAGCGGGCTGGAGGTGTCGCTGCTCCTGCGCCTTGAGCTCGGGCGGGCATGGTTGAGCGTGCGAGTAGATGTGCCTGGGAGGCTGCTTGGTCGACGAGGTGACTTGCTTGACCTTGCGAAGCACCACGCTCTTCTCTGGGAATTTGAGCGTACCCATGGCCAGGAAGAGTGGGTCCACCTCCGTCTTGGGAAGGAACTTGACCTCGTCCGGTCCAATGACGGCATAGTTGCGGATGTCGATGCCGGTACTTGCGTCAATACGACCGGCCACGAAGGCTTCGGCGTCATTGAATTTGCCCGCGATGGTGGTGACGTAAGGCCGAACATCGTCCTTGGCCCTGTAGCTGGGCTTCTTGCGCACCTCAGTCGCAAGCTGAATGGCTCCTTCGATGACGTCGAAGCCAATGTACTCGCCATTGGGCATGAGCTGTGCTGGGATCGTGACTTGGCCATTGTGACCTTCCTCGATGTAGGTCACGCAGGTCGCTCCGCTTCCTCCGCCTAGGTCGAGGCCGAGACTACCCCATTGCTTCTGAGTGCGAGGGCTAGCCTTGATGAGGTCCGTGCTGGTGGCGGGGCGAGAATTGATGGCCGAGGAGGCAATGGCCTGTTGCACAGAGCGAGGAGTCGCACCGAGAGAGGCTGATTGGCTCGATACCTTGCTTGCTATGTTGGCCATAATCTGCACAGGGCTGCCCTTGGTCATGGACGAGACGCCAAGCGCACGAGGTGAAGTCGTAGAAGCTGACGCGGCCGACGAGTCTGACTTGGTAGCATTGGTGGCGCCGCGCGTCGACGTGGTGGGAGAGGCTGGCGTGGGTGGAGCAGGGTCAGGCAGAGTAGCCGTTCTCGTTGGGGTCTCCTCGACATCGGTCACATCATCGTCTTCGCCATCTGTGCGAGAAATGGAGGGATGGCTGGCTGTGAGTCGACTGATTTGGCGCTGCTCATCATCGCACTCAGCATCTACTGACCAGAGTGATGAGCATCTTCTTTTTTCTTCCTGTCCTTGTCTTTCTTGCGCTTCCTCCTACTCTTGGTATTCACCTTTCTCACCTGTCGATGGCAGAGGAGATCGAGGTGAGAAGTGGCAGAGGCTCTCATGATGTGATCGTGGATGGAGAGGAGTCAAGATTGGGTGAGGGCTGACCGGCTTGTATGCTGGGCTGAGCGGGCCGAGATGACAGACCCGAGTCAGCGTCGCACGAGCAAACGGCTTGCGACGGGCCTGTAACTGATGCTCGCTCAGCCATCGACGCTTCGACGATGTAGCGTTGATGGCAAGAACAGTGAGACCATCTCAGCAGTAGCTCATGACCTGCTTGCGACATCGCCCTTCCCTCTTTGACGAAATGCATTGTGAGCGGGAGAGAGAGGGACGCCGTGCCAAGCGCTCCGTGGGTCTCCCTGGCTGAGTTCCGAGTCCAACCAGTCGTCATAACCATGTGTGAATGATATCGGCATTGCCCACCATCTTCTCGGTTGCCCGATGGCTTGATCCTTTGGGAAGTGCGTTGCGCTGCTTCATTCGCGGCATCGTTCGCGTTGTTGGCTGGGTTGCTGCTCCCGCCAGGCGTCGATTGGTCTGTCCGTCAAGCGCGAGACGAGTCGCGGGCGCAGGAGGCGGCGGCGGGTGCGGCGGCGGGGGCGGGCTAGACTGGAGCTCCTTCCGCCCTTCGTTGTCACCACCAACGAACCATCACTTGACTCCTGGAGCAACGACAAAGGCAACCAAGGCCACTTGTCGAGCGTCTACATTAGCTGAGGGCGTTTCTGGGAAAGTAGGCTGCCGTCTCGTCAAGGCTTCTTTGGCTCCGGCCGCCAATTGCGCCTCGCCGACGATGCCGGACGCTCCGAGGCACGACGAAAAGCTGCCGCTCCCACCGCCACCAACAGCGCAGCCGCCGCCGCTATCATCGTCGATCCATCTGGGCAATGGGTATCATGCCGACGATGATATAAGATCAAGCACCATCAAAGTCGAGCAGACGTCGTCCCTATCGCCCTCCTCATCATCCATGCGCATGGCCCCTCCATCCGCACCGTCATCGGTGCCGCCGCGACCGCCATCGCCTGCTCAACAAGATGCGGTCAAGGTCGAGTCGTCAGGTGTTGATTCTCTGGCCCCTTCATCCTCATCCTCATCCTCGTCACGTTCTCCTTCTGCATCATCCTCATCCGCCGACGCCTCGTCGTCGTCCTCCTCTCCAAAGAAGCACAGCATAAATGGCGGCTCTACGTCGCGAGTACCGACTGAGCACAAGCTCACACAGGTAGCCACGTCATTGCCACCAAAGAGCAGGAAAAAGAAGTCTGCGTCATCAACAGCTATCCTCGATGCGCCGCCACAGATCATCGATCACCTACCGGAGGCAAATGACGAGGCCTTGAGCACTTTCACCAGGCTGGCAGACAACTGGTATGCCAACAAGCATATAGGCAGAAGCAAAGGCCATGAGTGGGGTCTGGTATGCGAGTGCAACTATAGGCCCGGTGAGTGGTGGTTGAACATCAAAAAGAGCATAGCGTCTCGCATCAGTAGCTGATCTCGTGCTCGCCCGCTCCTCATAGGCCGCGACGACATCTCCCGCGCCTGTACAGACGAAGGCGGCTGCATCAATCGCCTCACCCAAGTCGAATGCGTAGCAGAAGATTGCCGATGTGGCCAAGACTGCCAGAATCAACGTTTCCAGCGCAAGCAGTATGCAGACGTCGACGTCGTCAAGACAGAGAAAAAGGGCTTTGGCCTGCGCGCCAAGGCCTTTATCCCCGCAGACACCTTCGTCTACGAGTACATCGGCGAAGTAGTTGAGGAACACGACTTCCGCAAGCGAATGCAACGCTATCACGACGAGCGGGTACCTCACTTCTACTTTATGATGCTGCAGCGCGATGAGTACCTCGATGCGACAAAGAAGGGCGGCATTGCCCGCTTCATCAACCACTCCTGCAACCCAAACTGCTTTGTAGCCAAGTGGCACGTAGGCAAGCATATGCGCATGGGCATCTTCAGTCAGAGGGATATCGTCAAAGGCGAGGAGCTCACTTTCAACTACAACGTCGATCGGTACGGGAATGAGGCGCAGCCCTGCTACTGTGGTGAGCCAAACTGCGTTGGACAGCTGGGTGGAAAGACGCAGACCGACATTGGTGGTATGAGCAACCTCTACATTGAGGCACTCGGCATCGTGGACGAGGTTGAACATCTTCAAGCTCGTGGGTCCCGCAAGCAGAAGTCCCGCACGTTGGATGAAGACTTCAACCCTACGCTTCGCCCCATGGAAGAGGACGAAGTCTCCACCGTTGCAACCGCCATTCGTCAAGCTGCCTCATCCAATCGCAGCGTCCTCAGCAAACTCCTTGCCCGAATAGACATGACTGACGATGTGGCCGTGCAGAAGCGTTTCGTTCGCTTGCACGGCTTCGTTCTCATGTCTGGCGTTCTCACTGAGTGGCGCGACGATAGAGAGATCGTGCTGCTCTGCATCCGCATACTGGCCAAGTGGCCGCTTATCGCCAGGAATAAAGTGGTGGACACAGGCGTCGAGGGACTGGTGCAGGAGTTCAAGAAGAGCGAGGATGCTGAGATACAGGAATTGGCTGGGCAGCTCTACGATGCTTGGCAGCAGTTGAGTCTCGAGTTTCGAATCGCACGCAAGGAAGAGGGAGACGACAATGGCGCAGCGGGGGTCGAAGACGAGGAAATGACTGCCGCGGATGGGCTGCGTAGCCGGCGTCGACGTGATGACGAGGACGAGGCATCGCAGGCTATTCAAGATCGGATGGACTACGCACTCGACCACGCTCAAGCTCCAAACGACGTGTCGGCCGCATTGGAGAAGGCCGTTCCTCGACCCCTTGGTACAGCACCAAGCACACCCATCGGCGTACCGCGGTTCGGTCGTCCACCACCGGGTCGTCCTCTTGCGCCAGGATGGGGTGCCCGCCTCCCTCCACGCTCATCGCTAGGCAACGGAGTCACGCCAGGTACGCCCCAAACTCCTGCCGATGAGGCGGGCCCGTCCACGCCTGCCTCTCAATCCCAGCCTACTATGAGCATCGAGGAGATTATTCGCCGCGCCAACGAGGCGCAAGAGGCCGAGCGTAAGCGCGTGGAAGAAGAGGCGGCTAGAGAAGCTGAGGAGAGGAGAAAGGAGGCGGAGCGCGCCCCTCTGATTGGGAGCTCCAAGTCGAAGGGGAAGCATAGGGAGCGTGACAAAGATCGAGCCTCGCGAAAAAGGCATCGATCCTCTAAGTCTGGCGCGACTAGCGAGACGGGCACGACGACCAACGGCAGCAGCTCCTCGCACCCTCATCCTTCCGGCGACGAACAAGACGAGCAGCACAAGCGCCACAAATCGGACGATCGTGACTCGCCCCACAAGTCATCTGGCTCCGCCTCCTCTCGATCCCTCGACAAACGCCTTCACATCCTCATTTCCGAAATTGTGATCCGCCATCTCTCTAAGGAAAAGGCTCGTTTCAATCTCACCCTCGATCGTGATTCTTTCAAGCGACATGCCAAGGATATGACGGATATGGTCTGTGAGAAGGAGAAGAAGAGCGCGCGCGAAAAGGGAGAGGCAATAGAGGTTGCAGAGAAATTGGGACCGGACAAGGAGGCTAAGGTGAAGACGTTTGTGAGGGGGTATGTTGAGAAGCTGGTCAGGAGGAGGGAAGAGAAGGAACGCGCTGCGGCTTCGGGTGGCACAGCTTCTACGCCGTCAGAGTCGACCAAGACGACAGCACCAATTGCTGGTGCGCACTCTTCGTCGACGACAGGCACTCCAAGCTCTTCCTCCACGGCCACCTCTCGCACAACTGCGGTGACCTCCGTTGGTGGGGCTGCGGATGAGCAGACGTCGTCCAAGGGGCTGCCACCACCCGGCCCGCCTCCTGGACCGCCGCCGCCTCGTCCAGGATCGATTCCGGAGTCGTGAGCGAGGAGAAGCGGCCATATTCTAAGGATACAAAGGGGAAGCAGTTCGCAATGTGATCTTTCTCGATGCATCGCGCTCGCGTGGCTTCCTAATCGCATGCGCATTGAATTGTTTGCATAGAGCAGAGTCACAACGACACGCAAAATGGCCTCTCCCTTCATTCGTCCGCTCGGCCGCCCGTCCCCCACCTTTCATCCCTTCGCCTAAAGCCCGCCAGCTCGCGCAGAGTCTTCTCCACCAGAGTAGCACCATCCTGCTCCTCACCGTCTTCCTCTGCTGCGTCTTGGCGATCCCCCTCTCCTAAGCAGAAGCCAGCCTCACTACCCCTCACCTCGACCTCACTCTCTGGCGCAGAGGTGACGGTGAGCGGGGCAAATGGCAGATCCAGCGAGGAGCAGTAAGCCATGACGCGTTCGTCGCGGCCGAGGTAAAGGCAGAGGTCGAAGGAGCCCGCGAGGGCGGCAGGGGTCGGGATGGGACCGGCAGCAAGGCGAGGCTGTTCATTTGCTGTAGAGGAGCCTGCAGCCTGGTGATGCCCGGTCGCGAGCGTGCCGTCATGCCAGTGATCCCACTTGGCCGAGCCGAGCCCACCACCGCCGAGACCGAGTGCGTCGAGACGAGCAGAGGACAGCATTTGTGCCGTAGACGAAGAAGCATTGTCGTGCTCGAAGGCCCTAGTACCATCTTGCGCTTGGGTCCTCAGCTCCTCTTCCTCATCTGCATCCCCCTCCTTGGCGGCGCGTCCGCGATTTAACAAGCCCATCGCCTGTAGCTGTACGACGTGCTGTACGGCACCCACCCGGCTGACATTCTTCGGCATGACACTAAGCGTCGAACCCTTTGGGATGATGCGGAGAGAGAAGCCCAACGAGTCATAGATGAGATTATTGATCTCTGCAAGCTGTCGCCGAGCCCATTGAGATTCTTGAGCATTGAGGTCGTGTGCAACACCGGAGTGGGGGACCGCCCATTGTCCGCAGGGGGAGGCTGTTGGAGATGGAGAGCGCGTATGCTGGGAGCGATGCGAGGAGGAGCGACGTCTTGCTCTGGTAGCATGGCTTGGTTCCTTTTCGATGCAAGTCTCTTCCCCTTCCTCACGGCCACGCCCGTCCGTAGTGGAGAAGAATAGGCTCGACCCCCGGTCGATGAGGATGGATCCAGGCGTCCGATCAGAGAAGTAGCGCAAGATCTGTGTGACTGAAGATTTCCAGCTATTGTTGAGCCCTGCGGTCAGATTGGTCCAGCTCGACTTGCAGGATTCGGCTGAGATTGCAAGGGAGGCGTCTGAGTGCTGCTCGCCCTCCCTGCCGTGCTCGGGATCGGTGGTGCTGCCGGTGGACTGTTGAGATCGCGGAGCGATGGCCTCCGGGTGCTTGATCGCGCACCCATCCTCGCTCACCACGCCCAATCCAGGCACAGCATCCGTCAACTTGTCCAATAAGCCCGCGCTCAGCCCGCTCAACACATAGATGAAGTTGCGCGGATCCTCCGTCAACTCTCTCAGGGTCTGTAGCACCCTATGCGGCACGCAGAAGTCCTTTGCATCCCGCAAGAATAAGGCACCCTCACCGGGGAGAAGAGAGCCCTCTAGATCCACCACAATGAGGCGGGTCTTGGCAGCTCGGTACTCGGAGACGATGGTGCCTACCTCTAGCCGAGGGAGGAAAGCATTGTCTCTTCGCTGCTGCTCCAGATGTGCTCTCTCCAGTCGACTCAGCAGCGAAGTAATCCACTGTAGTGCGGTCTGCGTAACCACCGTCCTATGCAAGTCCGCCCATCTTGCCCGCGCTTCCTCCCTCCCCATGCTCAAGGCCGTGTGCATAGCGTGAGCAACCTGCTTCGTGTTCCACGGGTTGATCCCAATGCTTGCTCTCAGCGCCGAGTAGGTGCCGGTGAACTCGGAGAGGATCAAGGGGGACTGCTTGGCTTCCTGGCAGATGATGTACTCGTGCGTGGTAAGGTTCATTCCCTCGCGAAGCGAGTTGGCCAAAAAAGCGTCCGCCACCGTGAGGAGAGCGAGGTACTGGGCGGTGGTGATGTCCTGGACGTGAAGGAAGACGACGGGCTGCGAGCGAGGGGCAATGATTTAGCGGTGGCGGCCTCTGGTCAGGTCAAAGTGGCCACTCACCTGATAAGTCAAGCTCGAGTACTTGGAATTGATCCGCGATACGACATTGTTGGCCTCGCCTGCCTCGTCGTTGTCTTCGTTGTTGGTCGCTAGCGCGACCTGGATCAACACCACCCTACCCACCCACTCCGGGTGCTCATTCAAGAAGACCTCAAAGGCAAGCAGCTTCTGCCTCACCCCTCTGATCCAGTCCATCTTATCCCTTCCCACGGTGACCTTCTTTCCCTCGTAGCGCTCAGTGAGGCGTTGCACCCATTCGGTCACCTCGGGATCAGCGCGTTTGGCGTTGAGATTGCGAGGATCGATGCCGATTGGGAAGGAGGACACGGTCGTAAAGAGGGTCTCTGTCTGCACTCCTTTTGGTGTTGCTTCCAACTGCAGAATGCGAGAGACGGTCTGCCTAAAGTGCCTACAGAAATTGAGGGTCTGGAATCCCACGAGGTCAGCACCTAGCATGCCCCGCAGCAAGGTCTCTCTCATCGCGAGGCAGCGGAAGAGCTCCGAGCTTGGAAAGGCGATGTGAACGAACAAGCCGATGGTGGCCGAGGGCACTAGGTCGCGGAGCATCTGCGGGACCAGCAAGAGGTGGTAGTCGTTGATGAGGACGATATCGCCCTCTTTCCACTCTTCGGCGATCTTGCGCGCGAAGAGCTCGTTGAGATGTCGATAGGCTTCGAAAGCGCTGTGCTCGTTTTCGAGGGACTTGTCGCTGGGGAGGGTGTAGTGGAAGGTTGGCCAGAGGATGCCCTGCGCACGCGACACATTGAGAAGGACGAGCGGGTCAGTCACTGTGAGAAGCTGACTGCTCGCTACAGATCGCGGACTCACCTTGCAAAATTCTCCATAGGCCCCACGGAAGATGTCCCCTTTTACCCAAACAGGCACTGACGCCTTTTCATTCCTATACCGCTGCGCGATGCCCCTGCGGTGCCTGGCGCTCAGCCACTCCTCATCAGCATGAATAGAGGGCGTCCCAACGAAGACTTTCCCGCCTCTTGGGCCGCGCAATTTCCTTTGATCCGCAAGCGCAGAGATGGCATTGAAAAGTCCTCCGTTCGAGGATGGATTGGTGATGAAATCCCAGGGAGGAAGCTCGACGTCCTCTTCGCCGTCCGTGTGATGGCGACTGTGGTGACCGTGATGACCGTGGTAGTGGGAGGCGTAATGCTCGGGACTCTCGTCGCCGACCCCGACGTCCTCGGTGAAGGTGGAAAGAGTATCGGAGGAGAGACGACGGGAGCGCAGAGATGAGTAAGTAGATGATCTCCTAGCATTGCTTCCGCTCCCGCCTGCACCGCTGCCGCCAAGACGTGGTCGTGAGCTGGAGCGTACAAAAGAAGACGAGCCGGTGCTCTGCTTCCTCCCAGAACGATGCAGTGGTACGCGCTCCATGACTGGCGAATTTGTGCCCGTCGACGGGGTGGTTTCGCCGCTCGCGCACGAGACTACGACCTTCTTTGGGGCACGAGGTGCCGGCTGAGTAGATGAGGATGGCCCATCGCCAGCTGCCTGAGGTGCGGCTGGGGGAGATGTCACTGAGTCTTCTGGGGCGTCGCTGAGAGCGGCACCTCGACCGTGGTCGTTGTACGTGCCGCCGGCACGACCCTGTGTCGTAGAACTGTTCGTATGCGTGCCGATGCGGCTCAACGCAGGTCGAGGCGCAAAGTAGCCACCAGCATCTGAGCCGCGCCTCTTCATGGAAGGCAAGTGAGGTGTAGACGTGCCCGTCGTGACTGCACCGCTACCGCTGGTGTTGCCTCTCTGCTGCTGCTGCTGCTGCTGCTGTGGAGGACCGTCATGCGTCGACTTGGTCATTGTCAAGGAGGGAGGCTGAGGCCTGCTCACCGATGCAGAATGAGCTGACTTTCCAAGGCCAGGGGTCTGCGATCCGTGAGGTCCGGCACCAGGCGGTCTCGGCGCATGACCGGGCGTCTGACTTCCCCTCAGCGGCGTGACTGCCCCTCCACCAAAAGGATGATGACGCTCCGCATCGCCAGGCGTCGACGTAGGAGCGAGCGACGACATTTGATTGCGCCTGGCCTGCAAGTCGCTAATGATACTGAGAGGCTGTAGCGTGCCTGCTTTCCCAGCTACAGAGGCGCCAGGAGTTCGTGTACCCGTGCCGTCGATGCTCGATTGTGGGACTGGAGATGATGACGAGGCGGCACCGCTGCTGCTGTTGAGACCCAGAGCGGACTTGGCTGAGGTAGAGCCGCCTTCTGCTGATACGCTTCCCCTTCTTGAGGGAGGTCCAGGAGCGGCCAAGCTGATTGTCGTCGTTGGAGGCGAGGTGGACATTTCTGGCCCGCTACTGCCGCCTCTGACTGTTGCATTGGTGTTGGCACGGGAAGCCTGTGGTCTTGAGGGCGGCTGGAATTCTGATCGCCCGTGATCTGCTACTGAGCTCGACGGCGTCGGTTCAGCAGGGGTGAGTGCTGACAGGCCTGCTGGCCTGCTGGCGCCAGAAAGCGACGACGAGAGGCGTCGACGTGGGATCTCTTCGTTAGTCGGTGGACGAGTGGCTTCTGCCATGAGAGAGGACATGTTGACCTGCGGTGTCGGCTGAAGAGCATGTCCTGACGACGTACCAGAATTGCCGCTTGAACCTCTGCGAGGAGGTTGAGGACTAAGCCCCTTGGACGCCGTTTGACTCGCCTTTACCTTCTGTTGTGGTGGGGACAATGCATTGCCCTCCTCAGTATCACTCAAAGCAGACGGGGACGGACCGTCATCGCGAACATTGACTCCTTGCAACCTATTGCCCAACTCGTGCAGCGCAAGCGTCATTGCCGGATCCGTCGTAGGCGAAGGAGGCGCAGACGATTGGTCTCGAGGCGTCTGAATGATCGACTCATCTCGTTCCCTGAATTGAATCGTGTCAGGCAGGAAGAGAGAAGCGATCAGGACGCGATGGCCGTATCCTCGAGGATGACGAAGAGGCGTGGCCGTCGGCGGTGACCCGGGGGTGAAGGGTCCAGCTACCATCGTATCGGCAGCGTGGTGAGGAGTACGACGAAGCTGCGCCCAATCGTCGCAGTGAGGCTGAGATATCTCTCACTTGCTCATGAGAAGGCCGAGGAGATCGTGTATGCTGCCAATGACGACGGCGGGAGCTGACGAGAAAGACGGGTCAATCGTAGTGATGGTGATGGTGGAGCAAACGAAGAATCTCGTCTCGTCTCGTCTCGAGGCAGAGGCGACGTCCGCCGCGGCAGGGCACGAGCCACACAAAAGTTGAAGCGGCGTCTGAGCCGAGAAAGCCGAGGTGCCCGTCGACGAGTAAAGCCAATACAACGCGACGGCTTCAGCAGTAAAATCTTAATTCACATATCGAATGGCTGGGAATGGTATAGCATGATATCTCCTCCTCAAATCGGAAGCACTTTGCCGCTCTGGCCCCCGCCACCACCGCGCAACGCCTGCCTCGCCTCCATCTGACTCTCGCCGACATCTTCGCCGCCAGTTCCACCGCTTTCTCCCCTATCGGTTTGTGGAGTCCCCTCATCAATCGCATAACAAAGGTAAAGCGCATCGGCCCCGTTGGCCAAGACGTCCGCTGCGAGCCTCAGTGTCCAATAAGGTACCACCCCGCACAGCAAGCCCACGAGGGGAGCATCCGCAGGCACATGAAGCTGATGCGCCGAAAACAAGAAACCGGCCAATGCCGCGAGCAGCGAAAGGCTTACCGTCAAGAGTGAAAGGACCGTACCTATCAGCAGCCCCTCCACCACCCCCCTTGCTCCTCTTCGTACCACCAGGCGGGAGCATCGTCGACTGGACCGCCAGAAGTCTGCCCCAGTGATTCCTGTGTAGACCAGCGTATAATCGCTGACTCCTTTGATCACTCCGCCGGCCCCGCTCAACAGGTAGGCCACATGGGCCAAGGGGTGGAGGAAGGCCGGTATATTTGGAGAGGAGAGGATCGAGGCTAGCGTACGGGCTAGAAAGGAGACGAGGACGAGGAGGCGCGAGAAGGCCAGCAGGAGCGCGGAAAGGAGGACCGTGCCGAGAGATGGGCCGGTGGCGCGCAGAAAGCTAGCGCGTACCAGGTCGCTCGCAGTGGGATTGCGATGTGAGAGTTGGGCATCTTCACTGCTGTCGTGCGGGTGGGTAGGGTCCTTGTAGCCGCCAGGCACATCCGACATCGCGCCGGGAAGGCTCTCGCCCAGACCCAGGACCTCGCTTGAAGTCGAGCTGCCACGCTCCGTAGCGTCATCCTCGTCGCCTTCGTCTGCCTGCTCCTGCGCTCCCCGCTTCAGCTTGCGTCCACCAGACGAAAGGGCTGCCTCGCCACCACCAGCATCTTGCTCTTCGTCCGTCATCTCTTCACTCGGCGGCCCATAGAAGTACCAATGACTGACCACACTAGCCACGGTCACCCTCATTATCCCGCGCAAGGCCGCCCAGGTCCAGATCCACGTAGCCAGCGTCGCCCAAGCCAGTACTCTGGCTCTACCATCGGTGATCCATTCGTCGTCATTTGCACCCTTCCCGTGTGCAAAATGCCCCAACAAGAAAAGGCGCATGAAGATGGTGCCAAAGGGTAGGCTGACCACAAGGAAGGCGACGATGTGCAGCAGGCTTAGCAACAATAAAGTGGGATGAGCATGTACGATCCTGGCCGCCAGGCTGAGGACACTGAGGCTTCGCGCGAGGTGGCCTCGCTTCATGTAGAGCACTCGGCTGAAGAAGATCGCCAAAAGGAGCGGAATCAGCGAAAGGGTACGTAGGCCGGTAGTACTCCAGCCGCCCCCACTCCACTGTTCGTCGTCGAAAAAGAAAGACCCAGCAAAGGCCCAAACCCACCCCAGTGTGAGGGCCGTTGGAGTGGCGACTAGGGAGAACTTGAGGACTTTTGCCCCTCCGAGCCGATCGAGGTTGCGGAGGAAAGCAAGCTGCACCGTCGCCATTCCCAGGGACAGCGCGCACAAGAGCACGAGCAGCGGGGTGGATCGCGTCAACGTGTAATAAGGGCTGGGCCGGATCGCCGGGGTACTGGGCACCTTTGGGGTTGGAGCACCTATGCTTGCCCCTCCCGCCAGGAGCAAGGTGAGGAAAAGTGAAGCTGACCAAAGGAGGAGGGCCGGGCGATCTTTCCATTGCTTGATGGGAGGGTTATTTCCAGCGGACCAAGGGGCCCAACTCTGCATGTCGGAGGAGAGTGTAGGGGTGTAGCTGCGCGGGACGTCAATCACGATCGAGTCAGAGCCAGACTGCGTGTTGGTTGCTCCATCTGCGGCACTTGTTGAAGGCATCTTCTTGTGGAAACCGTCATCGCCGTTATGCAGCGAGTGACCAAGCGGCCGTGGAAAGCTGGCGGCGGACATCTTGGTCGGCCGATGCATCGTGGTGGAGCGGGAAGCAACGCCATCGTCTCGCTCCTCATCGGTTCCCTCGCTGCCCTCGCTCTCCTCGTCCTCAGAGCTGAACACTCCCTCATCCTCATCGTCGTAAATGGAATAGGCGTCTCGCAGAGGCCGCGATTTCCCTTTGCCCTTATTGCTGCCCGGGGCTAGGGAATGAGCAAGCCATCCTTTTCCTGAAAGCGTTCTGACTGGTGCTGAAAGGGCTTGAGCTTTTCCCTTGCCTTTTGATGCGCTACGAGCAGGAGACTGGGATGAGCGTTGCCGTTCCCGACCTCCATTGGCCGTGCTAGGCGCTCGTGTTGGTGCTGCTCCATCCTCGTCCTCATCGTCGACAAGGAATGGGTCAAGCACAGCGGGCTGAGTCTGACTTCTTACGCTTGGGTGGGCAGTGAAGCTTGCGCTGGGCGTGTCTGTCCCTTCTCCTTCTCCCTCGCTGATTCCACTACCGCCCAGCACTGCACTACCCAGCATCGAGTCATCCAGCCCTTGTCGATGCTGCTGCCCAGCCCTTCCGCCAGCAAAGTTGCGTACGTTGACACCGCGTCCCCAGTCTCGCTGCTCATCTTCCTCCCTCGCTAAATCGGCTTCGTCTCTAGCCATCTCATCGTCGTCGTCATCCTCTTCATCTTCGATCTCTCGCAGTTCAGGCCCGCCACGTCTCGCTGCTGCGGGCCCATATCTTGACGCATTGATCAGCGAGCTGGAGGCGCCACCGCCTGGTACCCGGGATCGTCCCTGAGCCCACTGCGCATCTGCGCGACCATCCTCCTCCTCCTCCCCGTCCTCTTCGTCATCATCGTAGTATGCCCCACTTCCGCGCTGATTATTATCAATTTGCGACCCGTACAGGTCGACAGAGCGATGCCCGAAGGTCGAACGGAGCAGCGGATCGAACTGATATCGCGAGTCGGCGGCATTTCGGTGCTGAGACGAGGCAGCTGAGCTAGTTGATGGGTGTTGAGCCTGTCGTCGAGACGAGGAGGATGCGAGGAAGTTGGGCAAGTGGGACATGCTGATGAGATGATGGTTTTGTGGGTTAGGCTAAGCTAGACTGGAGCTAGCAGAGGGATGGGGAGACCATTGAATGTGAAGCGGAGCCGGTGAAGCTGGGCCTTGTGGCCGTCGCAGCTGATGCTGAGCAGGGCCGCCGAGGGGTGTGGAGCGATAAGCCTGGCGACGTCACTGAGAGACCTGGGGCGTGAGGTGAGCGTCGAAGACGGCGAGGGATGAGACTGGCTCTGTCCTCTCTGGATCAACACGACGAAGAGGGAGAAGCTGCTTGGCCACTACGAACGTGGATGGCTGTCTCAATGAGGGGGCGATATCGAGCAGGAGGTAATAGCAAGGAGAGGTGAATTGCTCAGTTGACAAGCGCCGGTTGCACCCTGGAAGCGGCCCGGCGCATGGCCACTGTCCGCGAGGTCAGTCCGCCTGCAGCGCCTCCCGTCGCCTGCATGCCAGTCCGCCGTTCCGCAACTCCACTCAAAGGCCCCCCCGCGCTGCAATGGGATGGCGTAGCCACCCAGGTCCAAGGTCAGGATGTGTGTACAAGAACAGAACGAGAATGGTGATTGCTTTGCGCATCCATCTAGTGGAGCTGGTAGTGGAATTGACAACGAACGCGACATTACACAAAGTTCCCTGCTCCTCTACGTGGCCAGAACAATCGCGCTCACAGGCGCTTTCGTCCCTCTCTACCCCCCATTGCGTCTACGAGAAGAAGTATTTACTCTTCCTAATCTCGTTGACATCAAACCCGCCCTTTGCCGGCAGAGGTGGGATGAGGGCTTCGAGGGGCACGAAGCGGGTGACTGCATCTGCCCTTAGCTCGGGAGGCAGCATCTTGTAGTCACCTACTCGGCCGCGCCCACCACCTTTGCCTCGGCCCGTGACGGAGGTACCCTTTGACTTCTTTGACTCCTCCTCGTCCACGACATCGGCATCTAGCCCTTCGTCCGCTGCCATGGCCTCGAGATCCGCAGCTTCCTGATCCGACTCGGCGTCGACGGCTGTGTCTGGTTCCACGTCTCTCCCGTTCGCAAGTTCCTTCGCCTTCGTCGGCATAGTCCCAAACAGCTCCTTCCTCTCCTCAGCACTCAGCGCATCTATATCCACAACCTCGCTCTCCACATTTGCCAGTAGGACGTCCTTCTCTTCCTTGCTCAGCTCGACCCCACTGAGCTCCGCAGCCTTGATTGCCTGCAAGCTCTCCTTGCTGCGACGCGCCAGCCTCCTGGAGATCAAGTACTGCGCAACGGTCACCGGCACCATATGACCGCGGTATCGCTCCAAGAACTCTTCGCGGAGTTTGGGAAGGATATCTTGCGTGTGCAGACGCACGAAAGTATCGCGAATGATGTCACTCATCGTCTCGACGTCGCAGGCGTGCGTCCAGTAGCTGTCGTGCACGGCCGCGAAGGTCAGACCCGCATCCTGGCACTCCAGGGCGCTCAACAGCATGTGCGTCGCGTCGAGCGAGTGGATGAAGTTCGGCGGGAAGGCCGAGGCCTGCTTCGCAGGCGAGACTTCGGCATTGGCGTTGGGATCGCGAAGGAAGAGGGTCTGAAGCGCCGTTGCGATCTGGGTCTTCTTGTGTTTGCGGTAGGGCTGGACGATGGGCATGCCGATGGGTGAGGTCCAGATGACGCTCGTCATCTGCTCCAGGGGCACGCGATCCATGTTGACCCGCTCGCCTGTGCCCGGACCAAACCTCTGGGTGTTGCCTGTCTTCAAGCCCGTCTTTGGGTCGGTGAGCCTCCCCGCTGCGCGAGAGGACTCGAGAAGGGCGGGCATCCGCTCGGGTGGGATCGACCTTGAGATCAATCGCGCAACGTCGACGAACCAATGCTGGATGCGATTGGCGCCTGCGAAGAGGTTGCCAATGCACGCGAGGATCTTTTTGGCCAGGTAGGTAGAGACGTGGAAGATCTTCATAGGATCCACATCCCCGCGATCGGCGAGCTGCTTTTGCACTTGATTCTTGGCGCCGATGAAGGTGACACCGTAGACCGTGGTCATGACCGTCTGCTTGACGACCTTGCGCGTCACCTTGCCAAGCAGCTCTACCGCTGCTGGGTCAGGATCATCGCGACGGGCCTCTTCTTCGATCTCCTTGATGACCAAGTCGGCAACTGCCGTGTACACATCAGCGGGCCTTTCTCCACTCGTAAGGTTGACCTGCTTAGCGCCGCGTATATCCCCTCCAAGCGCAGCGTAGTGCTGCAGACCGTTACAAGTTCCGTCCTGATGCACCGGAATGCGCGATGGGAACTTCTCCGGCCCCTCTGGGTGATTGATAGCAGCATAGAGCTCGTGGCACGTTGCAAGGCACTGCCAGGGATCATCGGCACCCAGCCACCACTTGTTGGGCCCCAGCGGATCCTTGACTGCCGCTTCAATGTCCTTGAAGTGGTCAACCGAAAATTGTACCCGCTCATCAAAGCTCGCCTTGTCATATCCATACACGTTGGCGAGGTGGATGCGTAGCCACTTGAGCCCCGCGACTCCCAGTGGCTTGGCTTCAGCGAAGAGGAGCAGACCGCGGCAGAGATCGTCGCCCATATGGTTGAGATGGGGCGGCACAGGGTAGGCACGACCGCGGAAGTCGACATTGTGCGGGAAGTAGATGACCTCGTCGACAAAGGAGCGGGCAATCTCCAGCTTGTAGTTGACATCGCAACGCCTCGAATGCGCGGACGCGCGCAGCTGCCTGTTCTGCTTCTCGTGCTGCAGGTACTCGTTGCGAGCAATGAGGTTCGTGTCGAAATCTGCGGGCCGCTCTCGTCTATTCCAATCGTCGCTGATCAGCGGAGGCATGTCAGCCGTATCTTTACCCGAGTTCCAGACTTCCGTCATGACCTCGAGGACCTTGGAGTTGATGATCCACGGTGTCTCGCCCAAGGCGTCGAGCGCACACATGACCGTCTCGAGGCGGTTGCCGTCTGCGGAGGCAGCCTTGAGGTATGAGACTTGTTCTGCGCTCTCCTTATAACGCATCATGTTCGTCTTCGTCGTCAGGTAGCCACCCTCGTCTGGCTTGAGCCACAAGCGCGGCTTGACTAGCATAGGCAGATACCTGGCGTGCATAGCGCCACGCACCGACTCCTTGTCAAGACGCTGGGCGACATGATCGTTGAGCTTGAGAACGCCAATCTTCTTTCCTTGCACGTATTGGTAGGTCGAGACCATGGCCGGATGCTCCTCTGACCATACGTGTCCATCACGGTCAATGGCTTCTCGCTTGACGGTAGCAAGCTGAAGCAAGTGTCCAACAAGGTAGCTTCCCACTCGCGCTCGCACATTCTGCGTCCATTGCATCCGTCCATCATCCTGGCTCTCCAGCCACTTTTTTGCCTTGCGTCGCGCTGCAAGGTCCGTCGTCGACTTGTTGCGAACCAGCTCATGGGCGCGGCGTACTCGCTCCGACAAGTCAGGACGACTGCGCAAGAAATGAGCATAGTGCTCCTCTTCGACCGCACGTCCAATGGCAATGAGAGTCGATGCCGTCTTGATGCCATCGACTGCCCCTGCTGTGGCCTGTAGTCGCATGAGTTCCATGATGGTGAGGAGGGATAGCTTTGATGATGGGATGGTGCCCAGGAAAGGGGCAATCGACTGCTCGAAATTTTCTCTCGAGTCGACGCCAGTGCTGAAGAGTCGCTGTCCCGCAGGCGTACCCTTTGTCGATGACTCTTCTGCCTTGGATAGAATTCGGTGCACGTCCCTTTCCAGCGCAACTTGCAACTTCTGATTCCAATCCCACATCCACAGCTGCAGCTGGCGATCCTGCGTAAGCGTCATCGTCGACTGCACGCCGATCGAGGCGAGTTGCTTGGAAAGGGCCTCAAGGTGCTGACGAGCCGAGTCGATTGCGCTCTCTTCTAGCCAGCGCTGTCTCTCTTCATTGTCTCGTGCAGTTGCGCGACCCTGCCCGACGATGCCAAGATCTCTCCGGAGGAGATCGAGATTGAAGGGTGTAGCACCCTCGGGAGCGTCAGCTCTGCCGCTGAGGACGGGCTTGAGAGGCGGAATGTACGTCCTCGGGGAGGACCCGGAGCCGGAGCTTGAGCTTTCTGCCTCTTGCGCTTCGGGCTGCTGCTCGTGCTGCTGCTCTGCTAGTCGCTCTGAGACGAGCTTCTTTTCCAGGTTCTCGAGGGTTGTCTTGACTGGGTCGTTGCCGGCGTGCACGGCGGCAGAGATGAGGCGCTGTATGAAGACTTGCGGTTCAACGTGTTCTGATGACCTCATCGAGTCCTCCGCTTGTGTCGAGTATGCATACGCTTGCTCTACAATGTCATCAAACGAAAGGCCGCTTCGCCACGCTGATGCGACGAGGTCCCCCAACCCACTCTCGGACATCGTCATCGTCGGATGTACGAGCATGACCTTGACGAGACCCATGGCAAATGTCATGAATGTCCTCTCGTCTGGCCTTGGGTCGGCCGTGAAGCTATGGTTCCGCGAAGACGCTGCCTTTCTCTCGTGAGCATCACTCCTCACGCCGGTCTCCATCTCCCTGTACAGCGACCACGCTCTTTGTATCCACTTTTGTGATGCCATCTCGTCCCTCTCTGCAGCTGCTCGACGCAAGATGGCTGCAAAGACTGAGGCGTAGACTCTTCTGCTGAGGCTGTGCTGCGCTGACCAGCGCTTTCGCAGCTGATTGGAAGGGGCTGATCCCTTTGGTACGCTCTCGATGTCCTGCCGTGAAAGTCTGGCTGCCGCGTTATCGCGCATGTCTTCAAAGATGCGCATTGCTCTTGAGAGAAGGTTGGCAGATAGGCAAGCTTCCAGGATGGCGAGATTCTCGACTGGCTGCGATGGCGGGTAGTAACTGCTATCGCGGTTGATGTCATCGAGGGTAGCACCGCTGATGTCGCCAAAGGAGAGCAAGTCGATAGGATTAAGCGCAGCATTGGCGCTGGAAGCTGCTTGACGCCTTGGCCTACCGGATCGCGACCCAGAAGTAGGGTTACGAAAGGCCGAGTTGGCAGCGTCGGTGACATCCATGGGCAAAGGCGTTGGCAGGCGAAGTGACTTGCGATTTCGCCATGCAAAGGAGTTGAGCGATGATGATGAGTCGACGCCGTCGTTATGTGATGATGATGATGCGGATGCGGTGTCGGTGTGCTGGTGGCGAGGGTGAGTGTTGGAGGCGCCCCACTTTGCTGACGAATGCAGAGCGGCTGCGGCGTGCCTCACTGATGGCGGCTTGATGCCGCTAGCAGTCACCGCCGCCGCCTGCCTTCGAATGGCGGCTAATCTCCAGGCAAATGCCATGATGACTGACTGTGGTGAGGATGCGACGCCAAGGTGTTAGCCGCCGTTGCTTCGCAGCCTAATCCGTCCACCCTTGGAATTTCCCTTTCGAGGCGCCGCTCGCTCTCCTTCCGCTCGGGCCCGAGTTGAGAGGAATCGACTGAGTGGAGACTCACGACGAGACGGAAGGAGAGCAGCTAGCCGCCTTGCAAGGAATTGAATTCGAGGTGTTGGATGCCTTCGATTGCATCCATCACGACGATCATCGCCATACAATGCCGCCCGCTAAGCAGACGGCGATGGCGGCTGGTGGCGACGATGAAGACGAGGATCCATCTCAGCTTCACGTCGATGGTATGTCCTCATCTAGGACTACTAACAGCAGAGAGAAGCTGAGGTTGTGCCAGGTGAGCGAGGCCTGGCGCGTATTTCGACCACACAGCTGACCATCCTACTTCCTCTCCGCATAATAGCAAATCGTCGCTGACCATTTTGGTCCGGTAGCAGAGGTGAGCATGGCGCATGGTACGGAGATCGGTAGCTCAGTCTTGTTCAGTAAACTGACGCCCGTCTCACTTCGGCTTCGCTCTCTTTGCTAGCAAGTCTCGTCAGTCCTCCTACAACGCGGTCGCCTCTCTCTCAATGATATTGAGCGCTTCCTCCGCGTACCACCGGGCACAGTAGCAGCAGGCTCGTCTTCTTTAGCCTCTACGTCGTCGCCCAATGCGCCTCAACTTTCGCGATCCCAGATTCTGCACACGCTCATCGTCCTTGTTCAGCACAACATCCTCTACCACATCCGCCTCGACGCCGACGGCTCCTTCATTGAAGACGTCGACCAGCCGGGAGGCGTCGAGTACTTCGTCATCAACACCGAGATTATCCTCGCTCGCAGCCGCTTCGGTATCTTCATGGAGACGGCAGAGTCGCAATGGGGCTATGAGGGACTTGAGATCGTCTCGCAGGTCCTTCAACATGGCAAAATACAGGTCGCCGATCTTCTCAAGCAGATGCCGTCCACCTCGGCGGCTACAAGGCCACTCATTACCCATCTCCTCTTGTCCTCCTACCTCGTCACGTCCACACAGATCGCCCACTGGTCCCCACATGACATGCGCATCGCATACAACTTGCAAGCGACCAAGGCCTTCAAGGGAATCCCCAGTCAGAAGGAGAAGCAGGGGATCGCGGCCGGCGTCAGCGAAAGGATTCTCAAAGAGAGGCGAAAAGCGGCGTCAACGGGCTGTATACCGCGAACAAAGGACCATTGGTACGAGCTCAAGGCGTCCAAGAGCGGCAGTAAAAGTCGAGCAAAGGCTTCTTCGTCCTCATCGGCGGCCGCGGCGGGCAAGAAGCGCAGAAAAAATCTCGCCCTTGAGGATCCTTCAGACGATAGCGAAACCGAAGCCAGTAGCAATCGCGGCAAAAAGGCCAACGGCAGCAGCAGCAAACGGTCTAGAGATGCCAACGGCAGCAAGGTGGACTCGGTCTTGCTCAACCCTCACCCCGCCGTCAACGGCAGTGACTCTCATGCTCGGCCAGCCTGGATGGATGCCCTCAGCGACGCACAGCAATCTTATCTCGACGAATGGATTGTGGACGACTCCGCCTTCGTCCGCCTCAATTACGACCGCTTCGACGTACACATCCGCAACGAGCTGCTCTGCTCCCTTGTAGAGAAGCACTACAACGAGTCGGCTGCAAAAGTCTACATGGCCATCGTCGAAGCGGCAGACGCACGCTCGCTCGAGTCGTCGAGCGGCGTAGACGGAGTCGTACCTGCGCCCAGCGTAAGCGACTCGGTCAGCTTGGGTGTAAGCCTCACGCGCCTCTCCTCCACTCTCAATATACCCTCTTCGGTACTAGCGGTGGGCTTCGACGCGACGATGCTCACAAACCTATCCCACGCCGAGCCGGGCAAAAAGCCCGTCAAGCACGACTTCCTACTAGAGTACGTTGCGCTCCTCCTGCGTGCGGAGGACACTCTAGTCCAGAGCAGCCGCAAGCCATCAGACCTTTCCGCCGCCACTCGGTTCCTCGTCCCTGGCGTAGAGTCAAATGGAAACTCTTCCTCGTCGGGCGGTGGCCTCAGTACATTCACAGGTGCCCGCATCCCCAATGCAGTCTCAATCGACTATTCCTCTGCCGGTCGCAAGCTCAAGTGGCATCTGCTGCGCAAGACGGTCGAATCCACACTTGGGGAGACGGAGGCGCGCGTTCTGGGCGTGTTGCGACGCGAGGGAAAGTTGGAGGAGAAGCACATCTCCAAGCTGGCGCTCTGTGCCCTTGGTGAGGCAAGGGAAGCCTGCGCGAGGCTCTTTGGTCAGGGCATCGTTTCTCTTCAGGAGGTGCCCAAGTCCGCCGACCGAAATCCTCAGCGCACCTTTTTCCTTTACTTCCTGGACTATCCACGTGCTCTGGCCTGGCTTGGCGATCATCTTGCCAAGACGCAAGCGCGCCTTGCGCAGAGGCGCAACGTTGAGAGGGGTAGGGAGAGGACTCTGCTTGCGAAGATCGAAAGGACGGATGTGAGAGACGAGGGGGTAGAGAATGTACTGAGCGAGGTGGAGAGGGAGAGGCTGGACAATGTGAAGGAGAGGCTCATCGTGCTTACTGGGGAGGAGATGAGAGTTATGAGGGAGGCGTGGATCCTAGCTAGGATGAGGGGCTAGCGCCTCCACGCGATGCTCGCGATTTCAACGACGTCTAACCTTCATTAATTCACGACGAGATTACATTCAGCAAAGACGATGACGCACGACATTCTTCCGTTGTATCAGAACCCGCAGCAACACCCTGTCACGCCCCACCCCCCTCCAACAACCCTGCAATTGCCTCTTCCATTCCCTGCATCTTCTCGCGCATCCCAGCTACCTCACTTTCTCTCTCTGCCGCCCTCTTATTTGCGTCACGCAGCTGACTTCGCAGAGAGAGGTTCTCGAGCTGGAGAGCCTGGCTCAGCTGGTAGTCTGCTACACGTTTGGCGCTTTGGAGGTGCGGGGAGAGGGAAGAGAGAGTAGTGGGCTGAGATGAAGAAGAGGATGAAGACGAGGAGGGAGTGCGGGTCAGATTGGAGGGTGGTGGAGCTAGCAGGGAGGATGTCGTGCTTGAGCCGTCCTGTTGCGAGGGCAAGCCTTCTGCTGCTCCTTGGCCTTGGCCTTCGTCGGCTTCATCCTCCTCAAGGGACAAGAGCAGCCGCAGCTGGTCCAGTGGCACGACGTCGGACAGCAAGCTCGAGGATCGCGCCGCCGCGGCGCTACTGCCGCTGACACTGCTCCTGGTAGGCGTAGACGCGCCATCCCCTCCTTCGTTGCCATTGGAGGCGGACCGCGAAGCGTGCGGTAGGTTCAGGTTGAAGAGGACGTCTTCCTGGATCGAAGTTGACTCTTCGCCGTTGCTCTCCATTTGACGGGAGAGTCGCTGTTGCTGTTGTTGCTGTTTCAGTTCTGGGGACATGTCCCCCGCCTCGGAGGAGGCCGACGATGATGCTTGATCGAAGATAGGTCCCGCGGGGAAGAGACTCAATCTGTTGGCCCCTTGACCACCAGCTTGACCTGCACCCGCAGCAATCCCATCTCTCAGCTGCGCAAACAACGCCAATCTCAACTGCGCATTAATCGCCCTTTCCTCTGCCAATCCCCTGACTGCCTCTCTTTCCTTCCACTCCAGCCTTTCCCGTTCCTCTACGCCCTCTTGCTTCCACAGCTCCCTCTCCCTCTCCTGATGTGCAACGGTCAGCCGCTGGAATCCCTCTAAATCCTCCTCGCGCCGAGCGATTTCCTCCGAAAGCTGGGCCATCTGCTCGCGCAGGTGACCATTTTCATCCTGTATGTCCTCGACGCTCGACGAGACGTCCTCGAGCTCGACGCGAAGCTGAGTCACCTCAGCCAGTTTCTCCCTCCATCCAGACTCGAGCTCCTTGCCCAGGGAGCGAAGCACCTCCCTATCCGCCGAAGTAGAAAGCACATGTCTCGCCTCGGCGAATCGCATCTGGTCTTCCATCAATTTGCCTTCGTCTACTGCATGCCTCGGTAGTCTCTTTGCCCGATCAGCGGTCGAGTTGGAGGGAGATAGGGAAGCCATTGCTGCCGCTCCGCCTAGCCGTTCGGGGATCGCGAATCCACGCGAAGCCGCAGAGGTGGCGGCGTAGTTTGCTGCCGAGGTCAAGGAGTTGAAGATCGAGGTGGAGGAAAGGTTGCGGTATGAGGGGCGTCGCTGCTCTTGTGGCGAGGCCTGGCCCGATGAAGAGGCGGTTGGGCTCATCATCGTGGGATTGACGTTGGTGGAAGAGGCGTCGGCAGCCTTGTCTGCTGGTGAACGCAGCCTGTCCCAGAGGGAGGACTGGGAGCGTTTGCGTGGGGCGTCGTCTTCGTCGGCCGCTTTGGTGTCGATGGGTGCCGGGCGAGGGGGAGGTGGTGGAGGCTGGCCTATCGGAGCTGATGATGTCTCTGCTAGAGTCTCTGTTTGGGCAGGCTCAGCCTCGAGAGCCTTGTTGGAGGCGGACGGCGTCTGGCTACGATTCTCGTCCTCGTGCTGAACACCAGCTTCTTGAGTCTCTCCTGACGCCGAGTCTAATGTCGTTGAGGCTGCAGTGGTCTCATCAGAAGCGGCCTCTGCCTGTGTCGGCATGGCAGCGCCGCCAACCTCGTTCTCTGGGACCTCAGTGGTCTTCTCCGCATCCCCGGCCTTCTCAAGAGCGCCTTCAGACTCGTCGACTTTTGCAACTGCCTCTTTGTCCCCTCGAACTGCAGTCTGCTGCGACCCCTCGTCGTCTCCACCCTCGGCGTCCTCGAAACCATCGCCATCCTCACCATCCTCCTCACTCTCAGCGCCCGATGTTTTTGCCTTTTCCTCAGCGTCTTCCTTTCTCTGTTTCTCGGCCTCTGCTGATGCCTTGCGATCCTTGCGAGCCTCAGCACGCTTGGCCTTGGCTGTCGAGCCTGCTGCCTTCGGTGGCATTGTCTCTGGCGATGCCAAGTCTGGCGATGTCGCAGGAGGATGTAGTGGAGGTACGCCTTGATGGCCTGCTGTCGTCTGTCGATGTAAGACAAAAAGGATGGGAAAGGACGAGGGGGTGTCGACGAACAAAGTCGTGGTTAGGATGTCAGGATTGACTGGGCCCTAGATTGGTTTCTTGGTGCCTTGATCACTCTTCTTCCGATGTGGCACGCACCACGCAACCAGGCATTGCCCACCCTCTGACCCCGCCCGACCGCACGTCCGTAGGGACCAGCAAGCCAGACCAGTCCAATGCCGGTGCGCAGCCCGGCGGTCATGCAGGCGGGCGGTGCGGCAGGTCGGGGTGGGGCGCACGTCTGATCTCAGGGAGAGAGACACGACGACGACGACGACGAGACAAAGCAATGAGCGACAAGAAGGGACGTCGTCCTACTGAGCAGAGCGAATTGAAGGTAGCATCAACGACGTGACGATCTGATGAATGAAATCGAATGCGAGCCCTGTTGCCAGTCACATCTTTTTTCCACGGTTGCCATCGAGGGTGGCGTACCCACACCATCGTAGCCGCTTCACAGATGCTTCTCTTCCTGTCCCACCCCGCTGTTGGGCCCGAATCCACCTCCACAGCACCCTCATCTCCGTCCTTGGTCAGCCCACCTAGTCCTTCTTCGAGCTAACGCCCTGCCCCTTAGCAGCCGTAAGCTCGTCTCCCATCCTATTGTACTCCGTCTGCTGCTGCCCAGCCTGCTTCTTGAGGTTGGCCAGATCGCGCTTCAGGTCGGCATTCTCCTTTTCCAGCGCCGACGATGAGCCAGTAGTTGAAGTCGACTTGCCTCCCTTGGCTGCCACGAGCTCCTCCTGCGTAGTGATGAGCTCAGTGATCAGGGAGTAGGTGCGGGAGAGGATCCTGTACGAAGGCGGCAAAGTAACGTGTCAGCAATAAGCTCTTGCCTCATGACCATCTCCCACACGTCGTCACACTTACAAGCTCAAAAACAGCGTGAAGCCAGTCAGGTATGTGTTGCGCTGAGCGTAGAACTTCCTAGCGTGGAAGTTGCTCTCTGTCCTGCTGTCCCTCATACCCTGTGACTCGCGCATCGTGTCGCCCTCCAACGTCACCTTCCACATGCGCTGTACCGCGTCAATGAAGAGGACGCCAACGAAGATGAAGGTAATCTTGAGGCCGTATTGGATCTTGGCGACGACTGAACGGGCCAGCGCGGAAGGAATGGACGAGGTCAGTCATCAGTCACTACACTCATGAGCAAGTGCTCGCATTGATGCATGGGTCATCATCTCACCTGGGTTGTTAGCCAGGAACTTGAAGAGGCCTCGACGCCATGCGAAGGGCAAGGGAAGGATAAGCATCATGAACATAGCCACCTCGAAGCAGAGGAGGCCGAAGACGATGCCGTAGTAGCTGCGGATGCGCGCAAGACGACGAGTCAGGCAATAGTCACTTGCAACAGGCTGTGCAGCTCAAACTTACAGCGTCATGGTTGGAAAGTTTTGGCTGTTTTGATGGATAGGAGGAAGAAGGAGAAGAAGAAGAGGCAGGCAAGGCGGGAATCGCGAGCAACCAAGGGCTCTGTGTCCAAATCAGGCGGCGCGTGCTCCACCCTCACAGCGAGCGAGATGCTCAGCCGCGCTGTGCTGTGACGTCGAGACTCTCCCACGAGGCAACGATGAGACGCGCATGGGCCACGCTGCGAAGATGAGGCGACAACGGGAGCAGTCGAATCGTCAGGACCAGACGCAAGCTGATATGGGTCATAATGGAATGGAGAGCCAGTGTGAATTTTGGGAAAAGGGAACCGCACGACAACCTCATCGTAAAAGGAGCAAGAGCGTCTCTTCTGCCTCTCTTTACTTGATCATCTTGCCGTCCGCAAACTTCTTCCCCTTGTACTCTCCCTCCCATGCCAAGTTCTCCTCAAAGAACTTCTTGTCGTCGGCGTTTCCAAAGACGTCCAGCGCCGTCACCTCGTACGAGTCAATGTCCGGCGCGACGCCCAGGACGGGCTTCCAGTCCTGTCCACGAACGATGACGGCACCAGCGATGACCGAGTCATTGTTCTCGCCGTAGACGGCACCCGACCCAAGAATGTACTTGCGCGAAGCCTCGAGGCGCGAGTTGAAGCCACCGAGCTGGTTGGCTGACATGAAGACCTGCGTGAGCTCGTCGTTGTACTTGAAGTCGAAGCGCCAGATCGAGTAGCCCTCCTTGTCGTAGTTCTCGTAGAACCACTTGAAGAAGTCGGGCGAGTCGAGGTTAGAGTACTGGCGCTTGGCCTCCTCGAGGTTGAGCTTTGAGGGAGGAAGAGAGGCGCAAGGGTGGGGAGCAGACTTGGGGGCAGGGGGCTCGTCGTCCTCGTCATCGTCCTTGGCGGCCTTCTTGGGCTGCTCCTTCTTCTTCTCGGCCTTGGGGGCGGCGGCGGCGGCGGGAGCCTTAGGAGCCTTCTCCTTCTTCTCCTTTGCGGGGGGAGTGAACTTGGCGTTCTCCTCGCGAGGCTTCTCACCGCCAAAGACCTTCATCACCTGAGGGAGGTGGGAGATGAGGTCGTAGTAGCGGGCGACGTGCGGGTAAGCATCACGGTAGCCCCTGAGGTGGCGGAGAAGAACACAAGGTCAGCCACATACAGGGCACGTTTTCGATCTGCCTCTCTGCGGGTACTCACTTGCCAACAACGTTAGCGTAAATCCACTGCAGGTTGGCAGCCATCGTCAGATCAGCAAGGGTGACGCGGTGTCCAACGAGGTACGTCTGCTTGTGCAGGTAGTTCTGGAGGGTGTGGAAGGCGCGGTGAAGGCTCTTATGCTGCTTGTCCTCGATGGCCTTGTTGTAGGGCCAGAAGCCCTGCGTGAGGTAGAAGAGGCGCATGGCGGGGCCGAGGATCTCCTCGTCAGCGAACGAGGTCCCTGTGAGGCGCAAGAGCCAGCATATGAGGAACGATGTAAGCAAAGATTCAAAGTCGAATCGTCTCTCGCCTTCTGCTTACTCACACTGCTCAACCTCAGCGGCGGATCGGTTGTCCGCGCCCAAGAGGTTGTTGTTGTTGGAGATGCCCGCAACAAAGCGTGCAATTGCCCTGCCCTCGAACATGTTGAAACCCTCGGACGAGGTGAAGCCGGGCACCTTTCCCGTAGGGAACTTCTCGAGGAATTCGGGAGTCTGCGTCTCGCCCTTCATCGGGGAGCACTCCTTGACCTCAAGGTTGAGCCCATTGACGGCAGCGATAGCGCGGGAGCGGAGCACCTTGGGCGCGTTGGGAGGGCCGTAGATGGTTCCGATCGACGACATGATGTGAAGTAGGGAGGTGGGTGTTGGTGGTAAGGAAGTGGTAATGAAACTCGACAGTCGATGCTCAAGTCGAACTCGACCTTCCACCGCCGTCGTCTCAGCCGTCCCTCCGTTGTCGGCCCTTTCGAAAATCGGCGGCTGCACGTGCACGTGATCCAGAGCGACGCTCGAGCCACCGCCCCTCGGCGTCAAGCAGCCCACTCTTCAATCATCTTCTCGCAGATCCCTGTACTCATGCACGGATATTATTCGAAGCCTGATAGGTAAGGGATAGATGACGCTGTTGTGATGTCTCGCTGCTACCTTTCCAGCCTCAATCTACGATGAGACGCTACTCCCCTGCGTGCCTAAATCTTCAGCTCTACGAATCCCTTGGGCACATCGCCACCGCCACCGTTGCTGCCGCCCTTGCCCTTGAGTCTATGCTGCTGTCGCTCTTCCTCATCGAAGCGATCTAATCGCCGGCGATGGGCCGCCGCTGCCGCTTTCGAATTTGGCGCTGGTACAGCGCCCGCCGCTCTGCCCTTCACCGGCTTTTCCTTGCCCTTCGCCGTCGTGCCTGCCGCTGCTGCCGTCGACGTTTTATCCTTGGCCTTCGTCGCCTTGCTCTCCTTCAATACCCGATCCTTTGCCCTCCTTTCCCTCTGCCTATCACGCTTCCTCTTGAGCTCAATTTCGCGCTTCTCCGCCTTCGACATTGCGCGAATCTCATCGCGATTGAGCGTTGACGGCGAAAGTGGAGGCGAGAGGCGGCCGCGTGATGAGTCGAGCGGGTAGGTGAAGGAAGTTGATGCGTAGGCTGGCGTTGAGGCACGGGTCGGTTGCGAGGGCGAGGCCGTATCCAGTGGAGTGGAGATGTTGGAGAGAGCCATCGTTGACCCGGGGGATCGGGCGGCCGAGCCCGATGGCGAACCACTCGACGGGCTGGCCGCATCAACGGTCTTGGCTGCCGCATCAAATTCAGAAGCCAGTGCCCCGTCCACACTCCTCTCTTCTCTCTCGCGCTCCCTGGAGCTACTGCGTCGTTTTGGTGACCGAGGTGACGGCGCTTCAATCTCGAATGGATCTACGGACAATGCCCGTTTGTTGCTCGTCTTGCCACCACGCTCCGTCTCGGGCGAGATGCTCGCACGAGGTTCGACGGTCGTTGCTATGCTGGATCCGCCTTCTGCCGACGACGCCGTCGTGGCGGTCGTGGCGTGCGTCGATGACGAGTTGGCGTCTCCGCCACTTGAGCTGGCAGGGCTGGCTCCTCGCCACGTATTCGAGTCGTCGTTCGTGCGTAGGTGCTCGGGCACGGGAAGCAGCGGTGAACGATTATCGTACCTTGATGACGTAGAGGTTGCGTTGTTGAGGTAGGAATGCGACGCGCCTCGAGAACGTGTCATGTACATCTGTCCCGACGTTGAGGGACTGTCCCGCCCGCCCTGTGCATCTTGAGCGATCAAAACCTCAACGACCGTCTCCCATAGATTACCATGCTTCTTGAGAAGGCCTCGCACTTCTTGGAGCGTGTGGCCTGGTACTGACCGCAGGATGAGGTCCTCGTGCTCAGTAGGCTTTAGAGGGCGATACTCGTCCTCGTCATCATCATCGTCATAGTCGCTGCTGGCGTAGCCCCGTTTGCTGGACTTGCTTGCTGCGGGGACGTGTGGTTGTGCTGCTTGCGCTACGTTGGACTCGTCGATGCGAGGGAGGCCAGAGTGTGGGCCGTCGATATTGCGAAGAGATGAGTAGTGCTCCCAGTTGTGGTAGCTGAGCGCGAGGGGAAGGCGAAGACATGTGAGTGGCGGCGAGGACTACAGTAGTATCTCGCTCGTGCTCACGCAATGTAGAGCGGCCCAGACGCCTCTATCGGTCCCTCACTGTCCTGTTCCTGCTCTTCGTCATCCGCGAGTCTGCTACTACCTGCCACCTCCTGACGAGCTGCACTGGCTTGCCCTCCACCCAACCCCTCCTTCCTTTTACGTCTCCTGATTTCCCTGGCAGTCGCCGCTGGCCTCTCGCTACCACTAGGCTGCTTGGCTTGAATGGCCTCACGTCTATTCTCGATGGCGCTCCTCTCTGCAACCGCCTCGGGCGAGTCATCATGGCCCGTGACGCGGTAGACGAGGCCTGGCTGGACAATCTTGATCTCCTTGTGCTTGAGTGAGGCAAACGCAGATAGTTCAAGATGACCACCGTAGACGCCGCTTTGCCGCATGTTGCGCACGTAGTCGACAAAGGGCTTCTCCACCTCGACGAAGCCGGCAAAGCCTATGGTTCGCGGGCAGAGTTGTGAGCGATGATGTTTGGCCTCTTCCATGTGGTGGGCAGCAACTCACGCTCAGGACTCGCTTCGATGTAGTCGCAGATCTCTCCACGCAGCTGGGAGTGTGCGTCAGGGTAGCCGTACAGCTGATCTGACAGGGCCCTGTGGCGGCGTTGACGAGGGAAATGTGTCAGACGAGGGCGACTCCTGCCCATCGATGGTATCTGGCGGCTGCGCACCTGAACAAGCAGTTTCCGTCTCCACTCGTGGCAGACGCATAGAGCTTCATCGACTTGAGCTGAGCATTGAGCTGCTTCTCGATAACGTCCGGGTCGTCGACAAGCTGCGGGCGCGACAGGTGGGATCGGGGACGTGTGAGCTTGCGTCTCGTCTGCGAATTATCCATAGGCTACGGCGACTTACCTTGGATCCTCTACTCCTCGTTGCTGGCCTTTCACCTTTGACTATCATAGCGTTGAAGCAGTGAGAGGAATTCGGTCAGTAAATCGGCGTTTTGCAGGTGCAGAGGAAGGCAGCGGCATGACGATTTGGCGAGCAGATTCGCAAATGAGTGTTGTTGGGCGAATGACGAGGCGGAAGAGCGTCGATGTTGGTGCAACATTGTGATGTCGTCGGCGAGCATTGCTGCCTCGCCGCCCTGAATGACGGTGAGGCGTATCCTCACGCCGCCTGACGCCAGCCGCCCAGGCATCCGTCCGGCGACTCGCTGAGGTGACATCGACCAAGCAACATCACCTCAGCTCGCTGCGGGGTCTAGCCGGTGAGAATGGGCTGCAACAACCAGCACAGCCGGCCGGATTGCTCGATGGGGGCCATCGTGAGGTCCTCGCTTCACCGTCGCACACTAGACTCGGTGATCGAGATATCGGGCCAATGCACGCCCGCCCGCCTGTCCGCGCTACTCCGGCCGCGGCTGATGGCAATCAGCGCCCAAAGAAGGCATCCGCTGCGCACTGCGTGATGGTGATCAAGCGACAAGTAAAGCCTCTTCCATATTGCTCACAACATCTACTCACCAGTCGTAACATTCCCCCTTCGTCCGTAATAATGACGATCCGAGCTGGCCCCTTTTGCCCCGGATCTATGCGGATTGCCTTTACCCATGGCTCAGCACAGTCCGTGTGTGAGCACTAGCGAGCAAGCAGCTGGGTAGACTGCTTGCTGAGTGATGTGACGCTCAGCTCAGCCTTGATGGCGTTGCGTTGCGCTGAAGGTGAAGTGGAGATGAGGGAATGGCTCTAGTGTTGAAAGTAGCACGACAGCCTTGCCTCAGGCACGGACGAGGTGGGCGTGTGCGTGTGGTTGCGCCTCTCTCCGCTTTGTTGCCCGTCCGAGACGGAGCGGAACAGACTCAAAAGATGGCAGGGCCGAGGGGTGGTGGCGGTGATGGTGGTGATGGTGATCGTGCAGCAGGTGTTGCAAGCGTCGTTCAATGGAGTCGTCCCGCCAGGTCACAAGATGAAGCTGATGAGTGTACGGCGGAGGTCGGCTCGCTGCGACGAGAGAGGAGGATGAGAGAGACGAAGCGAGGACGGAGACGGATCAGGACGACGGACGTCGAATCGAGCGAGAGGCTGGACCCCGATGGCCTGAGCTGGATTGGCGATTGCTTTTTGAGTCTAAGCGCAGCGCTGGCCTCCTTTGGGGCAGAGCTCGTGAGACTGCTCTACCTTGCAATGATCGGCGGCCTTGTAAAATGTGAGCGTGCGAAGAGCTCAACCTGAAGTGGTAGCGATGATGATGATGAGGGGCTCGAAGGAGAGACGAAGGCAGCCGACGCCTGGTTCCTCAGCGGGGCGCCGCGGCGGGCGGCGAGAATTGCAGCAGCAAATGACGGAGGCCGGCGTCGTCGAGACGAGGAAGCCCAGTCCGAGAATCAAAGAGCAAAAAACTCCACCAGTGACAAGGGGAAACGCCAACGACGAACGGTGACGACGATCATTGGGGAAAGAAGAAAGCAAAATTTGAGCGCGAATGACAACAAAAAGCTTCATTGATCCAGCACAGGGAGAGGTAAGAAAATGACATACAATTGGGAGAGCAGCTCGACGCCTTCGTGTTGATACATCGAGTCTACGGGTTAGGCTCCCCCGGCGTCCCCTCACTGTACAGCACGACGGCGTACTTGCCCGAGATCCTCCAACCAGGCTCCTCCTTGTCCAGCTTATCCGCCCTTTCCTGATCTACTCCTACGACCACGTCACTCTTGACGGTCCTGAGCGACACGACGGGCGGGGCTCCATCTGCCGAGCTCATGGGACCAATGGCCGTTTCGAATGGAATCGATGCGGGAGTTTGACAGTCGTAGCAAAGACGACGAGCATTGAGGTCTCCCTTAAAGATGACCAGGTCCGACTCGGCTAGATGAATGAAGAGATCGGGCGCCTCAGAAGGGAGTGACCAGTAGGCGTAGCCGGTGCACCAGAAGGGATGCTGCTCGTAGACCCATTTGCCCTGTGACGTGGGTGAAGAGGATGGCAAATCAGTGCCCGTGACGATCAGCTGCGGATTGGTACGTGAAGACAGCCCCTACGCACCTCCTGCTCGTACTTCTTCCATCTGGCAGCCATCTGACGCAGCGAGGCAAGCTCGGAGTCCGAGGCGTTGGGGAAGAGAGAGCCGTACATCATCGAGTTGAGGAGCCACGACCCTGAGCGCGAGCAATGGCGATAGAGAAGTCAGATAGGCGTGACATTGAGCTCAACACCTTCACCGTTGACTCACAATCCTTTCGAGTGACATCGGAGACGAACCAGGCGAATCGCTTGCCGTGGAAGTGGATCTCATTGGCGATACCGCTCTGGATCAGCCAGTCGGCGTATACGCAGTCGCAGTAGAGCTCAAACCCAGCATTGTCCAGAACGAAGTCGATTCGACCGCCCTTGAGCTTCGATACTTTGGTCTCCCAGATCTTGTCAAGGTCATTGCCCAGGATATTCTTCTCGCTGAGGGCGGGCGGAGATGCAGGCAAGGAGCAGGGATGTGAGTAGAGAAGTGGCGGGGGACGAGGCTACGCCTTGCAGCAAGTCGCAAACTCACGTTTCAGCCAAATGCTCTCCACCCGTCGACTGCAGATTCTTGATGTCGTCCTCCGTCATGTTGATCAGGAGGCTCAGATCCGTCGCATTGCCCCACAAGCAGACCTGGGTCAACTCATGGAAGACGAGCTTGGCCGCCTTCAACTTGTCGGCATCAGAGGCCTGCTTGGCATACTCGAATGGCTCGGCAAAGCGCGTCGAGAGCTCGAAGACGGCCGTCGAGGAGCGGCTGAACGTGTCGCACTTCTGCCGGAAGAAGACGTCATAGTCCTTCCAGTGTTGCGAGATGGAGAAGCACTCGTGAAGGCGACGGTACTTGTAGGCTTCGGCGAAGAGCCAGGTGGCATTCATAAAGTTTTTGCCCCGAAAGAATTTGGCAATCTCCTTGTTCCCTGCGCGGAGGAGGAGGAGGAGGAGGGTCAGCATCGAGCCTTGAGCCTCAGTGCTGGTGGCTTGCGGTACGCACACATCGCCACATCGCCCTCGCCGTCGTCTTTGATGACTCTGAGGTTCTGGTTGGTTTGCAGATCCCTGTCAAGAGAACGCGAATCAAGAATCGTCAGGGCCGCGGCTCGGTGGAGTATGACCTGGACAGGTTCACACGCACTTCATAAGCTCCTGCATACGTTCGATGCACTTGGTCAGATCAACGATGCGCGTCTCGTCGTACTCCTCGTTGAGAGTGCGGATCGTATCGTCGATTGCCTTGCCAAGGATGGTGGGCAGACGCTGACCCATTGTCGCATTGGCGAAGGAGAATCTGCGCAAGGATGGAGAGAGAGAGAGAGGGGAGAAAAGGGGGGGGGGGGGGGGAGGTTAGCTCCACATCAATGCGGGGTAGCCGGTCAGCCTGCGAGAAATGGCTCACTTGTGGTAGCCTGTGGGAGCGCATATGATCAGCGTTTGTTCAGACGTCTTTCCCCTCGCACATGGGCCGCACTCACCTCTGTAGGCTGGCCATGGGGGGTTCTCCGGATCGACGCGCGACGCCGTCCTGACGGGTTCAAACTGGGTGCGCTTTGGCGGCAAGTTGCCGAGGCTGAGGATGGTACGAGAAGGCGGCTTAGAGGACGCGTGCGTTTTGACGTCGGCCATGGTGGGCAAGGAGGAGAGAGAGAGGTGCTGTTTGGGAAGACGAGTAGTGATGGTCAGGAGGGGAAGGGGTCGCAGCAGCGATCTAGGTTCCAGATTGCGAAGTGAGTCTACGTGCTCGCTCGGGCCCATGCATGACCCCGGCTGTGCCTCAACCTCAACACGCACCTTGACGCCGCCCTGTCCGCTTCTCCGCCTCGACCTTTTTCCCCACGCCGCCTTGGCCCGGGCAGCCGGCGCGCCCGCTACAGAGACAGATTCTGGCGGGACCCTGGGCTATTCGAGAAAGGCTAGAAGAGAGCAAAGCCGACGGACAACTCTGGCAGGGAAGGCGAGGAAGAGGAACAGCAGAGGGCGCCGGTTGATGCCGACGAGAGGGGTGGATCAAGGTCGGCGGCTGAATGGAAGTTGGGCAGGAACGACGAGGGGGGAGGGGGGCCAGTGGGCGGTGGGCGGTGGGAGCATGCAAGAAGGAGATGTGCGGCTCTGGCACACACGTTTCACTGTCACTGGTCTGAGATGTCTCTGCGTGCAATCACTGCGTTCAATCTGATGCGCTCCGTTCCTGAACCACACCATCGCAAAGAAGCGACACAAGAAGACGATAAGAAAGAGCTGCTCGCCCTCGCTGCCACTCCTCCACGTGTGAGAAGCGGTGTTGAGAGCGCACACGCACGCTCGCTGCTTTCGTCTCCGCCCAAGAGCTGGCGTCATAGGCTGGCGAGCGGAGAGGGAAGGCGAGGCGCACACGGCGGGATCGTCGTCTTCTTCCTCTCGTCCTCCCCCCTCACCATCTCCTCCAAAAGGAGCGCACATACACGCTTCCCTCACTAAACTCCCATCATGCCTCCTCGACAGATGTCGCGCTACGCCTCCAAGGGCGCCTTCGACCTTCTAGCGGCAGACGACGTCGATGAAGAAGGAGTCGATGCCTCGGAGGACGACGAAGATGCACCGATTGCTCCAGCTCCACCAGCTAGCACGCCGGCGGGCTCTACCAAGCTGACCAAGACGCAGCAGAAGAAGCTAGCAAAGGAGGCGCGAGAGGCAAAGAAGGCTGAAAAGCAAGCAGCATCTGCCACTCCCACACCACCGGATGAGAATAGCAGGAGCGTGCCCAACGAGAATTCAGCTTCCGGCATCGCTGATGTTGCGGCGCCTCGTGCTGAGAGGAGCTCGCCTACCATCGAGATCCCCGTGCAGAGGGTCGCGCCTGCGGATGACCCGGCGACGGCTTCCGCTGCTCCTGGGCCAGTACCCAATGGTGCCGCTGCGGGGATCAAGGCAGCCAACGAGACGTGAGCTGACGATATACTGCAACAATGTGAACAATCGAGATGATCGCTCACATTCTCATCCTCTTTTCTCAACCATAGCCTACCCTCTCCAGCTGCTCGCCGTGATGCCGCTGCAGGTGCGTCTGGTGTCTCGTCGTCCTCTACAGCTGCGGCACCCAAGCCAGCTCCAGCATCCGCTCCTCGGGCAGCTGCTCCCGCCTCTCGCCCTCCTGCCGCAGAGCCGACACCCGAGGACATCGTCGCGGAACGCAAAGCAGCAGAGCGTGCTGCCTACTGGAGGAAGATCCGTGAACGCACGACCTTCACCTTTGTTATGATCTTCGGCTTCGTCGGTCTCCTCTCTCTCGGCCACCCCTACATGATCATTCTCGTCCTCGCCATTCAGGTCCTCGTCTACCGTGAGGTTACTGCCCTTTTTGAGATTCCGGGAAGACCTTCCATTACGGGTGGTGCGCCGCGCCGACATGTGCTCTCGAGACATAACTCAACGCAGGGAAAGCCGGCGACTGCCAAGGCAAGGTCGCAGCAGATCGAGTCGGCGCAGGTTAGCGACGATGAGGATGACTTTAGAGAGGAAGAGAGGAAGGAACTGCTTTGGTCCAAGACGTGAGTAAATGCGCCGCGACGTCATATCATTCGCTGACCGATCTCTATCTCTCGCCTCCTCGCTCGTAGTCTCTCGTGGTACTTCTTCACAGTAGCCAACTACTTCCTCTACGGCGAGTCCCTCATCTATTACTTCAAGCACATCGTCTTTGTGGACTCGTACTTCATCCCCTTTGCAAGGCACCATCGCTTCCTTAGCTTCCTCCTCTACATCATCGGCTTCGTAGGCTTCGTCTCCGGATTGCGTCGCGAGAACCTCAAGCACCAATTCGGCCTCTTTGGTTGGGTCCACATGAGCCTGCTGCTCATCGTCTTCTCCAGCCACTTCCTGGTAAACAACATCCTCGAGGGATTGATCTGGTTCTTCGTCCCCGCATCCCTTGTCATCTGCAATGACGTCTTCGCCTACGTATGCGGGATGATTTGGGGACGCACCCCGCTCATCTCCCTCAGCCCAAAGAAGACGGTCGAGGGCTTCGTAGGTGCCTTCCTCATCACCGAGGTCTTCGCCATCGGATGGGCGACGTACTTCCAGCGATTCAACTACATGATCTGCCCCGCCGTCTCTTTGGGGATGAACGCCTTCCAGCAGATCGAGTGCAAGCCCAACCCGGTATTCGAGTGGCACTCCCTCCCCATACCGGGTGAGATCCTTGCTCTCCTCCCTCCGGCTTTGGTCTCAGCGTTGCCGGGCACCTCGATCCCCTACACGTACTTCCAACTCCACTCCCTCGTGATGGCTGCTTTTGCTTCCCTCGTCGCTCCCTTTGGCGGCTTCTTTGCCTCAGGATTCAAGCGCGCATTCAACATCAAGGACTTTGGCGACTCGATCCCCGGCCACGGTGGGCTGACGGATCGCTTCGACTGCCAGTTCCTGATGGGGCTGTTCAGCTACGTCTACTACAGCAGCCTGATTCGCGAGAACACGGTAACTGTGGGGAGCGTGTTGCAGATGGTAGTGGCGCACCTGGGACAGGAGGAGCAAGTAGAGGCGTACAGGGAGATTGGTCGATATCTGAGCTCGCGTGGTATCAAGGTATGAGGTATGAGGGGAGGAGGATGGGATGGAAGACAACCATCGTTGGGTGGGTGTACAATTGCGCATTGCCGTGCTATGGTGTTCTCATGCATCGAATCGAAAGGACTTCATTCATGAATCATGTACGGGAGCGATGACAAGGCGAGGCGAGGCGAGAAGGGCGACGACGACGACGACGACGACGAGAGGAGCTACGTCAATGGGTCTCGAGAGAGGGAAGCCCGCAAGCCGTCAAGCGCGAGCTCAGATGCCCATGGCCGAAGCAGGCTGCTTGATTCTGGCGTCCATGTTGCCTCCGCCTGCAGCGTGACGAGGAGCGCGAGACGAGGCGGAGCCGGCGTTGTTGAGGGCGAGCATCTTGCTACGGGCGAGGGTGAGGAGTATTAGCGTCTTTCCTCGCACAGCATCGTGTTTGTCCGGCAATACTCACGCCTCATCACTCTTGATGCCCTTTTTCTTCTTCTTTCCTTGGTCGCGCTGCTGGTCTTGTTGCTTCTCGCTATCCTTGCCAGGTTCGCTCTCTGTGTGGCCATGGCCGGGCTCAGGGCGAGGATAGCCATCAGAGGAGGCGGCGGATGTGGAAAGTGGGATACTGGCGTCCTTGTTGGCATCGTCGTCGGTGGGAGAAGTAGAAGCGCCTTGCGAGGCACGACGGGTGTGCGATTGGGAGATCCGACGACCGCCGGCCCGGACTGCGAGGATCAGGGTGGAGGTGTTGGATACTGGTGAGCAAGACTGCCCAGTGATACCGTACAGATGGGCAGACACTTACTCGCAATGGGATGACCGGCGACGGAGCTGCTGTTAGTAGTGGAGGACATGATTGATTGCTTGGTGACGACTTGGGGGTGAATCGGAGGTCAAGATGGAGTAGCCCCTCCAGCGACCGAGTCGAGAGCAAGTGACAGCGAGTGTGAGTGGCTTGAGCAGCTCCCTCTCCCCGCCCCGGCCCCTCCCCCACAATCCATGTATGGCTCTCAAATTGGCCTCCTCCTCCGCACAAGCCAGGGCATTTCTGTCTGGCCTGAGTCGACCGAGTCGCGACCGCACAGACGCCGTGGGAACGAAGGAAGCGTGTGGAGTCGAGGCGGCGAGGCGCCGTCGTCGATGTCGGGTGACCCTGACGCGACTGCAAGGCTTTGCTCTCACACTCTCACCCTGACTCCTTCCTCCCCGCCGCCGGCACCTCATGTCTGGCAAGCCGAGAAGGCGGACGACGGCAACACGGCGAGATGGTGCGATAGCCTCAGAGAACGACGAGCCCGCTTCTTTGCCAATCTCGTCAGGGCGGCCAAATGCTCCAGGCTTGCCCGTATCGGAGCGTTTCATCCTCATTGCCCGCGTCATCGTCTTCTCCATAATCACGACCGGCTTCTTGTTGCATCATTATAAGCCTTGGCGAGGCCTCTTCAACACTTCTGTGAGACGACATAGCTTTCAAGACGACAAGACACTCGAAGCCCTTCTGCAACCGCTAGACAATGACGAGTACGCCATTTGTTCCGCGGGGACGTGGCCTTTGCCAGACACTGCTGCGTCCACCTCGTCGTCGTCGTCGTCGTCGTCGTCGAATTTATTCCCCTTTGCCTTTCGGCGGAAGACTGCCAAGTCGTCGTCCATCTATACGCTTCAAGGCGGATCGCCAGACTCGCCCTCCGCAGTTGAATGCATCCTCGTCCGCTCCCATGGCGTCCTCGCCGTCGGCTCTGCCTCGACCATCGTCTCGCCCTGGTGCGCTTCGGGCTCAGCATGCGACGTGCGCGTGCTTCCAGCAGGCTACACTCTGCTTCCCTCCTTCACAGACGCCCACGGCCACTTGCTCGACCTAGGACACTCACTCTCCTCTGCCGACCTCTCGGGCGCCACTTCCCTCGCCGAAGTCGTTCAAAGGCTCGAAGGCTACATTCTCGCTCGACCGTGGTTGGCCGAGGATACTGCTACTTGGATATGGGCTCACGGCTGGGACCAGACAAGATGGAATGATACCGAGGGGGACGCATTCCCTTCCAAGGAGGACTTGACCGCCAAGTCTGAGATTCTGCGAGGCAGGCGCATCGTTGCCAAGCGAATAGACTTTCATGCCCTCTGGCTCAGCGAAGCTGGCATAGAGGACATTGCTGCCAGCTCACCGACAGGGCAGATACCTTCTGACGTCTCCGGCGGTCTCATCGTTCGCTCTCCGACTGGCGAGCCTACGGGCATCCTCATTGACAATGCAATGCAGCTCGCTCTGGACGTCATTCCTCCGCGCACCGATAAGGATAGGCAGCGCTACCTGTCTGCCGCCCAGGATCTGCTACTCAGCTACGGTGTGACTGCGGTAGGGGATGCGGCTGCTTCACTGGAGGATCTGGCCTTCTACCGACGGGTGAGCGATGAGAGCAAACTCGGTGTACGAATCTACGCTTTTGTCTCCTGCCCGCCACGACAGCCCTTCTGCGACGAGGAGGCGCGGCAGGTCTTGGGCGCAGAGACGGTGCCCTACCATGATGGACACGGCGGTAATTTGGTGGTACGTACCGTCAAGCTTTTTGCGGATGGAGCGCTTGGCAGCTGGGGCAGTGCGCTGTGGGAGCCATACGCTGATCGACCTGACGATCGGGGGCTGCTGTTGCTCAATGAGACGGACCTGCGCCACTCGGTCCAGCACTGGCATGAGAAAGGCTGGCAAGTGGCAGTGCATGCGATTGGAGATCGCGCAAACAGCCTCGTCCTTGACGCCTTCGAATCAGCAGGCGGCAACGATTTGCCCTCACGGCGGCATCGCATCGAGCATGCGCAACTGGTACGGCGACAGGACCAATCTCGCTTCGCACGACTCGGCGTTGTGGCTTCGATGCAGCCCACGCACTGCACGTCGGACATGGGCTACGTTGCTGCTCGATTGGGAGAGGAAAGGACTAGAGAGCGGGCCTACCCATGGAGGTCCATCCTACACGGCGACACGGGCAGCGAAGAAGAAAGAGCGCATCTCGTATTAGGAAGCGACTTCCCAGTCGAAGGAGTGGACCCAATCTCCGGTATCTGGTCAGCCACTCAGCGCCTGGACTACGCCACCTTGGCTTCACCACACGGCGCTGAAAAGCCGTGGCATGGTCAAGAACGCATAACTCCTCTCGAGGCTTTGCGCGGCTTCACGACTGAAGCGGCTTATGCGCAATTCGAAGAGGGAAAGGCCGGCGTCCTTCAGACAGGAGCAAGGGCCGATTTCGTCGTGATGAGGGGAGATATCTTAGAAGATCTCACGCTGGAAAAAGTCAAGGTCAGGAGGCAGGCTGGCCAGAGGGAAGACCGTCCCGTTGTCGTGGGCACGGCAGTGAGTGGTAAGTGGGTTTGGAGGGAAGCGAGGATAGGCACAGCACATGATCGCAATTAGTGAGGGAAGCGAAAGAGTCGAGGAAGGGAAGTGGTGAAGCAATGCAATTCATGTGGGCTGTTGCTGCGCTGGTGGGGACGGCAGGTCCACTTGGTGGCTTCGTCAAGTCGACGACATCCGTCGCTCGTCCACTCGCTCTTACTCAAGGCGACCAGAGATTCCCGGACCCATTGTTTGGTCCTTCGCACAACTCTCATTGCCCGCGCGTACGGCCCGAAAATGTGCCGTACGGCCTCATCGGGCCGCTAACGACGCGCCAGGCTTCGAGGACATCGATCCCGTGCCAACGGCGGCCACACGACCGCGAGCCCTTCGTTGCAAAGCCGATCAATCTCGTCCCCGAACAGTAGTCGCAACGGGCGAACGAGCTCCTGCCCTCAAGCGGCGCGATACCGAGGATTGATGGCAGCGGCAAAGCGCTCCGAGAAACGTACACTGCCCGGGACCCTGAGCCCGTGTGCGCGACGGCGAGAGGCTTTCGTTGGATATAAAGCAGTTGATTCGCCTCCAAACTCTCCTGTTCAACTTCTCTTCAACACCCAGCATCTAAAATGCGCTGCATCGTCCCTCTCCTCGCTGCCTTTCTCCTCCTTGCGTTTGCCGTCACCGGCACGCTCGCACGCGACACCAGTGCTCCTGCCTGCGATCGCCCTGGTGCGTATGCCTCAGGCCTTACCTCTCTCACCCTCCTCTGACTGTCCATCCCCGCCCCCTCGCCGGCCCGCCGCCGCCGCCACCCCTCCCCCACCACCAATCCGTAGACGGTTCCATCCCTCAATACCGCAACGGCAAGGTCACGGCCTTCTCAAACCACGCCCTCGTACCTACTCAGATAACTTCCGACCCTCTCTACTACGTCAAGCCAGGGGACGGGGCTTGCGGGCTGTACACGAATCAGGATGCTGGAGTCTGCATGAACCGTGGTTGGGTCAAGAGTGGCTACGTCAACTCATGTGATGGAAAGTGGGTTGAGATTACGCTCCCTGCTACAGGTGTCAAGACTGTCGCTAGGGTCCTCGACGTCTGCGGGGACCCGTCTGCTCCAGGCGACACCTTCGGATGGTGAGCAGGAGGTATTACAAGTATTGAATCGCGAGCTGCGACTGACGTCCTCTGAGCGCTTTCTCTGCCGCAGCGACGACCTGCGCATGACTCTCTCGACCTTCTCCGCCCTAGCGCAAGGAGACCCCGCCATCATCAAAGCAAACTCACTCCCCACGCCCGCAATCTGGCGCTTCGTACAGGAACCCTGCTGGGCTTGCGAGGCCGGCCTGAAGGGCATCTCTCCCACAGGCAAGCCGGACGACTGCCATGGACCCGACTCCTTTGGGATCATGCGCAATGGTCGAAAGACGGGCAAGAGTGTGAGGAAGGGGCATGCAGCTGCTGTGCATTGTGCCAGTGTTGTTGATCCAGGCCACAAGTTCGACGAGAAGCTATTTGTTGAGGCGGAGGTTGAGAAGGTGAGCAAGGAGAAGGGGTTGGCGATTGAAGCTGTGCACGAGATGATCAAACAGTTTGATGGGCATGGTCACTAAGGGAGCGGCAGTCAGCGCCTCTTACTCGTGCTTGATGTGCCTTGGTGGCAACCCATCTCATCCTAGTCGAACTCTATTTATTGAGATACATCTCCTCTCATCTTTCTTGACCAGAACATAGCGAGTATGATTATCGCCATCTCTCCCTACTTGCCTCCTTCGTTGCCCCTCTCGCCAACCAGTTTGCGCATGGCAGTCGATGCGAAGCTCTCAAAGAGGGTGCGATCTTTCCCATAGACCCATCTGATGTGCAGCTGACAAGGATTGTACGCCCGCGCTTCGTCATCGTCCTTGCTACTCTCAACGCTGATGAGGACGCAGAGAGCGGGATCTGCTGATGATGAGGATGTAGTGGATGCAGTGGCTCGAGATTTGTCGCTTTTGTCATCTGCTTTCTCTCTCATTGCGGCCCTCCGTGCTGCCCTCGTCCAGGAGGCCGTGTCGAACCGTACGAAGAGCGCGTCGTCTTCCTCTTCGCGCACCGTGACGGCGGGCAAAGATTTCAGAAAGTTGTGCATCTTGTCCATCGCCTCTGTTGCTCCCTTGCGGCTCGGCATTTCCTTCTTGATCGACGAAAGAGGCGGTGAGACCCCGGCTGGGTTGTTGATGCGCAGCAGCTCGTCAGGCAAGCGGTGCTGCGCCCACGACCAGAGGACGATCCACCGCTTTGTTTGGCCCTGCGTGATACTCGTGAAGCCCCAATTCCGAACATTGCGCTGCTGGAGAAGGGCGTAAATCAGAGGCAGGCTGGACGCCTTCCCCAGCAGACTGCTGTACCAAATTGACGTTGAGGGAAGGGCGCAACTCTCCTCAATCATTCGAGTCACAAAAGCCACCTCCCCTCCCGCTGTATAGACCATCTCATTCGCCGAGCCAGAGCAGGCACCACGAGGGGGCAATTGTTTAGCCGCTGCCGCTCTGTCCATCTCTGCCAGGTCGGTGTAGAAGGGCGGGTTGCACATGGTCATGGCAAAGGGCTGTCCCGAGCCCGCCGTGGGGATAAGCGGAGCATCTGGAGAACGGTGAAGGAGCTTGATCCTCTCGGCGAGGTTGAGCGATCCCTCATTGTTGTGAGGATGCGCGACGACATGCTCAGCATTCTTGAGAGAGACGGCGTCAATGTCCGTGGCGGTGAAGGTCCAAGAGGGATCCAAGGCACAGCCTAGAATAGGGTAGATGGCCGTTGCGCCGGTGCCTATGTCGAGGATACGCGTCGAGGGAGGCGAATCGCAGCGTGCTCTCTTCCTAGGTTGGATCTGCTCATCCCCACCTGGTTGCGTTGCGTACCGTGGCAACCCATCTGGGCCAATGGTGGCGTTGAGGACGTCTTGCACCCAGAGGAGATAGTCGAGTCGGTTGGGTACAGGAGGACAGAGTCGATCCTCGGGCTGTTGATGGACATGAATGCCCCAGTCCTGCTTCAGCACAGCCTGATTCAGCGCTCTGAGGGCCTCTGGATCCTGGAAGTTGATGCGGCCGTCTTGGAGATGCTGGGCAAAGGCAGGATGGGCATTGGCGAGGGCCTTGAAGTCTATGCCATCCTGACCGTATGGGTTGCGAGCTGCGAGCAGAGAGGTTCGTAATGATCAGCGGATGGCAGAGTGAGGAGCATGATGAGCTGGCTGCCTGCTCACGATGCATTGAGCCCCGCACGATGGCCTACTCCATCGAAAGTCTGGCGTTGCACCTCGTTGTTTCCGCGCTGACGTAGGCTCAGACCAGGTAGCTGGGCGTGCGGGCCGCGCGGTGCCTGTCGTCGCTGATTTTCGCAGCCGCCGCCCGCCCACACACCGTCGGCGGCTCCTGGCTTTGGCCTCGGCGAGTGTGCCTCGAGTCGAGGGGACGGCGAGCAGGCAGGCGGGCGGGCCAGAGACCAACACGAGGAAATCGCAGCCAACACTCTGACAACTCTTCCATCCATCCATCCCTCCGTCCGTCCGTCCGACACTTCACAAAGGCCCAAAGTAGGCGATCACGACGACTGTCATCGCCAAGATTGGCCTGAGATAGACTCGTTGCGACCTACTACCCCTTTCCCACTTCATCGATAGGCCAGAAATCCGTACGTGCCAGAGCGGCGCTGATAGCCCTTCGACACCTTTGCTCCAGCAGTGGCCTCACATACCCCCCCCCTTGCCATCCTCGTCCCGTCCGTATTTGCAGCACTCACAACATGAACGCAGCAGAGGTGCTGTCCAATACGCTGTCGCCGGGTAAGTATGCAGCCAGGCTATCAAGCCGAACCAACCGCTCATCACCTACCCTCTTACCCGCATAGACGCCTCGGTCCGAGCGGCTGCGGAAAAGTCACTCGAGGATGCCTCCCGCGACAACTTCGTGAGCAAGTGGTCTCGAAACCAGCTCTTTGGGCACTTATTGACTCCCTGTCCCGCATCTCGCAGCCCGCGTACATGGACATGCTGGCCAATGAAATGGCAAATGATGCGACCCAAGTCACCCTCCGAGTCGCAGCCGCCCTCGCCGTCAAGAATGCCCTTACAGCTCGCGAAAGCTTCCGTCAAGACGAGTTCAGTCAGAGATGGCTTGGTCTCCCAGAAGACGCTCGCAACAACACCAAGTCAAAGGCACTCTCAACATTGGGCACCGCGAATGAGGGGGTGGGGAGGAACTCGGCTCAGCTCGTCGCCGCAATTGCCGCCATCGAGTTGCCCGTTGGAGGTTGGAAGGAGCTCATCGGCCAATTGCTAGGAGCGATCAGGGATCAGACGAACGAGAGATTGAGGCAATCGGCCTTGCAGGCAATTGGCTTCGTCTGCGAAACAGTCGTGAGTACCCGCCATGCCGGTCAGAGATACGAGAGGCGCCAACGACCTGACCTTACTTCTCACGACCTTGATCTCATCCCAGAAATCTAACGTCCTCACCGCTCAATCAAACGAAATCCTCACAGCAGTCGTCCATGGTGCACGCAAGGAGGAGCCCTCACCCGCCGTGCAACTCGCAGCCATCCAAGCCCTTCTCAACTCGCTCGAATTCGTCGCAGAGAACTTTGAGAGGGAAGGAGAGCGCAACTACATCATGCAAGTCGTTTGTGAAGCCACTCAAAGCTCAGACGTCAACGTCAAGGTCTCGGCTTACGAGTGTCTCGTCAAGATCATGCAGCTCTACTACCACCAGATGCGCTACTATATGGAGCAAGCCCTCTTCGGCTTGACGGTCCTTGGCATGAGGGATCCGGAGCAGCGTGTGGCCCTGCAAGCCGTCGAATTCTGGTCAACAGTGTGCGAGGAGGAGATCGAGCTGGCCATCGAGGCGGCAGAGTACACCGAATTCGGCGAGGAGCCCTACCGCCAATGCTACAACTTTGCGCGCATCGCCCTGGGCGAGATCTCACCCGTCCTCATGGATCTGCTCAAGGTACAAGACGAAAACGACGATGAAGACGACTGGAATGTAGCAAAGGCAGCGGGAACCTGCATCGGACTTCTCGCCAACTGCGTGCAAGACGACATCGTGCCCATTGCCATCCCCTTTATCGAGCAGAACATCAAGAGCGCTGATTGGCAAAGTCGCGACGCCGCAGTCCTCTGCTTCGGCTCGGTCCTCGATGGGCCCGATGCCACCAAACTCACGCCGCTCGTTGAGCAGGCTCTGCCCACCGTCATCACCATGCTTCAAGACAGCAGCGTCGCAGTCAAGGACAGTGCTGCATGGACTCTTGGCCGTATCACCGATCTCCTGGCAAAGACCATCTCGACCGAGACACACCTCAACAGCCTCGTCTCTGCCCTCGTCACCAGCCTGCAAGACGAGGCTCGCATCTCGTGCAATTGCTCGTGGGCTCTGACTCGCCTGGTGAGCGAATTCGGCGGTCGCTCCATCATCGCAGAAGAGCAGGCCAACCCGCCGGAGCGAGCAGACGATGGCTTCCTGCAGGCGGCGCCCATCTCCCCCTTCTTCGAGGGCATCACAACGGCTTTGCTGCAGATCGCGTCGCGCCCGACCAACGAGAGCAACTCGCGTAGTGCAGCCTTTGAAGCCATCGGCGCCGCTGTAGACCAGGCGCCGAGGGACTGCCTGACCCACGTGAGCAACATCGTTCTACAGCTGCTTGAGCGTCAGGAGGGACTGAATGGTATGGCGGATCAGCTCGTGGGGATGGACGACATCAACAACTGGGTAGAGATGCAGGCCTCCATCTCCGGTGTCGTAAGCGCTGCGCTGCGTCGTCTGGGCAAGGAAATTCTCCCACTTGGCGACCGCATCATGACAAATCTCCTCACCCTCATCCAGCATGGCACCAAGCTCCCCGCTGTGCTCGAAGACGCCTTCCTGGCCGTTGGATCCGTGGTGCAGGCCTTTGAGGGCGACTTTGAAAAGTACCTCGACGCCTTCCTGCCTTTCCTGGTCTCGGCCATCGGCAACCACGAGGCAACGCAGCTCTGCTCCGTAGCTGTGGGCGTGGTGGGCGACTTGAGCAACGGTCTGGGCGAGGGTATCGCAAAGCACGCGCAGCAGCTCATGACTGCCCTCTTCGAGGGTCTGCAGAGCAGCACGATCCATCGCGATGTGAAACCGACAATTCTGCGCACTTTCGGTGACGTCGCCCTCGCCACCGGCGCGCAGTTCGAGCCCTACTTGGGCACGACGATGGCTGTTCTTGGCCAAGCTGGCTCAACAACTGCTCCGCAAGACGACTACGCCATGATCGACTACGTCAACTATCTCCGCGAGGCAGTCGCCGAGGCCTTCGTTGGCGTGGTTGCCGGCCTCAAGAGTGGCAACAGGACCGACCTCCTCCAGCCGTACGTGGAGCTCATGCTCGGCTTCCTCAGCTATGTCTCGCAGTACAACGTTGAGCGAACAGAGGCACTCCTGCGTGCTTCTCTGGGCTTGTTGGGTGATGTGGCGTCAACTTTCCCAGGAGGCCAACTGAAGGGGGCCTTGGAGCAGCCGGCGATGGCCGAATTGATCAAGGCGGGGAGAAGCAGATCCTGCGAGATCGAGACGAGGAAGTTGGCGGCGTACGCGAGGGAGGAGGTCAAGAAGGCGACCGTGGCAGCGGCCTGAGCCAAAGCCCGAGCTTGAGCTGAGCACGAGGGCCAGCCGCATGCCCGCTCTCGATCATACCATAGCCCACGCCTTGCGCACGCCACGCCACGCCACGCCACACCGATCATCATTTCGCCTTCCTTCGACCCAAGCCGTTCGTTAGTTAGCCTAGACCCTTTGTCCTTGCCCGCCCTTGCGCTCGCGTCGGCACGTCCTAGTAGTCCCCTCTGTTCACATTTCAATGTCTTCCCCTCTCACTACCAAGCATGTAACGCCTCCCTCTCCTCCTCATCATCACCATCATCACTAAGCGCAACTTTTCCTGCTTTCCTCGAACGCGGTAGCTCGTTCCAGTGTCATCCCTCATTTCATCGCAAAGCAAGCCGAGCAGGCGATCCGAAGGGAATGCCTGATTTGAGTTTGGTAGCGTTCACGCGACATCTCTCTCCCCAACCACCCCGCAATTACAGTCACGAAGCGAGACAGTCGGCGCACGGCCGTTCGAAGACACCCGTAGCGAGCGAAGCCGGCCAGGAGGGAGAGCTTCTGCCCGAGGGCGGAGCGGCCCACACACACAGGCGCGGGCACAAGGGTCCAGACAGACGGACCACAGACGTGGACGTGGTGTGGATGTGGCTGGCTGAAAGCGGGCGGGAGGGCGACTCCGCTCAGCAGGCTCAGCTTTTCGACTTCAGCAACCGCGAGGGCGATGTCACAAGAGGGGCTAGCTCGCGCAAGGTCCCGAAGAACGTCGAAGGCTTAGCTGATCGGAGGAGCTCACACATCAGTGTGCCTCGTCCTCGCCGTAGTTAGTGATCGTGTGTCATGGCGACGGGCAGCCCAAGCGGGTGCGGACGACGGGAGAGTGGCGGCAGAAGAGGGCCTGAGGCTGGCTGCACCTCGCATTTTGCTTTTCGCCCGGCCCGGTCGACATCGGTCCTTTGACAGAGGTGCAATTTGGCTTTCGGGCCACTACCACCCTACTACGACAGACGGAATCGCCTTGCCGCTGCTCGCGCTGCATAACTCGAAGTGAGATCGGCCCTCTATTCGAATGTGGCTCAGCGAAGGAGAGCAAAGTGTGGTCAGGCAAAGAACTGAGCGCTTCGATGGACCCACGGACTGACGTTGCCGTACGCGCGAGAGTAGTGTGCTGGAGTGCGAGCCACCATTGAACGTCGTGCATGGTGAGGGATGGCTCCCTCGGTCTATTGCGATCCGGTTGTAGGCGGTTGCGGGAGCCGGTCAGCTGAAGGTGTCTGCGAGTCTGCCCTTGTTCAAATGCATTTTCTCTTATATTATCACCTCCTTGAAGCAACCGCAGACGCTCGCTCAAGCCGTTGTCCTCGCTCTCGCCCTCGCTCTCGCCCTCGCCCTCTTGCTCTTGCTCTTGCTCTTGCTCTCAAGCTGCCCTTACTATCACGGGACCTCGATCCCCCCACCTGGACCCTCATCTCTTCCTCTTGACAAGCCCGCTCCCGTGCGGCCTCAGCTCCGCCCAATCAGCCTCACTGCTCCTCGCCTTCATCGCTTGAACACTCTTCGTAAACGCAAGGAGCCTTCTCTCAAGATCTCACGCAAACACATCTACTTGGCGTCAGGCAGTCGGTCGTCTCCCTCGGCGTCAGAGGCGAGGCTTGTCCGGGCCGAGAGGAGCGTAGAGAGGGTTGAGAAATGGCTCAAGTGATGCAGCCTCGTCCTCATCCGCCTCTTCCCGCCCACTCCGCCGCCGCCGCCGCCGCCGCCGCCGATGCTGCAGCAGCTGCTCTCCACTCACACACCTCGCCCTCGGCAGCAGCAGCAGCAGCAGCGAAGGGAGCGGGTTCATCCGCTTCATCCCCTGTGATCACAGCTGGTGGTGATGCTGCTTCACCTCCAACCTACTCTTCACCTCTGAGCTACCGATCCTTCTTCTCTTCCTTTTTCCAGCCTGCGTCGATATCCTCGTCGCCGTCTGCGTTACCACTCTCCTCGACTCGGGATAGGACGCACGACGTCGCTGAGAACGCAGCAGCATCACCAGCAGCCGCCCCTCCAAGCCCTCACCCTCATGTCAGGTGGGTGTCTGAGCCTGTACCGATGAGCGTATCTTCCGAAGACGAGGCTGTCTCGCCCACTCGAGCGGTTCAATCCACCTCCCCCGGCAGAGATGCATATTCTCAATCGCCAAAGGCAACGAGCGACCATGATGGTAACCGCAGCGAAGTGGGCGCGAGTGGTAGTGGATTCCTGCACTCGGAGGACAAGCGCACAAAAAGGAAGCGCAAACCTTCGCCGCCTGAACTCCTCGTCATTGTCCGACCACCGCCTGCTAGTAAGGATCGCAACCCCCTAAATCTGCAGATTCAGCTTGTCCTCCCGCAAGCTCCTCCTGCGCAGAGTAACGGTCGGACATCAGGAGAATCGAGCAGGGATACCGCGTCCAATGCAGGTGGCAGAGGAGCAGATCAGCTCAGAAGACGCAACTCGTCGAGCTCGACGAGATCTGGTAGATCAGAAGTGACGACGGCCTCGTCATCGAGCTATGGAGGAGGTGGGAGCAGCGCGAGGCGAGTCACCCCGCTATACAACCTCTCGATCCACTCGATTCTCCCTACGACAATCTCTGACGCAGGTACCGACCAACGCGTGGCCAAATACAGCAAAAAGGGCGTAGAGATCGACGGCTTCGGTGTGCTAGAACCATCCGAGCTCCTTCATGGCATCAACGACCTCGCGAGCCTCGAGGCCACGGGCGTCATCCCTGTCGCATCCCCGGGCGTCGTCTCCCCCAGCAGAGGCAGCACAGACGGCGAGCCCACGAGCGATCCAGGTGTGGTATCTGCTGGAGTAGAGCCACCCACCAGCTTCGACTCAATGACACCTGAAGCTCAATCGCCCGACGGCCACCTTGGTGCCAAGTTCATGCGTCGCTTTAAGGGCTTGAGCTTGAATCTAGGCAGAAACGAAGGAGGAGGCGGTCCAGCAGCGTCGATCGCAGCAGCTTCGACCGCCGCAGCTTCAGCCAAGCCAAGCTTCACCTCCTTCTTGTCCAACTTGAGCAATGGACCGAAAGTGCCCCGATCAGCAACAGTAGCTGGGCCAGAAGCGGCTGCTGCCCTCTCGCCATCACGCCCGCTCTCGTCTGCTGGCCTCACCATCGCGACAGCTGGGCCGAACCACCACCAAAATGGAAGCGGCAACGACGTCACACAAATGGTCCCGGGTGCAGGGCTAAGTGAGTCTGGTCGAAGGACGCAGGGCTACTACTGGACGGTGAAGCGGTACAATCGCCGTGTGACGGACAGTAACGGTCAGCCACCGCGTATGACCCTAGGATCCGACGGACAGAATCCGGTCCTCAAGAACGTATGGAGACGCTTCAATTCAGTGAATCGTTTGGGTGGAGAGGAAAAGCATCCGCATCCTTCTGACATTCCGGTGCGGTTCGAGTGGACTCGGGAGAGCAGATCGCACAACAACAGTTCGGCTGCGGCAGTGCCCGTGATGGACGCGGCGGGCAAGCGGCTCAGTACAGGGTCCATGTCGCTTTCGCCGACGATGGATCAGCGAGTGGGTAGGCGGGCCAGTCTACGACCGCCGACGGGACGCAAGACGTCTTCGTCACAGGGCCATGGTCACTCAGTCAGTCGTAACGGTCGATCGCAGAGTAGCTCTGCGCGCGTCTCGCTCGACCAAAATGGCGGCGGCGAATCAGCGATCGACGACTACGAAGGCGATGACGATGGCAATGCTTCTGACCCGGAGGACTCTGAAACTCCCTGGTCATGTCACCTCGTCCTCGGCGCATCCACTCGCATCCCCATCGGGACTCTCTCCCCAGCACCGCACCACCCCAAACTCGTAGCGCAGCTGGCGGTGCCCTTCCCGCTACCCGACTTGTCGCAGACTGGGCTCGGGGCTGATGGGGCAGGCCTGACGAGGGAGGAGATCAAGGACGTCATCTGCGTGACGTGCCTACATCTCATCATCAGGGAGAGCTTCGGTGGACTGGGTCGAGTGAGGAGGAGGGGCGATCGTGTCTGAGGCTAATGACGGGGCAGCGCAGCATAGCATACATGTTTGGCAAGAATCGGGACAGCTCGCTATATCATCATTACGTCGCATCATCTACCCCTGACCATCTTTCGATCACTTTGCCTTCGTCCCGCTTCTTTATTTCTCTCGTGAGCAGATAGCTCCAAGCACAAGCCTCGTTGTAATGAAGTCCACTCCATCACTTGAAGTACCATATTGCGCCTTGGTGTGTCCTCTGCAACCTCCCGTGGCCTCCGCTGCCGGCACCCTCGGGACATCGATGACGTGTGCTTGCGACGCCACAGACGCACGCCTCTGTACATCTAACGTGAGGGCGCGAGTGACGATGGCTGGAGGGATTCAAGTTGTACCGACTAGGTGAAGACGTTAGGCTATGCCTTTTTTCCTTTCATGCCCAAGATCTCGGGCCTGGAAGCCGCCCTCATTGAGGTGACCTTCGGAGGTATTTGCCTTTTTTGGGTTGGCAGCCAGCCCAGGCTCTCCGAATGGTAGCGTTGCGCATCGCGAATCCTTTTGTTTCATCGCCGCTGAGCCCCCGCCCCCCTCGTTGGTGCAGCGGCAGCGGGCGAAGGAAGGAAGGTCTGCTGCTCTTTGGGTGGCTGAGGCTGCCTGGACGCTTGCGTTGCGTTGCCGCCTTGGCCGAGTGGCCGCGCAAGCCTCCTCTCGCCGCCGCTAGCTTGCTTGAGCCGCCCTCCCGCCCTCCCGTCCGCCTGCCTGCCTGCCTGTGTGCCTCGCCTGGCGTCCGTCAGCAAGCCAGAGCAAGAGCGAGCGGTGCGACGAGACGAGACGAGACGGACGAGACGACCCTTGATCGATGATACAACCACCCTTGCGACGCATCCCTTTCGTCTACTTTGCCCACGACCTACCACGCCAACAACACCGCCAACGACCTCTCGCTCCTCCTCTCTTCCCCCCTGTCGCTATTGGCACGTAGCTGCCGCTACCGATACTTTCTACAACCACTGCTTCTTCCTCGTCCCCCTGCCCCCTTCTCACCACCCCACCTCTCAATCCTCAAAGCACCGCTTCATTCGCACGCACGCACGCACATACATACATACGCACGCTGCTCATACCTGCTTGTGCTCGGCGCTCGACTTCGCTGTTAGCCATCACTGCACCCACTCTTCCTCCTCATTCATCTCCCCCAGCAGCCACGCCATCTGCGGCCAAGCATATATCACACACGCGACGCTGTGATTCGCCTTGAAGTCCCCTTGCCCTGCCTCATTCATCCTCCTCCTTTCACGAACTTGACCCATCATGGCCGACTTTGTCCGCCTCTCCATCTTCGGCACCGTCTTTGAGGTGACGACGCGCTACGTGGACCTCCAGCCCGTTGGCATGGGCGCATTTGGCCTTGTCTGCTCGGCAAAGGACCAATTGACGTCGACGTCGGTCGCTGTCAAGAAGATCATGAAGCCCTTTAGCACCCCCGTCCTCAGCAAGAGGACGTACCGCGAGCTTAAGCTGCTCAAGCATATCAGGCATGAGAATGTGAGGCCAGAAAAGCAGAGGAGCTAACAAGGTCGTCATTCTTTGCTGATCGCCTTCCTCCTTACCCTGCGCCCGCAGATCATCAGCCTGTCGGACATCTTCATCTCCCCGCTCGAGGACATCTACTTCGTCACCGAGCTGCTCGGTACCGACCTCCATCGCCTCCTCACCTCTCGCCCGCTAGAGAAGCAGTTCATCCAGTACTTCCTCTACCAGATCCTCCGCGGTCTCAAGTACGTCCACTCGGCCGGCGTCGTCCACCGTGATCTCAAGCCCTCGAACATTCTCGTCAATGAGAACTGCGACTTGAAGATTTGCGATTTCGGTCTCGCTCGAATTCAGGATCCGCAGATGACGGGTTACGTGTCGACGAGGTATTACCGTGCGCCAGAGATCATGTTGACATGGCAGAAGTACGATGTAGCAGGTGAGTACTGCGGGCGAGGATGCGAATTCGCCTTCCCTCGCACATGCTGATTGATCTCCATCCTACTTCTCGCCGCCCGCAGTCGACGTCTGGTCTACTGGCTGCATCTTTGCAGAGATGCTCGAAGGCAAGCCCCTCTTCCCTGGCAAGGATCATGTCAACCAATTCTCCATCATCACCGAGCTCCTCGGCACACCTCCAGACGATGTCATCAAGACGATCTGCTCCGAGAACACCCTACGCTTCGTCCAATCGCTTCCCAAGCGGGAGCGTGTCCCCTTCTCTCAAAAGTTCAAGAACCAGGACCCACTGGCTCTGGACCTGCTCGAGAAGATGTTGGTCTTTGACCCGCGTACCAGAATCACGGCCGCCGAAGCGCTCGCGCACCCGTATCTGGCGCCTTACCATGACCCGACGGATGAGCCAGAGGCGGAGGAGGCCTTCGACTGGTCATTCAATGATGCGGATCTGCCCGTTGACACCTGGAAGGTCATGATGTACTCTGAGATCTTGGACTTCCACAACATTGAGAATGGCAACGGGGAGCAGCAGCAGAGCGAGGGCCCTGTGCCGCCAGTGGCTCCCAAATAGGCGGCAGAGAGGCGACACGGAAGATAGACGGGCGATGAGGAGACTCGTGGGAACGGCTCGCCGATGAGGGAGAGCCTTGTGGGCACGTAGAGTCTTTGGACAGAGGAAAGAACAGAGGCAAAGGTGTAGAGGAGTCTATGAGGGGCGCGAAGCTGAGGTCACCAGGCCGGTCAATCATATACGATCGTTTCAGCATTGAGCAGCGGGAGCGACAGGTCAATCTTAACTGCTGAGTAGTGGCAGCGTCGATGAAAGATCATCAGCTCAGTCTGAGGAGCATTGGCCTCCATCGGCGCGCAATTGGCGCCTCTCGACCTCATCGAGCAGGTCGACGTCCATTCAGAGCCCTTTCTCATCATCTATCATGCCATCATCCTCACTTGTTCGTCGCGCTCAGATCTCCTCTGCAAGTCACCGTTGTTTCTCTCCTCTCCTCTGATGCTGTTCCTTCCCCCGCTTAGACGACGAGCAATCGGTCCTTCGCGCCGCTGGCGGGCGGGTGGGCGGGCGAGGCAGGCAGGCAGGCAGGCAGGCAGGCAGGCAGAGAGCGGAGCAAGTAACACTTTGGCCCACACGCCCGCACTTGGCCCCTCGTCTGTCCGACGAGGCGCACCACAGTGAAGCAGAGTGAGTGTGATGCAGTCGTGGCCCTTGCGTCGAGGGGACAACGGTTTGGCTCGGATCCTCGATCTGCTTGCTCCCTTTACCTCTGCCCTTTGTTCAAGGCACGCGTCAACGACGACACGAACGACGACGAGCCTCCTCTTCCCATCACCAACACATCTCGTCCATCCGCACGCGCCCGCCCCTTCTCCCAAGCAACCGTTTGCTTGTGCTCATCACTGGCACGCCTCTGCCCATCAAGCGCGGTCGCCTCTTCTCCTGCCCTTGAACTCGGCCATCCGTCAACTTTGCCCTTGCTGCAGTCGACCATTCATCAGCGCAGCAGCAGCAGCAGCAGCAGCAGCCCTAGTTGTTCCACCCTTTAGCCCACGCTCTTCACCATGTCAGGCTACTCGAATCCCACAACGGGCACCTCGCAGGTTGGCTCCCTAATGCCTTCACGACGAGCTCCCCCTGTTCCACGACCCTCTCAGCCCACGCATCAGCCCAATGCTGGCAGCATGGGCAGCATGGGCGCATCGATGGACAGCATGGGCAGCAGAGGAGCGAGTGGAGGAGGAGGGACAGGCACAGGTAGCGGCGGCTTTGTGCCTCCCTTGTCGCAGTACTCGTCCCAGGGAAGCTTGAGCGGAATTGGTCAAGGGCCAGGTGCAGGCGGTGGTTCTTACACTGGGCCACTGAGGCCAGCAGGTCCAGGTGCAGTCGCTCCCAGTAGCAGTGGTGGCTGGGGTGTACCGTCGTCTTCCTCATCTTCGTCCTCGTCGGGCGGTATAGTCAGAAAGGGCTACGTGTCGGTCAAGGAGGACGGCATCCGCAGCTGGATTTGGAGCAAGCGTTGGCTTGCCTTGCGAGAGCAGACGCTTACTTTCCACAAGAATGAGACGACGTACCAGGCTGCAGCTCTCATCTTCCTCAAGGACATCACCAACATCACTCGCACCGATCTCAAGCCGTATTGCGTCGAGATTGAGTCAAAGGACAAGACGTACTATCTGCAGCTAAAGAACGACGAGGAGCTTTATGGATGGTAAGAAGAGGCGATGCGCCGCTGTGTGTATGTGACATGCTATCAACTGACTCGCTTTCTTTTCGCGGCCAACTTCGCCAGGATGGACGACATTTACGCTCGCTCGCCTCTTATGGGCGTATCCTCGCCGACCGACTTTGTACACCAAGTCCACGTAGGCTTCGACCCTATCTCGGGCGCTTTCACAGGCTTGCCAGAGCAGTGGACTCGCCTCTTGACGACGTCGGCCATCACCAAGGAAGACTATGCCAAGAACCCACAAGCAGTCCTCGACGTCCTCGAGTTCTACACCGACATCCAAAAGAGGGACCGAGACGACTTCGGTCTGGGTAACGCGACAATGGGACTGCAGGCAGGCAGCAAGCCGGCGCCACGCTTCGATGCTGGTACTGGCTTCGCAGGCAGCCAAAGCCATTCTCAGACAACATCGGCCTCGTCTTCGTCTTCCAATGGCTCGCTGCGACCCAACGACCCCAACGCAGGCAGCGGTCGAGCAGTCAGCCCAAACCACAACCCTCCGCGACCATCTTTCGGTGACAACGGCATGCGCACGGGAGCCGCTTCGCCGGGGCCAAGGCCGTCGAATGCGCCTGCTATGGGCAAGTCGCCGCAGGACCTCGTAGCCAGTCGCAAGGCGCCTTCTGCTCCTCGGCAGGCCCCGCAGCCCCCTGGAAGCGGAGGCAGCAGTGCCAACAATGCCTCGCCCAGCGTGGCCGCCCTCAATGTCAAGGCTAAAGAGCTCAAACTTGGCGGCCCTGCTCAACAGCACCAGCAACCGCAGCAACAGCCCGTTGCTGCGCCAGCTCAGCCTGAGCGCAAGCCGTCCACATCATCTCCCTCTCAGCAGCAGGCGCACCTACGGCAACAGCAGCAGCATCAGGCAGCTCCAAAGGCCAGCAAGCCACCACCTCCCGCTGCTTCCTCCGGTGCTGCGGGCGCGGCGACGTCGTCATCGACTACGAAGCCGCTACAGCCCAAGAAGGCGGCCGACGGAACGTCCATCTCCAAGAAGGAGCAAGAGAGGCGTATCAGCACCATGAGCGAGGCGCAGATCATGGAGAAGCTTCGCAGCGTTGTCAGTCCCGAGGACCCCAATCAGTTGTACAGCAAGATCAAAAAGGTCGGACAAGGCGCCTCTGGCTCCGTCTACGTGGCCAAGACTCTCTCGACGGGCCAGCGTGTGGCCATCAAGACGATGGATCTCTCCCATCAGCCGCGCAAGGAGCTCATCGTCAACGAGATTCTCGTGATGAAAGAATCCCAACATCCCAACATTGTCAATTTCCTCGAGTCGTACCTTGTCCGCAACAATGAGCTCTGGGTCATCATGGAATTCATGGAAGGTGGTGCCCTCACCGATATCATTGACAACAACACCCTCGAGGAAGACCAAATTGCCGCCATCTGCCTCGAGACGTGTAAAGGTCTGCAACACCTTCACGCGCAGAGCATTATCCATCGTGACATCAAATCGGACAATGTGCTCTTGAACAGCTCTGGTCAGGTCAAAATCACCGACTTTGGCTTCTGTGCGAAGCTGACCGACCAAAAGAGCAAGCGCGCAACCATGGTTGGTACCCCCTACTGGATGGCGCCGGAGGTTGTCAAGCAGAAGGAGTACGGGGCCAAGGTCGACATCTGGTCTCTTGGGATCATGGCCATCGAGATGATCGAGAATGAGCCCCCTTATCTCGACGAGGAGCCTCTGAAGGCTCTTTATTTGATTGCGACCAACGGGACACCGACGCTCAAGAAGCCTAACTTGCTCAGTGTGGAGCTCAAGGGCTTCCTGGCCGTCTGCCTTTGCGCAGATGTCAAGAGTCGAGCGACGGCGGATGAGCTGGTTCAGCACGAATTCTTGGGCAAGAGCTGCCCCTTGAGCTCTTTGGCGCCTCTGCTGAGGTTTAGGAATCGAGGCGGGGATAAGTGAGAGCAGGTTGACGAGAAGAGCGGTCCTTGGCTTTGATCACTCTCTGTTCCGCCGCTCGTTGATCTCTGCTTCCCTCTCGGTTGCTTGCTGCGTCGTGTGTCACAACCCCTCCACCACCCACCAGCCCAGCGATCGTCTCCTTCCTTTCGAATTCCTCCTTTACGAGAACCACACGCTCGTCTGTTTGCTTTGTGACTACGACGATTCATGATGACCAGGAATTCGCGTGAGGGTGACGGCGTGCTGCGTGACGAGTCGGCGGCGGAGGACTGACTAGGGGGAAAAAAGAAAGCCGAGAGTGGAGGCGGGGGAGAAGCAAGTTGCTCCATCGTTCGTTTCCTCTGCTTTGCTTCCTTTCCTTCTCATGACGAGTGAAGAGGGATCAAGCAACCATGTCGTCACAATCGCCTGACTACATCAACCCCTTCGAGCCGGTGGTGCTTCGCTTGGCCAGCACAGCCTCGGCCTCGTCGCCTTTGGAGGTGCATGTCCTTCCTTACGGTCTCACAATACATCGCCTCGTCATCGATGATGGCAAAGAGGACCTCATCACCGGTCCCGAATCCCCCTCTGACCATCACACTCTCGGACGCAGCTTCTTTGGTCCCATCGTCGGTCGGTTTGCCAACCGCCTCCCAGCAGGGCAGAATTCCTTCAACTACGATTCGACAGAGGTGGGGAGCGTCGACCTTCCAGAATGGGGAGGAGATGGCGTGTGCCATCATGGAGGGCCCGCCGTGGGAGGCGAGCAAGAGGGTGCAGGTGAGCCGGTCAAGGCCAAGAAAGGCCAGCTTCTGCCGCAAAGGGGCCCATTTGATCGGATGGTATGGACGAAATTGGAGGAGGGGCAAATGCAACTGTTTGACAAGTTGGCAGAGGGAGAGCCACAATCAAAGGCCATCTTTGCGCTACATAGTATTGGCGCCCCTGCTGGCCACCAAGGTTTCCATGGGGATATCCGCATTGAGGTCCGCATCGCCCTGAAGGCGGCGAAAGCAGAACAGGCAGAAACAACTTCGCACACAAAGCTGCTACACGACAGCGGCGCCTCGTCGTCAGGCAGCGTCAGTATAGAGTATCGTGCATCACTTCTCCCTCGCTCCTCAGAGGTTCAAGTCACACCTTTCAATCTCACACATCACTGGGGCTTTAATCTGACGGCTAGTCAAGCCAAAGATGAAGCCTCGTCCCGCATAGACGACCACCAACTTCGCCTGCTGCCGAGCGACGTGGGGCGACTGGCTCTCGATGAGCGCGGTATAGCTACGGGCGAAATCCTCAAGCTAGATGAAGCTCACGGCTGGACGTCCTCGCCTTCGTCGTCGCCATGGGGCAAGCGAGTCGCCACGGCTATGCCTCAGCAAGGTTACGACGATTTCTACCTCTGGCCTACAGCGGCAGGTAACGACACTGCCAGTCTGCCTGCCGTAGCTCTCCTCTCTTCTCCCGCTTCCTCCTCTTCGGCACCTCGTACCTCCCTCGTCTTCCGAACCGACCAGCACGGCGTCCAATTCTACTCGGCCAATGGCCAGCCCGCTGCCCCTGCACCTCCAGAGGAGAGCGGTGGAGCTAGGAAGCTGGCTCACCGCCGTGATGGTGAGCAACAAGAGGGCAATGCGATGCGCACTGCTGCCTTTCTGGAGTTCGGCGAACCTCATTGCTGCTTCTTGCGGCCGAGACTACAGGAATTTGTGCGAGCGAGCAAGGACGTGGGGCTCTTGAGGAAAGGGGAGACGTATGTCAATCGTGTCGAGGTGGAGATCTGGCAAAGCAAGGCTCAGAAAGCGTAGAACAGACTCACTTCACGTCAAAATTATTCACATTTAGGAGCATCCTTTCTCGTACAACGTCGTCGACGTTCGCCTTCGCAGCCACAGCGACCAGCATGCGCGCTACACATCAAAGCGAACCCCTCCCCTCCTCGCTCATGATCTTCGTGGCCAGCGACTCGTTTTTACGGTGACGATTCGGGCTGATGGCCTGCCAAGCCTGCCCTGCCTTCTCCCTTGCCGCATTGAAGCCCGCAGAGACTGAAGCGAAGCTTGCGTCACTCATCATCGAGATGGACGTGTCCCCTGTTGTCCCACCATCTCTACTCGCTCCTCCTCTTGACGCACCATAAGGCGAGGAAGCACCCGCGGGGTTGTACACCTCCGAGTAGCTGAACCGCGAGCTGTGCGATCTTGCCATGCCCTTCCATCCTCGGTTCGCCCCACTGCCACCCCGCTCTCTTCCCGTGTTGTACGCCGACGTAAACGCGTAGTGGTCTACTGTATTGTCCCCGCCACCGAAGCGGTCATCTTCCTCTCCTCCACGGTAGATCTTGGCGGCTGTCCTCACAGCCCTGTCGCCCGCTCTGAGCGTGTAGCCGGCACAGACCCACACCCCGCCCAAGATGCCCGCAAGTCGTACGAGGAATTGCGTGAGGGTCGCCGTACGTTGCTTCATGGACAGGGCAAGTGGTTCCACATCGAACTTGAGGAAGATGCCCGGCACCCCCATCCCATGCTGCACAGTGCGAACATAGTCTGTCACACTGTACTGGTTCGTCTGGATCGTCCTCCCTCCGCCATCTGTATATCGCGTGGGGACGATGTTGACAAAGTATTGAAAGATGGAGAAGTGGTCCTTACTGATCTCCACGCTGTGATCCAGGGGTTGTGCGATATCTGGGAAATAAGGGCCGAAGGAGAGCTCATGGACTACGTGCGAGAGATTCATGAGCTCATGGGGAGTGTGCTCGAAGCTGAAGTAGCCGTGGCCAAGTGTGGAGATGTGGAGATTCGAGGTGACTTTTTTCAGAAGGACGGATCCGTAGATGCGACAGGCGTCGCCATTCTTGACGATATGCTCTGTAGGGGCGAAGGCGACTTGGCGGCCGCCGTAGCCTCTGCACGAGCCACGTTGCTGGTCAGAATGGACGTAGTTGGGTCACGGGCGTCGCACATCGATGGCGTACTCACTTTGCTTTGCGCTTCGGCTTCGACTTGCGTGAGAATGTCGGCATATGCATGTGGCGAGCAGCGTCGACAAGATGGCCAATGTGACGATCCGGCAGAGGAATAGAGCTGGAACAGAAAAAAGAAAAGAGACGTCAGGAATGTATGCGTCCCGCTTCGAGCCGTTTGTTACTCACTCGAGTCGATTGGCGTGGCCGACCTCGAAGGAAGTCTCGTCCTTGGTGATATCCGAGTCAGAGAAGTGTACACGGTCACCAACAGCATCTCTAACGTCAACAGTGAGGTCTGCGCAGGGAATAGGAGGAATGGGTGAGCCGTGTCCTCCTCCTGACGCGAACTACGAGAGGTTTGCTGGGTCGTCTCAGCTCACAATGACACTTCATGGCCACTGTCAGGTCGACATTGACCTGCATGTCCGGCGACAAGCTATGATCGATGCCGAATGTCGCCGTCGGATGGCCATAGAGGTAAGCACCCAGCTCGTACCAGGTGAGGTAGAGTAGGACTGCAGAGACTACGAGGGTGAAGATGCCACCTCTCGAGGACCTCGTTGCGTACGTGCGTTGCACTTTGGGAAAGGCATCGAAAGCCTTGATCTGCGGTATCGAATCTAGCCTCTCGAGGAGCGACGCTTCGCTCATGGCGGCCGAGACGCTCGTCGTGGGTCCGACGTAGTCTTGTTGTTGCTAGTGGTCAGAGGGGCAAAAGAAAAGACTGGCTCGATCGATTGGCCTCGCACGATCCCTTGAAATCACCTGGCTCGAGCACGACAGTCGAGACGCTGGCTCGACCTGTCCATTTGTCTGCCTTGCTCGCTTCCGGTCCGACGGACGGAGGGTTGACATGGGTAATCCGAGTCGAGACTGTGTGGCGCCCTGTTTCGTTTTGTCGCCGCTCTCAGCGCGTGACTGCGTGCGGTGCCTGGCTTGAGTGCTCGACTCGACTCGACTCGACTGCTGCTGTGGCTGGGTAGCTGCTGCGTTGCGTCGCCGACCTGACCTGCGTCTCTGTTTCTCTTCCCCGCCTGCTCCCCGCGCTCTCATCTCTGCAGAGCGTGATCCCCCGCGCCGTTGCCGACTATCCTTAGCTCGCCGACTACTGTCCCTCGCAAGCTCGCTCGCTCTTCGTGGCGCTCTTCGTCGCCTTACTCTTCACCCCCGCGACGCATCAGTATATCCTTCTTTACTTCCTTCATTACCGCTGGTCCGATCTCCATCACCAGAGGCATTGCCCAAAGCTTGCCTGACTTTACCCCCCTACCTGCCTCCTTCGACGTCGTAACTCGCCCGGCGTCATCCGGCAGTCTACGCCCGCCTAGGCAGGGACCAACGGCGACCATAGCCTTCCGCTTTTGCAGGTCGTGATATCGCATTGCCATTCAGCAGATCAAAGACCGCGGTTGTCAGCATCCGTACAGCCTACCTCGACGTCTTGACTAGCTCCGCTTGGCCCTACCTCATCACGACGGCTAGAAACGACACGATAAGGCCGACCGAGGGACCCAAGCAGCGAGTAAGGCCTCCCATTCCCATCTCGACAGCTCGCGACCCTCTGCAATGGACTTAAGCCCTGCCCTCGAAAAGATCATCAATTGAAGCAGACCACACCAGCAAACCAATAGTTAGCGTCCACCTCGCGTCTCATCATGGCGAGGGAGGACTCGCCAATGAGCGCAGACTCGCCAGATGGGAGCTACGCCCAGGACGGCAGCTTTGAAGCATCTCCGCCTCTCATCAACGGCGAGAAGCCGAGAGTGAGAGCTGATGGACCGGGCGGGTCAGATGTCAAGCCAGGAGCTAGGATCGCGTGAGTGCAGCGTAGTCAACATCCCATGAGGAGCAACATCTCACGTCTCGTCATCTTGCGCTCAGCTGTCTCGAATGTCGCTCAGCCAAGATCCGCTGCTCAGCACCCAATGACGGCAAAGTACCTTGCAAGGTGAGGATGGTCTTATCACATGCTCCCTGCCCTTCTTCGACCCGCTAATCATCTCCCTTCCCTGTCGCCCGCAGCGCTGCTCTCGTCATGACAAGGAGTGTGTCTTTGAGAAGCATCGCAGAGGTAGAAAGCCCGGTAGACCGTGAGTACTACCGAACGCATCATCATGGAAATGTCTGCCTGACCATTTCATTCCCCTTCCGCAGCAACTTGCCAAAAGACAAGAGCGCCATAAGCGCCGCAGGGCCTTCCAAGCCTACGCAGCCGCAGTCTCACCGCCAGATCAGCAACTCGCCTCAGCAGCAATCTTCAGCGCCCTATCGCCCATCCGCTTGGTCTCCAGGCAACGGAGGTGACCCACCTTCCAACCTCCCGCACTACCCTTTGCCTTCACCATACGCCCGAAGCCCCGGAGGCGCCGCCGGACATCCCAGCGACTACTTCTCGCGTCCGCTTCCACCTCCTCCACCCCCTCCGCCGGCACCTTCAGTCACCAACGGTCACAAGGTGTCGTCCTCTCGCTCGAGCAACGAATATCTCGGTCAGCAGTCCGGGCGCCTCCTCCATGGCCGCACATACCACCCTGGCTCGCTTCCTCACTTTCCCAGCCATGACTCGGGCGCAGCCTTTTACGGACCAAGTCGGACACTCGCATCACCCTCGCCTTTCGAGGCTCAAGCCCTTGCGGGTGGTCTCAGTGGCTATCGTACAGGCCCTCTCTCGTCCAGTTCGAGCAACCGTCAACAGGGCTTCTTTTCACCGCCTCTCTCTTCGGCCGTCTCTGGTCGACCGAGTCCGTCATATCCTCTTGCATCCTCGTCTCGTGAAGACTCATACGCTCGCTGGGGCCCGACGGAGAGCAGTACCCGCAGCCGCCAGTCAGTAGAGTCGATGCCGAGGCGACCTTCGGATCCCTCCGCCCACATTCCGCCTTCCCCCTCCTCTCTGGCATCAATGGGTCCGCCGCAGCCTAGCTTCACCCGCGCGCCAGGCAATGCAAGCAAGCTCAGCGCTTCACGAACGCTCCCTGCGCCGCACTACCAGCCGCAGCCGCCTGCTACTCTTCGCAGCAGCGACGAGGAAGACGAAGAAGACGAGCTCGTGGATGAGGATGATGTTGGAGGTGATCACCACGATCAGGATGTCTTGTCGCGGCCGCTGCAGCTCTTAGCATACGCATCCACGGCTGCCGCTCGCAAGCAGACGCATGGTGGATTTCGAGACCCGAGAAGCGTGGCTGCAGCGGCGACATTGGGCCTCATCTCATCACCTCGTCAGCTCAGTCAAGCCAGACGAGTGGCCGCTGGGCTCAAAGCTCAAGCCAGTCCTGCAGCGAGCTCGATCAGCCTGCCTACCTCCGATGCTCCGCTCCCACCACAAAAGATTGCATCGGTCGGCATCCAAGGCGGAGGAGGAGCTGAGCCCTCGACGCTTGAAAATGGCAATTGGGAATACAAGGCAGGCAGAGTGAGACCCATTAAGACGGCGGAAAACACCGCAAGCCCATTATCGACTGCGACCAAGGGATCCTTCGAAGAGGCTGCTACTGTTGGGTCCGAAGCCGCGCCAATTCAGCAAGCAATTGAGTTTGCTCCAGAGGCGGTCTCGGCCATAGAGAGCGGTATCGCTGCTGACGAGGGGCCTCATCTAGGCAAGCGGCGAAGGAGCGACGACGAGCCGCTACCAGTACCGCCTTCAAGACGCGCTAGTGCAAACGTCGAAGGCGCCGAGCATACCGTCGCTGCATCAAATCAGCTTCGCCGGCCATCTTCGCGGACAGCTGAGCGGATGAGCATCGATGAAACGCCCGCCGCCGTCGCCGAAGAGGACGCACCGGTCGACCCAGTAGGAGCCAGTCGCAAGGGATACTTCCGCTTCTCCCTCTACTCGTCAAAGCTCGACGTTGACCCCGCGTACGACCCGATTGCGCAGGGCATTGCTTCGTCCAAGGAGATGGAGGATCTATTTGACCTCTTTTTCAACAAGGTCAATCCCTCCAACTTCATCTTCGACCCCTTCTTGCACTCGCTTACTTACATTCGCGCCAGGTCCAAATTCCTCCTCACCGTCATTGCATCGATTTCCGCGCGCATGAGTGAGGGCTGCGCAGAGTTGACAGAGCGATTGGAGTGCCATTGGAGGGACAAGCTGTTCCCTCTGATCGTTACTGGAGGATACAAGAGCGTCGAGATTAGCCAAGCCTTTCTCCTCGCCAGTCTTTTTCACCGACCTACCCATATCATCGTCGAAGACCGAGCTTGGCAATATCTCGGCATGGCCATCCGCACTGCGACCGAGGTCGGAGTCAACATCGCCCTCGCTCCCTCGCCCTCCTTCAGCGCGCAGGACAATGAGCAGCTTTCGAGGCGAGTGCGCAACAGGCAGAGGCTATGGAAGAGCCTATTAATTGCAGAGGGGACGTTGAGCACGCAATTCGGCAGGCCCTGCACGCTAAGCTGCACCGACTCCCCACTGATGCAGTCAGTGAGATGGAACCGGGAGGACTTTGCTCTACCAGAGGACGCGGCGCTTGTCTGTCAAATCGAGCTGCGTAAGCTCGTCGAGAAGCACACGCAGGCATTCGAGGCATGCCTGGCCGTACCTTCCGGAGGCAATCAGGTGACGGACAGCATCTCTACTCTTACCAGGCTGCGTGCTTCAGCTTGTACCGATCTCGAGACCTGGAAACGCCTCTGGTGCCCAACAGGCGGGATGGACGAAGCAGGCGTTGGCGGGTCCATGGCCATGGGCGCTTTTCTGGTCCGCTGGTCGCCTTACTCGCGCCTCATCTACAATTACTGGCGCTGTCACCTCAACTCAATCGTACTTCAGGCCGCGGCACTTCGTGACGAGGTGGCCACGCCCATTGCGCATGACTCGATGCGGTGCGCTCGGGAGCTCATCGACACGCTACTTGATGACGACCAGATTGGAACTGATGGCCTACCTCTAGCGCCCAACGCCGTCGTCGTCATGGCTACTTATGCTGCCGTGTCCGCTCTGCGCATGACGAAGCTCGACGTCGGCAGGCACACTGGCGTACACGTCGATGCCAAGGCTACCTTTGACCAGGTGCACAAGTTGGCGGGGTGTCTCGAAGTAGCAGGACGTACACCGGCACATCGAGATGGAGCCGCGGCGCCTTACGGAATGTATCTGCGCTCGGTGTTGGCGTTATTCGATACCGATTCGAAATCGACGTCGAGCGTGGCGTCGATGTCAGATCCAGCCGGCTCAACGACCAAGGACAGCAAGAGCGGCGACAACAGCCATAGTGGCGTCAAGAATGCCAACGATGGCGCTGCAAGCGCGCCATCGTCAGGCTCCAAGGCATTGGACGAGGCCTTTGGCAATGCCGCCGCCGCAGCTGCTGCGGTCGCTGCTTTGTCCAATGGCGGCAGCGGCAGTGGTCACGGCCTCACGCCATTCCCCATTCCAGGCGCCACCAAGTCAACAAGCACTGTTCCGCCCCCACCGCCACCGATCATCACTACCGGCGCCACCGCCGCTGGCGGCCCTTCGTCATCATCGTCATCAGCTTCGCCCTTCCCTTCCGCTACCAACCTCTACCCAAATCCTGCCGTGGACGGAGACTCAGAGGAGGTATGGGAATATTTGACCGGAGGCGGGTCAGCTTCGGCCGCTGCAGCTGCGGCTCTTTGGCCCTCCACGCCATCGACGGCATGGGGAGGTGGAAGCGTGTAAATCGAGCTGGCCGCAACTGCCGTGCTTCCGTGCTTCTTTCTACTCTTGCTCGTGCTATGTGCCGTTGTCATCGCACTACCTCTCTGCTCGTTTCGCCTTTACTCCTTCTACTCGAGCAACATCTCTCCACCCATCACCGGCTTCTTGTTGTCACTTCTAGCTCTCGATGCGCACAATCATTGCCCAATCTGTCACACCGTAGCCACTCTGGGCGATCCACTGACGCGCTCGACGCGTCGCACTTCCGTCTCTCGATCGGAGCGCTCAGCCCAAGCCTGCCTGCTCATCAGTCAATCACACCCGCTTTGCTCTCGCATCTTGCATTTTGACTTTACCACCACCACCACTCCATCGAATCATTGATTTATCACTCCCTACTCCCCTGTCGTTAGCTCCGACGGCAGGGGTAACATGGCGTACCACGACCGCGGCAAGCCTGACTCTCGAAGCCCGGAGGGCCACCGCTATCATCCGCGTAGAGACTCGTCGATCACGACGCAGCGTGGCGAAGATACCAGGACGGTGAGTCACAGGCTGCGCTGCGAAGCCGATCAATAGGGAACTTGCTGAACAAAGGTGTGGATCTTCCTGCCTGTACGCCCACTCTGGCCCCTGCCAAGACTCTGTTTCTCTTCGGCATTCCTCGCAACGTCAGAGCAGCGTAAGTATCGTCGCTCTCGCAGCAATCTGTGCTCGTTGAGCGTCACTCTCATCGCCTGCCCTCCCCTGTGCGTCCCATGTGCACGCAGCGACCTGGCTCATGACTTCGGCCGATACGGACCCCTTGTACGCGTTGAAATCCCTGCCGCCAGATCTCACTGGGCTACAAGGTCGGTCAAACACACTGCAGAGACGGTATCAATCCGGACGTATTTAGCTGATGCTTCGCGCTTGCCTTCCTAGCTACGGCTTCGTACAATTCGAACGTCACGAGAATGCTGCGGTGAGTAGCAGGACCCGGCTGTCAGCTGGCGGCCTGCAGGGTGCCCTTGACTGATCTGTCGCCTTTCATACGCCTTCGCAATTGGCGCAGAACGCCCTCTATTGGATGAGGGGAACCTACCTTGCCAACAGTAATATCGAGCTCCGCATCGAGTGGGCTAAGGTGAGTGCCTTGCGTAAGGAAGTGGAAACGCTGAATAGCCGTGCTCACATCAGCATCTCCTCGGGCGCAGGATCAGTCGAAGGCTGGCTCTGACGCCGCCGACCGAGCAACGCATGGCTATGTCTCCTCTTCACGACGCAGCGGTGAGCTTCCAGCGGAGCAGTATCGCTCTCATGACCAGCCCCGCCTCACAAGATCTCGCTCTCGAGCACGCACCCGTTCTCGCTCTCCATCGCCGCGTCGACGACGCTCTCCGTCCTCTCCTTACTATCAGCACGATCAGCCCTCGTCACGCTCGCCGTCGTCTCGTCCAGACCGCGGCGATGGCTACACGCAGCGTGAGTTGCGTAGGAACCCTTCGCCTTTTCTGACCCAGGAGGAGCGTAGAGAGCAGCGCAAGCGGACAGTGCATGAGAGGGAGAGGGAGAGGGAACGCAAGGAAAGCAAAGAGAAAAACACCAATGGCAGCGATCAGCGCAGGAACAATGACAGACGTGTCAATGAGCAGCACAATGCCAACGACGGCTGCTCCAAGCCTCGAAGCGAGCCCAGGAACGAACGCTCCTACAATGATGGCAACAAGCGAGACGGCGCCGTCTTCTCCGCGGATGACATTGAAGGTCAGGATCTGAAGCAAGAGACAAGTGCGCTCGAACCCGGTGAGAAGCGCCAGCGCTCTCGTCCCCGTCTTCGAGATCTCTTTGCTGCGGCTGCGGCGGAAGAACAGAGCAAGTCCACAGGTGGCACCCGCGTGCTCAATGGAGAGCAGAGCACTCGTGCGAATGCACTCGAAGAAAGTCAAGTGAAGGCAAAACAGCAGAATACGGCCAAGCTTGACGTCGGCAAGGCAAGGGGCAGCGATGAGCGATGTCGTCTTTGAGAGGAACGAGGCGCAAGAAGAGGTATCCACTGACGATCCAGGCCCGAAAGGGCCATCGTGAGCAACGAGTCAACACACGAGATCCAGAGCCCTACGACGCATCTACAAGAGCGGCGACAATCCATGAGGGGAAAAGCTCGGAGGGACAGTCGGCTCACGGAGTAAGGGCGAAGCTGCAAGTATTGGCCTACTGCGCCTTTGATCCTTCCCTTGATTCGATATGATTCGACCTCGCCCTCGAATGTGAAGCACCTTCCTCACATGATCCTGCATCTGCGTTTCTTTGCGACGTTGTCTTGCCTCTCTCACATCTACTTGAGCATACAGACATGACGAGCCATGGGAAGTTGGCAGCCATTCGAAAAGGCCTCCTTGTCGAGGGTGGATTGCATTGTGACTGCCGTTGGGCTCGCCGCCCCACGCGACACGGAAAGGAAATCGGACTGACGCACGGACGTCCATCGTCGAAGTCGTGCAAGGCGGACTGAAGTTGCTCAATTTGTTGTCTCTCTACTTCCTCGATCCAAGTTGAGTCTCCCAACAACCTCTTGGCCATCTCGGCATCTTTGACGGGTCTGCCTTGATTTTCGCATTAGACGGGCTCATTCGGCACTACTGAGAATTGCCAAGCTCATGCTCTATTACTATCATTCTGCCGGATCAGCTCAGCGCCACTTTGCAACGTGATGGCCGAGGTTGCAAAGGGCTGCCGGGACGGCCCCTCAACCCCCATCGTCGAGCGGCTTCGACGCTTTCGCGAGCAGCTGGACCATGATCTGCCACTGTCAACGAGTGTGGCAGAAGAATATCGTCGACTCACGGGAGAGGGCTGCGCTACCACGTCAGATCCACATCAAGAGGAACAGGGGAGGCCAGGGCTAGACATAACATCACGAGATGATACCGAGGACCCTGAGAAGGCAGCAGCCAATCGCCCTCCTGACGATGGAGAATTCACTTTCAGCGACTGGAGTCAAGGTCTGCTCACCAATCCACGACCAGAGGCACTACAACTCACGAGCGCCCGTCCGCTCTGGAAGCAGAGGGAGGCCGGCAGATGTACAGCCTCGCGATCAACCCAAGATCATGATCCTCCTATCGAGGAGCAAGGGACAAGTGAGTCCACACATCAAGCTGCGATGGCTACTCAGGTGGCAGTCATGCCGGCCATTGAGTATTGGTCCTCAGTGCCAGCAGCAGAAGAACACGCCGCGCAGCTTCGACTGCAGCCTCAAGGCACGTCAAGCGTCGAACAGCTCGAACGGCTCGCCCCTGCAGCTACCTCTCAACTACTCGAGGCTCAGTCTCGTCAGCTCGAGGCCACGAAGCGCTCCATCAAGGCCTCAATGTCCCGTCGCCCACCTGCCTTCTCAAGCAGTCTCGCGGACATCACGGATCCCTCCTCCAGTGTACAGCCCTCCAACCCCTTCGATGACATCGCGCGGCGTCAAGCACCTGCCTTGCAAGACAAAAGTACATCTCGTCGATACCCTCCTCTTGCATTTCAAGGAGCTGCAGCCGTCACTCCTGCCGCCTTCAGGACCGACGTCTCCGATCTGACGGCGATCACAACGCCGGGAGACGACAAGGATGGTAACAGCTGTACAAGCGAGGAGGACGAAGGAGAAGGGGAAGCGGCAGGGCCCAGAAGAAACGGAAGGAGCCCATCTGTCAGAGGGAGGGCAGCAGGAGGGAAGCGTGCAGCAGCGCCGCCTGCCACTCGGAGCATGCTCGCTCTGGGCCCCAGACCTACGATGGCGAGGGCAATTGGTGTAGCGCCGGAGCCTGCAGCGAAGCCTGCAGCGAAGCCTCAGGACGAGGCAGCAGCTGCAATGGAGGAGAGTATGACCGCCTCAGAGTCGGCGACGGACGATGAGGAGGTCGTCATGCCACCACAACGTCCCGCCAAGATCGTTCGCCCTGATGCAGCTGCCCACGCCAAGCAGCCGCGGGTAGAAGGGGATCGTGGCATCGCTCCGAGCGCGAGGGCAGCATCAGTCTCAACATCAGCTGAGCCCAGCCTCCTGTCTGCAGCGCTTCACGAAGAGGAGCGGGCCTCGGCTGACCGTCGGAGCCAAGCTGGGGCAGCCAGGATCGACAAGCTGCGCGAACAGGAGAAGCGTGTTCGACGACAACAGAATAAGGATGACCGGCGACCAAAAGCCCCTATTGACCCTGCTTCTGCCTCGCTTCGTCCTCTGCCTCCCGGTCCTGCGCTCACTACCACCAAACCGCGTCGCTCCATCCCCAGCAAGAAGCCCAATTGGCGAAGCTATAGAGCCTGTGTACGTCAGTGGACGCACTGGGATGAGGTGGAGAAGCGTATCATCCCACAGCAGTCGTCAAGAAGGGAGCGTCCTGTCTTCGAGGGTATGCGTATCCTTCTCATCACAAACCCGGGCTTGGACAATGACGCAGACGGCAGCAGCGATCACGAGGGAGAGGGGACCAACGGCGGCTGGTCACGGGATATGGCCCGTTGGGTCGAGCGGGTATGGGAAAATGGCGGGCGATGCGTCGAGGGATACGTCGAAGGCGAAACGACGCATCTCGTCGCCGTTGGGCTGCCGCGGCCACCAGAGGCTGCGACCTGTGCCGGGCTTCTGCGGCTCGGTGGTGCTGGGCTGGCCGCTCTTAGAGGCGTCAAGTGCGTGACGCAGGATTGGGCGAGAGCGTCCATCGCCCAGGGAAGGGCTATGGAGGAGGCGGATGAGAGGTGGAAGTTGGGGTGATGCGGTCAATCAAGGTAAAGTAGATTCGATACCCATTCAATTTATCAATGTCCGATTCTATCCGAATCGCTCCCGCGCCATGGCCCTGAACATCTCCATGGTCGAGTCCTCTTTTGCCCGATACTCGCTACGACGCTGCCCCATCTCTTCCTCCCTTTCTGCACGCTTAGCGTCACGCTTGGCCGTAGATCTGGAGCGGGCTGCCATACTACCGCGCAAAAGGACAAGAAGGAGTCGATGCGGACGTCAGCATGTCTCCTTGCAGCTGATACGGTCTCGCACTTACGCATCCTGGAAAGAAGATCCGCCGCCCATGAGCGTGGATTCTGGCAACTCGACATCCCCGCCACCCTTTCTGGCTTCATCAAAATCGCGATTGGCGGCATTGCGCTGCCTCCTTCTTTCCATATTAGCCTCTCTCCCTGTAGCTCGCGGGTTGAGCTCCTCGTCGCGCTCTCGAGCATCTCGTCGCTCGGCCTTTCTTTGAGCCTGCGAGGCGCGTCGTGAGGCTTCGCGTGAAACTTCAGCTTCGTATTGGGTGTCGCTATGCTGCCGTGACGATGATGATGGTGCCACTACGGCTGGTGCTTGGGCTGGGACTGCTGCCGATGCCACCGCTGTTGCTGGTGCTGCTCTTGCTCCAAATCTCTGGGCCTCAAGTTTTCGCATTTCGAGTGCCCCTCGACTGGTTCCGTTGGTCATGCGATCCACTACATCACGCATAGCGGCCACTTCATCCTGGTCCTTCGAAGAGCGGTTGCTGACAAACTTCCAATGACGCGACGAGGACGACGAAGCCGAGGTGATCTTGCCCAGGTAGTAATCGTCGTGTAGCTTGCCGGCATTCCACTGACGCACGAAACGCCGTTCGAAGAGACGATGAGCTTCCTTTGATGAGAGGGAGTCGAGGCCGTATTCGCGGGGACGACGAGATGAAGAATGCTTCCTGTCCTTGTCCGGACCGTATACATTGACAAGCCAGTGCCTGAACTCGGGCGAATGGGAATAGTACGACGATGAGGAGATGGGCGAGCTACCCAGCGAGAGGACTTTGGGCGCTGCTGTCGGTGCAGAGTGGCTGCTGCTACTGCTGTTGCCCTCGCTGTCGCTGGCAGAGGCAGCGCTTGCATCTGGATTTGCAGATGCTGAGCGATGGCTCCTGTGACGATGATCGGCGTCTCGCCGTCGCCTCTTGCCATGCTGGTCAGCATCTTGACGGCGCCTGCCACGGGCATGGCGAGTGACATTGTCGTCGTCATCGTGGTCGTCGTCTCGACGTGGCCTTCTCTTCGCGCTTCCCTCTGCAGAAGTCGATGCCATGTTGACCATTAATAGCAGACGGCAGACGGCCATGGCGTGGCTTCGCAGCAGGTGGAGCTTGGCAGCGCCAAGGACCACGTGGTTTGGGACGGAAAGGGAAAGGACTCCTCGGGGAGAAAGTTTAGTGTCGTGGGTGGTGCGCGACTTGCTTCTCCTCGTCAAGACAACTTGTCCATATCCACGTCTACTCACAATGGCGTCTCAGGCGGGCCCCTCGTCATCACTGCAGACGCCCGACAAAATTGGACCCCTCTTCTTCTGCTCCTCTTGTGGAAGCCTCCTCGATGTGCCAAAGGACGAGGATGTCATTGCCTGCGTCCCCTGCGGTGCTCACCTCGATGCTTCAGGTGAGAGACAGAGCCACCAAAGGAGGCGTTTTGCATCAGTGCTCATATATATTTGCTCTTGATAACGCACACAGTTTACGACAATCTCAGCCTCGTCACACGCTCAAATCCCTCTGCTTTCCCCTCGGCCCTCCGGACCAAGCGCCAGCTCGTATCGACGGTATCTTCACGCAACGACGGCGGTGATGGAGCACGAGCAGATGAGGCTACCATCAGGGAAAAGTGCCCAAAGTGTGGCAACGAAGAGATGAGATTCAGTACCCTCCAGATGAGGAGCGCTGATGAGGGTACCACCGTCTTCTACACTTGCCCAAATTGCGGCTACAAGTTCAGCCAGTGAGTGCGAGGCGCCGACAGACATGGCAAGAGCAAGGGCATATTGACTCACTCCTCGATCCTTCTCTTCTTCTTCGTGCCCAGGAATAACTAGCCCACACCCTGCTTCGCTGTCGTCGTCATGGATTCGTCATTGTATAATTACACACAGATATCAACTCATCTCTCCGTCGCTTCTCATGATGCTGTCGCTGCTGCCGCTGCTGCCGCTGCCGCCTTAGCAGCTCGGGCTCGCTTCTTATCCTCTCTCCTCGCTGACTTCTTGAGATCCCTTTCGACATCGGAAGCCTTCGAAGACTTGGTCTTCTTGCTGCTCTTTCGCTTTGTCTTCTTGTCCCCATTGGACTTGTGCGCCTTCTTGATTCCCTTTGCCTCTGATGCCTTGCCAGCTAACGCTGCTGCTGCCGCCGCCGCCGCCTTTGCAGCTCTACGCTCCTCTCTTCTGCGCCGTCTCTCCTCTTTGTCCTCACTCTTTCGCTTCTTCGACTTCAGTACCTCCTCGTCTCCCTTTTCAGCCGCTTTGGCTGCAGCCTTTTTGCGCTTCCTCTCCTCCTTGCTCTCCTTTGATGACTTGGGTTCGCTCGCTGCTTCGCCCATGCTGATGCTCTTTTCTACTACTGCCTTGCTAGTCTCTTGCATAGCCTTGCGAGGCGGAGTTGGTCTCGAAGGGTCTGCTCTTCCCTTTACGAAGCTGCTGAGGAGGACTCTCCTGGCATGCTCTCTCTTTGCCAACGCCTCAAAAGACATCTTGGACGACGAAGGCATGGCTGGGCTGAGGACCGGGAGGGGGGCAGGTGAGGACGGCGCCGTTACAGCGGGTGTCGATATGGATGACGACGGTGCTGTCGATGATGTAGATGGCGCGCCTCCAATCTTGAGCGTCTTTGCGCTTGCCTCGAAGAGGCAATCCCACCATTCCACTGCCCTGTCTCTCTCCTTTCCCAGACCCTTGAGGCCTCGCTTCATTGGGATAGCGAGGGGCTTTTTGAGTCCATTGCCCCCAGCTCCATCAAGTGGTACGCCAGTTCCCTCCCAACCTTGCGTTGTAAGATAGGTGATTGAGTTGAGCGGCATGATGGCGAGGTAGGCCAGAAAAAGAGAGAATGAGGCGACTATCGACGACGCTGTGTGCAAAGGCGGAAGGGAGAAACACGACTGACCAAAATTTGGCTCTTCGACGCCGTCTCGACGCCGTCTGGGCCGCTCTCCTTGACGACCCACCAAGATCTCAAGATCATGCGTCAACTCAAGCATCATGAGAAGAAGCTTCTCAAGAAGTGAGACGACGACGACGACGACGACGACGACGACGATCACCTCTCGCTCACCAATCTTCCTTCGCTCTCGCAGGCATGACTTTCTGTCATGGAAATCAGACGCCGGGATGCGCGAGACAAAGGTCATGAGGCGCTATCACATCCAAGAGCGTGATGACTACCACAAGTGAGCAAAAGAGGAGCAATCAGAGAGAAACAGACTTCTGACCTTGTCTCCTTCTGTCTCTCTTGTCACGCACAGATACAACACCTTGGTAGGCAAGATACGCCACCTCTCGTTGCGCCTCTCGACGCTCCCCGCCGAGGATCCCTTTCGTTCAAAGCAAGAGTCGCAGCTCCTGTCCAAACTCTATGAGATGGGCCTGCTCGACACGGGTGCCAAGATGAGCGACATTATGGAAAAGGTGACGGTCAGCGCATTTTGCCGGAGGAGGCTACCCATCGTCATGTGCAGGCTCAGGATGAGCGAGACAGTCAAGCAGGCAGTCACCTACGTTGAGCAGGGCCAGGTCAGAGTCGGGACAGACGTCATCACAGACCCAGCATTTATGGTGACAAGGAATCTCGAGGACTTGTGAGTGCGGCATAGGTGGCGGCAACGGACCGAGGACATTGTGATGCTGACCCTTTCTCTCTTGCTGCCTCCACGCGGCGCCATCAGCGTCTCATGGCTCGACCAGAGTCACGTCAAGCGTACCATTGCCAAGTACAATGATGAGGTGCGTGCGGCAAGGGTACATCTACGTCGGTGCTCAACTGCTTGGCTGACTTGTTGCTCTCACCTGCTCATCCACAGCTCGACGACTTCGACCTCCTTTGAAAGGGGTGACGATGCTCTTCTTTCTCCTCACTGCGAGTCATATCCTCTCTTTACCATTTGTACATTATCGTTCTGGATTTCAAGCATAGATTGGTGTTCTGCTAGCCACCATCGACGAGGTTGCTGCTTGATGATGATGACGACGACGACATCGGAGCCGGCAGGCCGCGTGGCGGTTCAGGGCTCAGGCCATGCCAATTATCCTACTCCGTCCGTCGTGCGCCTGTCCATCTTGACGTTGAATCCTCTCCACCCGACGCTACCCTTTGCTGCTGTATCACTTCCTTTGCCCACCATGGAGTGCCAATTCGGCATCACGGGAAAGGGATACACTATCTTGGCGTCGGACCAGAACGCGGCAAGGTCCATCGTCAAGATGAAGGGCGACCAAGACAAGATCATGGAGTTGACCCAACACCTTGCCATGGCTTACAATGGAGAGAGCGGTGCGTGTGCAAGGAGATAGGACAACCTGTCGACGTCTCTGGTTACTCATCACGTCTCATCCTCCTCGCTGATCTTCTCACAGGCGACACAACCAACTTTGCTGAGTACATCGAGGCCAACCTCAAGCTGTATGCAATTCGGTGAGCAGTCGACAAACGAGACGGGCGACACAACGCACCTTTATGACCTCGACGCTCATTCTTGCCCCCTTCCCCACAGCCATCACATCCAACTACGACCTCGAGCAGCATCGGCATGGATTCGTACCGAGCTGGCCAACTCACTGCGCTCACGCCATCCCTACCAGGTGAACCTCATCCTCGGCGGGTACGATCTCCCAACGTCAACCCCGGCCCTCTACTGGGTCGACTACCTTGGTACCCTCGCTCAGGTACCCTATGCAGCTCACGGATACGGTGCTTTCTTCTGTCTGTCTACCCTCGACAGGTATCATCGCCCCGATATGGAGCTGGACGAGGGGCTGGAGCTGCTCAAGAGGTGCATAAACGAGTTGAAGACGAGGTTCATCGTCGATTTGGGGACGTGGAAGGTCAAGGTCGTTGACAGGGATGGAACGAGGGAGGTGACGCTGTGAAGAGGGTCGAGGGGCTCAATATCACACACACATTGGTACAGACTAGAGCGAGAGGGCGAGCAAAGAGCGTCCCCATCATCATCATAGCATAGTGGGGACGAGCGCCGCGGACAGCCTGTCGCATCGTCTCACAGAAAGCCTCTTGCCACCCACGGCACATCTCTCCACATCTCTGACGCTATGAAGGTGGTATTAGGACAGATGCATCGACGGATACCAACGAGAGATACATTAGAGGGGGAGGAACAAGGGGATGTCGCACGGAAGTGTGCACGAGCACGAGTCCACCCTGCGCTTCCTCCTCGACCAGCACGTCGCCATGCCTTTGTGATCTGCCAAGCCACACCTCCTACGGCGCGAGAGTGAAGACAGAGTAAGAAGTTGTTGAGGAGATGGCAATGATTCGTCGCCTTGCTCGCTGCTTGTGGGAATGGCCACGCTCGTAGAAAAGTGAGGAACGTCTTCGTCGTCCCACGTCGACCACGAAGACATGGTGCCGATACCACTGCGACTGCTGCTCGTCTTGCTACTGCTCTCCTTTAGAAGCCGTGCACACGAAGCTCGGCCTTTGGGATACCTTCCTCGATGAGGAACGAGGCGATCTTCTGACGCTGGTCACCCTGAAGTTGGATGACCTGACCCAGCTCTTCGTCGTCGACGAGGGTACCGTTGCAGGCAAAGTCCTTCTTGAAGGCCTTGAGCAGTTTCTTGAGGTCGAACTCTGACACAGAGACGAGAACGCGGGCGCGAGAGTAATCAGCACTGGTCGTGGATTGCGGTTGAAGTCGAATGTCGCGCATTGCCACCACTCACCTTTGGGCAAACCTTGGAGCGTCGTCAAAGTCTTCCTGCCGTTACGCTGCTGAATGCGGATGTGGACGTATCGCTCCTGGGCCTTGGCCTGCTTGTTGTTCTCCTGCTCATCAGAGGCTGCGAACTGATCTTCGCCAGTGTCCGCGAAGGGGTCTGCAAAATGGCGAATGGCGAGACGATCAGTCTGAGGGATAGTGTTGGACCACAACCTTGGCTACGTGTGCCGTCATGCTCACCGTAGCTGGAGAGGTTCTGAATGTTCATAAACGCTGTCTCTTTTTCTCTTTGCAAGTAGCGAGTGAGTAGGTCTTCTAGGATGACAAGGGCAAGGAAACGGGACGTGGGATGGAGGACGAGAGGAGAAGGCGTATTGGAGCGGCCCGATGAGCCTGGCCCGCTGCCCCTCGTCCGCCGCCCCCTCCGCTCCGTCGATCGTCGAACTTGTCGCCCTCACGACACGCGCGCCACGTGTTTGTTCAGCCTCCGTATGGCCCTGGCGATAGCGATGGCAGAGCATGCCAATGTGAGCCTCAGCGCTTTTATCAGCTAGACTCACAGCATCAGCTTCTTTGCGTGCGGGTCACCTTTTCTCTCCGTGCCGCAACTTTTCAAGGGAAGTAGTCCCAGAGGCCGCGGCACTCGGCCACTTCTTCGTCCCACCCTGGCTCTCGCATTGAATGGCTCACTCGAGCAGATGCGACCTGACTGAATACTCTCCTGCTGGCACGAGCATCTGGTTCAATTCGACCATCCTGATGCCTTGTACCGTGGCTCCGCTGGGCAGTCATGACCAGGCTGTGGTGTGAGATCGTCGACGGCGTCCCCCGCACGACACGCCAGACCCGCACGACACACTCCGGCCCTCCGGATCGCGGCCTGGGTCAGGCTGAGGCGCTGCCAGGGCGAGAGAGCGAGCTTCTTCCTACCGGCAACCGCTTGCTCCCTTTTCACTCCTTTTTCCTCCACTCTCGCCTTTCTATCCCTCCAATCCCTTCATCCGGCCTCGCCGATTTCCCCCCTATTCCCCCTCGTCACCACGACGCCAAAGTAGCTCACAAGCCTCCCAACGGTCTTTATTGTCGTCTCCTACCCTTGAGCTACCAAGATGACTGCCACTCTGTCCTCAGCTGCACCCTCTGCCAAGGCTAGCACCTACTCTGCCCACCTCACCAACGGCGACCCTTCAAAAGCATCGGCCGCCTACAAGCCTACTCACCCTGGCCGCTTCCAAGTCAAGTTCCAGCCGGGCTCCTACAACTCGTGCTTGGTCACGCAGCGTCGCTTCGCCAAGGATGAGACGCTCGCTATGATGGACAGCGCAGAGTACAGCAACGAGAAGCGCTACTCTACTGTTCAGGTCGGCAAGGACAGACACATTGAGCTCAACAGCGAGTAAGTAGCTGGGCAGTTGAAATGGAGAGAGATGGGCTTTCTGGTCCTCACCCTCACGCCCACTTTCACGCCTGCAGTCTCCTCTACATCAACCACTCATGCGAGCCCTCAGTCCGCTTCGAGGTCGATGGGCCCCACGACACCTGGAAGGCAGTCGCCGAGCGAGACATCGAAGCCGGCGAGGCCCTCTCCTTCTGTGAGTGTCTCGGTAAGCGCATTCGAGCATGAACCTTTTTCACCCCTTTACTCATGACCATCCTTCACCCCACTGTCCGCGCACAGTCTACCCCTCGACCGAATGGAGCATGTCCCAGCCTTTCCCGTGCAACTGTGGCTCCAAGTCGTGCCTCGACCGCATCTCTGGCGCCAAGGACATCCCTGCCCAGACGCTGCGAAAGTACTTTGTCAATAAGCACATTCAGGAGCTCAAGGACGAGCAGTCCGCGGTCTAGGCGCGCTCGCAGTCGCGGTCACTTGCGAACGTCCATCTATAGTCTTGTATAATGGTCTTAAAATTTATTGCCAAGTAGACATCATCAGAAAGGCTGAGACGGCCTGGCTTTTGCCCTCGCTGCCACCTTTTCCTGTATGACAAACGAGCGAGAGATGATGTCAGCATGCCTGTCATCACACATCATCGTTGCGCTACATCACCACGACGACTGACACTCCTCCATTCCTTGACTCTCGCCTCCATATCGGCCATATTCTCAGCAATGTCCCTCTCCCTCTTTGGTCTCTGCCTGTACGTTTTCCTACCCTTGAAGATTCCACTCAGGATCCTCCCCGGAGCTATACCCTGAGCACGACCGACGTAGGGGCCCTTCTCCGTGACGAGGTCAGCAATGATGGCCTTTTGATGATCGCGGATCTCTTGAGAAGACCATTTCCGGTCTGACTTGGGAAGTCGTTGGAAAAAGGAGTCGGGAAAGGATGAGGATGAAGCAGAGGCAAGTCGGGACTGGAGCTTTGACTTCTTGGGTCCATCGGGGAGTGAAGAGAGGGTGTTGTCGGCATAGGCTTCATTGACTAGCTGAGCTTGTCTACGCAGCGAATAGGCAGGTGGTGCCCATCGTTGCGTCGTGGCCGATTTGGTTGGGTGGAAGGGCGATGGCGCAGACGAGTGCGATGATGAAGAAGAAGCGGCCGAGGTGGTGGCAGCTAATTGCTTGTCTTGGAAGCGGGCCAGAATGGAGGGGTTTACCTTGCGTCGCAAGAGTGAAAGAGATGAGGCGGCCATGATGGTCGTGGTGATGAGGTGAATAGTCGTCGTCTGCTGCTCAGCCAAAGTCATCTTTGGCGGGACTCACCCGCGAGCATATCATCTCACGTGGCTGAGCGGGGGGGCGAGCGGAAAGGGCAATTGTGTGACCTCAGTGACTTGGACATCACCTCGACCCTACGAGAGGAAACTACACACAGACAAGGACGTAGCAGATGACATCACAAGACGAGGCTGGCCCTTCAACGCCCAAGCAGCCATTTCAGACGGATGTGCGAAGGACTCGCGGCTTACAAGCAGGGCAAATCCTTCTCGGCCGCAGACAGAATGTCACATCAGCCTACGATGGTGACGGCTCATCAGCCTCGGCGTCGTCTTCTTCGCTGCGTGACCTTAAGGAAGAAGAGGAGAGACTCAACAAGCGCATAGACGACAGCGTCAGGTCATTAGAATCGGGAATGGTCGACCTCATCCAATCGTTTCGACTAGGGGACAAGTCTGTTGCAAGGGCAGAGCAGGAACGCTTCACTGCAGAATATCGCGCTGATCAAGTCGTACGGGCAACATCGTCGTTAGCTGCTTTGGGTAGAGCTCTGCAGCTCAGTCTACTCTTGAGTCAGGCAAAAGAGGCCAGAGATCGTCAAGACGAAGAGAGGCGTCGCCTCTCTGACGAGACGAATGAATACAAGAAGAGGTGCGGTGTGCTTCTGGGCCACGTCTTCGATGTCGGCGATGGCGTCAACCAATTGCCACAGCAAGTCTCGCTAGATCTAGGCAACAAGACTGACATCGAGTCCATCATAGCAGCGACTGCGGCGGCAGCAGCAGCGGCACCACCACCAGCATCAGCAGGCAATGACGGCGGCCAGGCATCAGCGCAGATCCCTTGGCAGAGCCAAGAAGGGCAACCAACGCAAGGCCAAAGCGCTGCGGGTCAGCAAGCTGCAATGGACATGTTGACGAACTCACTGGAGGCAGCGTCTGATCAGCAGGTGGACAACGCACCAGGCGATGTACAACAACAGCACGAGGTAGCGACGGGCCACACCAGCGGGCAGGAGCGAGGCGTCATTGGCGGCAAAGGGCAGAATGAGGATGTGGGCGAGGATGACGATATGGAAGAGGTGATATGAATGCGCAAGCGTCTAATGTTACAAAGCGGCGATGGTAGTTGTGGTTATTCTTCGCCTCCCCTCTAGTCATCGTCATCGGATGCTGATGGCCTGCGCATGTACCAATCGATGGCGCCCGAGAAGCCAGCAAAGGCCAAGCCTCCTCCTACTATGGCCTGTGGACCCGCGTTGCGAGCTAGAATCCCTCCAGCGAGGAAACCTGCAAGCACCGGGTTAGTGAGGTCGTTCTTTGCTCGAAACTGTGGGTACAGGTTGGTGTAAGCCAATGTTTGAAATATGCGAGCCGCATCCTCTCGCGGTACTTACCCCTTCAATGCAGCACTCTATACCAGCATATAGGGCTCCCACCTTGCCAAATCCTTTGCCACTCCTGTACATTTGCTTTCCTGTCTCCTTGAAGTAGGCTCGAGTCTGCTGCATCGTCGTCATTTCAGGCGGGGCCGCTTGACCCGGGTTGGCAGCCATCGCCGCTGCTTGGAGATTGGATCTCCTCAGCGGATCGTCGATAGCGAAAGATGCCGAGAGTAGCGAGAAGAATCCTCCCAATCCAAAGCCCAAGACCCCTGACATGGCAGTCTTTACCGGGCAGCTCTCCATGGCCGCCGAAGTCATGTCCGACCAATACTTGACCTGCGTCATCTGGTAGCGTTCCTCGGGCGACAGAGCCTCCAGGCCAGGCTCTTTGCCTGGCAGGTAGATGGGGCAGACCCAAGGATTGGCTGCCATCGCTGCTGCGTGCTCGAGAGGAAGTTAAGCGATGCGAAGTAGTTGGCGTTGGTGACAATGACAAGGCGTTGAGAGGATCGCGGCACGGTGGAACAGATCGAGACTCGAGGGAGCAGCCAGTCCCGCCCAAATTACGACGGAACGGAACGGGAACCCCTCTACGAGCGTCGACCTCACCCGCATTCAAGCGCTCGACGATGCCTCTCACTAAGAGATTTCACGGATAGCATACATCACTATTCATCGATTTGCTGTACAGCGCAACGTCTGCCAATTCAAAGCCTGCGTTGGATCCTCTAGAGCCGCTAGTCGAGCATAATCCACCGCGGTCGTCTCGCCCTCATCGCTTGCCTCACTCTCGTCCTGGCAAGCTGCAGCCAGACTGACCAATCGCAACGCTCTCGCCTTTTCATCATCTCTGTTGATGTAGCTACTTTGCGCCAAATGCAATGCCTCCCCTGCCGACCTCGCAGTCGTTTTCGCCAATCTCGCTCGCACGATGGCTTCGGCCACCTCAAGACTGAGTGCTGTCCCGCTGTTGGCGAGCACCTGTATACCCTCTTCGTCTTTGCCTTCCATGAAATGTGCAATAGCACGGAGCCAAGTGATGGGCGCACTCTTCTGCACATCGTCGCTGGCACCGCCGCTGCCATCATCCAGCTCAGACAGCGCTGCCTCCAGCAGATCCCGATCCCTCTCGACGAGAGCAATTGCCCCCAACGTCATGATGCACTGCAAGTCTCCCTGTGCTCCGCCGCCGATGGCCTCGAGGAGCGTATTCTTGGCTTCTTCAACTTTGCCGTTTGCAAAATGAATCTGCGCTGTGAGCACAGCAGCCTGCGAGCCTTGAACTCCCTGCAAAGTCGCAACCGCAGCGCTGGGGTCGCCATCTTTATGATGCGCGAGGGACATAGTCACCTGCGCATTCCAGCGTGCCTGTCGATGGCTCCGTACGACTGCTTCGTCATCCTCATCCTCTTTGTCGCCTTCAAGCAAACCCAGAGCGACCTCTGCGGAAGCCTTTGCTCCTTTCGCGTCCCCATTGGCGAGGCGAATGCGGGCTAGATTCCCTTGCGCGAATGCAAAGTGCATCGCCACATTCGAGTCCTCGCTCTGCTCGAACTCCTCCTCAAGCAGAGCAGCTGCAGCCTCGATGCGCTCGATGGCAAGAGCATACTCTCCGAGTCGCTCAGCGTACAATGCCGAAAGGTGCAAGGCGTGGGCGTGCGAGGGTTGATACGAGAGGTAAGAGGAGAGGGCAAAGGATGCGGAGTGCAAGCTCGCCTTTGTTGCGGATGTCGCTGTATTGTCGAAAAGGATTGACGCAAAGCCATAATCCGCCTCGAGAAGCGACGCTTCACTCAGCTCGACGGCGTGTGCAAAAAGCGAGATCGCTTCAGCGGGGCTCGTGGCTGCCGTGACGAAAGCCTGCCCGACCCAGGCGTGCGCATAGTCGGGATCGACGGTCCTCGCCTGCACAAACGCCTCCTCGGCCAACTCGAGATCTCCATGCCTGAGGTAGAGGAATCCAAGATTGCACCACGGCGTCGGATCATTGACGCTGCTTTCGATTGCGCGGATGTAGGCGTGTTGCGCTACCTTGATGCTTGCAGAGGAGAACGTGAGATTGCCCAGTAGGCTCCAGAAGGAGTCGTTCGCTGGCTCATGGTTGAGCGCTTCTTTGATGCAAGCAATCGCCTCCTTGGCAGTGTGGGGTCCGAGACGGTGAAGAGAAAGGGCAAGATCGGCCCACGCGCTGCCAATGAGAGCGTCTTCCGATGCGCAGAGGGTAACCCTTAGCTTATTGAAGAAGGCGCACTGCAAGAGTAGCGACGAAGAAGGCGCATTTCTGACATCCGCCGCCTTGACCGCGATGACGGCTGGCAGCTTCTCATCAACACCCTGCTCTTCAGCCAGCTGCACAAGTGATGCGAGAAGCTCAGCGGCGTTTGTTGGTTGATATCCAGTTTGCTGTTGAGCGAGCTCGGAGCAGGCATCCGCCACAACCTTCCAAGGGCCGCGCAACAACGGTTGCTGCACCAAGACTGCGCGTACCGCTAAGAGCGCATCGTGAAACGACTCTCGAGCTCGCTGTACGTATCCTGTTTCTTGCTCGCGGCGGCCGCGCAGCAGTTGCGTCTCGGCAAGTGCATTGTGGACGCCGAACTCGTCGGGTCTCGTCTCGAGGATTTGCTCGAAGGCCTCGATAGCGTCGTCGAAGTCTCCCAGCTCGCGCTTGACCTCTGCAATAGCATAGATGGTCTGCCAGTCGCCATTGTTGAGTTCGAGAGCCCGTCCAAGCGTCTTGAGCGCTGCTGTGAGACGACCAGTCATTGCATACGCCTCGCCTAGCCTTTGCCAGCTCGTTGCATCTTGACTATCGGCTCGAAGGGCAACGTGAAGCGGACTGATGGCCTGCTCTGCGTCTCCTTTCTCGAGTCTGACAATACCGATCGCCTTCCACGCCCATGCATTCTGGCTCTTGTGCTTCGCGCTCGCGCTAGCAGCGCCCTGGGCGAGAGCATCGGTACCTCCTTCACCCTCGATGACCCGACGAGCGATTGTGCCGACGAGATCCCACTCCCTCTCTCCAGCATAATGCTCTGCCAGTTTTTGAGCGGCATGGAATTGCGTCGCATCCAGCTCAAAAGCTTTCTGGAAGCACTTGGATGCGCGAACCTCGTCCGGCGGGCATTGATGCTCCTCGTAGTAGGTCCCCAGCGCTGCGAATGCAGGTGCGTAGGAGGGGTAGCGCTTAAGAGCGGCAATGAAGCTGTTGAAGGACTGAGGGTAGTCGGCGAGTAGAGAGGAGGCGCGGCCGCTGCGCCACCAGGCTCGAGCTCGGTCTTCATCGCCAAACAAGCGCTGATGATCCGATCGTTGCTGCGCATCATCATCCAGGATGGCAATGATTTCGTCGAGTTCAGCTTTGCCTTCTGCGATGCGCCCAAGCTGGACGTCGCACCATGCTGTTTCGAACCGGGCTTCAGTGCGGGGATCCTTATACAGGCTCAAGGCCCGCTCGGCCGCCTCGTCCTCGCCTACACTGCGCTGCGCTACCTTGACAAAGAGGTCTTGCGCGGCCTGCCACCTACCGGCATCGGCATCGACTTGACCGCGAGCGAAGATGGCGTCGACATCACCCAACCGAGTCTCGAGAACCTCATCTAGCAGGCGCAATGCCCTGGCCTGATGCTGTGTGCCGTGCATGCGGGTCAGAGCAATTCCGCAGATGGACTGAAGATCTTGTTTCAATGCCGGAAGGGCCAGTGCAGTGCCATGCTCCAGCGTGCGTAGCTTGTTGAGGCCATCTGTGGCGATGTCATGCGCTGAAGACCAGTCGCGGTCGAGGAGGTGCAAGCGTGCTGCAATGCGAATGGCAAGGACGCTGTCCGTCTTGGAGTCGATGGCTTCAATGGCGAGAAGGAGTGCGTCTTGTTCGTCTTCGCTGCGGTCGATGTCGCTGCGCTCGGCGAGCTCTTTGCGCTCCTCGAGAAAGCGTTGGTCCTGCAGGGTGAGTAAGAGGGCCGTGAAAGCCGCCGTACGCGGGGACCGAGGGAAGAGGAAGATAAATTGGCGCAGCAGATGACGAGGCACTTGAACGATGCGTCCGAAGCTGTTGTCCCATTCCAGGTGTATGCTCCATGCCAACTCGTCTGGCACCCCTACGATGACCATTCCGTGAGCGAGCTCGATGAGGCGTTGGCGCATTTGGCCCTTTGCGTCAGATAGTGCAGTAGGCATAGCGCAGAGCAGACGATGTTGATAGCGCAGCAGCTTTGCCTCTGCCTCGCGTCGCTCATCGTCTGCTGCGTCTGCGTGTGATAGGACTTGCTGATAGAGGCAAGGCAGCTTGCTGTTGGACCAAATCTCTACACCGGCCTCGTTGCGAAGGGTATCTCTGCTTTTACCGGCACCATCAATTCGCATCCTCTTCTTCTCTACCTCCTTTTCTACAAGGTCGTTTTCCAAGGCTTCGCGCAGCTCGATGATCTGGCGAATGATCTTGAGTGAGTCGAGGTGAACTGCCATCTGAACTTGGAAGATCGTTGGGCTTTCGGATGTGCGCGTTGGCTGCGGTGGTGGAAGGCTATCTTCAAGGAGAGAATGATATTTCGAGCCTTGTACCATCATGGCGAGTGCATCTGCCTTCTGGCTCTTTGCGCCCTCATCTTGCTGAATGACGACGATGCGTTGAATACACTCAGCGCAGCGATGAGCATCTTGAGCCTCGAGGGCTGCATCTGCTTGACGCTGCAGCAGGGACACGAGCTTGTCCCATTGCTTGCGCTGTTCGTAGAACTTCTCGAGCCCTTGGTATGCGAGTGTCTGGGAGGGCTGTGAGTCTATAGCTGCGAGGTAGGCCTTCTCTGAGTCGTCGAAGTGGCCAAGGTTGAGGAGAGCGAGGCCTAAGAAGACGTTTGCATTGTAGTTGTTGGGCTCTTGCTCTAAGACATGCTGCGCTGCTTGGCGAGCATCGTCCCAAGCCTTGTTCTGGATGGCCTCTCTGCTCTCCTTGAGCTTTGCCTTTGTATATGCGCCCGCGCTCATGAAGAAGTGGGAATCCAAAGAAGAAGTCGGCGAGGCAGGCGGACTGGGCGCCACGACTCCACCTGTGGCTCGAGGCAGAGCCACGCGAGAAGGATCACAGGCGGAGGCGGAGGGTAGGCCCTGGTGAGGCCCTGATGTGGGCTCGAGCGGCGTCGAGAGTGCAGGCAGGCACTGTTGCTCTCTCTCTCTCCGCATCCTCGTCCTTCCTGCGCTGCTAGTGACCAAGTGACAAGTGAAGTGGATTTGGAGTCATCATCGATCCCGACCACCCCACTGTGTGCAGCCATCGCCGCCCATGTCTCGGCCGCGCTTCTTCAATGCCCCTCGCAAGGGCGAGAACTTCGAGCTCAGGGCAGATCTCAATTCAGAGTATCGAGAGAGGAGGAGCGATGCCATCAAGCGCGTCATTGCCAACATGACGGTGGGAAAGGTACGTACGTCCCTTGGTCCCAAGCAAGGCTTAGCCAGCGCTCATGATCATCACTGCCCATCGCATGATGCCGCCAATAGGACGTCAGCGGTCTCTTCCCAGATGTACTCAAGAATATGCAGACCGACGATTTGGAGCAAAAGAAGCTCGTCTACCTCTACCTGATCAACTATGCAAAGACGCAGCCTGAGCTCGTCATCTTGGCCGTCAATACATTCGTCAAGGTAGGCAGGCAGGGAATCAGGGCAGCATGAGGATGGAGAGCAAGGCGATGCTGATCTTCTTCTTGCCCTTCTCCTGAATCCTCGCCTCAGGACACGGCCGACCCTAACCCTCTGGTCAGAGCCCTGGCGATTCGCACAATGTCGATGCTGCGGGCAGAAAAGATCATCGATTACCTCTCAGACCCTTTGGAGCGCTGCTTGAAGGACGACAATCCATATGTGCGCAAGACGGCAGCCATCTGCGTCTCTAAGCTTTACGACATCAAACCAGAGCTCGCCATCGAAGGCGGCTTTGTGGATCAGCTGCGCGATCTCGTCGGCGACTCGAATCCAATGGTGAGCGGGCGCAGGCACCGGAGGAGGTGATCACATAGGCTGATTTCAGCCTATCTTCTCTTCTCTCGCTCTCGCAGGTCGTCGCAAATGCTGTCACTGCCCTCACTGATATCCACCAGACGGCGACGGAGCAAGGTCTTGATACATTCTTCATCATAGACGCGAGCGTCCTGCAGAAGCTCCTCATTGCGCTCAACGAATGTACGGAATGGGGAAGAATCGCCGTCTTGAGCGCCCTAGCTCGCTACCGTACCAACGATGAGAAGGAGGCAGAGCACATCTGCGAGAGGGCGATGCCGCAGTTTCAGCATGCCAATGGGGCCGTGGTTTTGAGCGCAGTAAAGGTAGGCGTGGGGACCGAGGGCGGGCTCAGCGTTGCCTCGATGCTCATTCTTGCCCCACTCTCTCGCAGGTCGTCCTCATCCACATGGATCACATCACCAAGCCTGATTTCGTCAAGCAGCTGATCCGAAAGATGGCTCCCCCCCTCGTCACCCTCGTCTCTGCCGCCCCCGAGGTTCAGTGGGTCGCATTGCGCAACATCAATCTCATCCTACAGAAGCGACCCGAGGTTCTCTCATCGGAGCTGCGCATCTTCTTTTGCAAGTACAATGACCCATCGTACGTCAAGCTCGAGAAGCTCGAGATCATGATCAAGCTGGCAAACGAGCGCAACGTCGACATGCTTCTCTCCGAGTTGAAAGAGTACGCGAGTGAGGTCGACCTCGACTTTGTGCGCAAGAGCATCAGGGCAATTGGGCAGTGCGCCATCAAGATTGACGCAGCGGCAGAGAGGTGTGTGCACGTGTTGCTCGATCTCATTGCCACCAAGGTGACGTACGTCGTACAGGAGGCAGTGGTTGTCATCAAGGTGAGTGGGTGCAAATACGATTGGCGTGGGATGCCCTCTGACCTCGTCGTGTCGCACCACCAGAACGTCTTCCGCCGCTACCCGTCACAGTACGAGGGCATCATCCCCACGCTGTGCGCAAATCTCGAGGAGCTCGACGAGCCAGAGGCAAAGGCGTCCTTGGTCTGGGTACTCGGCGAGTATTGTGAGAAGATTGACAATGCCGAGGACCTCCTCGCCTCGTTCCTCGACAGCTTCCTCGATGAGCCTTACCAGGTCCAATTCCAGATACTCGTCGCCATTGTCAAGCTATTCCTCAAGAAGCCAGATGGACCAGCGCAGGGCGTGGTACAGCGAGTATTGGAGCTTGCAACAAAGGAGGCAGACAACTTGGACCTGCGCGACCGCGCATTCATCTATTGGCGGCTGTTGAGCAGCGAAGACAGCGAGGCGGGCAAGGTGAGTACGCGGTGAAACGAAGTGCGGCAAAGGGACCACCGTCATTGACTCGCCGAGGTCGCTCCTGCAGTCCATCGTCTTGGCTCCTCGTCCTCCGATCTCCATTCCCCTCACGTCCGTCTCACCAGCGCTCCTTGACGAGCTCATCGGCGAACTCTCGTCGCTCTCATCAGCATATCACAAACCTGCGAACACGTTCATTGGAAAGGGTCGATACGGCGCTGCCGATTCGCAGCGTGGCGTCACACGAGAAGCAGCTTTGGCTACCGTCGTACAGGGCACGAGGGCAGAGAATCTCCTCGACTTTGGCGAAGACGACGAGCAGGCGGGAAGCACAGAAGCTGCGGCTGGGTCCAACAGCGCAGCAGGTGGTCTGGGCGCTCTGGACGAGATGATCAGCGACGCCCCGGCTGGCCGCTCTGGGCGCGCGCCGCAGCCCGCCGCCGCATCGCAGCTCAACGATCTGCTAGGACTGTGAGTGTAGATTGAGGAAGTGGCGTTCAAAGGATCGACTGCTAACCGCCCCCAACGCTCCTCTCGCTGGCAGCTTCGACGCAGCACCAGGAGCAGAGCAGCCGGGCGCACAGTCAGGTCTCGCCGCCCTGTCATCGCTACCATCGTCAACGCAAAAGCAGGCGAATGGCGCGCAAGGACAGGCGACTGGAGGCGGCGGTGGCGGCGGCGGCGACTTGCTAGATTTGATCTGAATGCAATGCAATGAGCACAGCGGCACATTACCAGCATGACGACCGCAGCGCGCGCAAGTGAAGCACAGCAGAGCACGATGAAACACGGCTTTTGTTCGGGACTTTGCTATGGCGTATTGAGACAACGCAGCGCTGACGCTAATGAGTCCTCAGGCGCAGCGCAACGTGAGCCGAGCGAGGTCTCGTGCCGTTTCGGCCAAGGCTGCGACGCAAACAAAGAACGCGCGTCTGAAAGCATTGCATCTCAAAGCATACCAATCCGCTGCTGATACGGGCTCATGGCTCGTCGATAGCAGCTCAGCAGGGATGATCAAGTCAAGCACGACAAATCTGGTCTTGCGGCTCATCTTCGCCTACATCGATATTTGAGCTAAGGTCATACAAAGCGGCACAGCATGACGTGGCAGCGTCCGGCAAGTGAGGCCGCCAAGCAGGCGAAAGCTCAATCGCGAGCGAGCTGAACTTGGACGCTTCAACGCTCGGTAGAGCTTTACAACGCTCACTGCCAGCAGACGCGACGCGCAGCACCGCTATATGCTCACATAATATCAGGCGAAGGAAACAATGCAGCCATCAAAGATACTGTGATGCCACGACATCGTGGTGAGACGTCGTTTCCGGACGTTTACACACGCCAGCACGATGTTGCAAAGGCAAATCTAGAGCATTTGTGGCGGACGTGTCCTTCGATGACCTGAGCTGCGGGACGCGACCCGCAGCGTGACGAACTCCTGCCGACCGCTGATGCGCGGCGCGCACTGCAGTCCACGTCCTCGTCTCGGCTTTCCTGAGCTTCACGAACCCATCAGCTGGACCTCCCCTGATTGTGCAGTCATCTCGTCCTGTATCTTGCAGAGCCTACGCCGCTGTCGGATGACTCGTGCAGCGAGTCATCGAGAACGCTGCGGTCGAGGATGAGCGTAGCTTCACAAGAGTCTCCAAATAGAGCCGAGTGTCGTGACATTGCGATAATTGACTACGAACAAGACACAGCATGAGCATTCAAGACGGCGGAGGGTGCTGTTGTTGTGGGTAGTACGGATACTGTGGCCACTGTTGCGGCTGCTGCGCGGCATAGGGCTGCGAAGGGTCGTATGCCTGCTGCGACTGATGGGGCGGCCAGTAGGATGTCGCATTCTGGTAGGCCTGAGAGTAGCCGTGCTGTTGCGGCTGATAGTACGCTTGTTGCGGGTAGTACTGCTGCTGAGGCGGCGCGCTTTGCTGAGGGTATGTTGAGTACGCTTGCGGCTGCGGCGTTTGATCTTGGACCGGCTGCCATCGATGGGCAAAGAGCGGATTGATGTGTGCGCCGGGTGGAGGAGCTTCGCCGTACACCGCATTCGGTACGTTGGCGAGCGGGTTGGCCGGCAGGCCTGCGCTCTGCGGTGCGCGAGCGAGAGGCTTGGCTTCTACACTCCCGCTTGCCGCGCTGCTGGCGGTTCTGCTATCGTCGTCTTCATACGAGAGCTGTGCCGGCGTTTGTGCTCCGCCAACGTCGTCATCAAGCTGCCAGTTGGGCCGTTGTGGGAGTCCCGCCGGAGTAGCCGCAGCTCGCCCGCCACCTCGCGATGGTCCCGCAGCTGCATTACCCCTGCCGCGCCCACGAGCGCCTCCTCTTCCACCTCTGCCTCCTCGGATACCGCCCGAGACACCATCTGCATCGCCACCGGCCACTTCAAGTCCACGCTTGTTGGCCCGCTTCTTGTCTTTCATTCTCCTCTTCCACTCTTGCTCCTCTTCGTCGTCGCTGAACTCCATTGCGTCGACCTCCCACTCGTTAGGCTCCTCATCGTAGACGTTGGATGCGTCGCTGGCCTTGCCCTGACGAGCGCGCAACTCAGCAGGTCGTAGAAGGGTGCTGTGGGAGGGCAGGAAATAGACGTCGCTGTCTGTCGCATACTCCTTGGTTGCCGCCGCCGATGGCAAGAGGACAGAGTAGAGGGGTGCGAGGAGAGAGCCAAAGGTCTCAAATACGAAGCCAATGACCCTGCCTTGCGGTGTGCAGAGGAGCGAGCCCGAGTCAAGCACGGGGCCAGAGCGCTCATTGCGCTGCGCATTCTGCTTCTCTTCGAACTGGGCGATTACGAGCACGTCATCGACTGCGCCATGCACTTTGCCAAGCGGGGAGATTGTCGCAATGAGCTCAGTGGGAACCTCTTGGAATGGCAGATCGCCAAGCAGCTTCCCCGCGTCGGCGTGCTGAAGCTCATTCTTTGACATTGGGCCACGAGAGCCGCCAGCAGCGCCGCCATCATCGTCGTCCTCATCGTCACCGCCTGCGTCTGAGCCTGCTACGCGGGAGAGGGGATGCGTGGCCATGACCGCGTCGTCGTCGGAGGAGGAGGAGGAGGAGGATGATGATGATGAAGAGGATGACGATGAGTCTGAGCCTGAGTCCGAGTCCGAGTCCGAGTCCGCATTGTTGTTAAGGCCGAGGGGGCCAGCGTCGTGGTTAGGCAACCTCGCCTCATCGCTAAACCCTGGCGGAAGCTCACTGCGACTTCCTCGCGCATCAAAGACCTTCTGCCTGAGCTCATCGAGAGATGCCGTGTCCGCATCAGTAAATGCCGTCGAGGCAGCTTCGGCGGCACCGAGGGGGACGCTGGCCGACTCGAGGTGTGTTTCCAAGGCTACAGGCGCCGTCTGGACATCCTCTTCGGCCGTCGGCTGCTGTTCTGACTGTTGCAGGGACACGCCGTCTTCGCCTGCGTGCATGCTCATCATCAGCGGTCGTGGCGAGGCGTGGGATTTGGATGGCAAGGTGCAAGTTGCAACGGGCTTCAGTTGCACCCACCACGGAAATGGACCAAATTCTCCGCTCCGCCTGCCGATTGGACCGCGGCTCTTCTCGTCGCCGTCGTGCAGGGGCCAGTCCAGCAAGCAAGCAAGCAAGGAAGCAAGCCTTGTTGCGCCCGATTCCTATTACTAGGCCGTCTCGACTTTGTTGCTTCTTCTCCTCGCTGCGCCCTATCCGCAAATGCGATTTCCAACCGTCATCGCCCTCTGCGCCTTTGTGCTCGCCTTTGCCGGCGCAGCATGGGCACTCACAGAAGAGGCGGCATTCCGCTTCGAGTCGTACACGCCAAGACTGGGATCGCCCGTCACTTCCAATACGGTGGCCGCCCTCCAACCTCGATTCCACCGCATCTTGGGACACACTTCACAGTCCGTCGAGGCTGGAAAGGCGCAGACGGCCCTCTTCTCAGTCACCGACGCAAACGTCGTCGGCGCAGTCAATCCGCGCAATGGAGCCATCGTCTGGCGACAGCACCTCGACAGCACAGTACAGGGAATGTGGCTCGATGCCGACGTCGCTTTGGTTGCCAGCGGCCAACGCGGTCAGAGGTGGCACCTCTTCCACGCCCTCACCGGATTCACACAATGGTCGCGTAACTTCGCAGAGACGCAGGCCAGCGTCAACACCTCTTCATCAGCGCCGCACATCGATGCCGCCTGGCTGCCTATCATTGAACAGGCTCGCTGGGATGTCATCACCCTCACAGACGGCGACACTGTCCGACGCATTGACACCGAGAGCGGCAAGGATTTGTGGCGATTCAGTAGACGAGAGAATGGCGAGGACAGCGCCTCTTGGCCATCATTTCGCGTCCTCACTTCCTCGTCCACCCATGTCCACGTCGTCTCGCTCACCAACAAGGGAGGGCTGCAACATCAAGTCCTTGCTGCTCAAACGGGCGTCCTCTTGGCCACCTCCCAGATCCCAGACGCATCTGTAGAGTCATCGGAGGACGTCAGCATCCTTTCCCTCAATCCGCGCGAGTACGCATCGGGCCAGAGCAGCACCGTACCGCCCGAGCCACACATCGTCTGGCGTCAGACTGACGGCACGCTGCGGTCAGTCGCACTGCCCCTCCCTCCCCTCGACGCCAAGACGTCTGCGACGAAGCTCGCCCAGCCACAATCGCTGAGCGCACGCAATACGGCCGACCCATACTCTGGCCTACGCGAAGTCAACATGGCCAATGAAGGTTACCTCGTCGCCACACGCGCTTCGGGCCGCGGCGAAGTGGTGCAATTGAAAAAGGAGCGAGGTGGACGCAAGCTCCTCTCGCTGTGGGAGTTCGAGGAAGAAGCGCTTGATGCCGTCTACGCAGGCAATTTCGACCGCAGAGGCTCCGCATACATTAATCGCGTCTACTTCTCCTCTTCACAACACCTTCTCAATTTTCACGTCTTCTGGGCCAATACCAACAATGACGAAGGACAAGTCACGGGCTTTTCCTTCAGATGGGACCATGACATGCACGGAGATGTCCTCGCTGCTCCATTCGAGGTGTCGCCCGTCTCTGCCTACCAGCTCGTCACGCGCGCAGGACTTGCCACGCGCTCAGGGGCCTTGCAGATGGTCCAGGAGGATAGACATCAGTGGATCAACGAGGAGGGGCTCACCAGCACGCAGCATGTTGCCTTTGTGGACCTGCCGAGGCGAGCGAGGCCTTCTGGATCAGACTTGAGCTCAGAAGAGGCGCTCCAGCTCTTGCAGAGGGAGGGCATCTTGGGCAGACTCGTGAGGCATGCTAATGCTGCGCGCTTGTTCCCCGCGTGGGTTGCGGACATGGCGCAGAAGGCACTTGCAGTCGCCCGAGGAGACAAGGATCTGCCCTCTACCACCACGCTTTCTGCTGCTGGTGCTGGCGCCGCTACGACCGCGTCGGCGTACGACGACCTGCCTCCTCCACCCGTACGAGCTGGCCTGCCCGCCAAGGACATCGCGCCTCCACCCAAACAAGCCCCCGCTGCAGCTGGTCTCACCAAGGCTGAGCGAACCAAGGCCATGAATCGCGCCAAGGTCGAAGAGGAGCAGCCAGTCGATTCCGTTGGGCCGCGAACGATCACTCACGAAGAGGCATCCGCTCGATACTTATCGGACAAGTGGGGTCTGCGGCAATTCATGATATCGGCCACAAAGAAGGGCAAGCTCTACGCACAGGACACCGGCGCCAAGTCACAATTTGTTTGGGAGAAGTCACTCGTCGGTTTCGGCACCGGAGAAGGCTCGCCCACGCCAGAAGTCGACGTCAAGTACATTGGCGTTGTTCGCGACCTGCAAGTCAAGGGCGGCAAGCAGCTCGATCCACTCATGTACGTCGTGGCAGAAGTTGAGGAACAAGGCGCGAAACTGTCGCAAGTCTGGGAGGTCGAGCCCTTAACGGGCGACTTTGTCGAGGGGGCAATGACAGGCAAGCCACTCTTTGTAGGCAGTGTGCGTCAAGTGCGCAAGCTCAAAGGACAGCAGGCCATTGCAGCGGTGGATGAAAGTCTGCAAGTCCATCTCTGGCCCCAGACGCCGGAGACTGCGCATGCCTTTGCCGCTCGTACCCAGCCCTTCTACTACGTCGACACGTCGCGAGACGAGACCTTGATCGGCTACGAGGTGCGCAGCAACGCCACGACCAATCTTCACGCACTTCAACAGACCTGGGCATGGTCACCTCCTGGCGACGAGCGCGTGCTTTCCACCCACTCGTCGTCTATTCTCACCGACGCGCCCATTGCCGCACTCGGTCGCGAGCTCAACGACTGGTTCCTCACCAAGATGCACAAGCTCCTCGACCCCGCCGCACTCGTCGTTGTGACACACTCGCCTTTGCGCCAATCTCTCGCCGTATACCTCATTGACCAATCCACGGGCAACGTCTTGCACTCGCTGATCGCGCCAGGCCGCGCCGACATCTCGCGAGGCGCGCATGTCACCTTCCACGAGAACTGGCTGACGCTCGCATATACGGTGCAGGACGGGCAAGGCGACGTCAATGGTGGCCGCGTACTGTCGATGGAGTACTACGACGCTTCCGCAGACGCAGAGCGCTCGCTCTCCAACTGGCTCGTCCGCGCAGTCGCGATCAAAGCCAATGTCAACTCCAAGGACGCCAAGGTATGTAATGCGTCATGCTTGAGCGACTTTCAAATCGACCTGCTAACACCGTTTCCAAATCTCGTTGCGCGTAGGCACGCGCCAAGGCAATCTCGCCTCGCTCCAAGCAGGTCAAGGCGTTCCACAAATCGTTCCTCCTGCCCGCCGACTTTGAAGGCGTAGGCAAGGCTGGCACTCACGTCACTGAAACGCTTCATGCCGCCGCAGACCGAGCGCTTCTCTTGGTCACGGGTACAGACGAGCTCGTCATGCTGCCCAAGAAGTTGCTCGACCCGCGACGACCGATGCCCAAGGGCTCGACGGCAAAGAAGCAAACGCGTGAAGAGGCGGACACGATGCTGCCCGTCTACGATGGTCTGCTCGGTTTCGATGAAAAGCGCGTCCTGACGCACTCGATCCATGTCCTTGGAGCTGCAACGGGCGCCACTGCATCGGGTGGCGCCGTCTTCTCGCGCCGTACCAAGCTCGAGTCGACGACCCTCGTTGGCGTCCACGGCCACGGCGTCGTCGATTCCTTCTTGACCAAAGTGACGACGGGTGGTGACTTTGATCTCCTGAGTGGGACTTTCAACAAGGTGCAGCTCATCGCGACGACGGGCGCGTTGGGCTTGGTGTACGCATTCACAAGGCCGCTGGTGAAGGGCAAGGGCTTGAAGGCGAGGTGGGGCTAATCGCCGCAAGACGCGCCTGACGCGCTGCAGGTCCCGGGGAGTTTGTCGGCGAGTTTGCGGGGCCCCCTTGCCGTGGAGAAAGGAAGCGCGCTTCATAAAGGAGACCGAATAGAATCGTTGTACGCCTACATCTTCGCTCCTTCCTTTTCTCTCGCTCTGCCAGTCTTATCTTCTCGTTCGCTCATCATGACGCAACGCATCGGCCTCACAGCGTCACAGAAATTCGCAGCGGCCGACGCTCAGTATGCTGATCGTCTTTCGACGATGTCAATGGAAGAGCGATCCATCCTCGGTCTTCCTTACCATGCCCTCGACCGCAAATTGATGCTTCAGCGTCTGCGCGCTCGAAAGCTTGAGCACGAATACAATCACTCTGCACCCGGTCCCTCATCAGATTCGATTGACCAGAACGGTAACATCATCTCGGGCGATCCGGAGGGCGAGTGGGACGATGTCACAAACGCCAATCGTCGACGAATCCTTGCTGATCTCTTTCACGTGACTTCGGACCGAGCTCGAACCATCAACTTCGAGCCTCCCATTCACGTCGACTTTGGCAAGAACATCGAGTTTCAAGGCAACTTCTACGCCAATGCAGGAGCTTGCATCTTGGACGTGGCCAAGGTCACAATCGGTCATGGGGTGCTCTTTGGCCCCGGCGTCCACCTCTACACGGCCACTCACAGCGTCAACTTGTCAGAGCGAGGTCCGGGCTTCGAGCGAGCGCTACCAATTGTCATCGGCGACGACAGCTGGATCGGAGGCAATTCATCGATTATGGCAGGCGTGACGATTGGCAAGGGCTGCACCGTAGGCGCGGGCAGTGTCGTCACGCGAGACCTCCCAGATTGGTCAGTGGCCGTGGGCAACCCTGCGAGGGTGATCAAAACTTTGACAGAAGAAGAGAGGGAGTTCAAAGTACAAGCAAAAGAAGAGGCACAGTGAGCGCCGTCCCGCGGCACCCTAATGAGGTCAGACTTTTACATGGTCCCAACTCGAACTTGCCGGCTTCTTCGAACGGCGTCATCCTTTACGGCGCCGAAGCCAGTTGGGAAATTAATGCTATCTTTCATGCCTGCGCCCGAGCCCTCTACGAAGGAGCTCGTGTGCCTCGATCGCGTAGCTATGAGAGGCGTTGTACGGTGACGCCGGCGACGTTGTTTTGTACATCGGTTAGGATGTAAAGACCCATGTGGAAGCCTGCGGAGCCGACTCGTCTGTACTTCAGATACGGCAATCTACCTTGGCGTCCGTCTACTCGTAAAGTGGTTACGCGCGCCAACTAGGTAGCGTCGATAATGCGCCTCATATTCTTGCGCTCTGTCCTCACCGTGTGTGCTCACTTTGGCACTCTAATCGTGGACGCCATCTTGATCTCCTCGTTCGCATCATGCTTATGAGGAGTTCTGCAGAATATGTGAGATACTCTCCGTCGGGCCACCGAATCACGGACGGCACTTTCAAGCCTCTGTCAACGATCCCGCTCGATGTCACACGCCGACTGGAATTGTTCCTCCTTGAGCTCGGCAGTGGCTTAGGGGCCCGTGCGTCAGTGTCGCAACACCTGTGGTTGATTGAATGGTTGACAGTCGGAGTCGATAAAGTTAGTGCCTAGCCAACCCCTAGTTCATCGAGACTGTTGGCCCGTTTACCCGTGCCATCTGCTTGTGTCGACTTCCAACAATCGCCTTGCTCAACCGGAAGATGGTGAATATTAAAGCGAGCCAGGGTGGCAGGAGTGCCTCTTGACCATCTTGTGTCACACTGAACGGCACGACACTCGCACTTCCCCCTCGCCCTTTGCGCGACCTCAACAATGCGCTTCATAACTCACTACCTCGTCACCGGCTCTATAGCCCTCGCGCTGATTTCTCTTACGGTAGCCGCGCCAGCTCAGCACGAGGCTCGGGGGACCAGCCAGCGAGGAGTGCAGCCTGAGAAGGTATCCACCTCCAGAGGCCACACGCAACACCCGCAACGTGGCTCGCATCCAAAGTCGAAGGGGGAGCATCCTCACCCTCACCCTCACCCTCACCCTCACCCTCACCCTCAACCAGTTCATCATCCCAAGATGCAGCATCCTCATCCCCGACCTGACCATCCTCATCTCCCGCCGAGCCCTCACCATAGCTCAACTTCTCCTACGCCTCCATCACCGACGAATACTTCACCCGCACCTGTGACGACGCCGGACCCTCCGGGCACATTGTCCTTCATTGATCCCGAAACGAACAAGCAGTCCGCCAAATTTCTTGGTGAGAAGTCGCCTGATAGCTCCATTGGCGAACTCTACGAGATGGACGCGGCCAATCCAGGTTGGACATTGGATTCTGAAGGACACCTCAATGCCCGTAGCGGCCGCAGCCTGTACACTCAAGGCATCGCCATCAGTCTTTTCGATCCGAGGGGCTACGTGCCCTACGCGTTAGGCCGCTACACCTGCGTCAAGACAGGAAGCACGACCCAGGAGCGCTTCGTTTTGGACTGCTCTGCTACAGTGCCCGATCGTGGCGTCGTGAACGCCTTTGTCATTTGTCCCGACAAAGATGTCGAAGGGGATAGCAGTGCCTGCCAGGGAGAACCCACCACGCAGTTCCTTCAGTTCACGCTGACCCCTCCGCTGGCGTGAAAGCGATGCATCTTGCTCGCAAGGTTGACGATAACTCTCGCGCCTCGATGATCAATTATTCTCGATGTCCAGCTCGCGCGGCCAGCTGACGCAATAGCATGTGACTTGACGATTCTGTAGTCAAACCCACAGCAGCGTGAGACTCATGCGAGATGAGTGAGCGGGACCTGAAAGCTTACCCCGCAGAGAAGGGGTCGAGCGGAGCGAATACACGGGATCGCTTCGATGTTCTTTCGGAGGTCCAAGCGCAGCGTCCCGTGAAGGCACCTACTTCGAGAACACGCGCGGGACACGGTCACGACAGCTTTGTGACTGGCGAATCAAGAATATAATGCAAGGTACCAGGCAGGCTACCATGTCTCGTCCTCCATCGATCTCACACTGTGCACGCCTCCCATCCCCACTTCCACGAAGCCGTCTCGTACCACTGTCTTTACCGAATCCACAAGCATGCGATCCTCGACGCTCTTCCTCTTTGCCTTTATGACTATGGCCTCCAGCACCATCGCCGCGTCTCGTCTAGATGGCCGCGGTCATGCTGGAAAGAAAGGTATCGGCAAACTTTGCCAGGCCGATGACATGTGCAAGTCTGGCTACTGTCGTGAGTTCAAGATTCAGCGCCCTGCCTGTTCGCTTGGCTGTTAAGCTGATGGCGTCAATGCTACCTTTCGGCAGATCGCGGGCAATGCAAGCCCCAGCGTGAAGCCGGCCATATCTGTCGCAAGGACAGTGCCTGCCTCTCGGGCAAGTGCAAGAACCAGACTTGCGCCGCCAAAGCTCACCCTCACCCATCGAGCCACCCTCACCCTGCTCCCACGGAGTCAGGCCACCCCACTCAACCCCCCGTCAAGAAGGATCCACCCACTTCTGGGACTTTGTCGTACGTCGCCGCTAAGGGAGAGCACGCTCAGCTACTCGGAGACGACGAAACCGACCTGATTGCATCATACCTCGCGGTCGTCAGCAAAGGTCAGAAGTGGAGCCTTGATTCCAAGGGTCAGCTCGTCAGCGAGAATTCCCGAGTCCTTTACACAGATGGCCAATTCATCGCCGCCCTTGCAACGCCATCCGATATCCCATACGAATCTGGACTTGCGGCCTACACTTGTGTCAACAGCCCCAGCTCTACTGGTACTCAAGCGGTCCTTGACTGCACAGCCCAAACGGCAAGAGGCGACGAAAGCTCGTTTGTCATCTGCAATGACAGCGCACTGAAGGACGTCGAGGCGGATGAGTACGCCTGCGGCGAAGTGTTGACGAGATTCACCCAATTGACGCTCTCCGTCTGAGGAAGCAGGCGCTCCACTTGTCGTCCTCGACTGAGATTCCCTACCTTTCAGCGCGAGGCTCAGGACTCACTGACGACCTCGCAGACCGCGCCTCTCTTTGCTGTTGCGCCACCTCTTTACTTCAATCGAAGCATGATGATGCGACCGGTTCTACTGCGTGAGAAAGATGCGGACTTGGAACATTAGCAGAGCTTGGCCACCGTCTGTGACGTCCACCAGTGCAAGCCTTCCCTCGCTAGACAGGAGGGGTCCGAGCGCTGCGGGATCGCATCGCTGTTTCTGTACAAGGCGGGACGGGGTTGCGCTCGATCCCTCATCGCCGGAGTCAAAAGCGGTACCACAGCCCGTCGATCGGAGTGGACCTAAGAGCGGGACAGATGTCTACAACACCACAGCTCGTCGAGCGCACTGAAGTGGAAGCGGGACAGATGTTCGATGGAAGTCACAGCGGGACAAGCGGTCAATGCGCTCCCGCGACGACGTCGCTTCACCAGACTTTAATTCTAGAAAGCATGAATGCGAATGCGATCATGCTGGGGCGCGTGACCGGCGAGCGAATCGCATATAAAGCCTCGAGCTCTCGTCGAAAGTCCAAATCCCTTCATCCCTCCCTCCATCCACGCCCATCAGCCCCAGCCCAGCCTCACAGATCAGAATGCGTTCCTCCATTATCTTCACCTACGTCCTTGTTGCCATGGCCTCGAGCGCCATTGCCGCTCCCAGCTTCGACCTTCGAGGTTCGAAGAAGGACATCGGCCAGCACTGCAAGAAGGATGCCTCTTGTGCCAGCGGCTACTGTCGTGAGTATGCCCCGAACGTCATGCTGAGCTCGACAAGGTCATTGACTTACATCACTGTCTGAGCGCTTGAAAAGATCGCAACAGATGTACGCCAAAGAGGAAGGCGGGCCATCAGTGCCGCAAGGACAGCGCTTGCCTCTCGGGCAAGTGCAAGAACGACGTCTGCGCAGCCAAGCACCCCCACCCGGCGCCTCATCCTCATCCTCATCCTCACCCTGCTCCGAAACCTCACCCTGGTCCGGCTCCAGGTCCAGCCCCTGGCCCAGCGCCAATCCAGGCTCCAAAGCAAGGTGTCTTCTCCTATCTCAACGACCAGCAGAAGCCAGGGGCTCTCTTGGGCGATGACCCTGAGGGTGCGCAAAGGCGGGGAATGGTCCCGTTCGAAGACCACACCATCTCCGATGTCACGGTCGTCGAGACAGCCCAAAAGTGGTACCTCAACGATGGCAACTTGATGTCGAGCATTGGCCGCCGTCTCTACACTGATGGCGAGTACGTCAAGACGATCAATGCGGATCGGACGGTGCCCAATGGCTTCGTGCCTGTCAAGTGCACGACTAGCCCAAAGTCAACCGCTGATACCGCTGTTTTGGACTGCAAGGCGTCAACTTCAAAGGGCACAGTCGAATCATTTGTCATCTGTGACACCGACGTCGTTCAAGCTAGCGCTTCTGCATGCGAAGGCAGCGTGGCCGCAGACATCCACAACTTCATCCTCGGGCCACCTAGAGCCTCGAGCCCAGCACCGTCTGACGACGCCTGAGTGAAGGGGCGAATAAGAAAGTGGAGAGTGATTACTCACTCTGACGATACCCTCGCTCTCGTGTTGCCAAGCCTGCTGCTTTACTTCAGGATCTGCGAGTAGCTCGGGCGGCTCGATCCGTGTCTTGATACTAATTCCACACACCTGTAGGCTGATGCGTTTTTCTAGCTCAACTTCTCGAATGAAAGTTCCTGTCTCGACGATATCTCTCCACGCTTTCAATGGTCAACCCGTGAATGAGACTCAATTTCCAGCTCTATCGCATGAATCTACCACGGCAGCACTACACCCTCCTTCTCGACGTAGCTGGCAGTCTTGGCTTTGGGATCGAGAACGGCGTGCGAGATAGCGTGAGCGCCTACTTCGACGGGTTGGTGTCCAGAATGACCATTGAAGGCCGTGCTCGTGTAGCCTGGGTCGACCGCAACGAATTTGACGTCGGGATACTGCTTTGACATGATGGCTGTCACCCCATTGAGAGCTGTCTTGCTCGAAGGGTAGACAAGGGCGGTCATGCCGTGAAAGGCCCAGTTGGGGTCAAGCTGGTTCTGGATTGAACCCAAGCCGGAGCTCACCTGCGAGATGCGAGTGCAGGAGCTTAAGATGAGCTTGCGTGCTGAGGGGCAAGCTACACGCCTGTACTCACGTTGACAACCCTGGGCTCCTTTGACTTTCGAATGGTCTCAATGAGGGCATAGGTCAGAGCTGCAGTGCCAAATACGTTGGTCTCGTAGACGTTGGCAAAATTCTTGCGGACGGCAGCAGGCGACGTCGACTCCTGCATATCGCCGAGAATGGCGCCGTTGTTGATGAGGATGTCGAGCTTTTCAATCTTGTTGCCTAGTGCCTCAATGGAAGCATCGCTTGCAAGGTCGATGATGACGGGCTCGAGCGTATTGCCCTCAGCCGCATACTTTTTGAGGTCTGAGCAGGCCTTGTCAGCCTTCTCCTGCGATCGTGCCCCGACATAGATGTGAACCGAAGGTGGGTGATTTGGCAGCGTGGCCTCGCGAGCGAGAAGCTGCTGAGCAACAGTGTGGCCCAAGCCTTGGTTCGCGCCTGTGATGAGAATGTGCGTGGCAGACATTGTAAACGGAAAGTGGGTCGATGTAGCGCACAGTAGGTGCGAGGAGCGACAATAAGTAGTCGATCAAGACATCTTGGCCGCCGACCTTAGCGCCGAAAGTGCACGGACATTCGATGGACGCAGAGTTACAGCCGCGGTTTCGATCGATCGGGGCTGCATACCGCCGCAGATCTGCATAATCCCAGACCCTTGTGGTCCCTCAGCTGACGCTGAGCTGATTCGTGAGGTCAAACTATGTGCACACAGACACGACCTGCAACCGAAAGGCACGATGTAGGGAGATAGTGCGCGGACTCGCAAGAACATAGCTTCGGCGAAACAATGGACGCTTCGCTCAGACGCCAGCGCCAGCACCACCCATGGCTCTAGCCTTCCTATCAGCGCCCCTCGTTCTCTGCTCGTTTCCTCGCTGCTCTTTACGTCGAGCAGAGCGATCATTGCCAGAGTGACCTGCACCTGCCTTGTGACCACCACCTCCACCGCGCCCACCTCCTCGTGGTAGCCTGCCTCCCCTTCCACGATCAGGTCCGAAGCTGCGTCCACCCTGCCCTTCTTCGTCTCCCTCAGCCAGCCTGCGATTGGTGTTGGGCTGCAACATCGCTCCTCCTCCCCCGCCTGCGGCCATGAGCAGAGCGTCCTTCCTCGGATTGCGCTCAAACATTGTGCCCCAGCTCTCGACGAGTGAATCGTCCCACTTGCGACCCGTGCTGCGCTCCAGATCGGCGAGCAACGCCTTGCGAGCGAGTGAGCGCCTGACTGCCGCGTCGTTACGCGCGAAGAGTGAAGGGCCATTCGATGAGTAGGCAAGAATCAGGATGCGCTCGCCTGCACGCTCTGCGGCAACCGTAGCGGCGCCACCTCTCTCTGCGCTCGGTCCTTGCGGTAGCGCCGCATCCGACCCCTCATCCGCAGATGACGAGCCGTCGTAGCTTCGCTCGCCTCTAGCGCTGTAGCCCCGCCCCTGACCTGATCGAGCGGCATTGTCTTCATCCTCATCGGCATCCAGCTCCTCCTCGAAGCCTGCTTGCCTCACTCCGACCAGACGCTTCTCCTCTTCTGCAAAAGGGTTCCACTCCTCCTTGGCAGCGTCTTGTTCGGCGTCCTGTGCCTGCACGTGAGCGAGGATAGCTGCACGCAAGGAGGGCGAAAGCTTGCCTGTGCTTTTTGCCGTTACCGCATCATCCCCTTCAAATGCGCCGGCATAGCGAAGTCGAGTGGCATCCAGAGGCTGATTGTCGAAGATGTTGGCACGGCGATTGGCAGGTGTGATGATAGGCGCAGGAGGTGTTGGAGGCGATGCGGCCCTCTGGCCTCGTTCGTCTTCGTCTTCCGCTTGATCGAGCCCTGCGCCATCGAGCAACATTTCCACGACTTCTTCCCCTGACTTGCCCCGGAACATGGTCCGAGCGAGGCTTGTGCGCAGCTTCGCCGGGTCCGCAGCCAGATGTGGGAGAATGGTCTCAACGGTGGCAAGTAGCGAGGCTGGTACTTCGTACGAATTTGCGTCGTCTGCGCGTCTTTTGCCTTTGCCGTTCGCGGTAGCCTTTGCAACGTCAAGCGCTTTTTCAGCTGCTCTAGATTGCTGGCTGCGTAAATGCGCCTCAAGAGTCTTCCAGCCCCGTCCTCTGCCTTGGAGATTCGACGTATCCGCCGTTCCTCGTGCGCTTCTGTGAGCCTCCTCGAGCGCGCTGTGCGCTCTGACAGTATCGCTTTGCTCCTCGCCATCAATCGTTTCCAACGCTTTGCGTACACGCTCGACAATAGCCGACTGGACGACAGCGAGGTCGCTAAGCAAAGAAAGGTTGACAAGAGCCTCTCCTGACGCCGTTGACGGGGACGCCTGCTGATCCATTTTGAGAACGATTCGAGCAACTTGATGAGCACCATTTGCTTCACTGAGTACTCTTTTCAGGAGAGCAGTGGCACAGTCGAGGAGAGCTACCTTTGTAGCCATAGACGAGACGTCAGCTCCAAGGCGAGCGTACGCCGCTGTGAGTACCGGCGCCAGCTGGTCGACTAGAGACGAAGAAGCGGCGCTCTCCGAAGCGCCACGCCTCTGCTGCTGCGGACGACCCAAAGAGCTTGGAGCTGGTAGAAAAGAGAGGAGTGCTGCAGTAATACGTGCAGCTCTGAAGACTTGGGCGCTGCTGCCTTTCTGCTCTTCGTCGGACTGGCGCAATGCCTGGATCGAGGCAAAGATCATGCCTTCCGCCCCTGAAATGTCTATCACGAGTGGGACGAGACGCTTTGTGCGAGCAGCCAGGCTGGCATCAGGCGTGCTGCTTGCGACGACGGCCAGATTGAAGACGACGTCGGGCGACGGAGCCAGGCGACGTACCAGGGTGGGATCCGAGCTGTGCGACTAGGGACACGAAGCAACAGGGCAGGTCAGCGGCTGCAGTGTACGCTTGATACTCGCCCGTACTCACAGCTTCCTCGAGGATGCTGAGTATTGCAGCAAAGTTGGCAGAGGACACGACTGGCCTCTGCCCCTCTGAGGCGACGTCAGCTAACGCGTTGTGAGCGAGACTGCGCAAAGCCTGGCAGATGGCTCTGCCCACATTGGGCTGCTGCAGGATGAGAATCGTCAACCCATCAGCGCCAATCTTGGCAAGAGCGTCGATGACGGCCGTCAATGGTGGCGGCGGAGATGGTAATTGTGCCATGCTCGAGATATACGAGGGGGACGAAGAAGGAAAAGAGCGTAGGTTGCACGGAACGACGGCCTCTTCCGCACGCAGACGACCTCCTCCACTCCCGCTCGCGCTCCGCAAAGGCCCACGCAAATCACCTCTCGCCCTCGCTCCGTTGCAAAGCCATTGTATTGTCATGAAGCTGTAAGAAGGGACGAGTGGGCGATAGAGAGGAGCCTTACTAGTGAAGGCGTTCGTCACGTTCGTCTTGATTATGTGCGTGGGAATGGAGGTAGGGATGTGGCACCAACAATAGAAGAAAGGGTACGAGACAAACCTGATGAGTCGGGAAGACATGTACGAAGAAGAGAAAGAAACGTGAGAGTGAGGGAGAGATATGGCGGGCGTCACGGACGCGGAATGGTAGAGAAGAGTCCTTTTCATCTCGCAGACGTGCGCCCTCTTATCCCTTGTTCCAATTGGAAGCGACGTTGCTCGAACGAGGAGGCGCCTTTTGCTTGACCTGTACGGGCGAGCCAGGATACTTGGACGCAGGCGCATTGCATCCTTGCGGGTTAAGACGATTGCGAGGCCAGTTTTGCTGGTAGCCACCCTCAGGAGCCGTCGCACCCCAGAGCGTCAGGTTGGCGTTGGTGTAAGCAGCCTGATGGCGGTTGATGTAGTCCTTAGTGGGGAAGTCGGGAGGGTCGCAGCCGACGTTCTCTTCGCCCTCGGGCTGGTAGACGCGTACCCAGTCGACGGACATGGTGTTGGGCCAGGTAAGCTGGTCCCAAACCGGGTTACCGAAGTTCTGCGAGATGCCCAAGTTGAAGATGATATAGAGGGGCTCCTCGGGGAAGGGGCGACGATCGATCTGCGCAACCGGGTCGGGCTCCATAGCCTCGTTGTTGAGGCGCCATGACGGCTTGCCGCCGGAGACCCACTCGATGTAGCCATTGTTGCCGGCCTGATACTCGAAGCCGTATTCCGCAAACTCGCCGTTGCCGCCCTTCTCGACGGCCTGCTGAGGTGTATTGCTCACACCAGACGTCGACTGCTGCGTCAGCTCTCCTGTGTAGACGTTGTAGTGTCCACCTTGGAAGAACTCGTACGCCGGACCCGACGTGTTGGTGACCTTGTAGTACTGGTTGAAGGGCGCCCACTGGCCCGACTGCGACACTGTCATCTCGCCGCCGCCGACTTGAGCCTCAAAGACGTCAATTTCGGGGGCAGCTCGGCCTTTGTAGTCGCCATTGGCCTTCTTGGGACCAGGGTGATCGTCGCCGGGGCAGGTGCACGCAGAAAGGCGCTGTCCAGTGAGGAAAGAGAGAGCATTGGAGCCGTGCTTCTTGTTGAAGCCGACGGCACCACCAGTTTGAGCTGCGACCGGTTCGCCGTCAACGGTCGTCTGGTTCTGAAGAGTGCCAACGTCACACGAGTCGTAGCTGTAAGGCCAGGTACCCTCCAGAGTAGCACCGTATCCAGCGCGACCCAGGTTGCCCATCAGCCACTGCGAGCGGGCGAAGAGCGTGGGGTGAGGAGGGGGAGGTTAATACTGCTCCTTGCTTTTGTCTCTGCTTGTCTAGGCGCGTACTCACGAATGCGGGCCAAAGACCGGCGACATCAGCACGACCGGGGAGACGGACCGATGCTGAGACGTAACCACCAGTGAAGCAGAATTTGTTCCAGCTCTGGATCATGCCGCCACTAAGAAGAGACAGGGAGGAAGGGAGGGAAAGGTCAGACGTGCTATTCGCGCTTGAGCTTGGCCTCTCGCCCCACGTCCGCCCATGCTCACCGGAAATTGAGATTATGCTCAGGGTGCTCCGAGAGGGTGAGCTGCAGCGCCCCATTGGCCGTAGTGACGCCCGCTGGATCGTACCACTCATAATTGTTGGTTCCCCAGTAGTGAAGGTCGACTGCCTCCCAGAACGGATCGTCATTGGGGTAGAAGGAGCGTCCATCGACGTTGAACTCATCGGAGAAGACGAGATTGTACTTGCGTCCGTCGACGAAGCTAGTACGAGTGAGGGCGTCTTGCGGAGTGTCTGGGTCAATGAGACCAGTCCTCATGCCAGAGAAGCTGGCAATCTGGCCAGAGGCGTTGGTGCCGCCGAGATTGAAGCCGCTTTTGTTGCCGCCATTGTCGCGCGTGAAGTAGCTGATGATCGGGTAGCCTGCAAAGAGGGCAAGAATACCACAGCCAAGAATGACGAGGGCGCCGATGTTGCAGAGGGCACGAGTGGGGAAGCCGCCAGAGACAAAAGACCCTCGCCCGTCGTCGCGCGGGTCGTGAAGATAGTCATCAGGCTCGGGTTGGCCCTACGCAGGGCAGAGCAAGATGGTAGGCGTCGTCAGCAATTGCTGTACTCAACACATGCGTTGGGCACACTCACATCCTTAGTGTCCCATGAGTAAGGGTTGGCGTCGATGGCAAAGCCTGCAGCCTTGCTCTCCTTGGAGTACTCGTTGCCAGACCCGACGACGGTCGAGCTAGGCGTGCCATTGTACGAGACGGCGGGCAGACCGTTTCCTCGCGGGTTGAGCTTGTCGCTCAGCGAGGTCACGCCCGTTGAACGACCACTGGAAGGAGCTCGACCCATAGGTCGCTGCGGGAACAAGGACAAGAAAGGAGCGGACCTTAATGAGCTTCGATCATCACGAGCCGCTTGTGCCGCGTGTATGCGCTCTGCCCACTTACCCTGTAGCCGGAACCAAATCCAGGGTTCATCGGGTTCGCGTAGTGACCTTCGTGCGATGACTGCTCGGTGGCACCTCCTGTGCCTGTGTTGAGGAGACGCTGCTCCGCAGATGCGTTGCTGCTGTTGTTCATGTGCGATTCTGATGAGCCAGGAGGGAAGGCTGATGCCATAGACCCGTGCGGCGAGGTGGATGCCGACATGAGACGACGTCAAGGGAACTGACGAGGCAGGCCGTATGCGGAGAAGTTGAAGAGGATGATTGAAGCAGACGGGATCAGACCGGCGACTTGAGCTTCAAATAGATCGCGTATGCTGGTGGCGATCCAGAGGTGGGATAAAGACGAAGCTATGCTGCAGTAGTGGTGGTGGAAGCGGTGATGGTGATGATGATGATAATCTGTCGAGATGTTCAGATGATGCTGGCCCTTCCTCTGACGACAAGGGGATGAAAGAGGAAGAGACGGGTCGAGAAGAGAAGGGCGAGATTGACGAGCGACGACTGAACAGAATAGACGTGGTGGTGATTGCGCCTCTCGCATTCGAAAGGCCACACTCGCCCTTCGCCTGCCTCTCGTCGTCGAATCGTTGGCGTCGACCTCGCTCTCGGCCAGGCAAAGGCGTGGCGGCCGGGGTCCAACCCCCTTGCCTCTGCTTGAAACCAGCTTGAGCCACGTGGCGGTGTTCCGCGCACCGCCCTCCCCCCGCCTTCCGCCCTCGCCCCTGAGCGGGCGAGCGAGCGAGCTAGCCAAAGTGGCCGCCTTCATTCTCGACGCGAGGCGGTCACGGTCAATAAAGTCACGAATGCGAGGTCAAGAATGAAGTGGAGAACACTTCACGGTCAATAGGTCATGGTCAATAGGTCACGAATGCGACGTCGAGAATGAAGTAGAGAGGACTGAAAGATGACTTCGATTGAGGTGAGACGCACGATACCGAACATTGAACCGCGTCGCTCAGGAGCCTCCGGGGCAGCTCGCCTGTTTATTCAGGACCAGCCGCCTTGACGTCCGCGTCAACGTCGTCCTCGTACTTGGTGAAAGCCTCCTTGAACATGCCAGCGAGCTTGGTGAGCTCCGCATTGAAGCCCTTGTCGTCGTTCCACGCCGTCCTGCTGTGGAGAAGCTCCGAAGGAACTCCGGTGACCTTCTTGGGAATCTGAAGGTTGAACGTCTCGAACTTCTCGAACTCGGCCTGGGCCAGCTCGCCCGAGTGAATCGCATTGATGATGGCGCGAGTGTACTTGAGCGGGCAACGCTTGCCCTTGCCGAACTTGCCGCCAGCCCAGCCGGTGTTGATGAGCCAGCAGTTGGCCTTGTACTTCTCCATGCGTTCAGCCAACATACGAGCATACACACGAGGCGCAAGCACAATGAACGGCTGGCCGTAGCAGGTGGAGAAGGTGGGAGAGGGCTCAGTTACGCCCGTCTCTGTTCCAGGCGTTTTGCTACAAAGTGATTAGGCGGGGTCCGAGGGGTCAAGTAAGTGAAGGCGGGACAAGGAGCGCGTTGGTCAGCAAGTGATAGCGATCAAATCTGCACAAGAAAGTGTGCTCTCTCTCTCTTTTTGCGTACTGACCTGGTGTATCCAAGGATGAAGTGGTACTGAGCTTGAGCCTCAGACAGCTTTGAGATAGGCGGGAGCACGCCGTACGCGTCGCAGGTGAGGAAGATGATGTTCTTTGGGTGGCCACCGATGCAGGGGATCTTGGCGTTGGGGATCTTCTCGATGGCGTACGCACATCGCGTGTTCTCGGTGAGCTTCGAGTCGTTGTAGTCGGGAATGCGCGAGCTCTTGTCGTACGAGACGTTCTCGAGGATGGAGCCGAACTGGATAGCGTTGAAGATCTCGGGCTCATTCTCCTTGCTGAGGCCAATGCACTTGGCGTAGCAGCCGCCCTCGATGTTGAAAACACCATTATCCGACCAGACGTGCTCGTCGTCACCAATCAGGTGTCGCTGAGGGTCGGCAGAAAGCGTCGTCTTGCCGGTACCAGAGAGACCGAAGAAGAGACTGACATCGCCGTCCTTGCCCTCGTTAGCGGACGAGTGGAGGGAGAGCTGGCCGAACTTGACGGGCTGCAGGTAGTGCATGACCGAGAAGACTCCCTGCGCGAGGACCAAGGCGGCAAAGAGTGGTCAGCGTCACGGCAATGAGCAGAAGGCTTCTTGGTGGCCGCACTCACCTTCTTCATCTCTCCAGCGTACTCGGTACCGAGGATGACCATCTCGCGACGCTTGAAGTTGATCTCAACGGAAGTCGACGAAGTCATTCCGGCGGTGAAACGGTTGGCAGGGAACTGGCCGGCGTTGTAGATGATGAAGTCGGGCTCGCCAAAGTTCTCGAGCTCCTCGCGAGTGGGGCGGATAAGCATGTTGTGCATAAAGAGGGCGTGGTAGGCACGGGCGCAGATGACTCGGACCTTGATGCGGTACTTGGGTTCCCAGCCAGCGAAACCGTCGAAGACGTAAATGTCCTCGCGGGTGTTAAGATAGTCGATGGCACGCTCGCGGTTGATCTCGAAGGTGTGCCTGCGGAGAGCGTAGGAGTCAGGAACCGAAGCTCGTTCACGCTATCGCCAGTCCCTCGCGCCACTCACTCGTCCATCTTGATGTTGACGGGACCCCACCAGACGTGGTCCTTGGAGGTCTCCTCGTAGACAATTCGCTTGTCCTTGGGAGAGCGACCGGTCTTCTTGCCAGAGAAGTTGATCAGGGCGCCGTTTGATGCAATGACGGCTCCCTCCTTCGAGATGGCATCTTCGTACAGAGCGGCGACAGAGGCGTTGCGCTTCAGGTGGCTGTGAGAAGGGGGAAAGGCAGGGAGAGAGAAATGTGAGCTTGAGCCTTTGTTGTGGTGTGCGAAGCATTTCAACATTCGTCACCAGCGCCTACTCACATCTTGTCCATGTCGAAGCCAGCTTCGGAGAAGAGCTGGAGACCCTCGCGCTTGAGGAGCGAGTACTCGGGGTTGGCCGAGTTGGGCAGCTCATCGTGATGGTTGCCAGGACTAGTCATTGCTGCGAGGGTACGACGAGAAGGAAGCAGTGCAAGTTCAGCGTCTGCAACTAGTGACAACTACGGAAGTGGTCGCTTGTAGTCCTATCATGGCTACTCACTGGATTAAAAGAGCTTTGTTGGATGGGCTGAAGGGATGTGTGGAGACGAAAGTAGGAGAATCGCAGTGGTGTCAGAGGAGACGGCTCTTGAGACACGATGCGGGGAGCAGGCAGACTGATTTCGCAGCATCATCGACGTCGACGTTGAGTGTCGCAGCACCCGTCAATTCCCGTCCGCTCCAGGCCGTCAGGCCGCCCGACACCCACGCCCTCCCTACTTCCGGTTGTCGGCTTCCCCCTCGCTCCCCCCCGCAACCAATGACGTTCCGCCGCCCGCGATCGCCGGTGGGCGTGAGCCACCGACACAGAGGAAGGCACTCGCGACGAGGGCGCAAACGCAAGCCACCCTCACTTTGGGTCACACCCCCGCACCCGCTCGCGATGCATGTGACAGGGCTGCGATGGCCATCCTCCCCGCAGAGAGAGAGAGTGACCAATGAGATGCCGGTGAGGGCGATCAAGAAGGCCACCACCAGCTACTGACACTGCGATGCCGCGATGCCACGATGACACGATGACACGATGACGATGCCACTAATGATGTCGTCGATGGCCGTAAAGACTGCACTGCAACACCCGTCCGTCAAGATCGCAAAACAGTCACCTGACGCAGTCGTCGTACACTCACAGATATAATGCGACAATCTCTGCTGGGAGAGTGTTTCTATCGGTGCGAGTGCGAGGAGCGAGATGAGTGGTGGTAGAAAGGAGAGGAAACGACAGCGACAGGAAAATGAGATGCTCGCATTTCCAATGCATCCCTTGCCTTTTATTCAATCATGGTTGACCTACCACAGCTGCGCTGCCTTCTTCCCTACCCCCACATCGTCCATGGTCACAGGGTGCCCTGTGCGTCTCTTCTCGGGCGATCGCGGGGCCGGCTCAGCCCGTGGGTCCAGTCCACAGCCCGCCTCCTCCTTGCTCCCACTAGCCGCACCAAGCTAGCTAGCCCTCCTAGCCAGGGTCGACCGTCGTCCCCGCATAGAGGTGCAGCAAGCCCTGGATCGACGACGATGAGCACAACCCGGCCTCTTCCGATCTCTCGTCCTACTCTTCGTCTCAAGCCGTCGTCTTCATTATCGGCGACCGATGTGATTGTGCTTCAATCCCGTCGGCATCAGTGACTGAACAAGCGAGCGCAACAGGGGCGTGACAGAGTGGTATCGATTGAGAAACTATACAAAGTTTGAGAGAAGAGGGGCAGAGAAATAGCACGCGCCCGCTAGCCAGTCCAATGATTGCACCGCAAGTTGAGCGCGACCCTCGGCGCCCTCACGGCCTTGCAGTCAAAGCAAGCCCTTTGCCCTCTTCTCCCTGATGAAAGCGCCCAGGTCCTTCACAACGGCACCGAACCCTGCACCAGTATCGGACTTGGTTTGCCCGCGTATCCACGCAGGCAGACGATTGCGTATATCTTGCTTCCCGTACCGGCCATCCAGGAGCAGGAGAGCCGCAAAGTCTCCTTGGTGACGAATCGCTCTGCCGATGGACTGATTGACAGCCTTCATGCACAGATTGATGTAGAGCTCTCGACCGGCGTCAGAGCCTGGCTTGCTCAGAGTGTGAGTTGCTGCCGTTTCCTTGACGTGCCTCATCCTCTCCTTGAGCTCAGCACTTTGCGAGTTTGGGAAGGGCATGCCTACCATGACGACTGCACGGGCTAGTCGATCGCTGAAATTGATGCCTTCAGACAGTTTGGCGCCAACGACGGCGAGGAGCAAAGAGCCGGTCACGGTGCTCGACGCTGAAGCCGCAGCATCAATGGCATCCGAGTACTGCCGCAGCGTAGCGTCGACCTCGCTGGCTAATTTGGGCTCAGTAAAGACACGCTTCCTCGCCTCGAGTCGCTTCCAGAGGCCTTGCTCCTTCCACCTCGCCACCGTGTCGTCGAGAAAACGATACGATGGCAAGAAGACGACGATACCGTGCGGCACGATAGCGGCAAAGTTGGCAAGCGCGTTGCCCAAGTCGTCGAGCAGATGCACGTCGTTTCGATTGCCAAATTTGAAGTCGAAGGGCATGCCGCGTGGTCCAGAGGCCACGACGGAGCAGAACAGATTCGACGAGGGGACGATGTGGCCGCATGAGAAATGGGACCAGCGGTGAGCGCGGAGAGTAGGAACGAGCTGCAGCCGTACATCTGAGATGGGCTCCATTGTCCCTCCCGCGAGAATCACCGCGCGCGCTTCGTCTACGATGGGTTGGAACGCTTCGCTGGGGTTGAGCAGCTGGTACTTGAGTTGGACAGCAGGAGGGCGACCGTCGACATGGCGGAGTAAAGTGAGGAGAACTCGCCCATCTTGTGTACGATTGGACAGCGAGAGGAGAAAGGACTCAATGGAGTGCATGGACGAGATGGCAGAAGGGCGCAACGCCACGTCTTTCTTGCTGGTCTCTTGCTGGTTCGCGACCTCAGCCTTAGCTGCTTGCTTCTCGGCATACCCGCTGACTTTCCTAGCAATCTGGCCCTCCTTGAGGAAGCGCTCCAGCTGCGCAAAGTTGATGGTATCGAGATTGCCGCCGAGCTCGCTGATGACACGGGCTGCGGTCCACACCTCCTCGTCTTGCGCGCCAGGCGTCGACGCTTTGGTCTTTGTCTTGCTTTGCGCCCACCTGCTGCAAAGCTTCTCGAGGCCATCAAGAAGGCGACGCAGCGTGCGAAGGTGGACCTCAGAGTCGCCGCGCAGCCTGCCCCCGAATCGACGAAGGTACTCTTCGATCTGACCCTTTGCGACTGTGAGCTGCGTCGAATTGATGAAGCAAGTATGGACGGCGAGCACCGTGTCGATGAGATTGTGCGCCTCGTCAACCAGAACGATTGAGCCCTTCAGCGAGATGCCCAGCGTTTCTCTGGCCGTCTTCTGCAGGAGCAAGCTGTACGGCAGCGTGACCAGCTCGGCTTGCCTGGCGCTCGTCCTCGCTGCATAGTAGGGACACGTCTCCATGTCCTTGCCCATCTCGACGAGATCCTCGATGTCCTTCACCGATGCCATGGCTCGATCCCTGAAGTCGAGCACTTTCGCTCTGCCCGCCTCATCCAAGGGAGGCAGGAACTTGCAGCGTTGCTTCTTTGACGAGACAGCGTCTTTGCACGCCTCATTCATGGCTTCGGCCCCCGACTTTGCGCCGACCTTTTGCACCTTTTCGTTGATGCACATCTGCTTGCGACTGCCTAGCGGGATGACTCTAGCGGGGCCTTGCGTTTCCTCTGTTGCATGCTGCACGTCGGTGTATTCGCTCAACATTACGTCCTTGCCGAAGGCCGTCTTCTTGAGCTCGGCGACAAATTGGCTCAGCTGCGAGTGCGTGCGAGAGACATAGATGACTTTGGGCATCGTCTCGGGCAGCTCATCCACCTCGCTGTTCCTGCCGCCGCCTGACGAGAATTGGGCCATCAAGGCCCGTACAGCTGGCGTCAAGTTGGAGTCCTCGTCGCCATGACCTGAGGAGCCAAGGCTGGAGAGAGAGTGCCATGAAGGGCGAGGTTGGGTGGACGTAGAGGGCAAGAAGGCATCATCACCACCCTCATCACTGTCGTCTTTGTCGTCGCCGCCTAATGCCCCGCCATTGTTACCATCTGCCATGGCCGTGCGCTGCTTTTTATGTACAAAGCTCGACGCCCCTTGCCTTGCTGCCTCTTCCTTTGCCCGTTTCCTCAGCTCCGCTTCCTTTCTCCTAACCATCGCGATGCGTTCCTTGAGATCCTCTTCAGCCCTCATTGCATCCTTTTTGCGTCGCTCAGCAGCCTGCTTGAGCACCCAAGCTGGCTCCCGCGGCTCTTTGGTGGACAAGGCTTGACCATCTTCGGACGCGGCCTTGTCCTGCTCCAGCTCGTCGTCCTGCCATTGCGCTGCTGTCCTCTGTGCATTGGCTCGCAGCCACGTAAAAGTTGCACAAATGAGACTGAGCGACTTTCCCGTGCCCGTGGGACTCTCAAAGACGGCCACCTTGCGCTCCTCGATCGCCTCAAAGAGGGCCGTCATGAGATCGAGCTGGATGGAGTAAGGCTGTGCATAGGGGAAGGAGAAGGCGGCTCCACTTCGCTCTGGTGTGGGCAGCAGCACTCCACGATCAGATTCGGGCAGAGGCTCTGCAGCCATCTTCCCCGTGATGGCGAAGTCGGTGTGAAAAAGACTGGTAGGACAGGGAAGCAAGCAACCGCTGCGCTGCCCTCAACCAACACACGGCGCATTTCAACGCCAGTCCGCCATCCGCGCGCTCCACACACGCGTCCGCGTAAACGACATGTGAGCCTCACGCGAGTCACGCATCATGATATCGAGAGAAGATCGTTTGATTAGGTTGCCCTTTGGCTCATCCTGACAGTGGCAGCCCACAAACATCACAGTCCGACGAGCCTGGCGCATTCTCAAAGGTGCAATGAGGGCAGGCAACCATCGACGGCGCCGCCGCGGCCGCCGGTGGTTGTGGTGGAGCAGCAGCCGGCGCAGGCGCAGGCGCAGGAGCTGTTCGAGTCGAGGTGGAACTGCGCCCGCCTCTTCTCTCTGCACTCACTGCGCTCGTAGCATCTTCGAACGCATCATCATTTGCGTCCTCGAATCCGCCGACGCTACCCCCATCGTCGTCGTCGTCGTCGAGATCTTCAAAGTTCATGTCCTCATCGTCTGAGCCGGTATAGGTGAACTCGTCGGCTGGAGCAGAGGTACTGGTAGAAGGCGCAGCTGTGTCGTTTCTGCGCATCGGCGTGCGTGAGCTCGAAGCAGCAGAGGCTGGTGGCTTAGAGGACGAAGGCGCGGCGACAGCAGCACCGCCATCGTACCCTTCCATAGCCTCTGGCGGGATATAGTCGTCGCCTGCATAGTCGCCCATCACTTCGCCACCTCCTCCACCTCCATTGCTGTTGCCTATTCCATTCGCAACGTTGGCCCTCGCAATGGCGATGAGATTCTTCCACCCTGCCCGCTCGCGCAGCTCGTCGAGAGCTTTTCCCTCATCATGGCTGACCGCTACGCGACAGAGGGCCTCGACGTCCTTGGGCTCGAGCATGTCGCTGCTGTCGAGAAATGCGACAAGGTGCCAGTCGCTCAGCACGCCTACCAGCTTTTGCCTCTTCATATCAGCGTTCGCCCCCGCGTCCAGGTCCTCATCCTCGCCGCCGATTGCACTCGCAATCGCCGCCAGCGCCTTGTTGAGGTCCTGATCGTGTAGACCCGGCCTGTTTTCGATTGCAAAGGGCGTCGTCGACAGGAAACGTGGCGAAGGTTGTGTGGGGAAACCATTGGTCAAGGTGACTAGGAGATACTCGACGGGAAAGGTAGGCTTTGCCGATTCCTTGACGTCGATCTTGTACTCGTTCTTGTAACGATAGAAGACCTCGGGAACGTATCTCTCCCCTTCGCTCGGCTTGACCCGCACAATTCCCGGGCTCACGCTCGCCTCAATCATGTCCGTCTTGACCATCCCCACTCCTTGCTCACTGATCTGGTACGCAGAAACGTCGATTGCTCCCTCTTCTGTGCCGCTCAAGACGCAAGTAACAAACTTGCTGCCGAAGCGTCCCGTCATGCTGTGTCTGCTCGGATTGGAGTTGGCTGCTTGCAATTGGGCGGCGAAAGTCGTCTCGAGAGAGGAGATGAAGAAGGAGTCCTTGTGGCGTTTGCAGAGGACGAGGCCGGCCTTGGATGGGTCTGTGAACGTTGGATCGGCCGGTGTGAGGTCGGTGTAGATCTGCCCGACGACCTGTAGGCCACAGGCTGATGCGAGACGCTCCACTCGTGCTTGGTCCTCCCATGGCACCCCCAGAGTCAAGCCGTCTGTCTCTCCCTCCTGAGGGGGCTCATGAATGGCCTCGACGACTGCCTTGATGCCCATTGGCACCACCTCGTACGGCTCATAGTGGCCAAGGAGGAAACCATACCGTTGTGTGCCTGTCGCCCTCCAGAATGCGAGGAGATTCTCGATGAGTTGTGGATGTGAGAACTCGACATGGTCGACCATGCGAAATTCTTGAGATTGGAGGGTGATGGCTGATGGCTGACATTTGGTACAGATGCCCGCTGGCCAAGGAGGGTGCTGGCCTGAAGGGCAAGGTACTCGCACGCTGTAGTTAGGTTCCTCGAGTGGCGGTATGTACGTCTGCGCTGGCTTAGAGGCGTTTGTGGCGATGTTGAGCTTCTTGAGGTAGGCGTGAAAGGAAGAATGCTTGATGTTGTTCTCGGCGTGATACTTGGCGTCGTATGGCTGACAAAGGGCAAAGAGATGGGTGCGTCAGTCTGTTGAGCGCATCGGTCTACGGCTCTCGGTTGCCATTGCTCACTTCGAGAGGCATGCAGTAGTCGCACATCGCCTTGTCGCCATGTCGGCAAAACTTTGTGTCCTTTGGTCGTGGAATCATGCCGTCCTTTCTGGACCAATAAGCATCAACTGCGTCCTCTCGAACGTTCTCCCATGGTCTTGTGAGGGAGACAGGCTTCGCAGAGGAGCCTGACGCTGAGGCGGCAGGAGTGATAGCTGGAGTGCCATTTACAGCGTTGGATGAGGATGGCTGCTCGTCTGGCTGCTCTTGACTGGCGACTTGCTTCTGCGCTTGCTCCTTGTATGCGATGTAGAGGAGATGGCCGTGAGTGATGCCTAGATCGCCCAATGTATTGCCCTTGAGGCCATTGGCGTCTTGCTCGCCACCTCTGGGCTCATTGGAGAAGGTCAACGTTGCTGCGTCGGCATTGGGTGCCGTCTCGAGGACCTGCGGACAAGGGGTACAAAGACGTCATCAGAATGTTTGCGGTGCAATGATTCTAGCCAAAGCTGCTCACCTTGTCGATGAGCTTTGCGACGTCATCTGTAGGTTCCAGAGGAAAGCGAAAGCTGCCATCCTTGGATCTGACTCTCACGAGCTGACGTTGCGGGGTAGAAGAATGTTGAGCTGTTGGCCTGTAGCAATGCGTCGGATCATTACGATTTCTACTTACCATTACGATGAGCTCGTGGGTGCAGTCTCGATGGATATAGTGTGGGGTGCGAAGTTGGGATCCAATGTCGTGAGTGGCCAATTCAGTCCGCTGCCTGCCCGCCCTCTGACATCGTCAGACCATCTCCACCTCGACAGACGCGGCCGGACGAAGACGCGGCCGGACTGAGGCCAAAGCCAAGCGGAGCCAAGCGGAGCCGCTCGCAACGAAAGTGAATCAATCAATCACTCTTGACAACTGTCCTCATCGCATCACGCCTCGCCTCCTCAGCGCATGGTCGCACCATCCGAGACGTCTCCTCTCATTCAGAGGAACACGTCGCAGGATCGACGTAGCAGCGACGACGATGACCTCGACTCGCGCTTTCGCCGCTGGAAGGACGCAGTCACACAGCGCTTTCGCAAGGGAAAGCAACGTCAGGGGGACCAGCCAGAGTGGCTCATCAGCGTATTCGCTGGCCATGAACAGGGTGATGGCATCCCCAAAGAGGCCGAGAAGAAACGACAAGCTACTCGAGATGCTACTGCGCAGATCGCTCTCGATATCAGAGGGGTCAGACAGGCCATCACAGAGGGCATACAGCCTACCATGATTCAGACGGGCAGCAGCGGGTCGTATTTCGTCAAGGCTAGAGATGCAGAGACGGGAAACCTCGTAACAAAGGCCGTCTTCAAGCCCTCGGATGAAGAGCCATATGGCAATCTCAACCCCAAGCGTGCCTTCTTGCGTCGCTACTTCTGGTGGGCAATGGGCAGGCCGTGCCTCATTCCAGGATTTAGCGCAATGTCCGAGGCAGCCGCCTCTCTCCTTGACGACCGTCTACACCTCGCTCTCGTTCCAAAGACGCAGCTCGTCAAGCTCAGCAGCCCCGCCTTTCACTATGCCTACAACGATCGACGCGCCTACGAAGAGCATGGCCAGCAGCTGCCCGAAAAGATTGGCTCATTCCAGAGCTTCTTGCACGGTTACGCCATGATGTCATCATGGCTGCGACGCAACCCGTTCCCCACACGGCCGCGATCCGTTCTCGAGAGGGACTTGGAGGCTGAGCAGCTCACTCATCGCAAGATGCGCAAACGAGAGAAGGCAAGACTCCGGCGGTGTGGTGTCAAGCTCAAACACTTCTTGCTTTGCCGGCAAGGCCTTGCCGAAGACAGGATAGCCAACATTGACGATCAAGGGCGGTCAGATGAGCAGGAGCAAGTACTCGAGCGCGACGAGGTCGATTTCCTCTGGACGGCCGATCTCATCCACTCATTCCGCCTCGAGCTCGAGAAGCTCGTCGTCTTCGACTACCTGTGCCGCAATACCGACCGAGGGCTCGACAACTTCATGATCCATCACGTCAAGGGCACTACCTCGGAGAGCGTAAAACTCGGCGCCATTGACAACTCGCTCGCCTGGCCCATCAAACATCCAGACGGTATCCGCGACTACCCTTTTGGCTGGCTCTACCTGCCCGTAGATATCATCGGGGGACCATTCCATCAGTGCACCAAAGACCATTTCTTGCCCCTGCTAGCCTCGCCACAGTGGTGGCGCGAGACAGAGATGGCGCTCAAGGAGCTTTTCCAGCAGGACAAGCACTTCAACGAGAAGCTATTCGAGAGTCAGATGGCCGTATTCAAAGGACAAGGATGGAATGTGTTGCAGTCGTTGAGATGCGAAGATGAGGGTCCGCTCGAGCTCTGCGCTAGACGTAAGAAGGTAGTACATCAATCGACGGTCATGGTCTCTGAGCAGGAAGTGGCTGAGTTTGAGGGAGGAAAGCTTGCATTGCAGACGGGGGCAGAGATGCAGCCTGCCCCTGTCAACGCGACCGCAGCCAAGCCGATCGGCATCGTCACAGCCAAGGAGTCAGCGCCGCAAGACTCATTGAGCGACGCCAATGGTCACCCCCGCTCCTTGCCGGAGACGTCGCGTATCAATGTGCAGCCTACCGAGACTCCTACGATGAGCGCTCACCCGCCTCAGGAAGCTTCACAGCCCCTGGCGCTGGGCTCGTCTCTCGGAATTGAAATCCTACAAGATTTGGACCGCGCAGCGAAGAAGGCCCGCCGTCGACCTGGATTCCAGAAGACTGTCTCTGGCTTCGACCTCGGGCGACGCGGCGTGCCTTCGCAGTCGCCTGCGCGGGGGAGAAGAACAGCAAGACCGTCAGGACCGGTGAAGCGGGGACTCAGTAGCAACGATGTCCTGAGTGAAGATGAAGAAGAGGACGAGGAGGACACGGCAGGGATGAAATGCAGCTCGGTGACTGCTGAGTCACGCATGGCGCAGTCCGACTACTTTGCGTCGTACGGCCGTGCGGAGCCTATGCCGTCCATCGGAAGTGCCCTTGCTACTGATAGAGGAACGACAGATGCGCAGTCAGCTGATCAGACCAAAGGCACGGCCACCTCGACGTCGCGCCCGGCCAAGAATCGAAGGCGAATGCGAAGTGTTGGCAATTGGTCGCTCTTGAGCTTCGACGGGGGAGACAGCACGACGCCGATGGCAACGGCCACGGCGACTAGCCACGACTTTGATCCCTCTCGGAAGGTGAAGGTGATCATGGAGGAGCTGATTGACGACGATAGTCAGCCGTGGCAGAGCTGGCTGCGGGCGTGAGATGATCGATTACAAGTCCTGTAGAGAAGGGTCCTAGAGCTACATTGAAACGATACCCGATCGCAGTCTATACTACACGCGTCACGCGTCTCTTTCGCGCAGCTCTCTCCTCTCCCACGCACTCAAGCCCTTCTCGTCGAGTTTCATCAGTCGACCACCCAGCACGAGCCACCTCGCCCACGATTGACGATAGGCTGCGATGCGGTCGAGGATATCTTCGTCTGCCGCCTCCTGCCTTGCCTCCTTGACTTCATCTTTGCGTCCCACATCGCTGAGGTAACGTTCTTGAATGTTCCGGTCAGCCTGCAAGAGCAACCAAGCCGTACTGCCTGCCTTCATTTGGTCCACGAGGATTGAGCGGCCCCGTGATTCCAGGATCAACGACTCGTCGAGGGCAGCTCGCAAATCGCTGCGCGACACCACAATGAGATCCTCGCGACTGCTACAACGCTCGCAGACATCCAGATCCTCCTGCAGCAGCACGTCGAGTCGCTCCTTTGCCTGCGAGATGAGGGCAGGATGCGGCACAAAGTAGTCGGCCATGACCTCTTCCCACTCTTCCCTTTTCTCGCTGGTCTTTGACGTGAGGAAGCGGGAAAAGTGAGTCACCAAGGACTGGATCGCCGTGACGACAAAGTTGGTCATGATGGGCACGGCCACCAGCGCCCAAAAGACGAAGACTGTCTTTCCTGCCGGGGAACTCGGTGAGTAGTCACCGTAGCCGATCGAGAGAAAGAAGATGTAGGAGAAGTAGAGGGCATCCCCGAATGGCCAGCCTTCAGCTGCGTGGTAGATGGCGGCGGACACGAGCCAGAAGACGACGAGGACGGCAAAGGAGGCGCCTAGATCGACGAGATCCTGGGCGCCGCGTTGTTGCGTGGTGATGTGGTGGAGACGACGGGCTTCCGCCTGGAGATAGGGCTCGTTGTCCCTCTTGACGAGGTCCGCGACGGTTGCTTCTTCGATGGCATGTAGCTGTCTACGGTACTTTGCCATGTTGCGCGTCGATACCGAGACGATAAGTGAAATTTGATTGGCAAGAAGTGCGATGCCTGCGATTGCAAAGGGGAAGACGAGGATTTTTCCTGCCGTGGTGGAAGGAGAGAAGTCGCCAAATCCAATGGTGAGCAGCGTGACGACGCTGAAGTAGAGGCCGTCGAGGTAAGACCAGTGCTCGATGCGGCTGAAGATGAGGGCCTCAAGGGCTATCAATGCTACCAGGGCCAGCTCAGCCAGTAAGAAGACACGGCCGTCTAAATGGAGCTGACCTGGGGCGTGTTGCCGCTGACGGACGAGCATGTCGATCATGTGGGTGAGGAGGAGGGAGGTGAGAATGCCGCTTAAAACGGTGGACATGATGCAGCAGAAGAAGCCTGTGAGTGCGGGCAACGGCGAGGGCGAGAGGTCAGCTGGTATTGTGGAGCTCCACTCGCAGCCCGCTATGCTCACCCTCATCATACGCAAAGCCAGCACCATTACGTCTGGTGGCACCAAATGTGATGAGGTTGGCTACGCCGAGCGTCGTCTTGAGGAGCCAGATGCCCGTCGACGCCGTCGAAGCGTGGCGCCATCGCTGCGAGAGGTGTCAAGGCGAGCATCTCCAATCATGGCTCACACTCAGCGTACTCACATCGGGTGAGCGCACAGTGAAGCGCAGAGCCAGCAGCGAATTAGCCGCAACACTGCAAGCAAGACTGATGGCCGAGAGGATGAGGGATGCCTGTGGATCCTGAATCTTGATCCCATTGAGCGTGTACCAAGGCTGAGTCAAAGCAGGAATGTCGTAGAGCGTGGCAAATGGCGCAATGAGGGCTGACATGAGAGGTGCTCCATTTATGATGCTCTTGCGAGCATCTTTGAGCCATGTCATCGTGAGCTGGGCGCAGCGTGGAGGATGAGAGATGGTGAGCTGCAATGGCGGATTCGCAAAAGGGTCCAGTCTCGACCAATGCCTCGAGCACGGGCCAGCCTCGCGCCGCATCTGTGCCGCGCCGTCGCCTGATCCTTTTTTGCCTCCGCACCGCCCCTTCCCTCGTCACATCACACCGCCCGCGCTTCGTTCCTGAGCGGGACACAGCCTCGAGGCGGAGCAGCAGCAGCAGCAGCAGCAGCAAAGTTGCAGCGCGCCCTGAGCTCAGCCCCATCGACGAGGGGCAGGAGCCAGGTGACGTGGCAGAAAGCGCCTCTCTCCCCTCCTCCCCCCTCCTCCCCTCCTCACCCCTCCTCACCTCTCCTCCCCCCTCCTCACCAGACACGCTCCTTTGGTCACCTCGCTACATATCGTTGCCATCACTCAGTATCACTTACGCTAGCTCAGAGCTCGACGCTCAGCAGCGAGTCTCTTCTCTCCTCGACTCATAGCCTCATCCTTTTCACTTCAGCCTACGCTCGGCACCACACGCTCCTTACCTTTGACGACATGACGACAGGACGCGATGATATGACTTTATGACGACACTCAGGCCGCCACTTCACGCCACGACGCGCTCCTTCGAAGTGGCAGGTCCACTTTCAGAAACCTCAGCATTGGATGAAGAGCATAGGCGTCTAGCCGGCCATGTAAGTGTCGCAAGCTCGCCAGTCTCGTGGCCGACAAGGCTCTGACGATAATCCTCGCTCTCCCTCAGCACAATCCACGCACGTCACTCATGCAGACGTGACACCGGTGTGCCCTACCGGAAGCTGGGCCAATCGCTTGCTTCAGGGCGGCTGTCCCTTGGACTCGTCGCTGTATTCAGCCAATCGGAACAAATCACGAAGCAGCTTATCGTGACATCAGGATCTCGAGCGCGACGACTTCAAGGGCCTCGAGCCCATCAACATCGCGTGCGCCTCAAACTTCGCCGTCGAGGCATTCGTCGCTGCATACTGCAGGACGTCTCGCGGAGCTCAAGAATACAATCACCGCCTCAACGAGAGGCTCGGCGCTCCCCCTCCTCACATCATCGGTCTCAATGGCACCACGTGTCTGCCCACGCACCTGGCGACCGTCACCCACGCCGGTGGGTGTATGCGCACAGACCAGCAGACGGCCATTGAGAGGAAGGAGCTGGCGGAGAAGATGATGGCGGGAGGTGTAGCGATGACTCTGGTGAGCAACAAAGGCGCCGGCGCGAGAGAGGGCAATCTCAACCTCTACGCTCCGAGGTGGTTCGTCGACAACGGCCACCACAAGATCCCTCTGCCTCCGGTGACGTGCGACCGCCTCCAGGCAGAGGGGCCACTGCCGGACCGCTCAAGCGCGCTGATCAAGATCGTTCCTCGCCACGCCTCCTCAATCAACGCCATGGGCGCATTCGAGGACGTCCTGTGGCTCAAGGTGTGGGCGATCCAGATCGAAGTGCGGGGTCGCGTGGCCACGATGGAATGGCCATACTTTCCAACCGTCTCCGTCCCTGCCAGCGCCTTCATTGCGTCGGCGAAGGCAGGCACCGGCCACCCATCCCTCGAAGTCATCGCCACTCCCGACACGTCCGGTCTCACGCCAGCCAGGGACTGGCCGATCTCTGCCCTGCGCGCCGATAGACCGGCAGAATGGAGCAGGGAGAGGGATGTACAGACGATTTCCCTCGCGCTCGGTACTCTGCGCGCCTCCGTCTGGAAGCAGGCGCAAAAGACCTCCGAAGACACTTGACAGTCACCGTCCCGCAAAGCAACAGCGGCGACCTTCTCGCCTCTCCGGCCGCCCGTGGTCTTTCGCTTTTCGCCATTGTCCTCTAGAATCTTGGCAAACCTGTCACGTTATGGCGTACGTCTTGCTGAGCTCGTCGATGTTGTAAAAGAAGGAAGTGGGATACGGAAAGAAGATTGCGAGTCTGTACAAGTGTAGACTGGGAACAGATGTGCACGAGTTCTTGTGCCTTGCATCGCAATACGATTTATCGCATCACGATGTTTTCCCTCTGCCCTTTTCTCCGGCCTATACGCTGTAGGCGTGAGGAAGCAGAAGAGAGAAGCCATCGAGGAAAGGGAGAGGCGAGGAAGTGGACGATGTCAATGATGAGGTGGTTATCCTCGCCTCTGCTCCTGCAAATCAATTGATTGAACCGTCATTGTCCTATTGAAGAGCAGAAGGCTGCGCTGAGGGATGACGCCACTTGACGAGTGGGGGAAAGCGAGCGATGGCGGCACTGCTACCGCAGCTTTGATTGTGATGCGCGCCTCGACGCCATCGCCGGCGGTGACCCGTGTCGCGAGGCAGGACGACGCTGACTGCAGGCGGTGGCACATCGACTTGAGTAGTAATGGTAGCATTAGTGAAGACGACAAAATAAGCGTAGCACACCTGGTGGCAGCGTAGGAGAAGTAGTATGGCGGCGGATTGGGCGGAGCAGGGTCGAGACAATAAAATAAAGAATCAAGGAGGCGACATTAGAAGATGTCTGTGGCTATGACTCAAAGTGGGCCGTAGGTGAATAGTATGCGGCAATCTCACTTCTCGTATCCCTCCTGAGCAGCCTCATTGCGCATCAGCTTCGCCCTGAAGTTATGAGCCTCCTCGAGGAGCTCGAAGCGTTTCTTCTTTCCCTTGACTATCTTGCCACCCTCGGTACGCTCAATGACGGTGAATCCAGCCTTGTGCTGCTGAGTCTCGTCGCGAGGGGGCGTAGCAGAGTGGGTGTGCGTGTGGCCAAGGTTGAGCTTGTAGCCGTGCTTGATGGCGGACGCTTTGAAAAGGTCGACGTTGTATCCGTGGCCGCCGCCTGCGAGACCGCCTGGTGACGAAGGATGGTTGGGGTGGCGGGAGGTGTTAGCTCGCACATGAGAGGTAGCGCCCAGATTCGACAGAGCCGCTACTCACTGCAAGCGTTCCCAGCGTCAGCACCGAACTTGCGCTCAGCTCCCCTCCTGCGGCCGTTGCGCATGACTCCCCAGTCGTCGGGCCCCATGCAGGTGTCTTGGCCTCCGAAGGGCTTGATGCCGGGCAGGCCTGCATGGCGGCGAGGAATTTGTCAGGCATAGAAGATCGGGCATTGTAGACCGACGTGGCATTGCGTCTCACCTTCCTCGCAGCCGAAGCAAGGCTCCTTAATGAAGCGCCAGTTGACCGGGCCAGGGAGTCGTCCGGCATCGATGATGGTCTTGTTGCCTTCAGCCAAAGCGCTCCACGACGATAAGGTGAGGTACACGTCATTACAGTTGAAGGTACTCTTTGCAGGGTCGTCGCCGCCACAGCTATCAAGCTGGGAGCAGGTGTGGGAGGTGTGAGGAGATCAGCGGCTGCGGCAAGCGACGCGTTTCGCACGCGTCACGGTGGTACGCACCACGCGCGCGGCAACCTTGGTGCCCAGAGCAGGCAATTGGACTTCGACCCAGCGATCGCAGGACTGTGGGAGAGGAAGAGCAAGTAAAATCAGCCTTGGCCTCTGGGACTTGCCGGCTAAGTGAAACGACCCACTCACGTTGTGGTAGGCCGAGTTGACCCAGCCAGCAGAGAGACAGACACCGGCGTCCGAGTCTTTGTACTTGCGACCGCCACATGCACTCTCGCCGGGACTGAGATAAAAGACGGGATCGTCACTCTGCTCAATGGGGATGATACCCTCGGGCGACCAGGCAACACCCTTGCCAAAGTTCTTGCGCGTGGTCAACGACCCATCGGGCTGGTCGCACGCTGGAACGGACGTGTCACGCTGAGGCTTGGACTGACCACTGGTGGCAAGTGCCAGAGTGGCGAAGCTGAGGGAGACGGCGCCCAAAAGGGCGGTCATGGTGGTAGCGCGCATGCTTGAAGAGGGCGCGTTCGCGTAGGAGCGGGCGGGGCAGGCGAGGCGCACGGACGTGGGTGTAGGTGTGCGTGAGCGAGCGGGCGCAGTATGCGTGACGAGGGGGCGAGTCGAAAGGCGAAGGAAAGAGTAGATGGATGCTATAGGAGGGCTTTTCGCTCTTTTGTATGCTGTCGCCTCGTCGAGCTGGGTCGGCACATTGTCCTGGGCACGGAGGTAGATTGCTTGTGCACACCATCGCGGCGCGCCCACACGTCTCGCCCCGCAATCCCGGAGGGCTTGCGCAGTGGGCAATATTCTGAGGAGAAAGCACAAATCGACTGGGGCGGCCAGAGATCATTTGCTGGTCGTGGCTTGGCCGCAATAGGCAGGCACGATCAGTGGTCAGTGGACATCGCGGCCCGCTCAGCGAGGATGTACCGGGCCGTACCGCCCGTCGCCGTTCTGCGGCTCTTGGAGGACGGCGAGCGTGGCCAGGGTCAATATCGCTGTGAGAAAAGGGGAAACTACCGGCGACCCAGAACATGGCGACGATTCGGGAGGACGGATGGGCGGTTGCGAGGGGCAGGGCATCGTGTGCATTGAGAGCGTGTGACATTCATTAGCGTACAGTGCTGCGCTCTGTCCATGGTCCAGTTCTCGTCCCTATCTCCATCTCGACCGATCTGCCTCTACCAAGCACCTCCCCTGTCTCAGCAGGCCCACTTCGAGACAGGCACAACAGCGCTTCTCACGGTCACGGTCACTGCCCTTGGCCCTGCTGCTTCTGCAACAGGCTCAGCATCGCCGAGATGCTCTGCTGCGCTTCGTGAGCCGATGAAGAGCCCTGCTGCTGCTGCTGCTGTTGCTGCTGCGGTGAGCTGCCCTGTGCACCCATCCCAGCCAAAAGCGACGCCAGATTCGGCGGCAGGCTGGCCGAGGGAGGAGGGGTGGGCGTGGGTGTGGCAAAGGACCCTGCTCGTCCCGCTGGGGATGGAGAAGGTGGAGCGCCTCCATTCGCTCCTCCACCGCCGCTGCCGCCCAAGCTGGCGAGGAGCGCCTGCACCTTCTGAGCCTGCTCTAGTCGCGACTCCTCCTTTGCTGCTGGCGGTGGTGAGTGGTGCGCTGCTGGCGGTGGCGCTGCGTAGGGATTGGTCCCATAAGTCGACGGCGCTTGCTGTGGCGGAGGCGGCGCCCCATAGGCATGGGTAGGCGGAGGTGGGCCATACGGCGCAGAGGCAGGCGGAGGAGGTCTTGGAGGGGGAGGTCTCATCATGCCACCCTGTTGCTGCGGCGGCGGCGGCGGTGGTCTTGGCGGTCCCATTGCACCCATGCCGGGCGGCGGCGGCGGCGGCCCTCCAGCATGGTCCCTATCACTCTTGCCTACCATTGCCGCATCCCAAGCAAATTTGACGTCCCACTGTCCCCACTCGACGCCATCCGTCCACTCCTTGCCGCCTAGCGTATCATTTGCTGCCAAGCAGGCACGGCTATCGAAGAATTCGAGGAAGCGGGCATTCTTCTGGTCCTTGTAGCGACGAATGGACTTGATGTCGCCAAAGGGGCCGAAAATACTGCGGAAGTCATCGTCCGTAAGAGTGCGAGGATGACGCTTGAGTAAGAGGAAGAGGGTACCTTGATTTTGTTCCCTATCGCAGCGCTTCGAGGTGTCCGCGTCTCGAGGGAGGGAATAGTGGACGTCGACCTGTAGGCAAGAGGGCTAGGAGACGTCAGCTTGCCCGCGCCATAGCATGTAGGGGCCACCGCCACACTCGCCTTGCGTCCATTGAACTCGAGAGCATGACACGAGTCCTTGGCTAGCGTCGCGCCCCTCAGATCAAAGTAGGTAACGAAACAGATGCCCCGCTTGCTGACCTGCTCGTAGAAGAGCTTGATCTCGCCGTACTGGGCAAAGGTGCCGCGAATGTGCTCGGGATCAACACCGTTGTCGATGTTGCGGATGAACAGGGCGCGGCAAGGCTTTTCCTCGGCCGTGCGTGGGTCCTCGCGGTCGATGTGAGAGGACCCCTGTTGCGTGCGTCGACCTGAGCCGATGCCAAGGTCGCTGCCTCTTTTTCGACGATCGGGGCCTGAGGATGGGGGGCGGGTCGGTGGGGGCATGTGCGGGGGCAGAGGGGTCAAGGCTGCCAACGAGACGGAGAAGAGATGAAGAGTCAGCAAGGACCGCGGGCGAAGGTGGGCATCGAAGTCCTTTCAGCGGTCGAGCCATAGCACTCAGCAGTATGCGAACAGCCGTGAGCAGCGACGGGTCACCAAGACGCATTGACCTTCAACCTCAGCGTGAGACATCGGCGTGATCTCGGCATGGCTACAGCGCAGCTTCAGCGAGACCCTTTCAACATCTGCGAGTGTGGAGTAAACCTCAATGACCACGGCGACAGAGGAAAGCTAACCTTGCTGTTGAGGGGTGCCAAAGGCATACGGGTCTCCAGGCGGGTGCGAGGGCGGCGGACCATAGGGATTGTAGGCATCATCTGCGGCAGGCAAGGGACGATATGGGTCGTTTGCTCCGCTGAAAGGCGGATTTGCGAAGGGTCTTGGCGGCGGAGGCGCAGCATTCATGTGTATGGGCGGTCCCATGGGTCTGGGCGGCGGGGGCAAGGATCCGTCGAAATGGACTGGTGGACGAGGTGGTGGCGGTGAAGAGGCGTGGGAAGGACGAGGACGAGGGTATGAATAAGGGGCAGGTGGCGCAGCAGGCGTAGATGTACCAAATCTCATGGGCCCGGGAGGCGAGGCAGGCTGATGGTATGGAGCAGTCGAAGCGGAGGAGTTTGGATCGTAGCCACCGCCAGGCGGAGGAGGGCGAGGAGGATGTGGTAGTGGTGGACGCCTGGATGGTCCACCACTGGCATCGTAGCTATAGCCTGCATACGGATGATGGCGAGGTGGCATCTTTGGTGCGTGACTGCAGCAGTCGTAGTGATGAGAAGAAAGTCGAGTGAATCAGATCGTCGCCCGCGTAGTGCTCTTGAGGCGGCGCACACACACACGCTCGCCGCCGCCTTTGTCAGTGTGCCAGTCCGGTCTGTTCGAGCCCACTCGATGCTGCAAGCTGCCTTGCCGTCGATTGCCGCGCTCCGCCCAACCCCCCTCTCGGCACTTGCGATGAGGCTGAAGCAGCCCACGCCCGCACCCGCCCTGAGATTTGGGACACAACGACCACGTCTCAACATCAACTCCACTCCTCGCCGTCATCATCGCCACGCCCTATTCTCAATCGCACTCCTCTCGCACGCAACGCAACCATCATGGCGACCCCAAGAGCCACGCCTAAGCAATTGCAGTTCAAGCTCGTCCTTCTGGGGGAGTCGGCCGTCGGAAAGTCATCGTGAGTGGCGTGAGCCGGTGCAGCATGTCAACGCTCCGCCTGCTGATATTGCTCCTCGACCATCGCTGCGCGCAGCCTCGTCCTTCGCTTTGTCAAAGATCAATTCGATGATTACCGCGAGAGCACCATCGGTGGTACGCATCAAGAGCGTGCATAAGCAGCTGCATACATCCCGCTCACCAGCCCTTCGTTCCACCCGCTCTCGCTGCAGCCGCTTTCCTCACTCAAACGGTCAAGCTCGATGAGCAGACGCAGGTCAAGTTTGAGATTTGGTGAGGACCCCAATATCTCATTCCGAGCAGCTTTGAGCTACTTTGGCTCACACATTGTCCTCTTCTTCTGCTCACCCGCCCCCTTGTGCGCCGTAGGGACACGGCTGGCCAAGAGCGCTACAAGTCTCTCGCGCCCATGTACTACCGCAACGCAAACTGCGCCGTAGTAGTTTATGACATCACCCAGCCTGTCAGTCTGCCGACTTTACATCCTCGCCATCACCTCCTGCTGACAGTTCTCTGACCCCTCACTTCCGGCTGGCCCGCGCAGCAATCCCTCGAAAAGGCCAAATCGTGGATTCGCGAACTTCAACGCCAAGCAGACCCCAACATCGTCATTGCCCTGGCGGGGAACAAGGCTGATCTTGCTACGACGAGGAGAGCTGTCCCGAGAGAAGAGGCCGAGCGTTATGCTGAGGAGTAAGTGCAGCGATTGCGTCGCCAGGATAAGACTGCTGTGGATCACTGACAATATGCTCTGGTCGCCATTGCCATCGCAGGGAAAAGCTCCTCTTCCTCGAGACGTCAGCAAAGGACTCGACGAATGTGTCGGAGCTCTTTGCGTTGATCGCCCGCAAGCTGCCACTCGAATCGGCGGCCAATGCGCAGAAGCGTGGTGGTGGTGGTGCGGCAGCAGGAGGTGGAGCAGCGGGTGGAGCGGCGGGCGTAGATCTCAGACGGGGTCAGCAAGGGGCAGCGCAGGGCGGCGGACAAGATGCTTGCCAATGCTAGACAAGAGGGTTTGGCCAGATGAGAGAGAACGACGTGTATACCTTTGGGATCTCCTTTCCCCTCCCTCCTTCGCCGGCTCGAGGCGTCGTGCAATGATGGCCTTGCTCTCCCTGCCTCTTCCGCACGCGTACTCGCGCGGCTGTAGGTGACTATCGCTTTTTCACGGTGTGAATATTCTCGTGCCATGGGCCCGGTGTACTGCCCAGCCAGTCCAGGCGTGCTAGAAGAGTCGCCTTCTCCCTCCCATCCCCCCACCGACCCCACTCGACCCCATGACCTCCTCGGCATTTCCCCTGCCCATCAAGCCTGCGCCAGCCCCTACAACGTCACTTGCGCCCTTACAGTAATCTCTATACGACTCGAGAATCTCCTCGGCACTGAGCGGCACAGCGTCTCCTTCCACACCACCGCGCTCGCGACGGATACGGCGAGCGCCTTCGATGATCTCGCCTACAAAGACTTTGGCTACTCCTCCAAAGGCCATTGTGATGGTTTGATTGATGCTGCCGGAGGTGGATGTGGAATAACCGCCGCTGAGATGTTGATGAATGAGGCGACGCAACGAGGAGCGGTTGAAGCCGGAGCGACGGTACCTGATAGCGAGGTCAGGGTAGAAGTGAGAGCTCGTGAGCTTGCACTTAGCAAATGCGCATGGTTTACTCGAACAACGCACGACTCATGTCTATCGTACTGCGACTCGGACATGGCCATAATGAGCGGGCCCATGGCCTGGCTACGTGTACGCTCCACCTCCTCGCGCCAACGCATCTCCTCTTCGCCCATGTCCTCTGGCTGCTCCTCGTCTTCCTCGTCCGCGGGAGGTACCTCGTCCTCGTCGTAGTCTTCCTGCTGCTGTGCGGCGTTTGCCGCGTTTGCACCCTCATCTGCATTGGGGGCAGCGCTGCTTCTCACCGCGGCACTTGGACTACGATCGCCGCCTGCCGTGCCCGCTCGCTGGGTAGAGTCGCCTGCTATGGAGGTATCACGGGCTCTTGATCGTCGTGCGCTCGTCCCTCGTGCCTCTTGAGATGCGCCTGCCCGACCTCCACGGCCACGACCAACTTTCCCGCCGCGGCTACCTGGACCACCGCCTCCTCGCCGGCCGCCTCTACCGCCGCGTGCCGCCGATGATGCCGAAGATTCACCTGCCTCATTCTTGACACTGCCTGCGGCTGCCTCTTTGTCCTTCTTCTGCTTCTTCTTCCCGCCGCCTGCTTTACCCCCACGCTCACTGCCCTCGCCTGCAGCGCGTTTCCTCCCGCCTCCTCTAGCTCGACCGTCCTTCTTTGGCGCAGGAGGACCAATGGGAGCGATTGGTGCAATTGGAGAGGCGACGGCTATAGGGTTACCAGAGGAGGATGCGGTATTGGCAAAGTACGAAGGAAACTGAGTTGCTGACGAGGAGGTGGGGGGAATCGCTGAGCTGTTTGCGCCTGCGCCCCATGAGGAGGGTCCGGCCATGGGCTGCTGGTACATTTGCTGCTGAGGCCATTGTTGTGGCCAGTCTTGCTGCTGCTGTTGTGAAGGCCAGCCTTGAGGCTGTTGCTGCCATGGGTAGTAGCTCATTGTGGTGACGAGGCAAGAAGGTGATCCGGGCGTCGACTCCAACCAACCAACCAAAGGCGGACTGAGCCGCTGACGTGCATCGTCTCGTCTGTCTCGAGCGACAGAGACGGGCCGGCTTGGCTTGACTTGACTTGAGCCCTGGCTGCGCGCGAGACTTTTTCTTTCGCCTCCGTCTGGCAGCTGCCATCCTTTTTCTCCTCTTTCCCTCACCTCGACATGCCTTCGCGACATCATCGCGTGTGGACCACCCCATCATGACCTATTCGTCGCAGCCGGCATCCCAGCAGGCCCTCTATGACAAGCTGGTAGCGCAGGAGCGCGTCATTCAGAGCGCTGCCATGCCTCAGGCAGAGACGCCCTCTTGCTTGAACCTCTTTGATAGGTGGTGAGCAAGGCGCAGGACTACATGGCATTGATCGCATGCTGACCGCCTATTTCTCTGCTGCTGTATGCGCTAGGGCAACCTGCTTCGCCCTCACCCCGCAGTTCACCCACGTCTACAGGTATGGCGTCTTCAACGACTGCGCAGACAAGCTCGACGACTTCAAGTTCTGTCTTACCCTCAAGGGCCTTGATCGAGCTCAACGCCACGAAGCCTTTGTCGAACGCAAGGCTCGTGCTATGGCTACCAGGAGGATGCCTGGCGGAGACACGTCCGAGGAGATATGGACTCTGAGGCAGGACAACGCCGGCAATGGAGTCGTCGACCCAACCTTTGTCGACCCGGCTTTTCTTCAGGCCAACTTGCAGCAGGATGAGGGCGGGAAAGGCGGTCAACAGAGTAGGAAGGTGTGAAGACGTGAGGCTACCACTACTCCGGACACTCTTCACACTCCTTTCAAGATGGTGAGTAACTAGGTCGTCGTCGCGCCGCCCGCTCCTCCTGCCGCTCGAGCACAAAGGATTAGGAACATAACATCAATAATCAGTTCTGCTTCCGATCACCGAAATGCGGACAACTGTATACCAAGCTTACCTTTTGTATGACGCTGCGAGGCGGGAGAAGCAGGGTTCGAGCGGACGATTCAACATTATCGTTGGCGATGGCTGACATCGCCTCCCTCTCCTACCCTTCCAGCCCTTCGATGTCCAGCACTCAGCTCAACAGCTCACCGCGGCACAAGCTTCCCACCTTGGCATTGCGTACGGTGAGTTGCATCCACGGGCGTCGTCCCAGCTTCGATGATGATCGCACGGCTGCCCGCGGGGGCCAATTTCTCCCTCTTCTCTCGGCGCGTGCCTCCAGTCCAAAGGCCATCGATACTCGTCTCGCCCCCTCGTCAACACCGTCTCAGGTGCTTGTGCGGGGATCACTGCGATGGCAACGAGTGGGAAGGTCCGCGTACTCCTCTCTCACCGCTTTCGTTCCTTCGCCCCCTTTTCTAGAGGGAGCGGGGTCTTCCCAGCGTGTGCGGCTCTGTTGCGGGGTGGTGGGACTGATGGTGGGATGTGGGCTGGAAGAGTGGCGAGCTTAGACTGCGTGAAGGAAGGCGACGTCCGCGTCGTGGGCTTCGGCCTCTTGATCTTCCATTGCGTCGAGCGAAGCTGTTGGCAGCGAGAATTTACAGGCGTAGGAGGCGTCGTATCTCGGTTCAAAGGTTCGTCAGAGGATGAGGATGGCATACCTGATGTTGCAGTCTCGTTTGAGGTCTTGCACCGCAAACACCTCCAGCTGGGGGGGCGCTCAAACAGCGGCGAGGGACCACGTACCAAGCGGCGTAACAGAAAGTCTCTCCCCCCACTTATGCGGTTCGAGGATCGAGGTCACAGGAGCTCTCGTGGATGTGAGCAAGGCATCGTCGACGCGTCCATGCTCTCTACGTCAAGGACGGCACAGCGTGGGGCGGAGAGGAATAAGAGGATTAGAGAGTGAGGGAAAGCCTTTCGTGCCGCCGCTCAAGATGCCAGCCCGTGCCGGCTCTCTTCTTCCGGAGGGAGTTGGGAGGGTTAAAGGAAGAGGCGAATCATAGGCGAGGCTTCTCTGCTCCATCCTCCTGTTCTTCCCCCTCGTTACGCGCTTTGTGCCGGAGACTGGAGCATCGTCGTGTTGGCATTTCCCTGCTCGTACCGCGGTACAGGGCTCTTGCAGCTTCATTCTTCGGTCGCAGGGGGGAGATTGGAATGCCCTCCTCATCTACAAGCGCGTCAGGCCTCACGCTCTCTGCCTGCTCCTTCGGGTGCACAGGTCGTGCTGTCCCACCTCTGGCAATCTTGGGATCGAGATCGATAGCCGCCGAAACTTGAAGGCTCTCGTTGCTCAGCAGTGAAGTCCGGCGAAGATGGGTGTCAAGCTTGTCTCCAAGCACTCCGGGTCCAATACTCTTCGGCTTTCTTCCAACATCGGCCTCGTCTTTTCTCGTGCAGTCCCACACGCGGCTTTGACTGCTCCGGCATGTCTTATGCTCAGTGGGGATCCGATGCGGTGCGTCCTTCGACTTCGGTCGCAGGTCACGCAGCATCAGGCGGTGGAGGATGCCTCTCTGCTCACAGAGGGGCTTCAGTGCAATCGATGGCGACTCGGCGTGCCTTCGCGGTGCGACGGGACAACTCAACGCGTGACTATTCTTGGATCTGGGGGCACATCCGCCGAGTGGCCAAGAGATGGAGCGGCTCGAAGGCGTCTTTCATGAGAAGCAGCGAAAGTGGGGGAGAGTGTGGAGATGAGCAGGGCAGAAGGTGCTGACCGCAGCCCTGCTCTCCCGACATGTAGGCGCTAACAGCAACAGCAGCAAGACCGTCATGGCTCGCCTCATGTCAGATTCCGCCCGCGACAAGGTAAGCAGCCCGGCAGATCCAGGACCTGCAAGAGACTCCATTGGGATCGGATGATTACAAATCAAGTTACAAATCCATTCTTTGAGCCTGTGCGCCTCTTCCATATGAGGCTCGCTGACTCGAGGCGCCCAGCTCATTCCAATCTCGCCCCTCACCACGGCACTATCGCAAGACCTTGTCCACCTGCCGAGCAGCCTTGTCGAGCCCTCGCTTCTTTGTCCCGTCTTGCAGCCTGTCTTGACCTGTCTCTTCTTCCATGGTCTTCCGGCAGGCTAGAGATGGGCCGTCGACCCCTCGCCATGTCCTCATCGTGGACGGGCTGGAGCGAGACGCACCCCTTTTCGTGCCTTGCTGGTGACTGTGAGAGGAACAGGGGAAAGATTCGGGTGCGCGAGGTGGGCTTGAGGGGCGGGGCTTTGACTCGGGTGCGCTGCGGGCCAGGCGCGGTTGAGACTGCGCTGTGCTGGGAGGGCATGACGGGTGTGCAGGGCGTCTCTGATGCGGGTTTCAGGCGGAGGTTGGGTTGAGATGTCAACGCTTTACGAGATGAATCGAGCGCGAGGAAGACGAGGAGGAACAATGCCGTGGCGGGGCGGCTCGACTCTTGTTAGGCCTGTGCTGACCGTCCTAGATGGGCCTCTTATCCTCGTCCAGCCAGCAGCAATGCGCGGCGACGCTCACTATGACATCTGCTCGCACACAATTCGTGCTGAAGCAAGCGAATTCGCTCGCAACGGAGCCCGTCCATCTCCTTCGCCGACGCGATCGGTCCCAGTCATCTTGAAAGTGAGTATCGACTCTAGTCTCATCGTATTGAGGGGGCCACGACAGACTCAACAAGGCGGAAGATGATTCGTTTCCCTAAACGCTTATTTCGAGCCGGCGAGCACATACGTGCGAGGAGCTGCTCAACATGCACCACCAGCTGACGCCTTGCAAGTCACGAGAGGATGGAGAAGAGGGCAGGAGGGGCTTGTTGCTATCCGGTGATCAAAGAGCTACTCGCTGACCTGAACGCACGCACTCCTCTTCGTCTGCCCTACAGGTAGATAGAAATTGATACCCATTCTCTCGCCAACGCTTCGCTGCCTCTGAGCGCAGACTCAGGTCAAGCTGTCACAGGGAAGTAATTGGTTGATACGGCGTTTGGACCCTGACCATCTTTTGAGGCCTCGTGAACAATCGACCTGTCCTTGCCTTTTCACAGCTGCCGCTCTGATCCGAACCCCGCACCCAGAAAACCCCTCATCTCTTCTCCATTCTCTTATCCGCCTAGCACTCTGTTTGCGACCTTCCACTCCGTGGTCGTCAACGATTTTTTATCGGTCGGAAGATGAAGCTCCCTTCATTGCCACCTTCCCTCTCTCGAGGGTTGGGGGGCGGTGTTGGCCCGCTCAGACACCCGTCTCTTCGAGTTCTCTTGTTCACAGGAGGATGCGTGGAGGGCTGGGTCACTTAGCGCGGGGGACACTTGGTCTTGCAATGCACAAATGCATATACCTTAGTTGCGAGTCAATGAGTGAGGCGTGAGGAGAGGTTAGTCGCCGTGACGACAGCCTTCGCGTGCCGCGTGTCGCGTGGCTCTGCGAGATCGGCGGACTGAGAAGTCGATCAGGACGTGTGAACGGACAGACGTGCGTGGCTGCATCTTGTTCGACGACCAACACCTTCAGAAGGCTGCCTGCTAATCATGGTGAGCTTCGCAGACCTTGCAGTACACAGAGGTAAAGAGCGAAGAAGCTGGCCGGCGCCAGATTCGTCTCCGCTCGACTTGGCTTAGACCGTCTGCGAGCGCGAGCTGCCTATGGTCTGACAACAGGACCAGGACAGACAACAGCACCTCCTCATCGATCTCCCTTCGCATGGCCTTCATCCTCAGTTCTTCATCACATGTGCGGGCGCTAATCAGCCTCTTGCTCGTCTTCCTCCCGCGCAGGCTCTCTCCGACCGCCTTGTGGGCGGTGTCATGCTCCTTGTAGCCTCCTTCGTCTTCACCTACTACACCCTTTGGGCATTCGCAACGGTGAGTTTCGCGTCATCACCTCGCCCTCATCGACGACTGATCCCCGCCTCGTTGGCCCTCGTTCTCTCAGCCCTTCCTATCCAGCCAATCCTCTTTCCACTCGTTCTTCCCTCCAAGAGAATGGGCCGTCCGCGGCCCTGCGCTTCTCCTCGTCGTAGGTCTGGGTGGAATCGGCGCTTTTGTTGGCAAGGTCATGATGGCGGAGGAGAGGAAGAGGAAGGAGAAGGCTAGGAGGCAGAAGCAGGGTTGAAGAGCTGAGATGCATAGTAGCGAAACGACGACATTGACGGGAATTTACGAGAGGGAAAAGGCGGTCAAGAGAGTACGCCTCGAAATGCATGCATCTAGCAAGACGTCTGTGGCTGTGACAGCCGCTCTGATCGCTGTCTGATCATTCGATTGCTATTGTACAAGGCTGCGATTGCAGAGCGGTGAGACTGGTCGACATCCTGCCTTCTCCCTCCTCGCCGTCATCTTCCCTTGGCGAAACGACGACCGCGAGACGACGAGCGGGACACATTCGTCCTTCTTGCCTGCTGATTCCTTCCATGACTCTTTCCTGTCGTGCCTCCTCGGTCTAGACCAATCTTCTCCTGTCGGCCTTCTCCCAGTCAGCCGGCGTTCCTCTTGACGTCCAGAATGATGTGCCAGGCGCAGCCGTGTGCGGCACGGGCGATGGGCGTGACGATGACGACGACGACGACGATGATGACGTCCGCGCTTTGGTGACCTCCTGCTGCTGCCCTAGCTTTCCTGCAGCCTCGCCCGCCAACCGAGCATCCCTTCTAGCCAACCTCTGCTCCTTCATCTCCTCAAGTGTCGACTTGAGGTCTGTGCTGTTGCGTGGTGGTTTCTGCGCGGCGGAGGGCAGGGGATGTATCGTCAAGTTTGGCTCACGGTGATCTGATATCTTCACATATGGCTGTGCTGACAAAGAGCGTGTTCTCCCTTGGCCAGAACTCATCACGGATAGGTAACACATGCTTGCGATACCAGTCCGGGTCGCCGTAGTGGACCATGATGGCCAGCGGGAAGAAGAGGTATCTGGGTGACACGGCAGCGAGGGATCAGCAGCAGGAACCGACAAGATCTCGCGAAGCCTTCATCTTCTCACAAGCCAAACTTGAAGACCTCGAGGTTAGGCCCCGCCATGGTGCTTGGTTGCTTGCTGCAATGGCGTCAGGTCGATAGGTCAAGTGCGGTGAGCGACCAATATCGTCAGTCCGCCGCGCCTTGGCCCGTCGTCGCCCCTCATCTCGCCCTCGTGGTTCATCGCGTGGAGAAGCAACGGAAGGGGCGCCGACTTGAAGTGGACGCCGCCGCCACAGTGGACTCGAGTGGACGTGAGGGCCACTCGACCTGGCTTGCCTCACTACCACTTGAGTCCTCACCGACACCAACACCAACGCCAAAGGCGGAATTCAGCATACATTGACCGCAATAACAGCACAGCAAACAAGACGTAGAGTAGCATCAAGCTGGCTCATACGTCACCACCGCAATGTCATCTTCACCTAGCGGGAATGCCCTCCTCTTGCAGAGGCAATTGAAGGAACTCAGGAAGCGTGCGTGCCTCCTCGCCTTGATCACCTCACTCTAGCCTCCGCTAACTTGTATCAGCTCTTCATGGCCACCCTCAGACCCTGTTGAGGGCTTCAGCGCAGGCCTCAAAGATGAGAGCAACCTCTATCATTGGGAGATCATGATCATTGGGCCTGCAGACACCCTCTACGAAGGGGGGTTCTTGAGGGCTGAGCTCATCTTCCCGCCAGTGAGACGACAGCACCACAAGATGAGACCGCCTTGCGCGACGAGAGCTGACAGATGACTGTCTTCCCCCTCGCAACTGCAAATAGGAGTACCCACTCTTGCCGCCAGAGCTCAAGTTCAATACGCCGATGTGGCATCCCAATGGTGAGCTGCGAGCGCGACTGGCTGGCAACCTTGCCTGGTGACTCCGTAGCTGACTGCTGGCTTACTCTTTTCGCCTCCTGCCCTCGGCAGTCTACGCAGATGGCAAGCTTTGCATCTCCATCCTACACGCGCCAGGCGTCGACCAATACGGCTTCGAGGATGCGAGCGAGCGATGGCTTCCTGTGCATACCGTCGAGTCCATCGTGAGCCTCAAGAGACCGCAAGCAGCTTCGTCACATCCTCCATCGCTGAACACAATCCCCTCGCTCCCGCGCGCAGCTCGTATCCGTCATCTCCCTTCTCTCGGCAGACGTGCCCAACCTCGATTCTCCGGCTAATGTAGACGCAGCAAAGCAAGTGAGAGGTGAGCTCGACTTTACGCCTTCGCTCTTGAAAGCTCTTGACGCCAGAGCTGATGATCATTTGTCTCCAATTTCACGCGCACAGAGGATTTTGCCGGGTACAAGAAGAAGGTCCGCAGATTGGTGCGACAGTCCGCGGAAGAGGCCTACGATTGAGGTTTGCGCGATGCCAACGGAGGAGCATACCGCCCTTCAAGCTACTGTCATTGGAGCCCCTCACATATCTCTGCACTCTCAACGCACCTGCACCCATCCCTGCCGCTCTCATTCCCTCCCCCTTGTACTCTAGACAGCTACGCTCTTTTCATGCTTCAATGGCTACGAATGGACTCGATGACTTTAAAGCGCGCTCACAGGGAAGTGTGCATTGGTGATGCATGCGCGACTAGGGCCCCATTCCTCCTGCCCTCCTGACCACACCCGCCAATCCACCCCATCCCGCCTGCTGCCCTGTAGCAGCTGGCCCCGCTCCACCCGCCAATCCCTCCCCAACTTGCCCAGCCGAACTACTCGACCCAATCATCTGTGCCCCCCTACTCCACAGAGCTCCAGCAGCCCCTACACCCGTGCCCGCGGCATAAGCCGTCTCTACTCTCTTCATAATGGCCGCCGCATGTGTCGGCTCGCCGCTCCCCTCCCCAGCCCCTTCATCCTTGCGCGGTAGGTCAGGCAACTCCTCTGCTTTCACCTTGCGCCTCGCACTCTCCATAATCGCACTGACGTCCGACTTGTCCACATCGTCTCTTGCGCGGAGCAGTGCCTCGAAGAAGGCCAAGTTGGGACCAGCCTGCTTGGCGAAGGACCAGTAGGGTAGAAAGACCATGGCGGGAGAGGAGGAGAGGAGAGACAGGACCCCGTCGAGAAGGTCGCCTCCAGCTTTCTCCGACCAACCGCTGCCTCCTTCACCAGACTCAGCGGGGGCGTCTCGAATCCAAACTCCCATCATCATGGTGCGGAATTCGCGCACATCCTCTCTCATCCTCTCGGCTGCGGCTGGCATCTTCAACTTGCCTGAACCAACCTTACGCAAAGCCCCCAAGTAGCTGACCAAGAATCTGTCCACGAGGTCCGGTAGTAGCCTCGCCTCGAAGAAGTTTGGATTCAGCAGCTCTGCATAGTCGCTGAGGTAGTCACGCATCGTCTCCACGATCACGGTGCACGTTCCTCCTCCCTCGGACATATACCAGGCAGGCAATGTGAAGAGGTCTTTGACGGCTGGTCGGAGGTCCTCGAACACAAATTGAACCAGAATGCCTCCACACCGCGCCGAGACATCTAGGTAGCCATTGACCGCATTATCCACATCTTCGCGGATGGTGGCCTTGTACTTTGTCGAAACCAGAGACTCGAAGCGCTTGCCCAATGCTTCGGCCAAGTCGGCAGACTTGATGAGCTCGTTGCATAGGGCGATGACGTACTCAGTCAGCCCAGGAGGTACGTCCTCTGGATTCTTGGCCTTGATTTGCTTCGAAAATTCGGCCTCGAGGACGCGAAGCCATGTTGCTTGACTGGACATTATAGCCCGCGTGGCGTGGCCTACACAGCGAGCGACGAGGGAGCCTTGATTCGAGTCGGCGGCTAGGTCGCACTGCTGTGTGAGCATCTGAAAGAGAATGCTTGCATAATTGAGGCCGTACAAGCCCTCAGCATCGCGCTCTGGTGCCTCGTTGCGCTGAGTGAAGAGGCGCACCTCGTCGCTCATCAGATTTGCGGTCCATTCGTCGATCTTGCGGGTGATGAGGCCTAGATAGTCGTCGATTATGCTCTGCTCGCGCCCATCGAGGAGGGTGGGCTGCAGCCATTCGTCGACGGGGATGCCGAGTTCCTTGCGCATCGTTGAGGTGTACTCTTGCGTGAATTGATAGAGGGACAGGACCGTTGAGGCTGGGGGATCGAGATCGAGTATGCGCGCGCGAAGCGTTTGGCCGAGGTGTTTGTGGTACGACTTGGCAAAGAAGCGAAGGATGTTGTAGTCAGGTGGGAAGAGGCTGTGCGGCACGAGAGTAAGGAGGTTAGCCATGGCAAGGACGACAGAAGAGGTATCACTGCCTGCTCCCTCCTCACCCAACTATCTGCTCCTTGACCATATCGAGGTCCTTGTACACCCAATCTAGATGGTCCAGAAACTCACTTTCCCTCCCATCGCTTCCGAACCGCTGCCAGCATTCCTCAAAGAGGTCACCCGTAGCGGCGTCGATTGCCTCGAGCAATTTTGGCCTGTAGAGCTTGATGACCCTGGCGTTTGCAATGACGCTTCTGAATCTCGCTGCCCCCTCCAAATTTGCCTTCTTTGCCAGCCTGATGGCCGCAGCCTTCTCGTCTTGCCTCGACTCCTTTTCTATGATCTTGATCAGTCGCACGACGACGGACGCTCGCCCTTCTCTGACGACGAGATCAAAGGTGCGTGATCCCAAGGCCAAGAGATACTCGTCGAAGCTTCTGACCAGTCCATCCAAGGGCTCAAAGAAGTGCGAGAGGTGTGCCCTCACATCGGCTGAGCAAGTCCTTGCCATCTGTAAAGTCTCATTCCTAAATGCCTCCAAGGCGGAAATGTGGTGATGAAGCCACAAGAGGTCCGATGCCTCACCATAGAGGTCAGCCTGCGCCTCGTTTAGGACTCGGGATAGGTGCTCGATCTTGGGCGGCAGCATCTCGAGGCTGTGTAGCACATTGGACGTCTGGACGAAGTTGCGGTGGATCTGAGATACTTGGGAAATGACGCGAAATGCTTGGGATGAGGCCGAACCGTTTCCCTCGTTGACGCCATCTTGGCGTGTACAGATTCGCTCTACCTCTGCAAAGGCTTCGCGAACGCCTTGTACATCCTTTCGCGTAGCTTGAAGCTTGAGCAGACCATCTCGGATGGCTTCGAGCTGCTCTTTGGCTCCGGACTTGAGCTTGGCCTCGAGGGTGAGCGACTCGCGGTGGAGCTTGCTGCGCAGACCTTCCAATCGGGAAAGATCGTCGGGCGATTTGAGGTGGTCTGCAACGAGATTCTTGGACGATGAGGCGATTGCTGATGACGACGAGATTGCATTGTTGGCTAATGCTTGGTGATCTGAAGCGTGGGGTTGAGCTGTAGCTGCAGCCATGGCTGCGCTCCGCCGTGATGGAGCAAAGGCAAGCCAATCAGCCAAGGAACCAACAGACGAGGCTACGAGACCGGCAAGCGAGCGTCCCCACACCGGGCAGAAAGGGCAGCAGGGGCAGACCAGGAGGAGCAGCGGCAATCGGACAGACCACGACGCACAAGCGCCACACAAAGTCCACAATGGAGGCTTGGCCGGGGCCGCGAAGCAAAGATTAGGAAGACCTTCCCCTTCCCCCTTTGAAGCTGTTTCTCCTTCTCTTTAGCCATGCCAACCAAATAGATCTTCCCCTCGCTCCTCGATAGCAACATGCCTCTCGCCTCGATACGCTCTCAGTCGACGGACGACCCTCAGATCTTCTTCCCTCGCCTGTATTCGCCAAAATGGACGCCGCTGCTCCTCGTTATCAGCGTAACTGGGTCTACATTTCTACAGACCCTCTGGAGTGGAGCATTGACCATTGCCATTCCCACCATCGGCAAACAGCTCGGTCTCGCCGGTAACAATCTACAATGGCCCCTGACGCTCTTTTCTCTTTTCCAGGGATCCTTCCTCCTCATGGCAGGCGCTCTCTCTGATTCCCTCGGCCGTAGACTCTTCTTCATCATCGGCATCATATGGTCCTTTGCAATCTCCCTCGCCATTGCCTTTGTGCGCGATTCAAAGAGCTTCATTGCCCTCAACTCCCTCCTTGGTTTCGGATGCGCAATTCTTTCCCCTTCAGCGACGGGCCTCTTGGCAACCATTGCCGATCCCAAGCTACGCAGCTGGTCCTACGCTGCACTGGGAGCTGGCCAACCTTTGGGATTCGTCGTGGGCCTCTTGGCCGCCGGATTCCTTGCCGAACGATGGCGAGTCATTGCCTACATGTTCTCGGGGGGAGCCTTCTTGTTCTTCGTCACAGCTCTAATGTCGCTACCAGCTCATGATCCCCCTCCCCACGCCCCTTCATCGCGCCGAGAACTCCTCTCCCGCTTTGATTGGCTTGGTGCCGCCCTCTCAACGACGGGACTCGTCTTGCTCACCTTTGCCCTCGCCGATGCTGGCTCGAGCTCGAGAGGATGGAAAACACCCTTCGTCCCCGCCATGCTTCCCCTCTCTGCCTTGGCACTGGCCGCCTGGGGCCTGTGGGAGAAGCGCCTCGAACGACGCTTTGCCAATGGCACTTCCAAAGTAGCGCCTCTTCTTCCTCTGACCATCTTCCGCGCACCTACCCTCTCACCACTACTGGGCATGGTCTTCCTCCTGTGGTTGACATTTAACGTCTTCTCCTACTTTGCTACGCTATGGATTCAAGAGGTTCAACGCCTCGACTCACTCGAAGCCGCTGTCCGCTTTATCCCCATGGTCGTCGCCGGCATCTTCTTCAATCTCGTCGCGGGCTTCGCAATGAGTCGCATCCATGCTCTCTGGCTCATCGTTTCTGGCGGCATAGGCGGAGCAGGTAGCTGTCTCATTCTAGCCCTCATCAACAAGGACACGTCCTACTGGGCTGGCCTCTTTCCAGCATTCATCCTTACAGTTGCCACCGATCTCGTCTTCCCTTGTGCTCAGTTGCAGAGTGTCAAGTCAGTCGGGCCTGCCCGTGCCGCGCTCGCTGGGGGGCTCTTCTCGACGACCACCAGGCTTGCGACATCTCTGGGCCTCGCCCTCACGGCTACCATCTCTGGACAGGTGACGGCAAAGTACGCCCACAGTCAAGGTGGATTGGATGCCACGGCACCGCAAGCACTCATCAAGGGGTACCAAGCTGCAATGTGGTTCTGCTTCGCGGGATCCATCGCTGGCGTCGTCGTAGCTTGTATATGGCTCAGAGGCGTTGGCATCATCGGAGACAGCGTTGACAGGAGAGACATAGCACCAGACAAGGCCAGCATCAAGGGTCGTGAGCCTCATGAGGTTGATGATGCCGCACTCGCTCACCATGATCCCATAGCATTGGCCCTCGCAGTGCCGCCACAAGCATGTTCTCGCGAGGTAGATGACGGCATCGAGCTCTCCAACATTCGCGGCACGAGAACGCGTACTGCTTGCAGTCATCTGGTTGAACGTGTCTAGAGAAGTAGAGAAGTCGGGCATCAGACCATCTTGACATGTCTCGCTTCCGAAGTTCAGACGAAGAAGCATCAAGAGAGTGAGAAGTAGCGCAGATCGTACTGCTTCCGTATTGCGTATGATTCCTCATAGAAATACATTGCATTGCTGGGAATTGAAAATGACCAGATCCATCAAAGATTGAGTCGCGCCGGACGATGGGGAGAGGCGGACTGGTGGACTGGTCGGATTGCAGAAAGGCGGAACGAGCGTCGAAATTTCTGATGAGCGTTGCCCACCTTTCTCCTCATCATTCTCATCCTATCATGGCATCTCTTCTGCGAAAAGCACAGTCTGCAGCTTTGCAAGAGCCGGAGGCGTCCTCTTCCAGCATACTCGAAGCCAAGGGAGGCAAACGCAAAGCTACCAGCGACGAAAGCGATGGGTCGACATCGATGAGGAGGAACAAGCAACGGGTGCTCTTGATTCCCTCGCGGGGCGTGACGAGTCAGATGAGGCATCTCGTGTCGGATCTCGAAGCCTTGATGCCACAGTCGAAGAAGGGTGAGTGCAGAGAAAGGCTGGCCACAGTGGTCGATGATGAAGTGCCTTACCCACCCCTCTCCGTTCCTCGACAGACTCCAAGCTTGACTCCAAATCGAACTTGCATATCATCAATGAGCTTGCCGAGCTCAACAACTGCAACGTGAGAGCAATCGTCGAAGCCATTCTGTAGGGGAATCGCATGCTCATGAAGTCGACCACCCGCTCGCATCCAGAACACGCTCTACTTTGAGGCTCGCAAGCACCAGGACCTCTACATGTGGGCCTCCAAGACGCCAAACGGACCCAGCGCAAAGCTCTTCATCCAGAACATCCACACGATGGACGAGCTGAAGATGACAGGAAGTGAGTGGAGCTAACCAGACGAATGCCGTTGACTCAAAGCATCGTAGCTAATGGCGATCCATCGCGCCCAGACTGCCTCAAGGGCTCACGACCGGTCCTCTCCTTTGACGCTGCCTTCGACTCGAGCCCGCATTGGTCGCTGCTCAAGGAGATGTTGACCCAGGCATTCGGTGTGCCCCGGACCTCAAGACGGACAAAGCCCTTTGTTGATCATGTCCTCTCCTTCAGCATCTTGGACGGCAAGATTTGGTTTAGGAACTGGCAGTGAGTAAGGCAATCGGGTGCTTCACTTTGCCAGCAAGCTAACTTGTCCTTCGTCCGACAACAGGATCGTGGAGAACTCTGCTGATGAGAAGATGTCGTCGTCGAAGAAGTCCAAGAAGGCCGGTGCTGACGAAGCTCAACCCACGCTCGTCGAGATCGGTCCGCGCTTCGTCATGACACCCATCCGCATCTTTGAGGGCAGCTTTGGCGGGGCGACTCTGTACGAGAACCCAGGTGAGTCATATCGCTTCACTTAAGGCGCACTGCCTTGATTCGCTCACGCCTCGTCTGCTGTCCTGTCACAGAGTACATATCGCCCAACGCTGTTCGCCATCTTGAGCGACGTCAGAAGGGCCAGGAGTACAAGACCCGCTCGGCGAATCAGGAGGCATTGCGGGCCAAGAAGGAGAAGCTGCAAAGAGAGAAGAAGGTGGACGAGCTTGCGGTCGGCAAAGTCTTTGCTTGAGCGCGGAGAAGAAGATGTCACAGCGAGACGGTAGGACCGGATGGATAGGGAAATGCTATTATACAGCTCAAGCCTGCGTTGCGATCTTTCTGCGCGAGAGGACCGCCTTGAGCGTGTGCGAGGAGTGGTAGAGCGTTCAGCTTTGCGTTCACACAGGAGTGCGGGCGAGCGGTCAAGCGCGTCTCGAGCTGACTCACTTGACTCAGTTGCGACAGAAGCTGCTCAGTAGTTTGCCAGCTTACGCAGCCGTCGGTGATGGAGACGCCGTACTGAAGCTCCTCGACCTTGCCCTCCTTGGGCTCGCCCTGTTTGCCCTCGTTGATGTGACTCTCGATCATGACACCGGTGATGGCCTTTTCACCCTTAGACAATTGATCGGCGACCGACGCAATGACCTTTGGCTGGTTGCGGTAGTCCTTGCTCGAGTTGCCATGGGAGGCATCGACCATGATGGAAGGATGGCGGGAAGGCAGAGCCTTGGACAGCTGCTCGTGAGATGATGCGATAGAGGCTTCATCGTAGTTGGTGCTGTACGATGCGAGAGAGAGCGAAGGTCAGTCGAGCGTACATTTTCGCAACAAGCCTGAGTCGTAGCGGAAACTCACCCTTTTGAGCCACCACGGTGAACAATGTGCAAGTCGGCATTGCCAGCCGTCTTGACAATGGCGGCCAGGCCTGCGGGAGAGAGTAGATCGAGAGGAGAGGCTTCAGCATTAGATCTGTGAAGAAGGTGTGAAGGTGTTGTCTGCAGCACTCACCTTGAGAGGTGACTCCCATAAAGGCATGAGGTTGCGACGATGCACGGATGGCGTCGACAGCAACGCCGAGCCCGCCATCAGTGCCATTCTTGAAGCCAATTGGCATTGAGAGGCCGGAAACTGTGGGCGCGAAAGAGTGTGAGCTCGACATGTTTAAGAGGCCCAGTCTCAGCCTTGCTGCCCTCGACTCACCGAGCTCTCGGTGCAGCTGCGACTCGGTTGTTCGCGCACCAATTGCTCCCCACGAGTAGAGGTCAGAAGTGTACTGCGGTGAGATGGTGTCGAGAACCTCGCATGCGACGGGGACACCAGAAGACGTGAGGTCGACGAGTAGCTTGCGGGCAATCTATGTATGAAGCGCATTGAAAGAATCGTTAGAATGTGCTAGCGAAGCAGCTGGGAAGGTTAGTGAACGAACCTTGAGACCACGATTGATCTGGAAAGTGCCGTTGATATCAGGGTCATTGATCAAGCCCTTCCAGCCAACTGTAGTTCGAGGCTCTGAATGTGCGGAGCGGATGAAAGGATGATGAGCTTCGTTTCCGAGTAAAGCAAGGTGAAGCAAACAGCGCGCGCTCACTTTCGAAGTAGGCTCGCATGACGATAACGAGCTCCCCGCGGTACTGGTCAACGCTCTTTGCCAACCTTGAGGCGTACTCCTTTGCCTGCTCAGGATCGTGGATTGAGCATGGGCCGACTACGACGAGCAATCGATCATCTTTGCCATTGATGACGGCTGAAGCCTCGGCTCGTGCTCTGGCGATGACCTGCTGCGCCTTGGGAGGTACAGGGATCTCATGAAGGAGGAGCGAGGGCGAAATCAAGGGCTCGTAGCCTGTGACGCGAGTGTCGTTCGAGTAGACGTGGCTGCCCTGGTTCGATTGAGAGGTAGGCAGGACGTCTGATAGCGGCTGAGAGGTACCATCGATGGCCATGATGACGGTGGGGATGAGCAAGCAGCGGCGGACGGTTGTGAATGAAATTGAAATCGGAAGATGTCAAGCGGGCGGCGCAGCGTGCGGCGGGCCAAGACAAGAGTCAACAATCGTTGGAAAAGTGTGGCCGGCGGAAGAAGACCACGAGGCGCGCAGTCCGCCTTGATCGATGGATGGATGATGCCGCCTAACAGCCTGCACGCAACGCACAGGCAAAGGTATGATCCAAGCCACCTAACCTCCTTCCCCGATCATGGTATACATCAAACATTGGGCAGATTTTCACTCTCGTGCCCTCGAGCTGTATCAGGGAGATCCAGACAGGGTGAGCTGGGGAGTCTTCAGCTGACTTCCGCCGTGTCGCTGATCACCTCGACCTCTTCGATGAGCAGACTCGCTATCTGGTTAAAGCTCACCCAGCCAGACAATGGCTCGTCCTTAAAGTCACCGACAATGTCACTGTGAGTTGGCTGCGGTTGACAAGGGAGTTCAAAGGCCAGTTAGGGCCCTTCACTAATCCCTTTCTTCTCCCTTCATCCCAGACTCTCAAGTACCGCTCCCGCTCCACCGTCATACTCAACCGCTTCGAGCTCTTAAACCGCGAGCTGACGGCAAAGATGGCAGCACAAGATCAAGGAGTAGCTCCAGCGGGCCAGGGAGGTGAGAACCGGGCTCTCGGTGTTGTCAAAGATAAGACGAGCGCCTCACAGGTCGATGTGGCAGACGCAGCAGTTGGCCAAGGTGGGGTTGGTGGAGCGGGAGGGGTGGGCGGCAGTGGGCAGGCAGCCAGCAACAGCAAGAAGAAGAAGAAGAAGAAAGGTGGCAACAAGTAGATGCGATGCGATTCGCTTCAATTACTACCCTGTTCATAGCGAAACAAGCTGCTGCTCGACGTCGTCGACTCAGACCTTTGCCATCATCTTGCCCGAGTTCTTGAGCTCTCTGAGCACCGACATTGTCTCAATCTCGCCCTTGCCTTGGGTGCCGACCCTCTGTTGAACCTCAGCATCACCGACGAGCATAAAGACATTGTGCTTCTTCTCGTCCCCAATGGTATACTTTCCTGTTGTGACGCTCGTCTTGCGTACTTCGTCAAGAAGCTGGAGGATGGCCGGTCGCTCGGGCAAAACCCCGGCAGAGAAGGCGACGTTGGACTTTGTGTACTCGTGACCGCAAAAGACGACAGTATCGTCGGGTAGCGAGGCGAGCACCTTGTTGAGGGCGGTATGCATCTCAGCTGGCGTCCCTTCGAAGAAGCGACCGCAGCCAGAGACGAAGAGCGTGTCGCTGACGTTGGCGGAGCGGGTTAGCTTTGTGCTCAGCATACGACTCCTCCGCCTTCAGTTTGCTCACCCAGTAAAGACGGCCCTCTTGATTTCGTTTGCGGGCAGATTGCTCCGCGTATCCTCAAGGAAGAACGCAATAGAGTCTTGCGTATGACAAGGGGTAGCATGGCACTTGACGGCGATGGACTGGCCAATCTTGAAATCGCTGCCGTCCTTGACGAGCGTGTTCATGGTGGGCGTCTGGCTGCCGGCCCAGATAGGAGCCTTGGCATAGGCCTTGGCAAAGTCATCGTTACCTCCGGAGTCTGTGGAGCGGCAGGCTTTTGTCAGCACCTGCCGAGCGACGCCTCTCGTCTACGCGCGATATTCACGATCGTGATGGTGGTGAGTGGTGATACAGCCCACGACATTCTCGACATTGCCATTGGCGGCGTCCTGGACCTTGCTCAGGGTATACGGGTCCACGAATACCCCATCACCAGACGGGGTATCGACGACGACGTAAGCATAGTTGTCGTCACGTACTGGGACTGGAATCACGCGCATGGTGAGCCTGGCAAGGCGAGTTGCGTCAGAGTCGAGCCCGAGGTCGGCTTGCCTATAGAGCGGCACTCACCTGGATGAAGAGCTGAAGGCACGTTGTGATGACGGTGATGCCGACAATCGAGGTCGAAGCAGCGAGGGGATGCGCTTAGGGAGCATGAGGTACAGAGAGGCGATGATCGACGCACGACACAAGGAAATCGCCGCCACCTCCCTCCTCCACTTTGCATGGCGTTGCCGGCGGTCAGGTCAGGTGAAGGCGAAGAGATGTAGTCGAGACGAGCAACGACGAAGATTACCTTGCGAGAAGACAACAGCTAGGCAAGCATCGATTAGACGGATACAATTTGCTACCGGGTGGCATAGCATTTCAGAACAGACCAGAAGCTGCGCGCTCGCATATTCAACCTCATCTGATGCCTTTGTACCATCCTGCAGACTTCTGAGCCCTCCTTCTCTCCTTTCTTCGCGGACGAGCGTAGCCTTCATCAAAGGGCCGCCCTCCTCTTTCGTCGAAGTCCTCGTTTAGCGGTAGACTTTGCCGGAGAAGTCGATTCTCGACGCCGAGGATATCCGTCCTTATCGGGAAATTGTCCGCGTCGACCCATTCTCGGCACCATGCGTCAATCGGTCCCATCAACGAAGCGTCCGCAGAGAGATTCTGGGACCACAAAGGCAGGTCTCTGAAAGCCGTCAGGCTGACGAGTCCCATTATTTCACGGCTGGGCTGTAGAGACAATCGTCTCATCCATGATAAGACCATTAATGGCTCTGTCCAGACGTCGTCTGATCCGGAGAGGAAAGAGAAGGGGGTTGAGACTCGGTGTGAGTGCGGTTCGTGGTGCTGCTCGCCATTTTCGAGGAGTCGAATGATGCAGAGCAGGCTTAAATAGCCCTCAAATAGGTCATTGCCGAACACAACGGAGGTCCATGGAAGACTGCGGCCGCAGTCGTCAACCAGACTTCCTGGCTGCTCCTCGTCACAACTCTCCGAATCGTAGTAGGCGGCCCGAGTACCGCTTTGGGATGAATGGGCTTCTGGGGAGCTTGATGGTACGATGCTCAGCTCAGAGGCCTTGAAACTGGTTCGAAAGGGCCGCCAGCTGAGGGCTGCGCGGCAGGCTTCCACCGCGCTGACTTCCGTCCGGAGATCTGGATGCTGAGAGAAGATGATATGTCGGAAGACTGCCTTCGCACGTAGGGCTGGTGGCAAGCCGTCCCAAAGAGGTGAACTGTCGTTGTTGTCCCTCTGCCAAGGTTGGTGAGAGAGTAGAGCATCTACATCTGCCTCTAGGTCGTGTGACATTATCATCTCTTGGCGATTGCGAGTCTCCTTGCTTCTGATTCGGCGCTCGACATCCAGTCTTGCTGCGTGGCGAGCACCCGAAAGAAGGGCGAGCAGGGAGAAGTGGTCATGCGGACAGCCGGCGATTCCTGGACTGTGCTTCCATACGGCCCAGCAGGCCATCGGCCGATGCGAATTCAACGTGGTTCCCATCAATGTGCGAGGCAGACGGCTCGAGGGCATTGCGGGCAGCATGCCGACTGCCGCTGGATCTGACCAAGCCTTGACATTCGGTGACGAATTAATCCTGCGTAGCGGACCACTCAATGCTTCCAGCTCTTCGGCCAATTTTGATACTGCATGCTGCTGCTCAGTGGACGTTGTCACCCAGCTTTGTAGGAGATCGACGGCGTCGCCCCAGGAATCGCCGAGAATCGAAAGGCGAACTGCGTTGGATGCAATACGCGGCGTGGGCTGCACACGATAGCGACGGACGCAATGATCCCACATGTGCATGCCAGCCCTGAGCACTTGCTTTGTGAAAGCAGGCAGCGAACCAAGACCCGAAAGGAAATGCTGCAAGAATGCAGGATGTGATGCAAGGTGAGGATGAGGTCCAGCCGCGACGCTATCCCGAGGGCTGCCGTGAGGACGAGACCAGAGGTTGGTGATTGTGAATGGCTGGTCCGCTCCTGCTGCCAAGGTGGGATCGAAGGCGACTAGGGTTCCCCAGACACGAGAGCGTAGTGGGTCGCTGAGACTATTGGCCTTGATGACCTGATCGTCGAAGAAGTCGGCAGCCATTCGGAAGGCATAACCAGGTGGCACGTAGGTGGCCTGTAGTAAAGCGTCTGCATAACTTGCAAAAATTTCCGGAGGCGGACCTCCTTCGTCGAGAGTCAGCCGTCGTGCCAGATTAAGGAGCTGATCAGCTCGTTGGAGGTCCTGTTCCTCCTCGGCAGGAACGCGCAGGAAGGCGGAGATGATGCTGAGTACCTGCTGCTTCGACCCGCAATGCCGCGAGGTCTCTAATAGGGCTGTGCAGAGCTCCGTATCGGCAAATGCTCGATCGTAGATTTGCAACGGAGCAATGGGGAAGGCGATGGCTGCAGAGGGAGTGGTGGAGCTGGTCTTAGGATGGTCAGCCTCTTGCAATCCACCGCATATGATATTGATGATGCGTGCGATACGATGAGCGTCGACATCAAGGGCGGTTGCTAGCTCCACAAGGTCGAGCGAGGCATTCCTGGCTCGGTGGTCGGGAAAGGAAACGAGGCGCAGGGCAAAGTTGTCGAGAATGTCGCAGATCTCAGCCTCCCATCGAGCCTGCTGCTGACCGTCATTGATGTCGCCTGTTGAGGCGCGGATAGAGTGGAGACCCTCGACGACCACATCGACGAGATCTGATGTTAGATGGACCGCGCTCATCTTACGGAGGAGTCCATCAATGAGTATATGCATTGCGAGTGCCGTCGAGGGTGCATCGAGGCGCGACAGAGCATGGCGCGTATCGTCAACGACACGTTTGCCATCGCAAAATGATCGATGAACGCTTGCGTCGAACTCTAAAAGGCGCGAGAAAAGCGACGATTGTCCATTTGCGGCCATGTGAGAGCGACGGCGGCCAGATATGCCTTTGGCTGCTGAAGGTGGCCCTGTCCTACACGAGAAGAGAGGAGGCCAAGGATGGCGTGGCCCAAGGCTTAGACATGTCGAGGTAGCCAAGCGACGCCAAGGGGCCATTGCGCTCTATTGATGAGGCGCTGGATGATATGCTGGGTCATGCTCGCACGATCATCATCTTGCCGTGAAGAGGTTGGAGAGATCAGGGCAGGATGAAGTGACTGTTCATTTCGTCCTGGGCAGCCCGCCTCGCCGCACCCGCCCGCTTTGGCTCAACTTTTTGTCCAGTTCCCGGCCGCGCACTGGGCTGGATTGCCTGCTCTTGGGCCAGGACGGACTCGAGTCGACTTGGACTCGAGTGCGACACCAATTCCGAAGAAGGACAGACGACGACGACGACGACGACGAAGTTGCCTTTGACCATTGCTCATCCGTTCGTACGACATCTTCTCTCAAACCACCTTCGCTGCCAGCAACCCATCCTCCTCATTACGCTTCTTGCCCTCACTGAATTGAATACTGGCGCGCATATAGCCAATCCGTGGACATGGCTGCAGCGACCGAGGCCAATGGTCAGAGCGACATCGTCGGCTCATCCGGGATCGTCGAGGGGATCAAGGCAGTCTCCATCGGTGAGCATATATTGCAGTCTTGCGATCCTTTCAGCATCAGATCATCCTGCTCATCGCTCTCCATTCCCCTCTCGCTCGCCATGCAGACACTTCCAAGCTCACACCTCTGAGCCCTGAGGTCATCAGCAGGCAGGCAACGATTAATATTGGCACCATCGGTCACGTAGCTCACGGCAAGTCAACCGTCGTCAAAGCAATCTCAGGCGTGCAGACTGTTCGTTTCAAGAATGAACTCGTCCGAAACATCACCATCAAGCTTGGTTACGCTAATGCAAAGGTCGGTCGTCAGGCTGGATGGCTCGGCCAAGCAGCTCTTTGCTGACCTTTCGCGCCACTTCATTCCCGATTCGCATACATTCACAGATCTACAAATGCGACAACGACAGCTGTCCGAGACCGGGATGCTACAAGTCGTTCCCTTCGAGCAAAGAGGATCACCCGAAGTGCGAAAGGCCAGGCTGCAGTGGCACGATGAAGCTGCTGCGTCACGTCTCCTTTGTCGACTGCCCAGGACACGACATTCTCATGGCTACCATGCTTAACGGTGCTGCCGTCATGGACGCAGCCTTGCTTCTCATCGCCGGCAACGAATCGTGCCCTCAACCTCAGACGTCAGAACATCTCGCAGCAGTCGAGATCATGAAGCTCGAGCACATCATCATTCTCCAGAACAAGGTCGACCTCATCCGAAAGGAGCAGGCGGAGGAACATTGGGGCAGTATCACTCGCTTTGTCAAGGGCACCGTAGCAGACAAGGCGCCCATTGTTCCCATCTCTGCGCAGCTCAAGTACAACATCGACGCCGTCAACGAGTATCTCGTAAAGAATGTCCCCGTACCGCCGCGAGACTTCACCGCCTCGCCGAGGATGATCGTCATTCGATCCTTTGACGTTAATAAGCCTGGTGCAGAGATTCAAGATCTCAAGGGTGGTGTGGCTGGAGGGTCCATCCTCTCTGGCGTCCTCAAGCTTGGCATGGAAGTTGAGATTCGACCGGGTATCGTCACAAAGGACAACGAAGGCAAGATCCACTGCCGCCCCATCTTCTCCCGCATCGCCACCCTATACACAGAGCAGAACGACTTGCAGTTTGCCGTCCCTGGTGGACTCATTGGCGTGGGCACAAAGGTCGACCCGACCCTCTGTCGAGCGGACAGGCTCGTCGGTCAGGTCTTGGGTGCCGTCGGTCAGCTGCCCAAGATCTACACAGAGCTCGAGATCAACTACTTCTTGTTGCGCAGGCTACTGGGTGTCAAGAGTGATGGTGGCAAGCAGACAAAGGTTCAGAAGCTGGCGAAGAATGAGTGAGTCGTCCCGCCCCCTCTCCTCAACGTACAGGCGACGCCTTTGCCTGCCTTGGCGATCAATGTTGCTGATCCACTACCTCGTCCCGCCCCCTCGTCCTTCTTCCTGCCGCCTGTGTCACTCCCCATCGTCAGGGTCCTCATGGTCAACATTGGCTCGACTTCAACGGGAGGGCGTGTCATCTCAGTCAAGGCAGACTTGGCAAAGATCTACCTCACCTCGCCTGCATGCACAGAGGTCGGCGAGAAGATCGCTCTTAGCAGGAGAATTGACAAGCATTGGCGTCTCGTCGGGTGGGGCACCGTCAGGGCGGGGACCACCATCGACGCAGAGAAGTGAGACGAGCTTAGTTGCCGCCGCTGCTTTAAAGCCTGTGTGTATGCAGCTTCAGCGCTGACTAGCACGGCGGGGGAGCGTCTCTTATCGCTGGTCTGTTGAATGCACGATCGAGGTCACACTGGGCTGGATACGAAGCTGAGAAGACAAGCAGTGATAAATGAAAAGCAAGCGACTGATCCTCTGAGGCGACAGTGAGAAAGAATCTGACAACGTCCCATGCCAGCTCAATAGGCCACTGAGCGTTCCACCGTCACCTGGATCTCCTTCTCGTCATCATGGCCTGACCAAGCATACGACCCAAGGTGAGGCAGCTGCGCCGATGCCGGAGGGGTCGAAAAAGCCTTTGTGTGGAGCTCGTAGCCCCTCTCGCTGTCAACCGGGCTGAGATGGGTATTGGAGAGATCTTGACTGCCGATCCGAATGAATAGAAGGTCAGCAAAGGAATGCTACTGAGCCCGCTTGTCATACTCACGGCTGCCTGACGATAGACCTCGTCTTGGTCTTCGGCAGCGATGCCGCATTCTTTAGGCCACGGAGAATCCTGCGATATTCGCTCACCGCATCCTGAGTGAGACCGAAGATCGCAAAGAAGATGAATGCAGCGATCGGAGCTGACCATCTGACCAGGTCAAACCGGGAAAATGCCGACTCTGTGCTTGGGGTATCAAAAGCAGCAGCCGGAATTTGAGCTACGGCGCCCCATCCGTAGTGGACATCTGCCCAACTCGTATACGGTTGCAGCTCGCCGTGAAAGTCGCGCAGTTGCGACGCAAGATTGCCGATTGTGAAGGGGATGGTGATCAGCATATCGATTGTGCAGAAAGCCATCATTCGCAGGTACCGCGACTTGTTGAGATTGGTCCCCGAGCTGGCAAGGACCGCCATGAATTGAGCTCTTCTGAGACTGAACCAGCGGAAGGCTAGGACTGCGGCAGAAAGTCCCGTCGTGTCAGCACCGGTGCAAAGAAGCTTCTTGAAGTGACACTCACTAGAGTAGACCAGAGAGGTGCAGCTGACCAGAAGTATTGGTACCGGAGACAACAGGATCCAAGGCCATGATATGTAGGTAGCTGAATAACATCCGGCCCCTTCGTAGATGTCAAAGCGATGCCTGTGATGCAAGGAGTAGGGCGTTAGTTGATGTGATAGTAGATCAGCTGGTATCTGGACCTACCCTTGCCATACAACTGCCAGCGCAACGTAGACGAGCGGCAAAAGTATGCCCATCGCGAGCTCGAAGATCTTCTGTCGCTTCTTCGCGCTCGCAGTCTGCGTCACTTCGCGAGTCGAGGCAATACTTTCCAGCCTGACGGCGATGCAGAGATTGCAGGCCGGAACAGCGATGATGGACATGAGGTAGAGCCGTGTGGAGATATCGCACCAGACTGGAGCCTTGTTGTCCACATTGCTGTACCATATGACAGTATTGACGAACTGGATGAAATTGGCTAAGGCAATCCAGATGATGAGGAGGACCATGGCGATGTTACCAGTGCGAGCATGCCAAGTGAGCGGCAGCAGCACAAGAGCAGTGCCGAGAGCAGCGAAGACGGGGAAGACGGGATCTTTCATGGCGACAGGTGGTTGTTCTCGAAGTGAAGGGGCGTTGCGATCACGAAGCTCGTCGAACCAGTCATCTTGTAGTCTCAGCTATCGCGCACCAGTGCTAACGTTCTCTTTCGCGGGCGTCGCGGGAGCACAATGGGAAGCGAACAAAGGAACACTCCCCACGCGGCGGACAAAGGGCATTTAGTCGGCGTTTGGAGCGACCTCGGCAATAGATCGTGAGCGCAATTGGCCACCGCATAAGGGTAGCTTAAGACGTCTGTGGGCACGGAGCACCGAGCATGCCTCCGTAGAGCAGCCTCAAAACCCTGACGCAGACTTTGGACAACGATCATTCTCCTCAGGTAGAGCCTGTATCTTTGGACAATCGCACGAACATCGCAGCCCACAGCAAGCGTGGCATCAGACTGAGCAAGCACGTCAAAAAGAAAGATTGCAATGGAATTCCCGGGAAGGAAGAAAGGCAAGAGGAGGGCGAGCCAGGACAACGATTCGTATGGAAGCTACTCGTTCATGACTCCTGGCAGGAGGCTTTGAAGTCAGCAGCCGTCGTCGAGTGTCGCCGTGGTCACTACACTCACCCATCAGGCGACGACACAGCCAGAGGCAGGTCGGCCAGGCTTGTCAGCGTTGACGGGGGCACGAGCGACAACGCAGCCGGAGGCAGGGCGGCCAGGCTTGTCAGTGTTGACGGGGGCCGAGTCCTGAGAGTCGATCTGGACGGGTGCGACGGGCGCGAAGACGGCGGTGTAGAGAGGGTTCATCTTGATAAAGTGTTCTTTGGTTGGCTGAGGGGCTCGAGCGTGATGATGAGAAGATTGGTTGAGGTGGTGTGAAGAGAGGTAGACCTGAGTACGTACAACGCCCTCCTTATATCTCTTTTCCCCCCTGCTTCACCCCGTCGTCGATAACGTTTGCGACAGAAGAGAACAAAGGCCATTGAGTCTCTGTGGACCTGCGCCAAGGAAGAGGTGCCATCGTCTCACATGACTTCTTTGTTCGTGAGGAGGATCGCGGGAAACGTCTTGAAGCCACCTTATACTAACCACCATGGCGAACAAAGGGTCGTCTCCTGCACGTGGCTCTCAACCTTTGTTCGTCTGAACAAATTAGACCGAGACTAGACTCTCCCCGCGTCTCCGCTGCGCTTCCCCGGCATCGATTTACGCGCCGACGCCATGAGAATTGGAGATGCTTTGTCCGGCTTCCCTCACGGGGCAACCGCGATGTGGCTGGCAAACACACAATGCCACAGAAGGGAGATTCGTCCTTGTGCCTGGTGATTGCAAGCGTTATCTCAGTAGCTATACCACGTACAAGGGAAGAGTCGAGCCTCATGTCTCGATCCTCATCGCACCTGGCCATCTGAAGCAGATCTTGGACCGGAGTCAACGCTGACTTGTTTGCCTGCCATCCTCAACCAGTGAAAGCACGACAAAGTGCTGAGGACTTCTGATGGCCACCGTCCGACAGCGAACGTGCTAGCGCGAAACGCAACGAGCGCGAGATCTCTCATGGTCCGTATCTTTGGTCCACGTCTGCCTTATACGCCGCCTACTTCGTACGCGGACAAAGGGCCAAGCAAGTTCCCCTCCGACAAGCCGTACGCCGTCGAATACCATCTTTTGTCTGTTTCATCGGGATCCACGCGCGCAACGTGTGAATTCTAGGCCCTTTGTGCGTGCGACTATGATGAGTATGAGAATTCAGTAGGACAGGCTCGCCCCTTCTTTCTTTCTCATGACCGACTACACTTCATCCTCTGCTCCCCGAGCAGTGCGGGAGTCATGCTCTACGAACAAAGAGGTTCCCCACCCCCGTGCCCTCTCACTTGCCCGAACCCGCTCCTCCCCTTGGCTTGCCGTCCTGAGGAGGCTGTGCATCTTGCAAGCTCATCTGGATTGCGTGTGCAATAGCCTCCTCCTCTGTCATCTCCTCGTCTTCGTCCTCGTTCGTTGCAACAGTAGCACCAGCACCGCCCATCTCTACGTCCTCGTCGTGCCGTCCCGACTCTGCTGACTCTGTTTGCGTCGGTACCGCTTGACCCTCTTCTTGCGGCTGTGCCGAGAGCGCCAAGGCACGCTGTAGCATGGCATCTTCGTCGTCTTCGCCGTCATTACCTGCTCCTGCACTGGTACCACTGAGGGCATCGGCGCCAGGAGGTACAAGAGAGCCGCCAGAGGGCATGCCTGCTGCGGGGGCGGTAGGTCCCCCTGCTTGCGGCGGCGCGGCGGCGGAAGTCGAAGCCGAGGCCGTCGTTGATGGCGCCTCTTGTGTCTCTGACACGGTAGGGAGGGAAGCTGCGTTTGAGCCCGAAGCAGCGACAGAGCCTTCTGCTGCGCGCTGACGTGCTTGTTCTTCCTCTAGAGACATGCGAAGAGCCTGGGCGGGGAAGTGCGCAAGAGAGGGAAGGCGGTCAGCAAATGGCGCGGCAAATGGCGCGAGCATCTTGTCGCTCTTCGCAAGAAGCTCACCATGGCCAGCTCTGGGTCCATGTTGGGATCTACGCCCCACTCGTTTCCTCCTTCACCTCCGCTACCTCCGGCTCCTGCGCCGCCAGCTCCCGAGGGGCCAGCGCCATCGATGAGGATTTGCGAGGAGAGAAGCACGTCTGAGAGCAGCTGATGCTGAGAGGCCGAGACGGTCACGAGGTGGCTGTGTGAGAGCGCGGAGGTGTTGATTGTATCAGTGGACGTCAAGGAGGCCGAAGAAGATGCTGGTCGGAGGGTGAAACGCACCTGTTGTCGCCGCTATTGACGCTCTCGAGGAGTGCTTCTAGCTTGTCGGCGTTCTGCTGTTCCTCACCGAAGCTGACTACATCTAGAGCGACGTTATTCTTCTTCAATTTTTTGCCCAATGCGATGAGGTCATCGCGTGACGTCGACTGCTTGATGGGCGAACCGATGAAGACGACGATACGCTGATGCTGAGACTTGTTCTGACGATGCTTGAGAGCGAGCTGGGCAATGTTGATGGCAGTGGGTACATCTGCGGATCCAGAGAGTGTCGCGCCGTGAAGCGAAGAGACGATCTTGCCCATTTCCTGAGTGAGCGAGGCAAGGACTCGTGGTCTGACGTGGCGAGGCAAGTAGTGTGGTGAGCTCGTCATCTACGAAGGGTCGTCTTGAGAAGTACCTGCTCACCCTTTACCTGCCATGGTCATGAGGCCAACTTTGCTCTCAGGATTGCTTCCTACTTTTGCGTCGAAGAGAATCCTCGTTGCATCGTTCTGTGCTTCCCATCGAGAAGGAGGGAAGTCGCCGTTCCTCATCCACTCGGAATCGTCGAGGCTGCGGGGTAGTCGCGGCGATGGCTTGATGAGTACCACGTCTGATCAGCTCGAGGCTGACGGATTACTCACACGATCATGGTAGCCTCGAGCGGCATCTTGGGCAGTAGTGAGATGAAAAGGCTGCGCTTCAAGAAGCAACGAAGTCGCGAAACCACCAACTGTTGGTCGTCGACTCCACTCGATGGACCCACTGGCCGCCCGCGCCCGGACCGCCCCTCGTTGAGGCCGCGTGGCACGGATCCGGCGCCTCGGACGGACCGCGAGGCAGCAAGCCGTCGAGGCCATCCAGGGCAGACGAGATGGTTGCATACAAGGACGACACATCAACCATCATCGAACGACGACGACGACGACCCATCACCCACCATGGCAAATCAAATACGAGAAGTGTGGGCGGAAAATCTCGACGTCGAGATGGCAAACATCCGCGACGCCGTAGAACGGTATCCCTACGTAGCCATGGTGAGTTGAAGGGGTGGTGGCTGCGATTCCCAAACCTCCTTCTCACAAACGTCGGCCCCTCGCCCCACCTCACAAGGATACCGAGTTTCCAGGCATCGTGGCTCGACCCATCGGCACATTCAAAGGCTCATCGGATTATCATTATCAAACACTGAGGTGCAATGTCGACCTTCTCAAGCTCATTCAGCTCGGCATCACTTTATGCGACGCTGATGGCAACTTCCCACCAGACGTCTGTACATGGCAGTGAGTGCGCGCCCGTGGCAGAGCGCTCAGCTCCTTCCCCTGCTGCCTTGCTCATCCGTTCTCTCTCATGCTCCTCATTTCACAGGTTCAATTTCCGCTTCTCAGTCGCAGACGACATGTGCGCACCAGACTCGCTCGAACTTCTCAACAAGGCCGGCCTCGACTTTGAGCGACACGACAAGCTCGGCATCGATGTGGAATACTTTGGAGAAGTCCTCATCACATCGGGACTTGCCCTCTTCCCAGAGGTCAAGTGGGTCTCCTTCCATTCAGGCTACGACTTTGGCTACCTCGTCAAGGTGAGCTATCGAGAGGAATTGTAGAAGCTAGCCAATCCGGCTCGCACGCATTGCTGACCACCACTCCGGTCGTCCGCAATTGCCCTTCTTCATCCACGCAGGTCGTCTCTTGCGCGCCGCTACCTTCCACTGAGAGCGACTTCTTCTCATTGCTGCGAGTCTGGTTCCCTACCATCTACGATATCAAGTACCTCATGCGCTCTTGCAAGACGCTTAAGGGAGGACTCCAAGACGTAGCAGAAGAGCTGGGTGTAGCGCGCATAGGACAGCAGCATCAGGCAGGATCTGACTCGCTCCTCACAGCCGCGACCTTCTTCAAGCTCCGATCACGCTTCTTTGATGGTGTCATCGACGACTCCAAGTTCGTCGGCGCCCTCTACGGCTTCTCGGCCAGCAGTAGACCGAATGCCGTGGCAGGAGTGGGATCAGGAGCGTCAGCAGCGGCATTGACAGACAGCACCATCAATGGTGGCAGCGGCGCTGTCGTCACCAGATGATCCCTCTTTCTCCCACCTTCTTCTCTAGGCGAGCCCTCACCCCTTCATACCCGCTTGCCAGGCTCGCTCAGCATACACAGCAGCACAGTCATGCGCGCCCTCATCTACCATAAGCGCACCCAGTCAAACGTCTACAATTGTATTTGTATTTACCCCCCGCCCTCTCAGTCCTGTCTTTCCTCACCGCCTCTGACTACAATGTTGGACTAGCGCGACGTCTCATTGCGTTGTGCGAGTAGCCGCGAGTGCTTCGGCCCTGCCCCTGCGGTCATAAATCTCCAATCGAGCTTGGCGAGCGTGCTCTGCGTCGCTCAGAGGTGGCCCAGACGTCGTCGGCTGTGCTTCATCCGGCCCCCCTCGCGCTGACAGCGATGCGCCTCGCTCGCCATTGAACGTTGTCGTCGATGTGGTCCCCGACGTGTGCTCTGCGAAGAAGCACGACAGGAGATCGTCGACTGAGTTGACGTAGTCGCCTGGCGGAACAGCAAAGCGGGGAGAAGAACGTCAATGTCAGTGAGCTGAGCCGTTCTTCTCGCGATGCAAAAAGAAATGACCACTCCAGGACTCGAACCTGGAACCCCCTGCTGTCGTCCCAGCCATGCTGGATGTCTACGTGAAGTCGTAGGCAGATACTCTAACCATTGAGCCAAGCGGCCGATGAGGGAAGTGCTCACCTTTTTCACATGCCATTCCCGCGGCCGTCGTCCGCGCAATTACCGCTCCAGAATCGTCATACACGCCGTCCTCGCCCTCCCCTCCGCCATCCTTCTTGACGCCGCCGCCTTCCGATGCCCGCAGATACATGCTCTGACCACGATGAGCGGCAAGATGTAGGATCCGCTCTTCCACGCTGTCCTTGACGTAGTAGCAGTAGACGTTGGTCTCCTGCTCGTTGGCTCGAGCGCGTCAGCTTTGCTCAACGACGACGCGCGGAGGGGGACACGAAGCTCACCTTGGTTTGGCCGATGCGGTGGACACGGCCCAGCGCTTGACGCTCAGCTCCCGAGTTGACGAGCGGTTCCAGCAAGATGACGTTCTTCGTCGCCATGAGATTGAGTCCCGCCGAAGTCTGTTCAGAGTGAAGCAAGAGCACATCGACCTTGTCGCCCTGAGTGAACTCTCGCACCTTGCTTGCAACTTGCCCCTTGCTCGCTCCTGATCCGACAGAGACGTGAGCTACTCCATTCTGCCTGAGCGCATCGGCTACAAGCGTGAGGCCGCGAGCAAAAGCCGAGAAGACGATCGTCTTGTCGCCAGGCGTCTCGGCAGAGATGAAGATTAGATGCTTGACGAGCATTTCGAGCTTACTGCCGTATCGACCGAGCGATGTCGTCGTCTCGATACGGCGCTGCAGTTCTTGACTCGCGACATTGAAGGCCTGAAGAGAGAGAGGACAGGGGGGCAGTGGAGGGCGTCAGACACCAGATTACGTGGCCTCCGCCGCCGACGCGCTTACTCACGATCTTCTTTGGGCGGCGCGGCAGCGTCGCCGACCCACTCTGACTTGACACTGCGGCGTCTGTAGTGGCCTCAACACCGTCCTCGACAACCTCCGTCTCCTCTGGACGTGAGTAGATAACCCTATGCTGATCCTTGAGCGGGCCAATCTTGCTTCGACAGACTGGGCATGTGCCGTACTTGGCATGCCACGCGCGAAAGCAGCTGTGAGTAATGGCAAGGCAACAGGAGTAGTCAGTTTACGGCTGGACGCTGTCCCTGGCCCCCCTTCGTCTACTCACCTCTGGCAGACAATGTGCCCACAGACAGCCGTGAGGATGCCGATCTGAATCTCGTCGGTGCAAATGATACATTTGCGTGCTTCCTCATCAAGTCCCTCTTCCTCAATCTTGCCGAGATGATCGAGGTAGCGCAGGCGCGACTCGCTTTGCATCATTTTCGTCGATGTCGCGTCAATCTCGCTGGTGACCTTGGTCAGCTTCGCATCGATCTGACCCGCAGCGACGGGCAAGTCGACGAGGGCATCGCTCAACGCTTGAAGCTGCTTGAAGTACTCGGCGCGCTGATTGAAGAGTCTTGCGAAGCCGTCCAGCTCACGTCGTAGCCCTTCGAGAATGGTATTTTGATGCTTCAAGACGGCACGAAGACCAGCCGTCGCTGTACGAGCGATTTCCAGCTCGAAGCTGGAGGCCATGTCCGAGATGCCACGTAGACGATCCAAGAGCTCGCGAAGCGATGTCATCTCAGACAGTGCAATCAACGAGGCCTTGCGCTTATCTGCGTCGAGTTGACGAAAGTGCTTCAGCTTGGCTGCATCTACTTCGTTCAGCGCCGAGAAACCTTCGTGGTCGGCATCAAAGTCTTCGCGGCTGATCTCCCCTCTAAGCATGGCTTGCCTACTACTCCTCTTCGAAGCCTCGACGGCGAGCTCAAGCTCTTTGAACCCGGAAGGCCTGTCCGTTGCGCCAACGGCTACTTCCCACGTCAAGATCCTCTGCCTCTCCGCTAGCAGAGGCCTGTACATCTCAAGCATCACTTCCACCTTGTGCTGAGTGTCGAGAGCCTCGGCGTATTGATCGTCGTCTGCATTCTCTTCCGAGACATCGCGATTGACGGGCGTGTAGAGCTGTTCGATGGCCGTTTCGCGCCACTGCATCAGCAACGCGGCATTCTTGTCCAGTAGCGTCAGCCGCTCCTTGATTTGCGCCACAATCTCAGCAGTGTGGTGCCCGTAGTGCTCGAAGCTTTGCACGTCTTCGCCCATGTCATTGAGGTTAAACTTGACGTGGATCTTGCGCGTTGCCTCAGCTCTGCGGTCGACGTGATACTTTGCCTCTTTGAGCAGCTCCTGGCGCAAAGCTTCTGCCGCTTGATAAGCCTCCTCTTCTGCTGCTTTGAGTGCCGCGTCCTCGTCCTTGCCTTGTTCGCGGCCCTCATTGATCCTGTAGCGGATGTTGCCCAGCCAGTGAGTTGCGCGAGCCAATACCTCGGTCGCAGCTCGATGGCGTTGCGCCACAGTGACGAGATGCGTTGAACGAGCCTGGCGTTGCGCTGATCGCTCACGCGCTTTCTCTACGTCGGACGGATTGATAGGATCCGGGCTCGGGCTGGATGATGAGCTGCCGTCATCGGCGTCATCGTCTGCCTTGAATGAGTAGCCGGGACCAACTCTCTTGGCTCGCTTAAGCTCATCGCGAGTGCCCGCACAAAAGCTCTGCAAAGTGGTAACCAGCCCTTCAAGGGCAGCAAGAGCCACTGCGCGTTGCTCCACGCCTTGCTTATCTTGCAGTTGGTAGACAGCCCGATCGATGACGCGTTGAGCCCATTGGTTACGCTGTGCAGCGAGCGTCGAGGATGCTTGGTCTCTCATGAAGATGAGAACCTCGCCGATGGAGCGCAGGTTGCCTTCAGCGAGAGCGCCGCTACCGAGAACGCGTCCGGCGATCTGGGGATGCGTGCACGCCTGACGGAGAAGGAGCAGTTGGTTGCGCATCGTCACCTCATCGAGCTGCCAGTCACCTCGGAGAGGGGCGCCATTGTGGTCCATGCCTAGTGTTCCTAAAGCGCTTTGCCAGACCGAGTCGTAGTACGCCTGTTCGACAGCGGTAAAGTCGATGGGCATAATATAGCGTCTCTGTGCCGGCAATGTCATCTCGTCTCGCACCCCAACCTTCAAATGGCGAGTAGTCAGCGTGTTGAGGCCCTTGTGCAACGCTGCCGCGAGGACGGCAGGCGAAGGAGACTGGTAGAGAATGGAAGCAGCAGATGGGAGACGTAGAAAGCGAAAGAAGGAGCCCAAATCACCCAGTCGCTTGATTGGAGTTCCGCTGACGGCGAGGCTGCTTTGTCGAGGGATCATGCTGACTACTTCTGCGGCCTTTGTGGTGTTGCCCACCTGCAAGCGCGATAAACCGAGCGGTCGTCAACTGGCTGTCGCTTCCTCTACCTACGCCTGTCACTACACAACTCACCATCTGAATCTCATCGCAGACGACACGCCAGAATTCGACGACGATGAGCGGCGAGCGACTCCTTTCGTACTTGCGTGGAAATCGCCTCGAGCGAGGGCGCTCTTTCTGAGCTATGTCGAACTCGCCTTGTACATTCTTGAAGCTGGCGATGATGACGTCAAAGCTGGCCGCGAATTCTTGGAAGTTGCCGTCTGCACCCATGCTCTTCTTGAGTGGTCCACGGCCGGTGAAGACGTAGACGTTGAGGGCAGGCGCATGGCGGCCAATCTCTTCGGCCCACTGATCGACCAGGACGTCCGGTGCGACGATGAGGGTGGTCTTGATGGGTTGCACCATGACTTCATTGACTTCGTCCATGTACTCTTCCGCGTCGTGGCGCGCCGGTGGCGAAGGATTGAGAAGAATTAAGGCAAGCACCTCTACGGTTTTCCCCAACCCCATCTCCTCGGCGAGTAGCGCTCCTTTGACGTCGTGAGCTCGTGTTGCTGCAATCGACTGGGTGAAGTGGCCCGTCACTGCATTGTAGTAGAGGCTGTCGTGAACGCGTTGCCACCATAGGCCAAGCTGTGTCCAACCTCGATTTGTCATGATCTGGTCGTACGCTTCGTAGACGCCTGCATCCTCCTTGAAGAATGATTTGCCCTCGCGGCCAAGGATGAATGCAGCTGAGCGACGCTGGAAAGGGAGCAGAGTGGCGTCGAGCTGTTGAGGCTGCAGCGTGTGAGGCCCATCGATTCGTGCCGGGCAGAGATTGGCGTAGATGGCACTGGCATCAATGCCGCGCCGCCTCTGTCGCTCTGCCTCAATATCAGAGTCAATGGAAATGAAGCGGTTGAGGTAGGCAAGGTCCGTCACGTCGGCGGTGCGTAGCATCGAGTGCGCGGCTGGGCTCACTTCGATGATCGGGCACGTTGGTCCCAGGCGGGCGGTTATGTCGAGCTTGAGGATTGATCCACCAGTCTCGAGTGAAGCCTCGACTTGCCACTCGATGACGCCCTTGTTTGCGAGGCGAGCAGCGCTGAGAAGCCATTCGCCACAGGTGGCTCGCCAGGGCTGAGCATCGAGAGGGTATCGGTCATCCATTGTTCGGAGAACGGGTAAGGTGACAAGGAGCGACCCATCCGGAGTCTGGATATGAAGCTCTTGATCGGGTATGTAGGCATCGTCGAACGCGTCGTCTGAGGTGGCGCGCTTGTGTGCGCTGAGGAGCATGGGACCCAGAGATCCGTCGGCAAGGTGCTGGGCACCATCGTCTATGCGGAAGAGGCAGGATGTAGAGAGGAGGTGTGGGCGAGGTTGCTGCGCTTCATCGAGCTCGTCGCGTTCCATATCATCGTGTCGATGTGGACTGCTCTGAGAGGGGTCCTCTGTCTTGATCCTCTTTGACGTGAATGCTGAGTACGAGGACGAAGAGGAGGGCTCTTGGCTTCTCTTGTGAGGCGCCGGTCTCTTGGTGCTAGAACTACTGGCGCTGGCGTGTCGAGATGTTGAGGCGAGGCGATCGGTCAGTAGGCTGACATTGATGGTCGTGGAAACGGCAGGTATGCCAAAGACGTCGTCTCGAGGGCTCGAGGTCGAAGGCTCCGGCGACGTCGGAGTGGCGTCGATTTGGTACAGTGGTTGGACCAGGACGGCAACATCATGGCGGTGATTCTGCCTGTCTGCTACCGACGGCGCCATCGTGTATGGCTCAGCGAAGTGCTATGGAGAGCGCCGTCGATTCTGAGGCGTGGACAAGGACAGGCAGAGGGTGGCAGAGGGTGAGGAAGGAAGATTGGTCGACTGGACCCGCTCCCATCCCCTCACGACACCGAAATTGGCGTGCCTCTCTCTCTCCACCTCGAAACGCGCCTTGGTCTACTTCCGTGTCCGTCATGCAGGCCAGTGCGGCGGGCACACGGTCGACTGAATGGCTGAGCCGACAACTTTTCGTCTACTCTAGAGACCCTCGAATCGCCATGGCGTCGTACACCGTCGTCAAGACGCCTGAGGAGCTTGAAAAGTACAGAGTACGCATCCCAGACGACGTCTGGCCATCGACGTCGACAAGAGCATCTCAGCCAAGTCCAGGACAAGATGTGAGGACAGAGACAAGGGACAAGGCAAATTGCTGCGCAGCCGCTGATGTTGCTCTCCGTCGTACGAGCAGGGCTTTTTCTACATTCCCGCATTTGTCTCCGAGGATGAAGAGCGGTACCTGATCCAAAAGGTGATCATAGACGATGTCGTAACGCTGAGTCATGACTCTCGCTGAATCACACCTGCCACCGCGACGCAGATCCAAGACGCACCGCAACCAAAATGGAAGACGCTCCAGAACCGCAGGTGAGGTGGCGACTGCTGCTTGATCACCTTTGCTCCTCATCGTGCTCACTCTCCCATAGTGGGCAATCTCTTTGCAGGCTACAATACTGGGGAGGCCAGGTCTCCTCGCGAGGAGAGCGCAGCGTCTTGATACCAGAGTCATTTCCCGACTTTATGACCAAGTTCCCGCCCCTCATCGAACGAATCGCTCAGACGAGCGCCTTCGCTGGGAGTGCCCACGCCTCGCCCAATCACTGTCTCGTCAACGAGTATCTGCCAGGTCAAGGAATCTTACCTCACGAGGACGGTGCTGCGTACTGGCCTGCGGTGGCTACGGTCAGCGTGGCCTCGCACACTCTCCTCGACATTTATCGGTGGGCCACGGAGAAGCCGGAGGGCGCAGAGGGCGCAGATGACGATGGCTCAGCGCAAGCTAGCCAAGGTGATGCCGCTGCTGCCAGACCAGCACGCGGCAAAGCAAGAGAACAAGAGGCTGCCTTTTCAATCCTTCAAGAGCCGAGGAGCCTCCTCATCACGACGGGGGCTGCGTATAGGCGAGCAAGCTTCGAGAGATTGGCTGCTCTCATTCGTGTAGCTGACCGGCGCCAACCCTCATCACGCACGCAGAGACTTCCTCCACGGCATCGCAGAACGCACAAGAGATGAAGCCGCGCATCTGGCCAAGGTCGTCAATGTAGCTGATCTGCGAGATGTGGATCTCAGAGCAAAGGTCGACGGCGTCATTGCATCCTCGCGCGACGGCGACGAGACGAGCCACGACGTCCTTGTGCGCGAAACTCGCTACTCGTTGACGTTCAGGGATGTCGAAAAGGTCAGCAAGGGGCTCGCAGGCCTTCTCAACAAGAAGCGGTGAGGGAAATCGCAAGCGAGTCTGTGCACGCTGCCTGAGGCCTTGAATGCTCTTGAATGATTGCAGTTTCCCGCCTCAGTACCACCCTCGCCCTCTACCTCGACCCCTCCCACCTCGTCCTCCCCTGCCATACGGCCTCCCACGCCCTCTCCCTCGTCCCCTGTTCAGACCGGGCAAATTGGTCCTCTTGGCCGTCACCTTGATCAGTCGGCCGCGGAAGAGCGACTCGTTGAGGACCATGGCGTTGGCCACGAGGCTGGCGTCGGCAAACTCTACGTATGCGTAGCTGGGCGGGGGGACGAGGGAGTAGACGCGAAGATCAGCCTGTGTTGCATCTCTCTTCTGCCTCATCGCCTGTACTTACCCCTTCGGATGCCCCGTGAACTTGTCGCAGAGGATCGTGACGCGATTGATGTTGCCGCAACTATGGAAGTGCTGCTGGATTTCCTCTGGCGTAGCTCCGTAGTCGACCTAATAATGCAGAGGCAAGATCATGGTCAGCTTCGTCCTCGCATCTCTTCGGTTCTCTGCTCTCTGCCCTCACATTGCCAACGTAAACACTCCTCGCATCGACTTCCTCCTTTTCCTCATCCGTCGGCCCACTGACTGGCGTATTTGCTCCTCCGCCAGCTCTTCCTCCTCCCGCTTCTCTCTCTGCTTGCTCTTGCATCTCCCTGAGCTTGGCTGCCTCTGCCTCCATCTCGGCCACTCTTGCCTTCATGGCCTCGAGCTCGGCGTCATCGTCGTCGGCCTCGATGTCGTCGCCTCCGGAGGCACCGGGACCACCCGCCTTGGCTGTCGATGAAGGCCCAGCAGCAGCAGCGTCCTCGCCGCCGTGCGTGGGCAGATCGATCTCGTCGAGGGCGGACATCGTCGCGCAGAAGAGCGAAATCGGATGGATGGATGGGTGGTGGGGTTGAGAAGCAACGGCCGGACGGACAGACAGACACGCCCTTTGGTTCGTTGACTTCTCGACGAGCGACTTTGCCTCCGTTCCGCTCGACGCTACTTCCGCTGCACGCTCCAGATCAACACGGAGGACTGGTTGGCCCGCACCCCCGGCCCCCTATCCTCACCACCACCATCATCGTGTGCTGCAATGACGTATCGCAGTCACAAACGCAAGGTGCCCAAGGAACGCCAGGTGGCCGGCTGGAAGGTGAGAGAGCAGTTTGGGTGGCAGGATGACTCGCGGCGTTCTCGCTCTGATGGTGCAGCCTTGCCCTCCGCTCGCAGGCCGCCCTCAACAACCCTTCGACGAGCTCAGATGGACGATGGCACGCGCGCAAAATGCTACTGATGAAGGGTCACATCGGAGACGCTCTCTTCACACACGCCTCCATGGGTACCAGGGTCAGAAGGGTACTCGGATTGAGGGCGAAGCGTAGTGGCTAGTACATTGCACATCTATGATTTGATGAGAATACCACGCCTTGCAGGAGTACAGTTTCGACGTGCATGGTCTCATCTCTTCATTGCTCCCTTCGCAGCCTATCACGCCATCTGACACTTCTTCATCCCTGCACTTCTACTGAGACTCGACACGACGCTAGGCGCAGGAGATGTACGCATCCAAGCTACCATCCTGCATCATGAGTGTGCTGCCGCCGCACCGGCATGTCCATATTTAGTCAATGAGCAGCAAGTGAAACGATTCTTGCTCCAGTCCGAGGGCTGAGGCTCGAGACCAGCAATGATGGATCGTGGCGATGGTGAGGGCGCGCTTGGGGCGGCGGACGGAAGAGGCAGCGGTACGCTCCTGAGATCGGCGACTCCCGCGTACTGCGACAATGTCCTGACGAGGTTGCTCGCGCTGTCCGGCATCATAAAGCTGTGATACCAGGTCAGCGAAGCCTTCTTGCCCTCGACGGACGGCGAGCACCAGATCCCACCGCTCGGAGAACAGGTACGCCTCCAGCGACCCCATCGTGTTGGGCGGGGTGGCATGCCGCGGCAACTGCTCGAGCACTCCCTTGCAGCGCGCTGGTAGGGCAGGGACCTGGTCCAGGACGTCCGCCGACGGCTTGATACAGGACATCTGCTGCTCTACCAGCCAGTACGGCAGGTAGAGGTACACCACCCTACCCGCAGCGTGCCTGGCCATCTCCGTCAGCGTAACCCGCATCCCCCTTTCCTCCACAATGCCACGAAAGCCTCCTTGTCCGCCTCGGCGTTCCGCTGCGTACGGGCTTCGGCGTGCACCGGCACCCTGGCAGCCGGCCACGTCGCCGCAGCGACGGAGACTGTGCCGCTGGTGGTACCAACAGTGAAGGCCTATGGCGGAGAGCAGGCACGTGGTACTGTTGAGGCCGACCGTACCTGCCGCCGGCCTGCCAAGCTCCTTGTTAACAATGCCGTTGTAGGCGGCGTTCTTGCGGCACGTGCGGTTGGAGGCGGCGATGATGGGCTCCATATGATGCAGTATTGCCCGAGCGAGATGGTCCTCAGACAGGCCGAATCCGTTGCCGTATAGCCTCCTGATCGACCTTGCGAGCTCGTCCGTGTCCTCGATCTTGAAGAGCACGAGGGAGACAGTCTCCGTAGCCTGCCTCTTTGCCGAATAGTGGAGCGTCTTCGGCAATGCAGCATTTCAAGCCTTCGAGTGCTCGGCGTGTTGTGTCGATAGCTGAAACCTCCGTATCTAGATTTCTCGGTCTGCGTGCGGTCGAAGAATAGGCGTGGAGATGAGTCTCGCCTCAGGATTGCGACTCTCTGTGCTTTCCATCACACTTACCAGGAACATCGGGCAGCGTGTCATTCCGCTCCTGCGGCAGCGACGAAAACCGCGCATACGCCGCGGGACACTTCACGTCAGCCATAGGTGTGATCTTGCTGCGAAGGAAGGGATGGCTGAGTATGGCTTTGAGCTCGGCTATACTGTCCACCGCGAAGAGCCCGATCACGCCGAAGTCCTTAATCAACTCAATGATTGCATCCTCGTCGCTGAGCTTGAGTTTATGGCCAATGCATGGGCAGCAGCCATACCGTCGCGGCCACGGCCAATGACTTGAGGTGCTTGACTACTCGACCGTCAAGAAGCGCGGGATGCGACTGAGACCCTTGGCGTTGCGGTCTGTAGCGCACTCACGCCCACTCATATTTCGATTGTACTACGTAGGTGATGGTGGAACGGATGAAGAGTGGTGACAGTGAAGCGAAGAGGGAATGATGATGATGGTAGAGCGGAGGAAAGATGATGACGGTGGAGAGGAGGCGAGATGGTGATGAGCGGTGTGATGAGCGGAGACGAAGTGCGGACGCTCGCGTTGATTAGCCTCAGGCCACGTGGCGCACACTCTGCCCGCCCTGAACAGTAGCCCACTTGCCTCGCGATGCCACCCGTGACATGGCCCGGACAAATGGAATCAGGAGCCGGCAGAATAGTGTCTGCGCCATGGAGAGATGATGAGCAGGCCTCCGGCAGGAAGGGGAAGGCGGATGGCAGACGTCACGTTCCGCCGAGACATGCCCGTAGACGTCCGGCAAAGGCGAGGAGCTCGACAACTGGCTGGCATCGCCATCAAACTCAAGTCAAGCGAAAGTAGATGAAGTTGTGATTCGTTGCCAATCGCGCGTATACACAAGCAGCGCTACACCTGCAGCGCACGTGATGCTTCAAGGCCGCCTATGCCGCAAGAACAGCCTTGATCGTCTTGACTTCGAATGGTCGGAAGGTCAGCATTACGCTAGCTCCTCCATCCTCCGTCTCCCACTGCTCCAGTACGCTGTCTTCCTCCGCGTCTTCTAGAAGATTAGTGACCACCAGCTTGTTGACGTCGAGCTTGGACGAGCTCTTGAGCATCACCTCTGCGTGCGCGCCGAGTGACTCGTAGAGTCGCAGCACGACCGTCGTACGGCCGGAGCCCTTGGACTTGTAGTAGTCAAAGTCTTCCTCGCCGCGCTTCATGGTGTCCAGGACGACGGTGCACTCTTTGCCGCAGTTCTCGATACTGAAGGGGGCCTCTGCCTTGCTCGCCCCGCCGACCGATGCAGGCCTGAGAGCAGACAAGTCGCTCACCTCGACGGGGTTGTTGAAGATGCGAGCGGCGGTCACGACGTCGCTACCGAGTGCGCCGACGTGAGGGTAGATGGCAAAGGAAAAGGTGTGCTTGCCTTCATCCTGATGGGCGTCAGGGTACGTTGCAGCCTTGAGCAAGGACAAGCGTAGCGTCCCCCCCTCGGCCGAGTGGCCGTACTTGCAGTCATTGAGGATGGAAAGCCCCTGCAGAAGAGCAATGATGGGGGAACGTAGCCGGTCAGTATCAAGCTCGCCCTGATTGACACGAATCATACATCGCTTACTCACGTAATTTGCCTCGGAGAGGTCGCAGAACTTGTGCGCAGCCACCTCGAATTTGGCAGCCTCCCACGTCGTGTTTCTCGTCGTAGGCCTCTTCGTGACTCCAAATTGCGTCTCAAAGGATGCCGTCTCACTCTGCAAGGAAGTTGGCACCTCGAAGCGGAGAAAGCGGTGCTTCTCCTGCCAATCAACCTCGGCGTCGAAGCGGATGAGGGAGCGTGCATCGCTACCACTCTTGCCTCCCTGCACGGCGGTGGCCGGGACGGCGTCGAGGCTGAGGATGATGGATGCCTTGCTCTTGCCAAAAGAGGCTTCGAGGACCATACTGGCTCTCCATGGGCCCCGCTCGGCAATCTTGCAGCGATCAAAGCCTAACGCGACGCGTCGGGAGAAGCGGGGTCAGCGCCGGACACGCGGCACCTACGGTACGTGACTACTACTCACGAATCTCCTCCATCGTGTCCAATGAATACGATTCCAATTCCCATGCGTCAAACTGAGCACTATAGTCCTCGGCAATGCTGAGGCCTGCAGTACGCCCGGGAGCGATAAGCTCTCGCCCCTCGCCGATGTCGTAGATGGACGCGATTCGGCCGTGAGCAACCTGCGCGAATCAAGTGGGTCAGCGGCGCTACGCACGCTAGCGATCTGCGAAGTTCTTACCTTGATCGAGATGTTGGAACTGCGCATCGTGAACGAACCATTGCCGTCTTCGTTGATGGACACAGCTTCGATGCCTCGCATGACAGTCGCCGGTGAGGGGCAGCTCATGAGCCGGCCGTCAGCGCCGAGATCCTCCATGAGCAGGAAGGCCGAGTCGCCGTGGCCAGAGACTTGTACGGCAGCACGACGCAAAGCCTCGGCCTCATGCGATGACTTCTCGTTGATGGAGACCTCCACGAGCTCGCGACGGGGGATGCCGAGGGTGTTGATGCTGACGACGCCGTCCGTCTGAGGGAGGTGATGAGAGGCATCGGCTAGCAGCTTCTTAGCGCGACGGTCGATGTCGGCGTAGATCTTCTCTGCATCATCGTAGACGAGCCGGATCGAGCTGCCAGGGAGGACATCGTGGAATTGGCACTGAAGGAGAGGCTCCCAAAGACTGTCTAGTTCGCTCTTGGGGTAGGTGTACTTGCCCTGCAGACTCGCGCAAGTGGCAACCCATTCGACGTTGTGCAAGAGAATCTCGAGCTTGCGATTCCATCTGTACGAGCGGTGGAGACTGTCAGTCGCGCGAGGCCAGTCGCATCTCTATGACATAGCTATCTCACTTCTTGATCGACCCGTGGGAGGTTTGAACGCCACGGTGGAACTCGAGATAGATCCTAGTGAGCGAAGGACGTCAGTCACATCGACTCTGTCAGCACCTCAGCGCAAGCTAGTCTTCACAAGATGCATCGAGCACTCACTCTCCCTGCCAGGTGGGCAATCGCTCACCGAGCTCCGTGGCTTCGAGGATATTGTCAAAGAAACTGCCAGCGGTCTTATGAGCAAGCTTGGGCATCTCGGTGAAGCCAGCATTGTGGATAGCACGGGCTCGGCGGAAGCTCTCAAGCATGGGAGCAGTGGGCCCGCCTCCGCCGTCTCCAAAGCCAAAGAGTAGCAGCGCCTTGGGCTGCACGCCAAGGTTCTTATTGTTCGTCACAGACCGGCGAATATCGTCGACACCAGCGCGGCTGTCGTACTTGTCAGCCGGGGGCATGTGGGTCATGATCTGAGAACCATCCAGGCCGACCCATACGAATGAGTTCGAAGGGAAAGTGTTCGTCGACGACCAGCTAAGTTTCTGAGTGAGCCAAGACTGGCATCCTGCTCCCCTCGCGAGCTGCGGAATCTGAGCGTTGTAGCCAAAGGTGTCGGGGAGCCAGAAAATGTCGCAGTCTTTCCCGAAGCGACTCTTAAAGTAGCGCTGTCCATACACGAATTGCCTTGCGAAAGCCTCCCCGCTGGGCATGTTGGCATCGTTCTCGACCCACGTCCCCCCGATGGGGACGAAGCGGCCGGCTTCGACTTGCTTCTTGACGCGTTCGAAGAGCTCGGGGTAGAGCTGTTCGAGCCATTGGAATTGGATCGCACTGGATGCGGTGAACTTGTACTCTGGGTAGCGCTCGAGAAGGTCGAGCTGCGTCGACCAGGAACGAGCGACTTTCTGTTGTGTAGCGCTGAAAGGCCAGAGCCATGCTGTGTCGATGTGGGTGTGACCAAGAGACCAGACTAGCGCATCTTTGTCGTCGTTGACCTCGCTCTTCTTTGCTGCGTAGATGTCGCTCCTCTCCCAGTCTGTGCCCAGGACCTCCTCAGCGATCTTCCTGCACTGGTCGATCGTCTTGAGGTCGTTGCGGCGGAAGGTAGACATGATCTTGTTGCAGACCCACAGCGCCTTGTTCTGCAGAACACCGTCCTTGGGCATCTCGTTGACGCATCCTCGCAGGACTTCCCAGTCCCACAAGAGTCTGTGCGGGTCAAGGGCACAGGGAGCGAGCAGGTTCAGCAGGCAAGACGTGGGAACATTGGACGATGCGGGACGCGTCGTCGGCACTCACCTCCACGCCTGCGGGCGCTTCACGACAATATCGCATGACTCAAGTCTGAAGGACCTATTAGGATCCGGGTCCCCAGTATGGTCGCTTGGCACGCCAAACATGCCATTGCAGCTGCATTCGATGTAGAGAGTGAAAGGCTTCGTCTTGTGCGAGCCCTTGAGAGGGAAGTCGACGCGCCTCATGTCACCTCCGCCGGTGATGCCTTGAAGGGCTTTGCCATTGACGTCGAAGATCATCCCCTCACATGAGGGGTCAAACTTGCGCAAAGAGGAGTTGGGCAAGGGATGTGCGAGAGGTCAGCGAGTGGGGGTACATTGTCCTATGCTGGTTGCTCACCTCGAGCTCAACCCTATATGCAAGCGTACGAAGCATGATGAGGGTCAGCAAAGGATCTCTCAGAGGGCGCAGCATCTTCGCGTACGCACCATTCCTTGTCCTGCCACTTGGCTGGTACAGCAATGTCGAGCTTGCACCAATGATTGGACCACGACGGACCCATGAGATCGCCCTTGCTAGCCTTCTCAAACTTGTGCTTTACGGCTTCAGAGAAAGAAGGCTTTTCTCCTGCTGGCGGCGACCAGCGGTAGAGGGCAATTGCGCTCGCATCGTCGGTGCGATCCTCGAAGAGGACAGAAGACAGATTGTAGGCGGCATATTGACCGCCAACGAAGTCGGGCAGGCGCCTCTCGTCTTGGCTACGGATCGACAGTCCTCGAACAGGGCGATGGGCAGATGACGCGAGTCGGGGGAGCTGAGGGGTCGGTGGCATGGTAACGGGGTTGGGAATGGCGGTCTGAGGCACAGAGGAGCAAAGGCAGTCTGAGCCGTGGTAGTGAGGAGAGAAGGGGAGGGGACACGAGGATGACGAGAGACGAGAGACTGCGACTGCGACTGCGACTGCGACTGCGACTGCCTGCCACCAAACTGCCCCGCACTCTGCCTCGCAGCACTTTGCCAGTGCACAGGCCACCCCGGAAGGGGGCAGCTTTGCCCGCAAACGAGACGCCATCTGAGCAGCCGATTCCGCGAGGCCTTCAACTTCTTGGTCTCGACCTCGTCACTGCTACCATCGAAAGCAATGGCTACCCGTTGGAAAGCCTTGCCCCACCTTCTCGAGAAGCGTCGTCAAGCGGCGGCGGCATCAAGCCCTATCATCGATGACTGGGAGAATGAGGACCTCAATGACGACGAACAAGGGGCGCGAGAGGCGGCCACCCAGCAGCAAGGGGATTTGGCTGTGAAGGGCAATGATGAAGATGAGGAGGATGAAGACTTCCCACGACTGGGCAATGAGCCAGCTCAGGCATCTGGAAGTGGTACCAAGAGGTGCGTACGTGATGGTTGCATCGTGCAAGAGAGATGCAAAGCTGACATGGCCTCTCCCGTTCTCCCGTCGGCATCTCAATCAGACCCCCAACCCTCCTCGCAAGACCACAAACAGGCTCGTCTCCCCTTCCGAGCATCAGCAGGCCGCCGCCAAATCAATCGCCAGCTCCCTCGATCCTCCTCTCCTCTGCGTCCCGCACCCTTCCCCAATCGGTTCTTCCACCCTCTACAAGCGGGTACGGCTCTGCTCCTCAGATCCTGCGACGCAATGCTAATGGGCAGGAACAGGCCCAATCAAGGAAGGCGACACCGCCGAGCGGCGAAGGTGCGGCCAGAAAGACGCTGGCGCAGAGGGAGAAGGAGTACGAGGAGGCGAGGAGGAGGATATTCGGTGACGATGCCACGGCTGAGAGGGCAAGTACGGCGCCGAGTGGGAAGACGCCAGGATCGCGGTCGGGTTCGAGAAGCGGGAGTGCGAGCGCAAATGCAAGCGGAGATGAGGGATCGGCGAGAGGGCAGCAGCAGCAGCAGCGACGAGGAAAGGGAGGAGGTGGGCAGCGAAGAGGAGGCGGACAAAGAGGAACCCCTCCTCCGGCGCCGCCTTCAGCGAGCGTAGTGACGCAAGGAGCTCGGTGACAGCGTCGAGGCCCAGATCGGGCAGCTTCGACATCAGCAGCAATGTCACACCAGCATAGCGCCCACAGCCGCTCGCACTTGGCATCCCTTCATCCTTGATCTCGCACGCTCGCGCTAGTCTGGAATCATGAAGATTGTATGGAGACGGTGCTGGTGGTGAAAGTACATGCGAGACTGAGGGAAAGAACCCAGGTCTCAGAGAGAAGAAAGCAACCGCCGTCGACACAATCCAATCGCTTGCGCACACAAACGATTAGATGTAGGTGTCGTAGGCAATGGGCGCGAGAGTCTCGGGGATGTTGTTCTTCGTCGAGACGGTGTAGCTGCCGCGAGGCATGGCCGGGAGACGCTTGAGCATGACCTTCTCTCCCTTCTCCTTTGCCTCCTTCTTCTTCTCTGCGTTGGCCTTGACGCGGTTGAGGAAGTCGTCGCGGCACTTGGAGTGCTTGACGTGCTCGACGCGGAGGTTGACACGCTTCTCGATCTTGCGGTTGCCAACGGTCTTGTAGACGATGACACCGACAGCGCGAGGGGCAACGTTGTAGACTACACCGGTGCGGCCGTGGTAGTACTGCGGGCGAGGCGAGGCGAAGAAGACGAAAGGGTTAGTTGAAAGTATACAAGAGGGCGTGCGCGCTTGCTCGGACGCACCTTGTGGGGCATGCCCTTCTGCTCAGCTGCGTTGGCCTTGATGTCGACGATGTCTCCGACGTGGTAAGGACGGAGGTACGTCGAGAGCTTGATGGGGCCATGCTGCCTGAACTTCCTGGCGAACAGGTGGCGAGTTCGGGCGCGGAGACCAAACGAGTGAGGCATTCTGGCGGGGGGCAGGGCAGCATTGGATCAGTATGTGCTGGAGCATCAACGAGGTGACGACGAGTGGCAGCGATCGAGGCGTGCAGCAGCGCGCAGAGGTAGCAGAAGAGCGAGAGCGTGATCCAGCATCGACTATCCCGCAGCCAGGCCAGGATTGCAATGTGATTCGACCTCCCCACACCAGTCGTCTTCAACCTGCTCCACCCTCTCTCCTCTCTCCTCCCTTTGGCAGCAGCTGCTCAGACCTGCGGATAGCAGTGACTGCAACGTCTGTGCAAATATCTGACCATCCCATCCAACTGTCCTCGATTCCCATCTGGTCTCGACGAACTCGAGCATCTCCCTCTTGCCCACTCTGCCCGAATGCACCACTCGGCTCTGCATGCTCATGCTGTGCCTTTCGCGCTGCTGCTGCTGCTGTGATCGTCGCTGCCATCGCTTGCGTCGCTTGGATACCAACCTGAAGGATGAAGAAGGGGGGGAGGGTGACGGGTGGTAAGGAAGAAGGTGCGAATTGGCGCTCGTCTACTCGTGGTCGCAGCAGCTGACGGCTCAGACTGCCCCTCGTCCGCCCGGCCAGCTTCCAAAGTCGAACTCCAGTCGAGCTCTGAGGGAGCGGGCGGGCGAGTGAATTTGGCGGGCGGGTCGACGGACAGTGGCCAAGTGCCTAACGCTCGATCCGCGGCGCTGCGCAGATGCGACTGCACGTGACTTGAGAGGCTCGATTCCGTCCACGCCGCCGCCAAGTTCGTCGAGGCCAGAGCGAGAGGGAGGGAGGGAGGGCGAGCCACGCTGAGCGGGGCGGGTGAGCGGGTGAGCGGGCGAGTGGGCTGGGCTTCTTCTGGGCGACGCTGCTCGTCGTGTTCACTTCCTTTCGTCTTACGACTTCCCCCACCCCTCTTCATCTTCCAATATGTGAGCATGCCCGGCGAGGACGGTGTGGCAGCAGCAGCAGCAGCAGTAGCGACTACGACTAGAGGAGGGAGAGAATGCGGAACGACGGATAGTTTGCCCATCCTCGACAAAGCGTTGGCTGCAAAAGTGGTGGACGAACGTCGAGAGGGCTGGCAGGACAGTGGTGATAGCCACAGCCAGGGCGCGATGCTACGCCAGCGTGGTAGGAATGGCGGGAAGTGCTGGGAAAAATCCAGTCAGTCAAGTCCTCTCATCGTCTGCTCAGAGGCCAAAGAAAGGATTCCTCTGCACTGCTGCTGCTGCTACACCACACCTCCATCATCTTCACCTCGAGTGCCCAACTAACCTTACCACCGCCCACCCCACCGCGTGCTCGCAGGCCCAAGGCTCCCCGAAAGCAGTCCAAGACGTACAAGGTCCCTCGTCGACCCTATGAGTCGTCTCGCCTCGACTCTGAGCTCAAGCTCGCCGGCGAGTACGGTCTCCGCTCCAAGCACGAGATCTGGCGTGTCGCCCTTGTCCTCTCCAAGATTCGTCGTGCCGCTCGTGAGCTCCTTAAGCTCGAAGAGAAGGACCCCAAGCGTCTCTTTGAGGGCAACGCCATCATTCGCCGTTTGGTACGCATTGGTGTGCTCGACGAGACCCGCATGAGGTGCGCAATGATCCCGCAAAGACAATCGCTCGTTACACCCTGCTCACCTTCACTTCCCACCCACGCACGCGCAGGCTCGACTACGTCCTTGCCCTCAAGCTCGAGGACTTCCTTGAGCGCCGCCTGCAGACGCAAGTCTTCAAGTCTGGCCTCGCCAAGTCGATCCACCACGCCCGCGTTCTCATCTACCAGCGCCACATCCGTGTCGGCAAGCAGATCGTCAACGTCCCCGGCTTCATGGTCCGCCTCGACTCGCAGAAGCACATTGACTTCTCCCTCAACTCTCCCTACGGTGGTGGACGTGCCGGCCGTGTCAAGAGGAAGAGGGCAAAGGCTGCTGCCAACGCTGGTGGTGACGGTGGGGACGCCGAGGAGGACGAGGAGTAAACGTGCGCGCACGACGCTGTATGAAGGGCGGCTACCACACCTTTTTCTTCTCTCACGACCTCAAAACCCACATACATTCTTGGCTCATTCATCGGCGTGCGCGCGATTCCCGTCTGTGCAAGCGTTGCGCATCAGCGGGCGCGAGCGTCGTTGATGCTCCCGTGGGGCTCTCCTTCAGCATCTTCTCTCTTTCTCTCTCTCTACCTACCTCTCAATCTGAGCTTGTAAACTACGAACCCGACCGCCTGACCGAAGCTGTGTGTGCGCTCACGCTACGCGTGCTGTACAAAAGGGTAGCCTGGTATTGTTACATGTCGTAAAGAGAGCAAGGAGGCAAGAAGGATATGAGAGACAACAGGTGAGAGAATGAGAGGACGAGCAGAAAGCCCGTGTCGACTTTTGAAGTGAAATGTAGGCATGCACGGTGCGGGTCAAGGCGGGTTTGCGCCGATGCGAAGGAAAGCGCTCGTCTTGATGCTGTTGGTTGATCGTAGGTGAAGATCCGGCGCCTATCACGCCCTACGACGCTTGCTCGCCGCATCTGAAGCTTCTGGCGCTGGCGGACTCGCAGCCGCATCACTGGTACGCTTCCTCCCGTTGTATCTCCGATATTGATCTTCTTGATCCCCAGCGCCGTCTTGGTGGTCATGGGCGCCCTGCTGCTCGTCTGCCCCGCCCCTCGAGGCTGCACCACTTGCATTGGAACCCTCCCGTGCTTCCTCGTCGGTATCATCCCGATCAGCCTCCTGCCCCTCTCCTTCGCCCTGGCCTTCATCTTCTCCCGTCCCAGTTGCAGCAGCAGCGGCAGCTCTCACCGCCTGAATGTTCTCCTCCATCGTAGCCGCTGCCGCCGCCACCACCGCTGCGTCCGTCGTGGTGTGATCATGCCCATGGCCATCATGCTGCTCGACAGCCCCTGTAACAGCCCGAGTGGCGGCTGCCGCAGCTGCTGCGACGTCGTTGAGTGCACTGCTCTCTGCCGTGCTGCCTTCAGCTCCCGACTGCTGATGTTCCAGTCCTGGATCGATGACATCACCTGCATGATGCTGCGCGTGTTCATGGTGGTGATGGCCTCCCCACTGCATCTGCTCCTCCGCCCTCGGAATCTCCTCGGCCTCCTTGCCCAACCTCTCGCGCAATTTCTCTACCTCCCGCCTACTCGCCTCAATCTGCGCCGACAGGTCATTCAAGGCCTGGTCGGTCAACAACTTCTCGAGCGTCCATTTCTCGATGTTATTCGCCTCATTCGTCTTCAAATCGCGTATGTACTGTGCTGCTTTGTAGATGATATCGCCCTTGTTGACGCCCTTGCCTTCGCAATTGGGGACGAGGGTTTGCAGCTCTAGAATGGCGGAATTGATACCTGCGCGACGTTTTCGCTCCACTTCCTTGTGATTGTCCTTGCGTTGCCGCTCGGTCTCAGGACCTGTGGCTGCTTTGAGTTTTGCCTTGGCGCTGCGATTTGTCGAGGAGCTGGGGAGCTGTTCTGCCAGGGCATCGGGATCGACGGGTTCGCCCGGGTGATCGAGGTGGTGACCAGCTAGTGTGCCCATTGCCGCAATCGCCGCCGCGGTGGCTGCATTGTCGTGGTGATGGTGATGACGTGAAGAGCCTTCGCCATGGTTGTCGTCCTCGCCATCACCCAGCCCTTCATCGCCCATCGTCTCATCATCGTCGTGCTCTTCCCTGCCGCCGCTGCCTACGGCCTGCGCCGCCGCCTCTACTGCCGCGGCTGCTGCTGCTGAGGCGGCCTCATCCGTGCTGGTGCTGACGCTATCGCTGCGCTTGAAGCCGGCAGCGAACTCGCTGAGGGCGGATGCTGTCTGGGCGAGGTTGCTGGGTAGATGGCCTAGGACGTGACGCGCCTGTTCATAAAGTGAGGCCGTTGAGCCTTCGTAGCTTGTTCCGGTGGCTGCGCGAGCGAGCAAGGGACGACGTCGTGGTGAGTGGTGAGTCAGACAAATGACCGTAAAGCCACCATTTTGAGGCGCAAACTCACCCTGACCTCCTGTTGCCGTCGCACGCTATTGGTACCCAGGACGATGGCGTTGTCAGCTTGCCGTTTCCGCTCTGATGTCACTGAGCTCCCTCCCACTCACCGCCGCCTCTACAATCTTTGCTAGCTGCTCTGGATCCCAAGATGCAATGAGCTCCTGTGTCTGTTGTTGCGCATTGGCGTCGTGCTGCGCGGCGGCTACAGATGAGGTCGAAGTCGAAGTCGAAGACCCCGCAGCATTGGTAGCATGGGAGGTGGCAGTGTTCCCACCCTTCACAGCGACTGAGCTACTCTCAGCCTGAGCTGCTCCACTATCGTCCTCCTCGCTATGGTCGTGATGACGTTGTTGCGCAGAGGCAACCATCTCTGGCTTCCTTCCACGCAGCGACCTCTCTTTGTGAGTTGAGTCTCGAGGGGCTGATCGGATGTGGGGACGAACACGTGATGGTGATGTAGCAAGGCCGCGAGTCAGGCCAAAAGACACGGACAGGCTAAGAGACGGAGATTCGAGGGCGACTTCCGCTCCGGCCCCTCACCTCACGCTCAAGCTACCACTCAACCGTGGCGACGAGCAGCAGGCAGCACGTAAGGCGATGATAACCATAGAGAAGACTGTGGCTACGAGCTCAGCGCCATGATTGTAGATGCCTCGACGGCCGTCCCACCCCACCGCTTCCAGGCTGTGATGTTGCGCTGAGGCATAGCCACCCACGACCTTGGAGTGACGATTGCTGCTGTTTGACGGCTACGACTTCTCACCCTCCTCGTCCAACATCATTCTGATTGATTGTCCACTGCTGCATTTCTCAGCCATGACCACGACCTTGTATCCTGCTCCTTGGCCATTCGCTGCTGGCCGTCTTGCTCGCCCTTCCTTCCTCTCTCGCGCTTTCGCAGCTTTCGCTCCCGCCGCCTCTGACACAAAACGGCGCGCGCAGGCGGCAGAGGACGAGAGGAGGAGCTCAGACAGAGCCAAACGACGAGCCGTGCCTCGCTCGCTCTCGTCGGGTGGGCTGGTCAGGCCAGTCCAATTGCACTTCTTCGTCGCCCTTTCCTTTTGCCCTCATCACCACCACCACCTCCCACTCTACTTTAATTTCATCATGGTGAGCACAACGCGCGCACAGAGTTGTCAGGACGACCAGAGATGTTGCAGGGTTGGGAGAAGGCATCAGAAAGCGGTCATCGGCATCGCTGCCCTAGGCTGGTGAAAGAGACGGCATGACCAATCGGCCTTTGAGTCGCCCCACGGTTGTGATGACCTTCCACTCGACGCAAATATCAGAGAGCTCACACGACACATTCCACCTCCGCCTTCCCCGCCACTACAGTCTGACGACGAGGCCCACAACGTCAACTTCGAGACCGCCCATGCTGGGTCGTCTCTGACGTTCCCCATGCAGTGCTCGGCCCTCAGGAAGAACGGACACGTCGTCATCAAGGGACGTCCCTGCAAGGTGAGCACTGGCGCTGATACTCGACACGACAATCGTTGCCTCTTTTGCTGACGACCGCATCCCCTGCGCACGCACAGATTGTCGACATGTCGACCTCCAAGACGGGCAAGCACGGTCACGCCAAGGTCCACCTCGTCGCTACTGACATCTTCACTCAGCGCAAGTACGAGGACATCTCGCCCTCGACCCACAACATGGACGTCCCCAACGTCCAGCGCCAGGAGTACCAGCTCATCAACATTGGTGCGTGCCGAGCCTTCCGCAGCTTTCCCCTCCCTCTTCAATGCATGCTGACCCTCATATCTAACTTATCCTTTCATCTGCAGACGACGGCTTCCTCAACCTCATGACCGCCGACGGCAACGGTAAGGACGACGTCAAGGTCCCCGAGGGCGACCTCGGAGACTCGATCCAGGCCGCCTTTGACGACGGCAAGGAGATCCTCGTCACCATCGTCTCGGCCATGGGTGAGGAGCACGCCCTCGCCTTCAAGGACGTCACCAAGTAAGCATAGGTGCCCTTTGTCAGACGGGGTTACTTTGCGGGATGACGGAGATGAAGGTCATAAAACAGAAGCTCTCGGCAGGGCGGGGGAAGAAGAGGGTGAGCTGGAGAAAGTGTAGCGGTGCTCTGGCGAACCGCGTTGTTGGATGCCTTGGACCTCGCTGGAGTCATGACCATCAATGACGTCCATCCACGTCCTTGTGTTCCCTTCTACCGCCTTTCCCGTGCGTCTTCTGAAAAGATTGTTCGTTTTCAATGTCCTCATCGTGCGACGATCCTGCGTACGTGTTTCTGACAGCGCCGCTTGGCTGTGAGACTCGTGTCGTGACACCAGGTTGCACAGAGCCGGACATGACCTTGAAGATATCTGGCTCGTTCGCATTGCGCATTGCTCTCATCTCCCTTGAGGAGCAGCTTTAAAGCGTCTTGATGCATCATGGTGACTTGGAGCAGTACAAAGGCAGGCGGTGCGGGCCCACCGCCCACTGGCTCGCCCTGGCTCACTCCACTCTGTGCGGGCTTCATCGACGGACTGGACGCGTGAAGCGGACTTGACCTCGCGCTTCTACTCTCTTTGCTGCTCCTCATCATCATTTCGTTTCCCTGCCTTGCATCGCCTGCCCTCTGGTGGCTCGAATAGACCATCATGGCGTCTGAACAGGATGTAGTGTGAGGATTTGCGCTGCCATTGGAATGTCAGGTCGCCGCGAGCTCACTCGATCCTCCTCCCTCACGCCTGGCCTTGCAGGCAGTTCATGAGCATCGCCCAGTGCGATGCTGACACGGCGCGGTCGCTGCTAACGGTGAGCACTGCGCCAGACATGAGCCAACCAGCTAGCTGCTCAGTACTGACTTGCCATAGCGTTCTCCTCTCACCCCTCGCCCTGCCGAACGCAGCGCTACAATGGCGATGTGGAACGAGCGATGAGCGCCTACTTCGATGAGGGGGCCCAAGCATCGGCGACGCAGATTGGGCCGCAGCCACAGAACGGCAATGGGTGGGGCAATCTCGGCCAGCTCGATTCGTCTGGTACGCAGGCAAGGCCTCCCTCTCCTAAGCGCCCCACATCTCCGGTCAATGGTATTGGAGGTGGTGGAAACTTTACGGGCAAGGGAGGTGAGTGTCAGCGATGAGCGCTGCTAGAGAGATGACTCGCTCAGACGCCTCTCCCGCACGCTCGCAGACCGCAGCGATCCAATCGATCTCTCAGGTGCAGACGGGTTCAATGATCCCGAGCTACAAAAGGCAATGGAGGCCTCGATGCAAGACCAACGTCCGCAAAGGGGTCAGGGTGCAAGACAAGGTGCTGGGGTAAGTGGGCGCGCGAGCTTCTCCAGTGATGAAGGCTGTTACGGCTACAGCGACGAGGAGGATGACGATGACTTGGACATGGAGACAGATGCCGACGCAGAGCAGGACGACGAACAGGGCGCAGAGCATGCAAGGCCTCAGAGGAGAGGCTTGGGAGCCAAGCGCAAGCAGACACACCAGCAGCAAATGTATGGCAGGAAGAGCACAGGCAAGCGACTCCATTACAGCTGCAATACCTCTCGTGGCGCTTGGTCACCTCCTGATATACCTGCTAGCCAATTCAGCGACAACAACAGCGCAGCGACAGAAGACAAGGACTGGGCCCTAGGCCAGCAACGTCGCCAAGCCCCACCGCCCGGGCCTGTTCGCCATTCTCTACGTTTACGAGATGCAGCATGCAGGGAGGGTCACGAGAGGATCTGTAGCTCCAGCGTCTCAAATTCTCTCACCTCATTTGGGCCGCGTAAGGCCACGCTGCGCCAACCCAGCCCTCCGCATCCCTACAAAGACGACATCTTCACGCCTCAGAAATGCACGAGCCAGAAGCGGGCGCTGACCAACCTTGCTACAGCCAAGGCCCGGGAGGTTGCTCAAGCAGGCGCTGTCAATAGCGATGGAGGCGGCTGCGATTGCGAAAATGAAGCTGGACCCTCCATGAGCCGCCGAGGCGCTTCCAATTCGGGCAGAACCACCAAGCCCAGGGCTGCTACTGTCAAGAAGCCTATCCCCAAACCGAGTCTCCCGCTGGAGAGCAGCAGCGACGAGCATGGCGCCAATGGCGATGACGACCGACCACCTCGTTCCCTCTTCGACCTCGTGGCCAAGCAGAGGCAGAACTCGAAGTTCACGCATCGCAAAATGGGCAGGAATACGTGGGCGAACAAGCTAGCAAGCGCAAATGCGGTATGCATCAAGCGACGTGGCTGGTCTGCTCTTCAAATCTTTTCGCTCGTACATCTACTCCACTTCACTCTCGTGCACCACCCTTACGTATCGGGGTCGGACCGGTCGACGATGAAGTCATTGGCAAGCAAGCTTCCGTCTTCTATGCTGCTCGTGCCTCCGACCAAGCCCAGGCGCAGGCGCGACACGCTGTCCTGGTCTTGCCCTTTGGCAGCTCTGGTCCTCAATCGTCCTCCATGCCCGTCTACGCCTTCAACAATCTTACCCCACTGCAAGGCACCTGACCGGCGCTGACCCTTCATTTCTCCCTTTCCTCGCACCCGCCGCAGGAGATGTCCGACGAGGAGGCCATGGAGCAAGCAATCAAGGCGAGCATAGGATTCGACCAGCAAAACGCCTTTCAGGCTCCACAAGATTTCCAGCTTCCGCCACAGAGGCGACAAGATGGGCAGTGAGTTACGGGCGCGTATTCCTTCCGGCCCAGATCCGATCTCACGTCATCCTTGACCCCTATTTCGCAGCCCAACCGCTCTTCTGTCGCCCATCCCTGTCCTTTCCAGCATCGCTCTCCTCCTTCAAGCCGTCCTCGCATGTCCGAGCGCCCGTCGTGCTCTCCTGCACTTCCGCCCAGTGGACGAGCGCGTCGTCTCTTCGTCATCATCCTCAACACACAGCCTCTCCGGGTACAATCAAGGCTTCTCACCGTCTGCCCTCGCGTACCGCCAAAACTCAGACTATCGTGCCCTCGAAACCTCTGTCCGTTCTGGATTCGAGACGGCCTGGCGTACTCAGATCTTGGCAGGATTTGCAACATTAACAGGTCATGCAGCATGTGCTATCGGTGATGTGGCAGCTGATGTGCCTCAGGAGACGCTGAGGAAGGCCAGTAGAATTGGCGTAGCTGGTGGCGAGGGTAGTGCAGAGGTGGTGTCTTCCTACTACAAGCATTTGACGGGAAGCTGGTATGATGCAAAGCGATACGTCGAGGAGGTGGGCTGGGAAGGGATGCAGCAGCAAGACGGCGAGGCTGCAGTGAGGCGGCCGTGGGAGCTCCTCAAAAGGTGAGCGACGCAAGATGGCACAGAAACGATCTCCTCGTCCGACACGCTGACCTCAGGCCCCGCGCACTCTTAGGACCTTTCACTCCGTTGGTACAGCCCAGCCGCCATCCCCTACGGCACGAGATCGCCTCGAAGACCAAAATGCAGTTGAGGTGGCTCTGCACCCAGATGGGGCTGGCCCTACAACAGTTACCGCCGCACTGGCGACCTCTCTGGCTACTCGCCAAGCTTCCATCACGCAAGCCTCAAATGTGCTTGCGTTCTCCATTCTTCCTTCCTCACGAGCGACGTCGCCATTCGGACCAGCTCCAGCCCCAAGCCAAGGGGCGGGACCATCGACGTCACCGGCATCCCGTATCAGCATCGAGCCCGTCATCTACCTCGACAGATTCATGTGGGAGCGCCGCTGCCATCTTGACCTCTCCGCACAGAAGAGCCAAGAGGAAGAGCTGGCGCTGCGCCAAAAGACAATCAATGAGCTTGAAAAGAGGCGCAATGAACTCTGCAACCATGATGGTGCGAGTACAGCTGCGCTTCTCCGCCAGTCGGTGGACTATTTGGAGAACAAGGCCCAACGCAAGGCAGGGATGACCAACGGCAGCAAAGGCGATCAAGATGGAGAGGCGGGGGACCGCCTCCATCTCGAGCAACGCCGAGAAGCGGTCGCCTCTCTGGCTTCTATCCTGACCGCCCTTGACCTCGAGTCAGCCCGTCTCTCGGAGTCCATCAGCTCACAGCTCACCGATCTAGGCGAGGCTCGGCGCTCCATGCTCCGCGAACAGGATCAAGTCTTCGAAGGGGACGAGTGGAAGACGATGCCCTACAGACTCAGGGCTGTGCTTGCCACCAAGGCGAGCGGGATGGCATCGAGTGATGTGGTCTATTTTCGTGCCGGGCGGTCGGGAGGCTGGTGGAAGAGTGAGGGGCAGGGGGAGGTCGTCTCGCTCGAAGAGTCGGAAGTCTTGGCTTCCACGACTAGCGGCGACAACAACGGCACGGCGAACTCCTCGTCAGCAGTCGCACCCTCAGCGATTCCGTACTATCTCCTCTACAACGTAGCGTCAGAGGACGAGGATACAGACGAGCAAGAGGAGGAGAAGTACGTCCCACCGGTATTGCGCGAGGCTGTGGAGCAGGACAACGAGGTGTTGGACGGGATGCTGCTGTCGCTTGGGGCGGGTGATACGGAGGGAATAGATGCGGATGGAGATGCGACTATGGTAGCAGACGCAGAGGCAGAGAGGGGAATATCGAGCAGCAAGCCAGCCGACGAGTCTAAGCCGTCAGTCGTGCCGGCACGCGAGGAGATAGAGCAGAGTGCTGAGACGTAGCGATGGACAGATCTCCTCAATCGATCAGTCGAGGTCGCACGACCGGCCTTTGCGGAAATTGTGGGCGACAAATATATTCTGCTTTTAGCAAGCAGGATCGTCCCCGCAGTGTCAATAACCGTGATCAAAGACCCTTGCTCTTGATGAATTGGGCTGAGAGGGGGAGGGATGGGGCCAAAGGAGCGATTGTCAGCAGCACGTCGCTTTGCGTCTCCCTTCTCACCTCGTGCTTACCGTACTGGCTCTCGTAGTCAGGATGCCATCGTGACAGCGCAGGCCTGTCCTGAATAATGTCGTTGACATTGTACTCCATCCTCGCTTGATCAAGGGCAGTAGGCGTGTCGTTGTCTGGGCACAGAACGTAAAAGGCATCCCTCGACTTGTTGATCTTCTCTAGGCAAAAGTCGGCCGTCTGCTCAGCGCTCCACGCTCCCTCTGGCTTGGCCTTGCCACTCTTTGCGCCTGTGAGACCTGTGTGCACCCAGCCAGGGATGAGCAGGTGAACACTGATGTTGCCCTTGGTCACCTCGTCCTGACGAAGCTCATGGGCGAGCTGCTCGGTGAAGACTTTGGTCGCGGCTTTGCTGATGTTGTATGCTGCTCCTGAGCCAGGAGGGGTGGTGATGCCCTGCTTCGACCCGGTATTGCAGATCAAGGCCGGCTGGCCTCCCTGCTTTATCAGAGGCAAGAAAGTGTGGACCGTATTGACCACTCCATGGAAGTTGACATTCATTATCCTCTCCCACCCTTCAGGATCAGAGGCCTTGGTCGGTCCGCCGACACCAGCATTAGCATGGAGAATGGAGATGGGCTTGCCAGGAAACTTGGTGGCAATGGCATCGCGGAAGGAGGCCAGGCTCTCCTTGCTGGTGACGTCGACGGGCAAAGCTTCGATGCCGTTGGGAACAGCTCGGAGCGCAGAGTCATCGCTATCACCTACGGCTACGCGAAGCCCTTGCTTGGCGTAGAGCTGCGCGAGGGCGAGGCCGATACCAGAGGCGCCTCCTGTAATGACAGCTACGTTTCCTGATTTGATTGCTGGGTGCATTGCGAGCGGCGGCAGCGGTGATGTAGGTGGTGTGATGTGACGACGACTGCGAGCTGATAGCCACCACGGCCATTTCTTCCCGTTGATGTGGAGCTCTCACGTCCCTCATTGCCGTTCTCGCTAAGCTCAGGCCCGAGCTAGCTGGATGATGATGGCCGCCTGTGGGGGGCCGCGAGCTGAGGCGGGGCGCGGCTTCTGGACCAAGACTTGCGTCAAGACAGGCTGACTGGAAGCAGCAGCTTGAGCGACTTGAGCGACTGTGGCCATCTGCCTCCGCACGCGCCGCCTGCCGGGCGGGCAGGCCAAGGCAAGGCGGGAAGGCCAGAGGCTGATGAGGGCGAAGGCGCCGCCGACTGAGTAGCAGCATCCAGTCGTGCCTCGTCGTCTCGTGTCGCTTGCTCCTTCTCGTCTTTGCTATCTCATCTCATCTCCATCGCCATTTGTCGTCGCCCGCGACACACGCACACATCAATTGAGACGGCAGGGCGGCGCTCTCATCTTTCTATTCTCCATCGTCGTCCTCTCTTGTGCATCACATAGACGGGCACCAATCGCTGCTCCCCTAACTCGCGCGGTCCTCCACTCGCGTTCTCCTCCTCCATCTCCTCCTTCCCTCCTCATCTCATCCTCCCATTCCACATTTCATCGGGCCCTGATCTTCTATCGCTCTCGCTCCTCGCGTCTGCGTCCTTGTATCGCCTCAACTCATGGACTCGCCCTACCTGAGTAGCCACGGCTCTCCGGCTTCTCCTCGTCTCTATCGCACCGCCGGCTCCTCACCTCAGCAGGCGTTCAGCAACGCCTTCTCTCAGGCGCAGCCCCAAAATTTCCTCAACGCTTTCCACAACGCTCAACAGCATCACAACAATCATCAGCAGCAAGGTCAATCCTCCGCTTCGCAGGGAACGCTGCAGGGCATCCCCAAATCTGGACCTGCTGCGCTAGACTATGCCAGTGCTCAGCTAAGCAACTACGCTGCTGCTCAACAGAATATGTACAACGGCAGTCCATCGACCCCTGGTGGATCAAACGCAAACGCCTCGTCACCCAACGCTATGGGCTCCTTCCCTCCTCAGCTGTCGCAGCTGCCCCCAGGCATGGACTTTAGCAGCATGACGCTGCATTCGGCCAATTCGTCAGCGCCGGCCTCGGCAGCTTCGTCCCCTGGTTGGACACATCGTCGCCTGCCGTCGTCATCCTCATCTCAGCAGCAATCCACTCACACGCACAATCCACGCATTGCAGCATCAGCTGTAACGGGCAAGCGTCTCAATTGGGGCGAGATGATTTGTGCCACCATCTATCACTCGGAGCATGGCAGGCTCGTCATTCAGGATTTGTTCGAGCAGATGTGCAAGCGCTTTCCAGAAGTGCAGGAGTGGTGAGTTGACCAGATTCCAAAGTGTAGCACTGTGTCGCACCACGAGTTGACATTCTCCTCCTCCAATTGTCTCTTCGTAGGGCCTTTGGCAAGGACTGGGAAGCACGCGTTAAGAACCGCATCAAATCAACTCTTTCAATCAAGGGACACCTCTTCATCAAGGTCCCGCGACCGCCGTCAGCAGCCGGAAAGGGCTCGTGGTGGACCCTCTCGCAAGAAGCGCAAGATGCATTCCGTGAGAATCGACTCGCTCCACTCCTTAAGATGAGCAACGGTGGACCCGCCTCAGCATCACATCCGCGCTCCAACTCGCGTGGTGGAACAGACGGCTTTGTGATGAGTGCGGTCACCAGCGCAGCCCCGAGTCGCTTCAACTCGCCCGGCCCAGGATCAGGCGCAGCAACGCCCATCAAGCAGCACGCTAGCGCGCATCCTCTGGCACAGCATCCCATTGGCGTTTCGTCGGGCTCGGGGTCAGGTTCCCCCTCGATGCAAGATCACCAAGCGCGTCAGGCAGCTCAACTCGCCCAACTACAAGAGCAGCTCCTCAAGCAACAGCAGGCCCAGCGCGACGCCTTGCCGGGCAGCTACGATCCCAATGCTCCTCCGAGTAGCGGTACCAATATGCCTTCCCTCTATTTCGATCAGCAAGGCGCGCAAGGTCAAACGCCATTCGGCAGCTTTCCAGGCGGACAAGGCTTCACGCCCACGGATAATGACAGCTTCCTTGCAGCCCTCTCAGCCTTTCAAAATAGCAGCAACAGCAACGATGCGGCGATGGGGGGCATCCCAATGCCAGGTGGTGGCTCAATCAAGTCGCCCTCTGGTGGCAATGCAGGAACGTCCTTTGAGAGTGGCTCGTTTGGCGCAACGCTCAACGCTCTCTCCGCCTTGGATGAGCAGCGTCGTCGCGATCTGATGCGGATGAGCGATTCGAGTGGCACAGAGTCGTACGACTCGTCTGGCGCGAGTGCCTCGGGCGGCTCAGGTGGTGGCTCCTCCTATGGTATTGGCTCACCGCAGAGTATTCCGCACTTGGGTGGGCCGCAGAGCATGCCTTTCCCTGCAGCGCGCTTCGCCGGTCCGGGGAGCATGGGTCCCATGCCTCCCACAGCAGGTGGTGGGCTCAACCAGAGCCAGGGCGCCGCAGGTGGTGGGTCGGCACTACTGCAGAGCCCCTTTGATCCGAGCGCTAGCTTTGCGACCCAGCAGCAGCAGATGCAGTCTGGCGCGAACAGCCAGCAGCAACAACAGCAGCAACAGCAGCAGCAGAATCAACTGCAGCAACAACAGCAGCTGTTTCTTCAATCCCTCATGGCAGCCGGTGGAGGCAACCCTGCCGGGAACAATCCCTTTGGCGTCAGTCTGCCGGGTGGATACGCCATGCCTGGCGCCAGTGGTGGCCAGGGCTTCTACCCCGCTTCCTCGTCGTCAGGCAACGGCAACGACCCGCCCATCGCCCCTTCTCCTGCGGACTCGACTAGCGCCTTCTTCGCTTTCACTCCTGCGACGGGGCCCGTCGACTCAAATCCACAGTCCAGGGAGGGGACGGAGGGGCCGTCTGGCGCCTTTGCGGATGGTGGAGGGGAATCGGCTTTAGGCCCTATGGTGGGGAATAAGCATCGTGCAGGCAGGACGGGTAGCGTCAGTGGTAATGGGAACGGAGCGAATGGGAGTGGGACCGGAAACGGCAGCCAGGAAGGGCAAAGCGGGGGCAATGGATTGCAAAGGGTAGACGAGAGCTTCAGCTTACCCCCACCGGCTCAGAGGCGTTGATCGCGAAGGAGCGCTATTGGGGCGCAGCCGACTCCCTCTTCGGTCACGTACGCTGCCATTCCAGCGACGCATCCTCTTCGTATCCATCCGAGTCACCCGTCTCGTGGTTCCCCTCCCCTCCCTCCATGCACAGTGTCGTCTCTTTTATCCATCGATTGTTCCCCAGCTCCCCTTCCGGGCCGAAGCCTAGCCCCTTCATGTCATATCCGCTCCTGCCACCCTTTTTACGTCTTCCTCTAGAGAACTCAGCGACCGCTTATCCATACTGCGGCCTAGCGCAAGAGTGACATGACTGACAGAATGAGGGCGATGCGCTCCCTCCGCGATGACCAGGTGTGGCCATCACGGCTTGCTACCGCTACCGCTAGCGCTGCTTCGACTTCTCCCACCACTGCTTCGGGCTCAGATTACCCGAAGAAGCGCTGAGTCCGCCAGGAGCCGGGGAGAAAAAGACACCGGCATCTCGCCTGAAGCTGCCGCCCTCTGCAGACGGCATAGTGCGGGGTTGCTTCCCGATTGCAGTCAGAGGCAAAAAGAGTCAAGTGTCGCGTCCTCGCCCCACCTCTCCCTTCTTTCCTCTCTGCATCCTGCTCCTCCTCATCTTCGCCCTGCATTCATCTACGATACCCAGAAGGATGGCCTCTCCACCTGCCTATTCAACTGGCTCTTCGGACGAGGGCAATGACAAGCTCGCGCCTGCCGGCTCTCTACCCGCAGCTTCTTCCCAACCTCAGCCCTCTGCAGTTGCCGCCACTTCCGAATCGACGAAAGATGTGACGGCGCAAGAGATGCTTGCCACAGATGGCACAGGCGTCGATAAGGCCCTGGTGGATCGCGTGCACACGCATGGGACAGACGATCTCTACCCTGATGGTGACAGGGAGAAAGTCGCCTTCACTGAAGAGGAGTTGACGATTGATGAGGCGCAGAAGAAGCGCATTTTGAGGAAGGTCGATTGGGCCCTTGTTCCGTGAGCACAGAATAGTCAGAGCGAAAGCCTTGGACGAGAGAGAGTGCTAACATCGTTGATCTGCCCGCCTCGCTACGCGTCCGCAGCTACTTCTCCCTGCTCTACCTCCTCTCTTTCCTCGATCGCGTCAACATTGGACAAGCCAATGTTGCAGGGCTCACACCAGCGCTCGGGCTCAAGGGCAACGAGTACGCAGTTGCCCTCTCCATCTTCTTCGTCGCCTATGTCATCGTCGAAATACCCTCCAATTGGCTACTGAAGGCGATGAAGCCTCACCGCTTCGTACCGCTGATCATGATTGCATGGTCCATCGTCATGATCCTGATGGGAGTAGTCCAGAACGCTGCTGGCCTGATCGCCACACGTTTCTTCCTCGGTTTTGCCGAAGGAGGCCTTTACCCTGGATTGAACATGCTCCTCTCCACCTGGTATCCACGCTCCAAGTTGAACCTACGCGTAGGCCTCTTCTTTGCTGGCGCAACACTGGCAGGTGCTTTCGGTGGCATCCTAGCATATGGGCTCCGTCACATCCAGACAGGAGCGTATGATACTCCTCAGCAGTGAGTCGGCGACGCGACGAGCTTGCCGCAGTCCGAGGCTCACCAGCATCCTCTCCTGCACTCCGCTATGATAGGGGCTGGAGATTCATCTTTTTCATCGAAGGCGCGATAACCTTCGTTTGTGCTATCCCTGGCTACTGGATCATCGTAGACTTCCCTGGAGACAAGCAGAAGTTCCTCACGGAGCAGGAGGCGGCTCAATGGACTCGCGTGCTCCAGCAAAGCCAAGGTGTGACAAATGCACAGCTCCCTTTCACTTGGAAGCAGGTCAGGCAGGCATTCAAGGGTGAGTCAGCATGTCCAGCTGCGAAGATGGATCCGCGGCGCATGTCAGAAGGGCATTGTGGACGCGTTGGACTGTCAAGTAACAACTCACACCCTCTTTCTGACCCTTCTTCCCCCTTCCGCTCACCGATTCGGCCACTCGTACCCAGACTGGAAGCTCTATGTGTACAGCATCATGTACCTCTCAATCGCCAACCCCCTCTATTCGCTCGCCCTCTTTACGCCTCAGATCATCGCCGACCTACACGTGGCTGGCGCTGCGGCGACCAATCTCCTCAGCACACCGCCCTACGTCCTCGGCTTCATCACAACTGTTGCGGCGGCTGTGGTGTCCGACCGATACCTTTGCCGCTCTGTGCCCATCATCTGCTGCATGTCAGTCACTCTTATTGGCTACATCATCCTGATCACGGATGTGCCCGCCGGAGTCAAGGTGAGTGAGAGGCGCGCTGAGCGAGGCAGCTCTTTGTATGCAGCTGAAGCCTTCATCCTCTGCCCTGTGCTCGCCAGTACTTCTCCCTCTTCCTCGCCGTCGCAGGCGTCTCCCCCTCGATCGCCCTCGCCATCTCGTGGATCGGCTCCAACTACGGTCCCATCTACACGCGGGCAACAGCCATGGGCCTCTTCTTCTCCATGGGCAACTCCGCAGGCCTCATCTCTTCCAACGTCTACCCAAAGACTGAGTCGCCGCGTTACATCAAGGGCCATGCGATCAATCTCGGCTTCACGGCCCTGGCCATCGTCTGTGCGATCGTGCTCGCGGTGGAGAACAAGAGGTTGAACAGAAAGAGGGACGCGATCCATCCTGCCAAGCCGGATGGGAGCGATGTGGATATCCGAAAGGCGGGAAACGAGGAGGAGAAGGTGAAGTGGGGACTGCAAGGGATGAGCCAGAGGGAGATCGTGGAGCTTGGTGATCATCATCCGGGCTTCCGATACGTGTGGTGACAAAGGGCTGCTGCTTTCATTCCATTCATTATTCTTGCATCTACCTCCAGTCTTCACTTCTCCTGACCTTGGCTCGCCCTCGCTCACAGATCACCACCCTCCAGCGCCCTCACGATTCCCCACGAGCACCCGGCCGCGAGCCCACCAACAGCGAGCGTCGAGACGGCCCCGTACACGAGACCCCACGTATCCGCTCGTCCACCCGTTGCTCTCTGCTTCACTACGCCAAAGATCAGTAGCGTCAAGGCAGTCACCCCCACCGAGACGAAGAGTGCTGTCCTCACGTTGTCGATGAAGATGTAAGGGAAGAGAGGCAGCAATCCGCCGAGGAAGTAGCTCAGCCCGATGAGGAGTGCAGACTGCCATGCGCGGGAGGAGGAGATGGGCTCCAGACCTTGGCCCATGCGGAGCAAGAAGGGGGTGAGGCCGCGCTCCTCCGCAGCAGCGTCGTCAACATTTGCCGTAGAGGCCGGGAGAGGGAGCCCGTCCGCGGCGCCGCGCGTCGTCTCAATGCCCACAAGCTTGTTGGCCACAAGGGCAGCTACGTCCGCGGGTACGCCGTATGGGCCGAGGATGTCCGTCACTTCGTCTGCCACAGCGCTCGAGCAAGAGCGAAGAACCTAAGCGCGGGAACGGCAAACACTGTCAGGTACATGCTCTTCTATCACCATCGCCCTCGGCACTTGCACTCACCCTCTCACGGGTCCTCTTGGACTCAAACTTGTAATGCTGAACCTCAGCCTGTGCCGAGAGGAACCCGCCAACGCCCATGGAGATGGCGCCCGAGACAAGCTCTGCGAAACCAGCGATAACGACTAGCTTGGTAGAGCCTACACCGGAGAGGCCGGCTGTGAGGGCAAAGGGGACCTGCAAAGAAACAGAAGGGGTGATGAGCTTCATGCTTTACCTTAGTAGTAAGGGAAAGGATGCGGCGCACTCACCGTCAAACCATCACTCAGCCCAATGATAACATCTCGCACCACATCCGGGTCAACGAGTGTGCGCTCGTCGTCCGAACCTTTAAGGTCTCGACAACAGACACCACCGCGAAGAGCGTCTACGGGCTGATCGCACTTGGCGTTGCGCACCGAAGAGGAGGAAGAAGCCAGGCCTCCGGTGTTCTCTGCCGCGTCAGCTCCTGTGCTGCTGCCAGTGGTAGCGCCGTACGAAGGGGAGGAGGTCGACCACAGAGGAGCAGACTCGCCGCTCTTGGATGTTCCTGATCGCTTAGGCAGCGAGAGGGAGGTGGCTGCGGATGGACCGCCTTCAGAAGGAGCGCACTTGCAGTCTGAGCAGCCCATGCTTTGACGTCTGAGGAGAAATGAGGTGGGGAGATAAGGTAGTCCGTGGGTAGCTCGGAGATCCGGATGCTGTATGGCTGAGATTGAAGTGAGCCGCAGCGGTGAGATGCTGCTCGGAAACTTGAATGAAGGGAAGGAGAGTTGAAAGTTCAAGGTAGGGTAGGAAAGGCAGGCACGAAGTAATGACAGATGGGAATTGGCGTCAGACAGGTGATTGGGCGGAAAGGGGGAAAAACTAGATTAAAGTGGGGCTGCATGAGGACATCTCGCGTCGCGCTGCCAGATGGCGCGAGTTCTATTTCTAATCAACCGGCCAGGCTGAGCCTCGTTGGCAACAGCCGTCGAGCAAGCGTGGCAGCGGCAGAGTTGCATTGCATGTCCTCGTCGCAGCCCTACAATGTGATCTGAGCAACACTCTCCTCCCACCAATGCTCGTCACAATTCAGACCTGGCTCTCCCTCGCTCTCGGCCACTATGCACGCAAAGTCGAGCGGTCCGTCGCCCTCCTCACCCACGGGCGTCATGGGTAGATGCCACACCCCTGGCCGATACGCGAAGCCCTGCGACCCTTCGGCGACGAATGACTTTAGAGTGCCCAAGTCCGGCTGGTCGGTGTGCGCGTCATTCTGAGCCACCACGACCAGGTAGCGCCCACTGTGATTTGGGGACAGGAGGGGAATAAAGCTCTGGCTCGAGAAGCGATGCCTTTCGAGCATCTTGAGTGGGAGCGACTGAGAGGTGGAAATGTGCGTGGAGTCGCAGCGATAGAGGTGCATGTTGGTTTGTGATTTTGCTGAAGAGGGGAAGAGATCGATGAGCCGTGCTTGATGGGACCATTTGGATGCTGTGCCTTGGTTGACGGCGATGGGGGCTGAGAAGGTTGAGGAGGAGAAGGAGCCGCTGGGCCCCGCGATCACTTGGCCGTAGGGACTGAAAGCGTCTGGTGTCAGAGGGACGGACTGAATGCGGCGGGCGCTCAAAGCGGACGAGGACGCACTTTGGGAAGTCACGGCTGTGTACGCCGCAGTGGCTGCGTTGCTTATAGCGCTGAGGGCGTTGTTGGCCGTAGCTGCTGGCTCGCTCGGAAGAGCCTTGTCCATGAAGCCGGGTAGCGATACGGCGGGCAACTCGCCACTGAAGTTGGCTAGGGGAGCCGCTCGTCGCCCGATGATGCGAACACGCTTGATACCTCCGTCCTGTACGAAGAGTGTGGGAAAGTCAGCCCAACTTGCTAACACAACTTACCATCTCGCTGGTACTCACAGGATGCATAGTCACCCTGACATGGCTATATCGCTTTCCCTCTACATTATCCAGCGCAAAGAAGTGTTGCTTGCCCGGGCCTGTCTTCGATCTCTGCAGCAAAGAGGTCCATTTGCCTCCGTCCACCTCCGCCTCCTCTGCTCCCTCAGGCAGCTCGTCGTTACTCTCAATCCCATGCAGCTCCACGCTCTCTGGGAAGTTGCCGAGGAAGTGCGCCGTATCAATCTCGCAGTAGTTGAGCAATCCTGGTTCGCCAAGCTTGATGACGATCCAGTCGCGATGCCCGGGAGAGCGGCTACGCTTAGTTTCCCATCCGTCGCCCATGTCGTGGCCGCGCCCGGGGAGGAGGACGTTGGGACCTTTGCCGAAGTGCTGATCCGAAGTGAAAACGACTCGACCGCCATTGAGGACATGAGCTAGGTCGAGGGTGTTCAGACGGCTGTCTTGAGAAGTGGATTCTGTGACGCCGAGTCCCACGGAGGGTGGGGTGATGGTGCCGTACACGCGGAAGCGGGCGATGCCGCCATCGGGAATCATATGCAGCTTGATGTGCGTGACTGTTGAGCTGGGTGGAATGGTGAAGAGGTGGCGCTGCGAAGGACCGCAGGGGACGCGAGTGAGAAGAGGCGACCACTGCCGGTGAGCGAGGAAAAGTCAGCATGTCAGTAAATCGCGTCTAGTCCTCGACGCCCCTCGAAGTGCTCACCCTCTCATCTGTAGCCTTCAACCCGCTCTCGTCCTTGTCATCCTCCAATTTCATCCCAAAGACTTCCACCTCGGGCGCCTCATTGCCATTGAAGTGCGCCGTATCGACATCGAATCCTACGACGGAAGCCCCACCCTTGGGTCCCAGCCTCAGGATGACCCAATCTGTCCACTCTGGGTTGTGCCTTCTCGTCTCCCAGCCGTCGAAGAGAGCCCCCTTTGGCCCAAACTGACCCTTCAAGCTTGGTGCCGGCTCTACCTTGAGCAAATCTGAGGCAGGAGCGAACCACTCATCGCTGCACGAGAGGATACGACCTCCGAGCGCGACGGACGAGACTTCGGTGTTGCGTTCCAGCAGGGCGAAGTCGCTGAGGGGAATTTGGCGTTGTGTGGTCATGCTGAGATGGATGCTGAGGATGCTGGTATAGTTGAAGTTGCAGGAGAAAGAAAAAGGAAGAAGGAAGAATTGGCTGTATGCTGCTCGTGCTGCGAGATAAGGACCGTCGAAGGTCAGGCGGCGCTGCCGGGTAGCGCGGGCTCCACCCCACTTCTCGACATCTCCGAGGTCCGACCGACAGACCATGCGACGGACGGAGAGGAGCAACGGAAGGCGGACTCGAGAGACGAGACGAGCCGCGCCACGCCACGCGTCGCGAGAAGGGCAAAGTGTTGGATTCCAATTACGCTGCGAGCCTGCGACTTGGATCCGTGCCACTCCTCCTTTGATCGGTGCATCTCAGCATCTTCGCCCTCATGACAGAGCAATGACGAGGTCTCCGAGCCAGGATGGCAATCAAAGGGAGCGCAGAGGCGACACGACGACATGGCCCTTGACGCAGCCCCCTCTGCACGGCGCGTCTTCATCTTCTTCCTCTGCGCCCCTCAGCGAGAGCGAGCCTCCACGACTACCTGCTTCCCAACCTCTGCTCAGAACAGGATCAACAGATTTAGACCTCAACCTCGCAGTGCCGGCTCAAACCGAGTCTGTGCCCCTCGTCACAGATCAGATCGAAGCAGACGATGTCCCACTCGAAACGGCCCCGACTCCTATCACGGCGAGCTCGTTAGGACGGCCGCGTGAGCCATCGCCGCCTCAGATGGACGTCGACGAGCCTACGTACTCTGATGCACAGCGCTCTGAACGTCATATCATGGCTACTCAAGGATACCGTGAGGTCTACGTCGACCTCACGAACAGTCAAGCGACCTCAATCCTCGAGCCATCTCAAGAAGCTGGCCCCAGCCACTCTCCTGCTCAGCACTCTCGCGAAACTACCCCTCCTCCTCCTCCTCCTGCTCCAGCTACAAGCTCGGCGCGTCCCGCAGAGCCGGATCCGCCCATACCCTCCGCCCTGCTACAGCCATCTCCCCCGCGACGCAACCTCCGAACGCGCAAACCTGGGCAGCTGCACCCTTACACCGTCGAGATGGCCCTATATAAGCGTCGCCTGGAGCGTAATGACTGGGAGGACGCCGTGGTCACAGACCACCACATGCGTCGACGGATGCGCGAGGAGAGGGAGAGAGCGGCTGCGAATGAGCTGCCTGTTGAAGGAGATGAGGCGTCTTCTTCGTGGCTCGTGGCGGATCTGCCGGGTGACAGGGAGGGGGAGGAGAGGAAGAAGAGGCGGGCTGAGGCAAGAGAGGACAAGAGGAAGAGGAGAGAAGAGAGGCGAAAGGAAGCAGAGAGGGTCGCTGCGGCTGCAGTAGCTGAAGAGAGTCAAGCGCGCAGGGCTTCTTCAGCCAGCAATACAAAGGGCAAGGGCAAGGCAAAGGAGCCTTCAGCGCCGCCTCGTCAGGGCCTGTCTGCGAAGGAGCTGTTCGCTCGCTATGGTGGCCTTATCAGCGACGAAGAGGACGACAGCGACGGCGATGATGCAGCGGGTGGTGGTGTGGATCGCTCCCCCGCTCTAGCTAGACAGTCGTCAGCAAGAGCAGACCGCCAGCTCGGTCCGAAGCAGCGGCAGCGGCGCCGCACTGCGCAAGCCGACAATAGCGACGCCAGCAGCGGCTCAGGATCTCGCTCGCCCTCGCCCGTCCTGCCACTGCGAAAGCGCCGCTTAATCAGCTCCTCGTCCTCTTCCTCATCATCCTCTCCGCACTCACCGACTCGACCCAGGTCTGCAGCAAGATCCCACTCAGCATCCTCATCCTCGTCGTCCGAGTCCAGCGAAGAAGAAGAGCTCGATCTCGACCGCTACTTCAGACAGCTCAAGCGAATGATGCCAGTCAGTATGGCGCGCAAGTACATCGCTGACCTGCGCGCCATGCGCAAAGGCAAAGCGTATCACTCTGATGGGCACGTCAGTGATACGCCTGAACCCTCCAATACCAGCGAGAGCGAGGATGGCGAGATAGACGGGGGAGACGCGACGATGACCCCATCGACGAGCCCGGCAGAAGCTGCTGCCCTTCGGCCAGGAGAGGCGAGGAAACGCTTGGGTAGGGGAACGCCTACAGGCGATGCGAGATTCGAGCTGGTGGGGGACTCGGATAGTGACTCGTCTTCCAGTGCAAGAAGCGCCGTAAGCGTTCGGTCATCGAACTCTGAAGGCCAGAGGAGAGATTACCAAGTGTACGACGGCGATATCCGGTGGTGGGCACAGCCGACTGAGGAGCGTCCGGCTCCGCGACGAGAGGAGGACGCGATTGACCGCATGCTTTCCAGAGCTGTGGGAGCGCCGAGAAAGGCGAGGAGACCGGGAGGCGGAGGGGCGAAGAGGATGAGGGCGATGAATGCAACGTCCGCATCTAGACGACAAGGCGCAGTAAGTGGTGGTAGGCAAGCTGGTGGATCGAGCGCCCTCAGAGAACGCTCCGTCAATCATCCTGCGCTCGCTTCAAGCGTTCCGAAGCAGCCGTCAAGGGCTAAGCGTAAGCGATACGGTGGCGTCTCTCGTCCCTCGCGATCTTCAGGCCCTCGTAGCGCTGGCGGACCCCACCCGCTCGCTCCTAATCCGCCCCTTGTACAACCGAAGGTACGCAGGCCCTTGGATCTGCGCCAGGATGATGTCTTGTTCGATGTAGAGCTTCTTGCTCAGCCGCTTCCTCCGTCGCGCGACGACGAAAGGGGCGAAGACGAAGACGCAGCAGCCGCAAGAGAGTACGCGCAGCGCGTTCGTTCGTATCGAGAGCAGAGCCAGCCCAGCCGACCCCTCGTGAGGAGGAGAGTGGGACGCGGCGGCGATGGGCGTAAGGACCTACATGCTTCGCCAGCCGGCCAGCCTCACTCGGCAGCGGGTCCCAGGCCCGTTGTAAGGACAGGAAGTCGCGATTCCACATCGTCCAAGTCCCCGAGCGTCGCCACGAGTCCGCAACCACCGGGGCAGCAGCGCAACAAAGGCTTACGTCCGTTCCTCCGAGTCGAGTCGTGGGACAGACCATCCAGCAGCACAGCGTCAGGTCAGCTCTCTCGTGCTCAGCTTGACGCGGATGCATGGGGTGACCTTGCCAACCTCCGGCTCGACTTTGGTATCCGGCCTCTGCCAGCTGGCTTATCGTTCAGCCCTGCTTCAGCCATCGGGCGTGGTAGGCTGTTTGAGTTGGTCGAATTGGGCGAAGGTGGGAATCAGGAGAACGCTGCGCTTTCACGCATAGCTGGACGTACGGTGCTCGGTGTGGACCTACCTCCGCATCCAGATGTGGCAGTCATGCTGCAGCTGATGCCCGCCATCTTCGATGCCATCTTCGCGGCGACGGAGACGATTCGAAGCGGCAGAGGCGATGCTGGTGAGGAGATCAACGGCGAGAGCGCTCCCGACACGCTCAGCGCAGCGGTCACACGCACAACACATGGCATTGACGATCTACTGCGATATCTCGCGCAAGGCATCACCTCGCTGGCCGACTTCGTTCCACCTAGAGAGGTGCGACAGTACGTGGCGTCGATCAAGTCACAGATGGTCCATCTGTTCGATCGCTTCCAGGCGGCGCCTACCGCCGACCAGGGTCAAGAAGGGCGCCAGCGGCAGAAGTCATTCGAGACCCTGCTGCTCACTCTGCGCTGGTTCGACGTCGAGGTCAGCTGGCGGCACATTGCTAGCAAGGGCCTGCAGAACGCCGATGCAATCGACTTTGAGGAGAAGCTTGCCGATGAGGAGGAGCTGATTCTCGCGTGCGAAGGGCTGATGATCAGCTTGCTCTCTCACGGCATGCATCGTACGATGCACTGTATCAAGACCAGAGCAAAGAGAGACAGCAGCATCGACGCAGCTCCCTCACACATCGACGATACCTCCGCCGAGCTCTGGGTGTCCCTCATCCACCTCCTCGGCACCGCCGCCACCCTGCTGGGCCCGCACATGGCCTTCTGGCCGGTTCTCGACTCCAGCCTCTCCCAATGGCTCAAGATTCTCCCGCCACGCCGCCCTGTCCTAATGAGCGAAGCCATTTGGTTCGTCACGCTCTCGCTCTGTGCCCTCTCTCAGTTCTCCGCAGCGAACGGCACCACCCTCTCCCGCCCACAGCTGAGACAGCACTGGCCCTTGGTCGTGCAGGCCTTCGCTGCCACACGCTTGAGGTACGACGAGTCGGTGGAGCAAGCCATGCCCAGTGCTGCGCTGGCAAAACGAGACCAGTACTTGCGGGCTATCACGCAACGATGCTTCAATCTGGTGTCTCTCTGGCGCTGGTCAGGTGAGGGAGCCGAGGGCGCCCTCAGCAAGATCTTTGACGTCTTCAATGCGCACAAGTTGGCGGATCTACCCACGGAGGAGGATCACGACTTTCCCCCCTTCCTGCGCGACTTCAACCCAGAATTGCTCTTTGATGAGACGAGCAGAGAGGGGACTACGTACCATGTCTTCCTCAAGCTACTCGCTCATGTAGCGCGTAGTCTGCAGGCCACAGCTTCACCGGAAGACGATCCTGCTGCTGCGGCGACCGCCGCGGATCGCAAAATCTCCCGTCTCTTCTCTCGCGTCTGCCCGGTCCGGGTCATGACTTTCAGTAAAGCCAACCCTCCAACAGCACGAGAGCGATCCAGTCTCTTCAATCACTACTCCGTCGCCACGCTGCACCTCTTCCTCGTCCCCTCTGCGGCCCAGCAGCGGCTGAGGCAAATCAAGAGCTTCCTCGTCTTCAAAGAGGCGGATGCCCAAAGCCAGGTAACGTGCATCCGCGCCATGATGTACGCTGCGGTAGTGCATCGTCACTTTGAACTGGATGTCGCGCCGATCACAGCCTGGTTTGGGAGTATCTTCAAGACACTGCTGGGCGATGCAGAGGAGGTCAATCGCAAGGTCGCGAGGGGAGGTGGGGCCACTGCTGCGGCAGGCGAATACTTTGAGACGCAGAGGCAGGCGAAGCGGGTGACTAGCTTGCTCGTCGCAGCATTGCGGTCGATCCAGCATGTCGTGGAGCATGTAAGTCTTGGAGGTGACCAGCAGGCATCCTCGCCATCGCTGCGCTACCCCGATCCACAGCTCATCGATCGAGCTTGGACGGCCGACGTGCTGGAGACACAAAGCGCCATTGACCCCGCTGTGGGGGTGGAGGTGCTCAAGTGCGTGCAGAGCTTTCTGGTGCAGCGCAGCCTCGTCGTGGCAAAGCTGCGGCCACGGGATCAGCGGGGCAACACAGCGGCTAATGGCACGACGACCACACCTGCGCCTCGCAACGAGGAAAGCCAAGACAGCTTCGCCGAGTTGTTCGACGATGTTGGTGACTTTGACTTTACAGATCCAGCGCTCGACAATCTCTTGGATGGAGGCGAGCCAGCGGCAAACATGGATGGCTGTGCTCACATGTCTGTCGACGCAGCGCCATCAGCTACACTCATCGACTCTATCCGCAGCAAAGATCGTCTCTTCGCCGAACAGCTTCGTAGTCATACATCCCCCGCCCTCTTCTCCCTCATCTCCAACATCTTCCACCCCGACCGCGCGCGAGAGGGTAGACTCACTTCATTGGGCATCTCCCTCGAAGACACTGCCCCATCCGCAGCTACCGGTAGGCAGCGTCATCAATTGGACGCCCTCCTGAAACGTGGCGCACGTCGACGTTACCTCGAGCTTCTGGTGGACTGTTGGGCGGGTTGTGCTCATGTGTTGGTAGAAAATGGCCTGCGAGACTGGGGGTCATACGTGACGTATGGGAACGAGTGTTGGAGGAGACTGGAAGACCCCGTCGGGAAGAGGGACGTCGCACTGCGCTTCCTACGGGACGTGGTTGCGCTTGACCCTGAAGTGGTCCGAAGGCACGACAGAGCGAGGCGGAGTGGCTCGAGGACAACACACGACCACGGCAATACCGATGGGCAGCAGCAGCATCAAGATCACTATGGCGAATTCTTGCAGGTGTGGTTCGCAGCCGCACCTGCGAGGTCGCTGTCCGTGCAGGCGGAGTATACGCACGCTCTCTTCTATCCGGACGTCGAGCACGATGGTCAGGATGTAATGCCCTGGTTCCCTCGCTGTTCCCTGCCCGCGTCCCCGAGCGGCAGTGGCTACGGTCAGCTTGACCTGCCCCTCTTCGAGTCACAACGAACCAAGCTGATCCTTGGCGCGATCCGTGGCATGCGGCGCGACTACGAGGGCGGTCACAGTCATGAAGAGGAGGCTGGGGATGACGACGAAGTGGAAAGGGCCTTCCGACGGACACAAGTCTTCCCATGTCTTTCTGCCCTCCTCTCGTCGATGCGCATCCACCTCGAGGGGATGCGCATTACGCCGCGAACCTTTGCCAATCTCAACGGAGGACGTAGAGGGAGCAGCAGCGATTCAGACGACAGTGATAGGGGAGGCAGCGCCAGAAGAGAGTCGAGCGAACGAGGCTACCTCGCCTTCTGTAGGCACATACTGCAGGGCATTGAGCGCGAGGCTGGTGAGAAGATCTTGAGGGGGGCCAGAGCTGAGGTCGAGCGGACTTGGGGGATTGTGAGGAGGAAAGAGGGAGAGATGGGCGTGAATGCGGATGCGGGTGCAGGCGCGGAAGGCGGCAGATGAGGAGCGGTGGGGAGCAGCGGACGGTGCCGTGCAAGGTGACGTTCATCAGGTCTCTCCTTGTAAAGCATAGCATCAATCAGTCTTTCAGCTGGCACGGCGTGGTGGCCACCAAAGGCAGGCTGCCTGCCCCTCAGCCATCTCCCTTTCCCAATTCTGTTCGAGAAAACCTCCGTCGCTATTGCGATTGGGTCAACACAAAGGTCGACGAAGTGGTGAGGATGCGTGAAATACAAGTGTGAATCGAGCGGTGATGATGACGACGTCGTCGCAGAGGTGATGAGACTCCCCCTGTTTCCAATCGTCCCTCTGTTGGCGCTCCACCACTACTTCAGCTTCTTCTTGGGGCGGAGCTGAGGGGAGTGACCGCAAGCCCTCTTCCTGCAGCGGGTAGCGCGAGGAGGGAGACGGGCGTAGCACTTGCGGCAGATCTGCTTGTCGCAGTTGAACTTGGAGGCAAGTACCTTGAGCGAGGGCTCGATGATTCCACCGCGGAGACTGTGCGTGGGCAGAGGTTGGACAGGTCAGCGGAATGGTGCGGGACCAGATGACGGGGAGGGGCCGACGAGAGAGGAGGGCGGCGTGGGTGGATGTAGTGACAGCGGCGGCGACGATGACGGCGTTGTGTGATTGCTCGATGGAGGCTGAGCAAAGACGTTGCTGAGTGGCAACGAGCTCTGCCAACCCTCAATCTGGCGCACCTCCATCTGGCCGATTACACCACCTGAAACCCGCCACCAGACGAGCACCTGTACGCCACCCCCGCTCGTTCCCTCGACTCTCCTGGCCATCTGACTCCGCGCCTACTCACCGGAGCACCAGGTGCAGGGTCGACTCCTTCTGGATGTTGTAGTCGGCGAGGGTCCTGCCGTCCTCGAGCTGCTTACCAGCGAAGATCAGTCGCTGCTGGTCGGGGGGAATTCCCTCCTTGTCCTGGATTTTCGCCTTGACGTTGTCGATCGTGTCCGAGGACTCGACCTCCAACGTAATAGTCTTGCCGGTCAGCGTTTTCACAAAAATTTGCATCTGGAGTATTACACGAAGGAGGAGGAGGAGAAGGTGTTAGCTGCGGCGCGCCGGGCGAGGTGGGCCACGCAGCATCCAGCACCGGTGTCGCGTCCTGGCTCGCAGATAGCGAGGAAGAGCCGGACCGCTCTGGCTTCGTAGCATCTGCAACAGCTGCTCGTTGACCCTGCTCTCCTCGCGACCATGTCGATGACAGGTGTCGCAATCGAGTTTTCCCTGCCCAACCCCTTCCCTTCCATTCCCTTTCCTCGCCCTCTCCCTCCAATTTCTGCGACGACGATGATGGCGATGACACGGTGGTGCTGGATGCTGCTGTTCTGCTCATGGGCTCGCAGGTGCTTACCTTGACCGATTCCAAAGGGGGTGGTGATGGTGAGGAAGACGGATGAGATTGGACGTCGTCGCTCTGCTCCTTGGGCCTCGTCCCTCTCTCTGCGGCCCTGAGCTAACTCGATTCGCCCCGTTGAGCCAGCCACGCTTGGCCCTGCGAGCCCGCCCGCCCGCCTGCCTGCCCCGCCTGCTTGAGTGGCCCTTGGAGCGCGCGCAGTCGCTCGTCCAGAAGAAGAGCGGAACGGAAGCACGTCGGGTGGACGTGTCGAGCGGAAGAGAGGCCAGAGGCGAATTTCGGAAATTCGATCCATCCGGCCTCCACGCTCAGGCCCAGGCAGGCAGGCGACATCTCAGTAACGAGGGGCTGCATTGCTCAGCATCTTTACCGCCCACCTCCGCCACCTCATTACCATCATTGCCATGGCTGCCGCGGCGTCCTCATCGTCACACGCCGACATGGCAGGGGCATCGCAGCTCTACACCTGCATGTCGTGCCTCGTGGGGTTTCACTCGCCCCTTGACCAGCGAACACACTATCGCTCTGACTTGCACCGATACAACATGAAGCGCCAGGTTGCTGGCCTGCCACCCGTCAGGCAAGACGTCTTCGAGCAAAAGGTTCAGCAACGTCAGCCGGCGGGAAATGACGCAGCTGCTGCCTCCAAGGTTTCTTTTGCGTCCACATCGCAAGCCGAGTCGTCGCAGCAGCGACCTCGTTGCCAGCAGTGCAGCAAGTCCTTTGCCTCGCCCAATGCATTCACCACTCACCTCAACTCGCGAAAGCACAAGGAGACCGCAGCGAAGAATGCAGCCCACCCGTCCGTTGCCAGCGCCAAGGCGTCAGTTAACCCGCCTGCCACTACGGGGGCAAGCGACGACCCCCTTGTCTTCCGCGTCCCAGCCTCTGCCGCCTCTGCTCTTAGCGGCAATCCTTCTCCTCTCGAAGCGATGGACCAAGTCAAGCAGGCTCTGCCAAATACCGCCAGCGTCGCTCAAGGGTCCGCCGACGCAGAGGCCAGCTCCTCCCCCTTCTCGTCCGCCACGGCCACCGCATCGACGTCCAAGCAACCACTCGTTCCCCCCACCTCTCTCACCCTTTCCTCGGATGCAAGCGACGCAGAGATTGAGGCTGCCATCAGCGCACGCCTCTCCTCGGCCACTCGAATCGACCCAGCCAAGACGTGTATCTTCTGCCCGCCCGGCACACCCGCTCACAACTTTCCCAACTTGGAAGCCTCCCTCGCTCACATGCAAAAGGCGCACGGATTCTTCATCCCCGAGCGCACCTACCTCGTCGACCTTCCCGGCCTCGCGCAATACCTCGCCGACAAGGTCTCGGTCGGTCACATGTGCTTGTACTGTAATGGACGCGGTAGGGGTTTCTCGACGGCAGAGGCGGCTAGGAAGCACATGGTCGACAAGAACCACTGCAAGATTGCATACGATGCTGAGGAGGACAAGATGGAACTCAGCGACTTTTATGACTTCACTAGCTCGTACCCTGACGCTGGAGAAGAGAAGGAGGAAGCAGAGTGGGAAGACATGGACGCCAGTGATGGCGAGGATGGCGCAGACGATGCAGAGATGGAGAAGGACGACGAGGAGAGCCTGCCTGCCAACACTCTGCGATATGGCGATTCCGAGCTCGAGCTGGTACTCCCCTCCGGCGCACGACTGGGCCATCGCTCGCTTGCGCGTTACTATCGTCAGACCCTCTTTTCCACCCCTGCGTCTGCCTCAGCGACGGATCGCTCAGGCGGTGCTGTTGCCCGCCGCTTAATCGACGAAGGGCGCCATCGTGGACGTGGTTCCGACCTGGTTGTACGAGACCGTGGTGGGCAAGAAGTCAAGGCGCGCAACCGTGGAGAGGCGCGCGAGGCCAAGAGACACATCAGAGAGTTCAGGGACATGAAGAAGCGCGAGCACTTTAAGACGCAGATTGGGTTCAGGGGAAACAACCAGAAGCACTTCAGGGACCCGTTGCTGCAGTAAAGCGGATGAGAGGGGAACAAGGCCGCGCTGCACAATGGTTGCAGTATCGTTGTTCCTTTTACGCCTCCTCTTTGACGCCTCGTATCTACGCCAATATCATGCCCATCATCGCGTTGTCTCGTGCTCGAGCTTCCAAATTCCCGCTCTGTCGGTCGTTGCTCTGGCGTCGTGACCTCTGGCCGTTGCCCTGCCTTCGGCCGTTCGGCCATTGAGCGTCGGTCGGGTGGGGGTGCTTGGGCGCTGTGGCCTTGCGTGTCCGCCTGGTTCAGCGGGTCCTCAACTTGTGGCCGCGGCGCTTTGACCAATCTTCCCGTGCTCTCCACCGCACCACAGCGACATTGAGCCCCTCATCACCACATCGCGACACTACTCATCTCTTCTCGCCGGATACCCAGCCAGGTACTCACTACTCCGCACGTCGCCCACAGCGCGCACCCCCTCGTCTGCTGGCTCCACTGCCTGCCATGACAGTGCCAGGCGGTCCCGCCGCCGCCAAGGCGCCCGCCATCAATGGCCATCATGCGGCGGCCCCACGCTCAGAGGCAGGCAACTCTCCTACCCCCACAACGACCTCTTCCAAGAAAGAGGCCCTCACAGACGCCGCCGAGAGCACCGCTGCCCTTGCTGCAATTCGAATCGTTGAACACCCCCCCTCACCCTCGGCCAACCCCTCGCCCATCTCTCGCGCCCTCGCCAAGCGAGTCAAAGCTATCACCAAGAAGTTGCAGCGTATTGCCCAATACGAGGATCTTCCACCCGCACAGCTGAACGAAGATCAGAAGAAGGCCATCGCCAGTCGATCGGCTCAGCAGGCTGTCCTCAAGGAGTTGCAGGAGGTCGCAAAGGCGCTTGATGACGCAGAGAAGAGCATGAAGGTTGAGGAGGAGGGAAGATGTCAAGAGGAGAGAAAGAGGGGAGCAAGGGAGATGCAGGTGAGCAGGACAGATACTTGCACAGAAGTCGGTAGCGTCGTCGACTGACCGATCTCACTCCACGCCCATGTATACGCAGGCAGCAGCAGACGCCCAACTCCTTCTGATCCAGCAGATCCTCCGCCTATTCACACTCCTGCACGTACCGCAGCTCAAGGACAGCGCCAGCTTCGCTCCTACGACCTCGTCTTCATTCCTTGATACCATCACGGCACAAGAAGCAGCAGCGGTCGGCAAGCTCTATCAGGGGATTGTGGAGAAGTCACTTTACACTGGAGCGGAGCCTGCAGCAGGAGCGACAGGAGCGCCAACGAGTGCAGGAGGCGCAGAGGAGGGTAGCGTCCAAGAACTTCTGAGCCTCGTCACGAAGGGCAGCGAGAAGGACGAGGTCCTTCCGGGCGTGTCATACAAGCGTATGAAGGATCTCCTCAATCAAGCCGTAATGCCTCCCACCTCAGCAGAGGACGATGTTCCCAAACCTCCCGAGGCTTCAGCTGCGCACGAAGCCAAGCAGGATGCCAGTGGCGCGGGAGTGACGCCGATGCGCGATCAAGATGACAAGGCGGTGGACGAGACGAAGGAAGTAAAAGAAATGGCACCGGATCTTGTTGAGGCGGCAGAGGGGAGCAAGTCGAACGGCTCCGCAACTGCGCCGCCAGCAGGTACATCATCCTCCCGCTCGCCAGCCGTAGGAGGCATCTCCTTCCTACAAAGCAGCGATGTGCACTCCACAGGCGCAAATACGCCCACCAGCTCCGCTGCAGTGCCCGTCCCTGAGCCAGAGGGCGGCATGGTAGACTCAGCCATGCCTACCGCTTCGGCGGGTGAAGCGAGCCAAAAGGGAGCAGAGGCGGGCCAAGGCATCGCAATGGGTAGGCAGCAGAAACAGGAGACGAAGGCGGCGGGGGCGGGAGCAGCAGCCACGCCAGCTGTAGCAACGCCGCCAGCTCGTTTCGACTGGTCAGCAGACGTGGAAGGGGACGACGATTTGGGGGACCCGATGGAGGCCTTCCCTGATAGTGCACCCAATGCCAAGCCGCCAGCTGTTGCGGTTGTTGCGGCGCCAGCGGAAGAGGACGGTGCGACGAAGGCAACCGGGTCATCGTCGGCAGCCGCCGTCGCTTCACCGCTCCAGAAGAAAGATACAGACGAGCCTGCTACGCCGCCTCTTACTGCCGCAAAGACAAGCACCGCAGCCGCAGCCCCAACCGCAGCCGCTTCCAGTCAGCGCGATCCAGCCGCTGCTCGTGAGCGCACCACCTCTACCGCTTCTGCCACTTCAACAGCCCCGGCAAAATCCTCTTCAGCATCCCTTCAAGCCCCACGTCCCCCTCAGCATCAGCAGCAACCCACCCCATCCCCTCGCAAAGGTCCCATCGTAGACTCGGACGGCTTTGTCTTGCAGACGAGCAAGAGGACGCAGCACCTCCAGCAACTTCAACAACAACAGCAGCAGCAACAGCAAGGGTCCAGGGGAGGAGGACGAGGCGGTCGTGGTAGGGGAGGGAGAGTTGGGAGGGCGGGGGCCAATATGATGCGAGGAGACGGAGGTAGGAGTGGAGAGGGTGGAGAGGGGCAAGGAGGGGAGGGGAGGGGAAGGGGACGTGCTAGGGGCGGAGCGCGAGGAGGTTCAGGAGGACGAGGTGGTGCAGCGCCGGCGGGAGCATAGAATGTTGCAGAGCCAGGAGAAGCAGGGTGGCGAAGATGACGTCGAGACGAAATTGGAGGGGAGCAGATGGCAAGCAGAGGCGTGCAGAGCAACTGGGCAGGACAAAGTCGTAGCTGCCCTGCAGTGAAGCAGGAGAGCAGACAAAGTAGCGTCTCCATGTAGCAGCAGCATCCATTTTGTCAATCTTTCATCTCTTCCAGCCATTCACCGTTGCCTGGCCTGGTCAGCGCTATTGAAGCGTCTAGCCGCGAGTGAGGCTCCACCGGCTCACGCGCTCGACGGGTGGCCCCCTCGCACGGACGTCGTCGGATTGACGCCAAGGACAATGATTCCCCGCTCTCCCTCGCTTCATCCTTTGACCTCCGTACCTTACCTCACATCCTCTTCATCGCAGCTTTTTTCGAGCAGCAAGCAGGTGAAACGCAGCACAAGCATGTCATCGACATCGCTGCGCCCATCAAACGTGAATTCGCTCGCTGGCACGCCGTCGGGCAGCGCAGTAGCTGGTCCATCACGGTTGCCATCCTCTTCCCCATCGCCCGCTGTCAATATGGATCCCTCTCACCTCTCCGAGCGAATCTTCTCTGCCGCTCTTCCAGTCGTCATATCCATTGCTTCGGATGAAGTTCTTCCATCCTCATTATCAGAAGGCGCCCCAGCGGACCTGACGTACTACACCACCCTTCGACGGACGGGCTACCTTTCTCTGCACCTACAAGAGATCAAGGAGAATCTGATAGATCTCGTCCTCCCGCCTTCCTCATCGACGTACAAACCAGAAGATCTTTGGCTGTCCTCCGGCTCGACACCGCTCAAATGGCACTGGCCCATCGGCCTGCTCTACGACTTGACGACACTGAACGTGTGCTCCCCTGCCAAAGCCCTCACGCCTTGCGACCCCTGGAGATTGACATTGCACCTTCGTAATCCCCCGCACGCAAAGCTTCCTTGGCCTACAATTGCTCCTGCATCGTCCTACTCTACCTCAGCGGTAGGCATTCACGACGCTTTGGTAGAGGCAACCAAGCAAGCATACATGTCCCAGCTCAAGGAGGCGGACTTCATCCGTAACGGGAACACCAAGAAGGTCAACAGTCTGAGGAAACAGGAACTAGATGCTGTCTGGGAAGCGCTCGTTGCTGGAGAGTATGAAAAATGGATGGGAGTGGTGGGCAGACTGTTGCCTGCTCAGGGGTCTTGGCCGGATGAAGGAGTTGGGGCGAGGCCCGCATTAGCGCACCTGCAATCAACGACGTCGAGTATTCCGAATCGAAGCAGCTCCCTTCATCCTGCATCGTCCTCGACGGATGACCATCTCGAGGGCGCAGATGACAGCGCAGTGCCATCCGCTTCTGGACCAGGCACCTTCAGCAAGAGCAACTCTGGCGCCTACACCAGCCTGCCAGGGTTGAAGGCCATCCCGGTCAAGATTGTATTGCAAGGAGGGACAGTAATACAGGAGGGGGTGCCGCCGCTCGTCGTGCTAGGGGGTGCGGGCAGCAATGGCGGTGGACAAGCGGATGGCAATGGCAACGGGAACGGTTCAAATAGCGCGACAAGATCCCTCACGGTAGGTGAAGCCTTGCACGTCCTCCTGCCGGCCCTATTCCCCGCCTCTTCCACTCCAACTATCGAGCCATCACAAGCATCGGGGGCCGATCCAAGCTCACTCGGCATCGACTTCTCTGGCTTTGACAGCACCGAAGGCAAGGCTCTCCCGGACCCGCCGGCTCCTCCGCCACCCATGGCAGTTCCCATTGTGCAAGGGGTGCGCATACCTCTCGAGAGCAGCATGCCGTGGTTATGTAGGGTGATGAGTGGAGGTGAAGGGTGGTTGACAATCGTCGTGCTGCTGCTGCCGATCGGCGTGTCATAGAGATTCTGGGGAATGAGAGAGGTGCAATGACGAAGCTGAAAGATGATAGACCGTATCGAGCTCACAAGTCGTATGAGAGCCCCTTCATTGCCGTTCAAAGTAATTTGCGCTCAATTTCCATCAGATTGTGAGACAATTCATTCGGCTGCCCGCTCGCTACTCCACGCTCACTTCTTAGGCAGCTTACCGTCGGCCTTCTCAATCTCCTTGTCTCCCTGCAACTCCTTCCTCCATCGCCCAACGTTCGTGTACTTGCTGATGTCCAGCTTGCCAAACTCGGCGATGTTGACCCAGCTGAAGAAGCTGTAGTCAGCAATCGTGGGCCTATCGGGTAGGGCAATGTACTGCTGCTTGCCCAATTGAGCATCGAGGAGAGCATAGAGACGGTGGCATTCCCCTTCGAAGCGGGTGAAGGTGGACTCGTTGGCCTTTTGACCGTAGGTCGACTCCCAGTAGCTGTTGGGTGCGAATGGGATGAGAAGAAGATTAATACAGGTCACAAAGCCGTGAGAGTGAAGCGGAAAGGGAGACTCACTGATGAGCATAGTTGAGGTTGCCCTGGAAGAGCGTTCGATGAATATTAGAAGTCGAGAGGTTGTTTGGGTGGTCAGCAACCGCCTACGACTCAGGTTGAGACGGGGGAGTGCTCACCTGAACGGGTCCCAGTCCGGAGAGCTGGTGCGTCAGCCACTGCATAACAACAGCCCTCTCCTTGGTGTCCTTGCCCAGGTATTTGCCCGCCTGTTAGCGACAAGGGGCCAATTCAGTCAGCGCTACCATCAAGGACGGCATGGCATTATGCTCAGCTCACCTGGTCGTACTGCTCAGCCAAGTAGAACAGGATGGCTCCACTCTCCCAAAGGACAAAGTCTCCATTCTTGTGGTCTACCAGAGCAGGCACTCGTCCGTTTGGGTTGACGGACAGGAACTTCTTGCCCTTGACGCCGTTATTGTCATCGTCGGAGAAGTCGAGAGGGATGACCTCGTAGGAGAGGCCGAGCTTCTCGAGGAGGATGGCGACTTTGAGGGGGTTGGGGCCGCTGCGAAGGAGATGGATGAGGGTGAGAAATGTGACGAGGGTGGATCAGACGGTCGGCGGTACTTACGGGCCACGGTGTGAGTAGAGGGTGAATTGGGACATGATTTCGTAGAGGGTGTGTTTGTGAGATGGAGGGAAGAATAGGGCACGGCCTATATAATCTCACCCTTTCTCCACCTTGAGACGGTGAAGGTCACATACGATCTCAGAACCGACGTGGCAGCCCTGGCTAGAGCTTCTTCCTCGCGGCCCCGTAAAGAGCTCTCAGCGTTCACTTGCTGACGGTGCATCGTCGAACGTTGACGCTGGTCATGCGCTTGCATTTGCGTCGTCTCGGCAGGCGGCAGACGCGGAGCACGGCCAGTCCAAACGCCGAGGTGGCGCTCGAGCCATGCCACTTGAATCCGTGTGGAGTTGAAGCAAAGGCGGCCCGTTCGCCGATGGCCGGAATTGAATCGTGGCTTGGCTTCCCCACACTGCGTTCCGCTCTCGTTGAACAAGAAGGCGAAGACGACGAACTCTAGTGAGCGCGCCCCAATACCTTCTCCCTCTCCGTCACCAGCATGGCGGATAGCAGCAGCGGCAGCACCAGCGAGCTCATCTGGTCACCACCTCCCAATCGCGACCCACCGTCTCGCCTAACAGTCTTTCGCAAGTTGATCGCTGAGGAGCACGCCGTCCATCTCGACAGCTACGCTGACCTCTGGAGATGGTCATGCGAGCACCCAGCGCAGTTCTGGGAGGCCGTCTGGAATGAGTGTGGGATCATTGGTCAAAAGGCCGACAAGTGGGAGGCCGGTGTATCAAAGGGCGATGCCTTGTATCCGGCGCCGATGTGCGTATTGAAGATGACAAGGCTACGTCGCCTCGCCAGAATGAAGCTGACCCACCGTTGCTCCCTGGCCTCGCAGGTGGTTCAAAGGTAGTCGTCTCAACTACGCCGAGAATCTCCTGCGGCACTGCCTCCCCTCCAGCGACGCGGACCGGGATGTGCCGGCAGTCATCTCGACCCTCGAAGCGCTCCCAGACTCGCCGCACGACTTTGCCCGCACAGTCTTCACCCGTTCGGAGCTTTACGACCGCGTAGCGCATACCTCTGCCTCCCTGCGTCACGCCGGAATCAGGCCTGGAGACGTAGTAGCCGCCTACTCGAGCAACGATGCCCACTCCCTCATCGCAGCCCTCGCTACCGCAGCTGTGGGAGCGGTGTGGTGTTCCGTCGCCGCTGAGGCTGGGCCGGAGGCGGTCCTCGATCGATTCGAGACGGTCAGACCACGATTTATCTTCAGCACTGGGGCGGTCAGGTACAATGGGAAGCGCTATGGGCATCTCGAGAAGCTAGGTGCTGTGCTGAAGAGATTGGGAGAGCTCGATGGCCAGGGCGTCCTTGGCGTCGTTGTGGCTCCAGGACCGCCGGGTGGACCAGCTGATGAGCCCACGACAAGCGACGAGCTCGCTGCTGCCCTCTCATTGTCAGCAGGCTTGGCGAAATGCTGGTCTTGGGGCGACTTCCTCTCAGCACACTCAACCTCTAGCCTCAGCAACGGCTCTGGCTCCACCTTCGCCTCTTCTTACCCACCTCTCAACTTCGAGCGTCTGGACTTCAATGCTCCCCTCACGATTCTCTTCTCCTCAGGCACAACGGGCAAGCCGAAAGCGATCGTTCATCGTGCTGGTGGTCTGCTCATACAGCTAGCAAAGGAGCACCTCCTTCACTCCAATCTCCAACCTGCTTCTCCCTCTGGAGGAGGCGGAGATGTCTTCTTCCAGCACACCACGCTGAGCTGGATGATGAGCCCTTGGGGGAATGCAAGCCTGATCAGTGGTGCTACACTAGTCTTGTACGACGGCTCGCCCCTCCGACCTTCCGAAGGAGCCCTCTTCGACCTCGCGGCGCAGGAAGGCATAACGGTCTTTGGCACTTCAGCCGCCTGGCTCGCCGCCGTGAAGCGAAAAGATCTTCGCCCGAAGGAGCTGCACTGCGACAAGCTGAGAATACGACAGATTCTCAGCACGGGCTCGCCACTAGGCGCCGACGTGTACCCATGGATTCGCGACGCGATTGGAACCGGGTCGACGGAGGGGGAGGGAAGCGTCCTTGTTGGGAGCATCACGGGAGGGACAGACATTTGCTCCCTCTTTGCTGGGAATAACGTCGACGTGCCTGTGTACGCCGGGGAGATCCAAGCGCCTAATCTTGGGATGCACGTCGCAGTGCTTGACGCGGCGACGGGAAAGGAGAGGCCGTACCCGCCACTCGCTGCGGCTCAGGATACCAAAGACGAAGAAGAAGGCGAGCTCGTCTGCTTGACGCCATTCCCTTGTCAGCCACTGGGCTTCTGGCCTCTTCCCTCTACCCCGGGCGCAGACTCACAAGCTCAACATGCCGCCGAAGAACGATATCGTGCTTCCTACTACGAGACCTTCGGCCCCAAAGCATGGGCGCACGGCGACTGGTGTGCGTGGACATCGAATGGCGGGCTAGTCATGAAAGGTAGAAGTGACGGAACGCTCAACCCTGGTGGGGTGCGCATTGGCACCAGTGAGATCTATGACGTCGTGATAGCGGCTGCTGCTACGAGTTCAAAGGGAGAAAAGCAGAAAGATGAGCTCGGCCTCATCATAGCATGTCTCGCTGTCGGGCTCAGAGTGCCTGACGAGGGCAAGCCGACCATGGCAGGCAGCGGCGATGAGGTTGTTGTGCTGATGCTGGTCCTATCTCAGCCGGCGGAGAATTGGGAGGCGCTCGTGGCAAAAGTCAAGCAAGAGCTCAGGACACGCAGGTCGGCCAGGCATGTGCCGCGCTTTGTTTGCCAAGTGGGCGATGTGCCGAGGACGGTCAACGGGAAGCTAGCGGTGAGTTGCGAGATGGTCAGGAGGAAAGAGACCGCGCTGACAACGTCTCTTGACGTCACTTTGCCTCGTCAGGAAGTGCCGGCCAAGAAGCTCCTCAATGGGGCACCCCGAGCCGCAGTTCACGCCTCGACGCTGGCCAATGCCGAGTGTCTCGACGAGTATTCGCGACTCGGTCAGGAGCTGCGTGCTGAATTGGTGAAGGAAAGCAAGGCTTGAAGAAGCAAGCGCGAGAGGTCTAAGGTCACGAAGGTTCCACTACTTCTCTCTATTTGCAATGTCATTGGCATCTGACACATGTGGCGTCTGTCATCTTGAGCTGAACAGAGCTTCGCTCCACTTTTACGACCACCGATGAGAGGGTCGCCCTTTGCCCGATGACGCAAAGGTGTCATCGTACCCCTCCTGCCTTCGACCTCTGCCGCCTCGCTTGCCCTGAAAGCGGCGCTCCTCGCCATCGGAGTCTCGTCTACTCCCCAGGCGCAGCTCTGGCTCCCTTCCTTGTCCGAACGAATATCCCCCTCGTCGCGCCGCTGGCTTGTCCTCTTCCATTCCCCACAAGGGCGCATGGCCTTCCCCTGCCCTCCTACCACCACGACCACGCCTCTCCTGACCCTCCAACTGGCTCCCATCCCCTCTGATGCCCAAATGCGTCAATCTCTTCTCCCTCGCTGCCCTCTGAGCCTCAAAGCTCAACTCGATAGCTCTCTCTGTCCTCTTCCTCAATGCGGCCGTCTTGGTTCGATCAGAGAAAGCCAGCGGGAAGCGGAAGGAGAGCCATAGGTAGACACCCAGTGAAGCGTGCAGTGATTCCAGGCCTCGGATGACTTCGTCGTTTATGGGTGACCAGGCGGGGACGTACGCCATGAGTTGGCGGATGGTTGGCTCTTCTGCCTCTGCAGCCTCCTTCTGTCCGGAGATGCTCTGCTCGTTGTCCCACTCGCGTCTCATCTTCTCCTCCAACGCTTCAACCACGCTCAAGCTTTTGAGCAAATCCAGCCTCTCAACTACAGAGTCAAAGAGGACCAGATTGCCCAACGCGTACTCGCGGACGAAGAGAGCGAAGGCTGCCAGGACGGAAGCACTGCGTACATCGATGGGCGCCAGGGCGAAGGCGTTTTGCTCGCTTACCGTCAACACGGAGCGACGCTGTGACGGGCCGACCAGGGCAGGGGACTCGTCCTCGTCCTCGTCGTTTGCTGAAGTGGATGAGGCTGCCGTGGCGATCGAAGACGCGCGAAGCGCAACGGCGCGACTGTGCCCTGCTTGATCGAAGTTGGCCAAAAAGTATCGCGAATCGTCAATCGCAGCAAAGAGGCTGAGCTCGGCGTAAACGTTGTGAACTCGACCAAAGGCCGCGGCCTTGAGACGGAGCTGTGCTTGGCGATGTGATTTGGACGACTTGGTCTGAGGAGAGTTGAGCCACGATCCTTGCCCTGCCTCCTGCTGCCCCTCTGCCTCGGTGAGAATCGATTCTACGTTCTCGAGCGCATCGCTCACCACCTTCATTCGCCCGCCAGCTCGGGACCTGCCCCTCCCGCGCCCTCCACGCTGTGCAGCTTGCTTCCTTTCCTCATCCTTCTGCCTCTCCCTTTCCTCCTTCTCCTCTCTCTCCAGCCTCTCCTCAGCCTCGCGCGCGAACACCTCGTCGTCAGGTGGCAGGAGGGCCATGAGTCGCTCGATGTTCTCCGGAGGAGGCTGGACGCTCGCCCTCGTCAAATCCGCCCTTGGACTGGCCAGAGCGGCACGGACAACGTCCATATCTCCCTCCTGCAGGGTCAATGCCTGCCCGCTGGACGCATCGTCCGCCTCACCATTCAGACCCATCCCATATCGCCCTGCTCGCCCTGCGATCTGCTTGATCTGAGATGCGGAGAGCGGAATGGTTTCCTTGCCGTTGAATTTGTAGACGGTCTCGAAGATGACGCGCTTAATGCGTAGATTCAATCCCATGCCGACCGCATCTGTCGCAACCATCAAGTTGGCATCAACCCCCTCGTTGAACATGCGCGCTTGTGTTGCTCTTAGCTCGGGAGGTAGAGACCCATAAGCAAGAGCACAGCGGAGCTCCCCGCCCTCTGACCCGTCCGGGGCCGCCGGCAGGGGTATGCCATCAATTCGCTTCTTGAGCGTAAAGATGGCGCTCCTCGCAAAGCCCACTAAGCAGTCACCGGGACGCAACTTGGTCAAGTCTCCATGTAAGCTCTCCTCAGCTACCTCGAGCGGGGTGAGGCGCTCGTACTCGTGCACCGTCAACTCATCACCACAGTCTGCCACCAGTCGCTTGATGAGTGGAACGGCGGATGGTTCACCGCAGAGATGGACCTCCTTGGCTGCTACGCCTAGCAAAGCTGTCGTCCAGGCATGCCCACGTTGAGGATCGGCGATCATTTGGATCTCGTCGATCACGGCCACATCGAAACGTTGCTTCTGATCGACCATCTCCACAGTGCTGCTCTGCAGGCCAACGAGAGGCCCCATGGTTTGCTCCTCTTCGCCCGTCTTGAGATTGCAAGGCCTAGGTGATACACCAGGGGCAACTTTGCCATTGTTGATCCGATCCCAGACCTCGTGAGCCAAAAGACGTAGCGGGCCGAGGTAAAGGCCCGTGTGAGCGCGTACAAGACGGAGGAGGGCGCCGTGCGTTTTGCCTGAATTAGTGGGACCGACGTGGAGGTGAATGGAGCGCTTGATTGAGCGAGCTTCGGGATAAAGATCGGCAGGATTGCGCACATCAAGGAGGGAGCGCGTGAGGGTAAGGGTATGCTGAGAGGTTGCAGCGATGACGGCGGGTGATGAAGCAGAAGGCTCTTCGGTGCTGGGCTGGGCGTCCGCTGCCAATTTGGCTAGCTGCTCCTGTACCCAGTCAAGGAAGGCGACAGTCTGGGAGCGAAGTAGCGCGCGTGTGACTGCGTTCGCGTCTTGCTCGACGACGGACGCAGGAATGCCGTCTACGATGTTGCGAGCGGTGGTGAGGAGGGGTAGCGAGGGCGCAGGCAGCACTGCTTTATCTGCCGACTTCGATGAAGAAGGTATCGGGCTGAGCAGCATTCTCTGCTCTTTTTCTATGGAGTAACGCTGATTCTTAACCCATTGGCGAAGCAATGCAGCAATGTGACCCCCTTGGCTGTCGGTGCCCTTGCTTTGGTTCGTAAAGACGCTCTTGAGGACAAGCTCGGCGGCCTCGTGCGAGAGACCGAGTGCCCGTATCCTTCTCGATATCAGCGTGTCTCTGCCAAGCTGCTTGATGGCCTCCTCCAACTGACTAGCAACCGTTGCATCCTTGGCCGGCTCTGGGAGCGAGTAGTCTGGCACTCTAGTCTTACGTGCGTGCAGCTCAATGACGCTATTCGAGGCCTTCCAGATGGTAGGCGGCGGTGTCAGGGACGAAGAAGAGGGGTCTCGACCTTTGCCGCTGTATCCTCTTGATGGGCCATCCTCCTGTCGGCGCGAGCGCGATCGCTGTGGCTGCTGCTGCCGGCGTTGGTGCGTCGAAGTGGTGAGGAGGCGAGACGTTGAGAGGTGGAATGCTTGCGGCAGGGTGAGACTCAGGATGCGACGTGATGAAGATGATGTCGCGCCTCTGGTACTATAACCCGCGATGGCAGCAGCATTGATCATGACGGCAGGGGTGCCTATATGCACCAGTGAAGCAAGTGATGGATAGCTTGATTGCTCGTTGTCCCCCTCGCCATCTTCTCAGCTCAGCCAAGTTCAAAATCGTCGCTTCCGCCTTGACGGGCGGGAGTGGCTCCTCGGCATTCCACGCACAAGGGCGGGCCTCCAAGCAAGACGAGCGGCGAGGCTCCTCGCTCGGACCAAGTCAAGTCGTCGATGGAGGCGGTGTTCGACGACTCTTGACTCTCCACCTTTCTTACTACTTTGATCGTATACCCAATTCACGCGCAATCATGCCTCCAGTCTTTGGCATTAGCGCTCCCAAATGCCCACGCTGTACCAAGAGTGTATATCAGGCAGAGCAGGTGAGTCCCATCTGGGTTCCTTTACCAGTGTCAGAGTGGTGTCGATGTCGTCTGACATCCACTCTCTCCCTCCCCTTTCATCCGCATCCAGGTCATTGGCCCCAACTCCACACCATACCACAAGCCTTGTCTGACATGCATCACTTGCAACAAGCGACTCGACTCGACCCTCCTCGTCGAACACGACGGCGAGGCTTTGTGCAAGAATTGCCATCGTTCTCACCTCGGTGTAGGTAAAGGAGCATTCGGCAAGGCGGTGCCTGTCAGGGCCACATTGCCGACGAGTCCCCAAAGGGGAGCAGAGAGCAATAGAAGGTTGGCGCCAGAGCACGGCGAGGAGGACATTGATGACGATACGATGCGTAGCTTGAGTGGCATTAGTATTTCGGCAAGATCGAAGCCAGTGGCGGTGCCCCCGCCTTCCCAAGAGAGAGACGTCGCAACCTCGCCCGATGTTGCTCGGCCGCCGAACCCAACACCTTCAACTGCCATGGATCCGGTACGCCCGCCGATCGCATCACCGCCCTCAGGCTCGTTGGGGAATGGATCGTCTGTCACAAGCATCGATGACGCTGTTGCGGGAGGGATGGCCTTGCCCAACATTACATCGCGAAGTGCAGCTCTGCGAGATGCAGTTGATGGAATAGAGCGCGCTGTTGGTAGCGAGGAGCCAAGGGGTGATGCAGCATCAGTAGAGCAGAGGAGTGCTAGACCAGAATCCATTGGCGGCGCAGCAGCAGCAGCGGCTTCAGCGCCTCTGCCTCCCTCCTCCTCGACCTCGGCAGCAACCCCTCGCCGCCTGCCCTCACCCGTACGCCGCACCCCTGCTGCATCAAGCAATGGATACAAGACGTCCTCCAACCTGGGCGGCACGGAATCGCCATCCTCGAACTACTCGCCCTCGGCCTCAACTCCCTTCCGCTCCCAATACTCCATCTCCTCTCCGAATTCAACGCCAACCCGCCTCGCCACCTCGATCAACTCGGGCACACCCCTCTGCAGTCGCTGTTCTCGACCAGCCTACCACGCAGAAGCCGTCGTGGGGGCCACATCTGGCGGGCGAGTCTGGCATAGGGCCTGCCTCAAATGCGAATCCTGTGGGACTACCCTCAGGAAGGGATTGGTGGAGGAAGGACCGGAGAGAGTGGGGCAGGAGGTGGGCGAAGGCATGAACACGTTCTGTAGGAACTGCCATAAGATGCGTTTTGGGCCTAGGGGGATTGGGAGCGCTGGGAGTAGTTACCCGTTGAAGGGATGATGGGATCTTGGAGACGCGACGTGACGTGACGTGACGTGACCTGATCGTCTTTCGATACCACTTGACCTGTAGTATGTATGCTCTCCTCTCCTGTATCCTTCGTCCACTGTGCGAGAATGACATTGTAATTCCATTGCCATGGCCATCCGACCTCTCGTAGCGGCTGCCACTCTTGACCACGTGGCTCCTCCCCCACGCTCAGTCCGACGGCGACGGACACGGAGCTGAGGCGCCGACGGGCGGCCGGTGAGACCGTCGCGAGTCAAAGCGTTGAGGCGGACAGGAACGTTGGTTGGCTTTCGTCGCTACACAAGACTTTCCTGCCATCCTCTCATCAGAGGCCCTTTAATAGCGTCAAGAGCCAAAGTAGCTCAAGTACTTCCTCACAACCAAGAAGTCAATCGGTCGCGGCCACTAGAGTCTTCTCCTCCTCCTCCTCCTCCTCCTCCTACCTTCTGAGTCGTCGTTCTTCGTAATGGCCTCTCGCTTCTTTGCTTGGGCGAAATCGCCTCAAGCTCGCGACTACTTCTTCTCGACGCACTTCTTTGGTCCTTTGGCTAGTGAGTATGAGCACTGCAAGAATACATTCTGTAACTGCGTAAGGAAGGGGAGGCCCGCCTGGAGGGGCGCGGTGTAAGGCCGAGCGAAATCGGAGAAGACAGGTAGCATGACAGGACGGAGTTCAGGAGGATGAGTCGAGATAGGCAGGGGAAAGCTTGGCCTGGCGATCTGGTAGATGGAGTCGTGAGATGGTGCTTCGTATGCTCGCCTTCAATGGAGCATCACGAAGGGAAGGTGCGGGCGGGCACCAGAAGCAGAGTCGCAAGAATCAGCTCGGCCGCACCAGTTCCTACCGAGCAGCTAAGGAGCGACGTGTTCGTCTCACAGCATAGTGTACGACAGACCTGGGCTATGTTTGCGGCTCTATCCATGCCTCACCTCGTCCATGACTTCGCACGCAGATAAGCTGACATTGCCTTCCCCTCCTTCGCACAGACTGGGGTCTGCCCCTCGCCGCTCTTGCCGACCTGTCCAAGGACGAAGAGGTCATCTCAGGCACCATGACCGCTGCCCTCTGCTCCTACTCGATCGTCTTCTCCCGCTTCGCCTGGCGTGTCACCCCGAGGAACTATCTGCTGCTCGCATGCCACGCCACAAATGCTACGGCTCAGGCTGTGCAGGGGGGAAGATTTTTGGTGAGTTGACGAGCGGCTGGCGAGGCTGTCGGATGGAACAATGACTGAACTGACAATCGCCTTGCACTCTTCTCCTGCCAGAACTACAACTACTTTGGCGGCAAGGAGAAGAGACAAAAAGAGGCTGGCGGGCTCGAGCCTCCGTCGACGCCTAGGGTTGCTTCGGCCTAAGGCAGGCGAGCAAGACGAGATGGAGACAGGGCAGGGCATTGTTCATGTATTGTGCGTTGTCACGTCGTCAGAATCCAGAGTCCCATGATGATCTACAAAAGTAAACAAGAAAGAAGCACCGCTAGACCGGCAGCCACGACCGCTACTGCTCGCGTCTCGCCACCTCCTCCTCTCATCAACCGCGGCGAAGCGTTCTGCTCTCTGAGGAACTTATCTACCCCCATCGCAGAGCAGTACGCATTCCCAAAGTTGTCCTGAGCAATGTATCTCAGCGGTCCTCCCCACCTCGCAAGGTCATCTCCAGCTCCACCGTTCAGTGCGGCTCCCAAGCCCTGATGCCCAGAATCAGCAAATGTCCCATAGTCATGCTGCGCTGTCAAATCCCAGGCGGGGCAAGCCCACTGAATCAAAGGTCCAGGACAGTTACGCGTGACGAAGAGGCAGGTGTAGAGGCAGGGAAGCACCTCACCGTACGTCGAGTCCACGCCTAGCTGCCCGCCGGCGAAACCGTGACGCGAGTGAGAGACGTTGCGATTCACTATGTAGGGAAGGGTGCGCGTGTTGAGGGGTGAGACGCGGCCTACGAGGGAGTCGACGTCTGTTACCGCTGCTGATTGATTGCCGGGATCGGACAGCGGGTCGGTGCAGCGTGGCATTGTGACAGCGCAGAGCCAGTCTTGGTAGGCGCCTGAGCATGCCGAAGGAGGATGGAGAGTCAGCATTGATGAGAAGGATGAGGAGAGGATGAGGATGATGGTCTACTACTCACGCTTGCAGTCTATGCAGGTTCGTACGCTCGAGTAGGATCCAAAGTACGGGTCGTCACAGGGGAAAGTCGAGATGCTGCGTGGTAGGGCAACGTGCGATTGTGAGCTACTGCGGACCGCCTCCCGTCTCTTCTCACCGCGAACTCACGTCTTGGAGAAGTTGGCGTAGTTGGGGCTCACCGTCGAGTTGATGACGTTGAGGGCCTCCTCCGTAGGCACTCCCGGCCCTATTGGGATCGAGTAAGCCACCTGCGGGCAGAAGTCGACATCGTAGACCAACCTGCACGTCTCTGTCCCCTTCGTCTTGAGCTTGACAGCAGGATACAGGGAGATACCTGGCACATTCGTGCTGTTCGTCACGTTTCCTCCACCGATGACTGCTGCGTCATCGCTAATCGTCGTGTTGATGGCCTTTGCCGTGGAATTGACACTGACCAGCCAAGCAGTGTAGTTCGTCTCCGGTTGCAGCCCGGCGACTTCGAACTGCAGGCGACGATTGAAGACGTCGAATAGAGCCGTACTCCCCCTCGTCGTCTCACTCGAGTTGATGGCAGGGGAGGCCGCTGAGGAGGAGAAGGCTGACCACGCGTCTTGCAGGGCGCAGAAGGAAGAGTTGTAGTACTGTGAAGGCAGACTGTACTGCCCAAAGGTGGGAAGGACCACTAGAGAGATATTGGGCGCCACACTTTGTCCAATGCCGTTGTCGGGGACATCGGGACTGGAGACGGTATAGTTGAACGATGTAAGAAGGGCCCGCGTTGAGTCTGTATCGTCCAGCGTTACGCCGTAGCGATTCTCGAGATTCAATGTAGGCACGCCCGTGCTCACGACGATCTGCACCGTAAAGTCTCCCTCAACCCCCCAATTGAATCGCGGCGGCCACACGCCGACCCATACCGATTCTGGATTGTCTGTGCCTCCCGTATTGAGGGATAGCTGCGCAAAGCCTCCCCAAGCGTAGGCGAGTGCGCCAGGCGTGGGAACTGTGTCATCGTCGTCCCCCTGACCTACTGGCGGCGGACCTGGCTTTGATGTGCTATTGACCAAGGAGACGTAGACGCGCGCCAAGCTGCTCTCGAGCATTGAGCGTCGAGTGCTCGACGAGGCGTTGCGCGAGATGTCTGGCCTCACGCCGTCATTTGGGCCGGAGCAGAGGGAGACTGCTACATGGATTGGCTGTTGCTTGGCTTCCTCGCTGAGGGGAAGCTGGAAGAAAGCTGCTGCATCCGAGTCGTTTGAGATGGAGATTGTCGAGCGTACAGAGACGGAGTCATTCAGGACGTAGGGCGTCGACGAGGCCAAGACGAGGCTGGCGGTGCTGGTTGAGTCTGGCAGGGCAGTTGACGTCGTGCCGGAGGAGAGATCCCCGGAGTAGGGGGCCGAAGTAGTTGTGACTGCTATTGATGACGAGATGGTGGTGGCACCCCCCGGTGGCGGAGGCGAGGCTTGCAGTTGGTCCAAGAGACCGCCGTGCACATCATGCTGCGCTTCGTCATTTTGGGCTTGTTGCTGCAGCGTTTGGGCACGAGCGCCTAGTGTGATTAGGGACAGCAGATTGGCTACAAGTAGAAGGAGGAGAGAGGCTGCTGGGATGCGTAGAGGCCTTGTCGACCGTCGCAGCGACCGTCTATGCACCTTCATCTTGTCATCTGCGGCGGCAGAGGCGATGAGACCCTCGCCTTCGTCGTCCTCGATTGCGTGACTCGTGGCACGACGGCGACCAACGAGATAGTCCAGAACGTATCGGCCAGGACGGGGCTGACAGTGACCTGCAGTCAAGGAGCGCGAAAAGACCGAGCAGGAGGAGGAGGAGGAATAGCGTGAGGAGGTAGGAAAGGAGTGATTGCCAAGACGCCAAATTGCAGAGCAGCCACGGAGAGAAAGTCTCCGCCCTACAGGCCATCGCCGCCGCCGGCTCCCACTTTCCTTCCCGGCAGAACAAGGCGCTGCTTAGCGCAATCACTTGACCTCGATGTCGACAACGCTTTGCATAGCATAAAGCAATAGAACAGCATAAGAGATATTAACTTCAAAGCACCAAAAAGGTATTCGCACCATCGCCCGCTACACCAGCACCGCTTATTGCGCCACAAACTTCCCACTGACCGTCCTCCTCGCCACTTCATCGAAGCTGCTCAACGCTCCTTCGTTCCCGCCAACGATTGTGATTCCGAGTGCACTCATCGTCGAGCCTGGCACAGCCCACCTCACTTGCACAGGCTGCGTAGTCCCCTGCCCATCGACCTGGAAGCGGGCGAGCACTTTGCCTCCTTCGCCCATCCCGCTCTCGTCCAGCTTCCAAGTCATTCGCTTGGTCTCAGCATCCCACTGACCCTCCGGCTTGGCCATGTGTCCTGTAACATTGGTGGGCCCCACGCTCGCCGTGAGAACTACTTCGGAAGCGCGCCCACCAGCCTTGGATGAGTCGTTGTACGACCAATTGCAGAGGAAGCTGGTCTGATGCGCCTCAAGTCGCCAGCGTGCGTCGATATTCAGAGGCACGTACTCGGCCAGCTTGTGCGTGGGAACGTGCACCTGATACTTGAGGATGGTAGCCGTGCTCGCAGATGAGGCACCATTGACTTGGCGAGCGAGTGACGCGACGTCGAGCATGTATTCTCCTGGCTTGCCGGCAACGCCCTGTAAGAAGGCAGGGTTGGGCGCCGCCTTCTCGAGTTGCTCAAAGGCTTCCAATCTAACATGCAAGGGTGGGGAAGAGGTAGTGGCCACGTCCTTGAGCTGCACACTAATGTCTCCCACGACCATCAGGCGGGTGATGCCTCCTCCGTTGCACGAGAGGATCGCATTGACCGTCTCTGTGATCGAGGCGCGGAGCCCAGGTGCAGAGGGCGGGGCGTCGAAGGGGTTGGAGGGGCGCGGAACCTGCTGAGCGGCCGACGTGGTAGAGACGAGGCTTTGTGCTCGATCGCCTCCAATGGCGGGGGAGAAGGTAGCGGATACGGGAGAGGAGGAAACTGCGCCTGCGCCAAAGCCTGTTCCACTGGTCGTGCTTCCTCCCGTCGCTTGGGGAGCAAGAGCTCCAAACTGGCTCATGCCTCCTGCGCTGTTCATCCTGCTGCCGCTGCTCGTATCCAGCGTCGCGAGCGGGTTGTACGTCGTATTGCGCACGTCGCGTCTGTCCCTCCTCGTTGTGTTTCGGCGGGTAGGCGGACCACTCGTGAGCAGGGTGCTTCTGACCCGCTCCAGAGCAGCTTGGTCTTGCGCCGTATTCCCGCTCGTGGTAGCTCCGCCCGTCGCTGTTGGCGAAATGCTCATGTTGGCCACGCGCTGCGTAGGTGATGATGGGGCGACATTATCGCTGAGCTCCTCTCGGTCGCTGCTAGCCATGCCCATTGCGCCAGAGGCGGGGCCAGAGCTGAATCTGTCGGCGGGAGGAATGGAAAAGCCTTCTGAGTCTACTTGCGGGGCAGGAAGCTGAGGTGGGGGTGAGGCAGCTGCGGTGCGAGAAGGCGTCGATGGCGGGACAGATGCGCGAGTTGGGACCATGGGCGCCATCAAGCCGCCGCCGGCGGCACCTCCTGCCGCAGCGGCAGCCGCAGTCTTTGACGGCCGCATAGTTGCCATTCTGCTGTCGTCGGCATCATCGTCCCCGTCCAGCATGCGACTCGGCGTGTCCCGCGTGTCGCGGCTCATCATCGAGTCGTCGCCCAGTCGCTCGCTCCCTGGCAGCGTCCCGTAGACGGTCGATGTATCTCCTTCATTGCCATCGCGCCCGGCGCCCTTGTTGCTCTTGTTGCGGCCGAAGCGACCGAAGGCACTGCGCAGCGTGCTTGCGGCCCCACCACCTCCACCGCCGCCTCGTGTCGTCCTTTGCTGCGTGTCATTGGTCGACGAGTGCAATGAGGCTGACGAGGGACCAGCGCCAAACTCGGCTCCTGCGCCACGCCCGTTGCGCTCGCGCTGCTGCTGCTGTCCAGCCGTATTAGGCCGAATGGAAGAGGCAACCGAGTCGTTGCGCTGTAGGCCGCCGCCCCGGCTGCTGTTGTTCATCGTAGTCGTCGGCCTCCTGACTGGCGTCCCAGTAGGCGGGGCCATCAGGCCTTGTCCACCTGCTCTCCTCTCACCCGTCCCCTTGCCATTCTTAAGAATAAATTCCTGCATATCCGCTTTTGGGTCGAAGCCCAGAGCAGCCTGCAGCGTCTGCTCCGTCATGCCCATCAACCTTTGAGCTGCGTCTGACTGCAAGGTCTCGAAGCGGGTGACCGTCTCCTTCAAGAGCTCAAGCCTTTGCGAGTCGATCCGCTGGTATGCTTCAAAGGTGAAGGGGGCCTCGGTCTCCCAGAGTTGCATCGTCTGGTCGAGGGAGCGCTGCGTATCGACTGCTTTCGCTTGTGCGTGGCCCGCTTTCTTGGAGGATGCTGTTTCGAGCTTGCGTTGGTCTTTCTGCAGTTGGGATTCGAGGAGTTGCAACTCTTTGAGAGTGGAGCTTAGGGAGTCATCGTGCTGGCGAGTAAGTGGAACAAGGGTCAGGAAGCCGTCATTGTGAGATCCAGAGTGCATTGGGGTACTCACATCCTTCTGCCTCGCCCACTCGCCTCTACTTGGCGCATTCCTCATCACCATCTCGCACTCCTCTGCGATCTTCTTCTCCAGCTCGCCGTGCACGCTTGCTGTCTCTCCGATCTCCGCTATCAGTCTGTGAGGGAGATTGCGGCATCGTGTCAGCATCTGAGCAGTTCTTGGCTGTCGTCATCCTCGCCCTCACCTCTCATAAACAGGAGCAAACCCTGGCCCCAAGGCCGCTGGATCAGAGAGAAAGCTACGCTTCGCCAGTTTCTGCAGTGCCTTCAGATAAGTGCTCTCCAGCTCGCGTCGAGCAGCAAAATAGTCTGCAAGCTCATCAGTCAGGAGACGAGCCTTGTGAATCCTGGTCTGCAGGAGAGTGGTAGCATCGCGAGGCTTGAGTGGGAGAAAGGCATTCGCGTAAGCTTGAGGAGGGAGAGACCCGTCCGCCGCGCCTGAAGAGGCGGCCGGTGGGGGAGATGTCGAGGACATATGGCTTTGCTGCTGATGTGTGTTGAGCTCTGACAGAGGTACAGGTGGAAGTGGTATCTTGAGTGACGTCGTGACAGCCGTCGCTGGTAATGAACAGGAAGGTCAGAGGTCAGGATGCGCTTTCGTCCTCTCGCCCAGCCTTCGGCCCGGCGGCGGCGGCCAGACTCGTCAGTCTCTCCAGGCCCGCGCCATGTGTGACGTCGAGCCTCGATCGCCTACCTCTCTTCTCCGTCCGCCCTCGCATGAATGCACGCACGGCAGCCAAGCGGCAAGAGCAAGGGTTCAATGTGGAGAGACCCTCTGAGTCGAGAAGGACTTGTCTTTGCCTTGATCATCCAGAGGCAGCATGAGCGACACCAAGCATTTTGATTCAGAGGGCGTCGTACACGAGAAAGGGGTGAGTGTGACTCTTTCGCTGCCACCAAAGTCTCTCTGACCTGACTCCTCGACGTGCCGACAGCGCCACGGCGAAGCTTTCAATGCTGAGCCGTCGATCCCCAATCTCACATCACAAGGCGTCACAAGCCAGGAACAGCTCTTTCGTCGCAATCACGACGACATCGTCTACGCGGAGCCAGACGTGCCAGCCACGAAGGAAGAGTGGACCCTGGATGTCATCGTGGACGCGGATGTTGCTCAGGAGCAAGGCTGGAAAGAGTGGACCACGGGGACGAAGGGCAGCGAGTTCAGCCAGGATGATGGGGACGACGATGCTACGATTGCACGATCGAAAGCGGAGAATATATCTCTGAGCAAGCTCAAGTCCTTCTACCCCAACCGAAGCGTTCTCTCAGCAATGGAGTGCGCAGGGAATCGTCGCAGCGAGATGGAGGCACGCAAGAGCAACCCAGCATCAGTGGAAGGTCTGCAATGGAAGCAAGGAGCGATAGGCAACGCACAATGGCAAGGAGCTTCCCTGCGCGAGGTGCTCCTCTCCCTGGGCATCGCAGATCCCTACGATCACCTGACACCCGAGGAATCCGCCCGCTTGCCGCCAACTGTGGACTCAATGCAGACACGTAGCGCTCCCTGGTCACGCCATCTCTTCGTGCACTTCCTTTCCTCGCAGCCAAGCAGCGAGTCTACCAAACCACAGGGGCAAGTGTACGGCTCCTCTATCCCTCTCAGTACGGCGATGCATCCAAACCAGGATGTCCTGCTATGTTGGTCTGTCAACAACGTTGACCTAGGTCCCGCACACGGCTATCCACTCCGTGCGGTCATTCCTGGCCATGTAGCCGCGCGCTGGGTGAAATGGTTGAGTGGAATCAGAGTGAGCAAGAGAGAGAACGACAGTCCGGCTATGCGAGATGATTATAAGATCTTGACGCCGCCCAAAGAGGTCAGAGAGCGTGGAGAGGAAAAAGAGTGGGCGGAGAGTGTCACGGGTGAAAATCAAGATCCCGACAAGAGAATGAAGGAGTTGCACGCCTTACCCGCTATGATGCGGTTAGGGGTCGGGTCAGGCGTGGGAGAGCCGGTCGAGAGGGATGGCGGTACTGTGGTTAGTGTGAATGGGGAGGGAATGTGGAAGGCGGAGGGGTACGCAGTGGGGACTGAAGGTGAGCGCAATGGCGAGATGGGGATCTTCGACATTCACTAACACGTCTGTCGCCATCGCAGGCTCCCCGGTGACTCTCGTCGAGCTTGTCATCCTCCCTTACTCTGGCAAAGACGACGACGAGTCCTCCTCTCTCGAAAGTCTTCGTCAAGCTGCCTCGCAAGTCCCACGGGAGAAGTGGAGTCGTCTTCTCCTCGACTCGACCCAGCGAGAGGGCGACAACGTCGTCGACGGACACATTCAAATCGGCGACGCTGCCGCAGCTGAAGCGTCTTCGTCGCGCTTCTCCTGGAGTTGGTCCCTATGGGAAGCACGCCTGCCCGCACCAAGGTCCCGAGATCATGGCGAGAAGGGGAAGGAGGAGTGGGCATTGCTGGTACGCTGCACTACGGAAGCGGGCGTCGTGCAGGAGATGCAGTCCCCCTGGAATGTGAGGGGATTTAGGGAGCGCAGTTGGCCCGTAGTCAGGGGGTTGAGGTTTGAGGAAGCGGGGCAGTAGCCTCGCTGGTTGGCCTATACCGCTTTGCGTCCTCTCATGATGAGCATACCAATCACGAATTCCCTATCTTGTCGCTGTCCCCTTCAAGCGGCACCTGCGCCAAGCCCACTCTCTCCAGCCTGTGCCACCGCCCCACATCCCCATTGCAGTCCCAGAGCTCCAAGTGCGTGAAGCAGATGCTTTTCGGCATGAATGTTCCATCGTCTTCCTTCTTCAGCTCCGAGATGAGGCCTCGTGCTTGCTCGACGGTTGCGTCAGAGTAGAGGAGAGAGACGTGAGGGAAGTAAGGCGGGGCTGCCTTGATTGTCTCCGGCAACAGAGTTTGGCGAGCGAGCTCATTCAGCTTGAGCAGCGGCTCTGTCAGCTCGAGGGCAAGGACGAGGATCTGGAAGTACCAGCCACGCGTTACAAGACTTTCAACACGTGTCTCGACTTCGGAGATTGGAGTTGATGACAGATGCTGTCCCGCCTTCCTCCATCCACTAACCACTCGCAGCGCCTTGCTCCATAGCTCATCGCGCTTGCCGTTGTCCGTCCCATCGTCTGCTTTGAGGCCGGAGAGGAGTGTGGCATGCGGTGGGAAGGGGGAAGATGCCGGCGGGAGGGAAGGATCGGAGATGACCTTGTCCCTGATGCGTTGCATAAGGTCGCCAATGATGGTCACTGAGGAGCGGTCTGCCTGACGATCTGAGGCCAGCTCACCGGCCATAATCGGGGCAGGGACGAGCCATAGAGCGAGGCCTGCTGGTGGTGCGGTCAGACGTGAGCGAGGGAAACCAGCGGTGAGTGCGAGTGACCATTATTTCTCACCCATGTCTGATCTGCGCAAACGTCAGTCTATGTTATCGAGCTTCTTGACTGCTGCCCTGACCGTGACGTTGTTAGAGGCCTCAGGCCCCTTTTGGAGCGTGATTTGGATTGGCAATCGGCCCTCTCTCGGGTCGACCCGGTCTCGCGCGGCGGTCCAGCTCTTGCCCGCCCCGCTGCCTCGCCCTGTGTGGACTCGAGTTCATCAGCCAGCCTCAGTTCAGTGGAGCCACGCCTCGCCTCGCCTCGCTCGCGCTCGTTCCGGCCCTTCGTATCTTCCTTCTCGTCATCACTACCAAACCTCCTACTTCGACTATACGACACGATGTCTTTCTTGGGATCACTTCGAGCTGTCGCCGCCCCTAGGCTTGCCGCAAAGTCATCGCTGCGCGCTGTGGCTGCCCCGGCTAGGGCTGTCGTTGCGCCGAGGGTCGCTGCTCCTATGATGGGTGAGTTTCATGATGAATGGGAAATGAGATGAAAGGCGACGGGTGGGCCAAGATTTGCAGCTTCAGAGATGCTTGCGAGCCTTCTCTCCGAGCGAAACAAGCTTCAGAGAGCTTGATGGGCGTCAAAAAGTCGCTCAATGAGATGTTGGAGGTGGATCTTTCTCAGTCAACTTCATCTTCTCATCTTCTCGGTCGGCGGATTGGCGAGCAAAGCATGCCTCTCGAGCCTCCAACTTCTTCGTTGCCGTCACCATGCTAATCACCGTTTCCCTACTTCTCCATCTCGTACAGCTCGCTCGTACGCCTCCCACTCGCAGGACGACGAGTCCTTCGAGTCTTTCACTCAGCGCTACGTCGGCTTCTTCACCTCAGTCGAAGACCTCTTCGAGCTGCAGCGTGGCCTCAACAACTGCTTTGCCTATGACCTCGTCCCGGCCCCCGAGGTCATCGAGGCAGCCCTCAAGGCCGCTCGCAGGGTGAATGACTACTCGACTGCTGTCAGGGTATTCGAGGGGATCAGGGAGAAGGTCGAGAACAAGAGGCAGTACGAGCAGTACGTTGAGGCGCTCAAGGATGTCAGGGAGGAGTTGGGCATCACCCTCAGGGAGGAGCTGTATCCGACTTCGTCGTAAAGCCGACGCGGAGGGAAATTGATGTGGGAAATGTTGAGGAGCTAGGCACGTCTGGGAACGGGAAGAATGGCAGCGGCCAAGCTAGAGAGCGCTTCGATGCGCTCAGCAGAGGCGCCTTTACGTGCGCCGTGGAGCAAAGGTGCTGCGGTGCCGCGAGCAAAAGCCTGGGACGGGCAGGCAAGGAGAGCGTTGGCAGAGGAGAGGGCCGCCTACGTTGTCCAATGAGACCCAATACAAGCGATACATCCACCAGCAAGCTGATGTGCGAATCACATATCGGCTTTGGGCTGAGAATCATGTGAGAAAAAGGCAGTGTCATCACGCATAGACAGGTAGAGTGAGTCGAGTCAAGGAGCCACATTCATGTGGGCCCACGGTTGCGTGCGTGTTGCAGCGCGAACCCTGTCTTTTGTTCTTTCATTACGCAGAGGTGAAGAGGAGAGACGAAGTGTGAAACCCAGGGCTCATCGCACGCCTCTCTGCCGACTACGACTACCTCTTCCAATTCTCCTCCCCATCATGATCCCCCTCCTCCTTCGCCGCCGACCCTTCAATTCCCTCTCCTCCAGCCGGCGTGGTCGGAATGCTCGCCGGGCGTTGAGGAGCTGGTGCCCAAACAAGCTTGATCCCATCCACCTCCGCGGGCAGCTTACTCCCCGTCCCACTCGAGGCGGCGATGAGCGTCCTGACCGCCTGCTCTCCCATGCTTCTATGCTTGAACGTGACCGCCAGCCCCACCTTCTCTCCATTGTTCTCCTCGCTGGGCGCCTCATCAAACTCTGACACCTCTCCAAAGCTGGAAAGCCACTCCTTGACCTTTGTACGCTTCTGTTCCTCGCCCGCTGGAGGGCCCAGAACGTACAACTTGGTGGATCGATTGTCCAGTCGCATAGGAGCAGCAGCACCACCGCCTCGAGCACCTCGGTATGCGCCGCGACCGCGTGCCGTATAGCCGCCCCTGCTGCTACCGCTGATTGGAGCGCCTGTCTTGTCCAGGCCCATGGAGGTCGCTTCAGCTTGGAGGGCGGCAAGCTTGGCAACGAGAGCGGGGTTTGCGCTGCTGCTGCCAGACGCTCCATTGCTGCTCCCCTCTGCGGAGTCACCTCCGCCTGTGGTAGTGTCTGGCTGACTAGCATGTGCCTCCAGCTCTCTGTCTAACCTCTCCCTCTCCATCTTCTCCCTCTGCTCAGCCTTGGCTCCGGGAGGCGCCGCCTTTGTGGGTTGGGGCAGTGCCTTAATCGCTTCGAAAGCCTCCCTGACCTTCTCTCCCGCTTCCTTGATCCCGGGCTCGACCTCCTTCAACCGCTTCATGGCCGCCTTTTTCTCCTCGGCGCTCGTTGCGCTACTTGTAGCCTTGACTAAGAGCTGCTTCTGCTCGGTCATCAGCTCATTGAAACGAAGCTGGGCAGCTTTCTGCGCTTCGAGGGCTGAACGGCGTGCAGCGTGTTGCTCCGGGGTGAGGCCGCCAGGCAGGTAAGGGGTAGAGGAAGAGGAACCAGCGGCGTGGGAGGGGGAGGAGGTGCCTGATGTCGAAGCTGCCGCACCTGCTGCACCAGGGGGACGATAGACGTTTTGTCCTGCGGCGAAGGTCTGCTTCTGTGGCGGAGGCGGGCGAGGCTGCGCCGGTCCACCTCCGTTTGAGTCATCCAACTTCTGGAAGTAGACCTTGACGAATCGATTCCCAAAGATGACTTCTGGCGATTCGTGTGCCGCTTTCGCTTCTTGTGGACTCGAATAGCTGACCAGAGCCTTCGAACCAGGCGCATCGACTTGAATGTTGGTAATCGTACCGAAGCGCTTGAAGTAGTCGTTGATCTTGACCAAGTCGAGCGACTCGGCGGGAACGTTCTCGATGACCAGTGTCGTAGCGCTTCGTGCTCGTGATTGGAAGGTGCCTGGTCGTACGGCCTGGCCACCTCCACGACCTCGACCTGCAAAGCCTCCTCGTTGTGGTGCGGGCTGCACGCCGTCGTGCCCTGCGAATGGCGGCGGGCTGTTCTGCGGCTGCTGCTCGCCGAGTCGCATGCCCAGCGGGAGGCCCTCCGGTCCATTGCTGCCCGGTGGGAAGCCCATGGGCATCTGGCCTTGCTGATGCTGCTGTGGTGGCCCTCCCTGCCATCCCTGAGGACCCATCTGCATCTGGAAGCCAGGCGGCATGCCGCCAGGTGGCATATTCATCATCATCGGTGGGCGGCCCATGAAGCCGTTGGGGCCGGGAGGGGAGCCTGCCTGCCTCTGATTGAAGGGCGCGCCCTGCTGCTGCTGTTGCTGTTGAGGAATTCCTATGCCGCCGGGAAATTGACCTTGTGGGGGCATGCTGGTGCCCATGATCGCATCGCCTGAGTGCTCCCAGCGACATTGCTCTCCTCGGGAGCACCATCCCTTTTGGTGAAAGTCGCGACAAAGGTCTTTTTCTTTCCCCCTGATGCCAGGAGCTGCAGACTGCTGCTGCTGCTGACCAGGCTGCTGTGGTCGAGCAGAGCTGCTCCTCTCAGAGATGTCCCTTTCCCTCTCCCTCGTCGACTCTCGGTCTGAAGAAGGACCAGTCGGCGTACCATTGCGGCGATCTGATGCTGGACCACGGGGAGCAGCGGCTGCCGCTGGTGTGCTCTCGTTGCCAGCGCTGGGACGAGCAGACTTGGCTGCAGGTGGCTGCTGCCTGGAATGCTCCTCGTCGTCCTCCGCTGGTCTCTTGCGAGATGATGACGGGCCCGAGGGAGCTGCTGCTGCTACTTTGGGTAGATACGACTTCTTTGACAGTGCTGATACTAGTTTGGAGACGAAAGGGCCGGTCTCTGCGCGAACAGGAAAAGGGAGGAGGGTGAGCTCGTTGACGCATATTGAGAGAGGACACGCCGCCGAACTCACTGTCATCAAGGAAGTCAGCAAGCTGTTCATCAAGGAGCGACTTGAGCTCTCCCTCGGAGGCGTCGTGCTTAAGGAGAGCAATCACATAGTCTGCAAGAACGTCAGGCTCGGCGTCGCAGCTACGCGTGTGCGAATAGAGCGAGGAGTGGCCAAGTCAGTGGCACTGAGAGCGTGTATGCACGTCAAGATGGCGAGACCTTGACTCACATTGGACCGAGCTCTTTGGTGAGCCAAGCTTTCACCTGCGGCGAGTGCGCAGGATCAAAGAGTGCCGGCATTGCAGCTTGCGAGGATTGGGAAGATGCGAGTGCGAATGCGACGTTGATGAAGTTGATTGGTGGTTGGTGCGAACGACGGAATCCGCTTTTCGACGACGGACATCGACGACCACGCGGCCAAGCGGAGGTGGGTTGCTTATGTCATCAACTCGATGCGGAGGTCCACTTTCGCCGGCAACGCTTCGAGGATTCTCGTCAGCTTCATCCTCACTCCACCACCCACCGGCTCGCCTCGCAACCATGGGTCTCCTCTCCTGGGCATCATCGGGCTCATCAAAGAGCGACCCTTCCTCACCTGTCGAGGATCATCTTCCGACCCGCACGAATCGCACAGCCTGTTGGGCCGGGCGTGACGCCTACTTCTCATGCCTTGACGCACATCAGCTCATCATCCCGCCGGGAAACGCAGGGGGCAGTGGAGGCGTCGAGGGAGCGGGAAAGGGAGTCCTTGGTAGGAGTGAAGATCCGTGTGCAAAGGAGAGGGATGGATATGAGGGCAACTGCGCAAAGAGCTGGGTCGATTACTTCAATAAGAGGAGAGTTTTGGAAGAGAGGCAGAAGAGGATGCTCGCTGCGAGCGGGCCGACGGCTGCTGGTGTGCAGCCAGTAAGCAAGGGGACCTAGCAGGGCACAAAACGGTAATGCCACGACGAAAGCTACATACACAACAACCACCACTCTCGATCCACCCCATATACCCGCATCGCAATGGGTAGCATCTCTGTCAAGCACGGGCGGCAGACGAGTGTAGCCAGCTCCATCCTTCTGGCAGGGCATCAAGCACGTCGGACTCCATCTGGCGACCAGAATCGACATGCATGGCTCCAAGGAGAGTCACGGTCTATGATGGGAGACAAGAGTGGGGCTAGAGATCACGATAATCCGCTCTCAGTGGAAGGGGAGCAGGAGCATTTTGACGGAAGTGGGCTATGGAGCACCTTGCTGTGTTGTGCAGGAAGCCACGCCCTTCTTGAATAGCTCCAAGCGAGGAGTGTACTCGGAGCCCCCGAGGCCTACCAATCGAAGCAGTTCGGACCTGTTTGACGTGTGATGAGGCCGTCTCTTCGCGGACATATGAATGTTTGCTCGTGCTCACCCTCGTCCGACCGCCGCTTCCATTCGTCTTCTGCAGCCCGCAAGCTGCCTTGCTGGCCAGCGCTTGGCGGCTGACGATGCTATGCCAGACTTCTACTGTAAATCGGTCCTCGACGAAGGGGAAGGTAAGCCTACGGTCGCGGCCCTTCATTGGCAGCTAGAAGACATGCTTGTTCGAAGGCGGACGGGCCGACGAAGCGCGACATCTTCCTTAGATGCTCGAATCCTGCGGACAATCTGACGACACTCTGACAATTTCTTTGGCGCAGAGGCTGATGTGCACCCTCGATCAAGAGGCTCGCGAGCTCGAAGCGGAGGCGGACGCAGCCCAAGTCGCACCAACGTTCATATCGGTACCGAAGACAGAGTGATGATTGCGTCTGCCGCTACTCTCGATGATAGAGAGGCGAAGCAGTATATGCTTGCCTGCCAAAGGCTATGAGCGTGGGTCGCAAATTGGAGATGGCGAACAGCGACGATGGACGAGGAGGCACAGTCGGCTTGCAACCTAGGCTGGCTCAGTCGAGACAGGGTCTCTGATAAGAGCGAGCCGCATCATGGGCGGGCTGACGATGACCGGGTAGTCGGCGCCTAAGATGATTAGATTGGGTGGACGTGAAAGATGAGAGAAGGATCATGGTCACGACTGCACGACCTCGAGATGGGAGTGGAGAGTCGGACTGCTTGCATCGCGTTGAGCGGACTGAGCCACGTGTTGGCGCTGCGCGCGGCGAGCTTTCGACTTCCGGAGCCGACGAGCTGCACATCGGATTGAGCGGGAGGCTAGAGCGAGCGGGAGAAGAAGGCTGCGAGCGAGGCCAGAGCCAGAGGACGAACCGACGACGACAGACGACGGCCGCCTCGACGCTACCTTGAATCCTTCAACTCCTCAAATTCATCAAGTCATAGGTGAGTGTCGATGCGACGCGATGGGGAGATGTTTGAGTGAGGTAGCTAGGTAGCTGGAGAGACAGTGGTGCTGACCGTGTTTCGCTCTGTTCCCTCCCGGCTCTCCTTTCACTCACGGCATCCACCTCGGTCCCCTTCCTCTACGGTTGAACACATCTCTTCATCCTCATTCTACATCGTCTCACTTCTTCATCATCTTCCTCCTCATCTACGACACTCTTTGCCAACTCGTCACACCTGAATTTCGCCGCACCGCCAACTCGCACCGTCGCCTACCTTCTCTGCGTGCTCCTCTTGCACCTCCCAGTCATGGGCCGCTTCACCGAGTACATCGTCGTGGGCAGGCGTCTCCCTACGGAGAACGAGGCTTCTCCTCCGCTCTACCGTATGAGCATCTTCGCGCCCAACGAGACGGTCGCCAAGTCTCGTTTCTTCTACTTCTTGCGCCAGCTGAGGAAGATGAAGGCAGCCACCTCGGAGATTGTTGCCATCAACGCCGTGAGTATCTCAGAGAGCAGGATCGAGGCAGGATGACAATTGGCAGACTGAAGAGGGTCGGGAGGGAGACAGCATTGGGGCTCGCTGAGAAGCGTCGCATTGGATTAGGTGGTCGTACTGTAGCGTCGTTGTGGCGGATGTTGGGGGAGAGTCTGCGCAGAGGTCAACGATGGGTATGATATCGCGGGCACCATTGCACGACTCGCAGAAGGCGCAGAGGGGACATGACAGGGAGAGAGAAGGGCAGGAGGTCTTCGTCGTCGTGCAGCATCCCTCGTCTCTCCCGGATGGTCGACTCACACGTTCACGTACCGCCTACAGGTCGCTGAGAAGAAGCCCATGAAGGTCAAGAACTTCGGCATCTGGCTCCGTTACAACTCTCGCTCGGGCACCCACAACATGTACAAGGTGAGCAGCGAGCGGTGGGTTCGCCCTCCATGAGGCCCTCTCTGACCACCTTTGCTCCCTTCCCCCATTGCCCTTCGACAGGAGTACCGCAACATGTCCCGTGCCGAGGCCGTCGAGGACATGTACCAGGACATGGCTGCTCGTCACCGTGCCCGCTTCGCGTCGATCCACATTCTCAAGGTGGCCGAGGTAGAGAAGACGGCCGACCTGCGTCGCCCCTACATCAAGCAGTTCACCGCCAACAAGCTCCGCTTCCCCATCCCCCACCGTCGCCCTACGGCCGCGGGCACCTACGCCGCTCGCCGACCTGCTACCTTCTACTAAGCGCAGAGCGCGCGATAGGAGCCAGGTGTGCGGATTTGCGGTCTACGATGTATTGCTTGTCGTTGCGAATCAATGGCAGCAGTGCGATTTCACCCATCTCTGTCCCTGAGGCTCGATATACGGCAAGCCCCCAGCTGCCAGCCCTTGTTCCTCTCCTTTGTACCACCTAGCTACCATGCTCTTCCCATCCATCCTTTCTCTTGTGCATAATGACAGGAGAGAGATACAAGCATCGCCTCCGCGCCTGATCATGGCCGCGGACGTAGGCTACTAAGCCGATTGGGCGAGCTCGGACCCCTCGCTCTCCTCGTCGGCGGCGGTTGTGCAGCAAAGTGAGATCCAGCTAATCAATCAGTGCCCTCATCGCGTTGCCAGGAACAAGCCAAGTCGTGAGCTCATGTCGATTTGTGTGTCAACGTGTCGTCGCGTCCTCACCAGCGCAACTGAGCGGTGGTACTCCTTCTTGACACCTTCCTTTGTTTGTCCATCGTACCGTTCGCACAGATCAAAGTGCATAGTGCAGAATCAGCTTCGAGACGTGAGTAGCGGCTGATACTCGTTCAAAAAGCTCAACTTGAGGGATGTTCGCTGATTCCCTTCTGCCAACTCACAACGCCCGCTTTACCACTGCATGACGCGACACTTCCTCAACCACGGCGATGATGACGACGACGATAGTGGCCTCAGCGACCTTGATCTGCCAGATATCTGCGCCAGTCCACCCTACTACGACGATAGCGGCGAGCCTTCTCTGGAGTCAGACATCGGGAACGGCCTCATCAGCGACGACGACGACCTTCTCAAGAGCTCTTTGGCAGTTGCGGGCACGAGCGACGAATCACGAAGGCTCAGGCTTGACTCATTCGACTGTGGCGGTCTAACTCCTTCGCTGCTGACCGTCGAATTGGAGGACCAAGCGTCTGACCAGCCCGCGCTCGACTCAAACGGCCTGGATCATCCGTCGAGAGCTACGATCGGTGACACCAGGAAAGCCTCCATGAGGCGCACCGCAGTCTCCCCGACGGGTGACTCGACGCCCACTCTCCGTGCTATGTCACTGCATGACGAGCCCAGCGTCGATCACTCTGCAGCACAGCAGCAGCCAAGCCAATCTAGTCTTCCATTGCACCAGCTTTCTCCACGAAGCTTCGCAGCTGCCGTCCTCGGACCGTCTGCCTCCCACTTGCCGCTGCCTGCAACCGGCAGCACCCACTACTCACCTTGGAGCGCATCCCACGCCGCAGCAGCTGCCAACCCTGCCTGGCTTGCTGCGGCCCTTCCCGGTTTCTCCGAGGGATGGACGCCCAGCATCGGACCAGCAGTGGGCTCGTCTTCCTCCGATCCCATGAACGATGGCAGTGGCAGTGGCACAGGCTTGGTCCCGCTCGAAGGGCTACGCGAGGCGGCAGCCAGGTTCGCACAAAGTGAGGACCTGCACGACTCACCGCCTCAGGCCGACTCACCTGGGAGCGATACGTCCAGCACCGCAACCGTGACTGCGCGTACGGCCGCGGACGTCACTCCTCCGGCTCGCACACGACCTCTTGCCGCCCCCTCTTCCTCGACCAATCGCCAGATCACCCTGCCTATTCGTCTACCTCCGCCGGCTCTAACAATCTTGTCCGACCCATACGCCGACCTGACTCTCCACCTCAATCGGCATGGTCTGCGCTCAGAGGCAGAGACGCTGGGGAAGATGCCGCCAGACTTTATCCTGCATAATTATCTCACCATCAAGGGAGGGCCGGTAGGTTTTCTGGAGCAGACGATGCGACTGGTCGAAAGACATGGACCCGAGATGGGAAGACAGATTGGCGCTGCGGCGAGACGGCAACAAGGCAATCCGGGGCCAGGGGAGGGCGACCGTCTCCCCGAGGCGGTGCTGCTCGACACACAGATGCTTGACGCTGATGCGATAGCTAGTGGACTACTGCCAACTCACTTACTGGTCGTGACGCCCTGTCTGCCGCTATCAGGGCCCACCTCCTCTTCCGCCGGCTCAAGCACACCAACGCCTTCAAGTGCAATCAGCTCGAGCCCCCCGTCCCATCAGCAACACGTCATCCTGCCAATCCACTCTCTCCTCTACGTTCTGCAGTGCGTTTCCCTCCCACCCCTACCGCGCTCAAGCGTACCTACTAGCTCCTCACCAGCTGGTGAGACGCTCGAGATACCCGTGGTATCCCTCAAAGTGCCACGTCCGGCCTTGTTCAGCTTGACGCATCGCTTCGTCTACTCGCACGACACTCAGGCATTGTTAATGGACCTGGCACCACTGGAGAGATTGGCAGCGATCTTGCGGGCGAGAGCGGGCGGCGAAAGGGCGTCTCAGGGGGCCGCTCCATCCTCGTCATCCTCGACGCCGCCCATTATGATTCCTCGACCCTCCAGGTCAGAGTGTCAAACTCTCCTCGCGCATCATTGTCCTGCTGCGGAGCTACTAGGCTACGCGCAGAAGGTGCACGGCGCCTGGGCTAATGGAGTGGCTATTGGACTGACAACGACTGTGTATTGGCGAACATTGGAGCGCGCATGGGAGCTGGTGGTAGGGGCATTGCGTATTCAGCAGAGTGAGAGGAGCGGGACAGGTCCGAGAGGAGGAAAGGGGAAGACGGCGATGACGACGAGAGCATTGGGCAAGAAGAGAGGCCACGTAGTCCCCGGCCAAGGGATCTCACGTGAATCGTACCAAGTGCACGGGCCTCCTGCTATGGCAGCATCAAGGCGACAGCGACGTGCTGGCGGGAATGGGAGTAGGTCAGCGGTGGAGGGAGGAGGCGTGTCAGTTGAGAAAGGGGGCACACCCAAGCCCAGAGGAGCCTCATCACCATCGAGTAGCCATAGTCGCAGGCAGCAATCATCGGCCGGAGGCCTTTGATCACTTTGACTACTTGATGAGCCAACCATGAATAGCATATACCCATCTCAGCTTCGACAAAGACGCCGAGGAAGTGTGAAGTCAAGACAAGACAAGGCGACGTCGGCATTCTCCCCGCCCGCAAGTTGCCGCACGGACGAAGCGAGACGGAGCGACGGACAGCGATGTGGGGGCTTCAAGTGGGGGACGAGCATACAGGCAGCACCTTTCGACCTGACCTCTTCATAGATCGCCGCTTCTCTTCTGCCTCAATGCTTCGAGCAATCTTACGAAGCGCCGCAGCTCCTCTTTCTTCCCATTCTTCGTCAACTATTTTTGTCAATTCTTCTCAGCGCTTCTTCGCTCGCAATCAACTTGGCCCCACTTCAGCAGCTTCGAGCACCCTACTGCGCACAATGGCAACCACTACCAGCAAGCGTGACCCCTACGACGTCGTCATCGTAGGTGGAGGATGGGCGGGCCTTACTGTCGCACTACGTCTCTGCGAATCTCCCTCTTCATCATCATCTTCTTCGTCGCCCTCGATTCTCCTCCTCGAAGCCCGCCCTCGCCTTGGGGGACGAGCGTTCACTCATACCTACGACCGGCAGTCCCTGGGCAGCAGTCAACGGTCTGTTGCCCCTCCTGCTGATATGGACGGTGTAGACAGCAGGAGCGTTGCGGGTCAGGGAGTAGAGGCTGTCGACTTTGGCTGCTCCTGGCTGCACGGCTACAATGAAGGCAACCCGGTCAAAGCTCTATGCGAGGAGCTCGGAATCCCCGTCAAATTGGCGGCAGACTTGGCGGGGAAGAGGACGGGATGCATCGTTGTGGGACCTGATGGTTCTCCATTGGAGAGCGGTTTGTCGAGCAAGATCAGAGGAAACACGGACGAAAGTATGCGTCTTGCTCACGAAGAGGCAAAGGGCCTGCAGGATGGTGATGAGAGGTCGCTCGCAGACTTCCTGCTCAACGACAAGTCGCCGCTCTTCGCAGGCTTGAACAGCGCAGAGGAGCGTCAAGCTGCGATCTCGTACGCACGCATGCTCCATGTACCTCTCGGCGTGGCTCTGGAGGCCGTCTCACTGCGCTGGCTGGGCTACGGCGAGGCAGTAGCGGGAACGGACGCCGCACCTGAGGGTGGCTTCTCGCGTGTCATTGAGGCGCTCGTCAAGCGAATCGAGAAGACGGGGAAAGTCGAATTCAAGACCGGCCTAGAAGTAGTGGGCGTGCAAGAAGTTCCGCAAAGCGAGACTGTCAGAATCATGGTCAAGGGAGAAGGAGGAGAGGACGCGGTCGAGGGAAAGACGAGCATTATGACCCTCCCACTCGCCGTGCTACAGAAGCGCCTTCAATCAGCATCGACGCAACCACCGCTCTTCACTCCCCCTATCAGCGCTCGAAAGCAGCAAGCCATTGCCCGCACGCAAGTCGGCGACCTCAACAAGGTCCTCCTCGTCTACGACAGCGTCCAACCCTGGTGGCGCGACGCCGATGCGACAGGTACCTTTGTCGTCTTGCCCAAGACGGCCAGCAGCAGCAAGACACCTCAAGCAGAGGGTCAAGCGGGCGATCTGACTTCGCTCCTCGAGTCGACTACCCTTCTGATATCACCCTCAGTCTCGGAGCGCACGGGCACTTGCTCTCTCCTCGTCATGGTAGGAGCATCCCAGGGTGCCGCTGCCCCTGGGCAGCTGGAAAGCTTTGGACGACCTGCTGTAGCTGAAGCCCTGCATGCCCGCCTCGCAACTGCTTTGGCCCCTCAGAGCGCCTCCAGCGTGCCGCAGCCAGTTCACAACTTCATGTCCCGCTGGTCAGGCCATGCCCTTACGCAAGGGGCGACCAGCACGCCCGTGACCCTGGGAGAGGGGAGGAGCCCGCTGGACTTTGTGACCCTAGGACAGCCAGAGTGGGGAAAGAAGCTATTGTTCGCTGGCGAACATACGGACGTTGATGCTAGGGGTAGTATTACGGGCGCGGTGAGGAGTGGGGAGCGTGAGGCGAGGAGGATCAGGGGAGGGGAGGTGAAGCTGTAGAGGGTAGGGTGAGGGGAAGAAGCCGAGGACAAGGTCGTTCAGAGTGATTGAGCGAAATTGAGGCCAAGCAATCGTAGATGAATACCACCCTTTCATCCGCTAGCACGACCCATCTCGCCTTCCAGAGAGGGCACATTAAGACACAAGAACAACCTCAGAGGACGGATGAGGATCTGATGATATTGAAGTACGATTAGGATGTGAAGACAAGAGTCAAGCCCGAAGCGACGTGCGTTCGCAGTGGAAGCGGGCGACAGGCGCATCGCTTCGTGCGAAAGACTGAGACAATGAATGAGAGAGGTGGTATGAAGCGACAGGAGAGGCCAAGCCAGGAGATTGGTGATACAGACGGACAGAGAAGAGAGGAATCGGACAACAAGAGAGGGTAAACGCCGGCCACTCCCAGTGAGCGAGCCTGCTGCTTCCTCCTCGGATGTCCGCTCGTGGTGTGGATGGAGTGGGAACTCGGTGGGAATCATCATCATGGCGGTCGCGTGTTTGATAGCCGACTCATGGCTGAGGCCCAGCCGTAGCTGCAGCGCTCAACTCAACGGTCCTCTTCGTCGGCGACGACCTCGTTCCAATAGGGTCCGGTCTCGGGCGATCAAGATCATTCGGTGAGATGAGGTGGTCTTCCTCGTGCTCTGCGTGGACCTGCTTGGCCAAGCCGATCTCCCCTGCCCCGGGCAGACGACCGTAGAAAGCGCGGGAGCGACGCAGCGTGGGGCCGCCGCCAGGAGGGAAGAATCGCTGCTCTACGCTGCTGAGCTGAGTAGAGTGGGAGGAGTTGCTTCCAATCTGACTGGCAGTGTTGCTGCTTGATTCGGCTACTTGCCTCAGTCCAGCAGCAAGTGCCGACGCAGGAAGTGTACGGCTGCGACTGGCTGAGGTAACCATGCCGTCGTCGAGCCAGATGTCCCTTGCGTTGCCCGTCGAGGGACGAGGCGGTGGCAGAGGCCTCGAAGCCCTCAATGACCGCGTGCGCAAGCCGAAGCCCGGACTACCCTGGGCGCGAGCCCCTCCTGCTGGTAGTCCGCCGCTCCCGATGCTGCCCATGCGCAGCCCAAGCATGCCGTCGTTGACGTTGCCCATGCTGTTGTGCTCTGCTATGTCCTCGTTGGTGCTGAAGTTGCTGTCCGGCCCGCCACTGCTCATCTCGCTCAGCCCAAGCTGAGCAGCGCCCGTGCGCAAGCTCCCGATCGAGCCCCGAACGTGCGTCTCACAGAAGTACGGATTATGAGAGCCCAGACTACCCCCGCCAGGGAAGCAGCCCGAGCGCACGGGAGAGTTTGAGAGGTTAGTAGGGCCAATGCTGACAGCTGGCGAGGTTGCCGACGTGCTGAGGCTGCTGCAGCTCGTGTTGCTGATACTGTTCGACGTGGGCGGGGACAGGGACATGCTTGGTGACATGAGCGTTGTAGTCGAGGAGGACGCAGTGGGTGGGCTGCTATCAAAGTCTTGATCGTGGACTCGGTCGCGATGCTCGAGTGAGGGGCGAGGGCTAGAAAAGGGGCTGCTGCTTTTGTGGGGCAGGGGGCTCAACCCGTCGGTAAGGTAGGCTGAGTCAGTCCCACTGCCGTTGCTGCGTGTCTGCCCAGGGACGTAGCCACCGAACGGGCTTGCAGGTAGCGAGCGACCGGGGTCAATGCCACTGCTGGAGGGCATTTGTCCTAAGCCGAGCGCTGAAGGTGTTAGCAAGCCACCAGAGCTGGAAATCTGGAGTGAGCTGCCGCTGCTGCTACGTGCATCAACCGCTACCCTAGAAGGCGCTGCTAGCATGCCGCTCTTGCTCTCCGAGAGTCGCAGTGCCGTTGACAGGAGTGAGTCGAGGCCAGGCGTGCCAACAGAGTCCGATCTGGCAGCAGCACGACGAGGCAGGGCCTCTCGAGCCACTTCAATGGCGGTCATGGACGACGAAGAGGGTGGCGAGCCGACTGTGACTAGTGGTTGGGAGTACTTGCCGCTTCGCGGGGAGCTATCAAGTCGATAGCTTCGCTCCTCGTGCATAGCGTCCAGGCCAGACCCGCTGTTGAAGCTCGAAGATTGACCTGCGTTACTGCCCGATGTTGCTGACGGCGATGAGTGCAGAGGCTCTCCCCTGTTCGTTGGAGCAAAAGCGCTACTACTGCTCGGAGTGAGGTCGCCTCTGTTGCGCGACGTAGGCTTAGCCAGCTGATCAATCTGAGAAGGATTGGCCGGAATGCCTGCAGCGAGTTGAGCGGCCAGAGCAGCGCCCGATGCTAAGGAGGCGGCAACCTCATTACCTTCTGCGAAGGGATAGCAGCGCATGCAGACCTTTCGACGTCGCCAATTGACAAACGAGCAGACCGAGCAAACCCAATCGCCGGGCTGGACGCACATGGGGCCTAGATTGCCCGTATTGATGATGGGTGGCACATTGGTCGGGCCACCACTGCGACTGCCGTTGCCGCTGGTGCTGCTGAGGCCGTCGCCTGCCGAAGAGCTGAGAATGGGAGCCGCATCTGGATTGACGCCAGGTCCGAAGCCGACGCCGAAGCTGGCGAGATGCATTGCCGTGGACAGGGCAGCTTGCTGCTGTGCCGTCACGATCTGATGAGGCGACGGTGTTGACATTGGTTGCAGAGGGGCTGCTGCAGGGATGGGCGAGGTGAATGGCATCGAGCTCGCCTGCGGACCGAAGACATAGGGCGGCGACTGGGGCCCTGCCATGGAGACAGGAGGCGTAGACAAAGTCGCGCCGAAGTGTAGCGGCCCACCAGCTCGAGGTGCATACATAGAAGCTTGGCTACCAAGCAGCTGCCGCGTTAGAGGTGGAGAGGCGGCCGAGCTGCCCGAGAAGCTTTGCGAGGCGGCCAACAGCGTCGAGGTGTCGTGGTTGGCTGCGTTGAGTGGGCGAGCATCGAGCGAGGGCGCCGACATGACAGGGGTGACCAGGGTCGGAGTCTTTGCAGGAGGGAAGAAGGAGAGCGGTGCTCGGCGGATGATCGGAATGCTCTTCGGAGGCGGCGTGCCGTCTCTGACATTGGTGTCGCTGCCAAGCTGACCGCGAAGGCTGTCCGATGAGGGCGATTGAAGCTTCATGAGAGCAGGTTTAGGTGACGCAGGCTGCGGGGAGGTAGAGGTCACCACCAAGCAGTAACGCAGATCGAAGCCGCTGATCGTACTCACCTTGGGTGGAAGGGAGGCGTGAAGAGCGAGCGATGATGGCGATGCCGTAGACGAAGCCGGCGAGCCTGCGTTGCTGCGCGTGTGCTTGCGGACTTGAGGCAACTCCATACCGAGAGACCTGGTTTGGGTGTCGGCGTGCTCCTCAAACGCTCGATGGACAAAGGGGGACGGCTGTCGCTGCTGCTGCTGCTGCTGTTCGTGGTGACCTGTGTGCTCCTCCAATTTGCAATCCTGAGTTACGGTAGACGCGGGCTGTTCCAATGCCATGATCCGCAGGATGATGATGATGGATCGAGCGATTTGGTAGGAGCGAGGACCCCGAGAGCAGTCGAAAGCCTGGTGAAGATGAGAGGGTTGAGGCGAGAGGTTACGGCGCTTGAAGCTGAAGCCTGTCGCGCAATCGAGTTGCGGCAGCGACGCGACAAGAGTTGGGTGGTGGCGAGCGGCGACTACTCTCCGCAAGGAGAATGAGATGTGATGTCGGGCGGGGTGTAGAGCTGCTGAGGTGTGTTAGGAGGGCGAAGAGGAGTGGCGCGGAGATCGGCCTGTTGCCTTGCCGATCGGAAGAGGTCCGAGGATGTAGACGCGAGCTGAGGCTGAGTCGGTGTTCACGTTGGTGTATGTGTGTCGATGGTGATGAAGAGGATAGTAGCGGCCTTAGTCTGAAAGGTGGGCGAGGTGAGGCGGGATGGGTCCTTTTGGAAGTTGCGTGGTGTGGTAGGGGAGTGAAGATTTGCGGCGAGTTCGAGCAACTAGGTGGATGGGATCGACCTAACGAGAGGGGAGACGACGAGAGGGGAAATGAGGGCGGCGGCGGCGGCACGACACGGCCGCGGTGGTTGAGTGATTGGTGCCTGGTTGGCTGGCTGGCACTACCGCGAGCCCACCTTTCCCTGGTTGCCTTCGATTGCCGCCGCGCATGCGCTGCTGCTAGTGATCGACCCGCGAGACGCCATGATGACTCTCACCTCGCCTCGCGGCGGTCAGCACACCGCGACCATTCGACCTCGAGGCGGATGTTGAATGACAAGCCACCGCAAGTCTCCCCCTCTCGCTCTCGCTCATGATGATGAGACTACCGGCCTTCTCACCCCTCCTGAGCTCAATCCTCTCAGCGCCGGAACACCGAGCAATGACCAGGCACGGTGCGGCCCGACCGTATCAGCGCCCACTCTCGTACGACTGACGACCCGCCACTCATCGATGACCAGCTTGAGGAAGATGGTGGCGGTACGGTCCGCTCGATACGTTTTTTGCTGGAGTGAGCGCTATTGAGTTCGCCGTGCACGGCGGCCGTTTGGAACGGTACGGTCCGTCAGCTCGTGTCGCAATGACAGCCTTGTCCCGAAGTTGAGGTTGATGTGACCGCGTAGCGGCACGGCACGGTCCGCGTGACGGCCATGCTCCTCTCTCCCTGCTGGGCGCACCACACCGCACTCCTCTGCGGGACGCTCAAAAGCTACTATGCCGTCGGCGTAGTAGATCTGTAGGCTGAAGCTTGCACCTCATTGAAACTCTCTGGAGGTCCACGTTGAGTGATGTAGGAGGATGGGACAACTCTGCGCGCCGTACGCGAGCGAGGAGGCGGCTGGCGGAGTCAGACCAGCGCCGAGACCAAGACCATGGGCCTCCTCCACGCAGCCTCCGGAGCTGCTGCCCCCGAGATGATGGGTATGGTATGGCAAGGTCTGATGGTATCTCCGGTACGCAATGTAGTAAGAGCAGACATGGCAATCATTCGAGAGGGCTTAAGAGCGCGAATCTACGCGGGATGCCAGGGTTGCATGTTCATGGTCGTGAATTGCATTGCCGCAACATGTCTACGGCATCCGCTCGCTAGAATGACAATGCAGACATCTCTCTCCTCTCATCATGCTCTTCTGCCCTTCATTCCTCCTTCAACAGCTTCCGCAATACATCTCTTTGCTCCTTGGGTACCTACGATGCGACAGGGAGAGGCGGGTAGCATAAGTCAGATTCTGCTCCAACTCGCTGAAGCCCTCTGACAGCAGCCCAAGACCTAGAAACAGATGACTCTGACTCCCTGTACGCGGGCCGACGACGTCATGCTACACTTTCACACTCACCTTCCAGAATCGCTCCCTCTTCTCAACAAAGCCCATCACTCTCAGATTCTTCGGCCAATCTCCCTTGACTACCTTGGCCGCCGGTCGTCCTGCTTCAGCCGCTTGTCTGGCATCTGCATACATCTTCCCGATGCTCTGATACTGCTGCTGCTGATGTTGCCTCTGCTTCTGCTGTTGAGAAGAGGAAGATGCACTTCCTGTAGCGTCCTCCTCAACGGCAGCGGATTTGGGCGGCGCGTACTTCCTCCTCAGCGGGGGAGGAAGGCGTGATGCGACTGCGGAGAGTGATGAGGAGGAAGGTGCCGGGATCGGCTGGATGCGGATCAGGGAAGACGAGGTAGGACGCATGTTTGTTGTTGTGATGTGATGAGAAAGGGCGCTGGTAGTGTCAAGGTTGAGAAGGACGGGGACGAAAATCAAGCGGGAGTGAGCGGAGCAGCGGGAGCAAGGGAAAGAGCGTCGGAGCGGAAGCTGGGCCGTGTACGGCCTCCGCTGGGACAGACTTGCACTCGCTATGACCGGCGTCTCATCGTGAATGGTAATGTACAATTGAGAATCTCACATTTTACTCATCATCCTCGTCTCTCTGTGCTCTCTCCTTCGCGGCCGCCTCAGCAATGTCGTCTTGCCCAAGCTTGAGCTTCGCCTTATTCTTCCCCACTCTACCCTGCTCCCCGCCCTGCCTCGCACCAGCGAAACTCTCCCTGACTTTTTCTCTCAACCCATCCACTCCCTTCTCGTCCTCACGATCCCACTGCAGCACCAAATGCCTCCCCAGAAAATGCGCGTGACGCAGCGCCTCGAAAGCGCCTTGGGCCTCGCGTTTGGAGGTGAACTCGACAAAGGCAAACCCGCGTGCGCCTGATTGAGAAGGCCCAGAGAGAGCGGCAGCTTTACGGGGGACACGAACCGATTTGACTTGCCCATGCGCAGCAAAGAGAGCACGGACATCCTTGCGGGTGGTCTCAAAAGGCAGATTCTTGACGATCAACTTCGTCGTGGGCTGTTCCTTTGCGCCCTTGACCGCCGTATCATCGGCATCCTGTCCTCTCCTTGCGAAGCTGAGCGCCAATGCATGGCCGTCAAGCTCTTTCCCCTGCAGTGCTCCGAGCGCAGTCTGAGCCGCAGCCGGGTTGCGGAATCCGACGAAACCGTACCCCATGCTTAGTCTCTTGGAGGGATCGCGAGAGTCGATGCGCGTCTGCACGCGGGCGAAAGCGAAGTCCGTGAGGGTGCTGAAGAGGTGCGTGAGCTTCGCGTCCGTCGTCGCGAAGCTGAGGTTCTTGACAAAGAGGGTTGCGCCAGGTTCCACATCCGCCTCGCCCGCCGCTGTGTCGCTACCGGTGGCCGTCGCGGCTGCAGTGGTAGGAGGAGCCACAACCGGTTTTGTACCCTTGACATCCTCGCCACCACTTCGTCTCTTGACCATCCCCTCCGGCGCCTTCTCGAGATAAACAATCGAGTTGCCCACCCTCTTGTACGCAAGCGCCCTGAATGCGACTCGAGCCTCTCCAGGCACTACCATTTCAACCAGCGCAATCGTCCCTGCAGGCGGAATCAGCACGCGGTCGACATCGCCGTGACGCTCGAACATCTCTCTGATCGTCTCAGGGGCGGTGCCAAAGGGGATATTCTTGACGAGGATTGTTGTGTCGCTTCGTCGAACCTTCTTGCCTTCGAGGGAGGACACGTCGATGCCTTCGCGCTCGAGGAACTCCTTCGTTTCGCGGATGACTTTAGTTTCCGCCAGGGCGAGGCGGACTGCAGCACTGTCCCCTCCAGAGTCGTCGGACGGATTGAGGATGTCTGATTTGGAGATGCCCAGTCGCTCGGCCACACTGCTCGCCACGGCATCTGCACTCATGTAGAGGGAGCTCCAGTTGAAGTCCTGCCCCGCCTTTGCTTTGCGCTCCTCTGCACGTGATTGCTTCAGCGTTGGACCCTGCTCGGGCTTGGGTCGAAGATCTACGGCAGGGAGAAGATGGAGGAGGCGACCTTGAAAGGTCGTGCCATCTGCACCGCGATAGGCGCTGAGAGCATGCGCAGGATCGTGGTAGTGAACGAAGGCCATGCCTTTCGAGGACTTGGTGGTCTTGTCAAGAGTGATGTGCACCTGCATACGTGAGCGGCCACAAGGGCGAAGAGGTCAGCTCGTGGCCATTATCTGAAAAGTGGCAGGGTCCGCAGCTCTCTCTTCCTCGCGCGCGCACGCACATGGCAATCAGTAGATGGGTAGTTGTCTCCAACTCCCGGATTCTGTACTTTTCTCAGCCCGGCACATCGTCTTTGCGAGGCTCTGCTGTCCCTATACATTCGCTCATCCTATTTGCCAGCGTGCGATCGCCCGCGAGTGCAGTCAAATCAATGCGAGGACACTGCTACTCACCTGCTTGACTGGACCAAAGACGGCAAAATGCTGCTCGAGATCTTCCTCACTGGCTGAAAAGGGCAGGTTGCGTATAAACAATCGGCCGCTACCCATGATGGTATCCACGGCTTCTTGGTCCTTGCGGGCTTTCTCTTCGAGTGCGAGGCGCTCCTTTTCCTGCTTGGCTTTTGTGACTTCGTCTTCCTCTTCATCGCTCTCCTCATCGCTTTGGTCTGAGTCGCTGCTTTCGCTGCCAGCCTCAGAGTCAGACTGCTCGAACTGCTTCGCCTTTTTGGCTGCTGCTTGTGCGGCTTGCTGCTCCAGGCCGACATTGCGCCGCATACGCTTAGCCATGTAGTCCAGGTCGGTAAGGCCTTCGTCGTTGAGCGCCTCGTCTTGTTCCATGTCTGCATTGTCATCGTCATCGTCGCCATCTGCATCGTTTGCATCGGCCGTAGTGGTAGCAGCTTGCGCGGCGTCGGCCTCAACTTTCGCCTCCTTCTTTGCCCGCTTCCGCTCCTTCTTTGAGTCTGTCGTCTCTTCATCGGCTGGCGCGGACTTGAGCCGTTCCTCAGGGTCATCTTCCTCGTTCTGCCATGTTTTTCGCTTCTTCTTTGGAGCCATGACGGCCATGAACTCTTCGAAGGAGACGCCCTTTGACGAAGAGGCGGCATTGGATGCCTTGCTCTTGGCCCTCTTCTCTTGCTCCTTCTTCTTTTGGTCTCGAGCAGCAGCAGCAGCACTAGCAGCTTCGACACCTTGCACCCCATCTCTGGTCGCTTTTCTCTTCTCCTTGACCTCGATCAATCCCTCATCTCCAATCTTCCTTGCCAGGTCCACCTGGATCCTGCTGGTATCAATGAAGGTGCGATTGAAGTAGTCGAGGGCGTCTCGCGCCTCCTCTTCTGATCGATATCCTACGAAGCCGAACCTCCTGGATGTGCCATCTGGCCGTGTCATGAGCTTGACATCGGTGACTGAGCCCTTTTGGCTGAAGTGCTCGCGGAGACGGACATCCGAGAGGTAAGCGGGAAGATTCTTTACGATTAGTCGTGACCTGGTAGAGGGGCGCATAGTGTTCAGCATGGTACGAGCAATCTGTAGCGCTATATCATTACTCACATTTTTGCTGGTGACCTCTTACTATCTCGCCACTCTGATTGAGACGATGGCCATCTCAATCAAAGATGGATGGTCTGCGAAAGGAGGGAAAAAGCTGCCCGCCTTCTTTGCTTTCCTCAATGCCAAAATCTCGAAGCTCAGCCAAGTCGACGGCGGCCTTTTGCCGCGGCTTTGCTCTGACGCTGCAGGGTGGAGCGCGTCCCTGTACGATGAGGCCACGAGCGGCCGTCGACACGATGACCATCGATGCTCCCTACCAATCGCAGATCACCGCCAGTTACTACACCACTCGAATCTTCTCCATCTTCTCGTCCTCGTCGACTGCCACGTCGTCGAGCTCACACGCCTGTTCAACTTGATCCGCCCCTCATTTGATGCACACACACCCCTCTCCTCAACCAACCCAAACGTTTCACGAACCACCAGCGCAACTCAACGACGACAGCCAATCTACTACCCATCATGGCTCACACATCGACGACAATGCCGACATCAGCGTCGACGACTCTCGTGACGCGCCTTTCATCCTTCCGCCCTCGATCGTGACCGAGCGAAAGCCGCGCAGACGCGCCCGTACTGTTCGTCAACGAGGCGCCGCGACTGGTCGTGGCAATGGTGATCACCATGCTGCGAACGACTCCCATCCCTCAGATGACGACGAGGAAGAAGAGGACGTCATCTGTTGGATCAATCGTCTCCCCTCCGAGTCCTTGACACGGATCTTTGCGCACCTCGACCCGCTCTCCCTATCCCGCTGCGCATTGGTCTCGCACAGCTGGTCCCAAGTAGCTCGCGATGAAGCGACCTGGCGCTCCGCCTTTGCCTCCAATTACGGTACGGCCATCAGCCTGCGTCGAGTCTCAAAATCATCCTGGAAATCAGAGTACATTCGCCGCACCGACCTACTCCGGCGATGGCGCAAATCGCGATCTCCGGCAATCACGAGCGATATGCGTGTCTCAAATATTACGAGTATCGCCTTCAGTCAAGCACACAACTTTATGCTCTGCACCTCCGCTGCCTATGGAATTGCGTCACGGGCGGACCCATTCAAGGGCAAAGTAGCAAGAGGCTTTGTGGACGCTGCAGGAGTGCTCAATGGAGCCGGCATTGGCAACCCGAACGCAGAATTCTCCCCGGACGTTACAGCCCTCGATGCAGCGCTGGATGCCTCTCGCCTCGCATGGGGCTTCAGAGATGGAACTGTAGCCCTCACCATGCTCACGCGTCAAGGGTCCAATCCGAGAGGAATGGTGCGCAGTGTCCGCTTCTCGTTACGAGGGGCACACGCCGGCCCTGTGAACGCGATGGCCTTTGACCTCAACAAACCAGGACAGGAGAGGGCGCAAAAGCGTCGCGCCGGCTTGGATGAGGATGTAGCCGAGACGCTCATTACGGGCGGCGAAGACGGGGTAGTTAAGCTCTGGACTCCCCTGAGGGCTGTTCCTCTTTGGAGCTCGCCGATCCCAATGGGAGGATCCAGCCCGGCTGTGGCCAAGGTGGACTGGGATGCCGATCGTGGCGTCATTGTTGCGGGAACGCGCGATGGTAAGATCGTCGTCTGGACAGGCGTGGACGCGCGGGCATTGCTGGCCATCTCCTCACACGCTTGGGATGACGAGATGAGCCCGGAGCTTCGGTCGTCAAGCATCAATGATGCTCGTGTCGAGCTGGCTGCGCAGCACGGCAACATCGTTCGGAAGGACATCGTCCTACCTGGCGAAGCGGCACCTATCAACCAGCTCTTTCTTGACGCCGTCGGTGGAAGCATACTAGCACACAAAGAGCAGGAAGCGTGCCTCTTCCATGTCGGCCTTGAGGATACGCTCAATCTCACCATCCTGCTGCCAGTTGGCAGCGAGATCTCGGCGGGCAAAATCACTTGCATGAGAGCAGACTGTACGGCCACGGAGACACCGACAACCGCCCCACCCTCTCCTCCATCGGTCAGCGCAAACACCCTCGGCCCGGCCCCGGGGTCGCAGCGCAATCTCTCCATCGGCGAATTTGCAGAACGACGCTTCGTTCTGGCGGGCACGGATGATGGCAAATTGCTTGCCTGGCATCTACCCTCCGGACCCTCCCCTCCTTCGAGCATCAGCCCAAGCTTCGCCCTCCTTGCGCATCATACCCCTCTCACCACGCTCGACCTCTCACCACACCTCGTCGCAGTGGGCTGCTCAGACGGAACGATCAAAGCTTTCGACTCGCTCACTGGGCAGCTCATTCGTACTTGGAACGATCGCACGGCCACGCGTCATCCTGCTCGCATGCTAGCCGCCGGGGAGCTGACACAGGACGAAGCGGCGCGCTTCTTCGTCAGGCAGATCGTGGTGAGTGAGGAAAGCCTCGTAGCCGCTGTCGGCCCGCACGTCCTGGCTTGGAGGGCAGAACAAGGCGTGGGAGCCTCAAAAAGACGCGCGGAAGGCAGGGACCGTGGCAGCGCTGCAGCTCTCTCCACTCCTTCGCCAAACGGTGCTGGCCCAGGAACGCCGGGCGGTGCTTCTCGCTCATCACGCAGCAGCGGCACCGGTCTGCCTCCCCTGAGCAAATACGCACAAATGCGCGAGATCAAGAATGAGCTCGCAGAATCGTCTTCGCTCCTCGCCGCCGAACGCGAGAAGCGCAGCGCAGCGTACGAGCGTCTACGTTTCGCGCGGGGACCGGCAGAGACGGGCGGCTTGACGGAGCAAGAGGCACTTGAGTATGCAATGATGCTGAGTAGGGATGAGGAAGAAGCCAGACAAGCTGGGACAGCACAAGAGGGAAGTCAGCTGAGTGAGCTCGCCAGGATCAGGAAGGAGGAGGTGGAGCTTCAACAGGCCTTGGAGCAGATTGAGCTAGCTGAGGCAGGCACGGGCGTGGGAGATGAGAGCTGCTTCTCCTCAAGCCAAGTCTCCTCGAGTCGAGTGTCCGTCAACGAAGAGGAGGAGCAGGACGACGATGGGGACGACGATGCGTATCACACGCGCAGATACGAGCATGCCCCCTCTTCCTCCCCCTTACCCTCCCCAGCCCTATCCGCGTCTTCGCCCCGGGCCTGGAACATCTTTCACACCAATGGGGCTGCCCCGTCGGCATCCCCTTCAACATCACGTTGGGGCGATGCGACCAAGGTTAGGACAGTGCAAGTCCCTCGATCAGCTCGATCGAGCAGCTTCGGCTTCGGAGCAGCAGGTGGATCCAGCACACCTGGAGGCCCTCCTCCCCCAAGCTCTCTACAGAGCCCGGAGCAGTGGCCGTCGATGCTGTCGCTGTCCGTCTCGCCGAACAACAGGCAGGGAAGTAGCAGTCACGTTGGCTCGCCACTTAGGCTAGATGCTTCGCCTTCGCCATCTAGGCCGGGCAGTGTCAGTGGACAAGATAACAAGGGCAAGGCACCCGTGAATGGTGGAGGGTACTTTGCTGCGCGAGCAACTGGAACGCCGTCCTCGCCTCCCTCGATCAGCTGCAGTGGAAGCGCATGGACTGGTCCCAAAGCCGGCGGAGCTTGGGCGAGTGGTACGACGCCTGCTTGGAGACGATCCCCATCAGTATCAGCATCGGCGGTCACTGCGTCACGTACACGGGCAACAGAGCAGGATGAAGAGCTCAGATTCGCCATTGAGCTCAGTCTAGCCGAGGAGAGGAGTAGATTGGCGAGCCTCGACATTGAAGCACGCGACAAGGAGGAGGTGGGGATGGATAGTCATTTGTCCCAATAATTTCGAAACCAGACCTCCGGGAACAGATGCAGACGGGACGATGAGGAGATTGGCGAGACGCCAATAAACTAAAGTCAATGGAAGATGTACCGAGTAGCGAGATGCGACTTGGCGTTGACGAGGCAGCGAGGCGTGGACCTGAGCTTTGTTTAGCGATCAATTGAAGACACTAGTCTGAGTTGTTCCCGATCCCGATCTCTACTCAGCGTCAAACTCAGTCGGTCCCTCCTCACTGCCACATATGATAAACCTGAGCTCATCAAGTGAACCTGCGTTGATCGATGGATGGTCCCCCCAACGCACACTGTAAGTGGGGACTGAGCGCGAATGAGGCCGGTCGGAGTATGCTGTGGCTGGTGGCTTAGTGCCCGATAATCTCGCATCGAGGCAATGGAGGACATGCGCAGCTGCGCATGCGACAGCCTGATTTTGACTCGTCCGCCCGTGCCCGTCGTGAGACGAGACGAGCTCGCGGGGCATGTGGAAGTGGGAAAGCTGAATGGATGCGCAGCAGACACGATGTACTTTGAGGTCTTTGATAGCTAGACATGCCATCTTTCCACACCGCCATCGTCCAATCCTCTCCTCACTACCAACAATAGCGATGGGAGATAGCGGGCTCAAGAAGCAGAAGAGGGCACCTCGAGCTTGCGACGTGAGTTGAGGTTGCGCTGGATGAGGGCGAGAGTAAGCTGAAGTTGACCTTTGGCCTCGATGCTACCCTCCACCCTCTCACTCTTTGCGCAGGCCTGTCGAACTCGCAAGGTCAAATGCAGTGGAATTGAAGAGGGACATGAAGCTTGCTCGAGATGGTGAGCAGGAGCGAGAGCGGCCCTGGGTCCGTAATTGGTTGGTTGTGGTCATTGACCCTGTTCCTCGTATCGCTCGCCCTTGGCAGCCAACACCTCGCTCTGACTTGCGAGTTCAAGATGCCGATTCGAAGGCCTGCCCCTTCTTCAACGGTCGAGGACCTCCGTGATCGCATCCGCTACCTCGAGGAGCAGCTACGCTCAGCAGGAATCGATGCGGGCGACGACGATTCGCACCTCTCGCCCTCGCCAGACGATGACGACCAGACGGAGCAAAGCGATGTTCAGCAGCATCATACTATGGGCGCATTCATCCCCACGCACATTTCCGTCGATAAAAGCAAGGATCAACTCAATCTCGTCCACTCGTTCAGTCACTCTTGCGAAGTCGCGCCTACGAGCAACGACGCCGACAATGATTCGCCGTCTGGCGCATCCGCAGCCGCAGCCACATCCACGTCCAATTCGTCTCCCTCGCAGCACCAGCCACAGCAGGACCCAGGAAACGTCTACAGCTTTCTTGGATCGAGTTCAGCCTTGTTCCCGCTTACCATGACCAAGCAAGTACCACAGACGCTCAAAGCTGCAGCGCAGGCAAAGTCGATCAAGAAGCTCGTCCGCCTCGAGTTCTGGGAACTAGAGCCTTCGACGCTCAAGAAGCTCGATGACAAGCTCGCCCAGGATACGCACGCCTTTTGGCCGGACGAGGAGATGGCTCGCAACCTCATCGATACCTACTTCGACCAACTGGCTCACCGCCATCCACTAGGCTTCGATCGAGACGACGTCTGGCGGCAGTACAACGAGGACCCGTCACAAGTATCATCCGACGTCATGCTCGGTCGCATGTATGCCATCTTCTCTCTCGCCGCTTGGCACGCAAACGCAGCTCTCGACCTAGTCAATAACAGGCTGCATCTCGCAGGCCTGCAATGGTACCTCGCCTCTCGCAAAGTGGTCACCATGGACTCTCAAGTTCCTGCACCCCTCTCCCATCCCCTTGCCATTGCGCAAACGCTTATTCTGCAAGCATGCTTTGCCATGACCCATCCACCCTTCATTGGCGTCGCCTTCCGCTTGGCAGGCGGAGCACTTGGAGTTATGCAGGACATCGGCGGCCATCGCCAAACGATCATGAAGCAGCTCGGAGCACAGGGGCATGGACCACAGGAGCGTACCCTCACCTTCTGGACTTGTTACTCCATCGAAAAGACCCTAGTCACCATGGGCGGGCGCCCGTCATGCCTGTGGAGCGAGTGGGTCGACGCTTCTCTGCCAGACGAGGAGAGCTCGCTGTGGATGGAGGCTCAGGTGGCTCTTCTGACAGAAAAGGTGCTCAAAGCCAAGTATGCGGCCAAACGACCCCCGCCAAAGGTCACAGCGGAGCAGCTCAAGCAAATCGACACGCAGATTGCTTTTCTTACTACAGAGTTCGAGAAGCGCAAAGAGGCAATGGGGCCCGCTACGAGGGCAAATGTGCAGATGAGCATCGATGGGATCCATCTGCTGCTTCACCAGCCGGAGCTACTCGTCAAGAACCGAGGTGACAACGGCGATGGTCACAACGGCGGCGGCATCTCTCCTACGACGATGGCAACCTGCACACGCGCCATTCGTAGCATCATATCCGCAGTGGCAGATTTAGACGTGGGCTCGCTCAGCGAATCTTGCATAGGCCATACATGCCGCGCTGCCGTCCTCGCCCACGTCCTGAGTCAGAGTGAACGAGCAGAGGTGCGCGAGGCATTCGGTGGTCAAATGAAGGCTGCGACGAGCGCAATTATCAGGAAGGGCGAGTCGCGATGGATGATATCTGGCAAATTGATGGACCTGCTCAGCCTGCCCAGCAGCGAGGAGGAGGCGAGAGAGATCAAGAACTGGCCGAGACGGTCTATCTCGGGCAGGCAGAAGTCGTTGCTTCAGGAGCAACAACAGCAACAGCAGGAGCAGGCGGCTGCAGTGACCGGTCAGCCGAAGTATTATTCCATGGGCCTTCCTCTGTCCACCTCGCCGACGGGCAGTAGTGTGCCCTCCGCCCCGACGGCGGCGTCAAATTCGTTCAGCAATCCCTTCGCCGACCTCCTCCCCTCGGCCACCACACCATCCGCCTTCAGCGGTAGTCACGGCTCCATGGTCACCAGTCCGCAGCGCGAGGTCGGGGCCTGGCCAACAGGCGCTACGCCAGCTTCAGCCACTTCTGGCTCCATGAGCGCAGCCTCAGGCTCAGAGTCTTTTGACAGCTATGCGGCGGGGCCAAAGGCAAACGAGGCAAGCAACGACGCATGGACCGTCCTCTTCCCGACACTAGGTCAGCTCGAGTGGCCCATCACTAGCTCGGGACCACTGCAGCAACAAGGTCAACAGCCTCAATATCAGCAGCAGCAGCAGCAGGCCGTGGGAGGGATGACCCCCTTCTTCAGCTCGAGCGGCATGACACCCGCCCAGCAGCAACAGGGTACGCCAGGCTTTCACTCTGACGGCAGTGGCAACAGCAGCTCACAAAGCCCTTCCTCGGGGTCTGGCTCGGGCTACAGCCCGGAGAATGCAGCGACGCTGCTCTTCAACTTTGATTTTGGGGCGACGACCGCTGGATGGTTCTGAGCCCGATCTCCTCTTGTATTTGTACCGTTTCCGTAGTGTAGCGCGTCACCGTGGCTCGTCGTTCTACCTTTGTCTGGAATATCATCATGTGTTTTTTTGCGCCTACCCTGCGTCACGAATCTCAGTCATTCTCGCCCCTGCCTCATGAAGAAGAAGTAGTCTGTGTCTAGATCGCATCGCATTGCCGTCAACTCCGCCTGGTAACAACATGGTCCACACTGCGCCCGTCGCTTAGAAGTGGATCGCCTTGCCACCCATCGCGTTGCTACCCGCCATCATAGCCTCCTTGACACTCTCCATCATCGTCGGGTGTGCGGCACACACGCGAGCATAGTCCTCTGCGCTGGCCTTGTAGTCGATGGCGAGCACTGAGCTAGCTACGAGCTCACCGGCGCCAGTGGCAATGATATGAGTGGCGAGGAGAGTGTCAGTGTTCTTCTCAACGAGAACCTTGACGAAACCCTCCGAGTCTTGGTTGGTCTTTGCGCGCGAGTTGGCCATGAGCGGGAATTTGCCTACTCGGTACTCGACGCCCTGCTTCTTCAAGTCTTCCTCCGAGGGACCGACCCAGGCGACCTCCGGGTGGGTGTAGACGACGGCCGGAATGGCCTCGTAGTTGACGTGGCCGTGTCCGCTCTTGATCATCTCAACAACGGCAATTCCTTCCTCCTCAGCCTTGTGTGCCAGCATCGGTCCGAACGTCGCGTCACCGATGCACTTGACGCCCTTGCAAGTCGTGTTGTACGCATCGTCCACGACGATACGGCCGCGCTGGTCGACCTCGATGCCCACGGCCTCGAGGTTGAGCCCCTTGGTGTACGGGCGACGACCAATTGCCACAAGTACGCAGTCGGCGTCGATCTGCTCCTTCTTGCCGGACTTTGCGTCCTCGACGTTGAGGAAGACCTTGCCGTCCTTCTTCTCCGCATCAATGACCTTCGTGCCGAGCTTGAACTTCATGCCCTGCTTCTCCAAGATCTTCTTGAACGAGGTGGCAACCTCCCCGTCCATGCCTGCGCCGCCAATGGCCGTGAGGAACTCGACGACGGTGACCTCAGCGCCGAGGCGCGACCAAACGGAGCCCATCTCCAGCCCAATGACACCACCACCGATGACGATCATCTTCTCTGGGACCTTCTTGAGGGCAATGGCGCCGGTCGAGGAGACGATCTGCTCCTCATCGATCTCGATGCCGGGGAAGGGAGTGACCTCAGAACCGGTGGCGAGAACGATGTTCTTTGCCTCGAGGGAAGTCTCGCCGCCTTCGAGGAGCTGGACGTTGAGCGAGGTAGGAGAGCTGAACGAGGCAGTTCCCTTTACGTAGTCGACCTTGTTCTTCTTGAGGAGACCCTCGACACCCTTTGTCAGCTGGGTGACGGAGCTGCATGCGCAACGAGGTAAATCAAAGTCAGCTTCCTGGGGCTACGAGGGCAGCAATAGCCCCACTTTCGCGCGGAGTGTCTGGCCGAACTCACGTATCCTTGAACTTCATGAAACGGGTCAGGTCCAAGTTGACATCCTTGACGTCAATGCCGCGGTTCTTGAAATCGTGCTTGGCAGCATGGTAGAGCTCTGAGTTGTGCAGCAGCGCCTTTGACGGGATGCAGCCGACGTTGAGGCAGGTACCACCAAGGCTACCACGCTTCTCGACGCAAGCCGTCTTGAGGCCGAGCTGAGCTGCCTTGATCGCTGCGACGTAGCCGCCGGGACCACCACCGACTACTACGACGTCGTAAGGGTCAGCGGCGGTAGCGAGACCACGGCTGCTGGTGGCGAGGCGAGGGAGCGTGGAGGGTTGCCATGCCTGCAAGCAGAGAGAGGGGGGAAAAGAAATTGGGAAAAGAGGTGGCGTTGCAAGGTCAGCCCCAATACTTTGAGCGTGCATATATGCTAGCCAACTTACCCTCGCTGCTGGTGTGACGTTACGGGAGACGAGATTGCGGAGCATCGTGGCTATAGGGAGGGGAAACAGATGAACGTAAGGAAGCAAAGGCGAGGAGTGGCAAGATGAAGTCAACTTGAACTCGAGCCGCTTCTCGAGTCGTTGTCGTGGCTGTCCGTCTCCGCCTCTGCCTCTCGCCGTCCGAAGATTGTCCCACGTCTCCGCTCCCGCCCGCCTCGCGCCCCAACAGAGCCGGTACAGATCCGACCGACCGAACAACGACGAGGACCACGCGGCCGAAGGGTTCAAGACGTCGTCAGATCACAAGCAAGCAGGAAGCAAGCACCAGATGGTCGTGTATGTGTGGTGCAAGAGAAGGGCAAGAAAATACAACCGACGTTAAGCTAGACTGTGCGGTGCCAGACCGGGTCTCCTTCCCATCTCTGCTCGCCGCTTCATTTCTGCGACTCGCGCCGGGAATCAGTAGGCCACCTCACGCTGTGCGCCGTACGGTAGCCTCGAGCAGCCATTGCGCCAGAGATCGCGGTGGTAGGGTGGTAGATATCGTCTTCATGGTGCGAACTTGGAAAGGGCATCGACAAGCTGTGATGCAGACGCGCATGACGCTGCTCCGGCTGCCGCTGCCTCAGGTGATGTTGTGAATATTCGTGCTGATGATGTCTTCGAGGTGACCCAGCCACACTCCCCTCCGCGACGCTCGACGCCATCGTACTCAAAGGGGAAGCCGACTCCGGCCTCTGGGGATGAGATGGAGAGGAGAGCCTATTGAGCCAAACAGAGGTAGCGCTGAGTGGCGTCCCCCGCGGCGTCGTCGTTTGTGCCCTAGGAGGCAGCGGCGTCGTGGTCGTGAAGCGCCAGGAATCCGAGCACACCTTGCCATGTTTTCTAAGGGGACTATCTACCGAGATCTCCTGATTCTCGACGTTCTCCTCCTCTTCGCCGTGGTGAGGCGATACCACGACACCTCTCAATGGTGCAGGGCGATGTCCTCCAGCTGCGCTCGCTTTCAACGTCTTCTTGTTCCCATTGTCGCCCGAGGGTCGGCGCAACGTCGTTGAAGTCATCTTGCGTACGGGGCCAGCAGTGGCCGAACTGGCCTCTCGAACTTCCTCGAGCCAGCTTGGAGCAGCGCCATCACCGCCGCCGCCGCCATTTACATCGGTCATCTCTGTCCCACCCCCAGCGGTAGGAGCAGCCGGAGATGTCGTCTGCTTGCCGTCGTAGCACCACATTGCAGGGGGAGCACTCATGGCCACGGAGCTCTTGCTGCGCCGGATGATGCTACGCCGTTGCGGAAAGGACGTCAGACCGCGAGGTAGACTGTGCACCTGTCGAGTCTCCTGGGGGCCTTGGTGGGTCGATTGAGGGCGGAAGTCCGACTACACGGTACGGGTGAAGGACGTTAGCATGCTATCTCTCGGCCTGCGATCTTCCCGGTGTTTTCTCACCACTCGCTCCTCGATGTGCAAGTCAAAGGTTATGGGAGCCTCCGACGGATGGCTACGGCGCGTCGAAGCCTTGCTACTCCTACTGTGGTGTGGTTCCTCGAGCTCCCAGTCGTAGACGTGATCATCAGCCTCGTAATCACCGATCCAGCCTGTGAACCAAGTGTCAATGCGAGGTCAGTCAGCGCTGCGCTCAGATGACACGCGCCTCTACCCGTACTCACCCTTGCTAGCCAACACAAGCCGCGAGGCCACAACGACGTGCATAACAAACGCGATGCTCGTTGGAATCTGCGAGAGGACCGAATCATCGACGAGCAGCTCAGCGAGAAAGCAGGAAAGATTGACAGCCGTAGCGACGCTAAAGTAGATGAGGGACGATGTCCAGAGCCAGCGATGCGTCCTTGCTGCGTGGCCCCACAGCCTATCTTGATCGATGCGCCGCAGACGCGCGACTGTAGCTACTAGGACGACGAGGTCGAAGACAAAAGCTGGTCATGGGTTTGCAAGCTGTCAGTGCCTGTGGAGAGGCTACCATTCGGTCGCGCTCGCACCCCCGCTCACAGATCATCCACCCGATGGGCGCCAGATTTCTGTTAACATTGGGCTTGCACTTTGGTCCCCACGGTACTTGCGTCTCGTCGGGCACGCGCACCCCGTGAAACCCATGATGAACGATGTACGCCCACACGCCAATGCTGATACACCACAGCCCGACGAGGGGGAACATTACCCGCCGGCTGTCGCAGTACATGATCTTGAGACGATACAGGAAGATGGAGGCGCAGCAGGCCCAGAGGATTATGTAGAGGGACCAGATGCTGTCACTGTTAATTGGCCAGCGATGGGGCAAGTCAATGAAGGAGGGGCGCAGGGAATTAAAGCGACGTGCTCACAGTACGGCGCCGCAGTCGCGTGGATCGCCCCAGAAGAACATGCCAGAGGAGACAATGGCGCCTATGACGGCGTACCGGGCTAAAAGGACGGCGATACGGGGTGGGCGGAAGTTGCCGGCCTGTGAGTACACGGGAAGTGCGCGATCAGCTCCCGCATGGCGGCTGAAGTGCGGTGGGACTGACAAGCAGGAGACGCCATGCTCTGATCTCCTGGGCAGATGTCGGCCACAAGCCGAGCTGATCAGTACGTGTACTATTCCACGCCAAAGAAGGCCACTCACAGCCGGCAACAAGGCCACTGCGCTCGATCGAGTGGAAGTCACTTGTGTCAGCGGAGGGATGCTCTTTATTGCTGCGACGTTCGCGCTCACGATGCTCCCAACCACATATCGTTGTTGCCGTGATGACACAGCTTTGCACCACAGAGACTTTGTGCAGCAAATTGAAGAAAGCCTGGTATTCCTCATCGGTAGAGACTGCGACGCCCGACCCGTGCACGGCCGCAGGTCGGACGAGGACGGTCGCCATCGTGGGCGGAGTGAGGTTCGTCTGAAGACGGCCTGGATACGAAAAGCAGAGGTAGCAACTCCTGCTATGTGCGTACGCCGAGGTGGATGATGGTGCAAAGAGCAAGAGCAGGGCAGGGCAAGCTGTCGGGCCTTCCCATTGGGAATTTTAATGGTCGGTAGCTGCGCCCGCTGACCCCGAGAAGCATCCGGCGATCGCCCTACTTGCTGCCCGTCATCATCAGCGATGAATGCCCTGTACCCCTGTGTGACCGCGAGCATCGTCGCTTTGTTTATGTAAAGCCCGAGCTGGAGACAGGCCAATGTGGTGGGAAAAGAGAGCGCAAGTGAGAATCAGCGCTTTCTGAGGTCCCATGGCGTCAGGTCAGGGACGAACGGACTTGTCAGTCTGAAGGCGGGGCGATCAGAAAGCTGAAGCCCGGACGCTGACGCCGCTGCGGCAGCCACGCCCCGATGGGTTCGAAGGTTGCGTAGGAAGACCGTGCGATCGCGGAAAAATGGGCGCTGCATTGCTGTTCTGGTAGCCCCGACCATGAGGCTTCAGAGTGGACCGCCGCAGCGCTCTACGCCTTGTCATCGGCCTGCTGCCCTTGCTCCTCCGCCTCCGTCTCTCCCCTCAAATCCGCCATTCTGAGCTGATTCCTCTTGCCCAGCACGCGAAGCGTATTCGCTCTCTCGTTTTCCGTCATGCTTGCCCAATTGTGAATGCGAGAGAGGGTGCCGTCTTTGTTGACCTAGCGCGGATCAAGGAGGAGCGAGTGAGTGTGAGTGGGATTTGTATCGAGCTAGGCCAAGCTTCGCTGAGCCGTGAAATACGCAATACTTACCACCATCGGCCCGAGCTCATCCAGTGCCACTCGGCCACCTGATGCGACATCAAGCTGACGTGCCTTTTCCTCATTGGCGGGAGCCGAGGGGAGGGCGAGACGCTCTCCCTCATGCTGGAGGCCTGATGCTGTTGAATCCGCATTTCCCTCCCCTTTTCCAGCCTGATCTGAGTCCTCGTCGCTGATGAGATGCCGAGGCGGAAACTGGTCGGTGGCGCTCATGGCTTATCCTCTCGTTCCCCTTGAGCAGAATGGACTTGCACTTGGTCGATGATTTCGCGTGAACCCAGTGAAGGCGGCGGCGCCGAATTGCGCGGTAGCCAAAAGGGAGAAGGTGCTCGACGGGCCGCCGGGACGCAGGACCCCTGATTTGACTTGACTGCCTCCATTCATGCTGGGCGCACGGCTCGCCCTGATCATCAAGCACACACAAATGCGAAGCGAAGCTGCCCACTCAAGGCATTGCATCACACCGACGCAGTTCATCTGTAGGTCGCCGAAGCCGCACAGCGAAAGCAGGAAGGAGGATCTGGAGAAGTTGAAGCGTGCACACAGATTGGCAAGCACACAGCGAGCGAACGAGATCGATGAGAAAGATGTTAAATGAGGAGAGCCACAATTCGAGACAAGACTCAGGGACAGCGATCGAGAGGAAGAGAAGCTTCTTGCTACCTAGCTACGCACAGCACGCAGTTAGAAGCCGCGGTGCTCATTCATGCCATGTCGCTGGTGAGGCGAGCCAGGCAGGCCAGAGCCAGAAGAGTGCTGATCGAAGATACTGCGCGACACGCCACCAACGCCGCCGAGGGGCCCGGGACCAAATGGACTCATGGGCGAATGAACGCCATTGCCACCGCCGCTAAGAGAACCAAGTCCGCTCTGCTGCGAGGGGTAGCCGCCATGCTGTTGGTGGTGGGCCTGCTGCTGCTGCTGCTGGAAGTGGTGAGGGTGGTGCTGCTGATGTCCACCCTGCATGTGTTGATGGTGCTGAGCCTGATGCTGCGGCTGCTGCAGGTGAAGAGGTAGCGTCGAGCTACCACCCGCACCGCCGCCGAGGCCCATGCCCATGCTGCCACCAACGCTTCCACCAAGACCCATCCCGCCACCTCCCGAGGGAGCGCCAGGCTGCTCAAAGGCAAAGCGAGCGCGATCCCAGCTGTTCGAGGACTGCTGAGATCTAGGAGCGCCCCACGGATCAGGAGCGCTGCTGATACCGCCACCTACGGCACCAGGTGTACCAACACCACCAAGACCACGACTGCCTGCTGCGCCATTGCTGCCACTGCCGCCTGCGATGCCACTACCGCCTCGAGAGGAAGCGGCGCCCAGATTGGTGCCGAGACTGGCGAAGCCAGGGCTCGTTGCAGATGCGCTTGTAGGCGCAGGTGGGCTGGCAAACGACGACGTGCTCCAGGGTGAAGCTCCGAAAGCGGATGATCCAGAGGCGCCAGGAGCGGCAGACGTGTTCGCAGTGCTCGTAGTCGCACTAGGGAAGCCAAACAGCGAGGAGGTGCCGTTCGACGCGGTTCCGCCACCAATAGGAGGCACCGTACTGCTAGTCCTGCGTGGCGCTGGCGCAATCAACTCGTCATCTCCACCAAGGGCCGAGCTTCCCAGGATACCTTCAGGCAGCTTGGGGCTGGAGCGCATTGAGCCATACAGGGGGAAGCCGTCGTCGTGTTGATCACTAGGCGGTCGCGGGCGGCCAATGGGGCCAATGGGACCAGGGCGCTGAACAGCTCTGCTGGCCTGCGAAGGAGAGGAGTGCAGGCTGCTTAGGGCGTGCAGGTGGTGGTGGTCCTCTGAGGATGAGGCCAGACGTCCGCGTGGACTGCCATTGTTCGACGAGCCGCCAATAGGGCCAGGCGTTGCGGATGAAGGGGGCATGCCCGGAGGCATACCACCTCCGCTGCCGCCAAGGTTCAAGGACGACAGACCGTGCGTTGCGCTGTTGACTCCGATGGGCGAATGCAGTTGATGGTCAAAGCTACCAACAGCCGTCTTTGCGGACAAGCCAGGAGCTCCAGAATGATGGATCCCGTTGGCAAAAGACGGCGAACGTGCAGACTCGAAGCCAGAGGGCAAGCCTGACGATGGAGTGGCACCAAAACCGCTAGCAGCGGACAGGGCAGGGGGTGGGCCTCTTCCGAAGCCGACGCTCTGATGCTGTTGCTGTTGCTGCTGAGACAGAGGCGGGCTCGGCGCAGAAGGAGCACTAGGAGCTGAAGGTCGCGCAGAGACAGCCGATGGGGAAACGGCAGACGCGATCGTCGACGGCTTGCTGAGTCCTGGAGCGGCACTGGCGGCAAGGGGCTGCTGCTGTGGGCTTGGACCAGAGGGAGGGCGAGGCAGCTGTTGCTGTTGCTGCTGGACAGGGGCCTGCGATTGAGGAGCGGCAGCTACGGCAGGGCTGGCTGAGCTAGCATGTGCCTTGGACGAAGGTCGAGCCGGCAAGCCGGATGGCAGAGCTGGGAGAGTTGACGTGCCCTGCGAAGAGCCCGTCTGCGAGGGAGCCCGATGGCCTGACGAAGGAGCCGTAGGAGGACGAGGTGGGATCGAGGCACCACCAGCGGCAGGAGCCGTCGTAGCGGGAGGTGGTCGAGCATACATGACTGGCGCAGCATTGGCCGGGGAGGGAGGCACAGACGTCTGTCGAGGACGGCCAGGAGCAGCCGGCGACTTGGGTGGGACTGCCGCAGAGCCTCGAGTAGCTGAAGGCGAGGCAGGCCGCTGAGCCTTGGGTGCCTTCTCGCCTTGCTCCTTCTCTTTCTGCGCTGCTGCGGCCGAAGCTGCCGCTGCTGCCGCAGCCTCTGCCTTTGCCTTCTTTTCTCGCTCCTTTCGTTCCTTCTCCTCCTTCTCCTTGCGTTCCTTTTCCAGTCTAGCTTCTTCCTCCTTGGCCTTGCGCTCAGCTTCCTTAGCCTCACGCGCCTCCTTCTCCTGACGAGCTTTATCCTCCTTCTCCTTGCGCAGTCGCTCACGCTCCAGCTCCTTGGCCTTTTCAGCCTCGAGGCGCTTGCGCTTCTCCTCCTCCTTTCGAAGCCGTTCTTCCTCCTTGGCCTTCTTCTCAGCTTCGCGCTTGAGACGGGCCTCTTCTTGTCTCTTGAGCTCAGCCTCGCGCAGCTTTTCGGCCTTCTCACGAGCGGCGGCTTCCTCGGCGGCCTTCTCACTCTCTCGCTTGAGCCGCTCTTCCTCCTTCTTGAGCTGCTGCTGACGTTTCTTGTCTTTCTTCTTCTGGTTCTCGCGCTGGCGCTTGGCATCCTTCTCCTTCTCGAGGTCGGCTTCCTCCTCGAGCTCTCGAAGAAGCTGAAGCTGGCGTTCTTGAGCGATGCGTTCGCGGTAGGCGGCGAGGACACGCTGCTCAAAGAGACGAGCGGCAAAGATCTGGAACATGCGTCGACCTTCTTCCATGCGTTGCTCATCAGTCAGAGCGTCATCTTCCTCGTCTTCCTCGACGTCATCGACATCGTCAACGTCATCTCCGTCGTCGCTGACTCCGTCGGCTCCGGCTGTTGCTGCGTCCTCCTCGCGCTGCATACGACGATCAGCGAGCTGCTCCATCATCTCGAGGAACTTTTGCCCATCGTTCTTGAGCAGGTCGTCTGCTACCGTGAGAATGCCTTCTAGGTCGAAGTGGGAAGGCGGTTAGGCAAGTCAGCTCTTTCACTCTACGTTATTGTTGCTATCTCTGCGCACGCACCCTTGACTGTGAGGGATGATCCGAGCAGAGAAGAGTCAGCGCCGCCCGCATTGCCACCGGCTGCGTTGCGCTTGCTACGAGGAGGCGCGGTCTCTGGCAGAACCTCGTCCTCCTCTTCTTCCTCCTCATCGTCGTAGTCATCGTCATACTCGTCGTCATCGAGCTCATCGTCATACCCGTCATCATCATCGACGGGCGGAGGAGGAGCCTTCTTGGGTGGAGCAGTGACTCGCGTCTTTTGCGCCGGAGGTACCGGCTTGGTGAGGGCGTTGCCACCAAGAACGTTGCCGGCGCTATCGAGGGCGATGCTGCCTGGGAACGGGCCTGGACCAGGCGGAGGAGGGACCGCACCACCAGATCGGACGTACTGCTGCTGCTGATTGGCGTACTGCTCCAGTTCGTCGTAATAGGCGTTGTAGAGGACGTCCAGTTCCGACTCGATGGCTGTACGCTTTCGACTGCAGACAGCGCAGGTGCAGCTATGCCTGGACTGCTCCTTCATCCTCTTGAGCACTGCATCCTTCTCAATTGCCACCAGTGAACGCCTGTCTCGCTCGTTGAGCCGCATCCAGAATTCCTTGATGCGCTCACGCTCTTCCGCTGTACTCGTAGACCAAATGCGAGGAGCCTGAGCCTGCGATGGCGGCGCCGTGCCGTGACCCGTGCCGTGTGAGCTCACCGAGCCAGCTGCGGCGCCTGCACGAGACTTGGCAGGGGGATGCGAGTGACCATTGGGCGCCGGCGCCTTGGCAGATGCATTCGAATTGAAGGTCATCGGCTGCTTGCCTGCTGCTCTCGAGCTCGGTGGAGGTGCGTTCGAACGAGGTGGGGCCGGAGCAGGAGGACCATTGGTGGCGGGCTGCTTGCCATGCTGGACAGCAGGTGCCGGTGGAGGAAGAGGTTGGGAAGGCGGAGGGGGAGCAGCCAACGTGTCCGCACCAGTCTTCTTTTTCTTCTTCTTGTTTTTCTTCTTAGAAGGTGGCGCACCCAGCATCGCAGCCGCTGCTTGTTGGCGCTGTTGCTCGTGAGCGGGCCAATTGCGAGCGTCAGGGCCTCCATGCATGCCATCATCGTGACTGACGCCGTTGGGGTCATCCAAGTCATCGTCGCTGTAGTACTCGTCGTCATAGTCTCCCGTCTCCTCTCCGTACTCGTTGACGAGGACGACTGGTGCTGGTAGGGGCTCGCCAGGCGGCTGCGTCGGTGGCGGATTTGCGCCCGTCGTCGAGTAGTGGACGTGAGCAGAGTAAGGGGACTGCGCTGCGTTGCCAGCCGCTGCGTGAACGCCATTGGTGTGCGAATGCAACGTCGCTCCGGGATCAGAGTGCAGAGCGAGGTCTGCAAAGATAGCTGGGTCGAATGGCAGCGACGGGTAAGGCTGCGAGCCAGGAGGATACTGCTGCAGATGACGTTGCGAGGCATGAGCAGCTTGAGCGAGCTGCTGAGCTACAGCGATCATTGCCTGCGTCGATGCATGGCGAGCATTAGGATCGTTGGGGTGTCCGTTGCCCGTCGTTGGAAATTGGCCCAAGGGCAAGGCGTTGCGGATGAAGGTCCGCAAGTGGGCAGGCAAAGAAGTCCAATACGCGTCGTCGTCTGGGATACCCTGAGGGTCTGCCTCGATGCGTCGATACAAGTCGCTGGCGGTGGCCAAAAGGTCTGCCTGCGCCTGAGCCTGAGCAGTGGCGGCCTGACTCAGGTGAGCCGGCGAGTTGCCGTGCGCAGCATACGCCTGCGTAGTCGCTGGCGAAAGCGGCGCTGTGCCATCGTAGGGATCTTCGATACGCTTCCCTTTGCCCTTTCTCTTCTTCTTCTTTGCTGCAGCCGCCGCCGCAGCAGCTGCAGCAGCAGACGGTTCTGTTGACAGAGGGGGTGGGGTCGGCGAAGACGAGTCGTGATCGAGGCTCGTCGGCTGACTCTGTGGCGGTGGTGGTTGAGCTGTTGGCCTCGATGAGGGAGGTGCCCTCAGAGGAGCCTTTGCCTTTGCCATCTCGCAGGAGCGCGAGATGTAGGAGGCGAGGCGGGGAGGGTGGCTTCGACGGCGTAAAGGACGACGTCGAGGGTTGCGGGGCTGCTGCTAGCGTCGTCGTGGCGGGGGACGAAGCAGACAAGGGAGAAGTTACAATTGATGGGTGTTGGGTCTGGATGATGTTAATGGTGATGATGATGATGGAAAAGAGCTGAATCGAGCTCGCTGCTGAGTCCGCTCAAGGTCGACGTGGGACGCTTTGGGGGGAAGGGAAAGGGGAGCGGCCGAAAATGAGAACCGTCGAGCCGCTCTTGGACGGGTGAGGGCCGTCGACTTTGTTGATCTGTCTGCGTGTGCACCCCTCACTGACTGTCTCTCACGACCGAGAGGTTGATGAAGTAGAAGTGCCGAGAGGATCAGCGATGATGGGTCGGTGTCCAAAGAGTTGTCGATGGACTGAGTGAGTGAGTCTGTCTGCGTCCCTCGATGCTCTCTCTCTCTCTCTCTCCTCCCTCTGGCTCGTCTCGCTGCTCGCCGCCCTGCCTCGCTCGCTCTGCCTGGCCCTCGCTCTCTCTCTCTCTCTCTTCGACGAGTGAGCAAGAGTCCGGTCCGCCCTTGGAAGCCAGGCCACGCAAGGCTAGGCGGCAACAGGCGGGCGGCGCGGCGTGGCATGGCGTGGCGTGGCCCCGGCTCGCTCTCTCGTCCTCGCCACGCTAGACAACGCCTGCCGCCCGCCCAGCTCTCTGCAGCGCGCGCGGCCCTCGTCGAGGTGGTGTCTGTCCGACGACGAGTAGAAGGGGGAAAGATGGCTTGAGGCCGCGAGTTAGCAGGCGATGGTAATGGTGAGCGCAGGCGCAATCAATGCCATGGAAACAGTTGCGACTTGATAGGCTGGAGTCATTACAGGGAGTAGCTTTGGGCGTGTTCAGCTCTACACGCACTCTGGTGCGGGAGCATCAGATTGTCTCGCCCCCCTTATCCAAGACATCGCTGTCATTGAGAGGCCACTGAAACACCCCACATCCATAGCGCCGGTGATGCAGGTGAGCTCCTGCCCCCCGCCCCCTCTCCTTTCCACATCTCTCGAAGTCCATTTGCGTGCTCATTACCATCCAGTCGTCGGTGGCCCTCTGCCAAAGCGGGCGCTGCACAGCCCGAGTGGAAAGTGGCCGCCTGTCTGCGAGGCGGGAAGCGGACGTGCGGGCTAGGTGGGTCCAGTCCAAGTCCAAGATGGAGGTTGGGCCGAACCCTGGACCTGCAGACATTCCCACATCGTCGCTCCCAACTGCCAACATCTCCTTAGCAACACAGCACTTTCCTCACCTCACCTCACGAGCCTCCGACCAAGGTCAACGAAACTTTGACGATCGTCACGACCGTCTTCTACCTCTTCTAGCCAGCCAGTCAGCTTAGAGCCGGAGGTGCTCCATCCCATATCCGCCGACTCGCACGGGCACCGTCTAGCCGTCTACGACAGCTTTCTGCCTTTCTTCTGTACCAAGAGTGCTAAACTACCACCTCTAGGGAATGGCGCCAGACCCTGTGAGCATGCATGACACCACTGCAGCTTTCCAGAAGCCAGCATATACTCACCCACCTTGACCTCATGATGGCTCCGGCAGATCCGCCGCAAGCTCGTCATCGTGGGAGATGGAGCATGTGGAAAGACTTCGCTGCTGTGGGTATGTTCAGGGACGTCTGACTGGTCATTGAGCTTACATTGAAACGATCTCCCTTCTCTCGCAGCTGCGTCTTTGCCATCGGCGAATTTCCTCAGCAATATGTGAGTCCAAGGACATGTACGCGGGAAAGTGGAGCAGGAGCATGATGCTGACCTAGCCGCCCTCTCGCAGGAGCCTAGTGAGCATTCATTTCAAAGCAGTAGAAGCCTTCTGAAGGCAGACACTGACCTATCTGTTCGCTATTAGCCATCTTCGAGAACTACGTCGCGGAGATCAGGCTGGACGGCAAGCCGGTGCAGCTGGCGCTATGGGACACAGCGTGGGTTGCAGCTGCAGATGAAAGGTAGCATGAAGCCATGCCTGAGTGCTGACATATCTCCATCCCTCTCGCATCGTTCACAGAGGCCAAGAAGAGTACGAGGTGAGCGCAGCACGCGGCTAGCCCCGTCACCGACTCACGCTCACTCCTCTACGCCTGCCCCCGCCTCGCAGCGCCTTCGCCCTCTCTCATACGCCCAGGCGCACGTCATCCTCATCGCCTTCAGCATTGACACGCCGGACTCACTAGAGAACGTCACGGTCAAGGTGAGACTCAACATGCAGCATCCGTGGACCTCCTGCGTCCTTGATGTCTGACCACCTCTACTTCCTTTCCTCTCCTCTCGCAGTGGATTGAGGAAGTGCGCCAAATCTGCGGCCCTCATGTACCAGTGATACTCATTGGCTGCAAGAGGGATCTGCGAGACGACGCCATGGCAAGAGGCAGACAGTTGGACGGATACTTTGTCAGTCAGGCTCAGGGCAGCGAAGTTGCACAGCAGATTGGAGCTCGATCGTATTACGAGTGCTCGGCGCTCAAGAACGAGGGTGTTGATGTGAGTCCGCTTACCCCTGTCGGGGATGAACTCAGCAGCATGACGAGAAGCGAACGACTGACACACGCTCTCTTCTCTCTTTGCCACAGAACATCTTCGAGGCGGCCACACGCGCAGCGATGCTCTCCAGACCAGCACACAGCGGCGGCAACAGAGGCTCTGGCGGCGAGAAGGGCTCAGGGTCCAAGTCTGGACGCAAGAACAGCAACGAGGCAGGAGGGTGTCAATGCGTTGTACTGTAAATACCAACCAACGACAACGACGTCGCACCCTCGCTGGCTACCGCAACAACTACCACTTGAGGTCAAGCAGCGTCGATCCTTCTAGCCATGCCAGCACGACACCCCGTCTCTCCAATAGAAGCAACACTCAGCACTTCCCTGTCCTTTCTACCCTTCTCATCCCGCTCACCGTCGACAGCGCCCTCTCTACGTGTGTACCTCGCACACAGCCTCAGCCTCGGCCTCTCGCTTGCCCTGCTCACACCTCTGTATCGTCTATCCATCCATCTCATCTCATCTCAACATGCTCTCTTTCGCGTCAATTTCGATTCCACTGCACCGCAATCCCATCTTCGCGACTGACTGGAAACAGTTGAAGCGAGCAGAAGACGTCTACGTAGACTGACGAACCCTCGTGAGCTCAAGCACCTCTCTGCACCTCATCCTTCCTCTCTCGCCTTCGCCAGTAAACAAATTGACGGGCTAGCGTTCACGCGCGATGTTGGATCGGCGCGGCCGGGAAAAAATCTGGGTGAGGCGAAGAGATGGCCGTCCGTCCGAGCGCTGCTGCTGCTGCTGCTGCTGCTTGGATGAACAAGCACCCCCCTCGGCCACGCACGCGAGACACACTTTAGGCATACAGTGACACTGCCGTCGGTCGTCTTGCCCGTCTGTAACTTGCCTATCGCTCCTTGCTGCACGGGTTTGGCGAAGGCAGGAGGGGACGAGGTGGGCTGAAATGAAGAGGAGAGACGCTCACTGCGGGGTAGTTGAGGGTGAGTGTGAAGCTGATGCGGGCGTACAGGACGACCCAGGGGAAACGATGGACGGGGGCGTAGCATGCTGCCGTCGAGCTTATATAGAGGAAGCGGGAAGGTGGTGAGTGATCTGCCTTTCTGATCTCTTGACTGCCATATCTAGGCTTGCCATAGCCTCTATTCATCATAGACATATCCCACCATCCAGCCAACACCGCCTCTCGTCACGATGGCCTCGGCCACTGCCCAACATCCACCCCCTCCCCTCGCCGGCATGGAGTCGTACCAGTCGGGAGAGACATTTGAGAAGCTGAATGCTGCGGAGAAGGGACAAGCCGGCAGCGCCCAGTCGCCCTTGCTGCGCAAGCTCGGTGAGTGGTGACGTCGGAAGACGAGGAGAGATTCGTGTCTGGCAGGAGCTCACCCAGGCACACTAAGCTCGCAGGCTGGCATGAGAAATTCAATGTCATGCGACACAACTCTGGCGAGGCTCCCGTCATCGTAATGGGCGCCCGCCTCTCTCTCCCCTCGACAGGCCCGGCGATCTTCGATATCATCTCGCAACATCTGCTGCAACGCATCTCAGCGCTCCTCGACCATCCAGAGAACGGCCTGCTCCGCTCCTCTGTTCAGGCCAGCACATCCAAGAAGCCACGCTACCGTATCGAGCCTTCCATCCATGCTCTGCAGATACTGCGACGTAGGGCACTGCCTCTCGACGCTGGCTCGGGCTCTGCCATGGAAAGGGTGATCCGAGCTGAGATCGCAGAAACGGCTAGGATGTTCCGCCTTGAGGACAGCTTGCCCCTCTGGTCCGTAGCGCTTTACGAAGATCCGCAGGACCCAGATTCTGCGCTCGTAGCTCTGAGCATCCATCACGTCATCTCAGACGGCAAAGGCTCGCAGGCGATCTTGCGAGCCCTCCTCTTCGGCGATGGCAGCCTTGACTCGTCTACCCCGGCACCAAGCGGTGAAGCCACTCCTGCGACACTGGTCGCCGCCAACGGGAAGGGCGCCTCTCAGCCGCAATCCATCCCTCCGTCCAGCAACAAGACGCTCCCCATGTCTCCTCCCTTCTTCAAGCTCATCATCCCCCTCGCCCTCGCCAAATTCGTCATGCCCAAATTGAGCCCCGTCATCCCTCCCCCTGTCCGACGAACCTACACGCGCAAGCCTGCCTGGCCCGGTCTACGAGCCAAGCCCAACGGCAAACCTTCGCGCAACGAGCCTCCCTTGCGCTACCTGGATCGTACTGCGCCTGAACGGACTAGCCCGGAGCTGAGATTGGTGACCTGGGACGATTGGGCCATGATCAATGGAGTGAAGCAGGTCAGCAAGGCTCAAGGGGTCAAGACGATCCACTCTACCATCCACGCTTGCATGGTCGTCGCACTAGCTGCGGCCCTCAAGCATCATGCAGGCACTGATGCGTACGTTTACGCCTCCGAGACTCCAGTGGACCATCGCCACCCGCTGGACAAGGGTCACGGCCAATTCACGGGCAACTACATCGGTGTCTGCTGGTGGCGCGAGGAGGTCAATCGCTCTACCTCCTTCTGGGAGGCAGCCCGCGATTATGCTGCGTTGGTCTCAGACGAGAAGAAGAGACGCAAAGCACTGCATAGCATCGGGCTGCTCAAGTACCTCAAGGCCTCTCCTGAGAACAAGAAGGTGGTTCCCGGCTCGACCGAAGAGATGGTCGGGGCCGAGCCTGCCACAGGGTGGGAGCAATGGTGGTGCGAAAAGTCTCAGGGCCGCCGACCGCATCGCGTATCTGCAGGCCTGTCCAATTTGGGAATCAATGCGCTGCAAGAGGAGGCGATTGGTGGAGCCGGTTCGAGGATATGGGCAAGGGAAGTGGCGATGATGCAGTGCCCCTCTGCGATTGGGCCTTGCATTGACGTGGACGTCATGGGTTGGAAGGGAGCGCAAGAGGGAGAAGGGGGGATGAACCTGTCGGTGAGCTGGAGGGCGGGAGTGGTTGATGGTAGAGTGTTGGAATACTTCACGAAGGGTCTGAATGTCATGGGCCCGCTGATTGCTAGAGGTGAGCTGGGCAAGGGGGCGACGGTGGGTGAGGCCGTCGATCTCGTGGTCCCTCTGCTCGGTCAGCGCGAGCATGACGGGGCCGCGTTGAAGAAACAGGCGTAATAATGGACCGAATGTAGTCGCAAGTCGCAATGATACCATCTTTTGATCCGTTTGCGGTACCATAGAGGGTCAGAGATAGCGAGGAAGGGTGACCCTGGATGCCCGGTCGCCCGCGGCGCGTCGACGTCACGAACAGAGGGCGGGCGGAGATGGCCCGGCCGCTGCGAGGTGCGATCGAGTCGAGTGATGGACCGTCGTGCGATGCCTCCATTTCGACGGACGATTCACTTTACCAACGACTTCATACCCACGCCAGCCAGTCTTGATTATCGAGGGCACTTGCCCGCTGGCTCCAAATCTCATTCTCTTACATCACACTACCACCAAGAGCTCAGGCCAGAGTAGCTTGAGCTCGCAGAGCCTCGTCGCCTCTGCACCGCCCGCTTCGTGGCAGTTCCACTGTGCAGCATCTTCATCCTCTCTTGCCACAACCTGGCTGTTGCTATTAGGGCTTTAGAACAGGCTCGTCATTGCCAGCATGACGACCCGCAGTACACGGTCCACTCGCTCAGCAGCCCCACTAGAGCGCATGACCGATGGCGACGTCTACGTCTTCCTGCTGCAGATTGCCGTCCTATCATGGACAACGCAGCAGCAGCAGCGAAAGGCAGCAGAGGCAGCCGCCGCCGCTGCCACAAGACCAGGGAGATCAGAGTCGGCCGTCAAGAAGCCGTCGGATTATGCCACCTCTTCTACAACAGCGTCACCTGGATCGACGTCGTCCAAGTCAGATTGGATGTCCTTGGGTGGACTGATGGACCTCGTAGGAACATCGTCCAGAGAGGCACGCTTCCCTGAGAAGCTCATCAAGCGACTCAACGACAGACTGGAGCGCATCATCAAGGGACAGGATCTCAGTCACAATGATCAAACTCTGCGTGCAACAGTAGCGAGATTCTATGGCACCTTCAAGGAGGATGGCTTTCAGAGGTGAGTTGAAAGCAGAATGGCGCCATTGCGTTTCTACTGAGAATGCTCACCTTGTGTTTCCTACTTTGCGCCCGCGCAGGCAAATCAAGAGCAATCGCAAGATCGAGGAGCTCATCCTCATCTTCGTCACAAAGGCGCAGGAGACCCTTAAGAAGGGCTCACCGAACCAGCCTCCCCTCTCCGATGACGAGCTGAAAGCTGAGCTCAACAAGCAGGTAGGCCAATTCATCAAGATCAATCGCGAGTGCCTTGATACGATCCATGGCGTGTCCAAAGAGCTCAAGGAGCGTCTGGACAGCTACCAAGCCAAGCTCGCTCCACGGCCTCCCCCAGTCGCCACGCCCAGCACCGCCAGCGCAGCTGGTGGCAGCACTTCATCCTCTTCAATCCCCTCGGCGGCCACGACAGCAGTTCAAAGCAGCCGTCGTGGAAGCGCAGCAAGCTCGATGACAATGGCAGCAGATCCAGTGCGAGACTCAGACCTTGTTCGCTCCGTCGGACAGCTGTTTGCAGTCGATATGGACCAGCTGTCAAAGGACGTGGACTTCATGCGCAAGACGTGCACGGAGCAGGCGGCAATGATCGATCTTAAGCATTGCGTCAAGAACATCAATCTGCAGGCTTCGTGGCCTGGAAGGCGAGAAGACTTTGAGTCCGAGGAGGCATACCAGCAGTGGAGGACACAGGAGCTTTCCGCCTTGTCGCAGCTGATGATGCAGATGTGCCAAGCGAACCCAGAGCTGCTCAAGACGACGTCAGGCGATGCAGCTACTACGGCGCCGACGAGGAAGAACACAGGAAATGGCGCAGCAGAGGGCGGGAGTGGGACAGCGCCTACTGAGGTGTCACAGGCTGCAGAGGCTGGGGACAAAGCGCCCGATGCAGAGGCATTGAGCCAAGCCGTAGAGGACGACGAAGCGTTTGGCAACTTTACCTTTATACCTCCTGACCCAAAGGCGTACTACCGACGAGCGTTGGAACTCTGCATCGACTTCGACCTCGAGAAGATCAAGCAGCAGCCAGAGGAGGAGGAGGTATCCCTCAGCATCCTCTCGAGACAGCACGTCGACTTGCTGAAGGAGTGCGCCCAGCGCTGGCGGCTTATGGCTCCCTTCCGTACCGTTTCCAACCTCGACGTGATGCGGCTTAAATACGAGCGAGGCGAGGTGCCTCTTGACTGCATCTCTGAGGCGCTCACAACGATGCAGGGTACCCTCTCCGAGGTCGAAGCAGGCTCATGGGCGAAGACGGACCACGCTCTTCTCGTACGCACCTGCTCAGCCCTCTTCGACTCTTTCCTCCGGTATATCTACGAGGCCTTCCAAGACATCCACAATGTCGATCCCGAGGAGATTGCGCCATATGTCGCCATGACCGAAGAGCTGCACGAGTCATCGCTCGTTCGTACGAATCACGACGCCAATGGGTCTGTGGTGGAGATGGAGCGCCACGTCGAAGAGTTGAAGGACGGAATCCGCATCATGGCTATTCACGAGTACACAGCCAAGACCACAGAGCTCTTCTCACAGGCGGTAGACAACGAGGTGGTCCCCCTGGTACAATTATTGGACTGGCTCGAGAAGGGAGCCAAACGCCTCGACAAGCGCTACCCGCAGCCCCTGCTCGGTACAATCGACCCCGTTTGCCATGTCCTCGAGAAGCAAGTACCCCTCTTCCTCGACGACCTCGAGTCGATGAAGCATCAGATTGTGCAGCACGCCACGCAAGAAAGGGAGCCTCTAGCATTCGAGGACATCTTTGCCCTCTACCGTAGAGTGACGGAGCTGCTCAAGATGCACAAGGCCTTCTGCCCCGACCACGGTGAGCTGCAGTTCAGCCTAGCCGACTGGTTCGAGCCGCATATCCGACACTGGCTGGCGAACACCGACAAGAAGACGCACGAGTGGGTACGTAATGCAATCGCCAGCGACCACTTCATGCCGATCGACGTGGATGGAGCCGTGCACAGCTCGTCAATCGACGACCTCTTTGGAGCTCTTCAGCAGCCGGTCGAGTTCATCCAATCCCTCACCTGGCCCAATGCCTACAAAAACGCTCGCTTCATGACGCAGCTGGCCCGCTCGATCTCTAAGTCTATCGAGCTTTACTGTCATCGAGTTGAGGAGCTCTTCATGGACGAAATGTTCCCACGCATAGCAGAGGGGGCCGGAGGCGTAGGGAGCCTTGGTGGTGGACTCGAGCAGAAGCAGTCGGCCTGGATGGTGAAAGCAAAGCAGACGCTGCAGGGCACGCAGAAGGTCGAGCCCTTCCACTTTCAGGAGACGAGCTGCGTCAAGCTGAACAACATCGAGGCTGCCAGATTGTTGCTCGACAGGCTGTACACCAAGATTGACGCAGATCATCAGGCTAATGTGGTCAGGGAGGCGGCGCCCGATGTGCCGGAGAAGGGAGGCTCCCAGGCACCTGGGCAACATCAGAGGTACATCTTCACCATCAAGATTGTGCTGGGAGAAAATTTGCAGCCCATCAGGGATACAGGGAGCAAATCGCGCATCGATTCGTTCGTGACGTTGAGTGATGAGAGGGTGAGCAGCGGGTGCGAAGGGAAAGACGACGAACACCAAGCTGACCTCCTGATCCTCGACCGCTTCTTACGCAGGGCAATAAAATTGCCAAGACTCGCACAATCTACGAGACGCCCGACCCGCGCTGGGACGAAGCTTTCGACATCCCTGTGGACCGCAGCATGTGGCTAGCAGCGACAGTCTGGGATCGCAAGCTCGTAGGTGACCATGCGCTTTGCGGTCGTGCCTACCTACGCCTAGATCCGCGCTATTTTGGCGACTTCCTCGCGCACGAGCTCTGGCTCGACCTCGATACCCAGGGAAAGCTCCTTGCGCGCGTGAGCATGGAGGGCGAGAAGGACGATATTCTCTTCTACTTTGGGCGGGCTTTCAGGAGTCTGAAGAGGGCGGAAAGCGATATGGTGAGGACGATTGTGGACAAGATGAGCGTCTACATTCGACAGTGCCTGAGCCGCAGCGTGCTGAGGTCCATCGTACGTACAAGTGGGATCAATATCGACAAGGCGTTAGGCAACGTGAAGGCGCTCTACGCCCAAGCCCTCGCTGCGGGCGCTACGGCAACCTCTTCCACTGCCCCAACCATCCCACCTATAGAAGCAGAAGCGGCTGCTGCGGCTGCCGCCTCCTCGAAGAAGCAGCGTCCCCCTCAGCTCACCGATCAAGAAATTGAAGGCGCCATCAGCCCGCTTCTCGACTACCTGCACGAATGTCTTGGCACGCTCAAGTCCTCCCTCTCGGACAGTCAGGCCGAGCTGGTCATGACCAAAGTATGGAAGGAAGTCCTCAACACAATCGACTCCATCCTCCTCCCGCCCCTCTCTGACGCTCCGTCCGACCTCAGCCAGCTGTCGGGCAAAGAGGTGGAGGTGGTCTTCAAATGGCTCAGCTTCTTGCGCAACTTCTTCAACGCCTACGACGAGGAGACTGGGCAAGCGCACGGCGTGCCATTGGAAGTGCTTCAAGGCCTGCCCAAGTACAGAGAGATCGTGGCATACACGCTCTACCACGATACCTCCTCTGACGAGCTGATGGAAGCGTGCGTACGGGAGATGCAGACACGCCTGCGCAAAGCGGCAAGTGCAGGTGGTGGATTCGCAGGCGCTGGGCGACTGAGTAGTAGCGGCACTGGACTTGGCAAGACGGGTTTGGTCAAGAACAAGAGCGTGCTGCAGCAGAGGAGCTTGGGGACTATCAAGAAGCGCAAGCAAGAGAAGCGTGGGGAGCATCTAGCTGAGGAGCAGGATAACCTTGAGCTCATCCTGCGACTCTTAAGGATGCGACCGCACACGGGAGACTTCTTGCAGCAGCAGTTCGCTACCTTGACAGCACTCCAACAGCCGGCGGGTCAGCAGGCACAGGCGCAGGCGCAAGCGCGGGGAGGGCCTGCCAGTGGGCGTGGAGGCCGAGGTGGCCAGCAGGTCCCGCCTCTGCCGTCGCAGCCTCAGAGGTATCCAGGTGGGGGAGGTATGCCGAGGAGGATATCGGGGCAGGGTCAGCCGCCCTTGCCTGGGGCCAATGGAAGCTATGGACAGCATCAGCCGACGTATCGTCAACCTTGAGATCTCAATCGGTCCTCATCGACGGACAAAAGCGACTCCTTCTCTTTCACCTCTTCCAGTTCCGGCACTCTCACTGCGTCTGACTGGCTACTTCTTCTTTTTTGCTCGTAATCTTGCCTAAACATGGAATGATATACCACAGTTCTGCGTTCTCTAGCATGAATGTCATCCTCGCCCTCCTCCTCAATCGGTAGCTTCGACAGAAAAAGAGCATCGCATTTCCATGACCCTCCCTCTTACACAACCTGATACGCGTCAGAGAGGAGATAAGCTTGTGTACTCCATGGTGCCTCCCCTCCTCCCTCGACCTCCTTCACACTCTCCACCCTCGTCCCAGACATCGTACCCGCAACGACGATAAAGTCTGCCTGTACGGGGAAGAAGTCATCTGTCCCTTCCACCCCTTGCGTGACGGAAAAGTCGAGCGAGCCAGAGGTGTTGCTCGAAGAATCGACCGAGTCGATTGTCCAGAGTAGGCAAGGCATTCCATCCTCACCGAGAGTGAAGGAACACTCCCCCACATCGGGCTCGGAGATGGTCACCTCTGATTCGTCCTGTACGGTCTCTGGCAGTGGGATGCGCAACATCAATCTCTCCATCCTGATCCCCTGAGCCTCGAGCTCGTAGGCAACGTTGCATTCCCCGCTCCCATCTTCTGCGGCGGAAGGCCAAGTGGTGATAGAGATGGGGACGAGGCTTTCGTCCTTGCTCGCTAGCCTCCAACGCAGCACGCCCAAATTCTGGTTGAGAGGGAAGGGCCTTGCCGGGTCTTTGAGCGCGATTCCCCTTGCTGAGGTCCACAGAGCTTTGTCGACGTGAGGATGAGTCTTGTACTGCACTTCTCCTCCCAGGCCTGCTTGAGCAAGTGGGGAAGCAGGGTCTTCGGGGGCGAGCTGAAGCTTGACTTTGGCGTGAGTGGGGTCTGAGATGCGTACCTCGAGGTCTCCCTTGATCTCGAGTGATTGGAGAGAGCCATCGCGCGTTGATTGGAGAGAGACGCGCTCCTTGACGAGGGCGTGGACTGCCTGTTGCGAAACGGGTGGCAGTAGGTCGAGGAGGGAGGCAGCCGAGGAGGAAGATGCAACGGGTGCCGCGGAGGAGCGAGGGCGAGCTGCTGCTACTGTGGATGGACTGGATGTAGACGCCGCTGCGGCTGCTGGCATGGCAGCTGCTGCTGCTACTGCTGCCGCCGGAGTTGGCTCTGCGCCCATCGCGCCGAGGAGATCGGCCCCGCGTGACTTCTTGCCCAGCTGCATGCCTTTGCCCTTGAGTGGGCGTTGTACGGGTGCGGCGCTGCGGAAGCGATGAAGAAAGGAGCTGTCAGCTTGCGTGGCTTCTTTGTGGTCATGTTTCATCGGGCGCTCGTACTCACTCTGCCCCAGTATCTCTAACGACGGGCGCTTGTCCTGTAGGCGAGTCATACCCACTCCTTCCAGAGCTGCCACCATATCCACCCATGCCACCAGAAGAAGCTCCAAATCCTCCTCCTCCTCCTGCAACTCCACCCCTCCTCGCAGCTTCGCGCCTCTGCATCTCCAAATGCTTTGCACGTCGCTTGAGCTCCTCCTTTGCCTCCAATTCCTTGTTGCGCTCAATGATCTCCTGGATCTTCTCCTCGTGCGAATCCATCTCCAGGATTGTGCGTACCTGGGCGAGATTAACATTCTCCCTGTACCCCAAGGAGGCAATCTCATCGAATGCGCCTAGGAGCTCGAAGCTGTTACGGAGGACGTCTCGTTCGTCGAGTCCCCTGCAGAGGTCTGAGACTACACGAGCGAAGAGGTGGAGCGTGTCGATATCTTGTAGGATGTTCGAGTTCTTGTTGGTAATCAAGATCATGTAGAGATCCTCAAGCGGCTGGTAGACGTATCGGACATGTTCAGTCTCGATGGTCGTGTGCTGCGAGCCGGAGGAGAGGAGCTTGGGAAAAGACGAGAGGAGGCCTTCGACTCGAGAGCGGGACATCTCGCGGAATTGACGCGAGATTACGGGTTTCCCACCGCGAGTGGTGATGGAGGCCGCTAGGAGGACCATGATTGCGAAGGGAGGTTGGAGTAGTCGAGGAGTAGTGTTGGTTGAGGAGGAAGGAAAGCAGGTTGACAACATCGTCGACTGTTCGCTGTGCGTCCGTGGATCCTCGACTCGTCTTCCAGCGGTGCTCGAGCCACGCGCCGCCCGCCCGCCCCGTCTCCCCGCCTTGTTGGCGTTGAGTTGGGAACAGGCATAGACGGAACGGAACAAACTGGCGGTAACGCTATCGAGCCTCCCGAGGCGACCTTGGCCGACTGGACGTGCCAATCTCGCATTGCTCATCATCATCACCACCGCCTAAAAATCGCACGCCCACCATGGCAACAATCCCCGCACGCCTCGCGCAGCGTAGCATCGTCTCCTCTTCCCTCTCCGAGTCCCGTGCCAGGTCTCGCGCCCTCTATCGAGACTTCTACCGCTCTGCACCAGAGATCTGCACCTTGTATGCTCTCGATGTTCCACCTTCCACGCTCAGGGCAAAGATCAGGACTAAATTCGAGGAGAGACGCCATATCACAGACATGTCCGTATTGGATGTGCTTTTGCACAAGGCGAGGGTAGACTACCAGGAGACGATGAATGCTTGGAAGCAAACACCGCATGTGATGAAAATGTTCGCCGCCGAGGAGGTAAGTTCGAGGGCCATGTCACCTCGACTTGATCGAGTTGCTCGCAGAGTCCACTTGATTGACCTGCTCCATATTTCTTTTACGCCTCTCGTGCTCAGGCTCAACCGATGCCAGAGACTTTCCTCGAGAAGTTCTACGCATCAAAGGACGAGGGAAGGGGGACCATCTTCCAGGGCAACTAGGCGTGCCAGATTGACGATGGCAATGACGACCGACGGGAGCGGTGGCATTAGTGGCTCTCACCGGGCAACGACTGTATCAGCAATACACACGTACATATCCCTACCTTGCAGGTGTGGCGCTGCGCATTTGCCGAAAAGTGGGAGGCAGAGTGCAACGTCGAGCCAGAGCGACGTGGACTGTCCACGCTGGTGTAGACGAAAGATTGTCAGGGGACGCCTGATGGCGCCCTGATGAAGCGCCGCAGCCTCACAGAACAGCAAGCAGGATGAACAAAGTCAGTCGCGCCGTCGATTGCAATGAGGCCGACGTTGCCTCTTCGAAGCTATGTACAGCAAGGAACGCGGCCCCAGAGATGAAGAGGAGGGAAGAGAATGAGGAAGTTAAGAGTGATTACCGACGCTGGGCAGCTTCGAGCATAGAGCTCGGGCATGGCAGACCTTGTCGCAGGTAGGTGGCGTGTCGCAGCGATCTGGCCGCCGTTGTACATCGGCGTATCGCTTTGAGATTATCCTCTTTGCCTGATCTTGCCACGTCGGTCTCATCAACGCATGCAGACTTTCCCTTGCCGTTCCTCCCGGTCTCTTCTCCTCCTCAGATGCGGCAAGCCGAGTCTGGAAAGAGTTGCGATCCGTCCTGCGGGTCAGGGATGAACCACGCTACGAGGGCCATGACTGAGGGCGAGAAGCAAAGAGGGTCAGATCAGCTCGAGTTGTACTCCTCATCTCTCGCCCTTGCTCCGTCTTGTACTCACCCAGGAAAACCATCATCAGGACGAAACCCTCCATATAGTTACTCTTCCCATCGGCAATCGCGTAGTTGACCACCAGGACGGCCAAGAAGAGCAAGATGGCGACAAAGGGATCGAACAAGAGGCTAAGCGGCTTGCTCGCAATCCACGAAATGATCGTGAGCAGCGGAATGACGAAGATGCTAATCTGAATCGAGCTGCCCACTGCGATGCCCATCGCAAGATCCATCTTGGCTTTGTAGGCGCCCGTAACCGCCGAAACGTGCTCGGCGGCGTTTGATACGATGGGTAGAAGGATGAGACCGACCCACGTCTTGGAGATGTTGCCCGTGCAGGTCACGCCATCGATTGTGTCTACTAGCCATTCGGATGTTACGCCGACGAGGGCAGTGGAGACGACGAGGAGAACAATTGCCATGGTGAGGTTGAGGGTTGGCTGTTCCTCCTCCTCTGGGTCGTCGTCTTCGTACAGGGACTGCAGGTGCGTAGGGGAAGGCAAGAGGAGGTCAGCAAGTGGTCGGAAAGAGCCCCTTGTATTCATCGCGTGCCCGTCATACCTTGTGCGATGAAAGCGTAAAGAACAGGTACCCGCCGTAGATGACGAGGAGAATGATGCTCGTCCCCCTCGAGACCTTGAGCAGATCATCTCTCTCCATGGGATCCATGATGTTGTCGCCCAGCGTCGCGTGGAACCCTGCTGGGATCAAGACGGCAATGACTGCCATGGCGAGTAGACCGCTGTTCAGCTGAGCAGCAGTCTGCTTGAACTCCTGCTCCTTGAAGCGCAGCCCACCAACGAAGAAGCAGGTGCCCAGCACGAGGAGCAGGTTGGAGAGGACAGAGCCAATCAAGGATGTCTGCACGATGGTGAGCTCGCAGTGGAACAGAGCGATGATGGCGACAATGAGCTCGACGGCATTGCCCAATGTGGCGTTGATGAGCCCACCAAGCGTTTGTCCAACTCGCAGAGCAATCTCCTCAGTACCATAGCTGAGCAGCTGTGCGAGGGGCATGATAGCCAAGAAGGCGGTGACGAAGACGCCTACGTTGTTCTTGATGTGAGCATTGCAGTCCTCTCCTGGAATATTGTCTCCCAGATCGAGAGCAAAGTACAGCGCCCAAGAGATGGGAATGCAGAGCAGGAGGATGTTGAGAGGGGAGAGGAATATAATGTTCTTGAAGGACTGCCAGCTGTTGGGCGCAGGCTTGAGGCGCTTCTCCGGCGTAAAGAGGTCATGAAAGCTGCGAGCTGCTCCATCGCTACGCATCGTCATGCGACGTGGCGGTGCACCATGCCCTGCCAAACCAAAGCCTTGCCCACTAGCGTCCTTCTCTACGGTGCGTGTGCGCTGCGCTGCAATTTGGCCACCATTGGAGCTGGTCACTCCCGTTGAGCTGCCCAGATCCTGCTGTGATGATGATGCATTGCCCCCGCTTGAGGAAGAGGTGGTGTTGGCACGCCCCTCTTCCATGTTGATCGTCGCCCGCTTTGTGGGGACAGAGCGCGACGATTCGTCCATTGCAGGTGGAGAGGCAGTGCGCAGGATTGAAGGCGGTCGAGCGCCATATGCGGCGTTTGTGGGAGTGGGATCCGTCATGTCGACGGCAATGACGAGGCGTGAAAAGCGAAGTCTATGTGAGGCTCGTTGAAATGCAGCGAGATGAGGATGTGGAGCCCACGTCGAAGTAGCGCTGGTGGCGGTAAAGAAGTGGCCCCTTACGAGGGGGATACGCTGTACTTGACTATCAGGAGCTCGCTCGAGTCGTCTTTGTATCTATCAGCGGCGGCGATGTGTTGAAAAGAGGAGAAGATGGCGTTGATCAAGCAGAGATGTCAAGGGAAAGAGGATCAATACGATCATATTGCCCGCGTCCCATTTCCATTTCCATGCTCGTCCCACTCGCACTCTCACACATCTCTCTCAACACACACTCCGAGTGTCTCGCTCGCGCCCCTCTCTCGTCCCCCGACCTGGTTGTCCTCTCTCGCTTGCCGCCGCCGCACTCGCCGCCGCCGCTCCCGCCACCGCCCGCCGGTGTCGAATTGACGCCTGCACTGCCTCGCCTTGCCTCGCCGCGGTATCCTCTATGACGCCGCCGGCGAAAGCGGCGGTGCGACCAAGCAAAAAGAAATCGGTGAAGCTTCAAAACAGAGACAAATGGTATGGTATTGTGAGCTCCGAGGCAGGCAGGGCGTCGAGGATATCGACTGCAATGGCTGACAAGGGAAGTCGATAGTGTGCTGATGCGGCACAGTGGGGTGACAAAGCAGCGCACTAGAGGGCGAAGCGGTAATGATGACTGACTGGTAGCGGGCCGATGGATGGAGATAGAGAAGACGCTAGTGCAATGAACAAAGCCTGAGAAGATGATGGACCGAGACAAGACGGGAGAAGGCTGTGAGAAGCCGGATAGAGTAGGATTTTCTGATGGTGCATGGGCAGTACGATGATCCGTGAGAAGAGCTTGGTGGCCATCGTTGTCGAGGGTATTGCTCCTGAGGACATCAAGGCTCCGCAATGTGCGAAATCTGCGTCATCTGCTGCCCCTCCAAGCACCTGATCTTCAGACACTTGACGTAGACGCCGGCATCGGCGCCAAAGTCGTAGGCCATAGACTTGGTTTGCAATGCCAGGACGGTCTTGATGGTCCGAGCCAAGTTGCGGAACTTGAACGCGTTGACCATTGGCTCTAAGTGCGCGCCCTGTGGCAGCGGCGGCAGGCCGTCGAATGCCCTTGGCTCGGCCAAATGACTGAGAGGAGGTGGTGGGGGGTGCGCTGCCGCCTGATTTGGGGAGGTAGGGTCCAACCAGGTAGGAAGGGCGTCATTGTTTGCTAGGTCGGAGAGGAAGATTCCAAAGAAGGGAACACAACCGGCTGAGCGCGATGTCGATGATGAGGAGGCTAGTGAAGCCTTGCTTGCCGCAGCAGCTACGCCTCCCGTAGCCTTGGCACGGCCTCCACTCAAATCATCATCTCCTTCACCCACCAAGCCGCGCATCGCCGCTCTGAGATGCCTGAAGTCCCTCGAAGGGCTCGTGAAGATCTTTAGGTCTCGCAGGATGCGTTGCTCCCACATCCCAACGCGCGACCACGTCTTCCTCAACCTCTCAACCCAAGGACTCTGCAGACCCAAGCAGATCTGGACCAGAGTAGCAAAGTTGCTATGCTGATAGCACTTCCATGCGATTCGGATCAGTTTGCTGATGAGCGCCACACGCTCGTCGAGGTTTCGGGTAAGGACGATCTCCGAGGCGACCCAGTTGCAGGTCAAGTTGAAGCGAGCGATGATCGCTTCTACCGCACCCGTGCTCGTGGTAGCAGAGCCTTGTGCCCTAGCTCGGACTCGGGCTTGGTAGAAGGACTCCCAGTCCAATACCTCGCCCTTGTGCGTGCGTCGACGCCACCCATCCGAGGCGAGCTCCGTCCAGTCGATCGAGCTGAACAGCTCCGCCTCGATGAGGCAGAGTTGCTGGGCGATGGCTTCGGACTTGTAGTTTAGGAGGAAGCAGCGGTGCATTGGTGGCGGTGGGCCGTGGTGAGTCGGATGGGGGCGTATAGACGTGGGTGGGGCCATGGACGGGCGAGGGCCGTTGTTCCCTTGCCTCGCGTGCTGGTAGGTGAGCAGCGCGGCCGCCCAACGGGGCGACGTGGCCATGCTGGAGGAGGGAATGGCCGTCTTTGGGCGACGCGAGCCATCCGTGACGGAGCGCGTACGCTCTTGACGGCGAGCTGGCGCCGGCGTCTGAGCGATAGAGGGTACCTGCAGGCTGTCACCGACCTTGACGAACGAGGAGGCAAGAGAGGTATCCGAAGTTGCGGCGGGTGTGCCGGCAGGAGCAGCGACACCGCCATCGCTGGCGGTAGTAATGACGCTTGCCACATCGTCCTGCGGCACTGCCTTGCCCGTCCCCGAGTCGTCTTGCCCATCCTCATCATCCGCATCGCGCGAGGACGAAGACAACACGGCAGACGCCGAGCTCCTGGTCGCGTCTGCGGCTCCTTCCTCTTCAGCCTCCTCCTCCTTCTCTCTCGTCCTAGCCCGGCTCTGCTCCCACAGCGCTTCGACGCGCCTAGCCCGCTCCGCCTTCTTGTCCTCATCAATGAACCCTTCTAGTCGGCGCAACGCCTCCTCTACATCGCCGGGCTCCTCATCGTCGCTCCCGAAGTCCTCGACTCGGAAACCCTTTACGAGCTCGTATCCCGCTAGGGCCTCATCCGCATCAAAGTAGTCGACGGGACCGGCAGCTGCAAAGCCTCGCGGGGCTGCGCTGATGGGCCTGGTGGAGACTGCACCACCGTTCGAGGCCATAGAGAGACCAGCAAGAGATTGGCGATCATGCTCTCGTTCCGTATTGTATACTCGCCCGAGGCTCAGCATCGAGTCGAAGCTCGACCTTCCGGCTGGGGCCGCTTGGCGTAGGTCGTCGACGTGCTTCGCGATCCGCAGATCCCTTGCACCAGGCAGACGCCTCAGTGCGCGTCGCACAGCTCCATCATCATCGTCGTCGCTGGAGAAGTCGATGTCGTCTATCTGGACGATGTTAGGGCCAGAGGCTCTCGCAGCGCGGGATGAGACAGAGCGTCGATGCATGGACGAGGAGCTCTTCCGGGTCGGAATATGGCCTGCAAACTTAGCGGGCTGAAGGCCGAGACGACGGCTAGCAGTGCTTACATCCCGCCCTTGCTCTGTTCCACCGCTAGAGACTGTGCGTAGGGTTGCCTTGCTGGGTGCGTGCTCGAGCTGTTGCTGATCAGAAGAGGGTGTGGGCCGGTTAAGAAGCTGGATCGGCTGCTGAAGCTGCCCTTGCTCTGCCGGGGCGCCATCGTACTCGTGGATGCCTAGACCGAGCATAGGTTCAGCAAGTGCGGCTGATGCTTTGCTGCCGCCCTCACCGTCACCATGCTCCCAGCTTTGACCGTCCCCGCTTCTCTGTCGCGCGAGATCGATGGAGCTAGCTGGGGTGCTGCGCGAGGGGGCACTGGATGCGCAAAGACTCGGCGTTGTGTCGCGGTTCTCTTCACTTGGCTCATCGTCGCCTTCGGCGGCTGCTCCTGTCTCTCCCTCTTCTTCCTCTGCAAGAGAGCTCCATCCCTCCAGATCCAAGCCGCAGAACCGCATGTAGCTCTCCACACCGCCGCGCGTGTAGAGCAGATCGATAGCATCTCCTCCGCTGGCCGCAATGTCCGATCCATCCGTCGAGTGAGGATGGACAGAGAGCGAGTCGCGCAACATATTGCTACCCATGGCCTTCCGGAAGCGTGAGATTCGCCCCACGGTATTAACAAAGGCGCGAGAGATGGTGCTATTGCCGGATGGGAGGTGCGGAGGTGACTGGCGCCCTGCTATGCTGTTGGCATCGTCGTAAGGGTAGAAGTCGTCCTCGTCCGCCAGCCCTACACCACCTGCGCCGCGTCGAGCCCAGGTGGCAGGCGATGCGGGCGTGCCTTGGTGCTGCGCCGAGGATGACGAGGACAAAGTGGATGCAGGAGACTGCAATACCGCTTCTTGCTGATGCTCGCCGCCGCCGCTCGAGGACGAGGAAAGAGCGGCCGAGCGACTGTTCCCTGCCTTGGCTCTCAACGGTAAGTCAGCGCTATCCGGATCGCTGGATGGTCTCCATCCAGCCTCATCCTTGAGCAGCCCCCCGACGCCCACCTCAGCGTAAGCCGCCTTCAGGTTGCGTACCGTCTTCTTCAGGCTCTTAACAATGCTCAGATCCGCCGGCCTTGACGGCAGTCTCTCATCCTCGCCCAACGCATTGAGCCACGTCGTGAGCGTATTCCTCAGCGCCCGATCGGTGAGGAAGTCCAGCTCAAAGAATGTCGTCAACCACGCCTTGATGACGACGTAGGTGCGCACGCGCACGATGCGCCTGCACGCGTCGTCCTGTGGGTTCTTCGGGTCTTCTAGCGCCCATTGGAAGCGCAGCATTAGGAGGTCGAGGAAGTCGTGCGTACTCATAAATGCGCGGAAGGTGTAGAAGAACGATGACATGAGTCGGTTGTCTATCTCTGATGTTAGCTCGGCCACAAGACGGGCGCGCGTCGCCGCCAGCAGGATCGGCTTCGAGGCTTTGGGTGTTGCGACTAGGAGAGAAGATTGCTGGCTGACGGAGCGTCTGCGTGCAGACGAGCTCGGACCGGTGGCCGTGGAGGAGCGACGCTTCGTGTCAACGACAGGAGAGGCGGGATCCGACATTTCGCCTGGCTGCTTGCCATTGCGGTCGCAGAGGATCAGACTAGCGCCGCTGCTCCCTTGCGGCTCGTCTTGGATGGCCCAGAGAATGAATCTCGGATCATCTCCTGGTGCTGCGCTCGTCGACATTGCTTGAGCAGAGGTCGCTGAAGCTGCCGATGATGAGAGGCTTGAGCTGTCGCCGATCGACAAGCCGCTATCGACGGAGTTGGATGAAACGCTCGTGGTCATGCCCGACTCTACGCGTACCGACTGGCTTGCTGACGCTTGAAACACGTCGAAAATGCCGGCGCCGATCGGTGGCGGTAGTGATGCAGCGTCTTCCTCTCCCGGCCGTGCTGTCTGTACAGATGCTGCCGATTCGAAAGACTGCATCTCTCTGAGCTGACGAGTCAACGCAGGCTGGGGTGGAGAGAGTAGAGGCGCCTTGGGCGAGGGGGGGCTCCCGGCAGTGAACGCGTTGAGGTCTTCGAATAGCGGCTCACCTACGTCAGGCACTCGTGGGATGGGAGAGCGCTGCCAGGGACTCGTTGCCGCCGTCGGCGCCGCAGTTCTCGGACTGACGGCGACTGCTCGACCAAATGCTCGCTGCGTGTTTGACTCGGACTTGGAGCGCGGTCTAACATGACTGTCAAGCGCAAGGATGGCGCTGAGCACATCGCCTCCTTGCAAGCTGTCTGAGCCATTGCGCAGGGCGTCGCCGATGAGGTCTGAGGAGGCATTCGATTGCTCCTTCTGTTCACGCTGCCGCCTTCTTCGTGGTTGTTCTTGCTGTTGCTGAGTTGCTGCATCTGACTGGCCCATGAGCTTCAAAAGCGCATTTGATGGTCGATTTCTCAGCGCCGGGATGGACTTGGAGCCAGCTAATTGGGCGAAGCCTTTGCGAGAGGAGGATCCGCCTGAGTCAGCTGCTCCCGTCTGCGATGAGATGGAGCCAGTCGAGGACGATGGTGTCATGCCACTGCCCTCCCTTGCCTTGAATTGATATTTGATCCTGCCGCCTTCGATGGGTTGCGCTGTAATTCTGAATGGGGTGCCCACGCCGAGGTCGAGGGCAGCAGACGAGGAGTCGTCACCATCATGGTCGGCCTCGCTGCGAAGGCGTTCTCGCTCTTCGGCGTAGGAGCGCAGCTGAATGCCATGCTTACTTGCAAGTAGCTTGACGGCATTCCAATTCGTCGTTTCCACGTCTGGTATGTCTGCGAAGGCTTCAAGCGGGGCTGACATTGCGGCGGATGCGTGGATGGAAGAAGGAATCACTGCTCTAGCGGGTCCTTGGTGGTCGTGCGTTTCGTGACGGGCTTCTTAATAGTATGAGCAGAGGAGGAGCATCTTCGCGATGGCGCAGAGTACTTGCGTGCAGTTCGTGATTGCTGTAGGCAGACTGTTTTCGCACTTGATGGAGCAGCTGGAATCGTGAGAGGTCGTGAGGCGTTGCGTGCAGGCAGGGTCCACGGGGGCTAATTGGCCAGGGGCGCGAGTTGATGAATGGCTGCGAATCAGAATCGCTGCTCTGACTCCGCCAGAGTGGTCTTCGTGATCGTGATGATGAGGAGGGGTTAGACTGCAATACCAATCTCCAAATTGTAGGGTCGCCGCCCGATGTCGTCGTTGGTCGGTAGCGTCCAAGTGCGAGTTGAGCAAGCAAGCAAGCTCAGGAGCGTCCCGTCGTCAAGTCGTCGCCGTGAGTCGTCGAGGCGGCCCGACGCTCGATTTGGCCCTTAGCCAGGGCAGGACGGCAGCGGCAGGCGGCTGCTCCGTCGCCTGGCTCGACTGAACTCACACATCTGGCGTCGCGTCGGAGGGCGGAAGTAGCGGCGGAGCGGGGAGCACTCTCGTCACGCTCACATTTCCTGTCCAAATCAATCATCCCCTTCGTCCTCACCGACCGAGATGCTATCAAGCGATGGTCATTGAGTCGTCACCCGAGGAATCCTCGCAAGACTCGCAGACGGTCAAGAGATTTGCCTCGACACCCGAAGATCGACTGAAGCAGAGCAGCGCCTATCTTGAGGGCCTCTTGGCCCAATTTCGCGCCAACAAGACCCTGTCAGCGCCGCCTCCCCAGCAACCGCCTCTTTCCTCGTCCTCACCCACGCCAGCTGCTTGCGTCGCAGCTCCTCCGGAAGAGCAGCCTGTAATCGAGCCCAGCAACGCACGCTCAGCACCGATACAGGAGAAAGGCGAATCATCAGGTCCAACTCCTGCTGATCCCTCTCTACACACTGCCAAGGCGGACCCTCTCATTGACAGTCCCTCTATGCCGTCATCTCTTGAGGTACCAGCGCCTCCCATCAGCGAGCGTCAAGCCCAGACCATGACGTCCAATCACCCCTGGGCGTCCGCCGTGAGCTCAGCGGCGGCCAATGTCGAGAACCAGATACGTTGGACATTTGGCATGTCGTCAAGATCGGCGTCCAATAGCAGCGAAGCATCGCGCGGCGGTGGGATGACCAGCTCAAAAGAAGTTTCGCAGAGCCTTGGTACGGAAGACGCGGAGGCGGAGAAGCAAGCTATAGCGGAAGAGGAGCCGCGAGAGAAGGCAGTAGAGCCGCAAGGTGCTGAGGATGATCGCCGAGAGGCTGAGGTCGATCTGAGCAAGGAGGCTCAGATTGAGACAAAGGAGGTCGCGGAACAGGTCAGAGCATCGCCGGAGAACAGAGCAGTGGTGGACGTCGCATCAGCTATTGAGACAGACTTGGCCGATCAGCAGGCAGACCTGGCCGCAGAGCCGGTGAACCAAGAGATGACAGCGGTCAGCGAGGATGGCGATGGAAGCACGAAGGCGACAAACAGCTCCCGTGCATCCGCTTTTGAGATTGCAAATGCTGCACCAGCCATACTCAGCGCTCCCGTACGACCGCTGCAGGAGCAGCTCGAAGCGGCTTGGGGCCCCTTTGAACTCTCACAGCTCTCTCAAGGCGACGATGACGAGGAAGAATCGCCGACTTGGAGCTCGAACGTCAACGCGAGTCAGCAACGACCATCAGCAGAACAACCAGCCGAAGCTGAAACCTCCCAGGCAGGAGGTCGAGCCGAAGCTGAAACCTCCCAGGCAGGAGGTGTCGCTAGCCCATGCCCCGCAGCAGCCACCTCCGCGCTTTCCCAAGAGGACGTGCCAACTTCTCAAGAGCCCAGCGCTTCCGCTGCGCTCGTTTCCTCATCGCAGGAGACTGGATCCCAGCAGCAGGAATCGTCAATTGGCCCTCCGACGTTCCATGCAGACATGAGCTTGCCCTTCTCGTTCGCAGCGAGCGATGCGGGCAGCGCCGTACCTCACGAGGAAGCGCGAAGCGAGGCCGAAGACGAGACAGCCGGGCCAGTGCAGCGAATCAATGCGGTTGCCGGCCCTAGCAGGCGAGTCAGATTTGTGGATCCTATATCGTCCTCGCAAGATTGCACCCGAAGACGCTCTCCCTCTTCGAGCCCACATCGCCGCACTGTGCAAGAGCTCTCCCGACTCGAGCCGCCCTCAACTCAAGAGGCAGCACAGTCCACTTTCGTCATCGACCTGACCTCGCCCAGACCCATGAGCTTCACTCCTCATCGCCGTCCGCCAGCCCAACGTGCCTCGGCTCAGGACGAGTATAGCCAAGACGCTGAGGAGGATACCGCTCGCCGCCTGCGACAGCGCTCAGTCATGGGTGGCTCACGTCGGAAGAGCGCAGAGCGCGCTGACCAGCTCATCAAGCATCGCGCAAAGCTGCTGCAATATTTCCGGAGGAAGGTGGCCGAATCGCAGCGAGCGGATTTAGAGTCGCAGCATGCGGAGGACGAGTCGTGGAGGGAGGACGATGACGATGGGGCGGAGGCGGAAGAGGAGGAGGAGGAGGGGGATAGTGTCAAGCGTGGAACAGCGTCCGCGCCAGCAGCAAGCGGTCGTCTTGCGCAGCAACGCAAGCACGCACAGGCTCTGCCAAGCAAGCATGCTCAGCCACGTCTCGCTCAGAGCAAATTAAACTTCACGACAAGGCCTAGCGATGATGACCGTGGTCAGGGCTCATCGACTGGAGCCGCCCTAGCGCCCTCTGCATCGGGCGGTCGCATCGCTGCCGTTGCCCGTACCAACAAAGACGACGACGACGACGACGACGACGGGCCCATCAGGGCTGGACGTAGACGACCCTTTACTCCTCTGATCTTGCCCGAGAGTGGCAGCAGCTCGGAGGGCGTGCGGAATGGGGTCAATCATGATGATGGCAACCATGCCTCTTCTCCATCGGCAGGGGGATGTCAAGTGAGAAGTCCGATGCGAGGCTTCGCAGCAGGCGGGCCTGAGCAGGTGGAGCGTGGGGAATGCGCGTCAGACCAAGAGAACATCCCAGGCCCATCTTTGGGCGATGACCAACAAGCCAATTTGGACGCACCTTCGGCCACACGCTCAGAGATCGACTCCTCCGCGAGCAATCACAGCCACCTCAGCGTCGCTGTTGCGCCCATCGGAGAGAGTCAGCTCATCGAAAGCGGCACCAGTCAGCCTCAGTCTGCAAGCATGGAAGCAAGCCAGATTCCCCGCTCGCAGCCAAGCCAATCTAGCAGCGCCGATGCCGGTGGCATTGCAGGCGCCTCGATGGCCGCAGTGAATGGCAGCTTGAGCAACATGCACCAGCAGTCCTGCTCGACAGGCTCGGACACGGAGGAAGAAGAGATGATCTCGCGGCCCGCCCGCCTTCCTGCCCCTCCTCGTCCGGCAGCAGCATCGAGTTCGGCCGCAGGGCCGTCCGCGCCCGCACATCCTTCCAGTGGCAGCAGAGCCGCAGCTGCAACCGCTCCTCCTCTTCATGTACCCCCACCTCCTGCCATTGTCCTTGAGCAGGGCCTCTCGACTTCTCCAACGCTTCGTCAGCTCAGGGAGGAGCGTGAGCTTGCGAGGCAGGAGACGGAATGGCTACGTCAGCAGGCTGCTGATGCCAAGCAGCGGGGAGACAGCAGTAGGCGCGGCCCAGTTGAAGAGGAGCAAGGGCATCGAGATGATGAAGATGGCGAGACGACGGCGGAGAGGGCAGCAGACGCTGCCGCCGATCGTAGCGCGCCTATGCTACGACCGCTCGGCGATCTTATGGGCGGCTTGCTCAGATACCAGCGACAAGAAGAAGCAGAGCCGCCTCGAGCACCCCCAGCAGAGCATTCCAGACGAGCAGGTCAGGCGGGTGATGATGCGCAAGAGGAGGCCGCAACTTCGATGGCGAGGGCGAATGCGGCGGAGATGGCAAAGACGACGAACATCACGAGAACGCCAACGCCGGGCCAGCAACGCCCTCGAAAGCGCCCGCGCACCTCTGGCAGCGCTACGCCCGCCGAACGTGAGGCACAGCGTCGACGCTATAATGAGCTATTGGCTAGCATCGTAGACTGAGATTTGAGTCGCGAATATCCCAATGAAAGCCTGTCACCCATTCGCCTGCGTCCTGTTCAATCCCCCAGTGTGGCATCGTAGAAATGGCCCGGATGAGCTCGTGGAGTGGGGGCCACCTGCAAGGAGCAGTGCCGATTGAACGTTGAAGGTTGAGGGTGGAACGTCGATCGTCGTCTCCTCATCTGATCTTCGATCTCTACATCCCCCTTTCTGCTTCGCAATCCGATGATCGTCGGCGTACACTTCCCGCCCAGCTGGCCCGCTCGCTCGCACGTCGTCGTCATCGTCACCGCTCGGCGGCGTTTCCTTATCTCGGGATCTGGTCTTCCTTTCGCTACGGATCGCGTACGAGTGCGGGTGAATGCGGGCGCGTGTGCGTCCTTACGTCCTTGAGTGCGTGCGACGTGCGTGCGTCATTACGAGAATAGCAGGTTGCGTCGTGTCATGTCGTGTCGTGGACTAGCTCGCATGTTGCATCTCACGCTCCACGCCTAATGCTCTCCACGCTCCGCTCTCGACCAAGTCATGCTCACGCTCACACTCAGCCTCGATTTACTCCCCGCGGCGCTTCGAAATCTGTTCTTGGCAGGCGTCAAAGTCGAGCGCTAGAGGAGGGGGCGGCGGCGACTGACGGGCGAATGATCACCTGCAGCAGCCTCGCAGCCAGCACCGCCCGCACCCTTCCGCTCTGTCCCCCTCTGCTCTTCGATCTCTGTCTCCCCGCCGCTCATCGCCATGAATTTCTGCGATGCCAAGAGCTCATCGGAGCGACCCTGCTTGCTCAACGTTCGTGCCGGTGTTTTATCTTTGTCTCTTCTGGCACTCTCCCACACAGTCGTCCCCTGGCAGCATTCAGTCGATTCTATTTCCTTTCACGGTGACCAACCCTTCGCCATCGACTGCGCACGTACCCTCTCTCTTGCTCAATGTCCGCTGAACCTGGGTACGCCATGGAAGCCACCCGCCCCCCTCCCCGAATCGCATCACACAAACTTCCGCGCCAGCCAACGAAGATAGCAGCCAGTGGCTCGCGGAAGGGCAGCAAGGCACAGCCATTACATGCCATTAATGCTCGTCCTCGTCTGGAGTTGCCTCCATCTCGCTCATCACGCAATTGTCTTGGCCGCGGCCCGCTGGCCCCTCATTGAATAGAGGTCGAGTAGACGGCACAGACCCCACGGTGGGAGGCGGTACGCGCCTCGCATCCCTCGCACGAATCCGCGTCGAATCGGATTGAGCAAACGAGGGCAACTCTGGCGGAGAGATGCGATGACAGGCACGCCACGCCAAGTTAATTGATCGAATGACTGAATCGATTAGGAGCCTGCGCCGTCCTGTCCCCATCTCCGCCTCTCCGCCCTCTCGAGTGACGTTGGAGGCTGGTGGCAATATCGAGCCCGCTCGCTCGCCCGCCCACGGCGGTGCCTGCGCTGTCTGCGCTGCCTCGCTGAATCGCCTTCGCGTCGCAACTTACTTCTTCTTGGCCCTCGCATCTACACAGAGTCACGGCCGAAGCATTCGCCAGATCGTGCTGCGATAGCACGGGTAGCCAAGCAAGCAAGGCTTTCACCCTCGCACTTTGATATGTGACGGCCCGCTCGTCACTGCCAAGCCAAGATGCACAACGGCGACAAATCGCGTTGAAGCGATGAAAGGAGACAAAGGGGTACGAGCCGGCGGCGATGAGCAGGAGCAAGACGGCGTATGGAAACTGTCAAGGGTAGCACATGCTGGTGCAGATCGAAGGAGCCAGATTTGGGTCTCATTACCTGACGAGGGTAGCATCGCCCCGTCTCGTCTCATCTCGTCTTGTCTTGTCTCGAGCTTGAGACTATCATCTGTTTCACTCAGCACTCCCTGTCAGCGCGTCCCTCCCTTCTCAACCTCCCCATCACTCCAAGCATACAGCAGCATCCCGCGATCCGCCGACGCCTCCCACTTCACTACACCAAAGTCGCTTCCTCGATTCATCCCACCAGGTCTCCTGACAGCTCAAGCAGACTTTTGTCAGCCGCCGTCGTCTTCAACGTGCTCAGCACTTGGCACCGAGGGCACCGAGACCACCAGCATCGATCACAGTCGGCTCCCTTAGCATCTCTTCATCAACTTCTCCTCCAATCGAATGGTCTCGTCCCCAAGCAAATCGTCATCGCCGCCAGCATCGCAGGCTATGGCTCCCGTCGAATCCTCGACGACAGCTCACGAAGACCAGCCCGCAGCAGCAGCATCCAAGCCAACCACCGAGACCACCGACGTTGAGGCAAGAGCTAGTCATGACGAGTCACGGTGCGAGACGTGTGGAGAGGACAAGATCAAAGGCTACAAGGACGTGCTGGAAGCCATCAAGTTGGTGGGCATCGACTGCTCCATCCTACCGTAGCAGACTGAGCATCAGCTGACGTATCCCTCTCATCTCCCCGCTGCCAGGCTTGGGTCAAGCAACGCCGCCACCTCTTTGTGTCGTGGATCCAAGTACCGGTGGGCTGCTGCTTCATCCTGGTCGTAGCATGGGCACTTAACCTTGCCATGGACGCTGCACCTTTCCGTAAGTAGGCGTAGCTGCCAAGCACGTCGACAGGAGCCGCTGATCATTCCACGCCTTTCCACACGCAGGCTTTCCCGGCCCCGTGCTCGGCACCATCGTCTTCTTTGCCCTACTCCTCTTCCTCGACTGGCTGAGCATCAAGTTCCCGGGCAAGCAGCCCGATGCTGACCCAGAGAAGGGATCTCAGCGTCCCCGCCAGCGTAAGCGTGAGTTAGCCTGCATCAGCACCCGATTGTGCTGGCTCCCGACCTGACCTCATCCTCCCTCATCCCCCTCACCCCGCAGGCTTCGTCGAGCCCGTGATGGCGCTGCTAGGACCCCCTTGCGACTTCCTACTCCGTAACATGTCCTGTCTCTTCACGCCCGCCTTCGTCCTCATCCCTGCCCGCGAGTCGATCCCAGGCAAGGAGATTGGGCTGCTAGTCGTGTGGTTCCTCGCCACGCAGGTCCTCGCCTACGTACTGCCCGTTTTCTTCGTACGAGCCGTCGAATGGGTCTGGGGAGCACCGAAGCGCACCCGTCAGCTGCGTCAACGCAAAGAGGAGCAGGAGAGGCGCAACTCGACAATTACTATGCCTGGCCTCGAGTGGGAGAAGCGCAGGTCCTACGGCGGAGGTGACCGACTCGGCCCTATTGCCACGGGCTTGAGCGGCCTCACCGCAGTCGTTGTTGCCCCAGTCAGCCACGTCAACATGGATCGTGATGAGAGCGAGCAAGATCAGTACCGCCACATCGCCGGGGTCGAGCTCGAAGTGGCCAGGCAGCAAGGTGATCCCTTCATGGCCACCTTCGACTCGCACAAGGGTTACCCTCGCTCGGACGTGAGCGCTTTCCTCCATCCGTCACCTCATGCGCATCTCCACCACCTTCATCATCATCACCGCAGCACCAGCGGGAGCCGTGTGCGATCCTCATCTGCGCCGAGGAGCTCCTCGAGAAGGCGACCAGCCTCTGCGGGCAGGGATCGACTCGGTACGGCAGGTAGCGACGCTCAGCGATCAGAGAGGCGAGGTAGGTCCGGCAGGCCGGGGTCAAGCCGTCCAGGTACTGCTCCTCAGGACGGACCCGTGCCGCCGCCACTGCTCCGCAACGCAGTCACCTTTGACGAGGGGTTTAGCTTCGGACGACGCCAAGGTCCAGGGCAGCTTTCAGACGGTGATCCCATGGCACGAGACGTTGCGCCGGAAGTAGCTCCGGATATTGCACCAGACGCGGGCCCATCTTCCCCTCCCCCCGCTGCCCTCATTGCACCTCGAGTTGCCTTCATGCCTCGACCCCTCGAGGCAGAGGATAGGGACGGTATCGAAGTCCTGCAGGACAACACCGCCGTGAACACCCGCCGCAACTCGCCCGACCTCGCCATTCCACCCACTGCCATCTTGACAAATAAGTCAGACGCCTCAGGCATGACCCTTAGCTCCAACGAGAAGGCCGGGCAGACCTCCACCGGAGAGCAGGTACTGCCTGCAGCTGCCAGTAAGAAAGTCAACGATGCCGATCAAGGTGCAAGCGACGACAATGATGAAGACGATGAAGACGAAGATGACGACGCCTCGTCCTCCTCCTCAACGTATGGCCCTGACGCTATCGAGCGCCTCGCCGACTGGATTGGCGACCTCATCACCCCAACGGCGTACTTCATTCTCTTCATCGTTGGTCTACCACTCTGGTTCCTCTACGACTTTGCCCTCGCGCTGCACTTGGCCATCAACATCCTGACCTTTTGGCTCGCCATCACGGTCGTGCCGGCGAAGATTCGTCGTTATGCGCATCCCATCCTCACGACGGCTATTGCAACTGGTGAGTAGCAGCCTGCTGCACTATCCGGCGGACACAGACTGACATCACATTCTTGACGCTCGCAGTCCTCCTCATCTGGGCCTTTGGCGAGATGCGAGGTCAATCCCTCAAGCAGACTCTCACTTACTACGACCGTGACGCCAAATTTGACGAGCTGTGGCGTCCCTCACCCCGCTACACCGGTCCTGTCCCTGGAGCAGCCGATGTCCTCTCCTCCCTCCTCGACGCCGGTATCGTGGCCCTCTTCGTGCCGCTGTACCGCTATCGCAAGGACCTCAAGGAGTGTGGCACGCGCATGTTCGTCGCACTCCTTCCCTGCGTGGGGCTCTCCCTCTTCTTCTGGCCCACAATTGCCGCCCTCATTGGACTGGACCAGAGTCGGGCTCTGGCGTTTGCAGCTCGCTTCCTCTCTACGCCTCTGGCTATTGAGTTGATCGAGACGCTCCGCGGTGACGAAAGCATGACGGTCATTCTCGTCGTCATCACAGGTATCGTGGCTGCTGTGCTCAAGGAGCCCTTTTTCAAGCTGATGCGAGTAGACATGGACGAGGACTACCTCATTGTGGGAGTGACTTTCGGCGCTACATCGGGCGCCATTGGAGCTAGCAGTCTCATTGCTAGGCCGAGGGTCATGGCTGTGGCCAGCTTGGCCTTCGTCATGTTCGGCGCCATGTGCCTCATCGCCGTGGCTATCCCACCCATCGTTGAGGCTGTGAGGACCCTGGCTAGTCTATAAAGAGACAATCGTAGCTTGGCCGACTTGTACATAGATAATGACCGATCACGATCGCCGCGAACATGCATTTAATTGTAGCCCCATTCATCATGATCCGCCAGAGCTTGCTGACCGAATGAAGAAGCTGGCGACTCAATCCCGTTCCTGATGTGGCGCAGCGAGGCAGAGGCGCGTGAGAGCACGAGAAGAGGTACCGAAGAGCTCATCATGATGGACGGCTATGATTGGTCTGTCCCTCGCTCGCTCAGCATGCTCAGCCATCGACAAACTCCCCAAATTTAGTCTTGAGCCACCGGCAAACGTCAACCTCGGTCACCAGATCTCGCCGTCTGACTCGAAATCCTCCGAGCCGGGTGGAGCCAGCCGAATTTTGGCTGCCTGCAGGCCAGGAACCTGATGCATAGAGTAGCGTTGAAAGTGAAAGTGGTGGTGTGACCTTGCGCTGGGATAAAGACGAGAAGAGCTCGCTATCAAGACGAGCAGCCTTGACTTCTCCTCACGCCATCTTCGGACCATCAGACTACCTCGTGCTCCGTCTGACGATTGGAGAGCAGACGATAGGAGCGCATCGCGCCATCCGCGTACCCCATTTACTCACCAACCTCACAACAGCATTCAACGGCAACAATGATCATCCATCACTCGCCCTACCCTGACCTTGCCATTCCCGCCGTTACTCTACCCACCTTCATCTTCCGCCCCCTCGACAATAGTCAAGATGAGCAAGTCCCAGGCAGCCAGTCTCGCCTCGACTCTCCGCTGTTAATGGCGGTCCCCCAAGATGAAAAGTACAATCCAAAACCCACAAGACCTAGAGCCTCCGCAGAGGGCGGTGCGCTCAGCTTGCGTCAAGCAAAAGAGAGAGCTGAGATGTGGGCGCTTGGGCTCAGGCAAGAGCTGGGATGGGGAGGTGGTGACGATGAGCAGGGACGAGGAAAGAGGAGAGAGGCGGCTGAGGAGGGAGAGGCGGAGAGGGTGTTGAGCGTTGTGAGCGAGAACCAGGTGAGCATGCATGCCGGGCTAGTAAGCAGGAAACTCCAAGCTGACGACCTACACTTGCTCGTGCAGCATGACTACGCCTGTGCAGTGCTAGGTGCCAACCTAGTTGGGGCGTGTGCTGCGTTGCACAATCCCTCTTACACTCCCTCGGAGCTGGCTCATCAGCTACGCCTTGTCAGCTCTTCTGCCATTCTGTGCTCGACGAAGGCGTACGAAAAGTGTCGTCAGGCAGCAGAGGAAGCGTCAAGTGAAGCAGGCGAGGGACTTGAAGCCTTGCCGTCAACACCGAAGATTTGGGTGTTCGAAGAGCCGCAGGATGAAGATGGAAGTGCGGCAGCCCCGTCGACGTCTAGTCGCCCCGCCTCCTGGTTCGAAGCAGGCTCTTTGGCCCTTTCGTCATCTACGTCTCCAAGCTCTCTGCTCTCCGGTCTGTGGACTTGGCACACTGCCCACGTCAGGCCAGGGGACGACGCCGTGTACTGCTTCTCATCGGGCACGTCTGGTAGGCCGAAAGCTGTGCGACTGTCTCATGGCAACCTGGTGGCCAACACAATCCAGGCGACTTGCTTAATGAGAGACAGGACGGAGAGCCCGCTCTTTGACAGGTGGCACAAGGGGGATAAGGAGGGTTGGTACAGCGGTCTACCTAGGGCCGCCAAGAAGCAGCAAGCAAGCAAGAGTACGACTGCTGGTAGCGGTGGATTACTCCGCAAGCTCAAATCGAAGCTCAATTTGAGCCGGTCCTCACCAGATAAGGGCACCTCCTCCCCCTCCACCACCTCTGGCTCCTCTGGTGGCATCTCCATCCCCAAACCCTCTCAAGAAATACACATCGACCTCCTCCCCCAGTTCCACTGCTACGGCCTCCTAGTCTCCCTCGTAGCCCTGCACACAGCCACTCCGCGGTACGTCTTGGGACGATTCTCCCTCCCAACCTTCCTGCACCTCGTCCAAGATCACAAGGTCACATTCGCCTTTGTTGTCCCACCCGTCCTCTTGGCGCTGGCAAGGTCGAAGGAGGTTGACGAGTACGACTTGTCGAGCCTGCGTAGGCTGGCATCGGGGGCAGCTTCTCTACCTGAGGGGCTGAGGCGGGAAGTCTGGGAGAAGCGCAAAGTGATGGTAACAGACGGATTTGGGATGAGTGAGATGAGCCCTATCGTCTGTTTGCAGACACTGGCCGACGTCTGTGAAGACATCCAAGGGGAGTCAGAGGAGGAGAAGACGCAGAGGCTCAACGGTGTAGGCAGGCTGGCACCTAGCACTCAAGCCCGGGTCATCGACGAAGAAGGCAATGACGTACCGGCCGGTAGCGGCAAGACGGGAGAGCTCCTCCTTCGTGGCCCTCAACGCATGACGGGCTACTTGCGCAACCCAGAGGCCAACGAATCCGCCTTCCATCGTGACGGCAGCGATGGTGGTCTGTGGTTAAAGACGGGCGACGTAGTTTCCCTCTCCCCGGCACCACACAGTTACCTCCGCATAACCGACAGGCAGAAAGACGTCATAAAGGTGAAAGGGTTCCAAGTCTCCCCCGCCGAACTCGAGGATCGCATCCTCTCCGACTCAACGGTGCACGACGTGGCCGTCGTTGGGCTCACAAAGCCCGGTGGGGATGGAGAAGAAGTCCCCTGGGCCTTTTGCGTGCCTGCCGAGGGGCAGAGCAAGGAAAAGGGCCAAGATGCGAAAGAGGTGGCTCAACGGGTGAACGAAAGTGGGAAATTGGCCAAGTACAAGTACCTCGGTGGAGCTACGTGGGTCAAGGACCTGCCAAAGAGCGATGCTGGAAAAGTGTTGAAGAGGCAGCTGAGAGATTGGGCTAAAGAGGAGGGGATCGATGGGCGGTGATGCTGAGAAGAAGTACTGCTGAGCGTTGAGTAATGGAGCCAAGATAATACAATACCAGAGTTCAAACGAGCACAGCGATTGGGAGCTTGCGCGGGAACGTGTGATTAGATTGAGCTGTCGATGATTCGTCGAGAAATCGAAAGGCTCTCGTAGCCTGACCTCCCTAAAGTCACAGTCGACGCAGGAAAGACTACACCGCGCTGCGACTCCGTAGAACGTTGCTTACCCGCTCTTGGGCATGGGCAGCCTGATCTGCCACTCCGGCTCAGCATCGCTCGTGACCGGATCAGCATCAACAAAGTGCGCCAGTAGAACAATGGACTGCCCACCGGCTCCCGCAGCAATCTGGTCGATCAGGCGCTGTCTCATCGGTGCCTCGTCCGCCCCTCCTTCTCCAGCAGCCCGAGGCACTCCTTCCATTACCTCATCGACCCACCTGCACCCTCGAGCCAGCGCAGCACGCTGAGCAGCCGGCAGGGCAAGGCCTCCTCCCTCGCTTGCATCGTCATCCGATGAGATCCCTGCAACAACTTGCACCTCAATCCCGTTGCCGGCGGTAGCTGCCACTCCCAGCTTAGCGACGCGCAGCATAGCCGTATCGAGCGTGAGGAGGTCGATTCGACTGAAGAGACCATTGGCCGGTGCGCCCACGTAGACGCGGATTGTGGCAGTGGGGCTTGACTGCTGCAGCCGCGAGATGACCGCACTTGACTTGTTCAGCGTGACGATCCTCGTGCGGAGAGCTTCCGCTGAGGTCCCTTCATTACCAGCCTTGGCCATGGGCGCATCAGAGGCTCTAGCCACGGCTTGAGCAGGGTTGAAGCTGGCGCCGTCCTCCGCACCACGAGGTGTCGCGGTGCCCTCTGCAATCGTTTGATGCGTAGCCCCAACTTCCATCTGAAAGGTCCGCACCGGCGCATCCTCCACCTGGCGACGCGCCGTAGACGGACGGGAAGACCCAGCTTGGGTAGCGGGCGGCGTGGCGGCGGTAGCATGAGCCGCAGCGACCGATGCGGCTTGAGCGAGGAAACCACCGTTGCCTCCCATGTGGGCCGCAGATATCTGCTGGGAGACCGGCGTGCGTGCAGAGAACTCCACATCCCCATCATAGGGCGAGGCGGTCCCTTCGTCACTGACATCATCGTCCGTGGTCGCAGCATCGTCGTCTGTGCTTTTTGCGCTGACCGAGCCAGTCTGGACCGAATGCGGGCTCCTCGGAGCAAGCGAGTCGTCCTCTGACATGAACCCGACTGCCCCGCCATCTCCATCCTCATCATCCGCGTCTCCTAGGTAATCGGAGTCTTGTCTGCTCATCCATGTAGGACCAATTGCGCCCCGCGCGCCAGCGACGGCGATTGGTGTTGTCATGGCTGATGAGGGATTTGGGTGCCGGGGCGGTGGGGGCAGGGAGTCAAGACGGAGCGAGGGATGCGGGCGAGAGTTGATAGTGGTCGATAGCTGGCCGAGAGTGAGCGAAGGGGCGCGTGCGTCGAGCGTTGAGCGAAATCCTACTTCCTCATTGTCGTCTTCTCCTGCAGCTTCGTCATCCCCGCCGTACATGCTTAGGTCGGTGGAGGAAGAGGAGGAGAGGGCGGCCGATGCTTGAGCTAATGTATGGGGGACACCACTGCTGCCTGGAGCTGAAGGATTGCCTCTGCGTGTACTGGTTGTTGAGGATGGCGGTAGTACGGCGTGAGGGGCAGCAAAGGACGCAGAGGAAGAGGACGGCCCGCCTACCGAGGGCGAGGAGAGAGACTCTGTGTTGGCTGCAGCCGATGAGCCTGATGAAGCCTTGCGCATTTGTCCTGCCTGCTGATGGGAGCCTTGTGTCTGGTAGGCATGCCCTCTTGAGTCCATCAGCACTCGATCCCTCGCCGTAGTGGGAAGCGTATTCATGACCTGTCCTGAGACATCCTGCGGCTTGCCTACTGCTGAGGAAGAGGAGCAGGACGAGGCCGACGAGGGCGAGGCGGAGAGGACAGTGTGTAGCGACGATGTGTGACTTGCACTAGGAAGCGATCGATTCTGCTGCTGGCGCTGATGGTGCATTGACGAGGCAGAGTCGCTGTGCTCGGAGAAGTTGTCGTTGTCCTCCTGCACGGGTGAGCCAAGTCAGCCATGCCAGCCTCAATACGCCCACATATTCTGCTCACCTCGCTGGCATCTCTTGAGCTGCCGCCGCCAAGGGCCATAGCCTCCTCATACTGATCCTGAAGCTGGCGCAACGGCCCTCCACCTTGGGCCTGGATAGTCCTACGAGGCTTGCTTCGATGGTGGTGATGATGATGGTGATGGCCATGATGCGAGGACGACGAAGCTGACTGAGCATAGTGATGACCACCGCCAATCTGGTGCTCACGAGGACGTGAGAGGGCCATGCTGACGAATGGATATCGAGGTGATGGAAACAAGGGTGGGAAAATGTCGAGCGACTGGATGCATTGCCAATTGAGCGGAGCAGCAGCAGCAGCAGCCCGCCCTCGACCCTCGAGACGAGACGCGCACGGACTCCGACTCTTGACCTCGACGATGGCTTGCTCCCCTTCGAGCACTGCCATGGCTGAGCGAATGACGAGGAGGCAAGGAGCAGGTATAGAGAATGAGTCCTTCTGAGGACGCATCAGACATAGCTGGAGATTCACAGCGGGCACAGGGTCATGAAGGTGCCACAGCAGACTAGGCAGCAGGGCGTTGACGGCCTGAGCACGCCAGGCCATGGTGATCAGCCATGCGCATTCCAAGAGGCCGCTGAGTAGGGACGTTCACGAGGCATGACGAGGGGCGAGGAACGTTCAGAGGCGTCATCGAAGAGAGCAGCAGCGGCAGCGACACGAGAATAAGAGGATGAGAACGTTCGGTGTCTCGAAGCTCGCTCTTGATGTGATTTGGGGGAACAGGCTACTGGTCACCAGCAGCAGAGGGAACAATCCCAGTCAAGCAGCCTTTCACAGATGCAGCAATGAGTGCTCGAGGAGACGACATGGTCGCAATACCGTGTCATTGATGTCCTAATGCTGTCGATGTCGTCGATTCGAAGCACTTCCTCTTAGTCTTTCTTCCTTCATTTCCCTGTCGCTCAGTTTTCCCTTGCCAATGCGACATCTCACGCCGAGCATTTACTGCTTCTGGTTGCCACTGTTACCACCAAGGTCGTTGATGGCAGCCTCAACGTCGTCGAGGTGGGAGCGCTGCTTGGCGAGGGTCTCGCGGACTACGGATGTGCGTCCGAACAGGATGGATGGATGGTAAGACGTCAGTCAACTGGCTCGCTCCATCGAAAGCTGTCTCGTCTCTTTGCAACTCACGCTTCTTGAGCTTCTCAGCCTCTGCCTCACGAATGTACTTTTGCTCCTCACCCTGCTCGCGCTGCTTGAAGCCCTTGCTGTTGGCCGTGGCTCCAGTGCCAGAGGACTCGGGACCAGTGGCGTAGCTGCGCATAGCAAGGGTAGGTGCGGAGCGGAGCGAGTTGCCGGTGCGGAGGGCAGTGTTGCGAAGGAGGGACATCTTGCTGATGAGTGCGATGGTAGTGAGTGAAAGGAGGTCAAAGAGGTCAGATTAACTGGGCTGCGAGATGCGCTCACTTCAGACAGCCTCAGCCTCAGGGTCAACTCCACCCAAGCACGGATCAAGCCGTCTCTCTGGCGGAGTGCGCGGCTCTCGAGATGCACTCGATTGGCTGGACGTCGCCATTGGGGGTGCCACGCGGCATCGGCTTGGCTCGGGGCGACGGATCGACGGCTGGCCTGGCCGGCCTCATGCCACGAGGAGGAGGAGGAGAGAACAGCACTTCCTTCTCGTCCTCACCACCACCACTCCTACCCGTACTCAATACACAATGGTCGCCTCTCTTGTCGCCAGGAGCTTCGTGAGTATAAAGAGCGTTGGTGCGCCGTCTACAGGAGCAGGAGCAAGCATCGAAGAGGACAGAGTCGCTCTGCACCTTCGACAGTGACGGACAATTTCGTTCTCAATCCCCTCATCGCTCCTCAACCAATCCAACTGACTCTTTTCACGCACCCAGACCCGCTCCGCAACCATGACCGCCTCTCGCGGCTTCGCTACCTCCGCCGTCGCTGGTCGCGACCTCGTCCAGGAGGCCTACCTGCGCGAGCTCAAGGCTTACAAGCCCCCTGCCAAGGTAGGTTCCCCAATCCACCGCCAGGCTCTGTCTCTCCTCTCCACTACAAATCACTGACACTTTCCCTCTCCTGCTTTCTCTCAACCGCTCAACAGTCCGCCGACGCTCACAAGGGCCAAGTTCGTGACTTCCACGCCCCCTCTCCCCCCAAGGCTCCCGAGGCCCCTTCTTCCTCTTCCCTCTCTTCCCAGCTCGAGGCTTACGCCTCCAGCGAGCCGGACCACGCTGATGCTCCCGCTGCCTCCTCGTCTTCGGAGAGCAGCAGCGCTGCCGCGGGTGGATCGGCCTTCCTTGAGGAGGCGAGGGCGGACTACCCTAAAGAGGAGGCGCACCACTAAGCGTTGGCGTTGGATGGGAAAGGTAGACTTGGGGAGGAAGAGATGGTGGAAGAGCTGTCGCTCTGGTACGGCGGGATATGTAGAAGCGCGAAGGAGCGCGCAACACCCAGAGAATCACCAGATACGATTCAGCACCTTCATGCCGATGGGCGCCTTCCGCAACCCACACAGCGTGAGCGAACCGCGGGCGAGCACAGACGTCGAATGGGTGACACTCGATGAGTATTGATGAATGTAGAAAGAGTACAATGCTCGCCGCACCTTTCTCCTTTCCCCGCCTCGGTCCTTCCCGTCCATATGCCTGTCCTGCCCTCACACCGCATCCTCCAGTACCAACCTCGGGCATATGTCCATAGCCAGCAGCTCCTGAAAGAGCAACTTCGTAGCGTATGGCAGCTGAATCTTTCTGATCCCCCTCGTCGACTTGCACGTAGGGCAGTACCCATTATACCCTAGCAAGCCGCATTTCTCGCACACATTGACATCAAAGGCATCTGAGCTGATCATCAACCTCTCGAGGAGAAGTTGCGTGGCTCCATAGCCAATGAGACAGTCACGCTCCATCTCTCCCAGTCGCAACCCACCGTCTCTTGAGCGACCCTCTGTAGGTTGACGAGTGAGCACGGCGCGAGGCCCACGGGCACGGGCGTGCATCTTGTCCAGGACCATGTGCTTCAACTTCTGGTAATAGATCGGCCCCGTGTAGACGTAGCACTCGAGCGGCTCCCCCGTAATGCCGCTAGTCAAGAAATCCTTCCCACCATAGCTGTACCCCGCTTCGATGAGGAGTCGGCTCATGTCCTCCACCTTGCTGCCACCGAAGGCAGTCCCATACTGCAGTGAGCCGGAGATGACACCAGCTTTTCCCGCGAGGAGCTCAATCATCTTTCCTACCGTCATACGGGAGGGGAATCCGTGCGGGTTCATGATGATGTCAGGGTTGATCCCCTGATCGGTAAATGGCATGTCCTCCTGCTGAGCGATCAATCCGCACACACCCTTTTGCCCGTGACGTGACGAGAACTTATCTCCCAGCTCAGGACGACGCGTCTGGCGAAGGAGGGTCTTGATGATCGTCTGGTCCGAATCAGTGTCGGCAAGGAGGATCTGATCGATGTACGAGGGGACTGGCAGCTTGTACTTGGAGGGAGCGTTCTTGTATGCATTCGCTGACGAGAGTCCCCCGGCTGAAGAAGAGGACTGGCCGGCCATGGCGCTGTTGTCGAGGGCATTGAGGGGGGTCTGCTTGTTCACGTAGACGTCGCCATTGTCCACTCGCTCCCCCACTGCGGCGATCCCGTCTCGCTCGAGGACGTCGTATCCTCTCAGGCGGCCACCGCCATTCGGGTCCTCTGGCGCATCAGCGAGACGATCGAATGTGCCGTTGGGATATTTGCGCAGCTGCACGGTGCTCTTCTTCATGACCTGACATCTACCGAACCCTCTGTCCAGCGACGCCTTGTTGAGGACGAGAGCGTCCTCGATATCGTATCCACTGTAGGACATGACGGCTACCATTGCATTCTGCCCCGCAGGGAGCTGCTCGTATCCCACAAGTTCGATGGTCTTGGTCTTGACCATGGGACGTTGCGGGTAGACCATGAGATAGAGCAACGTGTCGATTCGATTGAGCTGATTGTACGCAATGGCGCCGATAGCTTGCTTGCCCATGGCGCATTGATACGTGTTGCGGGGGGATTGATTGTGGTGCGGGTACGGGATGAGCCCCGCAACGGCGCCCAGCAGGGTAAATGGCTCGATCTCGAGATGCGTCGTAGCAGCGCTGATGTCCCGCTCGTAGAGGGCGATATGGGAGTCATTCTCCTCATTGACGTCGAGATACTCGATGATTCCCTCGGTGAGGAAGTCGTCGAAGCTCTTCTTCCCCGCCTTGAGGTCATTGATGTGCGCGGTGGTCACCTTGGGCTCTCCGTCCTCTACGATGATCATTGGGCGACAAATGCGCCCTCCGTCCGAGGCAATGTGAACGTGCTGATGGTGAGTATTGGTATAAATGGAGACGAACTCTGAGATGCGGCCGTGCCTACGGAGCTTGCGGAAAGATGTGACGAAGCGAACAGGGAAGCGGGTGAGGCCAAGCACGCTACCGTTTAGCATGACGATGTACGAGTCTGGGCGGTAGAGCTCCGCGCCCGTAATGAGGTTGATGTCCTCCACTCCCAGCATGAAAGCCGCACGGCGGATAGCGTCTTCGCCGATGTCGGTGGTGATGTGCGTCATGAGGGCCAAATTCTTGACGAGACCGCAAGCTTCTCCCTCGGGCGTGTCGGAGGGGCAAAGCATTCCCCACTGGGAAGGCTGGAGCGCTCGAGGGCCAGAGACTTTGCGCGTCTTTTCGAATTGGGAGCTGATACGCGTCATCATGCCCAAGGCGGCGATGAAAGACAGACGACTGAGGACGTGGGTGATACCGGCACGCTCCATCTTGAAGCGCTTGAGTGACCAGTTGCCGGTCGAGATGGCGCGCGTGAAGCCCGAGGTGATGTGGTCGCCGTGCATCGAGATTGAGTTGTATGCGTCGAACTCGGTGGTGCGATTGGGCTTCTTCAAGATCTTGTCGATGCTCATTTTCAGGTCCGAGTTGAACTTCTTGAACAAGTCCTCAAAGAGGAGAGAGAGGAGCTGCCCCGCGAGCTCGAGTCGCTTATTCCCCACGTAGTCTCGGTCATCGACCATGCTCTCGTCTTGCATGCACATGAGCACACGCCTGACCATTACGGCTACGTAGATTGCCTTGGGGCGGAAATTGAGGTCTTTAACTTCGACGTGGGCCATTACGAGGTTGGCAAGGGCCTCAATAGCTTCCTCTGCAACTGGGCGTCTCGCCTGCATCGGCCTCCTCATGACCTTGACGCGCTGCCCGACATAGTTGAGGGCCTGCTGGCGAGTGAAGATGTTGAGGCGGGCGGCTTCTTCAAGATTGATGGCGAAGAGTTCCTTGTGCGCTTCGTCGTTGCCGGCGACGAGTTGCAGGATCTCACGATCTGACTGGATGCCCATAGCCTTGAAGGCAACGGCGATGGGAATGTCCTCGTGGAAGGAGTTGTGCTTTAGATAGATCTTCGAATGCTTTGTGAGAACGTACGACTTGGACTTTCGCTCGTGCGTGGACGACGTGACCGAGGCTTGGACGACGTTCTTCTTGCTATCTGCCTCGACGATGATACGATTCTTGCTGAGCTGTTCCTGGACGAGGATGACCTTCTCCGTTCCCTTGACGACGAAGTAGCCTCCCGGGTCCAGCGGACACTCATTCATCTTTGCTAGGCCGGCATGACTCTGGTTGCTGAGATGACACTTGTTGGACCTGAGCATGATTGGCATCTTGCCGATGCAGACGTTTCTTCTTCGCACGAGCTTCTGGCCGCGAACGTACTCGATGTTGACGAAGATGCCAGCCGAGTAGGTGAGATCTCGTAGTCTGCACTCGTGAGGGTAGATGGTATTGTTGGTAGCCTCGGTATCGTCTCTCTCTGGAAGACCGACGCGAATGTCTGTGTACTTGAGGAAGAAGCGCGGGTCGATGTCTGATGTGACCTTTTCATTGGCCTTGATGATGTTCTTGAGGTCGACGTCGACGAAGTAGTTGAATGAGTCAATATGCTGCTTGACCAAGCCTTTTACTTTGAGAAAGGCTGGTAGTAATTCCCATTTGTCTTGCACGGTGTGTACTGGCGCTGAGAGGCTCTTTCCCGTGAGCTGAGCTGCTTGGACGATGCGTAGGATCTCATCGTTGGTCTCGTGGCCCGTCGTCTTTGCTCCTGCTTTGGCGGCGAGATCGTGGAGCGATGTGGGTGCGTGTCCTCGTCCGTTGTCATCATCGTCATCGTCACCATCTTCATCGCTCGGGGTCATTGTTCGGCTGCTGCTGCCCTTTGTGGGAACGGGCACGTCTTCCCATCCCTCTCCTGGCTCGTAGTCGGCGAGCATGGCGTCGTAGGGGATTGAAGATGGCCCAGCGTGTGGCGGCTCTTGCGAGTCAGCTCTACGCCTGACATTGCCTCTGCTTGCCATTGTGCCATTCGGTCCAGCCATGGCGGCGAGAGGGTAGAGGAGGAGGAGGAGGAGGAGGTGAAAGAGTGGCGGGAAGAGATTGGTGAAGTTAGTCGACGAGAGTAGCACTTCAAAATCGCCGCTTCGCACACGAGACGACGGATGGGCGGACAGAGACGACGACGACCCACGGACTCGACTGCCGCGCGGCTCAAGTTCAAGTCGCATCGAGGCGGCGGGCAGCCAGGCGGGCGGGCAGGCGTGCGGGCGGGCCAGCCATGAGATGAGAGCAACTTGCGATCCTCTCGACCCATCAAACCTCCACGGAACATACGACATCAACCAGCTCATCGCTCACCATGTCGCAGTCTGTGGGCCCGGACACCGAGTGCGTGGCGCCAGATTCGACGTGTAAAGCAGCTGCTACGATGATCATGACTGACACATCCTCGCTCGCCCCTCACTCACGCAGCCTCAAGACATTGACCGACCATCAAAAGATGGAGCTGGCTCAGAAGGTCAAGGACGATGCGCTTGCTAATCAGCCCCTCATCGGATCACTTGAGCCCATTGACGTCCTCGAGAAGGAGTACGCGGGGGGACAGGGGGTCGACGGCTTCGTTGCCAAAGCAAAGTGGCTGAGGGATGTCGGCGGCTTCTCAGGTGAGCGACGAGCGACGAGCGACGAGCGACAGGGGGGACTCGACGATGTATGCGACCTGCTCACCCCCTCCTCTCGCCGTATGTCCCCAGGCCTCCGACGTACTCGTGGTGATGGAGACTGCTTCTATCGATCCTTCGCCTTTGCCTTTATTCAGCGATTGCTCCACTTCAACGACCGTGAGCGCAATGCAACCTCGCTTTGACGTCGCAATGGCAAGCTGACCTCATGTCCACCATCGCCACGCACCAGGTCCCATGCACCACTTCATCATGAAGCACATTGAGGACACCAAGAGCCTCCTCAAGCAGGCCGGCTTCGATGAGACCGTATAGTGAGCCTTGAGTCCCCTCCGATCATATCACATTTCCGCCACTCACATCGAGCTGCTCCTCCTCCTCCTCGCCCTCACAGCCTCGACTTCTACGGCCCCTTCCATGACCTCCTCGTGCGCATGCACACCACAGATCCGCACGTATCAGAGCTCAACGACGCCGACCTTCAGCGGGCATTCAATGACCCAGAGACCTCCAACTCTATTGTCGTCTATTTGCGTCTCCTCACCTCCGCCTTCCTCAAGCTCAATGAGGATGACTTCCTCCCCTTCCTCTTCACCCTCGAGGACGACTCGGCTGCCGTATTCGAGGGCAAGCCGCCCAACATGGCCACCTTCTGCGCGAATCACGTTGAAGCGATTGGAAAGGAGGCGGACCACGTTCAGATTGCAGCCCTCAGCCGCTGCCTCAAAGTGTCGTTGGACGTGGCTTACCTCTCACAGAATGGCGCTCCACCAGAGACGCCCCTGGCAGAAGAGTTTGAGGAGTTGCACAGCGCCGAGGGAGCGGCAGCATCAAATAGCGGCTCAGCCTCTATCTCAGCCTCGGGTGGCCTCGAGGTGCCAGGCAGCGAAGCGGCCCAGATGAGGAGAGCGAGGGACGACCCGTCCAAGTGCGATATTGTCCACTTTGAGATTCCGGGGGCCGTCGCTCACATTGATATTGGGACGCTACTGTTCAGGCCGGGACACTACGATGTGCTGGTCAGTGCTCCTCCGCCAGCGAGCCCGGAGGTGGTCATTCCCAGGGCGGGGCAGCAGGGGAAGCAATGAGGCGCGGGTGGCGAGGCGCGTGGGACGAGGGGTCGACGCGTCGAAGGTTTGAGGTATGGAAAGCAGTCATAGGCGTGCGGCTACCCAAGGAGCAGGTGCTCGCGCGTCCAGGGAGGGGTGAGGGCCAGCAATGGCGGGAGCAGAGGGGCAGCTCTGAGAGCACGGCAGTCACGTTGTCAAGCGGCGGAGAGCCGCAGTGCGCCCACCTCTAGTACCCTCCTTCAGCTAGACACGACCCCTCTTGAATACGACTACTGAATTCGCGAGCTGTGAATGCAGGGCAAGTGTGAGCGCATGGTGAAGCGCCGGGCTTGCGGTCGCAAAATGCAAGCTGTTTATGTAATAACAGTTTGATTCCATTGCCAGATTGCACCTATGGCTCAGTGGTTAGCGCGTGGAGCTGTTATTTCTAGGCAGATCACTCCAAGGTCCCTGGTTCGAAACCAGGTAGGTGCGCTCTTTTTGCCCGCACTCACGTTGGCCGGTCGATCATCGTCGGCTGTTCTTTTGCGGCAAACCGACAGCGAATCATGAAGAGCCTGCGGTGGTGCGGCAGATTTGAGAACATCAATGGCATGGCAACGGGAGCGGCGGTTGCGAATGGCCCACGCAGGGCTGGCAGAGCGCTCTGGCATGTCTGGGCCCGTCTGGCGGCGGACGACGTCTCGGGCTACTGAGCGGGAAGGAGATGGCAATTTCGATAATAGAGGGAGGTGCTTTGGCAGAGGAATCGCTATGAGTAGGCAGCGCTTGTGTAGACGTGGACTAGCAGTACAGAGTGTAGATGAGTGGGCGAGATGGCGCAGTCTTGCTGCTTCTCATTTAGGCTGTGTCCACCTCTCCCTCCTATTCTTCCTCATCGTCGTCCTCTTTCTCATCGTCGCCGCGACGAGCCGCTTTACCATTCAGGTGCGGCCGTGATTGAACGATCGTGTCATCGCCCTCTTCATTATCTCCCTCATCCCCGTTCGCACGCGCGGTCACCTCCCTCTCGCGCTGCTCCTGTCTAAATTGCTTCTGAGCCCACTCAGCCGTATACTCGGCCACGGGCGGCTCCTCTTGCTCATCGGCTGTGTCGCCTTCTGGCCGCTGCTGACTGGCTTGCTTGCCCTGCGCCAGCGCATCGCCCTCGTCTTCGTCGACCTCGGCGATGGAGGAACCAGAAGCCCCACTGACGCTTCGATAGTCATCGATGCTCGCGCTGGCTAGGCTCTCCGTCGGGATCCCCTCATCGTCGTCGTCATCTACATCGCGCAAAGCAGGCGCGGGCGTCGGCCCCAGAGTACGTCGCGGTGGAAGAGACTTGGAGCGATTCGCCCCGTCAGAGAAGGAGCGTGAGGCTCGCTTTTGAGCTGCCGTGGCTGATGGGCTCGTGGCGGAGGGTGAGGTGGGGCTGAGTGCACTTGGAGCTGTAGGTTGAGGAGAGACGCGCTGTGGAGCGTCAATCGTAGCATTGCGAGGCGTCTGTTGCTGTGCAATCCCCGACGTCTCCGCCTTGGCCGGACTGCTCTGCTGCCCTGCAGATGTTTGCCTGCGATGCCCATGATGATGCGGGTGGGGATGAAGCCGGAAGCGCTCGCTTCCGAAGACGATCTCGGATCCAAAGGCCCACGCTTCCCCAACGTCGTCGTTAGCCCGTTCCTCGCCGTCCCCGTCCTCGCTACCCGGCACGACGGAGCGCGGTGGGACCGTGGGATGGAGATTGGGGGATGTGCGGGCCGAGGCGTGTTGAGGCAGGGGTTGGCCGTGCGGTGGATTCCCAGCGGTACGCCTCTTGGAGGGCGAGGAGGAACGACGCTTGTGTTGAGGGGCGGGAGGTGAGAGAGGAGGCTGCGTGGTCGTCTGCGGCGAAACTCGGCGAGCTGCCTCTTCTTTGCCGGAGGACGAGCTCTTCTTGCTTGCAGCCTTTTCCGCCTCGCCACCAGCTCGTTGCGTAGGCTGCTGAGCCTCGATGCCCGCGCCAGTCGCTGTTGTGCCCGTACTCGTGCTTGACTCGCCATCGTCGCTGCCACCCACAGAGCCAGACGAAGGCACAGTGGACCCTCGTCTTGATGCGCCTGCAGAGCTGCCGCTCGCCTGACGTGTCTGGCCGCCTTTCACCGAACCTTGCTCCTCACCTTCCTCTTCAGCCTCACTGGATGCAGACCCCAAGCTCTGCTGGTGTCGCAGCGAGGAAGCACCCTTTGTGGATGAGGCTGAGTTCGGCACCGCCCCGCCAGCGGCTAGTGCTTGCATCGCCGCCGTAGCATCCTGACCTTTGTGAATGGGCTTCGGGCTCAGACCACCCTGTTGTGACAGTGGCGCAAGCATGGCCTGACTCGGGTAAGCCATCTGGCTTCTCTGTCGGCCCAAACCCCTCGCCATCTCCTCAAACGCGAAGCTGCCCCCATGACCACTGGGCTGCACATGATGACTTGTCCGCCTAGGTGGCAAGGAATCATAGTAGAGCTCACGCATCGTCCTCGCGTCGACGTAGTAGGGCGGGTGATTGCCGTTGGGCATGTATCGATGGCGCGTGGGCGGGGTGTCGGGTGCGCGCGCTACCACGTCTTCACGCTCCTCGCAGAGTTCGGCCAATTGCGTGGAAACTCGTTGGCCGCGATTTTGCAGAATGCGAGTCGCACGCATGAACTCGCCGCGGATCGTGTAGAGGCCATCCTTTGTGACTGTACGAGAGACGTTGTAGCCTAGTTGGAAGGGGTCTTCGATGCAGAGCTACGAGCGCGAAGCGGGAAGGGGGGAGACATCCAGTCAGCGCTCGGCGCGCTGCTACTTATCCCCTTGTATTCTCGGCGCCTGCTACATACCTCTGCGCTCCACACGCCTCCATCCTTCGGGATGAGCCCACCCTCCGTCCTCAAACTGATCACATCGCGCGAGTACACGAATTCCTTGGCAAAGTATCTGAAGAAGTCGATGAGCAGCTCCGCCACATTCTCGTTGCTCTGACTCTGCCACTCCTTCCTCAGCGTAGCCATATCGTCGTAGAAGTAGATGTTGTGGCCGTTGAGTTCCACCTCCTCCGTGCTGAGCGGCTTAGTGGGCGGAATGCGCTGCAGATTCGGTAGAATGGCTGGCCTTTTGACGTGGCACAGGAAGAAAAGGACAAGGAGCGTGTATCCGTACGAGGAAAGGGTGCCCATGAAGGGGGTGTTGAGCTTGCGACGCTTAGTCCAGACCTTGAGGAAGAGGACGAGCGTGCGCAATCGCGGCGGATCGACCATGGCGTAGCTGAGGAGTAGGCGCGTATTCTCCAGCGCGAGCCGGTTCTCAAAGCCAATGTCGCACGAAATCTCGTAGGGGAACTCACTGCTTGAGGCGCGAGAGAGCTTGATGATGGGGATGCGGGCTTTGGGGAGGGGCAAGACCTTGTAGTCTGTCTCTGAGCGTATGACTTCGGCAAGGCGTTCCACGAGCTCAGAAGCTGACAACGCTTGTCGTGCTTCTTGAGCGGCCTCGCTGGAATCTTTGCCCGCGATGAGGCAGCACAAATCCATGTCTGCGGGGGCGCGTGGGAGTTAGTCAATGACCTGGCCCTCGATGTTTCATGCACGCTCGCTGCTCACCTGAATTCCGCAGCGCGAAGCCATTCGCCATGCTCCCGAATGCGAGTAGCTTCGCCCCTGGGCTGACCTTCCCTGTCAATCTCTCCAGTTGCCGTCTCGTTGCTTCCTTCATACGATACTCCTCCTCGGTGGGTAGCATCGGGCTCAAAAAGGCGATGATGCAGTTGGTGAGCTCGGCCGTGTAGCGCTCGTATGAGATGGCAGGCTGCTGTTGCTGCTGCTGTTGGTGATGGCCATGCTGATGATGCTGCGCTTGGTTATGGTGGGAGAGCATCGAGGGTGGCAAGGTGCCATTGGCAACCTGCTGAGCAATTTGAGCGCGCAGCTGCGGATTGTCCCTCAGTCTCGTAGATGAGGATGAAGCGCCGCTGTTGCCATACCCTTGAGTTCCACCTTCTCTACCAGTCGCGCCCGCACCGGTCGTCGAGGACGCAGGCATGGCCGACCTCGATCTCCCAGACTGAGCGTAGTGAATACTACCAGGCAGTGAAGCTGCCCGACCAGGATATGGAGCCGAGAGGACCGGGACACCACTGCCGCCGCTGCCGTTGCCGCTGGCACCGCCGCCTGTTGCTCCCTCGTCGACATGGGTCCGCCCGTCAATCGGCCCCGGTTGAGTCCATTCGCCGCCCGTCGTCGTGAGATTGGTAGTGGTGTTGGAGGAGTTGCCATTGAATGCGGCAGGAGAGTAAGGCATAGCATTAGGCGACGGAACGAAGCTCTGAGTGGGTGAAGTACTGGATGAAGGGACGCCCAGCGTGGTGGCGGCAGCCTGAAGCTGAGCAGCGGCAGCAGCAGCGGCTGCGGCGGCCGTATGCTGGTGGTGATGAGGTTGGTATGCATATATGCTAGAGTCGTAGGTGCTGTGGTCGTGCATCGGACGAGCGGCCACGAATGCTGGTTGTGATGGGGGCGAGGTCGCGATGCTGCCACCCATTGTGGATCGGCGGGATGAAGAAGATGAAGATGAGGCGGCTGCTTGTCCTGCCCCTCTCTCGTCAAAGGACTCTCTGCGCGCAGGCGAAGCCCTTGATACGTTTGGGCCAGATGCCAGCGGGGTATTGAGCATTTGACTACTCGTCAGAGCCGCGGACTGAGGTTGTGACACAACGGGCGACGCCGGGAGATGTGTTGGCGGTCGAGCAGATTGCTGTGCTGCGGGAAGGGGCGACTTCTTGGTGCTGCTGCTGGTGGCGCCGCCGCCGCCGCTGCTGCTGCTGACGCTCGAGCTCCTCTTAGACGTCGACTTGGAAGATCTCTGATCGGTGCTCATGATACCTTAGAATCGCACTTCTTTTCTTTCTCGCACTCCTCAGTGGCGGCGTCTCTGCTGCGCTTTCTCTCTGTGCCTCTACGTCGGAAAGATGGCCAACCGACGGAGGATTCAGATGCAGGTAGAAAGGTCTGATGTGGTCCGGGCTATGAGGGCATGAGGAGAGGGGTAGCAAAGGAAAAGGAGGAGCGGCTGGTGGCGTTGAGCTGTCTGTGATGCTGAGATCGACGATCGTGGCCCCTCTCGTCGATTGATGAGGAGGATGGTTTAGAGTGAAGGCGGCTGGCACACATCTCTCGCTGTGCCCTTGCCGCCGTCCGAGCAACACTTGGACTGACTTTCTGGCCGGACGGCCGTCGACGAGATCGACGCGAGCGGGACGGAGCGAGCGGGCGGGCGGGGGCCAGGCGAATACGCGCGCCTCTTTACGGTGGGCTACCGAGTCGAGTGCGAAAGATCGAGCTGATGAGCATATCATCTTCGAGTCGAGGGTGGGCAGCGGCGATTCAAGACAGCTCAATCGAAGATCATCAGGATGCTGCGTTCGTCGCGCGTCATTACAGCGACTCGCAACCTCTGGCCCGCTTTGCGGCCATTGCTAAGCAGCGTCGAGGCGCCCGAGATGAGGATGCACGAGAAGTTTGCGCTGCAGCTCGAATATGGATTCGGCCAACATGAGACTCATCCTGACACTCATCGACTTTGCGCTTCAGCATTACGCAGCTGGCCTGACTGCGGATTCCCTCGACGCCGCTCTACTTCGGCTCCCTTAACCGCTGGTCACGAGCAAACAGTGTCAGGTGAAGGTGTACATTGGCATCAATTCAGTTGCCAAAAGGCCATATACGAAGTATAGACAGAGCTCGCAGCTACTCCGTCTTAAGCCTCAACAGCGGCAACGGGGGCAGCGGTGGCCTTCTTTCCACGGGCCTTCCTGGCGTAGGGGGCCTTGCGGGATCGCTGGCTGCGCATGATCATCGAGGCGCGGGCGACGGCAGCCTAGCGAGCACGGAGGAGAGGATTGAAAGGGTCGACAGGTCAGTACGGTATTCGTCGCTAGTGAGCAAGATTGCACAAAGCCTGTCTCCATGTCCATCCATCTCCCTGCACGCTCTCTCCTATGTTGACCTGCCGACGAGATGTTTCCCATCACCCTTCGCCGAATAGGCTTCCATCCTTATTCGCACAGCACCGATCTGCCTTTGCAGGCAGAGAGGCGGAAGGGGGACGGGGTGACGAGAAGGCAAGCCAGACTGGCTGGACATGATCTCCTCGCCAACGTCTTTCTAGCACCGCTAATACGCCCAGCCCCTCATCGGGTGTTTAGGCCAGTCCAGGTGGGTTCTAGCGCAGTGCAATCTCCACCATTCCCAAGCAGCTCCCTTCGGTGCCTCGCTCTGCGTGTCTTGCCTCTCTAGTGTGTCCTGTGATGGCTTCCTCTTTCCTCGCCCGAGTACCTCCCCCACCTCCAAACCGCTTCGATCTCTGCGTAGGCTCTCCACGGCAACTCACCTTCCTCAGATCAGGCCTGTAGCCGTTCTTGGCGACGATGTTGGCGACCTTGCCAGCCGCGCGACGGGAGCCACCCTTCTTGACGACGTACTCGGAGCGGGTGTTGGCGACCTGGTTGGGGGCAGACTTGGTCTTGCGGGTCGAGACGACGACACCACGGCCCTTGGGGGCGGCCTCGATGCCGACGGACTTGTCGTTGACGATGCCAGAGTACTGTGTGCGACAATAAAGGAGGCAAAATGAGGTTAGGGGATGGCTGCTCATTGAGGTGTGCCTTGTTGGTGGGAGCGGGTGCTACGCACAGTGTACGAGTGAATGGCAGCAAGGTTGTTAGGCTCGCGAGAGAAGACCTTGCCGAGGCCCTTCTGCTTAACGATGAAGGAGCTGCTCTGGCGGGTGAGGAGCCATTGAAGGTCCTGAGAGTGGGCAGAAGCGGATGCGACCATTTTTGATTGAGGATTTGACGAGGTTGGAGGGGATTGGGTGATGGTAGTGAAGACGCTGGGCCGAATCCTTCTCAGCGCAGCCCGCTCACCGCGCAGTCCAAGCAGGCCGCTCGCTCGATGACTTTGCTCCTCTGCTTGGCCTCGACTTGTGGGCCTGCCCGCTCGCCCGCCTCGCTCGCGTGGCTTCCAGGCCCGTGCCTAAAGTGAGCGGGCTGAGTAGAGCCGGGCGGGCTGCGTCAGTCGGGCGTGGCGTTGCCAGTCGAGGTGGAGCGGTTCAGTCGGCTCAGTCGCAGCCGCATCTTACCATCCATCTTCATCCTCATCACCGACAAAACCAATCAAGCTATCAAGCTATTATGACAGCTCTCCGCCCCTCCATGGCGGCACTGAGCCGCTCAATGCTGCGTAGTGGCATGAGCAAGCAAGTGCCTCGAGCATCAACCATTCTCCCCCTTCGCCCACCAGTCCTCGGCCAGCTGCGTGGCGTAAGGACAAGTCCCTTTGGACGAGGCAACAACAACAACGGTAGCAGCTCTGGTCTCGGCGCAGGAGGGTCAGGGTCTCAAGCAGTTGGCGCTCAAACAGCGCCAGTGCCTTCCTTCTCCTTCCCTCACGAGGCTCCCTCCGCCGACGCCCCTCGCTCCTTCTCGGCGCCCGGTGGCTGGACTCGAGCTCTGACTTCGTTGGGTATCATCGGTGGTACGGCTCTCGCAGCCAATGCCTTTTTGAACCGTGAGACGCGCGATGGGCCCATGGACGCCTTCTCTCGGGAATACCTCAACAGCACCTTTAAGTACCTCGCCGGTGGACTGACTATGACCGCCGGAGCCGCAGTGGCGCTGCATCGTATTGGCTTCTCGTACCGTCTCATGTCAGCCAACCCGTGGCTCGTCCTTGGTCTGGGTCTCGCCACCTCCATCGGCGGAATGATCGGGGCACAGACTCTCGAGCCTGGATCTCCAGGGAAGCTGCTCAGCTGGGCTGTCTTCAACGCCTCGCAGGCCGCAGTGCTTAGCCCACTGCTCTTCTTTAGCCCCGCACTTCTCGCTCGCGCTGGTCTGTACACCGCAGGCATCGTCGGCTCAATCTGCTACGTAGGCGCAACGGCCAAGGACGGGCAGTACCTGTGGATGGGCGGCCCCCTCCTTGCTGGTGTGACAGTCGTCGCGCTCAGCTCCCTCGCTCCCATGATCCTCCCCGCAACAGCCTTCCGCACTCTCGTCGCCACTGAGGCCATCTCCCTCTACGGTGGTCTCGCGGTGTTCAGCGGCTTTGTTTTGTGGGACACGCAGAAGATCTTGGCCCACGCAAAGGCAGCTCAGGCTGGGTATGTCAGGGCTGACCCTCTCCGCGAGTCGATTGGCCTCGAGCTGGATGTGATCAACATCTTTGTCAGGATGGTGCAGATTTTGGCAATGCAGCAGAACGGCGGCAAGAAGAAATAGGCTGGCAGTGAGCTAAGCCAAGCTGCGGTCGTCGTGCGAGTACCATGTCACATCTCTGTAATTCTGTTCAAACTATCAATGGTATCACCACCTCTCACCGTACCCCGCCTCGCCGCCATGTCACTCGCCCTCTCCCCCTCTTGCGACGGTCCCGCACGCAAAGCCTGTCGCGAAGCCCACGCTGGCCTCGACGATCTGCTTGACCGCGTCAACCTCCGCCCCGTCCCTCGCAGGGTAGATCATCAAGTACGTAGGCGGCAACTTTTGCAGCCCTCTCGACCCACCACCCCTATTCGTCAGCACAGGAGGGTATGCACGACCCCACCTCCTCGCCTGAGCTTCGCCACTGAACAAGGTTCCCACAATCGGAAGCCTAGCTAGATCGAGCAGCACTGTCGGTGGCCACCAGAAACCCTTCTTCCCAAAGCCAGCCAGCGGATGCAGCTCCCCCCAACCTGCCTTGATCACCTCGTGCGCATCAGCGGGCGAGAGGAGGCAATGCAAACTTCCCTCATCCACGCTCTCCTCTGCGTCGTGGACGTGGCAGATTTCTCTGCTGGGCAAAAGGGATAGGTAATGCGTTGCCAGCGGGGAAGGGGCGCTGTTGTTGGCTGAGGGGTGGTGGAATAGGGCGTTGAGGTGGGAAGGCGGGGAGCGCTCCAATTTTGAGGAGCCCAACGTGAGGATCGTAGGGTGCAGATTGCTGAGATGATGTAGGTGGGTGAGAATGAGCTGTCGCGTCTCATTATTACCGCCTTCCAAACATCTATGCGGCACCACACCCTTGATTCTCGGTCTTCTCCCTCCCCTTCGTACAGGCAGCTTTCCCTCTCCTAGTAGATTCGGCTCGTGGCCCCTTCCCAGGTCAGCTGGAGGCAAGAAGCTCGTCCCAGTGGTTGCGGATCGAGGCAGGGAGATAGGCCAGAGAATGAGATTGTGTATCAGCCAGCCGAAGAAGGAATGTGGGAGGAAGCCCCCTGGCCCGAGCGAGTAGTAAAGGATATACTGCCGGCGGACGGGAAAGGTATCAGCGTGAATGAAGTGAGTACAAGGGTGATTTGCGGGAGGGCAGAAGCGGACGCACATCCTCCCAGGCTTTGCTGAGGAGCCAGCTTGCTAAGATCGAGCCCAGGGTCGCGACACTGGCTGGTGCACGGGCGTACAGATCTCGTAGGAGGGAGAAGGCGTTGCGGCTGTTGAGGGAGTAAGAGGTGCGAGAAGCGGCCATTCTGAGCTTTCTGAGAGACACACGTCGATGCGCCGCTGCGATGATAGAGGATATGTTGAGCTTCTTGCGCTGTGTAGACTTTGTGAGTCTCGCTGGCCCGCGTCTTGATGTTGCGGTAGATGGGCAAGAAAGTCGCGATCGGTACGCGGCTGTCGTGCGACTTCTGGATGTGGAGCTCCTCGCGGCCCGCCCTGGGCACCGCGATGAGGCGATGCGGTCCAATGGGCTCGTGAGGGATGCCCAGGCTGAGAAGCGAGTCAGTTGGACCAGCAGTCGAGTGGAGCGACATCCTGTACTATCACGACTGTGCCTCCGGTGGGTTTGGAACACCATTGCGGTCGGCGAATGACCTACGCTATACCACACTCATCCCGTCTTCGCGCCCTCCACGCACGCTCGCGACTTGGCAACCACTGCTGTTGATAGCTAGAGTGGTGAGCTTCAGCGTCTCGCCCGCCTCTACAGTCGCCAGCAGAGGAGAAGTTCGAGAGAAATCGTATCGTTGAGAGTCAAGAGAGCTACAAAGACAACTGAGAAAGGATAGAGGCTGAGACGACACGGCGAGCGGAGGGGAGCGAAGGGATGTAGTAGTGACGGCGACGACGACGTGCGGCCGGGTCGAGAAGCTCAATGGGCTAGCTGGAAGGATAGTTGGTTGTTCTTGTGACTCCTCGTTGATCCGGCTGACGTTGAGGAAGGGTACGACTCTGTCGCGCTCTCCCTTAGTCGCTGTCAGCACCCTTCTTTCCCTTCTTGCCGCCAGTGTAGGCAGCCTTCTCGTCCTCGGCGCGCTTCTTGTCACGCTCGGCCATGTCGATGTAAGGCTTCTTCTGGGCGTCGCTCATCTCCTTCCAGGTAGCGCCGAGGATGCGGCCAATCTCGCCTGAGGAATGCGAAAGGGTGGGGCGAGGAGTAGGTGTGAGTAGGGGGGATAGAGTGGGCGCGCGTGGTAAAAGGCCTTGCTCACCGAAAGTGGCTTCCGGGTTCTCGGCCTTGGTGCGCTCACGCTGGTCCTGAGAGAAGAACATGTACGCAGACAGGGCACGCTTGGGGGCGTCCTTGTCCTGGTGCGCGGCGAGGAAAGAAAGAGAGGAGGGAGTCAGACGCCTGCAGTGGGGATCGGGCGGTGGATGACCGCAAGCGTGGATGGCTCAGCGACTCACCTTCTTGGTCTTCTTGGTGGTAGCAGCGGCGGAGGTAGCCTTCTTGGGTGCCATGGTGATTAGTGTACGGTGGGGTGGTGTGGTGGTCTGCGCAGGCGGAGAGGGGTGGATGTATGCAGCATGGATCGAGGAAAGGGAGGAGGCACGAGGGGCGAGGAGGAGCGGATATTGGTGGTCAGCTGGCCATTTCTCGTGCTTTCGGCGTGGTAATATGCTCTGCTGGTCGTCGAACGTCAGTCACGCCCTACACCGTGGCAGGCGACGCGATCGCTGGCCAGTGCATGCGTGCATACACGGTGTGGATGCGTCGATGATGATGACGAGCACAGGTGCGGACGAGAGGCTGAGCCAGCTCTCGATCCACCCGGATGCTGTTCGCCCTCTTCTCGATATGCCCTGAGCAGCGCGTCGATGGTAGCGACCAAGCCAAGGCCATAACCACGACGTCGCTGAGCCAGCCTAGCAGCGCCAGGCGCAGGCGTAGGCTTGTAGGCTGCGTAGGCCTGAGACGCGTCCCAGCCTGGCCTGGCTGGCTCACGCTCAAGCGTAGGGCTCAGCGCTCAGCGTAGGCGCAGGGGAGCGGATGGGTGATTTTGGGTCGATTCGACGAGATACCGAAAAGCGCAAGTCCACGTCCCTCGAGCTCATAGAGTCGCGCAATGCTACGTGCTAAAACTCACCTTTAAGGGTCAAATCGAGTTGAGGATACGATGATGAGGTTGGTGGTAAGAGCGTAGGCTGGCTGGCGGGCGGCGGTGTGGTGTGTTGGCGCGGCGAGCGAGAGCGGGCTCATCAGCCAGAGCCAGGCGGGCGCAAGCAAGCCAGGCGGCGGCAAGCCAGGCGCGAGGCCCAGGGCGGCCACACAGTCACTCTGAGCCTGGCGGGGCGGCGGCGCGGCCAAGCGGGCAAGCCCCAGGCAGGCAGGCGAGTAGGCGGGCGGGCGGCTTGCCAGAGCCAGCCCCTTGCCCCCCCGCCAAATCAGCGGTCTGATCGAGCTTGACTGATCTACGTGATTTAACGGCGGGCACCCCTCGTGGCTACGGTGTTGGCGAGAAGCATGGGCTTCGTAGGCGGTGGACGATGTCATGGTAATGTCATTGAAGTGGCAGCATTGCTGAGCCCTATCAGGGCATTGAGAAATGGTGCGCGGCCCGATAGTAAGCGCGGAGAAGTGATTTAGCCTCGTCACGGCCGCCCGATGGTGAGCAGCGAGTCACACGATCTCAGTGCCTTTGCACTCCAAGTCCGATCCTTGAGCTTCGTGCTGTCGTATGCCTCGCGAATCACATTCAGTGTCTGACAGTTCGAGCAGCTGCCGAAGAGTCATTACCGTATGTCTCGCGTCAAGACGCTACTCTGGCTGATGTCGCTCCAATGCTGGTCGTCGCTCGCTGCGGCCCACAGCGAGCCTGCACGCAGCCTCAATACCCCCCGCCGCTGGTAGCTCCAAGCCCTCATCGCTCGAGATCAGTCCCCAATGCCGCCCACTCGCGTCAAGGCACGCAGACGAGCACGCCATCACTTGCCGGGGGGTTGGAGAGCGCTGGCAAAGGACCCGGAGGTCTTGAGGACTATTGACGTCCTTGACCCTTCATCGCGATCGAGTGGCGCTCTTCGCGTCACGGTCTGAGATCTGATGGCATTGTTCTGGCCCATGCTGGCTCTGCCTGCGCATGAACAGCGTCATCGGCGTGCTCGACAGCGGTCGGTACTCTCAACTCCCGCGAACGCGCTCGCCTCGAAAGCAGTGAGATACTGTGCTGAAACGGCGACTTCGCCGGTCGGATAGCTCAATAGGCTACACCAGGGAGACACACCCTACGATGCTCGCCCGCCGCTGTCGGACCCGCATCTCAGCCGCACACTCTGCCTGTTGTCATCGAGTCAGAATTGACGAGCAATCTGGTGCTGCAAAGTCGATTGCTTCTCACCTGACGCTCTGCTGCGGACCGGGAGAGGGAGATTAGTAGGTCGTCTGCGCAGATGACGGCAGCATGATAGCTCCTGGCTTCTCGTTCAAGGTCACAACAGCAGCACGGCAGAGAGAGTACAACAGGCGCGTAAAGGCGTGATGTTGAACGAAGAGACGACGTGCACCTTGGCGACACCGAGAAGGAGGCCAAGCGCAGAGCTTGACGGTGCTAGTTCAGACAGCATCCTGCTCGGCAGGGTTTCACTGCCTGCTTCGAGCAGATCGAGTGCAAGTCAAGTGTCATAAGTGCCATCACTTCAGTGCTGCCATGTAGGCACACCATGGGCAAGGGTCACGGTTGACGGCCAAAGAGATTGGGGACATCGGCTCAGGCGATTGAGGCGGCTACGAAGTACGCCTACTGGGGAAACCGCCTTAAAGCGACCCTGCCGGCGTGAACTTTCGAGCTTACGCCATCTCTCGATATTGCCAGGCTACCATCTCCCTCCGCGATGACCATCATCATGTCGAGTCACGTGACTAGCACTTCGCACCTGCAGGATATTCTTTGCTCCTCATTCCCAGACATTCGCCTCGTCCGCATCTTCAGTCCCCACTTGCCATTGCAACGATCGCCCACTCGTCCTCGTCGCCCCCTCTAGCGTATCTCGAACGAGGCCATCGCCGACTCGCGCGGACCTTCACCTTGCCTTAGTCCGCGCTCCTCGCCTAGCCTCACACGCCTGTGCGTCCGTCCATCCCCCACTTCTCAGCCTTTCCCCTCAAAGCCGACATCGAACATGACTGCTGGGCAGATGTGTTGCTCCAGGTGACGCAGCTACTCTGAGCATCGCCCTCACAACATCGCATTTCAATCATCCACTCAACCTGTCCTGCCTCTGAGCTGCCTTGAAAGCCGCATCAGGGGAGGTCGAAACGATGGGGTCCACCTCACCGACTTCCACCCAGGTCTCTTTGGCAGCGCCGGCGCTGTCCTTGACGGGAGCTGACAACCATGCGTCGACCTCACAATCCGCCTTAGTCACCGCCGACGAGCTCGTGAGGATCCTGCAAAGTCAGGCTGGGTCGTCGTCAGGGGCCACTGTCAATTCTCAGTCCGCGGAGTCCGCGCGAGCTGGCGAGCAAGGCCATCACAGCGACGTGGGCGGCATCGCTAGCTGTTCAGACAGCGTCGAGGGCTCGGTCAGCTCTTCGTCATCACGGTGAGTTCCGCGCTGGGATCTGGGCTCGGAGAACGGTTCTGTGGGCAGAGATGTGGTCGGAGAATCGTCGCCGCTTCTACGCCGCGAGAACCGTGAGGATCACTCATCACGATTCTTTTCGAGCATTGATTGATGTTGGCATGGTGGCCAGACAATTCGTCGCATTACCGGTTGAGAGCAAAAAGAGCAACGGACCGAGACGGAAGGCCGACAGCGTCGTCATTACCACCTCCTCGTTGTTCCTGAGACTTGTTCCACACTCCCGCTCCGCCCTCCACGACGCTGCGACGCTCACCTTTCACAACTTTCTCACCACCTCGACATTTTCTTTCTTCTTGCTATCGCCTGACCCCATGTCCATCAACTGATCGTCTTGCTCTGCTCTTCTTTGCCAGGCCACCAAGCCCACTGCCGGCCTCATCTTCCTGCAGCGCCTTGGCGGGGGCGGCGGAAGCGGCGACCGGCAGACCGGCGAGCGCAATCTTGAGGAGCTCCGGGATCGCGACGACGCGGAAGGACAAGAGGGAGGAGGGCGCTGGTAACGACGATGGAGATGACGCCGGGGCCCAGATCCAGACCCCGACCCAGACTCATGCAACGTCTCTTCCCCGGCAACCACATCAACCATCATCAATCGACCCTCATCAGCTGCTCGTCACCACAACGATTAGCAGCAGCAGCAAGAGCAAAGAGCGGCTTGGCAGACGGGGATCTGTTAGTGACTCGCCGCAATGTCAAGGTGAAGAGGGCGAGTCTGGGCATAGCTCAAAGCCAAAAATACCGCCGCTCTCATCGCCATTGCCACCAAGGTTCCCTGCTCGTTCTCATCCTTCTTCATCGACATCACCATCATCCACTGTGGACCAATCTTCATCCTTAGCTCCAGCCCAGACTAACGGGCCATCATCGCCCGCACCTCATCCGCCGGCGCCGATTTTGCCGCCGCAAGCACAGCCTTTGCCGCATTACCCGGCGCCTCCTTCCCCGCGCAAGCTTATCATCTTCGACCTTCGCCCGCTCGACGACTTTCTCCAACATCGCATCGTCGGGTCAATTAACCTCGCCCTGCCTAGCCTTGTGGTGAGGAGGATGAGACGATCAGCCGTCGCTACCTTGTCCAAGGCGAGCGCTGCGCCGTCACCAGCTTCTTCTTCTTCTTCTCACTACCACCTGGCCCATTTGGGAGATTATATTACCACGACGAGCGGCAAGCGAAAGTTTGAGGAAGCGCTGGACTCTCTGACGGCGGCGGGTGGGCGTGGGGAGTCGGGCAAGAGTCCACGCACCCCGGCATCGCCGCTGGACCTGTGGAAGGCGGACGTCGTGGTGGTCATGCCTCACGAGTCGATGAGCGCACCAAGCGGGAGCTCCATGGGCCCGCCAGCATCACAAGAGGCGTCGAGGACGTTAGCAGAGGCTCTGGACAGGCTAGAGAGCCCACATGGCCAGATTAGAGGGCGAAACATGCTCGTCAAGGGCGACATTTCCAGCCTGCTCTCGCGCCAGGACGCCGCAGCCTTCATCGAGCGGGGTCTAGAGACGACTGCACCCAGCCACTCGACGACGCTTGGTAGCTTGCGCCGCCATCCGTCATCTGAGGCGGGCCCTTCGCGAATAAAATCGCCTAGAAGCCCTTCGTCTGCAGTGTCAGCACTAGCACCTCCGCCCCAGAAGCCACCTACACCACCTTCGAGCCGTCCAATGCGCCCGGGCAGACCTTCTCTCGCCCGTCTTGATACGGGCGACAAGGTGCAGACGCTAGGCAGCCTTGCCACGAACGGGAGTAAGGCGTCCAATGTTGCAGCGTCCAATAGCGCCCCTGTTCGGGCGGGTGACAACAATTTGTCGCTCAGAGTTCCTTCAACGTCACGGACAACTCATGGCACTCCTGTCTCAGGCGCAGCGATGTCACTGCAAGGCCTGGCGCACCTGCAAGCCAAGCTCCCGCCTTCTCCCGCAAGCTTCGGAGACATGTCCTTGCCCATGTCACCGTCAGGCCACGGCGCAATCTCCGGCATCCATCCGCCACCGGTGATGCCTACTTCGAATCAGCTCGGTCGTGAGATGGCCCGACGTGGCAGTCATCAGCCCTTCCAGGCGGGTACAACGACGCTGGAAAATTCGGCCACGGAGGCGGCAAGCACTACTCCCTTTGACGTGAGCACTGTGATTCCGTCCTTTCTCTACCTCGGCCCGGACATTACCACAAAAGACGAAGTGGACCAGCTCAGATCTCTCGGCATCCGTCGCATCCTCAATTGCGCGGCTGAGGTGTCTGACAAGAGCTCGGGCGACGGCGATCTCTCTCTCCGGCCGCCGGACTTTGACGGCTACCTACACATACCTATGTACGACAATGTTGAGGCGGCCAATGTGCAAGAGGACATCACTACCGCTTGCGCATTTCTTGACCAGGCCCGGCGGGAGGGTGCACCCGTCTACGTACACTGCAGAGCTGGCAAGTCGAGGTCCGTTTCGGTGGTCATTGGATGGTTGATCCACGAGTACAAGTGGCCCCTCAAAAAGGCGTACGAGTTTGTGAGTGAGAGGAGAAAAGATGTCAGCCCGAACATTGGTTTCATCAGCTGTTTGATGGCATTCGAGGAGATGACACTCAGGGAGCAGAAGGATGAAGGATGAGGAGGAGCGGTCAGGGAACAGGAATGAGACGTTGAAGAGCGGGGAAGGGGGCCAGGCATGGAAGATCCAAATGAGCACGACCGCGGACATCTGTATTCTCTCTTCGTTTTCTCTTTTTCATCGACAGCAAAGCTCTATACACAAATGCATTGAGCATAGCGAGCATTTGAGGAATCTCGCGATGCGGCGTTGCTTGCGACGATGGTAATGCTCTCTTCATGATACATAGCCGCGACGTCTCGACTTCTTCTCATATTCTTTGTTCGCACAGAGAGAGGGCCTGAGCGTCGTCGTCGGTCTTGGGCGGAGGGCGGGCGAGGCGTCACACGCCCGAGTCGAGGCAGCACCGCTCACCTCCGCCCTTGGCTCTGCGCGCGGGGCATCCGGCCAGTCCAGCTGCGAGTCGTCTGCCGCCCTTGACGGTAGAGACTTGGACTGAGTGAGGGCGGCGAGGGCGGCGAGGGCGGCGAGGGCGACGAAGGGCAGGCGAGAGGGACCTCCAGTTTGCAGCCAGGCGCTGCTGCTTCCTTCTCGCTCACCACCACCACGACATCGAATCCGTCTCAACAACAGCTACACGCCGTCTTCGTCGCCGCCGCTGCCCTTGTATCTAACAGATCGACTTGCGCCAAAAGACAGTGCAGTGCATTGGCCGTCGTAGTCGTCGCATCGAAGAACACTTGGTCTCGAAGCGCAGCCACACATCGCCGCCAATCGCTCTTCTTCTTCTTCCTTTGCTCTCGTTCATCCTCGAGAGCTTCCAAGAGCACCTCCTCCACCCTCGAGAACACACACAAACACACACACATAACCTGCGATGTCGACCACAGCAACACCGTCAGGCCCGGCTGCGGCCGCTGCCCCATCTGGCCCGCGACGTGGAGGCTACCGCGGAGGACGTGGCCGTAATCACCACAGCTCTGGCGGCGTAGCTGTAAAGGACCCCTCCCGCCCACAGGCAGACGACACAGAAGAGGTACGCAATCTTCGCAAGAAGTACGGCTCGCAGCTTGGTCTTCTCCGAGAACTATTCGGCGACTGGACCGATGAGGATCTTCTCTTTGCCCTTCAAGAGGCAGGCGGAGAGCTCGAGTTGGCTGTCGCACGCATTACCGAGGGACATGCTGAGCAATTCTCATCCGTCAAGTCAAAGAAGCAAGTCAAGAAGGACACGCCCGCTGCGGCCCCTGCCCTGCCCCAAATCTCAGCCAGCGACTCGTCGGCTGCCGCTAATGGCTCAATGCGTGGTGCTGGCGGTGCTGCTCGCGGCGGTCGAGGTGCTGGTGTAGCCGGCCGAGGTGGAAGGGGAGGCGCTCGAGGTGGATTCAGAGGTGGAGCAAGTGGCGGACGTGGGGGCGGCATTGCCCCTCAAGCCAATGGCCACGTTCAAGACTCTTCTGCTGCGCCTACTACTACGGCGCCCACTAGTACCGGGCCTACTTGGGCACAGGCCATCGCAAAGGCGAATGGAGGCGCAAAAACGGCTCCTGCACCTGCAGCTGACTCGTGGGACGATGAGCCAACGCCGGCTGCTGCAGCGCCTGCTCAGTCAAGCAACGTCGACGACAAAGTGACGAGCTGGGATGACGAGCCTAACATGGTTCCCGTTGCTCAAGCAGACAAAGCCGCACCGGCTGCACCAGCAGCAGCGGCAGCGGCGGCGGCAACTCCGGCTGCACCTGCTTCGAAGCCATCGCTCCCTTCAGGATCATCCGGGAAGACTTGGGCTCAGATTGCTCGACGTCAAGACCCTCCCAAGCCTCAACCTCCTGCGTCTGCGCAAGCGCCCATCGCTCCTGCTATGACTGCTGCTCCTGAGGCTGCCATCGAGGCTACTCCCGCAGCTGCCGCAGAGGAGGCCGTACCTGTCGTTGATGCAGTGGTCGAGGAGACTATTGTCGAAGAGACCCCAGCTGGTCCCGTAGAGACTACCATCGTTGAGACGCAGACCGTCCCCGTCAGCGAAGTTGAGGCTGCTGTGGAGGAGACTCCTGCCGCGTCCGCCGCTGCCATCGAGACGGCCCCTCAAGAGCCCGCCTCTGCGCCCGCTGCTGCGCCTACCAAGCCCGCTGCCCGCTCAGCCGCTTCTCAGCGTGCCCTTGCTCGAGCCAAGCAGGATCAAGCTGTCGTCATGGCCGGCAAGAACTCGCTCGACAACCTTGGCGTGCAGTTCGGCACTCTCAACTTCCTCGGTGGAGACGACAATGATGTGCCAGAGCCCGCAGTCCCCGCCGCTGCGATTCCCACTGGACCTGCGGCACAGCAGCAGCCTGAGGCCCCCGCCGCCGCTGCACCTGCCCCGCCTAGTGCCCCCGCCGCATCGTACGAACAGCAAGCTCAGCAGCCTCAGCAACAGCGCTACCTCGAGGCTACTCAGCAGACGCAAGAGCCCGCTGCTCCGGCTCAGAGCTACGAGCAGCCCCAACAACAGCAGCAGCAGCAGCAGACGCCGGCACAACAGCCACAGCAGAGCGCCTACGGTGGATTCCGTTCAGATGCCTTTGGCTATGGCGGCAATTACGGCCAGCAGCAGCAACAGGCTCCCGCTCAGCAGCAACAGCACGATCAGTCCTCCCTGTACGGCAGCTACGGCTCTCACGCTGCAAACAACGCCGGCTCCACTGCTTCCAGCCAGACGCCCGCGCAGAGCAACCAGGGCGGATACCAGGACTACTCAATGTACGGTGGTCTGGACACCAACCGCCTCGCTTCCTTCTACGGCGGCTACGACCAGGGCTTCGGTGCTTCTCGTAGCGACGATCGCCAGGGCCAACAGTCTGCAGGCCAGCAGCAGGAGAGCCAACCTGCCGCTCAACAGCAGCAGCAGCAACCTCCGCAGGCTCACCAATACGGCCAGCACTCGCAGGCCCAGCAGCCCGCCCACCATCAGCAACACCACCACCAACAGCAGCAGCAGCCCTACCCTGCTACGCCCTACTACTACCCGCACCACTACTACATGCCCTCGCACCAGTTTGGGCACTACGGCCAGCCGCAGGGGTACGGGCAGTACGCTCTGCACGGGTACGGACAGCCTCAGCAGCAGGCTCAGGCTCAGCAGCAGGCTCAAAAGCCGAGCACGCCCGCGTCCATTGCGTCGCCGTACGCACAGCAGGCTACTCCGGACGCAACGAGCTACGGTTCGCAGGGAGGTTACGGACAGAGCGGTCTTGGCGGCTCCTACGGGGGTCTGCAGGACACCTATGGTGCTCAGCGCGGCGGTAGCGGCATGCCTGGCGCTCAGAGTGACTACGCAAAGATCTACGGCAACTACCTGGGAGGCGGTGCCGGTGCTCCCCAGCAGCAGCAGCAGGGCCAGCAGGCTCAGCAGCAGGCTGGAAGCCAGGGAGCCCCCACTCCTCAGCAGGCTCACCAGAAGGCGCAGGGCCAGGCGACCCCTGCTCAGCAGGCTCAAGGGCAGCAGGGTCAGGAGTACGGACGCTACGATGCTTCCAAGCAGAACGGCGGTAGCGCTGCTGGCGCCAACCCCATGGCTGGTACCCCTCGTGGGCCCGCTCAACAGCAGCAGCCTCAGCCTCCTCAACACCCGGCGGCTGCGGCGCCTTACTACCAGCAGTACTCTGGATACGGTGGTGGAGCGCAACAGCCTAGCCAGTCCGGGTACGGCGGGTACCCGTACGGCGCGAGGGGGTACTGGGGCCAGTAAGTGGGCGAGAAGTCGGGAAACGAGCTTGAAGGCTAGTAATCAGTGCTTCTCTCTCGTCGACTGCTCCTTCGCTTGTGGATCTTGCCCATCTCTCCCCTCCCCACCCCTGCGTCTCTCCTCCCTTCTCGTGTGCTCTTCTCTTATTGTGTTTCACATTCTCTCGTCCTCGTCTCTCCAACCAACGAAAGCCGTCGCGATCGGTTCTGTAACACCATCTTTCCAAGAAGCACAACTCCGACACAACCCAACTTTGTCCTCAACCATGCGATTTTGCGCCAATCACCCCTCTCTCTTCTCTATGTCCTCTGTGACACAATGCGAATATAAACAAGGAAGATGATGAGGCTGTGCCTGCGTGCGAGAGAGAGACAGAGAGAGACAGCTCAGTTGGTGGTAAGGTGAAGAAGAGGATGAGGGAGGGGGGACGAGCAAGTCATTGAAGCAGGCTGTGCTGAGTTGATGCACGGAAGATCAAGAGGAGTCGTTGGTCTGAGACCGCGACTCCACCTCGCTCGACCAACTGGACGCAGACCAGATGAGGCTGCAGCGAGCTAGCAAAGGCATCTGACGCCTCTTTCATCACGGCCTCATTGTCTTCTTCCTCGTCTGTTGGTAGAGTTATCACTCCTCTGAAAGACCTCATAAAGAGGCAGACAGCTCCATTGGGCTGTTACCATACCTTCGACCGCGGCTCAGCGTAGTTGGAGGAAAAAGTCCTCCTGGAGTTGCGCAGCTCAGCTTCGACGACGGCAAGGTCCTTCAAAACAATCAAGGCAGCTGAGCTGATCGTCACAAGTGGTATCCTCCTCTGACAGAGCAGATTACAAGAGCGTCATCTCATCCGTCACCACCTAGCATCTATCGTCATGAGCTCCTACGCCCATCTCGAGATCCCATCTGTGGGGTCAGCCTCTTGGCCCTCGTCCTTCTTCTCATCATCATCCATCGTAAACACCAATGTCTCCTCACTACTGCAACAAAAAGCGCTTCTAGGCGCTCTGATCTGCATCGGAGCCAACACGCTCGTATCGCTGGCGCTCAATGTCCAGAAGAAGGCGCATCAGCAGGCTGAGCAGCAGAGCAGCGAAGAGGGTGAGGGAGGTCAGCAGGAGGAGCGGCGGCAGGGCCGAGGGGATGGTGAGGCTGAGCGACTTGCACAGCAAGAGAGGACAGACTACGGCTCAACAGGTATGCGTAGCAGCAGCGGCAATAGCAACAGCAAGAAGAAGCCATCTCGCCCTCCCATGCCAAATGGATCCCCTATCGAGGAGGACGAAACTGGCCCCTACTCGATCGACGACTCCTCCGCCTCCGGCCCCTCTCATCAACGTACACCGTCAGGCAACGGCGGTCCGAACGCAAAGTTCCTCCGCTCTCGTCTCTGGTGGCTGGGTCTGCTCCTCATGACTTTGGGCGAAGCAGGCAACTTCATCTCCTACGGATTCGCCCCTGCCTCCCTCGTTGCGCCGCTCGGGTCTGTCGCCTTGCTCGCAAACGTCTTCATTGCGCCTGTGATGCTCAAGGAGCGCTTCGCCACTAGCGACGTGCTGGGAGTCCTTCTTGCTAGTGCGGGAGCTGCAGGGGTAGTGGCCAGTGCGGCCACTGATGGTGGGGGCGGCGGGGAGTTGGATGGGACCCCGGATGCTCTTTGGGGCGCAATGACGCAGTTGGTCTTTGAGGTCTATGCGGCAGTCATGGCTGTTCTCGGCGTCTTGCTATTGTGGATGAGCAGCACGAGCCTCGGAGACAGGTACATTCTAGTCGACGTAGGGGCTTGTGCCGTCTTTGGCGGCTTCACCGTCCTGTCCACAAAGGGCGTCTCGAGCCTCATCTCGCACGCTGCAGGAGGTGGTGATATCGGTGAAGTGCTCCGCTCTCCTATCACGTATGGACTCCTTGTGGTACTGGTGGGGACGGCCCTCACGCAGATCGCTATGCTCAATCGGGCTCTGCAGCGATTTGATGCTCGTTCCGGTGAGTACGCAGCGAGCAATCGCAAAGTAGCAGTACAGCCAAGCTGACCTTTCTCCTTGTTCGTCTGCGCCGACAGTCATCCCCTCGCAGTTCGTCTTCTTCACCATATCCGCCATCTCGGGCTCCGCGGTCCTCTTCCGCGACTTCGAGCGAGCGAGCGTCGGTCGCGTGCTCGGCTTCGTAGCTGGCTGCCTCACGACTTTCGGCGGCGTCTACGTGCTCACGAGGCGCAAGGACGAGGAGGGAGGTGGTGTTGATGAGAGCAGCGAAGGAAGCTCGTCAGGACGAAGCGGCAAGAAGGCGGGAAGGCAAGGAAGACATAGAGTGTCTGCTTCTGCTTCATCTGGCCTGGTGATCGTGGACGAGGAGAGACAGGCACTCCTTCCCGTCACGCCGACCAAAAGCAAGGACCCTAGATCGCCGCCGTCTGGCCCGATCCCAGAAATGTCGTCCGGCTCGACGGCAGCAGCAACCAGATCTCACAGCCTGGCCTCCTCCAGCGCAGCGACCAGCGCAGCAACGCCTCGCCCGGTCCTGTCGAGCACGCGCAGCGGGAAGACGCCGCGCCTGTCCTTTGTGGGCGGAGGTGCTGCATTGGGCGGAGGTGGTTATCTCCTCTTAGCGTCGCCCAACTCGTCACGAGGAGCCGGGGGCGCTCTAGCGGGAGCCGGTCAGGCTCAGCTGAGGAACCGTGTCGTAACGGGTCCTACTTCATACGAGACCTCGCCTGCCGCAGCGAAGGGCAGAGCGGGAGCGGTGAGGGGAAGCAAGAGTGCTGACACCTGGCTACCTAGGAAGTCAGACGAGCAAAGCTCAGGCCGAGATCAAGGGCAAGGTGGCCAAACAGGCGCGAGCAGCTCCACACGCCCAAGTGCACCACGCACCATCTCCTCTTCACCAGAGCGCATTACAGATGAGGAGCAGGCGCGGAGACGCCGCGCAGAACGAGACGAGCGTGAGGTCAGCATGCCGGCCATGCCTCTCAACTTGCCGACCAACTTCGGCTCGACGAACAATAGCGCTACACCTCCCGCCGCAGGAGGGACAGAGGGCTCCTTCCGCTCGCAGCTGTCTGGCTTCAGGTGGGCGCAAGGGGCGAATGACGACTCAAGAGCAAGTGCGCAGCAGTCTTCGACAGGCGGCTCGTCTCTCCTGCCTTCTTGGATGTCCAACCGTGCCAGCAGCTCAGCCTCACCATCCTCGAATGCCGGACCACCAGGCGCCGGAGCCTCCTCCTGGCTCTCCTCTTACGTCCCGCTCCGATCCAACTCGCGACCAGACAGCGAAGAGGCTCTTCTCTCCCTCTCTCACTGGGAGAGACTTCTTTCCTTCCTAGCCTGCCTCGCTGGATCAGGAGTGTGCTTCCTCTTCTCCTTCCTCTTCCTCCTCAGCCCTCTGCCCAAGTTGCGCAAATTCGCCCTCAGCTTCAGCCTGGGTAGCATGCTATTCATGGTCGGCTTCGCGGTGCTGGTTGGGCCGCTCAATCATCTCCGGCATATGTGCTCCGAGGAGAGATTGCCGTTCAGTGTGGCGTATGTGGGGAGCTTGGCATTGACTTTGTATTTTGCGCTGGGACCGAGGGTCACGCTACCCACATTGGGAGCGGGCATTGTGCAGGTAGGGGCACTGCTGGCTTACTTGGCCGCGTACTTCCCGGGCGGGACTACGACGCTGCGCTACGCGGGACAATGGGCTGCGAGAGGAGCGGCGGGGTGGTTGCCATTGTGAGTCCGGTGTGATTCAGTGTGTCCGATCCAATGTCTATAGGAAATGCCATGGACTTCGCTCTCAGCCAGTCTCCACGAGCCCCACTCTCGTTGTCGTACAATCAAACGGTCGTCCTTTTGCGCATCACAAGGTTCACATTGCTAGTTCGCGTCACAAAATGGTGAAGCTGATCAAGAGTCTGCCGCATCGTCGAACGTCGTAAAGAGAATCATTGACTAGTGGTACAATAGAGGTGAAGAGAAGAAGGTACGGTTCGCGTTCGTGTGTATGCGATGCTACTTCTGCTTTCGGAGACTCGCCGTGTCGAGCCCTGGTTTCTGAGCTCTGGGCTCCCGTTCCTTTACATGGTGGCCTGGTAGGGAGACGTCGTCATGCCCGAAGGTCCCGAAGTCGTAAAGGCATTGGAGGGCGAAGCATTGGCGCTAGCACTCTGCGTCAGGACGGGCCGGCCGCCCTGTTGCTGATAGTCGTGGTGCCCTTGAAAGGGACTGCCGCCGAGTTGCTGGTGCTGCTGAGGGCTTGAGAAGTGGCCATGCTGGTGCTGATGATAAGCCTCGCTACCGTTGTGGCTGTGCCCGCCTTGCTTGGTGAGGGAGATAGGCCCACCGAGGACATCCTCATCAACTCCCACGCCTCCGGCAGGAATGGAGATTGTCGAGCTGCGCCTCTTCCCGTTGCCCGCAGCAGCCGCAGCCTTCATGGCCGCTGCTGCCGCATGAGCTGCAGCTGCGTGCGGGTCATGCCTAAGGTCGATGGGTTGACCGCCCTCGCCTTGCCCGCCAAAGTGCTGCTGGTGGTGCTGCTGGCTGGATGTAAGTGCCATGAGGTGCTCAGAGGCCCTCGCGAGGCCATTGACGCGGAAGTGGGTCTTCAAGTGCTGAGCCAAATTGTCTGTACGGCCAAAGTACTTGCCGCATCCCTCCATCGGACACTTGTGGGGTCGCTCCTGCGTATGCGTGCGGTTGTGCCTCTTGAGGTGCTCCATACGCTTGAATCGCTTACCACAGTGGCAGACGTGCACCTTGTCCGCCGAGCTGACGACGAGCGGCGGGGGAGCTCCAGACGATGAACGACCACCGGACTTCTTTGGCGTGTTGCCCAGGTAGCCCGCAGTGCCTCCCGGCGTAACAGAGCCGGCCTTCTTGAGGGACTTGGGAGGCGCGCCGAGTGGAGAGTTGAGGTAGTCATAGCTGCTCGCAGAGGCGTCGGACCCCGAATGACGATGGCGCGATGGGGTCTGGAGGGGCGTGCCGTCGTGCAGGGTCAACGGGGCGATGCTAGGCGGGGACATCATGTTGTTGAGGGCGCCAGCGCTCCTCGACTGTGCCATGCTTGTTGACGAGTAGAACGAGTCACCTCCAGGGCTGTGGAAACCCGGAGCCGTCACGTCTCCCGGGGTGGAGGGAATGCTCGACACCCAAGAGACGGCAGAGTCTGGCGGGCAGTCGGAGGGGGTGCTGGGCATCGAGGCTTCCCCATTGCGATGCTGGTGCTGGTTGGCGCTGTTGACCGAGATGGGCGTGAGGGAGGGTGCCGATTGCATGCGCGTCATGCCCGGATGTTGGACTCGGCGGTGGAAGAGGCTCAGGTTGCCTCCGTCGTAGTCGGTGCCAGGCATACCGGACTTGTCGGGCGAGGAACCATCCTTCTTGGACCACATACGGTCGAGGGGCTCGCCGAAGGACGCCGCGTGACCGTCGCTGCCAGTCAGTTCGCCACCTCCCAAGCTACCAGAACGCGTCGAGGCAGGGGTAAACGGCGAGGTATTACTGCCGTTGGCGCTGATCTGACGCCTCATCGACGAGGTACCATCGTCTGGTGTCGTCGATCCGCTCGAGAAGGAAGAGCTGGGCGTGGAGAGTTGCTGCTGATGACGAGGGGTGAAGGGCGTGGCAGGGCTGATGTTCGGTCGAGGGCCGCTGAAAGTGCTTGACGATGATGCCAAGGGCGTAGGCTCCTCACTGGCATCTACGATGCGCTGCTGCGGGCTGGTACGCCTCTTGTTGCTGTCGTTGGCCGTACTGTCGAACATGCCGCGCTTGGCAAGGTTCATGGCCGGGTTGCTGCGTTGAGTTGATGACGGGGGTCCCATGTCGCCAGAGCCACGGTGGCCAGCGCCAGCCCTGAGAGCTCCCTCTTGCGAGAGAGAAAGGAGCGTGGCGTGGTTGTTGGCGTCAAAGGGTGACAGAGTGAGGCCGGCCAAAGGACGCGACGGTGTGTCCGGGCTGCCCGCCTGGGCGAAGGACAGGTGCGTGGCGGGAGAATGACGCGTCGACTTGGGAGACTGACCGAGGCTGAAGTCGTGTCGTGATGGATGCTGCGTGCCGGCGTGGTAGGACTCGCCGCTGATGCTGCCGTTTCTGAATGCCAGTCCGGGGTTACCGTGGCTGTCGAAGTGGTGCATCGAGTCGCCAAGAGCACCGAAGCTGGACATGGCGAATGGCTGGTGTTGCTGCTGCTGCTGCTGCTTGCGTGGCGCCGTAGCGTTCCAGTCGCCGCCGGTTGGGTTGCTGTTGCTGTTGTGTCGGTCGAGCTCGCCCGATGCTGATTGCGAGTGCGTCATCGACGGCGCCGAGGGTGCTTGCGGCGACAGATTGAGGAAGTTGTCGTCGAGGAGGCCCAGCGAGTTGCGTCCAAAGAGGTAAGACTGCTGGAGCTCAGATGATATGGAGCCGTTCCTGCCTCCCTGCGGTGAGGTGAAGAAGCTGAAATCGGCATCGAGTCCATCTCCAAAGCTGGGCAGACGGAGGTGTGCACCAGTCTGTGACGGCTGTGTTGGTGAGCGTGCACGAGGTTTACGCTCCCTGGTCTCGACGGGTGACGAGGGCTTGCTGCTGGTGCTAGTGCTGGTGCTGGCGGTATTACTGCCATCATGCCACGAAGCCTCTAATCTGCTCAGAGTGCCTGGCGACAGGGGCTCATTCTTGCCGCTGCCATTGCGACTCGATCCGTCCTCGAAGTTGAACGGAGCGTCGAGAAAGTTGTCCATCCCGAACGTTTGATCGAGGTGGTGGTGATATGGAAGAGGGGGTAGGGGAAAGGGGATGCGAGGAGCTAGCTACCAAACAATGCAAAAAGGGGGGAACACGGAGGGGAGGAGTGTCGATCGCCTCGAGGGTCGTCCAAGCTTTAAAGGCCTGGGTGACGAGTTGGCACGACGGCGGCGTATGGGCGAGCGGGTGGTCCGTGGGGGGGAGAGGGAGGGAAGGAGGGGTTGATCGACCCAAGGCAAGGGAGTGTTTGTCGTCCTTGGCTAGCGGGTCGTCGGATGTTGGTTGAATGCGTAACTCTGTTCGCTCTCTGCAGCTGTGACCGATTCTCGGGTCCCAAGAGCAAGAGGAAGAGATATCGGGATAGCAACTTCGTACGGAGCTTATTCTGGCGGAGGGGATGGGAGACAAAGAAGGGGGTACCAAAATGCGCAGGCAGTGTCAGCGTCACAGCGTATGATCACAGGCAGCAGTGTCAGCTAATGAGCTCCGCCTGTGGGCAGGTCGGTGGGAATGATGCAGCATTTCCCTCAACCAACGTACCTGAGAGTGGGCTCGGCTTCGTCGAGGCGAGAGCAAGGAGGTCGCGGCGGCAGAGGGCAGGTGCTACGCTGTAGTAGCCTACCGGTTGCAATGGGCGACTGTGGCCGACGACGGAGGGGACCGTGTGACGACGATGATGGAACGGTAAGGCGGGCGAGCTGCGTGCGCCAACGAACTTCGGCGAATTAGCGCAGAGGGTCCTTACTCCTCGGCGCAGTTAGGTGGTGCGTGGTGGGAAACCAGATGAGATGGTGGGGATCTCACCGAAGCAGCGCCGTTTCGTTCGACGAGTCGATAAGGGCAAGTTGGAGGACGCGAGATGCGGCGGCACGGGCGGTGGTCAAGCCGGCAGCGTATACGGCAGCAGCGGATCGTCAAGTACGATTCTGCCTGATTTCCCGTGTTGAAAGGGGGGTCGAGGTGATGAGAAGGAGCTGCTGCTTCTCGGTTGGAGGTTGGTGGACGAGATGAGGAGCAAGACGAGGAGGAGGACGGGACGCGTTGGCTGGGCGTCGTCTCCTTCGATGTAAGGGATCTGCGGCGGGGCGAGCTCGCGTGGATTGACGCACAGCAAGGCTTCAAGTCGTGGACGAGGGCGGCGCCAGAGGACGGCGGGGTTTGCCAGATCGCACAGGTGAGGATGTTGGCGAGGTGGGCAAAGGGGTTTTGGTGTAATTGGAGCGTGAGGTGATGTCCGAGTGCGTCCTCTGACAGACCAGTAGTCTAATTGGGAGCGACACGCAAGGGGGACTTTGGAATGTCGAGCTGCGACGACGACTGACGAAAGCGATGCGAGGCAAAGGGATGGGAAGACGGCCAAGATGCGAGCTCACAGGTGCAGGAAGAGTCGAAAATGAAGCTGGTTAAGCCAGGCCCGGTCATGCCTGGTCCGCGGCTCTCGTCCCAGTTTCCCCTCGTCTCGTCTCGTCTCGTCTCATCCGGTCAGTAGGGTTTGACGGCGTGCGAGAGTGCGTCTGCGAGTGTGCGAAACCTTGGTCTAAGCGTCGTCGAGCGTCCGTCAAAGGCTTTTGCTCCGTCGGCGCTGCTCGCGGCGGCCGTGAATATGCTTCCTGCTGCGTTAGATACGACGTCCCTTGGGAGCGCCCGGCGAGCTACAACCGGTTCGCAGAGCAACAAGACACGGGATCGCTTGATCCTGACCGAATGGCAACCCGAAGTCAATCTCTTCTCTGGTTGCCCTCTCGAGCCCGACCCAATGATGCGGTCGCTTCTTCATCCCAGCTCACTGCGCTCAGTGATCGCCATGATGCTTTTGCTCTCGCATTCGCTATTGCTCGCCGGCATCGTCCCTGTTTCAGCCCTTTCCCTTTTGTCTGATCGAGCGGCCGACGACGAGCGGACACTCGGGAAGACTGCGAGGACTGTCGAGCGTGGGGAGGCGGCGCTCCGACCATTGCTCCTCGCCACGTCGGTTGCGGGCACGGCGCCTCAAGCCGCGTCTTTGGAAACGAAACGCGTCGTCCGTCGTGGGCTGGGCTATGACCCGCATCCTTCGCAACCAACACTGCCGTTTGAGCCGGCCAGCAGGGTCAGCGGGGCTGGGTTAGGCAGAGCGTCGGTGAGCAAATCGCGCAGCTCGTACAGCCACGCACGAAGCGCAAAAGCAGCATTTGGCCTTTCCCCGCTCCCTTGCGAGAAAAAACCCATCGCATCATCGAGTCGGCCAGCGCCTTCAGGGCCCGTGGGAGCACCACTCGAACGTCGCTCGCCCCGGTAATTACGGAGTGGCACGGGGCAAGCATCAGCATCAGCTTCAGCACCAGCCAGCGTCCGCTGCGCCGAGAGTGTGAGCGGGGTTCGGGACGCTGGCGCCTCTTGAACCATGGGAGAGAGCAGCGCGGCGCTGCGATTGGCGATGCAGCAACACCTTCCCAACAGAGAAGGTGTCGCGGCGCCTTCGAAAAAGGGGAGCCATCGCAATAGCACTTCACCACCCGTATTCATCCGCGACACAATGACCCTGGAAAAAGGCAGCAGGCGTACGAAGCCGAACCACAGACACCCCATCGAGGCGTCGGTCACTGGTTGCCATCGATCTGCGCCAAGGCCAAGCCAGCTACGTATTCGTCGTCTGCACCAAGGCGCGCTCGTGCGGAGCAGCGGGCGCTAAAGGCTAGCTGTGGGCCTGCTTGAAGCTTCAACATGACCAGCGCACTCAACACTCTGCGATGGGTGCAATTTAGCCTAAGTCGGCATGGAGACCCGGGAACCATCGATATCATCGTGCGGCTTCGAGTGTAGTCCCACGCTGTCGCATGCTTTTGGCCGACGTTGCGGACGCGGGAACGACATCGATGGACCAGAGTGACCGGCCGAGAGAGCGCGTCAGTCTGAGTGGTCGTCGGGCCTTCGTTCATTCTTAGCTCGATCGCCTTGGCCGCGGCCGCTCGAGGCTCGCTCGATCAATGGGATGCTGTAATTGCTTGCCAGGCTGCCGTAAGGGCACCTCGAACTTAGTCGGGAGCTAGCTAGCTAGCTTTGCTAAGGACTCTATCTGTAAGACCAGACTATTGACCCACCTTGAGCTTGCCGGAGGCCCAACTAGAGCTACCTCTAGCATGGCACGTTCAATAGCAACCACTGTCGCACGCACATCGGGCTACACGACTAATCACGTCAAAGATCGGTCGGTTCAAACCGTGACTTGCGATTGAGAGTGGCAAAATGCCGTAGGTGGTAGCAGCAGCCAGTAGATCCGGCTGCTTCGACGAGAGAGAGCAGAGCTCGCCCTTTCGCCTGACCCGACTTGACCTCAATGACCCCATGGTCATTCTCTTCGATCGTTAATCATCGATCAGACTCATCTTGGAATAAGGTTTCGCCTCTCTCTTTTGTAAAAGCGAGCGACGTGCAGCAGGGACGACCGGGTCAATGATGCATCTATACGACCGGGATGTGGCGTGGGGCCACGCGATGCGAAGAAGTGCAAGTCCGTTTACACCCCTCGCCCGGAGAGAGAGAGGTGTAGGACCGCCGGCGTCTGAGCGTGCGTGAGCGTGCAGCTGGCTGATGCGAGTAGGGACCACACACTTAAGATATCACATCCACGAGACCAAGGCAGAAGCCCGTCTCGGTCTCCGGTAAGCCGCGGACGTGGGACACACCGAGGTAGATGAGTCGATTTCCAAGTTCGGGTCTTGATCCTCGCGGGTTGCGCAAAGAAAAGGACCCTGATTGGGGTTGGAATCTGATGTGGGCAGTAGGAACCCATGCTCCGTGACTTGTTCAGACAACGCCCTGCCTGGTGCACCGATGCTCGCGTGGTTGCTCTTGCCATCCCTCAAGGCAGTCGAGAGCATAATTGGGCCGGCTCATGAGCTTGCCCTGCCTCGACTGGACGGTGGCCGACTGACTAGATCGATCGACCGCACCTGCACGCCTTCCTGCTTCGTCCTCACGGCATCATCAATCCTTCTTTGACATCTTCTTCTCACCCTCCTTGCGTCTCTTAGCTCGCTCATGAACAAACAAATAGAAGACGCCGTCACGAACGCCGAACGACGTTCAAGTCATTGCTACCCCTTAGAGACTATCGCTGACCCGGCCGATCCTTGTCAGTGGTAGCAGCGTCTCCCGTCAGGCGGCTGCTTGCTAGCGCACAAACAACGAGAAACGACGTTGGTTTGCTACGTCGACGCCTCTCAAGGTGGGGCTTGTCATGTGACGTCCAGCTCCCGACTTTGGTCACTCGCTGGCCGTTCAGTCCGACCCAGGGGGCGGTTGGGTAGCTCTAGATGATCATCAAGCATTGATGTCCAAAGACCGATTGTCGCACTCAGCTATCAAACGTCTCCCCTCTGACGCCAGCTCTTGATCGAGCCGTCTTCGTCTGCCCCTCTCCCCTCTCCCACAGCCTCACCGCGTCCCTACAGCCTCTTCGCCCTGTACAGCAAGAGATAAGCAGTCGAATCCTCCCCTCCACCATCAAGCATCGTGATCTTGTCCCTCCCTACGACGCTCACCTTCTCATCGTCGAACTTGTACCACTCCTCCCCAAACGGCTGGTCAACAAGCTTCGCCGCCTTCCCCTTGCCACCATCCGCACCTTCAATCGCCGCCGCCGCGGGGTCGGCTCCACTGTCGTCTTCTTTCACCACCCAAGAGATGTAGTGCCCTCCATCAGCATTGGCGCCCTTGTGCGTGACGATGCCCACTAGTTCGTAGAGGGCTGAAGGGTTGCACCCTACATCGGCTTTCAGGTCAGGATGGAGGCAGGCATCGAGCTCTGCGCTTTCCTTTTCACGGAGAACCAACTCCTCCTCTGGACTCACAACGGCCCCTGCTGCGCCTATCGCTGCGGACGACGATCCAGCCACGGCCGTACTGGCGCCTGAGGCGGTGGCGAAGGCAGTGGAGTCGTCCGTCTTGACCTTCTCCTCCGTCGTGTCTACTGCCATTGCGTCTGCGGGCTTAGGCGCTTCAGCCCCCGCAGACGTGACATTGCCCAACTCGTCCGGTTGAGTAGAGGCAGCCGCGTCCGACTTGGTTGCCTCCTCTCTTCTCGCCTTGGCCTTCCTGCGTACCTTTGCCCGCTCCTCGCGCTCCTTGCCCACCTCGTGCACCTTCTCGCGGTACTTGAGCGTCTTCTCCTTCAAGCCCTCGGAGAGAAAGTCGGTGACGTCCAACTCGAAAGGGAAGCGGACCTTGCGCATGATCTTTGTCTTCTTGCCAATTTCTCTCCGCCAGTAGAAGCGGACGAAATGCGTGGTGAGGTAGGCGGGCAAGCGATCGATACTGCGTTGTTCGTCGTACACGGCAGTGCGGCCGAGAGTCTCGGAAGTCTTTTCGAGCTGCTGGGTCAGGGAGTCCTTGATGCCAGAGGACATGTCATTTGTGCTGGAGGAGATGTTGCATTGCAGGACTTTGAAGCTGTCCGATGTGTAGGTTGGCTCTTCTTGTGGAGCCTCGGGGCAGGAGCGTTTGACGAGCATGGAGCCGGTCATATATTGCTCGATGAAGCGGCGTGACTGCGCTTCTTGAGCTGCTGAGGCATCGCCGGTAGCAGCGAGGCCGGACAGAGAGGACTGGAGAGCCTGAATGATCCGAACCCAAGCCTCCTCTGCGTCCTGTTGCGCAAAGCCACCTCCTTGTTGCTGCTGCTCGGCGAATTGCGGTGCCACGCTGCGCAGGATAGAGAGGAAGGCTAGCGGCGGGAATGCTTCAGTCGTCTCGTTGAGGGACTTGTAGAGGTCTCGCAGCGAGGCAGTCAGATTGCGCTCGCCGTCTGCGCCGCCCATGTTGCCTGCGAAGGAATTGAGGGCTACCTGGAGCTCAGGGATTACGCGAAGGACTTGGAGGGTCGAGTTGAGATAGCAGGTGTTGCCCAGGTTGACGAGGCCGACCTGCGGGTGAGCAGTAGTGAGCATAGAGGCGGAGGACTGCCCGAATGTCGCGCGAGGCTCACCTTCTGCTTCGTCGCCGACGCCAGCTGCGAGTCGGTCATGTCCTCAAGGAAGTTGATGGGGCCCAGAGGTCCCTTCGGCAGCTCTCCCGCTGTACCAATGACCATGAGCATCTGTCCCTCCTTGAGATTGAGCTTGGACAAGTCTGTGTCGTCCTTTAGCAATCCGCCTGGCGAGCGAGTGAGCGCATGGGGGTCAGTCGTAAGCTCAAGGCATAGGCATACAATCGTACGAGAGCTGCGAATTCACCCTTGACCATGACCTTCTGACGCTCCGGAGGCACGCCCGTCTTCTGATGAATGGCAGCCTTGAACGCCGTAGCTGGCTGAGAAGGGTCGACCGACACTTGGTGCTGGCGAAGGGGCGAGCGAGCAAGGAAGCGGTCAGCAACTCATCTGAATCTCTCATCGAGCGTCTATACTCACGACGTTGCGATCATGCTTGATCTTGATGGTAATCGACGGCATCTTGGGCATCGATTCTGAGAACCCAGGCGTTGATGAGGAGGACGAGGAAGTGAGAAGCTCAGCAACAACACATTGGCGCCGTCGAGGTGGAGAGAGCCACGCGTCTCGCAAGAGGCGGGAGCCGGGCCGCGGCTGAATTGAAATTTGGTCTCGACGACGCGGGAGGCGGACCAGGCGGCGGCGCCTCGAGGGCTCGACATTGGCTGCAAATCGCTCGCTGCTACCATCCACTCACTACCCAACGTCGTCGAGATGGCAAAGGCAACAAAGCAGACGAAGAAGTTTCAGAAGAACCATGTGAGTGTGTCAAGAGGGCTTCAAAAGCCTCGCTGAGCCGCCATCTGACCCTTGCTCCCTGCTCGTCACAGCTCAAACGCGCCATCGACGACCGCAAGAACTTTCAAAAGAAGAAGGCCGGAATCGAGAGAGCAAAGAAGGCAAAGGATGCCAGATCAAAACGTTCCAAGGGGGACAGACATGCCGCAGTAGGGGATGACGAGGAAGACGAAGATGATGAAGCAGACGAGGCAGGAGCAGGCAGCGACGAGGATGAGATGGACGCGGAAGCAGGCCCAAGCCGTTTCCAAGGAATGAGCGTCGAGGAATTCCTTGGCGGAGGATTCAAAGCTGGCATGGATGACGAAGAGGAAGACGGCAACGATGATGAAGAGGCCGACATGAGCGAGATGGACGACATCTCAGACGGAGAGATGCACGCCCAAGACCTCGAGAAGCTCAAAGAGAAGGATCCCGACTTTTACCGCTATCTTCAGGAGAATGATGAGGAGCTGCTCAAATTCGCCGGAGAGGATGCCAGCGATGATGACGACGAGGATGAAGAACCACAGAAGGCTTCAAGCTCGGCCAAGGGCAAGGGCAAGGCGACTCAAGCCGACTCGGACGACGAAGAAGACGAGGAGGAAGCCCAGCACGTCGTCACAATGAAGACGCTGCGGGGTTGGCAGCGAGCTATGATCCAACATCGATCTCTCAAGGCCCTCCGCAAGCTTCTCCTTGCCTTTCGTTCTGCAGCGCACATGGACGATCCAGAGGACGAGCGACCGGAACAGAGCTTTGTAGTTGAAGAGGCAGCCGTATTCAACAAGCTGCTCCTCACCGTCTTCAAGTACACGCCCGTTGTGCTGCAACATCACATCCCTGCAAAAGAGACGCAGCAGGGACGTTTCAAGCTGCCAACGAACAGCAAGAAGTTCTCCATCCTGCAGAGGCCGATTCAGACGTACTTCTCGAATCTGCACCACCTGCTCAAATCCCTGCCGGAGCAGGAGATGGTCTACGTGGCTGTGACGGAGAGTGCGAGGATGGTACCGTTCTTGATGAACAACAGGAGGATGGCGAGGGAATACGTCAAGACTATGCTGGACTTGTGGGCTACGGCGTCGGATCGCGTGAGGATTGCGGCTTTCCTCTCGGTGAGGAAGGTGGCCAAGGCGGGAGATGAGGCGATGCTTGATCTCTGCTTGCGCGGAGCGTACCTCTCTTTCATCAGGAGCACGAAGTGAGTGCGCAGCGGGACGCTACGAAAGAAATCGCTGAGCTGATCATCCTTCGTTGCCCTTCTCACGCTTGCCAGACTCACAACAATCCACACCCTCCCCTCGATCAACCTGATGAAGAATTCAGCCTCAGAGCTCTACGCTCTTAACTCCAGCGCCTCCTACCAACAAGCCTTCTCCTTCATCCGCCAGCTGGCCATCCACCTCCGCAACGCCCTCAAAACGCGCAGCGCCGAGAGCTTCAAGAGCGTCTACAACTGGCAGTATGTGCACTGCATCGACTTCTGGAGCATCGTCCTTGCAGCAGCGTGCGATCGTCAACGTGGAGTAGAGAGCGAGATGCAGCAGCTCGTCTACCCGCTTGTGCAGGTGGCAAGTGGGGCCATCAGGCTCATCCCGACATCGCGCTACTTCCCGCTGCGATGCCATCTGCTGAGGGCTATGTTGCGTCTCATGCAGCGCACAGGGGTGTACATCCCTCTTGGATCGAGCCTGTTGGAGATGCTCTCTGCTCCGGAATTCCTGCGAAAGGCCAAGGGCTCGACGCTGAAGCCACTTGACTTCACTACAACTCTGCGAGCGCCGGCCTCGTACGTGCGCACCCGCGTCTACGCCGACCAACTGGCAGAGGAAGTTCCCTACCTCCTTGCCGAGTTTCTCGCCACGCAGTCACGCTCCATCGGTCTGCCGGAGCTCGTAGTCCCGCTCGTCTTCCAAGTGAAGCGAACGCTCAAGCACTCGACGAGCCCGAAGCTCAGCTCGGCTTGCAAGCAATTGCTGGCCAAGGTAGAGGCGAATGTGCGATTCGTCGAGCAGAAGAGGCAGAACGTCGAGTTTGCTCCTAGCAACTTGAAGGGATTGGAGGGCTTCCTGAGCGAGATGGGGGAGGGAGAGGAGACGCCCCTTGAGGCGTGGGTGAGGTTGGCGCGCAAGGTTAGGCAGCAGAAGAGGCGGGTGGTGGAGGAGATGGAGCAGCAGGTGTAGGGGGGATTCGACAGTTTCTTTCATTGTTGTCTCATGCGATACACTCACTCGCGACATTTGATCTGACGTTGCGGCTTCTTGGTTACCGCCGGGCCTAGCCTAAGGCCCGATGGTCCGCTGGTCTCCTCGTCCCGTCTCCACTCCGCTCGCTCGGATCTCGTTGCAGTCCGCCTCCCTTTGAGAGTTCCACGTAGGCTTAATCTCCGGATCATTGCGGCTCCCCTCGATTCACTCCTTCCTTCCCAACCTTGCTCTCTCTTTTCGCACCCCATTGCAGCAGACGTTGATTCTGCTCACAGTCTACAACAGCATGGGCGCGACAGTTGCGCATCATGATGGTAGGAGAAGGTGGCGCAGCAACAGCAGGCCTGCCGCTGCTATGATCATCGCAGCCCTCACGACGCTTCTCTTCGTCACAAGCATCGCCACCTTCATCGCCCGTCTCCCTACAACATCAGCAGCAGCAGCACAGCAACAACGTCCACCACCACGCTTCCCACTTGGCCCGTCTGCACCCAATATACGCTCCTCTCTGCTCGAGGAAGTTCTCACCCCACCAGCATCACTAGGCGACGACATCTGCCGTCCCACAGGCCAGATTGAGGACGCATGCTGTGATTACGAGACGGTGGAGAAGAGCCTCAATACGCCCAAGTTCTTTGCCACGCTCGAGAATCTGGTCAAGACGAACTATTTCAGGTTCTACAAGGTGGATTTGTACAGGGACTGCCCCTTTTGGGTCGAGAATGGGTTATGCATGAATAGAGTGAGTAATAGGCGCAGGCAGAGAAGCCAGACTGTATAGGGCTGACTCAAAGCTATACCACGAATAGGCCTGCACTGTAGAAAAGGCCTCCGAGTCAGAGATCCCAGAAGAGTACAGGAGCACCCGCCTCTCTTCTGTACACCCAGCGCACAAGGACGAAGTCGTCTTCCCTTCGTCGGAGGAAGTTGCCTCCTCGTCTCCTTCTGGCACGGACACTTGCCAGGATACAGACTTCTGTTACTGGGCAGGAGAGGACCTCAGCTCCGAATCGGTATGGGTGGACCTCATCAAGAATCCAGAGCGTTTCACCGGGTATGCAGGACCAGGGGCGAATAGGGTTTGGAAAGCCATTTACGAGGAGAATTGTTTTGGTAGCGTGCCAAAGGGAAGCTTCCTCGAGCCTGCGAGGGCAAAGGGGAGTGGGGGAGGTAGTGGGTTCGTTGGGAGGGAAGAGCTGCTCGGGGGAAGTAGCCCGGCTATGGGCGGCTTTGGAGGTGGGTTGGGAGGACTCATCCCCAGTCTGGCAGCCCCCGTTGATCCCGCTGCCGAGGAGCAGTGCTTGGAGAAGAGGTGAGGGAAAGCGCACGCTGCAGTCGAAATCGTCTCATATCGCTGACATCGTTGCCACCTTGCCTATAGGGTCTTCTACCGCGTCATCTCCGGCCTGCACGCCTCCATCTCCACGCACATCTGCCACGAGTACCTCAACCAAACTACAGGCACGTGGTCACCGAATCTAGAATGCTTCATCACCCGCATAGCCCAGCATCCCGAACGCCTCCAAAACGTCTACTTCAACTACGTCCTCCTCGTCCGCGCCCTTGCGCGCGCAGGGGACTACTTGACGACGTTCAACCTCAAGCCCGGTCACGGGATTCCCGCCTCGGAGAAGGGTACCATAGATCTCCTGCAGAGCTTGGTAGGGCAGGCAAGCTCCTGTCCGCCGACATTCGACGAGGCCTCTCTATTCAAGCCGTCCAACCCCGAAGCTCCTCAGCTCAAGCGCGAGTTCCGTGATCACTTTAGGAACGTCTCCCTCATCATGGACTGCGTAGGTTGTGACAAGTGCCGGCTGTGGGGCAAGATGCAGGTCAATGGGCTCGGGACGGCCATGAAGATCCTGTTCAGTTTTGATGAGGAGGACTTTGATCCCAGGAAGAATCCGGCGCTGCTGGAGAGGAGCGAGCTAGTGGCGCTGATCAATACGCTGCATCGCTTTGCGGAGAGTCTGAAGGCTGTGGAGACTTTCAGAGGGATGTATCAGCAGGGACTGCGAGACAAGGGGGAGGAGAAGAAGAGTGAGAAGGGGAAGCCCAAGGTCAAGCAGCCCTCGTTACCGCGGGCGGGCAGCGCATCGTCCAAGGCGGGGGGTGGGCCATCGAGCCGACCAGAATCGGCTAAGGCTGGCCCGCCGCTCCTCTCTCTTGAGGCGGTAATGGCTGCGGCGAGAGGCTACATCTCGGGCGCTGCCGAGGCTTGCAAAACGTCGGCGACGACTTGCCTTTCCTGGGCCAGGGGTAGGCTGGAGGGATGGCGTCGTCACGGCTTGTCAGGCGCGGCAGGCGCATCGCAAGGCACGGAGCTCTGAGCATTCACACAAATCATCTAGGATGCGACTGGACTGCTTCGTCGCTCTTCATTTGTAATACTACACCACTGGTCATGAATCTTGCTGGCTGATGATCAAGGGCTGTGAATTGAGTGGCGATGGGGTCGCGGCGCGGGAAGGCTGAGCGGAGCGACCTCGTGGCGTCTCTGGACTGGGTGGCCTGAGCACCGACGACAGTGGCTTGCCCCCTCTTCTCCCCGCTCCTCTTCGTCACATCCTTTCTAGCCTTTGCCTTCATCCTCCCCAGTAGGCAAGCAAGCCAACTACTGGCTGTCTCTCAACCTATATCGCCTCGCTCTGCGAGCCGTTTCGCACCCATCCCTCGCTCATCGCCCATCGTCGCCCAAGATGGACGAACAAGACAAAGCCCTGACCGAGTCGCTGAACACGGTCAAGGTTCAGATGGCCCAAATGAAACGAATGCTTGACAGCGACTCGCTCATGGAGGCACTCAAGTCTGCCTCAACCATGCTATCCGAGCTACGGACCTCGTCTTTGAGTCCAAAAAACTACTATCGCCTGTACATGGCAGTCTTCGATTCTTTGAGGCACCTGAGCGCGTATCTCTTCGATGCGCATACGGGCGGGCGTCACCACCTCGCAGATCTGTACGAGTTGGTACAGTATTGCGGGAACATTGTGCCCAGGGTGAGAAGAGACGAAGCGGGAGAGGAGATCAGGGCTGCTCGTATCTGACGTTCGCTCTCGCTGCCGCACAGCTCTACCTCATGATCACGGTTGGCTCAGTCTACATGTCCATCCCTGACGCACCCATCAAGGAGATCATGTGCGTGCTGACTGCCACGCCCACTAATTTGCATCGTACATGCTGACAATCGCCTCGCCTCTGTCACAACCACCTCGCAGGAAGGACATCATGGAAATGTCTCGTGGCGTGCAACACCCGACTCGTGGCCTCTTCCTTCGTCATTACCTTTCGGGAGCCACGCGCGACTACCTCCCCATCGGCAGCTCAACAGGCCCTTCCGGCAACTTACAAGACAGCATCGGCTTTGTCCTCACCAACTTCATCGAGATGAACAAGCTTTGGGTCCGACTCCAGCACCAGGGCCACTCGCGCGAAAGAGAGAAGCGAGAGGCAGAGCGTAGGGAGCTGCGCATCCTCGTGGGCACCAATCTCGTCAGGCTGAGCCAGTTAGAAGGAGTCGGGCTGGAGATGTACAAGCGAGTCATCCTGCCAAGTATCCTCGAGCAGGTCGTAAACTGCAAAGACGTAATAGCCCAAGAGTACCTGATGGAGGTGGTCATCCAGGTCTTCCCTGACGATTTCCACCTGCGCACTTTGGGTCTCTTCCTGAGCGCATGTGCTCAACTACATCCCAAGGTCAATATCAAGGGCATCGTCATTGCCCTCATTGATCGGCTGGCGAGCTATGCGGCGAGGGAAGCAGAGAATGATAGCCCCGAGGAGGTTAGGCGACAGGAGGAGGAAGCGGGTAGGAGGTTGAAGGAGAAGATGGGTAGAATGAGGGGGCAGAAGGGCGCGGGTGCTGCTAGCGCTGAGGAGCAAGAGAAGAGGGCATCGCTCAATGGCGGTGAGCATGCAGACTTCAAGCCGACGGAACGCAGTGCCCCCGGCATGCCAAACGTAGCGACGCATAGCTCTGCAGAACCGGAACGCGGGTTTGCGGGCATGCCAGAGGGGATGGAGGATGATGCGTGGGGTGCAAGTGGCAGCGCAGCCAAGCCCGCAGATGACGGGAGAGAGATGAAGAGCGGTGCTGCCGACGTCGCAGGATCTGGTGAGGAGGCAACGAGGGAAATGAGGAGCGGCGGCTTTCCCTCAGCAGCGCCGCAGGGTACGGCAGAGGATAATCCGGCCGGCGCACCGCCAGCCACGACTGCGCCTGAAGAAGAGGACGCCAGCAAGGACTCGAAAGAGGCCGCTACCACCAGCACCGATTCTGCCGCCGCAAAGCCAACCTCTCCGCCTGCGATTCGTAAATTCCGCGGCATTCCAGAGGACGTCCGCCTCTTCGAAGTCTTCTGGGAGCAGATCGTGCGCCTCATCCGCGCTCGTCCCGATCTCTCACTGCAAGATGTCACCGCCCTCCTCGTCTCCCTGGCGAACCTGTCGCTCAGCTGTTACCCGGATAGATTGGAGTACGTCGACCAGGTGCTGGGCTTTGCCAGCTCGATCGTACAGGAGCAGGAGGCGAGCATCGCTGCTGCGCAGGGTGGCAGCAACAACGCAGGCTCAATGGCGAGTGAAAGGGGCCCCATACCAAGTCAAGCCGCTTTACAAGCTGCGGCGTACGACCTGCACTCACCTGCCACATCGAATAATATTGCCTCGCTCCTCCTCGCACCCATCAATTCCTACACATCGGCACTCACCCTACTCGCACTCCCCTCTTACGGCCTGCTCCTGGCAACGCAAAGCTACACGACGAGGAAGACGGTCGCGCAGGCCGTTGTTGGCAGCGTGCTCAAGAATGAGACGATCCTCTCCACGCCGGAGGATGTGGACGGAGTGCTGGACCTGTGCAGCACGCTCGTCAAGGATCAGCGCGACTCCCTTGGGGCCGGGAGCAGTATGGGACATCTCTATGGCGGTCAAGGAGGTGCAGGCGGGGTTTCGTACTACGATGGGCGTGGTGGCCCGAGAGGACAAGGCCGGATGGGGCCTGGCGGGATGGCTGGTCCCTCTCGCCACGATCTGGAGGAGATTGCAGAGGAGCAGGGTTGGTTGGCTAGGATGATTCATCTCTTCCAGGCTCAGCCGACTCGGCCTGACACGAGAGAGACTGATGCGAAGAAAGCAACTAGCTCGTCGAGCGAGGACGAAGCGCTCACGCTGCAGCTGCAACTCCTGCAAGTGGCCAAACGCCACTTCATCACCGGAGGGCCGATGCGTATACGTCACACTCTCCCACCGCTGGTGATCTCCGCCCTCAAGCTCGCCCGACGTTACAAGGTCCAACAAGCGTTGCGCGGCGAGTCGGCCACGAAGGAGGTGAACGACTCGTGGTCATCACAGGTGCACACTCTCTTCACCTATATCCACCAAACGATCTGCCACCTCTACACCTCTCTCGACTCATCCTCCGAAATCTCGTTGCGCCTCTTCCTCCTCGCGGCCCAGTCCGCGGATGAGGCGGGCTTCGAAGAGCTGAGCTACGACTTTTACGTGCAGGCATTTACAATCTACGAGGAAAGCATCGTGGAGAGCAGGGCGCAGCTGGGAGCAGTGGGAATGATCGTGCGCGGTCTGTACGGGGCTAGGGTATTTGGATCGGAGAACTTCGAGCGCTTGACCACCAAGGCCACGCTCTGTGGGGCAAGGCTGCTGAAGAAGCCGCATCAGGCTGCGGCGGTGCTTATGGCTAGCCACTTGTGGTGGCAGCAGGGCGAGCCAAGCACGTCCAGTGCCAGTACTTCCGGCGAGCCGCCAAAAGAGTCATCCATCGCGGCCGTAACAGCCCAATCGGAGGACCTGGTCAGCTCAGCACTTTCCTCACCACCTTCGCGCGCCTACCCCGTCCGTGAGGGTAAGCGAGTAATGGAGTGTCTGAGCAAGACGGTCCGCATAGCCAACTCGTCCATCGACGAGCGTCAGAGTGTCGAGATCCTCATTTCGGCACTGGATGCGTACATCTACTATTTTGATCAGGGAGTCGTTGAGCTCACCCCCAAGCACCTCAATGGGGTGGTAGACGCTGTGGCTAGCAAGTTGGAGACGCTGGTGGCCAACACGCCGGGATTGAAGGGTGGAAAGGGAGATGGAGAGCAAGGCCAGAGGGAGGTCCTCGCGCCCAGCAGCTATGCCACTTCTTCGCTCCTCTTCGAGACTAGCCCCGCAATGCTTAGCGGTATGGGCCATCATCATCATCATCATCATCAGCAACAGCAGCAGGGCCTCTCCCCTGCTTCGTTGGTGGAGTCGGCCCTCAGGCATTTCAGGACGCAATTGGCCGCGATGCGACAACGGAGGGAAATTGCTGCTAGGAGGGCCGAGTTGAGGGCCGAGAGGGGGGAACAGGAGGGTAGCAAGAAGGAAGCGGGAAAAGTTGAGCCTGACTGGGGAGCCGTACAGATAGCTGATGCGGCGCGCAAAGTGGGAGCCGTGTAGTCTCGCACATCAGCTCCACTATCTCGCTTCGACCAGGAATATGACCAAAGACGAATGTGACGTATTGCATTATCAAGCCCCTTGCTACTGCTACTGCTACTGCTACTGCTGCTGCTGCTTGGCCTTCTGCTCTCGCTCCTTCCTCTTCATGCCCCGCTCCATCTCAAGGAAAGCACGCATAGTCGGATCCTCCACATTCGCAATGATTGCGTCTTCCCTCTGCCTGTCTTCTTCCTCCTTCCGCTGAGCCTCACGCTGCTTATCCTCCTCACTCGGTCCTGCTCCTGCTCCTCCTCCCCCCCGTTTTGCAGCGAGACGCTTTTGTGCCTCTTCCCTTGAGGAGCCGAGCAGTTCGTCGTTCCATTCCACCTCTGTAGGCGGGAGGGAGAGCAACGTCTCGCGTAGCCCGTCCAAGTTGTCCTGCCAGTCAGTCAAGGCATCCCGGTAGAGATCGTACACGCAGACTGCACAGCCTGACATGCAGCAATCTTCGGGTCCTGGTGGGTCCGGTTTCGTTGGTACGAGATGGCCAGCTATCCGTACTTGGGCTGGCGGTGAGGGCTTGAGCTTGGGCTTGGGCTCGGGCTCGGCCTTGTTCTCGGAAGGATCATCCGCAGCCGTTCGCGGATCTTCAGCTGGACTGGAACGCCCCGCTGGAGGGATGGGTACGTTCTCCCTTACGTTGCTAGAGTCAGAGGGAGAGGGGGCGGCTGTTGGGTCGAGGAAGCTTGTGCCCGCTGGCTTAGCGGCGAGGGTGTCCATACGCTCAACGTCGTCGTCACTGTCTGGGGCGAGGGAAGCGGTGCTAGACGGGAGGAGAGAGCGAGGATAGCGATCTGAGAGGTTGACGCCGTAGCCTAGGAAGGAGCAAGATAGGCAACGTGAGCATGAATCCTCGCATTGAGGATGACATGCTGAGAGGCATGCACGCACTTGGACTGATCACTCACGCTCCCACTTTCGAGGACCCCGCGGTCTGTCCGCTACGGCGATGTAGCTTGAGGGGCCGCTTTTGTCGCTGCCCGACTTGCCCCTACTGAGTCTTGCCGATGTATGCAATCCCCTGCTGCCGCTCGGCGACGACGTCGATCCACTCGCTCCTCCTGAGACTGCGTCCTTCACGACCTGCCATGTCCACCCACCCGCGCCATCCTCCCTTGCCCTCAGCACACCGCCATCCTCAAATCTATACCCTTCCACCACGTCCCTCAACACCTGTGCGCAATCGACCTTGGCCCTCAACTTGCTACAAAGCAGGAATGTACCGCTCAACTTGCGATTCAAGCTGTAAGTCTCCTTTGGCGGTGGAGTTTTCCTCTCCCGCAGCATGAGCGGAATCTCCGCTTTGATGGCATCCGTAAGAGTTGAGTGAGTGGTGAAATCGTAGCGGGCATCGACGGCCGTGGAGGTTTTCGAACGGAATGGGGAACCGAGCAAGATCATGCTCCGAACGTGGGCAGCGACCATCGCGTCACTCTCCAAGCACTCTCCGCTCTCCTTGTCCCTCAGGAGGTACCCCACCTCCAGACTCCAGTGTCTACACTCCTCCTCTTCGCCTCCCACAGCCGCCAACAGCAATCGCAGCCACTTGTCCATAAAGTCTCGCCCATACTCCCTCGTTGCTCCAAAGTCGATCAGCTGAAGGGACCGGGTGCGCGGCTCGTAGAGGAAATTCGAGAAGTTGGGATCCGTCTGCATCAATCGGTGGGTGAAGAGCTCGGAGAGGCAGAGGTGCAGGAGTTGAGAGGCGAGCGCATCGCGACGTGGTTGGGAGAGGTGGGAGACCATCGAAAGCGGACGTCCTTTCATCATTTGAGTGGTGAGGACGCGCGACGTGCAGAGAGAGGGGATGATGCGGGGGACTTCGAAACGTGTGCCCGCTTTCGAAGATGATGAGGTGGACTTTGTGTCCTGGCCGGGAGTGTTGAAGATCTGGCCAAATCTCCTCCCCATCTCTGCCTCCCTCTCGTAGTCGCACTCGTCATTGAGCTCCATCCTCATTTGCTGGATGGTCTTGTCCAGGAACAAGCCACGAGGCAGCAATGCTGAGGCTGCCAGGAGCCAGCGAAGGTAGCCCAAGTCGCTCTCAATCGACTCTTTGATACCCGGAAACTGCACTTTCACGGCCACTTCCATCCCTGGTACCTCAGGATGTGTCTCAGAGAGCATCGCATAGTGTACCTGCCCAATACTCGCCGCGGCAAAGGGCTTGACGTCGAATCGCGAGAAGTGATTTCTCCACTCCGCGCCCAGCTCGGCCCGCATAACGCCTTCGAGCTGGTACTCGGGCATGTAGTTTGCGCTACTCTGTACCTGGCGTAGCACTTCTTCTATCTCCTTGGGAAGGAGGTCCGCGTCCTGTATCGAGAGGAATTGACCTAGCTTGAGCGCCGCTCCTCGCATGCGGGAGAGCTTATCTACGAGGCGACGGACGTTCGAAGGGGACATGCCCATTGATGCTGCCGCGGGCGGAGGCGTGGCCCCGGGGCTGGCTTCGCCCGTGGGAGGAGGTGTTGGCTTGGCGGAGGGGGAGAGGAAAGAGCCTGCCGCTCCCCACGCTAGACCAGCGCCCAGGGATCCGTAGTGCATTAGGCGTGCTATGCGAGAGGAGGGAACGCGAGAGGCACGCATGGGCGTGGATGAGGTGGCGTTGGTGGCGTCGTAGGCGGCAAGGAGATCGTCCTCATCCTCTTCAGGTTGCTGGGCGCGAGGAGTTGGTGGCGGTGGTGGCGGTGATGGCGGTGATGGCGGTGATGATGTTGAGGCTGTGGCGCTGGGTAGACCTTCGACAGATGACGAAGAAGCAGGCTCTGATTTTCTTGCCTCCTGCGAGAGAACATCAGCCGCAAAAGGAGTAGCAACGGTTTCCTTTGACGCACCCGGTGGTGGCGGGGGCGACTCAGTCGACTCTGGTATCGGCGGCTCCTTCCTTATCTCCTTCGCAACCTCCTCTGGCGGCTCCCCGAAGTAGGCTGCAAGGCTGTCATCGAGGCTGCGGGTGTTTGGAGAATTAGATGAGCTCGACTCGGCTTGGACAGTAGCTGCTGCACGACGCAAGTCCCCCTTCGATGGGTGAGCCTGCGCGTTGACGTGCTTCATCTCAGTGAAGGTCCCATCAGGGGCTTGCGGCGGCAAAGACGTCTTGTCCGCGACATCGCCCTGCATCTGTTGTTCCTGCTGCTGTTGCTGAAATGACGGCATTGGCGCTGTTGCTCGAGGCCTTGGCCTCAGCGCTCTTCCCTGCTGAGTAGGCCACGGTCTGGACGTCGACGATGAAGACGAAGCAGAAGCAGTAGAAGAGGCAGCACCAGCGGCCTGAGCGTATGCAGCCCTATGCGCTATCTGCGCAAGGACGGATAGGATAGTGGCCGCATCCTGTATCAGTGATGATGGTGGTCGTCCTGGCGTAGGAGGCATATATGCTGCTGACGTAGGATGCAAAGGGAAGAAATGGCTTGGATTGAATTGCAAAGCTGCACTTTCCTCTCGACTTTGCGCCTGGCCTGAGCGTCGTCCTTCTCCGCCTCTGGTTGCCGCTCGCGTGGCTTCGTGTCGAGCTTGCGCGGCCTGACTTGGTCTGGTCGACAGTCCGCGAGTCGGCGCCTCTCCACCTCGCACCTTCCTAACCATCAATCACCACCAACACAATGGCATCGTCCTCTTCATCAGGCGGGCCCTCGGCTTACCTCCAACAGGCGGGCGGCTCAGCTGCGTCGTCACTACGACCCATCTACGAAACGCTTGCCGACCAATACGACCGCAAGCTCTATTACCAGCTCCTCGAGACGACGCAATCCTTCTTCCATCACCCCGACTCCACCAGCGGCACGCAGCGATACGACCTTTATCAATCCTTTGTAGTCCACTGGAAGAGCAAGGTCTCTGATCTCTCCGTCGCCGAATTGGCCATCGCTGCGGCTAAGCAGCTGCAGCCCGATTCGCAGAAGGCGCACGATTTCCTCGTTGGGGAGAGGGATCAGGTGGAGAAGGATACGCCTGCTCACCTTTTGCTCAGCATCGAGGCGACCTGCTACAAGCTGCTCCTCGGTCAGCTCGAGCAGGTCAAGAAGGATGTCGATGCAGGGCAGAAGATTCTCAACTCGTACGACGCGGTAGAGACCGTCGTCTCGGCAGCGTATTACAGGGTGGCAGCAGAGTACTATAAGGCAAAGGCAATGTACCAGCAGTACTACACGACATCGCTCCTCTACCTCGCCTGCCTCCCGCACAATGGCACGGAGGACGATCTGACAAACGAGGAGAAGGTGGAGCGAGCGCATGATCTGGCCATTGCAGCTATTCTAGGGCAGGGCATTTGGAACTTCGGAGAGCTCGTAAGTAGTTGCGTCCGCATGGACGCCAGTGTATGTCCCCACTGACACCGAGTGCCTCTCCCCGTCCTGATTGCAGCTCCTACACCCGCTTCTCCCTATCCTCTCACCCACCCCGCACTCCTACCTCCTCCCGCTCCTCTCCTCCTTCTCCTCCGGCTCACTCCCCCTCTTCGACTCGCTCCTCCCTTCCATCCAATCGCACCCGCTCCTCACAACAAGCATGCCTTTCCTCCGCCAAAAGATCTGCCTCATGGCACTCGTCGAGAGCGTCTCGAAACGAGAATCGGCGCAGAGGGCTGCCTTACCCTTTGAGGTCGTGGCGAGGGAGACGGGCCTACCGGAGGATGAGGTAGAGCATCTGGTCATGAAGGCATTGAGTTTGGGACTGATCAAAGGCAGTCTGGACCAGGCGAGGGCGAGGGTATGCGTGGAGTGGGTCCAGCCTAGGGTTTTGGAGATGGAGCAATTGAAGGCGTTGCGGGGTAAGTTGGGAGCGTGGCTCGAGAGGGTCAAGGATACGAGCCGATTTGTGCAGGGACAGCAGGAAGGCGTCGGGGCTGGTGTTGGTGCCAATGGCGCGGCGAGGGGGCAGGAGGCAATCGTCGTGTGAGCGGCGCGAAGAGAGCGCGAGAAAACAACAAGATGTCATGACGATTAGAAGATGTTTGCATTGCGTGTGTCTAGGGTATGCCGGGGTGGTCTACTCTACGGCGTGCCACACAAAGGCAGCCTGCCAGCGTTGCAATGGCGCTGAGCTCTGGCCACTCGCTCGTCCCGTGGTCCACAATCCTAAAGTCGGCACGATCGAAGTCGTAGCTGTCCCCTGACCCTCACCCAGCATCGATGCCAAAAGGCCTTGCGCCATGCTCTGCACCTCCTCAACCGGCGTCGCTGAGGCATCGACGAAAAGCCTAACACTGAGCGTGGCAGGATTGCGCAATCGCTCGTGCAGCTCGTTGATGAGAGCGGAATGCTGTTCGCCCGTGCTCGCCCGGCCTTTGTCCTGTTCGAAGCGCAAAGCCACAATGCCGAAGTGGCTCGCTCCATCCCGCGAGTTGATGCTACGTGACTGCACCGTAATGGTGTTGCTTCCCGAGCCTGCGCCGAGAAGAAGCTCAGAAGGCACTCCTTCTACCTCGTCGACCGTAATGGTCGGGCGTCGCGCTTCTCCGTCTCCACCGTCATCATCGTCGTCGCCTACGACAGCGCTCCGTCGCCCATCGTGCGCAGTCAACTGCCACTCAACAGCAGCGGCGCGAGGCAGGTCTCCAGGGCGAAGCTTGGCGTAAAGGAGGGGAAGATCGTGCGGCTGGGCTGAGATCGTCGATGCGCCTGATCGTACGACTTGTACTCCCTCTGTACCAAGGAGCCAAGCGGAGCAGGCGTCCTCCTCTTGGTCATCATCAAAATCTTCGTGGACTGCTTGCGCTCCCCATGCTTCCCTCGCGGCGTCGAGCACCCCATCCTGATCATCCCCACTGATCCAAACAACACCACCCTCCACCCATCCCTTTCCCTCGCTCCTACATCTTTCCTCACCCAGAGCAGCAAGGATCCTCCTTGCATGCTGCAAGCTCAAAGCGACCTGCTGCACCACCCCAACTTCGGTGTCGGGTAGGGTGAGATCAACAGGCCTCAGCCCAATCTGCCCCGCGACGCTGATCCGGCTGGCAACGGAGACGGCCTGCGAGTAAGGACCGATGTTTGCCGCAGACCAGTAGGAGAGGGATTGGACGTGCAGGCATTGGCGCGATGCTGTTGAGCTGGAGTTGGCTTGCGGGTGGTACGCGACGCCGTCTAGACTGATGACTGGGCCCTCGTGCGAAGAGGAGGGCGCAGAGGAGAGGGAAGGCAAGGCCACAGTCGCTCGGCTTGGCGGTTCGAGAGCGGAGAAGGTGGTCTTGTAGAGCTTGTTCACCTCGAGGAAGTGGGATTGTGATAAGAGGCCGAGGTTGATGTGTTGCACAGTGCCCGCGAGAGGTACGTTTTCCGAGGCCAGGAGGGAGGTAAGGGCGGAGAAGGCTTGCGAAGCGGGTGAGGGAGGGACGCTGAAGGAGAGCCAAGGCCCACGGCGTTTGATGCGGGATTGCAATGATGAGACGCCAGAGGAGGACGGAGGTATTGAAGGCCACTGGTTTGAGCCGTCGAGACCTGAGCTCTCTCTCGCAGCCTTCATCCCACGTTGCGCCGCTCTGAGCGTCCTCTGGCCCATTCCATCTAGGATTGGCGGTACGGCCACACCCTCAAGCCCCTTCTCTTCTCCCTCTCCCTTGTCCTCCAACACAGCCCTCTTGACCCTCAGATAAGCCACCTCCCCACTCTCATCATGCACAACGCTCTCTGTCTCCACCAGCCTGATCCTTCTTTTGAAGAGCGGACAATCCAGCGTAAGCGTCTCGTACTCCCCTCCTTCACCACACACGTGGGCGCCATACATCTTCTCCAGGCGACTTAGCGTGGTTCGCATCTGCGCCAGGCTTTTCCCCAAGTGCTCCTCACCCGTCAAGCCAGCGCCCGCCACTTTGATGAGCACGGCGTGCAAGCCTGCGGCAATCATCTCGTCGAGGAGGGCCGCTTGATCTGTTCGCTGCCAGAGATAGGCGAGCGGCTGGAGTTGTAGCGCTGGGTGCATACAGACGCTTTCGACGCGAAAGCGTTGGTAGTTGGAGAGAATGGCGCCGACGGAAACACCTCGGACGTCCGGATGGTGTCGTTTCACCGTCTGGAGGAGGAGGAAGAGGTCGGACGTTTCGTCGACTGCCGCTGTCGAAGACGAGGCGACTGCGCTATCGTCCTGGTGGAAATCCTCGGTCGTGAAGTCGTTGCCGGTCCGGAGCGGGTGGCCGGCGATGACGCGGCGGTAGAGCGGAAGATCCATGGCTTCTGCTACCAAGTGGACTGCATCGTGTCCTACTGTCTGATACATGTAGGAATCCAGCTCATCTGGCGGCGTGCGACAGGGAGAGGAAGTCAGCTGTGCCCCGGACGAGAGAAGAAGATGGTAAGCGACTGGCTCGCACCTTTGCCCTCTGGAGGAGCCAGAGTAGCCAGAGCTACTATCTCATGACCCTGCTTTGCTGCGTGACATAGATTGTAGCAGCTGTCCTTGCCTCCTGAGAGGAGGCCGACGACTTTCATGGCGGCCAAGCGCTGAAGAGGCCAGATGTCCTTGAAAAGAGTGGAAAACCCAAAAAGCGCAAAGGCGGACTGGACTGAGCCGAAGTCTGGCAGTCCGGCGTGGAGAAGGACAAGAGGCGAGGCGAGGCGGGGCGAGGCGGGGATGAAGCCTTGGCTTTGCTCTTCATCCTCCCATTCTCACATCGTACTTGCCATGACGACGCCTTCATCCTCATCAGCAGCAGCTCAGCTGAAGCCTCCTGAGCAGTCTAAAAAGGCAAACTTGACTAGGGAAGACATCCTGGCCGACTTGGCCCTCCTTGGCAACAGCGGCGATGCCTCTTCATCACAGGATCGACACGCCCTTCTCGCTCTCGGCCGTTCACTGTCTAGCAAGGAAGGCGATGATACAACACATGACGGCCAGTCGGAGCAGGACAAGCTGCTGCAAGCCTTCTTGAATGCTGCTCCCCAGAATGAGCAGTCCTCGTCGTCTCGCACCATCGAGTCCCTCCACGCGCGCGTCGCCAAGCTGCAAGCTCAGATGGACGCGGAGCAGAGGGATCTGGACATGGCAAAAAGCATGCTTGATGGGCAGTAGAGGCGAGCCCAATGCGCGAAATGCTATTCAAAGCTTGTCCACCACATCTACATATCGGTAATCGCAGGATATATGCTATGCTACAGCAAGACCACGTCCGACCGTCTACTCCCTCCTCCGGGCCCTTTCCCTTGCTCGCAGCCCAACCCAAACGGCTCTACCTACCCCATCGACATCGCTCAGCAAGGCAACGTGTCTATGACCAGTCTGCGTGATCCACGCATCCTTTCCCTCTTCCTCATCGTCCCGCACAAGCAACTCGGACCAGCGACCGGGAACGGAGCGCGACGATTGGAGGGTGATGACACCATCGCCCAACCCAAAGACCATGCGCTCGTAGTTGGACGACGTCACGCTGCGTTGCCACGCTGCGCGCGACGAGGAAGGGTTGACAGGCCCGCCAGTAGTGTCTGCCGCCGTACCAGCTGCAAGTGCATCTGCGGCCGCCTCCCCATCCGCTACCTCGTCGTCATCCACAATGGCGCCACGCGTTGTTGGCGATCGGCCAGAGGTGATCATCGTGAGGGGTGGGTACTCGCCGCGGGCCAGGCGCTCGGAGGAGAAGCCTGAGATGATTTCTTGGTCGAATTGCCGGACTTCGGCCAGCGTACGGCGGAGGTACGACCAGACGCGGCTGCTATGCTCGTCGTCCGAGGACGCAGGGTCGGCGTCGCCCTCGCCATTGGGTGAGGCTACTGTTGAGGGTGGCGGCTGCTTCGCGGCGGCCGACTTGTTTTCCGACTCAGCGCCGTTCTGCCCCTCCTTCCACTTTCTAGTCCCCTTGATCACTGGACTAAAGCCCGCCCACTCCCACGTCTTCTCATCCAAGAAATCGACATCATACGTCTTTCCCTCCTTTCCATTCTCACCTCTTCCAACCTCGAAACAACGTCCATCCCTAGGCAACAAGTAAAAGCTCGACCGAAAGCTGAACGTCGACCTGGGCGAGCAGATCGTGTCGTTCCACAATGTCGTATCGCCCCATGCGAGCGGGCCAAGGATGTTTGGCGTGCCCAGGAAGGGGGAGGAGGCGAAGCTGAGCGTGTGGAATGCGCGTGGGTCACTGATCTGGGAGAGGGAGTGGAGGGCGACAAGGCCGCCCATGCTGTGCGCAATGACGATGGCGCCGCGTCGATCTTGCGGGCGATCTGGCGGGGCGGAGGAGTTGTAAAGGTCCAGGAGCAAGGCTTGCAACTTGGCAGAGGAGCGACCGAGGGATAGGCGCCAATCGTAGCCCCACGAGTGGACCGTTGCGCCTTTGCGCTCGAACTTGGAGTGTAGGCGAGCACCCATGTCCACAAGTCTACCGATGCGGCCCAACGTTTCGCCCGCAATGACCTTGTCCTCAGCGCGAGCCTCGTCCTCCGGGTCTAAGCCGAGCTCAAGGGTAGGGCGACGTAGGGTGGCACCGACCTTGAGCGGGATCCACAGCATTTGATGCGGTGGGGTCGCTGATCGGAGTACGGAGCCGCGATACCCGCCCAGAATCACGACGTTGCGGCCGCGAAGAGAAGGGTGGCGATAGAAGTCGCGAGCGCGTGGGTGACGGGGACCTACGTGGGGAATGAGGTCCAGGTCCGCAAGCGGAGGGCGTGATTGGGATGAGGTGGCAGGCGCTGGGCTGAAGCTGGGGAGAACATTGGAGATGAGGGATAGACCGAGCGAGTCTAGTCCGAAAAGGCTTGACGAGGAGCGTCGCCCATTTGGCTCGTCTCTTGTAGTCCTCCTCGGCTCGTCATCGCTCGAATCCGCAACAGCAGACTCTACACCTGCCTCGTTGGGCTTGGTATCGAGCCAGGGCACCTTGATGTTCAGCAGCCCGGCCGCCCTTCCCTTTACTGAATGCCAGCCACTTGAGCTTCCCATGTGTGAGTCGTAGAATGCCTGCTTGGGCGTAGGCACGCGATATGAGTAGGGCACGTCGTCCAGGCGCTGTGGTCCGTAGAGCGTGGTGTGAAGGGTCGAGGTCGACAAGTTGGAGAGCGTGCGCGATATGTCTGGGGCGACGGCGAGGGCTGGCATGGGTGTTGGGGCTTGAGAGGAGGAGGAGCAGGGGGGTTGCATCAATAATGGTCGCTCTGCGTTTGGAGCTGAGCGCGATCGCTGCCTAGCTAAAGGCGCCTCGTTTTGGTCCATGCCTGCTAGTGCGGGTGGGCGCGGAGGATTGAGGCTAGGAGTGAGGGGGCCAACGAGGTCTGGGCTGCGAGCGTGGGCCAGAGCTTGTTGATCGTCTTGCTCCTCTTGCTGGTCATGATCCTCGTCCTCGTGCTCTGCGCTGCTACCCCTTCTCGGCTTGTCGCCGCGAAAGATGTTACCAATCGAGGGTAACGAGAAGCGCTTCGAGTTGCGCTTCGACGAGCCGGCTGACTGCTCATCGTCGCTGGATGCCAGCGGGTGCAGGACTTTATCGATGAGTGATCGCTGCGGCTGAGATGAAGAGGAGGCCATCGTCGCCTGATGACGAGGGTACAAAGGCAAGGAAGGGCAAGTTTGCTGCGCAGCTCCACTGATTGAACTGCAATGCCTCGCTAGGGTCCACGCCAAGGCAATTTCGGAGCTCTGGCCCCGACGCTGCTGCCGGCGGCCCAGAAGGCGGAACGGGGGCAGGGAGAGGCAGAGATGACGAGCCGCGGCTGTGTGATGAGGCGAGCGGGCGAGAGCAAGAGTCAGGGCCAGCTGCTGCAAGAGCGAGAGAGTTCGACTCAGCACGCAGCGAGCGAGCGAGCGAGCGAGCAATAGAGCGTTGAGCGCCGACGAGGTTAAGCCACCATCTCACGCTTCAATCCATCGCTACTTCTCGCCAACCCCATCACTACTACACCCCCACCGCACCGCCACGTTGGCTTCCCCTACATTCCAACATGTCCAATCAAAACCACGCCTCGTCAAATCCCAATCCTAGTCCCTCGGCCGCCGCCGAGGGACCCGCCGCCCCCGGCAGCTATAGGCCATCTCCTTCTCCCAGCGCCATGACGTCCTCGCAGCAAGTCTCGCTGCGAGGACAGTCTACTTTCCGATCCACCGTGGTCAAGTGGTGGGCCTGACGTGACTTCCGCTGAAATGCCTGAGCGAACCAATGGGAGCTCAGGTCGGTACGAGCCTGTGAGAGGGGACGTGCCGCCACTACAAACGCAATCAGCACATGGTCAAGATGATCCGCAGCGCCGCTTTATGAACGCATCTTTAGGGGGGCAAAAAGCCGCCATGCCTCCTTCTCCGCCTTCTACGGTTGATGAAGACGAAGGAAGCACAGCGGGCGATTTGACGGAGCAGGCCGGACGTATGCAGGTGCGCAGCCAAGTAGAGGAGGACGAGGAGCTGGATGAAATTGAGGAGGAGGAAGGACAGAGCGATGACGATGACGACTTCGATGACGATGGCGCAGCGTCCCAAGCCTCATCTTACGCACCGGCCTCTGTCTCCTCGTCCACGGTCCACCAACTCACGGCCGCCGCCACAGCGATTGCGAGCACGCGCGGCGCCTCGCCGCCATCTGCTGCGCAAGGAAAGAATGCAGGATCGGTCCAGCATCCCCACCCTTCGACGTACCGCTCGCCTGGATCGTCGTTCTCCAGCAACGCCTCTTCACTGCAGCGTCTCACCAATCCGCGCGCAACCAGCATCGCAGCCGCAATGTCGCGCCTACCGGACACGCCCCTCCCAAGCGCGACGACATCTCCGGCTTGCATTGCCTCGCTCAGCCATCACCCGACGCAGAGTGCGCAAGCCTTCTTCAGCACGAAGCTATTCACCGACTTCCCTACATCAAAGGGCAGCGAGGGATTGGTCGGCGTGGCAGACGATGCCGGCGTTGACCTCGCCTGTCCCGGATGGGAAGGGGCTGTACTTGACCAAACCCGGCTTGGCGGTGGTCGTACGCTGTACACTCTTCTCCCTCCCAGCGCTCGCGCCGAGCGTTTGCGCGAGGACGTGCTCGCTCTCCTAGATTTGGCGTCGGAGAAGCTCGGCTGCGGTGTCGTGGTCATTGCGGTGGACAAGCAGGGAGTGACGGACGACGCGGAGCGCAAGGCTGTGCTCCACGGGCTGTGCTACGTTGGTGGGAGCGTGGTGAGTGCGCATGGCGGCAAGGACCCGATATCCAGGTGTACGGTGAGGAGGGGGACCGCGCTCGTGGCGGTAGAACTCTAAGCGGGGGCGCTGTAGCCCTCGACAGCATCGCACTCTTTCTCAACACCAACTCCCGTGTCACCCTGCTACTGCTTCTCTTTGTCCCGCTTCACGATTCAAGTTGCGAATCAAATAACCACATCTCAATTGACAAAAACGAGTCCGTAGCAGAAAGCAAGCCGAGCCCTCACGCCAGCTCGGTGGTATAGAGTTCCACTGGCCCCCGCCTCACGAGATTTGATGACCACAACGCGTGCAGATCTTCTTCTTGTCGACGAGGAGGGCCAGAAGACCGCACGGGCAGCAGAGGACCGCCACCAAGATACCGACGATGCCGTATTTACTGACGGGCGAGCACGACGGGTTAGCAACCGGCAAGGCTGGATAACGTGGTGGGGGCACAACTTGCACTCACGTATCGTAGGCGTGGTTCCCCGAGGCACACTGTGACATCATCATCTGCTGGTATCGGGCTCCGTCGGTCATATCGACGGCGGCAGAGTTGAAAGGCTGACCCGGCTGTCCTGGCTGACCAGGCTGACCATGTAGCTGCATCTGGGGCTGCATCTGGGGCTGCATCTGGAACCCACGCTGATCCATCTGAGGCTGAGCCTGAGGCTGCTGTTGCTGCTGCTGCTGGCCGTAGGGCGACATCTGACCCTGCTGCTGAGGGTAGCCACCCTGCTGAGGGTAGTCACGCTGCTGAGGGTACTGCTGCATTTGCTGAGCAGAATCGGGATAGGCATTATACGCGGCGGCGGGCTGCTGGATGGGCGAGGGTTGCTGAACTTGAGCCATCTCCGAGTAGGTTGGGGCCATCGAGACTGAGCGTTCGAGCTGGGATTGATTCGGGGGAGGGGAGGCGGCCATGGTGACGACGGGGGCAGTCTTTTCGTTGACGGACATGCGGGAGGGCGGGGAGACAGAGCGTGTTGGGGGCACAAGATGTCGCACGAGGTCTCGCTCTCACCCTCTTATAGCACAGCCAATCGTCTGACCGTTCACTTGTACCTGCTAGCTCGAAAGTCCAAAGCTAGCAAGAGCAGGCAAAGCAAGCAAGCAAGCAACCTCTCGTCTGCTGGTCCTCTGCTCGCCCGCACGACATCAATCAAGTCTCACTTCCATAGCCGCCCGCCCCGCTCAACCTCCGGAGACGCCCTCGTCAAGCGCCTTCGGGCGTTCAGGCCACTTGAGTCGCACACAGCCGAAGCGAGGCAACGAGGCGCGGGAACACAGCCAGCCTTCTCCCGCTCTTTCCTTCTTGCGCTAGCTTTCGACGCTACGAGGCCTAATCGAAGTCTCCCGCTTTGCGTGAGAACGACGATGGAAGGGTGGACAGAGGACAACAAGAGGGTGAATCTGCAGAAAGAGAGGCGAAGATGCCGCGATAAGAGTCCACGTTGTCGGACTGATGGCGCTAGTCGCCGCGCCTAGGCGCGTGCGATTGAGTACGAGAAGGGGTGAAGAGTCGGGCTTTCAAGAGCGCGGTGGGCGTGGTCGGCACGATGAAGCAGACGAAGGAGAAGAACAAGGAGATGTAATCGATCAGTCTGCACTGACGCTAGCTGTGTATGAACAGGGCTGGGCGAGAGATGCACAGAGCGAGACCGGAGCAGAAAGAAGAGAGATGGAATCGTATAAGCCAAATGAGAAGCAAGGGGGGAGGCGGAGGAGCAGACGAAGTGGAAAGCTAGACATCCTCCTCCTCTGCATTCGCCACGATCACATGATCAGTGCCTCTGGCCATCCTCTTAACGCTATCGGCTTCCGCAGCGCCGCCGCCTGCCGCCGAGCGTGCCTCAACCGTGGCGTCACCGGCATCTAGCGTGTTGAGATGCTCACGGTCATGACGTACAAGCACAGCGCATCCAGAGCAGGAGCATCTTGGATTCCCCGCACAGCAGGACGGGCCGTACTGACGGCAGCAGTTGCAGACTAGACTACGTGAGAGAAGGACCTGGTCCAAGGTCGCATCACTCAGGTCAACGCCAGACATGTCCCGGCTGCCGAGCTCTACCGCTCCCTGGCCAGGAGCCTGAGCGTTGCTGCCCCGTACGAATGTGTCCTTCTTACCGAGAGAAGATTGTTGCTTGCTAAATCCGGATACCGCAGCGGTGCGAGGGACGTTGTCTCGAGGCTGAGGAGGAGAAGGAAGTCGCAACTCGCCACGAGCGCTGACGGGAGGATTATCGCAAGTACCGCACGAGCAGAATGGATTGTGCCCACAGCAGACTGATGTCGATGCTGACTTGCAACATCCACAGAAGCCAGTTTGGCGTACGAGGAGGAGAGGATCTTCTGACGCGTCACGGGTGCTTTGGGAATTGGGCTCTTCGCTTCCTACAGGAAGCCGCGTGACGACGTCTTCTGTCAGCGCGGCAACAGCCGCGCTTCCGCATTCTGAACAAGTGCACCACCTGGTCAACAGGAGGAACCGGCGTACCTTTGGCGTCAGTCAACAAGTACACTATTGACGACGAGGGACGCCCGATTTTCTCACCATGGCTTGCCCGAACAACAGTCTGTACTGGATTTCGTCTTGCAACACGTACAAAAGGTCGAATTGTCCTTCCATCTAGAGTTGAGAATGGTCTTCTTGAAGTGCTGACTCGTCTCGTCGTCGAGTAATGTCCCTTTGACTGCGGCGCGTCCCGGAGTGCTCTTCCCGCTGACAGCGGCAGGAGTGGAGCGCGCACTGAGCTCCGTTTCATCCGGATGATCGCTGTTTCCGGCGGACCTAGAGCTAGCCTGAGTCATGCCAGATAACTGTCGACCTTGGTCTTCGGCACACGAGAGGGAGTCGCTACGAGCCTGAGTGGGGGCAGAGCAGGGAATGCGGAGCATCACGATGGTGAGCCGGGGTGCGAGGAGAAGTCACGGCCGCTGCAGAGGGCTTCCCACCTGAAGAGGGTGTTCAGCACGCCCGGACTCGTCATGATGGCCCCGAGAGGAGGCGATGGCGATGGACGAAGTGCGAGGATGTTCTTCGATGCGAGGAGCGACGCCGGCTTCATCAACCCGATCGAGACTGTCGGAGCCCCGCCAAGGCAGGGCAGCCACGGACAAGGCGATGACGAGGCCAATGGTGAGCGTCCAAGAAGCCTCGAGGCGAATGGAGGAAAGGCGCATGACAGAAGCGTTGTGGGGTGCGCGATTGCTCGTGTGGTGATGGTCGCTGGAGGAGGGTTGCTTGGTAGGGTAAGCAGGAGAGGTTGCATCTCGAGCGACGAGGCTGGATTGGCTAGCTCGCTGTAGGTCAATGGGCAAAGGGAGGGCAAGAGGTCTCCGGATCGAAATGTTAGAGACTCACGGCAAATGCTGGGCAAAGGGTAAAGCGCACAGGCCATCACATTGCTTTTACTGTCTGAAATGACCACTATCATTTAGCAAGCGGCACCATATCTCGTGGCGACGCTGCAGGACTGCTCATACCGTGGCAATAAAGAGAGACTCTAAAGTATTGAGCTAAAGGTGGGGGAGGCAGACTGCCTCGAGAATGGGGTCGGCAGGAGGAGGGAGCGCTCTCCGAGCGTCGATGCTGGCTTGTGTAGCAGCCGACGCGGTGGTCCTGACTGCTTGGTCCTCCTTGGCAGCAGGGCGAAGATGCGCTGTAGGCTTTGAGCGGCAGTAGCGAGACCGATTTCGAGCATGAAGCCCTTGAGAGCTTCGAAGTCCTGCTCCGCCAAGGAAATGATGAGGTCGCTCGATAAGTCTCGTGGCGCGACGCGGAACCTGACTTTGTAGAGCGCCGATTTCACTCCTCGTGGCATCAACGCCTGAAGAGCTCTCTCCTCCCTGCGACTGAGTCGCGCACCCAACACCAAGCAGCGTGCTAATCCAGGTGCCCAGTTGTAGAGGAGCTCGCCGGCTGTGATCAGCTTCTTCCTCGTGACGTGCAATACCTGGACCGCAGCCTCTTGGAATTCTCGCGCGCTTGCTAGCTTGTGAGAAGTGAGCTCGAGGCTTTGGGCGTTGTCGCCCCGAGCGAGAGCGGAATGATGAGCGAATTGGGTTCTCAGCATCGTGATTCTGGCTGCTTGAACGCCGTTGAGGGAGACACGTATGTACGAGCATCGATGCTGGCTTGGAAAGCAGCCGACGCGGCGATCCTGTCTGCTTGCTCTTGCTCTGGCACCACGGCGAAGATGCGCTGCAGGCTTTGAGCTGTAGAGACGGAAAGAGGCAGCCGCTTGATCTGCAGCTTGATAGGGTACGACCCGTTTCCGTCTGCACGTCCAACCTCCAGGACAAGGCAGCGGTACTTCGGCATGTCTGCCTCCATACACGACACGACGAAGTCCTCTTCTGGCGAGGGCGTAGAGAGTCGGCGCAGGCGGCAGACAACTTCGCCCACGTCGGCGCCGGGGAACAGCTCTTGGATTCGGCGTCGGTCGTCTTTGCTGATGCCGGATCCCAGAACTGACGATGTACCCGATAAGGTGAAGTCCCACCTGTACTGCATCTCATTAGCCCAGAACAGCTCCGCCCTCGTGCTCCTCATCGCCGCCACTGCCCGCTGATGGAAGCGCTTTGCCTTGGTCAGCTGCGCGATGGCAAAGAAGGCGGTAGTGACCCAAGTGGCGACGGTGACGGCGTATTCGGCCTTGATGACGTCGGCCTCTGCAGCGCGAGCGAGCTGGAGTACGGTCTTGTACCTCTCGTCGACGATGCCAAAGGGAGACACAGCACCATCAGGACCGTCGAGGCAGAGCGTCGCATTGGCGCCAAGGACAGCAGGCATTTGGAGCAAGCCGTAGTCCGCCCGCACTGTGACCATCTCTTCTTGCAGCTGGAACGCCCCCAAGCCCCGGCAGAGGACAGGTCCGTAGACGGCCAGGCGCACCGCCCTGTGCTCGTGCGACATTTTGCCGTCGACGTCGCTGGCTTAGCTCAGCACCAAGGTCATCTTGCGCTTGCACAGGAGATACACCACCTGTGCTCGTGCTGGCGAGGAGGCCGCTGAGCTACAGTGTCGCTATCGACGTGGCCGACATGCTGTGATTGGGTGCTGAGCATGGCCTTGCGTTGACGATGCTTCCGCCGGTGAAGGCGGGCGTGTGCGACTGCTTACAGTACCCCGTTCCCAATGAGAGGGTGGCTGCGGCGAGGGTGCGACATGGTGAGGATACGACGCCGAATGATCAGACGAAGTGCTTCGTGTTGGGTGGTTGTGGAGGTGGGAGAGGGTGAGGGTGCCGTGTATGCTGGTGGTGTGTAAGTGAAGAAGCGGTGCTTGAGGTGAGGAAGTGTGCCGAGGAGTTGCGAGGAATAGGGTTGACCAGGAGGATGATTTGGTATATCTGAGAAGATGGAAGATGACGAGCACGAAGAGTAGTGAGGATGGATGTGGGCGAGTGCTCAGCAGGAGTGGGAGGGTCGGACTGAAGGCCACCCAACGCCAGGCCACGTGGCCTGGCTTGGCTGCTCTCCCTTCTCGCCCACCCTCCCTCCTCGCCTACGCTAGCTTAGCCTTGTCTTTGTGCACCGACTACGGCACGGCCCGCAAGAAACGGAGATGGAGACGATGGCGATGATGGTCAGGAGAACAAAGCGGTCGACAAAGCTCAATTGGCTGTGTTGTTGCTGGCATACCTCCGCTCGATCCGCTCGTCGAGTCCTGGGTCGTCACGGCGCCATCGCGGCCCGCGCAGGGAGTAACGGCGACGCGGCTCATGATGAGGTCCGGGGCGGCTCGACGGTGGTCTCTACGAATCATCCCTGGGTCGTGTGGAGCACCGCCGACACGATCGAGCGAGGGTGTGCGACCCAGCAGCTGGATCATCGGTCAGCAACGTGTTTCCATCGAACCCACCTCATCATCTCTTCAGCTCTCTTCTCTCTTCCTTTGCCTACCTTTGCACCGTCGCGATGCTCCTTCTCCCTTCATTCTTGCCGCTGACGGTAGTCCTCGTTGCCCTCGGGCGTGCCTGCCTGGCTGATAGCCTCAACGCTAGCCTCGGGCATGAGCCTCGCGACCTTCTTGCTCCTCGGAAGCTGCCGGATGCCGATGGCAACAAGTATCGCTTCAAGTTCGGCGGTCCTACCCTGAAGGGTGATACGCTCTTTGGTGTGGGCATAGGTAGCTGGTGAGTCCAGGGGATTCGGAGATCGCTACCAGAAATTTCACTGACATCCGCTCCCGCCGTGCCCAGGCTGGTCCTCGAATCCTTCATCACGCCCAGCATATTTGATCAAAGCGGCAAAGATGGGAAAGCGGTGTGAGGACCCTCGCCGCTGCTCTGTCACTCATATCGTGTCTGGTGACTTATCTCCTTGTACCCGCGCAGGTATGACGAATGGACCTTTGTCGACGCCGTCGGCGCTCAAAAGGCCACCCAGATCCTGCGAGACCACCACGACAAATGGATCACCGAGGACGACTTTCGACTCATGAAGGAGTACGGCCTCAATGCTGCGCGCATTCCCATCGGGTACTGGGCATTTGATGTTCAGCCCGGTGAGAGCTATCTCAAGCTCGATCAGTGGGCTATGCTGCTACGTGCTTGCGAGTGGGCGCAGAAGCATGGCATCAAGGTCATCGTGGACCTGCATGGCGCGCCGGGCAGTCAGAATGGTAAGCAAGCCAGGATGAACAGGTTCCTGCACCATGTCTCTGACGTGATACCTCCTCGCGCCAGGCTACGATCACTCCGGCCATCGAGGCGCCCTCAATTGGTGAGTGCGGCAATGAGCTGCCCCATCCCCTACCCCCCTCTTGCTAATCCTGCCCCCTCATGCCCGCACACAGGGACAAGCAGCAAAGCAACATCGACCGCACCCTCGCCATCATCCGCACCATGGCCACCGAGTTCTCCCAAGCAAAATGGGCAGACACGATCATCGCCCTCGAGTTGCTCAACGAGCCCAAAGGCGTCGACATGGCCAAGCTCAAGAAGTTCTACCAAGACGCCTACCACGAGATTCGCTCGAGGGGCAACTTGGCGGTGGTACTGAGCGATTCGTTCATGGGAGTCGGCAACTGGAACGACACTCTACCCTACCCGCAATACGAAGGAGTGCTCATCGACCCACACATATACTTTCTCTTTACGGCTGCGGACCTCAAGCTCGACCCCAAAGTACGCGCCTATCGCATGTGCAGCCATGTCGCTCAGTTCAAACAGATCAACAGCGAGCACCACTGGATCATGACGGGCGAGTGGTCCCCGGCTTCGACCGACTGCGCGATCAACATCAACGGCCGTCAAGCCGGCTCGCGCTACGACGGCAGCTACAAGGGCGGAGGCAACAATAATGGCGCCGTGCAGAACGCCAACATCGGATCGTGCGCGCCTTGGAGGGGCTCGGCGAGCAAATGGAGCCAAGCGCAAAAAGACGATCTGGCTCGATGGTGGGAGACGGGTATGGATGCCTATTACTCTGGGGCAGGCGGATTCTTTTGGGCTTGGAAGACGGAGGATGGGACGGCAGAAGACTTTAGCTACGTAGCCGGGGTCAAGAATGGGTGGATCCCGAAAAATCCTCGTGCCAGGCCGCATGGCTTTCATTGCCCAGGCGTCAAGGAGGAAGGGGCCATCAATCTGAGCAACGGTAGTAGCGATGGTGGGACGACGGGGAAGTCGCAGGCTTCGATGGCTAAGCGTGGGGTTGGTGGTATCGCGGCCAGGTCTTCGTACGTGCCCTGCAGCATTTTCGGCTCGACGTTGATCGTCGGCGGATTGATTCTGCTTTTCATGTGAGCGTACAGCGTACGCTGGACATCATTTTGCTTTCTCTTTTCGCTACTTTTGCTTTTCATGCTGCGCCTAGCGATGTATTCACGTCGTCGATCTCCTTCCTCGCCCGCTGATTGATCTCGCCGCCGCGATCGGCTCGAATGACTGTTGCCCTCCTTGTCTCCAATCACCCACTTTCTCCCGCCTGCGTTGAGGCCGCAACGCATGTTCGGCATTCGAAGCTTGGCAAGAAGCCTGCCCCGGAGCAAGCAATGGCTTGACCAAGGGAGATCCTTGACCTCATCTGACCATCTTCATTTCTTTTCTTCCTCTGCGCTGGTCTGGGCATCGTACAGCGACATTTGTACCGTATCCCAACGATTGATGCCTATTCTCGAGGCCCAGGAGCGCCGGTCCTGACCTGGTCACGAGCTCAAATCGCCCACTTCTCACTCTTCTGGACCTCGTCTTTCTGCGCCGAGAATGGCCTTCTTTCTTCCCCCACCTCCGCCCCACGCCGGCGCCTACGCTCCGCCGTCTACAGCACAACGACGGCGTAGCAGCTCTGAGCCGCCCATAAGCACAACATCGAAGCTGTGGCGAGTAGCGAGCTCAGATACCACACAGAATGATGCGCCCATAGCGTCTGCGATTCAACGAGGTAGCGGCTCGCAAGTGTCGCTGGATAAGCTGCTGCGATCGCCTCCCTCAAATGATGCTGCAGTCGTGGGAAGCGCTGCGGTCGCCATTGCTAAGAGGTCCACCGTACGGGCTGGGCGTGGTACCGGCGCCAGGACGACATACTCAACACCTGCCGAGCGACAGCCCACATCGCCCAGGTGCCATGTTCATCAGCCGCAGCAAGTCTCCTTCTTGGCACACGTCAGAATCGCCTCCAGCCCGCCGAGGAGTGAGCTCGTCAGCGCCAAGAGCCCAGCTACGGAACGAGCAGCCGTGAATGCGGCAGAGTCACCTAGCCAGCTCAAGGGCAATTCACCATCGTCATCCCGACTCAGCACGCCCATCACCAAGCGCTCCAGGTGGCAACTACGCCCCTCGATCGCACCCAGCTCGAGCGATGCCGCAACCTCTTCGCACATCGGCGAAAGTCCAGTCAGCCCAGCTTCGCCAAACGCATACATGAGCCTCCTTGCCAGAGCTCGCTTACCGCCAAGACCGGGTTCCTCATCCTCGCTCTCGTCTGTCGTCAGAAGGAAGAAGCACCGCTCGACATCGCCGGCTCCAAAGCGCAGCATCAATCACTGTGAGCCCATGCCGGGGCAGGTGGGCTTTCCTGAGGGGTACATAGTGGCGAGGTTACATCCTGACGGGTCTTCGACGTCTAGACCACAGTCAGCGCGCTCAAGAGGTGCTATACCCAGCTTCGACGGCCTCTTTCGTCCAGCCAAGCCGCAGGACCTTGCGAAGCCCAAGAGCAGTTTCTATCCGGGCACGCTGATTCTCGTCCGAGGCGAAGAGGAGGGCCGGCGTATGGCTGCCAGGCAAGAGAAAGAGGACTTCGCCCACGAGCTTCAGCGCAGCGACACTTTCTCGAAGGCGCGAAGCAAGAGAAGCGCGGCGCTCACTGCTAAGCTCAAGGAGAGTATCGAGAACTTCTTTTATGTGGATATCGAGCCAGCGGAGCGCAGTGGGAGGGAGGCTCAACAGGTTAGAGAACAGAAGCAGCGAAGGCGAGCGAATAGCACAACCGGATCAAGTTCACATGCGCAGCATCATGCGTCACCAGCTTTTGAAGGATTGCCCGCTCATGCAGAGCAAGGCGAACGAGCTGAGCACAATGAATCAGCAGTGCGAATGGAAGCCCATTCGACACCTCCGACTTCACCAACGATACCGTCGCGCAAGGTCTCTGCTCGACCTGCTACAGCTCCATCATGGCAGACAGCTCCATTGAGCTCTGCAGACGCCACCAGCCAAATTCGCACTGGCGAGCCGACCTCTGCGACTCAGCTGCGGCAAGCCTTTTCCGAGCGTCACGAGCCAGTCGCGGTCAGAGAGTCCGCAACAGGCGATACAACAGAGCCTATAATCCTGGAAAACCAGCCCATCATTCTCTGGTCAGGCTACACTTCGCATTCCACCTCTTCCGCATCTTCCGGCTCCTCTCGCCGCTCAACCTCCTCCTCCTCCTCATCACCGTCATCCCCCGCCGCTACCTCAGGGCGCGACACGCTCAAGGACTCCAGGGAACTGATAAGCGCCAAAATGCAAGAGGAAGAGGCAAAGTCGCCTCGAGTCGTCTCTCGATCTCAGCACCTCAAAGAAGTCGCATCGAGGGACGGACTTGCAGGCCTGGTGCGACTGGCAGTTAAGAACGTCGCGAGGGGTGCGAGGAGGGGAATGAGACCGAGGACGCCTGCCCCTTCACTTGGACCAGATACGGTACAAAGTGGTGCACTTTCCGTAGCGAATCAAATTCATGAGCAAGGTAGGCACGATGACCTGCTCAACGGTGGTATTGCACGTGATCAAGAGGACAGGCGAGAGACACCGCCGCCCTTGCCACCAAAGCCGAAGCTCAGGCTCGACACTCAGCTGCAGGGCCAGCGGCAAGGCGATGAAGAGATTGAGGGGAGATCAGCAATTGACGAAGGGCGCGGGAGCCGGCGCGATCACAAACGCTCAAAGCAGAACAACAACCAAAGGCTCACTCCCCGACCCAAGCGCGAGGTACGCATCGTCGTTCAGCCGGAGAGGCTGGGTCGACCGAGCACTGCGCTCGCTCATCTGTCGAGTCATGGTGGCGAGGCTCAAGCAGGCAAAGCAGGCGCGCAATTGCAATCGCAATCGAAGGAAGTCCTCATTCAGGAGGAAGCGCGTCATCGAGCGGATAGATGCACAGCAGCTAGCGACGAGCTGACAGCCGCAGTCGAGCTCGCACTCTCGTCTACGGGCCACGATGAAGCAGAGGGTAATCCCGTAAGCAGAGGCACGAAGAGCTCGCCCACCGTCCTCGCGCTGAACGGCAAGCTACCCGTCAAACCGAGACGCACACCATGGGATTGGCCCGGTGACGCGGGATGCTGAGGCAACATCGCGTTGAGAATAGAAGGCCGAGAACGCGGATAGTCTTCCGGCAAATGCATTAGCAAAGTCAGATAATTTCCAAGCCATCATCGTCATCGTTGCCTCCCCCTTGCTGCTTCGCTTCTTGCCCTGACGGCGCCCGTACGCCGCTCTTCCTCCGGTCTTGCCTCTTCAAGCTCAGCTTCGCCTCGCCCAGCTGAGCGTTCGTTGCCGAGTGGCGCGTCAACAGGCTTGACGTCCTGCCCGTAGCGGTGGCCGTGGACGCGGCGCTGGTGCGATTCTGGCGTGATCGAGAGTCAGAGAGCGGGTCGAAGCCCATCAACTTGATCGCCGAGGCGGAGTGGCGCCATCGCTGTTGTGAGCCTTGTTGTGACGAGGCGAAGGAGGGGAAGGGTTGCGACAGTGGGTCATCCCCTTCTGCGTCAGGCAACGGTCCGGCATGGCGGGCACTGCGCCCACTACCAGCTATGGCTGCAGCCTTCTTTGCCGCCTTCTCCTTTCGCTCCATCAGCGTGCGCTGGGCGTCCGCAATAGCTAGGGCTCCCGTACTGTGCGTTGGCAAGCTGAAAGCCGTCTCGGCACCATCATCAGCCCCCGCAGCGCTCCTCTGCGACTGCGACGGCACAATCGGCGCATATCCGGCCCTCTTCCTCTCCAACTCCAGAAGCACCGCAGCCTCCTCCTCACGCTTACGCTTGCGCAACTCCTTCTCCTCCTTCTCACGCCCGTACGCGTCGCGCACACAGAAGAGCTGGCTACGCTCGTCGGTCCGCTTGATCTCTTCGCCCCGCCTGGCAGTATTGTCGAGAATGAATTGCGGTCGACCAGGCGCCGTCGAGCTGTCGAAACCGTAGCTGATCTCGCTTGAGAAGGCCTTGCGCTTCGGTGGATCCCAGCTTTTACGCCCACCGCGACTCCAGCCGCCGCCACCACTGCCCCTCTTATTGCGGGCACTCCCCCGACTATCGTATCCCACCATCCCGCCACCACCAAAGAAGGAGCTGGTAGTATTCTGCAGCTCCTGCCTCCCCTTGTGCGCTCGCGAGGCTCCATGATCCAGATGCCAGGAACACAACGCAGTCGCTCTTGCCCCGCCAACGAGTTGACGTCTGTCGACGAATTTCCCACATTTTGTGCCATCGCTGCGTTGCGCGCTGCACTCTGCGTAGTCTTTGCACCGACCGAGGATGTAGAGAGATTCGGCGTCGCGAGGCATGATGGTCATCACTTCGTTGGTCGGCGTGTCGTTCTCAGCTTGCTGTCCGGGTTTCACAGCCTTCTTCTTGCGGTCACCAAGTAGAATGGGGTTGATGAGGGCAATGACCGCTCCGCCAGTCGTCTCTGCCTCCAACTTCTCAAATGCCCCACGCGACCCGCCAATCCACTCTCCCATATCCTTGTCCCGTCGCTCCGCCTTTTTGACCATCAGCTTCAGCCGATCGTCGCCCCTCGCCTCGCCATCATCCTCGGGCCGATCGGACAGATCCTGAAGATCAAAGAAGCGCAGCGCCGTCCTCTGAGCCTTGCGCTGCGTGAGTCTGTTAGCCTGGTACGTCTTGGCGCTGTCCGTACCCTGCTCATTGCGCTTGCCCGTAAGCCACTCCTCCTCGTCCACCAAGCGAGAGGAGACCATCCCCTCTTCACCAAAGGGATCCTCCTCGTCTCGCTTGGGCAAGATGGACTCCGACGCGCTCGTAATCGTGACAATGATGACAAAGTCCCCGGGGACAGGCACATCGTAGTCGCCATCTGCGCCCTTTGCCCTACCTAGAGCGGGCACACGGATGGAGTAGAGCTGGCTCGGAGAGAGGAAATAGCGTCCGTGCATCACGCTCTCCTGGAACTCGTCGTGGGAAATCCATCTCTTATCGCGACTGAACCTCTGCCCGGAGTAAGGCTCGTATTCCTTGTGTTGGCCCGTACCGAAGTCTATAGGGCCTGGCTTTAGGTCGAGAGACTCCATGAGGGCGAGGCGATCATCTCGGGAGAGGGACTTGGATTGAGAAGAGGCTTCGCGAGCTTGTTGCGATTGCGCTTGTAGGGAGGCGGCGTGATTGAGGAACCATTGTGGGCGCGGGCGAGGGGCGCGAGGGACGGCTTTGGCTTGACGTACCAGGTCATCGACGCCGGTTTGCACGCGCGAGGAGATGTACTCTGGGCCGAGGTACGCGGAGGAGGAGGATGAGGGGCCGGCTTGCTGCGGGCGAGACGAGGAGGCTTGACCTACTCGCGTGGGGCTATCTGGAACGAGAACTCCAGCAGTAGACGATGAAGGCGGCGCAGCAGTCCTGCTCCCAGACGGCTGACTTGAGGGAGTCGCGAGCTCATCATCATTCGTGGACAGTCTCGCCTGCAGCGCCCGAATCTGCGCCAGGATGGCCGCGTCTGCGTCGCTGCCTGCCATGAGTGCGCTATATGAGGGGAGGCGAGTGTGCTAAAGAGGAGGAAGAAGTTTGGGATGGTGGCGTTGCCGCCGTCTAGCGGGCGGGCTGCGATGCTACGTAAAGGATGAGCAGTAACACAGAACTGTGCCCACATCACATCCGCCTGTCCGCCCTCCTGTCCGCCCAAGATTGGCGCGTCTCGCGTGTCGCGTCTGGCGGCGAGCCATTCACGAACTCCATGGCCTAGGATACGGAGCATCCACAGCCAGAGTCAGCTCTGCAAGGCGAAAGCGAAAGACGGGATGGGATTACGATATGTAGAGGCAAGAAGGCGGGGCCCACAAGACGCAACATGAAGGCAAAGGGTGGATGGTAGAGAAAAAAGAGAAAGTAAGGAAGAATTTTCGAAGATGCGAAAGGATGGGCGTCGAGTGCAGGAAAGAGGCATAGATGAGGGCCAATAGCCGCGAGCTTCTTTAGGGGTAGATTGAGGGTGGCTGACTGGCTAGCAGCCGTAAGAGAGTAGGTCTCGACGAGGCAAAAGAGGAATAGGAGCTGAGAGGACAGCATCGTCGTCGTCGTCGCCACCGCCGCCGCCTTGGTCATAGCCCCAGCGCGGTATGTCGGCAGCTTCTGTGTTTTCCGTGTGTCTTAACGTTGCAGTCGGGTATAATCTTGATGTTGATGATAGTGCGCGCGAGTTTGAGCGACTAGTGGCGACGATGACGACGACGACGACGACGACAGCCATTCTCTTCCCTCTGTTCTCCATCACCGCTCCCCTCGACGCGGCAACAGCTCAGCGCCGCGCTCGACGCTCAACGCTCAACGCTGCTCCCCATCGGCCAATCCCGTACTCATGAGCACGCGGTGATACAAGAACTTGTAGCTTGTGAGCGGCCCACGCAACCTTCTGATGTCGAGGCTGTAGAGGCCATGCAAGTTCTTGATGCGCGTAATCTCCACGCTGAACCGTACCTCCTGTCCTCCATCCACACGAGGCTCGCCATAGATGGTAGGCGGGACAGACTGCTGACCCTCGCCACCCACATCAGGCAAGGCGACGCTGCTCATCGAAGGCGAGACCTGGTTGCTACCTCGTCGCAGGAAGGAGCGAATACCCGAAGAAGACGGGCTCATGCTCATCCCCGCCGCGCTCGTACCACTCGATCCTGGGCCCTTCTCATAATCCGCCTGGCTGGGTGGGAAGACCGACGTGCGGATGCTCATCCCCAAGCCTTGCGTGGCGCCAATGAGCGCACTCTTGTTGGGCTTGCGCCTGCGCACACACTCAAGCTTGAACTCCTCCTCGCTCTCCTTGCGTGCTTCGATGCCCATGTCGTGCAGGGCTCGGCAGACCTCCGCAAAGACTTGGGGAGGAGGGCGTGAGGTAAGGGCGGACTGATCGACTGCGCCGAGGTGAAAGCGCATGGCGTTCTCGTTGTACGAGGAGGCGCCGCCCGCGGCAATGGGATTGGAAGAGGCGCGTGGGGTCGACAGGTTGGACGAGGCGGCAGCTGCAGCCGCAGCCGCACTGCGCGTGTTGTACGAGGACTTAGAAGGAGTGAGTTGCTCGCTTCCACTGACATTGACGTTGCTGGCATCCGTCAAGTTCGTGGCATCGGTCGAGGCGCTTACATGGCTGAAAGCGCCGGATGTTGAGCGAGACGAGGGGCCGCCACCTTCCGAGAGAGGCGCGGCTTCGTCTCCACCAGTTACGATGACCTTGGGAGCCTCGAGCGTCGAGGCCGTCGATGCTGCACGTTGGGATCCAGTAGCAGGGGCAGCTACAGGCGCGGCAGCCCGCCCAGTCGACGATGACTCGCGCTGTGGGGCCGGACGACTCTGCTCGAATGGCGGCAGCGGGCTCTGCTCGTTGAATGTCCCGCCACGCGCCAGACTCTTCTTCCTGAACCAGTCCATGACCTTCTTTGCAGCGCTCGACGACGGGCCGACCGTCGACGATGGGTAATCGGCGGCCTGGGCTCGAGTTGAGGAGCGAGTCTGCGGGCCCGTCGTAACATTGGCGGGCGTAGCAGCGGGCTTGGAGCTGGTGGCCGTACTCGGGCGGAAGGACCCTTGCTGACTGGTGGGCGATTTGCTGTTCGCAGCCGTGCCAGGTCGACTCGACTGACTAGTCGTGGAGCTCAGCCTCAGCCTGCCAGTCAAGCGCCTCTCTTCCTTCGCCGCTTTGGACGAAGCGGACGACTCCTTGCGATTCTGCTGCTCGGTCGATGGCCTCGGTCCAACGACGAGGCTCATTGCCTTTCTCCTGGCGCTACCAGAGCGATTACCAGGCTTGTCAGCGGACGGCGCAGTCGTGGTAGCTTTGCTGTCGGTAGATGTCGTCGTGTCGTTGCTCGCGTTCGAGGCGCGAATGTCGGACGAGGAGGGCGGAGCGCCCAATAGACGAGCAAGGAAATTCTTGTCCGTCGACATGCCCTTGCGATGACGAGCGGCAGTGCGGGCTCCAGCTGAGGGCGGGCTGGACGTCGTCGATGGGCGCGGACCGGTCTTGCTGGGCGTGGTGCCGTTGGCGTTGGCTCCGGCTGAGAAGGCACGATCCGCAGGCGGAGGGAAGGGAACCTCTGCAGGCAAGGGATTGGACGAACCTCGCTGCCCGAGTGAGTCCTTTCGAGGAGTGCCGGTAGCTGTGGATGCCCTGCCAGAGGGCCTGCCCTTGCCAACGCGGCTGTCCGTTGTGGTCTCCTTGGGAGTCGTCGCAGCGCTGCCCTCTTTGGTGGGCGATTTGCTGGGTTCGGTCCCTGAGGCTGCGCGATTCGAGGTGACCTGCTCGGCCTCTGGTACCAACACTGGGATGGCGGGCACAGCAGGCGGTGTTGCCTCCTCTGCCTCGCTGGGTGCCTTGCCCAAATCCGAGTTCGAGGCGGCCATCCTCGGCGCACTGATCTTCTTTGCAATCTTCGATCGACTGCCAGGGGAGCGATGGACGCCATCTGCGGCCGGAGCTCGCTTCTTGGGCGTCGACTGGTCCTCGTACTCGAGCTGGATGGTGTGGCGTTGTGGCTTCGAGGCGGCAGGGACGCGAGCTGGAGTAGGCGGAGGAGGCATCGCTGCTGCATCGCGGGCGGTATTTGTGTTGTCGCGCAGCGGTTCTGCGACAGCGGCAGGAGGTGTTGGGAGATCGGGAACACCCGCTGCCGCTGCCGCCTTCGATTGGGAGCGAGTGACGGGAGGCGGCGAAGTGGGCGTGGCATACGTTGGTGTAGCGCTCTGATGACGCTGAGCCTTGGTGCTCTGCGGCGCCAGACCTGTGGCCACCGAAACACTGGACGCAGGCAGACCATTGCGCTGGGCCTGACGCTGCTGCTCCTGCATCTGCTGCTGGAGGAGCATCTGCTGACGGTAGATCTGACGCTTCTTGGTCTGTTGCTCGATGGCTGCTCGCTCCAACTCGTCGACGGTGAACTTGAAGAGCTCGCGGTACGGAGCGAGCCAGCTATGCGCCATGACTCCCTCGAGCGTGATGCGGCGCTGTGGATCCGGAACGAGCATGCGTGACAAGAGGTCGCGAGGCTCGGCGGTGATGTACTCGGGGAAAGAGAGGGGCGTGGCCATGATGTACTTGTAGAGGAGGTTGATGTTGTCGCTGTGCAAGGACGAGGCATGGTCAGCTTTGGCCCGCTGTGTATCGCATCGCTCGCACACACTCACCCTTCTGGGTTGGCCGGGTCATCGTCGAATGGTAGATAGCCTGCCAGCATTGCGTAGAGGATCACACCGCATGACCAAACATCGACTGCTGAGCCAGCGTAGAGGCCATCCTGCACGACGAGTTCAGGCGCTGCGTAGCACGGGCTACCGCAGCTCGTTGCCATAAGATCGTCACGTCGCTCGCCAAAGTCGTTTGCGAATCCAAAGTCGGTGATGATGACGTTGCGGTTGCGGTCCAGCAGCAAGTTCTCGAGCTTGAGATCGCGATGTACAATCTTCTTTTGGTGCAGATAGTTGACGCCAGAGATGAGCTGGGCAAACAGACGGCAGGCGTCTCGTTCCTTGAGGTACTTGTGTGCGAGAATGTGATCGAAAAGCTCGCCGCCCGAGGCGTACTCGAGGACGATGCCGATGAAGCGATCCGACTCGATGACTTCGTAGAGGCGGACGATGTTAGGGTGGCGAACGTCCTTGAGGACTTGAATCTCTCGCTCGACCTGGCGCGTGAATGAACGAGAAGGGTTAGCTTGACCTGGGAGGACCGACCAATCGCACCTACTCACCTTGCTCATCTTCGCCGGGTCCTTGGGTGGTCCACTCAGATTGAGCTGGCCATGCTCTGATCCCACCTTGTCACGCTTGATAAGCTTAACGGCCACCTCCTCTCCCCTGACGGCGTGCGAGCGAGCAAGTGCGATGGTCAGCGTCTACAAGAGTGGATCAATCTGCCATCTTTCTGCTGCTCACCATTCCTTGTGCACACCAAGCTTGACTTTGCCAAACTCTCCCTCACCCAGTGTCTGTAGCAGCAGATAGCTCCCAAAGTGCACCTGCTGCCTCCTTGGATGGGCCGCAAAATACGCCAGCGCTGCTGGCGAGGTGATCGGGATGCCCGAGCTTATCGCACTCGAGTGGAGCGAGGCATCGATGGATGGGGACATGGCCAGCTGCGGCAGGCCGCCAATGACGCTCTGACTGGATACGGGTACGGTAGGATGCGCACTGGCACGTCGATCGGCGTAGGCGCCTTGACCGCCGTTTGCTAGGCCGGCCGTCGAATCGACTGCCGCTTGACGATGCTGCGAGCTCCCGCTGGCTGGCGTGGGCATGGCGGATACGGGGCGATGCGAATGGGACTGACCACCCGTTGCGCTCTTGCTCGGTGGGTGGCGTGACGCCTGTGGGTTGCTTGCGCTACTGCTAGTAGATTGGGTATAGGCAGAAGCGGATGCGCTCGCGGGCAGACCGGCTGAAGTGGTGGCCCGCTTAGATGATGGACTCTCTGGTGCTGACATGACGATGGCTGCTTCGGGTTGTGGTTGTTGACGGGGATGGGTAGTAAAAGAGGAAGGTGTAGGGACGGCGTGCGGCTGCAGATTGTCGACGTCGATGGATGCCATGGAGAGGGCGCGGGGTGTCTCGTCGTCGACCGAGGTCCGGCGGATGTATGCTTTGGCGCTTAGCCTAGCAGGGGAGGGGAACGATGCGATGCTCGCCGATACCTCTATGTGGTGATGCCGGCGAAAGGTTGATGCGATTCCTTTGCTCGTTTGACGCCCTCAACAAGGGAGCGTAGAGGGATGAGGCAGAAAGGGGGATGTCCGGCGAGGCAAGCTACGCGTGGGTATTTCTCTCTCCAATGCCAGTCCAACAGGGCAGGCAGCGAACGGCGACGACGACAACAACGACGACGGTGTTGTTTGCTGGCGGATGAAGTGCGAGGACTAGCACGAGTTCAAGCCGCTGTCGACGTCGTAGGAGGGAGGAGTGGATTGGTGATGTTGTGTGGTGAATAGAGAGTCGTCGTCGCCGTCGCTGCTGCTGTCGTCGGCCTCGTCACCCATGCGTGCGTCGTTGCTCGCCCATCCGTCTGTGGTGCGTGTGTGTGTGTGCCTTTACCCGGGCCCCCTCGACCCGCCCCTGCCTGACGCCGTCGCCGTCGCCGTCGTCCTCGTCCTCTCCTCGTCCCTGGCGTGCAGGTTAGGCTGGGCCAAGCCAGGCGAAGGCGACTGAGCGCTCGTTCCCCTTGCCGCTTGCCGCCAGAAAAAGACACCACGCATCGACGCACCACACGCACGCGGGGCGGGGTCGAGGCGCGGCGCGACGAGCGACAACGACGATGAGGCGAGGCACAAGAGCGAGAGCGGCAGCAGAGATGGCAGAGGAGGCCCTGGCGCGTTTCACTCAAAGTCGGAGTCTCAGGGCGAGGCGAGTGTTGTTTGGAGAAGGCGGCTGAGGCGGTGAGCGAGGGGCGGCGGCGATGAGGCGAGCGAAGGGTACCAAGGAGCGCGCCTGCGTCAGCCGGCATGCAAGAGAATCAGCAACTCTCAGTAGCTACGGCAAGAAAATGAGACCTCCTCGCAGCGGTGACGCCCACGAGCGATTCGCATATCAGGAGAAGATGGACTGGAGCGGCATGGCATGGCAACGTACCGCTCGCATCCAACGCCGCTAGGATCGTTGGATCTCACAATGTAGTCACACGCTACGCTCACGCAGGGAACGAGATGCAGTCACGTCCGCTGCCTGCGCTGATGGAGGTTGGGAGAAAAGAGCAAGGATTCGATTGGGCGTCGGGATGGATGAGGGATGGGAGGGGGATGGGTGGGAACTGAAACTACGGTGACAGATTGGAACCACGATGCAATGATAGCCACGCCACGAAACCAGACGGCGCCCTCACTCAGCGTCCGTCTCCTCCTCCTCGAGTACCTCCTCAGGGTTGGCAACTCTCAGCGGGCCCCTCCTGCCAGCACTGCTACGGCGACGATCATCCGAGGCCGGCACGCCCAGGTAAGTCGCATCGTAGCCGAACGCACTGCCCTTTCTCGCAACACCGAAGCTGCGGCGACGCTTGTTGGCCATCTCACCGTCAGCCGAGGGGCATGAGTAGACGCTCGAGCCCGAACGGCTTAGCGAGGTAGGCTCAGAGACGCGACGCTTGCCGTTCGAGCTGTCAGCGAAGGGGTCCCTGAACGTGGGCGTGCCACCGGCCGCGTACCCGGAAGGAGTGATCTCGTTGCAAAGCGTCGATGGCGTGTTGGGCGCGTACCCCGATGCACCGCTCTCGCTGCCACGGGGAACGGCGGCCAGGAACGGGTAAGAGCGATGGCTCGCCTCCCCGTCGCTTACGTCCTCCATGCTGCGGTTGCTGTCAGCCATCGTCGCCCAGGGTGAGGAGAGGGATGAGGAGGGTTGCTGAGGCGTAAAGTCCAGGTCGAGATAGCGTTGGGATACGGCTCGGGGTTGCGGGCGAGGGGCAGAAGCAGCACGCTTGCCGGCAGCACCAGCACCAGCCGCGGCGGCAATGGCGCCTCCAGCAGGCAGACGCGGGCTCACAAGACCATCTGCGGGCACGATTGCATCTTGTGGCGTCTTGGCGAACTTGTTCGGCATACCCGCCTTGACGAAGTCGGGAAAGCGACCCATCGGGCTCGCAGTAGCTGCCAGTGAGTCACGCAGGGTGCGCGGAGGAAGGTGATCTTGCGGAACGGAGAAGGAGAGCCTCTCAGCGGGCATCACGTTGGGCGTGAGGCCAATAGGATCACGGAAAGGATCGATTCGACCTTGAGCAAAGGGCTCGTCCACCCTGCCATTCGTGCCCGTTCGAGAAGCCTTACGTCGCAGATTGTTGAACCAAAGTGCAGAGACGGGAGGGGCAGTCAGCCCATCATCGCCGCCGCGGCCACCGGCGTTGGCCTCCTTGTCAGCTTGCTCCTTGCCGTGCTTCTGAGCTTCGCAGCGCGACTTGTAGGCGTAGAGGCCACCGATGGCTGCGGCGAGGGCTGCGGCGCCCAGAAGAGAGCCGGCGATGGCGTTGTTGCGGGTCGCATTAGAGGAGGAAGATGGACCGTAGTTGTTGAGGTCGCCATTGTTGTTGCTGGTCGCGACACTGCTTGTCGCCACGCTGGCTGCAGAGGTGATAGCGGTAGCGACTGCCTGATCGTCCTTGCTTGCAGCTTCGGTGGAGCTGGCGCCGTCTGCCGAAGGAGAGGGAGATGGAGGTAGAGACGCAGAAGGAGCCAGCTCGCTGCCGGTAGCCATGCTCGCCGTCGCCGAGTCTGCGCTCGGGAACACCGATGCAGAGGCATCGTCTTCTTCGGGGGCAGCCGTGCTCGAAGCTGAGGGAGCGGAAACAGTAGCGTCGGATAAGGCGGTGGCAGAGGGCGAGGCGACAGTGGGCGAAGCAACGTTGGCTGCCTGCTTGAGGGAGTTGGAGGCCGTGATGGCAGCGGAAGCCGCGATGCTGGGTGATGCTTGAGCTGATGCAGATGGCGAGGTGGATGCAGATGCTGACGCTGACGCCGTAGCGGCTGCTGAATCTCCATTTTCATCCGCCGCCTCAGCATCACCCGTCTTCTTAACCGCCGAGGGGTCTTTAGCCGCAGCATACATCACGCCACGTGCAGCAAGTACGCCCTGAATGCTGTCGTGCCATCCCCATCCACCGTCTGAAGCCGTGTCCAAGTAGAAGAGCGAAGAAGCCAGCGCATTCGAACTCTCCCCTCGCTCCTCGATAGCCGCAGTCGAGTTCGTCGGGTTCGTAGCACCAAAGGCGACGACGAGGACCTCTCCCACGCGCACCGTGGAGTGGTATGCCTTAGCAGGGGCAGGCATGCTTCCCTTGGCAGTGTAGTTGGCCTTGGACCACACGGCTGGGCTGGCAGTCGCGTTGAGCAAGTAGACGTGGTCGGTGTACGTGCCGTTCTCGAGCAGGCCACCGATCATCGCGATTCGCCCGTCGCTGAGGAGGGTGGAGGTGTGGCCTCGCCTGCCCATGGGGATGTCGCCCGTCGTGTTGACTTGCGTCCAGGTCGCGTTGGCAGGCTCGTAGCTCCAGAACTTGGCCAGGGAGGCGTAGGAACCCGAGGTGGTGAGGCCGCCGAGGAAGGCCGTGGCATTGTTGTTCCAAGGAAGGGGAGACGTGGAGTACTCTGCCATGTTGAACTCGCCATTGCCCAGCGCAACGGTGACATTGCGATTCTGAGGTGCGGAGAGGGCCCAGCGGTGCGAGGTAGAGTTGGTGGTAGTCGGAAGGGTCCAAATTGAGGAGCTGATGTTAGCCGCATTGTAGTGGCGCTTGGCCTTCGAGCTGCTACAGTTGGCAGATACATCTCGGCCGCCGAGGACGAGGAAGGAGGAGGATGACGAGTTGTTGCTAGAGGGCAGCTGGACAGCCTGAGCCCTTGCTTTGCGCTGAGCGTTGGTCGCGTTGACCGCAGCCCACGTGCTATTCATGTCAGCACCTGCTGTCCAAGTCCACGCCGCCGCGGCCTCGCAGCCGACCGTCTCGCCGCCCATCAACCAGACGTGCTCCGTGCTGTTGCTAGCCACCACGGCGCTCGCAGCGAAAGAATGTGCGGGTAGGCCAGACGAGTTGAGCTTCTGCCACGGGTCCACGGGACCGGAGGTGGTGTTGTTGAGGAGCGAGGAGACGTTGAGGGCGAAGACGTCGTTGGTTAGGCTGGTGTGCGAGCCATTGGAAACTTCGCCGCCGATGAAGAGGATCGTCTCGTTGTGCGCGAGGTAGGAAGCAGATTGGCCCCAGCGGCCTGCGGGAGGGGTGAGTGAGGCCGTAGAGCTCGATGCAGACGACGAGGAGCTAGTCGATTTCGATGGCTGAGCGGTCGATGAAGAAGAAGCGGCGGCCTTTGCGGCCCTTGTCTTGGTCGTCTCGCCGCTGGACGTAGCAGGCGGTACGGGCCTTCCCTCATCGATTGTAAACTTGCCAACCTTGAGCACCGGCGCTTCCTCGTCTTCCTGCCTCCTTACACGCTCATCGCGCTGGCCATACTGACCTGCCTGCTGGTACTCATGGCCGCCCTGGCCCTTGCCAGCAGCGCCTGCTGCGATGCTGGTCGCTTGAGCGTCTTGCCCAGCGACTCCTCGAGACGGGATCGCGAGGGCTGTCGCGCCTTGGACGAGGCCCTCGTTGCACGCAAGAGTCGAAGCAATGACGAGGGAAGCGAGTGCGCGACGGATACGAAGCGGGCGCGTACGCGATGCTGAAGGTGACGGGCGCGACGGCTTCGAATCGTGGTGGCATTGTGCGAGAGTGCTTGTGCTGGTGCTGGGCATGGCGTCGAGGTTGAGCTGGGAAGTCGACGCGATGTCGAGTGACGAGGCTGGAGCGGGAGAGGGAGACGTCGCTCGGCCATGTTGAGGTGGGGCCATTGCATTATCGTGTTCGTGTTCCAGTTTCTGAAGCCTGTTCAGTGGATGCAGGGAGAAGATCGTCTAGATCTTGGCTGCGAGTGGATGGAGGGGTTGGGGGGCGGGACGTCTCGCCAGGAGATGTCGTAGGGGATAAGCTAGCCGTAAGAACCTCGAGCACAGCTCTGAAGGTGGGGAGGGGACGGGCTGCTAGGTAGGTGGTGGTGAGAATGATTGAGGGGCAAAGGAGAAGAAGCTTAAGATGCGATCGTGTGATGCTACGTCCCTTTACCTCATTTGGATACTCGTCGCCAAGCCACCAGCCGCTCGGAGAATGACGAGGGCGATGCCCAACGTCGATGTGAACCCAGACTTTCGCATCTCATCGGGGCGTGGCTCACCAACATCCACTCGACATGGGCGCGGCACCAGCTCGGCGTGTGCTTTGCTCGATGAGATGACAGGCGGGGTGGCTCTCGGCGGCGGGGTCTGGAGAGATGTTGAACGACGTGTCGCAATGGACGGGCAGAGCGAGTGAGGGCTCCAGCTAACTTTTAGCAGCTCATACACGCACACACGCACACGATCGCTGGTATATCGAGAACAGAGAAGCCGGAAGCGCAACATCGGCTACGGTACATCGTACCAGTACTGGAGACGAACATGGTGATGACCGTGGGTCGTGAGCCTCAGGCGTGCTTCTTGCATTGGTAGCGATGCCGAGATGCACAGGCAGGTTGGCAGGGCGAGCAGGCAGAGCGAGTCGAGTCGAAGAAGCACATCCAACACGGAAACGGCCACGTGAAGCATGGCATCGTGCGTGCGTGCGTGGGTGCATCCGCGAGAGCCGGGCATCAAGAGAAGCCGGGTCAATCGAGTCGAGTCGAGCTCGGGAGGAATGAAAGCTGCGAAGCCGACGAAGCGACGTTGGCTCCACTCCACGCCCATCATCAATGCCGTCAATAGAGGCTCCTCGTAGCGCGAGCTCGTCTTCACGGCGCCAAGGCAAGGCAGTCAGCGTCACTGCATCCCTGATAGACCGCAACGATGCAGCGCTGCCAGCCGATATCGATGGCAGAGGAGGCTTTGCCCTTCTTCCTGCCGCATTGTGGGAGCGACTCTTCCCATCATCCACCTCATCTCAACATCAGGTCGTCGCTGTCACTTTTCCCGCTCAGCAGAGTCCTGAAGCGGCAGGCAAGGCAAGTGTCATCCAATATGCTGCGACGTACCTGCAGGAAGGGCAGGCGCAATCGCACGAACACATCTTCCTCTCGTCGTTCCCCTCTGGCGCATCAGGGCAGCCGATGAGTGCAACGGTCACTTCCTTGCGACCGCTGCCACTCTCCTCACTCATCCTCTCGACTTCGTCCCGCTCCTTGGTCAAACAAGCGAGCTCGTCCGCTTTCCGAGATAGCATTGCGGGAACTCTCGTGCGGCAGGGACATCTACTGCACCTGCGCGGTGGACGATTCAGGGCCGTTCAGGCTGAACCAGTCCTGCAAGGTCAGGTTGAGAGGACCACTCAGGTGCTGGTGGTGTTTGATGCCAACTTCGATGACGAAGAGGGAAAAGCAGGGCGAGAGGAGTCATTGCAGGCAGATGCGGAGGAGGACGTGGGCGAGGCTCGTGCGGGCCTTTCGATCGATGAGCGCTTCTTGGCCAACTCAGTTATCGAGGAGTTTCACGAGCAAGATGAAGACGGATCACATCAGATCGCTTCCGCGGCAGTGAATGGCTACCCCGAAGCTCGAGATCACGACGCTACCCTAGAGGCTTGGCCGATCGCGAATCGCCAAGCCCTTACGGAGCCGATCAGCGAATGGCAAAGTCGTCAGGACGGTCTATGCGAGGTGGACGAGGAGAGCGCAATTCTTCTCTCGGAGGAGAGACTGGCTGCCATTGGAGGTTTCGACGGCGATTGGGTGAGTCGTGGACGAAATTCGCAGCCACCACAATCCTGCTGATCATCCCCTCTCTTGTGTCCCACAGGCCGTCATCGAGATTGCAGGACAAGCAAGACCGCGCCTCGCTCGGATATTCACCACCTCACATTCCTCTTCCCGAGCCTACCTCCCTCCGTCACTCCTGCAAAATCTTCATGACCCTGCGACATACGCCCCAAATCCACGGGCCTCGCCTCGCCTTCTCATGTCCCCAATCTCTCAGGCTCGAGCGTCGGTCGCAGGGCCATCTGCCCCCCTCTCATGCCCTCTCCCAATCCCATTCGCCGACTCACTTACAATCGCACGAGTGCCGTCAGCTCTCTCGGTCAACCGCACCTACCAGCCACTATTCCTCGACGCCCTGAGGCAGTACTTTGAAGGGAGGAAGAGGATCGTGAGAGAAGGTGACATCATTGCGGTGGGGGTGGACAAGGGAAAGGTGCGATGGGTCAAGCAAAAGAGTACAGACGATGAGGGAAAGGAAGGGAAAGATCAGGAGACGCAGCAGGATGAGGAGCCCGTCGACTTCAAGTAAGTCAGGTCAGCCCAGCAATCGAGGAGCTAGTCTAACGCGTTCACTTTCCCCCGCCAGCCTCTCATCAGTATCCTCACGCAACGCCGCCCCAACAGACGTTGTTCACTTCCACGTCTCCTCCCTGACGGCCGAGCTCAACTCTCCGCCATCCGACACTGCCCGCGACCCGGACTTCGAAGTGCGAGAGGCGGCTCGCATCGGCACCCTAGGGGCAGTCGTCGATCCCAGCCTAACGAAGATGGTCCAAACAGGTGTCACCGGTCGTCGAGTAGCGGACAGCTCTGGCTGGCTCGGTCTTGCCTCTTCGACTCCACCGCTCCCCAGTGGCAACACCCCACTCTCCTCACCCGGATCCCCCTTTGCCCGGCTATGCCAGCTCATCTCCGCCACACTCCTCCCGTCCGCAGCAAACTACGGGCTTCACCTCTCCGTACTCCTCAAAGGGGCCCGTGGCTCCGGGAAAAAGACGGTCGTCCAATGGGCAGCCAAGCAGACGGGCGTGCACTTGATTGATGTCAATTGCTTCGACGTGCTGGGAGACAGTGACACGCATACGGAGGGAGTGCTACGCGCACGGTTCGAGGCAGCAGCCTCTTGTGGGCCAGCCATCCTGCTGCTACGGAACATTGATGCATTGGCGAGGAAGAGCCAGCAGATGGAGACTGGCCAGGAGCCAGCAATGAGCAATGTGCTGAGGGATTGTATGCGCAAGCTGCGGGAAGGACGCACTAAAGGTGATGGGGTAGTATCTGTCTTTGGCACGACGAGCGACGCGGATAAGGTGCCGAATGGCATTCTTGCGGCCTTCAAGCACGAGGTGGCCATTGAAGCGCCTAATGAGGCGAAGCGCTTAGAGATGTTGCAATCTGCTGTCGCGGGGTCGACTCTGAGCCCAGACGCAAGCTTGAAGGACATGGCGACGCAAACGGCCGCTCTCGTAGCTGCGGATTTGGTCGACCTGATCTCACGGGCACGCCTGGCATCGACAGAGCGAGTGCGCAAAGCCCTCGCCACCTCTCGAGCAAGCGCGCGCGACATCCAGCTCTCTGGCTCTTCTCTCACCGGCGCAGATTTCTCTCTCGCCCTCTCCTCGGCCCGCTCCAATTACTCCGAGTCAATCGGCGCCCCTAAAATCCCCTCGGTGACGTGGGACGACGTTGGTGGCCTTGCATCCGTCAAGCACGATATCCTCGACACGATCCAGCTGCCACTCGAGCATCCCGAACTCTTCGCCTCTGGTCTCAAGAAGCGAAGTGGTATCCTTCTTTACGGCCCACCTGGAACGGGAAAGACATTGCTGGCCAAGGCTGTTGCAACGAGCTGCTCGCTCAACTTCTTCAGTGTCAAGGGCCCAGAGCTGCTCAACATGTACATCGGAGAGAGCGAGGCCAATGTGCGTCGCGTCTTCCAACGAGCCCGCGACGCCAAGCCATGCGTCATCTTCTTCGACGAGCTCGACAGTGTAGCGCCGAAGCGTGGCAACCAAGGTGACTCTGGAGGCGTCATGGACCGTATCGTCTCTCAGCTCCTCGCAGAGCTGGACGGCATGTCCTCCGGTGGCGGGTCAGGTGGAGGAGACGTATTCGTCATCGGCGCGACGAATAGGCCCGACCTGCTGGACCCGGCACTCTTGCGCCCGGGCAGGTTCGACAAGATGCTCTATCTCAGCGTGAGCGAGACGCATGCTGCGCAGCTCAACATTCTCGAAGCTCTTACGCGCAAGTTCCGCCTCGAGGACGACGTGCGAGATTTGGGGGTTATTGCAGAGCAGTGCCCCTTTAACCTCACTGGTGCAGACTTTTATGCTCTGTGCTCAGACGCGATGCTCAAGGCCATGACGCGCAAAGCGGGAGAAGTCGATGAGCGCATCAGAGCGATCAATGCTGGAGATGTGCAGGTGGATGAAAAGCATCCCAAGCCCATGACTGCGCCTTACTATCTTTCAGAGCTTGCTAGTCCGGAGGAGATCAACGTTCGCGTCAATAGGCGCGATTTCGAGGAGGCGTTGAGGGAGTTGGTTCCCAGCGTTAGTGAGGCGGAGATGGAGCATTATAGACGGGTGCAGGGGCAATTCTCTGGACCGCCGAAGGACGAGGCAAAGGTAGAAGAAGACGAGCAGAAGGGGAGGCAGCAGGAGGAGGAGAGGAATGGCATGCTTGCAGGGCTGCTTGAGGCGGCGAGGAGCGGTGCAGGTGCTGATGGGAGCGGGTCGAGATCTGCTGAAGCTGCTGGACATAGCGGACCGACTAGAGCACCTCTTGAGCCGTACATGGTACCCCAAGAGCCTGCCGGTGAAGGCCAGGGGGTGGAAGCCGTCGTCTCACCGCCTCACCCGCCAGCGATGATGAATGGGCAGGCGGAGAACGGGAAGGGAAAGGGTAAGGGCAAGGGCAAGGGCAAAGCAAAGGCGCAGGATTGAGACCGCAGGCTACTGTATCATCACTACCCTTGCTCCTCAATGCTAGCATCCTGCGATCGCTGCTATGACCATCGTTCTGTCGCCAAGCATAACCGTGACGAAGCCTGTAAACGCCGTTCGGACCGGAAGCTCGGCCTAAAGAGCGATGCGGACTGCCGGAACAAGCGGCAAATGCGCGGAGCGGCGGCAGTCGATCGAATCTCGATTGCGTGAGAGAGCCAAAATCTGGATGCCGAGCCCCACTTCCCTGTTCTCCCCCTCGTTCTCAGCGCTCATCATCTCTCGACATGCTCAACCGCTCATAGCACATACGTTTTCATCCGCACTTCTCATCTTTTATCTCGTCTAACTCTCGTGCCGCCAACATGGAGACGACGCGCCCTTCGTCCTCATCGGCGTCGAGGATCGAGGAAGAGGCAAGTGGCTCCACTTCACCTCGCGCTCCTGTCGACCATGAGGAGAAAGGCCATGCCTCCCCACCCGCTCTTGAGCCTTATGGTCCTCCAGGCTCAGCCCGCACCCTCATCCGCGAGACGGTCGCCATCATCACCCTCATCTGCGCCATGCTGACAACGCAAGCGGCCCTGGGCATAGTTGTTGTTCCTCTCGAGATCATCGGTCGAACATTCGACGTGGAGAATAAGCCCGGTCAACTCTCCTGGTTCGCTGCCGCCTACAGCTTGACGACGGGAACCTTCATTCTGCCCAGTGGCCGGCTCGGTGACGTGCTTGGCCACAAGAAGCTCGTCGTTGCCGGATATGCCTGGACAGCTCTGTGGGCAATGGCGGCCGGCCTGGCCTCTTATGCTAGCACGCCGGTGGTATTCGACATCTGTCGCGGCTTCCAAGGGGTTGGGTACTCTCTCCTGCTCCCTAACGCGGTAGCCTTGTTGGCAAGGACGACGCACGATGGGCATTGGAAGCGGGCCCTTTACTTCACCTGCTTTGCGGCTACAGCCCCCAATGGGTTCATCTTGGGGGCGTGTTTCAGCTCATTGATCGCGCAATTTCACCCGGATAGGTGGGAGTTTGCATTCTACCTCGCAGCGATCTGCTTGGCCGGGTTGGCCGTGATTGCTGCGGGTGTGCTGCCTAGTGATGCCTATCTGAGGAGAGTGCACGGCCATGATGAGGACGATCACGACGAGGGGGAGCGCGACTGGAAGTCAGGCCTTGTCAAATGGTCCCGCCTTCTCGATGTGCCCGGAACAGTACTAGCCGTCAGTGGTCTCATCCTCTTCAACTTTGCCTGGAATCAGGCAGCCGTAGTAGGCTGGCAAGTGGCATACAACCCGGTCCTCCTCGTCGTCGGTCTCCTCCTCATCGGCACCTTCCTCTACTGGGAGTCGCGCCACGCCACGCACCCCTTGATTCCAAAGACGATCTGGACTACGCGAAACAGCATCGTGCTCCTCTGCGTTGCACTCGGATGGTCAAGCTTCGGGATCTGGAACTTCTACTCCGTGCGATGGTGGATCCAACTCAGAGGCGTGACCCTCTTGACGGCAGTCGCTTTCACGACTCCCGCTGGAGTGGCCGGAATCATAGCTGCTTCCCTGTCGGTCTTTCTCCTGTCCCGCGTCGGTCCAGGTCCCGTAATGCTCGCAGCCCTCTGCGCTTTTTGCGCCGCGAACGCCTTGCTGGCCACTATGCCCATTCAGCAGACGTACTGGGCACAATCTTTCCCGTCGTACGCGGTCGCGCCACTGGGGATGGACATGAGCTTCCCCTCGGCCTGCCTGCTGCTGGCCTCAGCGCTGCCGCAGCGACATCAAGGTGTTGCAGCCAGTGTCGTCAATACGGTGGTGAACTATTCCGTGGCGCTAGGACTGGGAATAGCGGGAACGGTCGAGTCGCATACGAGTGGGGAGGGGTTGGTGGGTAAGTGGGAAGGGTACAGAGCTGCCCTGTTCTTGGGTACGGGCCTGGCGGGGCTGGGCGTCGTGTTGGCGCTGGCGAATGTGGTTGTGACGGGGGTGGTGGGACAAAGGCGGCGGAGAGCAGGCGTGAACGGGAAGTCTTAGAGTCTCGATAATGGATAAGCAAGTTTGTGCATTCCCCCCGACAAGAGCAAGCATGAGATACAAGAGCCCACCAAGTGGCGCTCGGTCCGGTCTGGTAATCCGCAGCAAATACGTTCGTGTGTGCCCCACGTCATCTCCTGGGGCCCTCACCCATCCCACCTCCGACGGCAGGCACGGCACTCCTTGCCAGGTCAGCGAAAGCAGCCTCGAGGGCGTTGCGTACTTCGGCGTAGCTAACGACGAGACAGCTTTGCTCGTCCCGACTGGCGAGTACGAGACGCTCTCGGCTCGCAGCGTCGAGGCGGTTGAGGTTGCTCAGCACGTGCGACAAGTCCAATACGGGACGTGGTGGTGAAGGTCCTGGCCCGCCCGCCAGCGAGCTTGAAGACGATGCGGTTGGCAAGCTAGAGCTGGATGAGGACGTGGTGGCGAAGCCATTCGCCCCGCTTGACCCGCTGCCCGACACGCCGCCGCCATTGCTACCGTTCGAGCTCTCCTCGACAGAGTGGAAGAGATAGTCGCGGAAGAGAGAGACAACGTAGCGTTCACCTGTATTGCTCCAGGCCGGGTCGCGGTCGTGCTCGGGGCGTTCGTTGACGAAGCCTGCCCGGTGCGGGCGGTGTCAAGTGCGTCAGCTGTCGTGCTCCCGCAGCTTTGCTGTATATCGCTTGTCGCACACTCACCCATCTTGCAAAGCAGTCTCACCAACCTCCCATTCTCCAGCTCCTTGCTCAGCGATTCCTCAAGCAGATCCGAGTGGCTCTGAGCGGAAGAGAGCTCCTCTGCCATGCGTGGTGCCAGCAGCGTGACGAGCGCATCGGCCGTTCGCGGGCCGCGAGGAAGGGACGTCTCTTCGCCGCCCTCGAGCTGCTCGTCGTCAAACATCAACCACTTGACCACCTCCACGAGCTCCCGCGAATACTTCTGCTGCCCACCCAAGAAGGCCAGCGACCCTTCCACCTCGCGCGGCGCAGAAGCGTTTACGCAGCCCAGGCTGAGAATGAGCGCTCCCAATTGGACGAGGTCCTCTCTCTGCTCCCCTCTAAGATCCTCAGCCGTGGGTGGGTGGGCAGGATCGAAGCCCAGTACGTCTCGGACAGCACAGCAATTGATGCGTACTCTGTTGCGGCCAGTCTTGATGACTTTGCTTGGTACCAGGCAACCCCTCGCGGCCAAGCCTTGTGTGTGGATGGAGCGGAGCGCTGCGCCCAGCTGAACCAAATAGCTCCATAATGTCCTCTCCGGGACGCGATCGTCGACCCTTTCCAGCCGGCCGGTACGAGCGTCGACGCGTGGCGGCTTTGGGAGGAGATGCTCCGCAAAGAGGGTTGCGGCGTGTGGGTGATAGTCGTACACGAAGACGATGCTAGGCTCGGATGCCCATCGCCAGGACGTGAAGGCCTCTCTCACGTTGACGACTCCCGGACATCTCAACCTCCTCCACCTCTCGACCGTCTCGAGTGCCCTCTCCTTGTCGCGTGACAAGTTGAATCCGACAATCCTGCGCAGCACGTAGGCTTTGCCATCCAGCGTACAAGTAGCGCGATGCACTTCCGTCGGGTAACCACCGAGAGCAGCAGAGGGAGCGAGGGGTCCGCCAGACGAAGAGATGGGCAGCGAGGAGAGGGATCCCATTCCCAGCCCACCAATGATGCCATTCGACCCTGTCGGGAGCAAGTGTCGAGGAAGCAGCTGCGTAGCCACCCCGCCGATGGTGATTGGATTGCCCCTCGCGCCATATGGTAAAGGGCCACTCGAATCAGGCTCGAGCGGCGTGAGGTCCTTGTAGACGTGCACCTCCTCTGGCTGCGGTGGCCTCGTAGTCTGACCACCCAGTTCGTGTGGCGGCGGAGCAGAAGCATGGATAGCTTCGTTCCGTCTGAAAAGGTCTTCGCGCAGCGTCGGGCTCATGAAGTAGGCGGATTGGGCGAGATGGTGAGGGTGGAGATTGGACGTGTGCGGGAGTGGAGGCGCGGAGAGGTGGTATTGGAGGGGCTGCCGTTGGCGGACCGACGAGGAAGAGGAGGTTGAGGGGGCAGAAGGATCGTCGTAGCCTCCCTGTTGTTCCATGTGGGAGTAGGGATTGTATGCTGCGTACGGTTGGGCTCCGGCAGCGGAGGCTGCGTCATACTGCCAGCGGATCATGCATACAGTCAGCGAGGCTGTTCTCCCGCGGCTGCCACTTGGACTCACCATCTCGTGAACATCGAAGCTTTGCGTCTGCTGCGTGGGTGTCTGTGCAGCAGGTGTAAAGACGGGCGGAGGTCTCAATTCCTTGGGCGCAGGCGTAGGCGTCCCTCCTCTACTCGATGACTTGGGTACAAAGACTGCGGCGCCCGCTGCTGCTCTCGACAGGCCATTGTTGGCTGCGCCCGAGAGTTGAGGTGTTGACGACTTGGGCGAGGCTGCCTGCTGCGAGTCTGGGCGGACGATGGCGATGGCTGCTGATGAGGGTCGAGGCGGGGGACGCGCGCCGGCTATTCGGCCGCTGAGACCAGGCGGCGCTGAAGGAGGCGGTGGCTGCTGCTGCTGTTGCTGCTGGTAGTTGTTGTACATTGTCGATGATGATACACGATGCGAGCGACGAGGCAGGCGCGAAAGGGCGCACTCAAGTGAGGAAAGAGGCGCGAAGGCGAGGTGACGATGCGCGAAGACGAGGTGACGATGCACTCGACTCGACTCCCACGGTCCAACGACGGCAGCGGCGCGACTCGACTCGACGCCTCATGGCCCAGAGGCCGCCGCTGCTTCCGCTCCCGCTCGACGCACGGCGTAGACGCACGGCGACGACGACGACGACGACGGCGCACGACTTTGACTACCTCGCCATCACTTCACTTCCATCATCGTCGACATGGCAGACCACGACGATCTCTACGATGACATTTACGGAGATACGGGGGCAGATGGAGAGCACAAGGATGCGGGAGATGCTCAAGAGGGAGACGACTTTGGGCTCAACGACACGCCCGCCACTCCCCAAACCAAGTCCCAGCCTGCTCCCACTGCTCCCGCCCCCGCCGCCGCTGGAGGCAGCTTCATTCCACCTGCCAAGTCCTCCTTCATCCCTGCGGCCTCTTCGAGCTCGGCGTCGCAGCAGCAGCCCGTAGCGCAGCCCATTCAACAGGCCCAGCCGCCTCAGCAGCAGCAGCAGCAGCAGCAGCAGCAGCATGCACTCCCCCCTCCCCTTGGCCTGCAGGCGCAGAGGGCATCCAACCCTGTCCCATCCGCCAGCACTCTGCCTCCTGGATCACTCACGGGTCCCAACACCTCAGAGGATGGGTAAGTGCCAGACGACGAGTGGAGATCGGTAGATAGCATCGTCTCTGTCTTCTCTTTCACTCTTCATCGTCTCGTAGCGTAGCTGCCGCCTTAGCTTGCTTACATCTTGCACCCTGTCGCTCTTCTCTCTCGCTCTATCTCCCTCGCTATACGGGTCGGTCTCCACGTCTACGTCTACGTCTGCGTCTACGTCTTTCGCCTCTCTGCTGTCTCGGCCCGCAGCAAGATGTTCGTCGGAGGCCTCAGCTGGGATACAAATGATGGTTCGCACCGCAGCTCCTTAGGTGCCTCGACGGGCTTGCTGACCCTCGCCACCCTTTCGCCTCTGCTCGCGCTCGCAGATGGTCTCAAACAATACTTCTCTCAGTTCGGTAAAGTCATCGACTGCAACATCATGCGCGACCCCAACACGGGTCAGTCCCGCGGCTTTGGCTTCCTGCGTTTCGAAGACTCTAAGGCAGTCAACATGGTAATGGTCAGGGAGCACTTCTTGGACGGGAAGATGGTACGCAGTCGTGGCCGGTAGATGTCCAGCCGTATCTCTCAGCTGACGCCCTCTCGCTCCGCTGACTCGCGCAGATCGACCCTAAGCGTGCCATCCCGCGTGACACCTCGTCCAAGTCCTCGAAGATCTTCGTAGGCGGCATCCCCCAGCACACGACCAACGAGTCCTTTCGCAGCACCTTTGCGCAATTTGGTCGGATTCTTGACCATAATCTCATGATCGACAAGGAGACGGGCCGACCGCGTGGTTTCGGCTTCGTGACGTTCGAGAGCGAGGAGGCGGGACGCAGCGCGCTCGAGGGGAATGGAGGTCAGGTCATGCTCGATGGGAAAATGGTCGATGTCAAGAGGGCGACAAGTAAGGGTGGAGCTGCGGCTGGCGACGGGGCAGGCGGGCAGCAGCAGCAGCGCAGCAACAACAACAACAACAACTACAATAGCAACGCCGGTAGCGCGGACAACGCGAACAACGCCATGTTCAACCCGATGATGGGCATGCAGCAAGGTAGCAACAACGGCTTCGATGTCAATGCGATGGCGAACATGTTCTCGCAAGGCGGTTGGGGCACAGGCTCGTGGAATCCGGCTCTCATCCAGCAGATGCTCATGGCTCAGGCGACTGGCAACAGCGGAGGGCAATGGAACCCGATGATGATGAATCCCATGATGATGGGTGGGATGGGAATGGGAAACGGTATGGGTGGGATGCAAGGGATGGGCAACTTTGGCATGGGCGGAGGCGGCAACATGATGGGGCAGGGGAACGATGCGCAGGGGCAAGGTCAATGGGGCGGTATGCAGCAGCAGCAGCAGCAAGGAGGCTACGGTCAACAGCGCGGCTTCAATGCCAATCAGCGTGGTGGCTACGGTGGGGGCAACGCCGGACAGCAAGGCGGTTATAACGGCGGAGCTAATCGCTACGGCGGCCAGGGACAAGGCGGCGGTGGCGGCGGTGGCGGCGGTGGCGGTCGTATGGGTGGACCGACCGGCATGGGCGGTCGCTCTCCCCTGCCTGGCCAGCAGATGAGTGGAGCCGGAGGTCGATCACCGCCTTCCGGTCCTGGAGCGGGCAGGTCGCCGCAGGGACATCGTGGCGGCAGCGAGGCTGCGGATGGGTATCGCAGAGAGAAGAGTCCCGAGAGGAGAGGCGGCGGTGCAGGGGCAAAGTATGGGGAAGAGCGACCCCTCAGATAGCGGAGCGATTTTTGCGGCTATGATTCACGATTCATGCTCAATGCGCATGTGCTCGCATGACGATTCCGATTTTGATTGCTACTCGACGCCCGTACGGTGACATTCTTGCCGCAAAGCCCCGATAACTCGGCCCGTGCGCTCGCCCACTTGCGCTCACTCCCTCAAACTCTTCCCATCCCTGTCCTCCTGCTCCTCGCTCTCCTCGCGCTGCCTGACCTCAGCAGCAGCGACCCGACCCGCCGTCCCCGGGCCAGCAGTAGCGAGTACCCTCGTCTCCTCAATGGCATTGTGTTTCTCGTCCAACTTGTAGTCGCGCGCAAAGAAGGACACGGCGAGGGGAACGAACATGCACACCAGAGCGGGGATAGCCAGGAGGCGGTACGTCTCATTGTAAGCCTTGATGATCTGGTCCCTCGGCTCGGATGTGCGTGCGACGTCGATTGAGCCGAAGATGTTGGTGATTTCGTCTGCGGATAGGGAGGGGACGTGCTTTGCGAGTTGGGCGGGGAGTTGCGCGTTCCATACTGCGTGTGCGTGCGAGTTGATGGTTAGAGTCAGTCAAGGATTGAAAGGTAGGGAATCAGGGGAGATTGGCCTCGGCACTCACCACTGGCAGAGATCGCGCTTCCGATGCCACCGCCGACACGCGTCCAGAGAGAGAGGAGGGCTACGGCAAGGGCTAAGTCGCTGTGCTTGACCGAGGACTGAGCGGCTACTTGCGAAGCGACGACGGCGAATCCTCCTCCAAGACTCGTGATCATCTTGCCAAAGAAGATGGCCGCCGTTCCGTTATTGTAGCAAGCGTAGTATGTGAGACCCAGTCCGAGGACGCGCAGAGCTTGAGAGATGATCTGGAGCACCTTGTAACGATGAGTATACCTCATGATGAGACCTGCGATGAAGCCAAAGAGACACAATGAAATGGTCTCAATTTGCTGCATGTAAGCTTTAAGAGTAATTGCGGTGTCAGTACGTACTTGAACCTTGAACTTTTGCTATAGATCCACTCACTGTAATCTCTGGTGGAGTAATCCTTGATGACGTAGAGCCATGACGACCAGTAGATGTCGGTGAGGTAGGCGCAGACGTAGCCGAAGAAGTCAATGACGAGACAAACTAGGAAGGTGCGGTTCATGATGCGCTGCAGAGGATAGGGAAGGACAGACGCGTCAGTCGTCTACGGTCGTCTGCTGCCGCATCCGTGACGTGTCGCGTGACGGACTCACCTTGGGCATGATGGGGTACTGTGCAAATCGCCATTCCCAGACGCACCACACGATGAAGAGGATTCCGCCCACGGTCTGCATAGCAATGAGGGAGGGGTTCTTCCAGCCGTTGGAGGCCGTAGTGGAGAGGGTGGTCGGGGCGAGAAGCATGGCGAAGGTGAAGCCCATGAGGAGCAGACCAAGCGCATCAATGACGTTGAGAGCGTGGAGGATCTGCTGGAAGAGACTCTTCTGCTCCCCTTGCTCGCCAGAGATGCCGAGCTGGTACTTGAGGGACGACGCGGCGACGGATACGGCTGTGCAAGGAGCGGCGCAACGAAGGCGGCGAGAGCGAGGGGGAGGGGACAAGGACGTAGATACGAGCGCGAGAGAGGAAGGGGACAAGGATGTGAACACGAGCGATGGACAGAGGTCAATTTCAGGGGATTTTCTGCGCAAGACGGCTACTTCTCCTGACTCACTGCCGTTCTTCCTAGCCTTCCTATCGGCCCAGATGAGCGTCAAGGCGATGGGTGCGACGCAAATGGGCATGAGGATGCAGAACATACCATAGCCCCAGGGCCAATTTTCGAGTCCTATCCCATCAGAGATGCTGGGGGCTACGAAGGCGAAGACGATATAGGGCAGCGAAACCGCACCGAGTGTCAAGCCTCTGTTCTGCAAGCTGGTGATGTCGGCGATGATGAGAGTCTGAATGAAGTCCATGCCAGAATTGCCGAGCTGGTAGAGCACTTGTCCAGCGGCCACCGTCTGCACATTCTTCGATGCTGCGACTGCGGCATACCCTACTGTGTAGAAGGTGAGGGCGAGGATGAGGGCCGAAGGACGCGAGACGAAGTCGGCGAGCTTGCCATAAAAGGGAGGGACAATGGCTCCCACGAGCCCAACCACGACGGCGATGGTGCCCACGAGCTGCGAGAGGGGTGTGAAGGCGTCAGCTTTGCTGAGACGGTACGCTTGGGTCACAACTCACCGTGTGCTCCGAGAAGGACGAGGTGGCGAATTGGAGGTCTGCGAGTGAGGAGCGGAACAGAGGTTAACGCGTCGCGCACGGGCCGGCTGATTTTCTCATCCTTCCGTTCCGCCCTCCGTTCCTTTCAGCGGCACTCACAGATGTAAGTCGTATCGGCGCTGAGCGAGTAAGCGCAAAGCCAGACCATGAAGGCGATCCAGAATGCCCACACCTTCCAAGGACGAGAAAAGACCGAGTAGAATGCAGCGATACGATTTACGCCAGCGGGTGCTGCGACAGCATCTTCGCCGCCGTGATCCGAGTGGATGGAAGTGGGGGCACTCGCCTCTATGTCCTTGTGAGAGGAGGGGTCGTGATGAGTGGTGGCCATGATGGCGGGAGATGAGGTGGAAGGAATGCAGCTGAGGAGGGATGGCTGACCACAACAAGGGAGAATAAGTAGGCTGCCTCGCCTGATCTGATTAGCGACCAAGGCGATCGAGGGAAAAAATTTGCTCTTCCTTCATCGTCTGATCACCTGAGCCTGATCTAGCCGATCGGCCACTCCTCTGCCGTGCATCGTCCTGCGCTGGTCTGTTACCGGTGCAGGGCTGGCCAGGACAGGCCCACACTCCCTGTTCTCTCATCTCTCCTCCCATGATGCTCTGCGTCTCATCGGCGCCCGATAGTCTCTCGATTGAACTGTGCAGGTCGCTGCGCTGCAAGCGCGGGGCGATAGTGAGCATGAGCAGGCAGCACAAAGTCTCGAGCGTCGGCATCGTCGGCGTAATGTGGCGTTGACCTTAGCGTCTTCACCCTCGGTGATCGTCCATCGGCGAAGAGAGCGAGCCAGCGAAGAGCGAGAAGCGCGCAAAAACCTCGGATCTGATTAGTCGCGCGTTTATCGTATCTAGACGAGGCGAGGGGGGCCTGCAGAGGAGTGGCGCTGCTCTCTCGCATTCTGCAGCTAGGCTGGACCAGACCTAGCGACGTTGAGCCTGATCTTCTTGCAGGAAAAGAGCGCGGCACGGCGCCTTGCGGTTGCGCTGCTTTGCCCTGCTTCGCGGAGTGGGAAAAAAAGGAAGCTGTGATCGACGACGTCCCACTCTACGAAGGGGCGAGGAAGGCAGCAGCCCGATATCACCCGGCAAGACATTGACTACATTGACTCGCTCTCCTCACAGTGTGTCCTCGTAAGGTGTGGCGTGGTAATTCTATTCGCGGCCGGCTGCGGGCGGCCTGTACGGCTCGACGCCTCTCTATATGCAGGTACACTACAGGCAATCCATGAGTGGTGTTCGATCTTGCCCGATCACCTAGCCTTCCTCTCCTCGCCACGCTTGATCCCCCACTCGCCGACCCTCTCCATGCTCAAATCCTCACCGAGCAACTCGCTCAACATGCCCCAGCCCTCCTTCCCTCCTCCCCACTTGAGCAGCCCACCCTTGTACTTCTCGCCAGCATCACGACTCAGCGGATCGGCAGCGAACAGTTGGGCCCAGACGCGCGATGCGAGGACTCTATCCAGCAGGTAGGAGTAGTACGTCGCCCCGTACCCAAAGAGGTGGCTGAACTGGGAGTGCCAGGTTTGTTGACGAAGGAAGGCGTGTTGGCCGGACTGAGTAGTGGCAGCGTCGAAGAGGCCGCGAGTCGAGTAGAGTCGAGCCATCTCCTCCGTCGAGTCGCCACTGAAGTCCGAGCCGTGGTACCTCTGATCGAGGATGGCGAGCAAGATCTGGTTGTGCGTGTCCAGGTCGTCCAGCGCCTGCACGCTCGTTGCGAGGTGCCGACGAAGAGCGTCGTAGGGGAGCTCAAGGCCCGTTGAGTGGTGTCGCGCAACCAAGGAGACGACGGATGGGGAGGAGACAAAGTGCTCCATCAAGATGGACGGCAGCTCGACGAGATCCGTAGCGCAGCGCGTGCCAGAGACGTTGTGGAACTCTGTCCGCCCGATCATGCTGTGAATCGCATGGCCCATCTCGTGGAAGAGGGTCTCCACTTCGCTCCAACTCAGCAGAGAAGGGCCCGCCGTACCGCGGACAAAGTCGCAAAGGAGCACCACGATGGGCAATTGGTATAGCCCAGTGCGACCGGGTGTTGCCCTGCCTTCCACCTTGAGCGGCGAAGTGCCTCGCGAGCCGAGCTGAGAGGGATCGACTTGAGCTCCGTCCTGTAACCTTCCGAAGCGGAAATCTCCATCCTCGTCATCATCGTCTATCCTGCGCGAGCAGCGCACGGTGTAATGAGCGGCGCTCGGCGGCTTGCCCGAGCGAGAGAACAAGTCGGCGTAGATAGTACCGATGACCGTCTCCCCCGTCGCAGAGCTGGCATCCTCCTCAACGACCTGCAGCTTGACCACGTCCCCATCCCACGCCTCGCCTGCTTCCAAGTTCGCAGCACGCAGCCTAATCCCGTAGATGGCGGAGAGCATCCGGGACAGGCCCGAGAAGACATTGCCTACCGAGAGGAAGGGGGAGATCGGTGTGGTGCTGCCCGGCATCGAGGTGGAGAGCGTACGGAGGTAGCGTTCCGCGTAGTAGTCGCGATCCCACGCTTCGAGGGGAGCTTCGTCGCGGGGCTTGAGCGCTTGGAGCTCGGAGAGCTTGCGGGCTGCTAGGGGATGATGGTGCGTTTGTAGGGCGTCGAGGAAGTGAGCGACGGAGGAGGGGTTCTTTGCCATCTTGTCGCCCAGTGACCTGTGAGCGGGGAGGCGTCAATGTAAGCACGGTAGTCGACGAGTCATGTCTGGTGCGCGCACGTACATCTGCGCAAAGCTCTCATAGCCCGTCAGTCCCGCCAACTTGCGCCTTTTGTCCAACAGCTGCTCTAGCACATCCACACTGCCCTTGGCCGAGGTATTCATGGCGACGAACGCGGCCTTGCGAGCCTCCTCGCTCTGGCTGTAGCGCAGGATAGTCGGAAACTCCCACGTAGCGTGAGCTGGGTCTAGGTGTACCTCGCTGGACGTCGAAGGGATGAGGGCAGGCGAGCTGGAAAGGGCGGCGAGGAGGTTGGAGTGCGTATCTGAGAACCACGAGCGTTTGAAGCGAGCAATCGGCGGGGCCTCTTCACCGCTCGTAGCGCCCTGCATGAATGCTCGCCCGAGGACGAGGATCTCGTCGCTCAAGTCAACGAATTGCTCGCGCTGCTTGTCCGGTAGATGGATGCCCGACTTCTCAAAATCGCGCAGGAACCCCTGAGCTACCGCTAGTGCCTCTTCACTGAGCGAGTTGCGCAGCATCTCATCGTCTAGAACTCTCTTGAGTACCTCGTAGAGTCCCGTGTGCGTATTCAAAATGTTCATGAATCCACATAAACCCTCGTACGCTTCGTTGGCCGCATCCCGCCACGCCTCGTCCGGGTGAGCGTTTCGTACCAGCTCTGCGAGGTCGATGACGCCGCAGAGGACGTCGCTGAGTCGATCGAGATTCTTGACTACTGCTCGCATTTCGCCCTCCCCTTTTTGGGGAGCGGTCACGATGCGGTGCACTAGGAGCTGGGCACGAATCAGTGCTTGCTGTGCTACAGGGGCGAAGGATGAGGGAGTGGGCAACGATGGAGATCCAAAGAGGCCAGAAGGCGGGGAGGATGAAGATGAAGCTTTGAGTGAAGAGGAGCCTGCCGACTTCTTGGAGCTGAGCGAGTCGAAGAGGCTGCAAAGATCTTGCGCATCCTTGTCTCGTTCCGAGGAGGCAAAGAGGGTTGGGCGTGGGGAAGGAGCGGGTCGAGCCAGGCGTGGAGATGATGCTGAGCTGATGAGTCGACGAGACGGTATCCGTGCCAGTCCCTTGGGTATCCTGCCAAGCGTAGCTGACATGGCGGCGTGAGATGAGGAGAATGAATAGTGAAATGACTTGATGTCAGAAAGTGTGAGTGCGCTGCGAACCAAATGGCTCACCGCTCCGCCTTCTCCGTCCGCCCCTCGCCGACTCCACTCGGGTGTCTCACCCACGTGAGGCTCATCGCGTCTCGGAAGGCGCCACGCGACTGCTTCCGTGTGCATGCCGCCCCGCGAGCAACGAGACGGCTGCTGCCTCTCCCTCGTACCACTCCAACCAATATCAATCAACCGCCCATCGCTCGTCATCCTCATCTCGTCGCCCGCGATGGCGACACCATCGCCCCGCATGCCATCACAAGGCCCTGCTCGGCTGACCGGCGCCTTTAGCAGTGCCCGGATGCAGGCTCGCGGTGGATGGCGCAAGGCATCCGGTGGTCAACGCGGTCGTCGATCTGTCAGCGTTGTGCGATTCGCAGAGGAGGCGGCCTCCAATACGCCAGAGGAAGCAGCAGAGCAGATGCCACCTCCCACAAAGATACCACGGCGATCTCAAATCAGCTTTGTACCGCCCACGCCGACGCTCGAGGAACGATGCCACGCCCTGGCGACCAATGCCCTTGCAGTCCTCGCCTTCTACGCTCGCCTTGTTGACGAGGACAACTTCACATCGGCGCAGACGCTCAGCGAGATGCGGCGCAACTGGGAGCCATTCGACTCGTACAAGACGAATCAGCTGCTTGAAAATGCGCAGTACCACCATCACTTCATCGACGCAGACGAGGTGGCTCGCTCACTGCTGTCCGACCATCATCATGACGAGGGCCTACCCTTAGGCTTCCGCGAGACGATGCTCATTGCCAATTGTGCGACATTCCTACACTACATCTGGAGCCTTCCGAGTAGCCCTTCTTCCTCATCCACGCCCACCACCTGGCCTTGCCGCAATGTTGCCGAGATGCAAGACGCCTGGCGGGTCTTCCTCCGTCATATCGTCCCCTACGACCGGCCGCTGAGCGACGACGTGCTGGAGCATCACCTTGAACTGTCCACGCAAGTGTACATTGCTCGTCTCACTCAGCTACACTCCGATCGACACGCCTCACGCGATGAGCTCGAAGACGAAGCAGACGGCGAGCTGGACGAGCTCCTCGGTCCCAGCAGTCTGGACTCGGTTCTCGCGGCTCGTCGTCAGCAGTCCAAGCGCAAGCTACAGGCGCACTGGATCGAGCTGACAGATAAACGAGCCATCATCGTCGATGGGATAGCCTACGACGCCAAAGCCCTCCGTACGGCCTTCCCCCTCGCACAAATGGCACTGGACATCACCCCCTTCATCCTGGACATCGTCAGCCAGGTAGAGGAGCAAGTTGCGGGATATCAAGAACCTCACCTCCTCGGTCGTCTATTCGCGAATCATCCGAGCAATCCGCTCTCTCCACCTCCTCCTCCTGCCCCACTTGGGCGCGTACTACCCCCAGGAGCGGCTCAGCCAGTCGATTCCCAGGCCTTTGCTTCGCAACGAGAAGCGTGGCTGCGCGAGCTTATGGACTCGCAGAGTCAGGCGTCGAGAGGTGGTGGAGAGGATGGTAGTATCGTCATGAGCGGAATCAGCGGCTGGGGAGCGGCTTCACAGGCTGGATCCGCTTCGGACTTCTTGGAGGCGCAAGATAGGATGGATATCTATCAAGAGTTGGTGGCGAATGAGCGTGGCATCCCTCAGGCGAGACAGAGACGATCCCAGTCGAGGCAGCTTGGGCCTACGATACTCAGGCGCGGATCACGCGCTCCTTCCTCGGGCGCCGATTACGCGTCAGACTTTTCCGTTTCGACCTCCGTCGCTCTACGTGCGATGCGCGAGGAGAGTCAGCAGAGCCAATTCAGCAGGGAGCGCTCCATTTTTGGGTACGACTTGAGCGGACGCAGCAGCAGCAGTTCGCGTAGCGGCAGCGAGCCCCCTCTTCCCATCCCAATCAGGCGCAAAGCACTCCGCGAGCTTCAAGAGGAGGCGGTGTCAGAAGGGTCTCCCTCGTCCTCTTCTCGCCAACGGAGCGATAGTGAACCCGCGCTGTCCACTCCAGTAAGACAGGAGGCGCTGCGCGAGCTACAGGCGGTTAACGCCCCCTCTTCCCGCCTGCGACGTCATCGTGAGCTGTCCATTTCCACGCCAGTCAGGCGAGAGGCATTGCGGGAGCTCGAGGGGGAGGCGGATGGACGACCCGCTTCGCCTCCTCGCGACTCACCAAGACGTAGCAGCGAAAGTGACACTCCTGTACCTATACCGGTTAGACGCGCAGCCCTCCATGAGCTCGAGGCGGATGTCCCACCCTCTTCTCCCCCGAGTGGGCCATTCGCTGCAGCCATTCAGCAGCGACGAGCGAGTGGGAGTGGCGGGACTGTCGCCAGGTCGCCCACCGCTACCGGCATTCAAGTCAGGCAAGGACGCCTCGTCCGCGGACCGGCTACTGCAGGCCCTTCGCGCTTCAATGACCGCTCTGCCGCAGGCGAAAGGGAGATGCGCTTCGACTCTCAGGAGGATGAGGAGATGAGTGAAGATATCTTTTTGGAGCAGCAGCGACAGCGACAGAGGAGGCAGCAGAGGGATAGAGGTGGGAGCACATACAGGAAGAGGGGGAGGAGAGGCGCGCGGGGTGAAAGACTGGAGGAGCGGGTGGATGAGGGGGAGCCTGAGGCTGAGGCTGAGGAGGAGATGATCGAATGGCCTGAGCCGCCCAGGAAGCCTCTGCCCTTCTCCGTCATTGTGCCAAGGATGGACATGCCTGGCGGACCTGTCCCGCTCTCACTGCCCATCGACGCAGAAGGTCAGCCGGCAGAAGCAGCGCTCCAACTTGAGGACGCCCCCGCGCAACCGCACATCCAGACGACCACCACCCCGCACGCAACAGTCGTAACCGCAACAACGATCAGCGACGCCGATCGCATACGTCTCGAAGAATGGCGAGCAGCCACCTCACAAGGTGGGGAGGCCGATGCCGGCGGCTTCGAAGAAGATGACAATCCGGTTCTGATCGCGGCGCGCAACCAGCTCACTCTTGAGTACTGGTTCGCGCGTGTTCGTCCTGGGTTGGAGAATCTGCCGACTCCAAGACCGCAAGCTAACTTTCAGGCGGCCGTCGCAGAGGCAATCCGCATTAGAAAGAGTGGCAAGAATCCCGCAAGAGAGGCTGTCCTCCGGCCGCACTTGGTTGGGATAGCGATCGAGGATGGACAGGAGGGCGAGGGAGATGAGAGGCAGGGTGAAGGGGATGAACAGGACGAGCAAGGCGACGAGGGAGAAGCGGAAGCGGAGCCCATCGAAGTAGAAGACAACTCTCGCGACGATGAGGAGCGGGTGGCCGCACAGCTTTCGGCGTCACAGTGGCGGGCGAAGCAGGAAAGTGACGCCAGCAGCGATGAGGATCAGTCCTCAGACCAGCTTGATGCTGGGAATGAAGATGAGGATGCCGACTTCCGGCCCAATCGCACCCGTAGAGCCGGGGCATCACAGCAACAGCGCTCCCGCTCGCATGCCTCCGCCTCGGCCCCTGCGGCTTCTCAACAGTCGCTCCCAACCTCTTCACAACGTCGCAACAAGGATCCTTGGACCTCCAACGAGATCTCCACCCTCCTCACCTCCCTCTACGCCCTCGCCCGCTTCAAAGAAGTCGACCCTCACTACCAAGTCTACGCGCAGGTCCTCAGCCGACACGGTCGCACCGGGAGTGAGAGTCAAGTGCTGGCAAAGAGAAACAACACGGACCTGAAGGCTCAAGCGCGCGTGGAGCTGTGGAGGATGCGCGACGCGGGGGAGACGATTCCGTACTGGAAGAGACTTCTAATGCCGAGGGTGTTCCTGGAGGGCAGACCGCGTGCTACTGCGATGACTGCGACACAAGAGGCGCAAGAGGCTGAGCAACAAGGGGAAGAGAGAGAGGAGCAGATCGAAGCTGCTACCGGGGAGGGTGGAGAGGGAGCAGAGCCGTACGACCTCGGCGACGGCATGGATCTTGCTGCTGGCCTTCCGCCTCAAGAAGCCGACACACCAGGTAGCGTAGAGGAGGCCGTTCTCGGTGGAGACCCTTCGCGCGGCGAGGGAGAGGAGGACCACGAGATGCATCAAGAGTCGGCGGACGATACGGAAGAGAGAGTAGCCATGGCCGTGGCCGTCGCAGCAGCGTGGCGTGAAGGCGTCCCCAATCCCTCCGAAGGGAGCGACTCGCCGCTGAGCAGTGTGCCGCCGCTGGAGGAGGAGATGAGAGAGCTGGCCGTGATTGATGAGGAGGACGAGGGCAAGCAGCAGCAGAGAGGACAGCAGCCGCTTCGTCGCTCACGGAGGGAGCGTCGCGCCCCGTACTCGGATACCGAGTGGGAGCACGGCGCTAGCCCCTCGCGTAAAGGGTCAGCAGCGATTCGAGCCGGACCACACACGCGGCACTCAGCATCGTCACCAACGCGCAAGACGACCGACCGAATCGTACAACCGCAGGTCTCGCTGTCATCTCCATCTCGTGCCGGTCAACCGAGTGGGAGAGCGCCAGAGTTGAGGAGAGGGAGGTCTAGGAAGTCGACCGCGCCCTAGTCAGCGCGCGTCATTGCATCTCTTCACCCACATGTACACTTAGCTCGATCTACTCTATTGCGGATCCACTACATCATACCCTTTTACCCTGTGAGGTCACCCAATGCGTCGCGCCCCGCCGAGCCCAGCGAGGCCAGAGAGAACCTTCTTTGAGCCTCTGCTTGCCCAGTCTTGCTCAATTGCCGTCACGGATGGCCCTCACATTGTGGACCCGCCAAACGCAGGTCCGCCCGCCGTGCACTCACGGCAGCCCTCAACGGCCGTGCGGCAGGAGGCATTTGTTGTCTCCGCTCGCGCAGCGTGGAGCCGAGGAGCGAGCGCGAGTCGAAAGGACGTGCGCGCGAGGGCGCGGGCACATTTGCCCGATTTCATTTTCGAAGCTGCATCCTAGTCTATGTCGCGGCCGAGGTTGAGGGCAGGGCGGGGCATTTTGAAATGCTTGGTCGCCGGGAATGCGCTGGACGGCTGGTTCATTGGTAGCGTCGAAGTCGCGGTGCGATGGCTATTCCTTTCCTTACTCTCCGTACCATGTTCTCCTCCTCATAGACTCGTACCTCGTCCGCACTTTGTCTTTTGCATCTCGTTTCGCACTCGTCCTCGCATCTCGTATCGTATCGCGCATCACACCAGCATTCATTGCGCCGGCCATGCTGGCTAGGATACCGCTCGTCACCCTTCTTTGTTTTCTCCTACTCTCCGAACTTGTCACCGCCAGCTCGACATCTCTCAATCGCGTACGACGCGATGCCTACACAACGCTTCGCGCGGCCACGCACGGAGGCAATGGTCCGCAACTCACCACCGTAGGCGCTACACCGCCAGGCGCTCACGCAGCGAACATACCCGTAGGCAACAATGGCGCGAACGTCTTTGCTTGGGTCTCCAGCACGCCAGCACAAGAGTCTTCAGCCACGTCAGCGTACATCATTCTTCACGGCATCGATCGCAATGCGGGCTTCTACTACAATGTTCTCTCCAACGCCAATCAGGCCGCACTACGGGCAATGCTACCCGGCGCCTCGCCCAATACCCTCCTCGTTGCTCCGCTCTTCTTCTCCACCACGCAAGACGTGCGAGCGTACAACGCCTCCAGTCTGGCTTGGGCGGACCCCAATGCCTGGACGGGCGGGGATGGAAGCACACACCCAGAGAGCAGCAATGTGAGCGTGTTTACTGTTCTCGACACGCTGTTGGAGAAGTACAGCAAGTACAGTGGTATGAGGAATGTGACATTCGTAGCGCATGGCGGTGGCGCACAGGTGTTGCAGCGCTATGCTGTCGTCGGCAAGGATCCGCCGAACAGCAACGTAGCCGTGCGATACGTCATCGGCGACCCGTCGTCCATGCTCTACTTTACGCGCGATCGGCCAGTACCTTTCAATCCTGCCACCTGTCCCATGTACGACGACTTTCGCTACGGGTTCAGCAACTACACAGCGCCGTACGCGCTAGAGCCTGACTCGCCGCGCGACCTCTTCAGACGCTATATCGCTCGTGACGTGCGGTACGTCATTGGCCTCGGGGACGTGGTAAAGGATGAAGGCGATCAGCTCTGTGCCGGACGAGCGACGGGAGGGGCAGAGAGAAAGGATCGCTCGCTAGACTACTGGGCGTACCTCAACCTGCTGGCCAATACCACTGGCTCGACGCCAGACTACCCAGGCTTCTACCCGGCTCTAGATACCAGGAAGCGCGGTGACCCACGCGGCTACGTGACTTCCACGCCCGAAGAGAGGCAGGGCTTCGCGACTGGACAGTTGCGCCACCAGATGTACTATATTAACGGGGCGGGACATAACGCTGATCAGGTATATGGGTCGGGTGATGGACAGAAGGCCATCTTCGGGGCTGCGGCGCCAGCGGTGTCGTTGAGCGGGAGCGCAAGTAGCTCGACGTCGATGAGTGCGGCGGGACCGACTGGTACCAGAGAGCCTGCATTGGGCGGCCAGAATGGCGGGACCGCTCAGAGGAGCGGGCCGATCTCGCTGGTAGGGCTCGTCTTCCTCCTTGCCGTAGGCTTTTGTACATAGACCGATGTAATATTGTACAGTAGAAGTTGTCCCTTGACCGCAGTCGAATTCCCCACCGTAGCATCCGGCGCGGAGTTCGTGCCTTGGGTTCACAACATCAATAGCTGTCCCTCTTGCGACTCCTTGAGCTCCTGGAGACGCTTCTGCTCGGCCTTCTGATCGAGCCACACGGATAGGGTCATACCGAAGCCCAAGAAAAGTATGAAAGGAAGCAGGCAGAGGGCAACCTTGAGATCCTCTCGGTCCATGATGGTGGCAGGAGAGAGAATGGATGGAAGAAGGAAAGGGGGACGAGGCCGTGTAAATGTAGGGTTTCAGCACGCATATGGCTCAGCGCCAAGCCTTGCTCCGATCAATTAGCCGGCGGAAACGGCAAGGACGCGCATTAGCGCAATCGTCCCTTAACCTGGGTCTTCGAGCTGCTTGTGGCCGGTCTTCCCGGCTCATTGCCACTCTGAGTGCATCCAGATGCTGTAGATGTGAGCAAGAAGAAGAAGACGACGAAGGTGGGAGAGTTCAAGTGAAGGACAGGAAAGCACGAAGCAATCGAGCGCGCGCTACATCGTGTCGAGCAACAGGGTCTGACACAAGAGGAACGGCAGACAGGCGTGCACGGGCCGCGTCCCTCGTGAGCGTTTGCTACTTCTCCTCGGCCAGTCGAACGTTGTCATATTGTATCGATTGATCAGCAGGAAGGACAACAGGCCGGCCCAGCTGAGCGCAAACGCGCGCTCTTAGTTGCGGTAGCCCGAGTAAGTGTTGAGGTAAAGCTTGTCAGCCCTGTCCTGCGTGGTGTGGATCTCTCCACCACCCACAACGCGCACGTTAGGTCTGGTAGCGATGCCGTTGCTAGCATCGCCAAGAACCATGTGAAGCTGCTCGCCCTCGAGATTGAACTGGAAGCGCTGGCGCGATTCCAACTCCTTGGGGTCTCGCTTGTCATCGGGGTAAAGTTGCCCGGGGCAGCTGTCGAGGAGGAAAGAGGTGGGGCCCGATGCCTTGTTGGCGGTGACGCACGAGAGTGGTCCGACGTAGACGTAGCCCGTGGCGTACGAGTAGTCGTCGCTGTGGGTCAGAACGTCCTGCGTGTGCGTTGACAAGGAAAGGTCAGCCTGTGTGGGATTGCAAGTCTGGGTCCGCCGCCGCTACCCACGATCTGGAGACCAGCGCTCATGGTACCCAAGCTGAGTTTGCCTCCCGGCTTGTCAAAGGTGGCGCTCTGGTTGAACCCATTGGGACCGACAATCTCGATGCGACCTCCGGTAGCGAAGACGCGCGGCTTGGTGGTGGCACGCTCTTCGACGGGGGCAGCTGAGACGAGGGCGGCGGCAGCGGCCAGAATGGCAGCGGCGGAGAGAGCGATCTTGACCATTGGTGGTGTAGTTGCTGAGGTATCGGGATCGGAAGAAAGCTGGCGGAAGACTGAGAGGCTTGTTGGGGATGGGGAAAAAGAAAGGGACGAGGGGAGACGTCTTCGCCCCTCTATATAGACATTTCTAGGCGGCTCGAGGATGCCATGACCGAGTCGACCAGCCTGCCATGGTCCTCATCGACCTCATTGCCCCGATCGATCGATCCATCGGGCGACGGTCGACAGGGGAGAGCTGGCCAGGAGGATTGTGCGATGCTGAGTGGCCGTTGGTGGCCGATTGTGGAGAGAAGTGAACCTGCGCAACCATTTTGAGTGACAGGGCGGGACACGGAATCGCGGGGCGCGGGGGCCTGTGCCGCACGCACGCACGCACGCACGGCTTTCGGTCAAATCGCCGCCGGCATCGATGAAACAGTGACGGGCACGAGTTAAGGCAGGCCCTGCGGGCATGAAGCGACCGCGTTGATTGGTCGATGAGATGAATGCGGTGCAAGCCACTCCGCTGCGATGCGTCTCGTATTGCAATCAGGGCTCAGCCCGCTTCCACCCGGCCTCCACGATGAACTTTTGACCCTGCGAGGCGATGAGCGTAAGCCAAGGTTATTGCGAGACCGTGCTACGATGCTGCCACTCACCTCTGGTCCATACGAATCTAACGTGGTCAGCAACAGCTCCTGCCCCTTGAGCTCAATCTTGCGCGAAAGCGTCGTCCCCACCCAAGCATCCTGCGTCGACGTCTCGACATGATGATGCACCCGGTCGTCCTCGACTGTCCACTTCCCGGCGTAGCCCGCTTTCGGGAGATGTACCTCTGGATCTGACGAGGTCATTAGCGCTGACATGTATCCGTCAGGGCTATAGACGAGGAGGCCATTGGGCTGGTCACCCATCTGCTTTTTGCGCTGCGAGGGGTCCGAGACGTATACGGCGTCAAAGGTGGTGAGGCGCCAGGTGCCCACAAGCTGCGAGCGAAGAGAGTCAGTTGAAGAAGCAGACATGATGCAGAGGTAGGAAGGGGACAGAGATGATAAGGTGTCAGGCGCGAAATGTGCACGAAATGTTGGATGATGGTGGCCTGCTATCTCGAGGCAGGCAAGACGCGCAGCCAACGCAGGCAGATGCAGCTTCTCTCCACTTGGCGGGCGGGTGAGGTGCTTACATAATCATGAGCGACCTGCACCGCCATCGTCTACGGTCATCACCAGCAGGCAGCGACTACATTTATGTGGCACAGGCCATTGTAGATTATCACGTTATGTAGCTACGTGTTTACAATAGGGCTTGTTACACCGCCAGACGGTCTCGGGTTTCCTACCGGCAGCGTTGGCCACTATCGCTGATGGAACGTTCTCTTTGAATTGCGCCACTTCACCGTCGATCTCACACACCCTGATCGCTCTGTCTCTTCAAGTCCATGCCGAGAGCCCATGCCCATCATTTTCAAAACTCCCTTATCATCTCTTCGGCTGCCCTACTCATTCCAGAAAGCGGACTCTACCCCTCTTGCTCGTCAGCCTTGCAGCCTCGCTCGATTCCCTCACTCCTATCCTTGTCCTCGTCCTCTTCCTCCGCCTGGTCTTCATCGCTTTCATCACGGAGGTAACATGTCTCACAAACTGGAGTGGCGTGGATTGTGCGGCTCGGTGCTGTCTGTTCCCTTCGTCATTACCGTCCCGGTCAAGGGATTCATTGCTAATGGCCTTGGGCACGAAGGATCATGCAAGCCCAATCACTCGATGCGGGAAGCGGAGGGGCTCGGATGAGAGTGGTCTTTCGCTGTCGTCAGGGCGTTGAAGAGGACGCACCGGCCAAGCCGTGGGAGCATACGGAAGACTCGTCGAGACGTTCTCCCTGACGTTGCGGTTGAATTTTCTCTTGAGGAACTCACCGTTCCTGGTCCTCGTTGGCAAGCGTCTTTGGCCGGGCAGGGGGACGACGTGCTCATGTCCCATCGCCCACTCGAGTCGGTCGCCCATCTGGTGGTTGGGGTAAGGGTAGCCCGCCTGAGGGCTGAGCCCAAAGACGAGGTTGATCAGACCCTCCTCCGCCTGCTCTTGCTCGTAGCTCGAAAAGCCAGCCAGACTGGACATACCAAAGACATGTCGCGCGAGGCAGTCGTCTGCTTCGGCATCGTCCCCATCCTCACCAGGAAGTGCGGGTGGGAGGACAGAAAGATCGGCCGTATCAGGCGCAACTTGCTGCAGAAGGTTGGGAATGAAGAAGGGGGCGCCGTGTCCGATGGCTGCATCTTCTCTTCCATTAGCTCGACATCCTCAGGCAGGCTACCAATGTTCTCGGGGAGCCATTGGAAGGATGAGAAGTCGGTCTGGGCCCAGACGCCAGGGTTGATGGGCTTGCCCAAAGCCATCATGGCATAGTAATCGGGGTGGTGCTCTCGGATGTGCGAGCGCACCTCGTGTCGAGAAGGATGATTCGATGCCAGCGGATGCGCGGTCGAAGAGACGTTGTATGCACAAGCAGCTTGTGTGCTGCTGTTCCCCTCGCTGCTCAGCACACCATGACCGTTAACGGATGTCAACTGACCTTGGCTGACATTTCGTTGATCTCTCCGACGAGAGGGCGAAGGTGTCGATCAAGCATTTCCTCCATGCCCGCGAGGAGAGCCGCATCGCCTGCGACGCTGTTGTGGTCCGACGAGGTAGCCGGCGTCGCGTTCGAGTTGGTGGGCATCGAGAGGAGGGGGGGGGCGTTTCTGGTGGTTGGTTGTAGTTGTGGTACGGATGATGGGACGAAGGTGCCGAGCAAGCACTGCCTCCATGGTAGTTAGGAAAGCCGCATCGCCTGCCGAGTCCTGCTGCTCACGCTCGCCCAAGGAGATACCGCCACAGCATAAACGTCTGATAAGACCGTACACGATCTACATTCAGTGATGAAGTGAGCGCTGATTTGCTCGGACCACAGATGGCCTTGATGGTCTTGCTGGGCCAACGCGGCGTGATGGACAGTTTGCTGAGGTCTATCTTGGTGATTCGTAGGCCACGCAATGCTTGTGCCAGGCTTGGTCGTGACGGGTGACGAGGAGGGCCGAGTACGAGAGGGTAATGCTGGGAGGCCGGATGCGACGGCTGACAGGGTTGTCAAGGTTGATCAAGCGAGTTGCATCACCAGAAAGGCGTGATTGGCCCCGCTATTCTTGACGATAGCAGTTGCGTTACTTGAAGCAGATCAGCAGCTGCTAGCGAGGATGAGTACGAGGAGGTGAACGGGGAGCTGCCTTGATGGCGTGAGGAGGCCTTGGCTGCGAATTGCTCGGTGTCAGCTGATGAGTCAAGCTTGTTGGGAGAGCTAGACCCTCCCCCTTGGGCGAGGAGGGCCGGGCGATCGATATCAATGGGTCGTAGACGAGTTGGACTTGTTGTGGGGGTGGATGGGTGGTGGGGGCGTCGCGACGATGATGAGGGAGGAGAGGAGGGTAGGTGCTCGGGCGGGGGCAATACCTCAACAGGCAGCCAGACAGGCTGGGCTGACCCTTTGCCCGTCCGCACGCTTGCGGGCCGTGGTTGGGCGGGCTAGGAACACGATGGTCGTGGACGCATCGAGGGTTGGAGCACGGATCGTCCGTGCACGTCCGTGCGGTGGTACGGAACTGGCCACGTGGTCACTGCAAGACCCGCACGAGCTCGTCCAACACCTCGGTGCGCTCCTACTTTGCCTTGCCATCTCTCCTTCCGATCTTCGCCTTCGCCTTCGCATCGCGATCGTCAGACGCTGAGCTTGATCTGCTGTCATGGACTATGGCTAGCACGATCTGTTGTGGCGTCCTGGCACCTCACTTCGCAAAGCTGCGAGTCTAGGCGGCGCCGTTCTCCTCTCACTCCTCGCACGATCATGGCAAGCTAGCAATCATAGGAAAATTCGAATATCCGGTCGCTATGATACATCAGGATCAAAATTCTCAGACATAGACGCGACCGAACCGCACGCCTATGCAGCCAACCTCGCTCCCGCAGGTGGTGCGATCTCTACGTCCTCGGTCTGCGTGATCCTAAACACAGGTCCATCCCCTCCCTCGACCGCGGAGTTCACGAAAGGCTGCGATCGCGGCGTCATAGCCCTCGGCGTGTGCTCCATCGCCTGCCCAGCCATATTGGCCGAAAACAACGTCGGCGGCTGAGATCCATACCCGACCGCGCTGCCAGCTGGGGTAGTCGTTGACGCGAAGGAGGGCCTCTTGTTGAAGTGAGTCGAGAAGCTGCCACTGCGACCGTTGCTGGGGAAAACGCCGCCTGCCTGTGAGAGAGAGGGCGAGACAGTGTTGAACTTGGGTGTGCCCCAGTGGTTCGCCGCAGAGGAGGAGTCGAAGCTGGTCGAATGAGTGTAGTGGCCCTGGCTGCTGCTTGGTCCTGACCCGGAGCTGCGATCCCCGCTGCCTGGGCGTCCCCCTGCGCCGATGAGCGGCGTGGCGCCGACGCCTTGGCCTGGCTGCGGGAGCGATTGCTCGCGCGTGAAGTTGAAGAGGGAGCGGAACATGTAGCAGATGAGGCAGTTCCTGAGCAAAGGAAGGCGGCGCGGCGCGGCGCGGTCAGCTACGGTCCTGCTGAATGCCACGAGAGCTCAGACTACCCACTGAAAGGTCTCGAACGGAACAGCAAATGCGATGGTAGCGATCAAATTCAACTCCTTGCGCGGGTTGATTTGGACCATGATGAAGGCGAGGGAGGCCGAGAAGCTCAATGCGTAGGTGATGAGCGTTTGGCGACGGAGGAAGGGGGTAATCATCTTCGTGGAGCGGGGCTGCGTTACGGGCAGCGCCGAGCCCTTTTCGCGGCCGCTGAAGGAAGGGACCACTTGGCCGTCGGCGTGCCAGAGCCTGTGCGGGGGAGCAGAATGCAGCCAGGTCAGTGACGCTCCTCGCGCGGTCTCGCCTCGCGCTACGCACTTGTACATGATCAAGCCGAGGCAGATGGCGTCGTAGCCGAGCGTCGAGGCGTAGCCCATGATGTTGATGTTCACGCCGTTGACCATGATAATATCGCCAATGACGCAGCCGACCTGCTGATCCCCGATGGCAAGAGCGTATCCCCTCGCAGCCCAGGCGACACTCGTGTCCATACCGAGTACGGCGAGCCAGAGCAGACCGAGACCCCAGAGGATACGCTTATCCTTGTTCCAAAAGGCGACGACGCGCAGACCGAGGAGCAGCGAGTTGGAGGCATTGCCCAGGGCGTAGAAGACGGAGAAAATCGTCCAGGAAGCCGAGCAGCTACCATTCTGTCGCAGGTACTCGAAGACGGTTCCGACCAAACAGGCCATGAATGTGAGCCAGCGAGACAGGAGGTACCAGGTAGAGCCGCGCAGAAAGGTATCGCGGTTGAAGCGCAGCTCCTTGAGGCGGGCGAGGTCGAAGGAGAAGTGGCAGACGACATCGTAGCTGATTACGGCGAGGCAGCAGGCGTCCAGGACGGCGAGTGCTTCATTGGAAGATGCCTCGGCCGGGGGCATCCAGGCGTAGTAGGCCAATGGGTTGGGTTGGGGTGGAAGACCAGACATTATCGTGTAAGGAAGGAGTGATGTTGCGGGGCAGCGGCGATGAAGAGGAGGAAGGTGGAGCAGTTATATACGGCGGCGGCGAGGTGTCATGTCGTCAAGCTGTCGAGGTAGCATCGCCCTGCTCCTTGAGGAAGCTTTGGAGCAAGTCTTGATCTTTCATGGACCCTCAAGCGCTCTGGCCCACTCGAAATGTTCACCCGATCCAATTACTCAACCAACCTCAGCCTCGCGCCCTGACATCGAATTCAAGCGACGATATCTATGGCGTATCGCTTGGCGAATGGTCAAACGTACGTGGGTGCGTGCGTACGTGCGTGCGTACCTCGATTAGGGGCGAGCGAGAAGATGTCGTCGCATTCGCATCGAGGTCATCCTACGGCGTCATCGCGCCAATTATCGAACCAGAGCTAGCTTAGCATCGAGGCGTCTTCGAATATGGTTCGCGACGTCGCTGCTGCGTGGTGACGGCGACAGGAAGAAGAAGCGCAGAGACGGCATGCAGCGCATGTACAGAGACAGCGACCTCGCAACGAGGTTGGACGCCGTCGCCGCCGACGCTAGGACGTCGCTTGCAACGCCTGAATTAAACTGGCAGGCGGGGCGGCAGCGGACATTGAAATCGTGGGCGAGTTGGCGTGAGTACCGCGGGGTGTGCGTGCGTGCGTGGGTGCATGGGTGGCTCGAGCGGCGAGTTGGCGTCGCGACTCAGACAAGCTCGACGACGCCAACGACTGATTTTCCTTGTCACAGTCAGCCTCTTCTCATCTTTTCGTCTTTACCCACTCATTCACATCCCTCTCGTATACCATCATGTCATCCACAACTCCGCAAGCCCAGCTCGATAGCATCGACGCCTTGATCGGCTCGTTGCAGCAGCTCAAGAGCCACATCTCCTCGTCAGCGGACAAGCACGACGATGCTGCTCAGGGAACCTATATGATGCCTTATACGGCAGAAGCATGGCAGGCTGCCACTGCGGCCAGGCAGCAGTTTACGTGCGTGCGAGACGTGTCATCAGACTGGACCCATGCTGATTCGCCCACCCTTTTTGCTCGCAGCTCCCTCGTGTCGCTCCTCGTCAACCCCGCGCAACGCCTCGGCGAGCTCATGTTCTCGAGCGTCACCACCCACTCGATGAACACGGCACTGGACATTGGACTCTTCGATGCTGTCCCTGCGCAAGGCGCAGTCCCCATCGCCGAGCTCAGTGCGGCTACCAAGGTGCCCGCTGAGCGGCTGGCCCCATTGATGCGCCACATTGCCAACGAGGGCTTGTTCGCAGAGACGTCGCCCATGAGCAACGAGTGGCAGCACACACATCTCAGTAGGATGTTGAGGAGCGGAGGTGCAATGCATCTCGACGTCTTGCAAGCCTACACGCGGGACTTTATCGAACCGTCCTTCGAGCACCTCACTCCGTGCCTTCGATCACACAAGTCCGGTTACGAGGACTATCGCCGCGAGCACATCTTCTCCTTCCTGGCAAAACATCCCGCCGAGAACAACAAGTTCGGCACTGTCATGCAGTGCATGAACGGCATAGTCGGAAGTCCATTAGCGGCAGACTACGATTGGTCCCGCTTCAATGGCAAGACGATCGTAGACGTCGGAGGAGGCGTAGGCGCCTTGCCCGCCCTGCTTGTGATGCCATATCCCGACCTGAAGTTCCACGTTCAAGACCTTGAGGAGCCAGTCGCTCAGGGCAAGGCATTCTGGTCGGCTACATTCCCCCCACAAGTCGCAGAGCGAGTCACTTTCCAGGCGCACAGCTTCTTTGAGCCTCAACCGGAGCAGATCTCGGACGTCTACTTGATGCGCTTCATCCTCCACGACTGGGCAGACGCAGACTGCCTCAAGATCCTCTCGGCGCTCAGGAGTAGCGTCAAGGCAGGCACCACTCGTGAGTACCGCTCATGTCTCCACGATAGGCAGGCAATTTCTGACCTCCCTCCTCGCCTCCGCCTCGCCTCGCTAGTATTGGTCGCCGAAATCCTCATCGACGCAGACAACACATCATGGCAGCGCACCATGTCCCTTCACATGCTCGCAGTCTTCAACGCCGAGGAACGCACAGAGGAGCAATATCGCTCACTACTCAAGCAGACGGGCTGGCAGCTCCAGAAGACGTCGGCCACCTCCGGCCCGCTCAGTCTGCTCGAGGCAGTGGCCATTTAGAACGGCGATTGGCGTGCGCGTGTGTGGTCGGCAGGTTCATCCGTGAGAATTAACCTCGCCAATTTGCTGCTCTCTACTCGCCGATTCAATTGCATGTCTCGCGAGAGAAAGAAGAGCTGCCGAGCTAAATTCAGGGCTGCGCGGACTCGTCTAGCTAGCGTCTATTACAGAATTGCCCGCATAGCTGCACAGCATGACATTGCATCGAATCTCCGTCCTTGACGCCCCCACCGTGTGTGGTCCTGCATAGATTCCCTCCACCTCCGAGCCCGATGCGACACTTTCCCGCGCATGACGAGGGGTGCGTGTTGAGAGAAGCTTTCGGCCGTGAATAGCTCGCTGTTGTGTCGTCTTTCCGCTCACTAGTGTGAGATTCCATCTCACCTACTCAAAGATGCCAGCCGCTACCACCTCGTCGCTCGTTCTGCGGGAGCGCCCAGCTCGGGGCTCGCTGGACGTCTCGCAATGCTTCGAGCGGGTCGACAGCCCCTCAGACTCATCAAAGCGCCTGCCACCTGGTCATGTCGCTGGAAAGGTCCGTTATATTGGCATCGAGCCAGCGCAGCGCAATTGGCTTGAGTCTTCGAGTCGAAGCTACCTGCCTGGTGTCAAGCTCGGCGAGGTCATGAGGAGTCGCGGCGTGGGTGTGGTTACGGAGAGCACTTGCCCAGAGTTGGTGCCGGGGGACCTCGTGGAGGGATTGCTAGGATGGCAAACGCATTTCAGGCTGCCTGCCAAGGAGGTTCGGAAGCGTAGCCTGCTGCAAGGCGATCACGACGAGCGCCACTTGATCGGCTTGCTGAGCTCGACGGGCATGGCGGCTTACGTGGGTACGTGCGTGCTCCTCCAGCTGGGAGAACGGGACGTCGTGCTCGTCACAGGAGCTGGCGGGGGTGTTGGAAGCTTGGCGGTACAGATGGCTGCGGCTCGGGGGGCAAAGGTGATTGCAACTACCACAAAAGCGGGAAAGAAGCGGCACATCGCGGGCGCCGCTCACGTCATCGATTGGAGCAGTGACGAGGCGAGGGCAGGAATGCAGGCCACCTTCCGCAGCTTCGGTGGGCTTAGCGCAGTAGTGGACAATGTTGGGGGTGAGGTCCTGGATGAAGCTCTCCTCGGACTGCGACCCAAGGCTAGGGTGATACTTTGCGGCTCGTCAAGTACGTACGGTGGCCATCCCACTCCGCTCAAGAACCTCTTTCGCGTCCTTGAGACCTCGGCCAGTCTGCAAGGCTTCAATGTCGACGACTACGAGGAGCACTTCTCGAAGGCAGAGCATCAGATGTCGGAGTGGCTGAGCAGAGGACAGCTCAAGGTCAGCTACGATGTCAGAAAGGGGCTCAACAGCTGTCCGGAGGCGCTGACCAGGTTGCTGCAGAGGCAGACGAATGGAAAGGCGATCGTGTCGCTCGTTGACGAGCAGGAGGCGGAGGGGCTACAGTGGCAGGACGACACAATTGAGGCGCAGGGGCGGAGCATCTGCTTGCAATGCTGCGCCCCAAGTGGAAAGGCAGAACGCACGATCCTCTTCGTCTGCGGTACAGGCTTTCCCAAAGAGCTCTGGAAGCCCGTGGCGCAACGTGTGCAGGCCGGCGCAAGCAGCACAAAGTTTATCGTCTTCGACATGAGCTTGCAGGGGTACAGCGGGCTGCTGAACGAGGGCCTCGACTTGCCATGTGAGTGCAAACGCAATAAGACGCGAGACGTGGGAAGGCCTGCTCACCTGCTGGTCGTCATCAGTCTCTGTCGACCTCTTCGCTCGGGACATTGCTGCGGTACTGCAACACCTGGACAACACTCACGCGATCGTCGTAGCGCATTCGATCGGCGGCGCAGCTGCGTGAGTGGCGCGCTACTGTCGTTCTTGCTTGCCCGCTGATCTGCCTTGCTCCACCACAGCCTTTTGACGGCGCAGACAACGTCCATCGCCGGCCTCATCGTAATCGACCCGCCCCTAGAGCCCTTTGCTCGCACCGACCAACCAGCCTGGGTCTCGCGCATGAAGGCTCTCACCCAGCGACGTCGCAATCAATGGCCCACACGAGCAGAAGGCGAGGACCACTTTAGGAACACAGGCTTCCTACGCGGCTGGGACGATGAGGTCGCTCAGCTCTACTTGACTCACGCGCTACGAGATCATGAAGACGGGTCATGCTCGTTGCGCACTGATTCACGCGTAGAGATGGAGACCTACTCCGTTGATTCGCAGGTCTTCAATGACGTCTTTCAGGGGCTGTCACACATCGCATGTCCGGTTGGCTTGGTCTCTTGTGCTCAGTCGGACAACTTTCCGCCAGCGACGCTCAATCTGACCGCTTCGAAGCTACGGAGCTCCTTGGTGTACACAATCGACGCTCATCATTTGATGCCGATGACGCGTGTCGATACCATGGGTGCGTACCGAGCGCCCACAGGCAAGCAATGCTCAACTCTGACAGTTCTCACTTGCCCTTGCAGACGAAATTATCAATGCATTCCTTGCGTTCCTGCAGCCTCGCGCTACGCAACCGCCTCCGCAACCCTCTGCAATGTAATCTCGTGCTGTGCCAAATCGTCGGGCACGATTTTCCCCATTCGTGCCTTGACCAGTCCGCGGAACTCGGTGTGGTAGAGCGAGTCCCAGCCTAGCTCGCCGAGCGGTTGATCGGATTTGATTGACGAAGGGGACTCGATGCGTAGGATGTGCGCGATGAGGTTGCGCAGCTGCGTGGCCACATCGGCGTCCTCACTTGGCTGGGAGGCGGGCGTGTCTTGAGCTGGTGGGGTATGCGAGGTAACTGGCTCGACCTCGATAGGAGCAGGCGGTGCGATAGATTTAGGGGCGACCGTAGCTGACGGGTTCCGGGCAGGCTGCTCTACAAGAGGCTGCGCTGGCGGCGGCTCTTCCTTCGCCGGTGCGGGGATGATTCTTCTGGCCTGCAAATACTCTATCAGCGGGTGAAAAGCTGGGTCCTGTGCAAATAGACGCCCCGCATCCGTGTCGACGTTCATCGTTGCTATCGAGACCACTGGCGGGCACTCTCTCCCCATCTTGAGGACGTTCTCAAGCAAGCGACAAGCCTCCTCTGGCGCCATATCCGGGTGCGGGGTACGCATGATATCATGCACTCGGTCCGACATGGACGATCCGGCCCATCCGCCGAGCTGGATTGAGAGTGCGGGTAGACTCTGCGCTCGTCGAGAACGGGCGAGGGCGTCGACGAATTGGTTGGCTATCGCGTAAGAGGCGAGCGCAGGCATTCCTACTACGGCAGCGAAGCTCGAGAGGAGCCAGAAGTGCTTGACTGTTGGCGGGCAGACTTGGTGGAGATTCCACGCGAGAGCAGCTTTTGATACGAGGCTGTCCCGCAAGTCCTCTTCTTTGACCTGCTTGAAAAGGGAAGGGTAGAGTGCACCGGCTGCGTGGAGAATGCCGGTGATGGGCGTGGAAGACTGACAGCGCTGGATGATTTGGGCGAGCTCAGCGGCTGAGGCGGGGTCCCGTAGCTGTTCGTACGCTATGGTGGTGCTCGTCGAGGACTGCAGCTTTGAGATGCGCTCCTGTACATCGCTGGCAGGGCGCCGGCCGATAAGGAGGAGATGCTTTGGCAAGAGTGTGCGAGCAAGCCAGGGAAGCAGCGCCATACAGACGTCTCCCGTACCGCCAGTGATGACCCAGGCTCCACCCGTTGGCTCTTGGAGACTCTGCTGTTGGGTCGGCACGGGAGTGTGGCGCAGGGTGAAGCGTTGCAATCGACCTTGCTGATCAGCACGGAAGGCCGAATGCGCCGTGACTATACCTGTCTTGCGCAGCCGCAGCGTCTGTGCCAGCGACTCAGCCACCACTTGCGGCTCACTTTCCGCAGGTATCTCGACACTTGCCACTTTTTCTCGCGACTGACGGTGTTCTGCGGTGAATGCCGGGATGAGACCAGCCAGTAAGGAGCTGGTAGGCGGGCCAGCAGGGGGCGAATAGCAAACGAGCGCTTGCCACTTAATGGACGTCGCGACGAGAGTCTGCAGCATCTGTAGAGGAAGCATGACTGTCATTGCTGCCGTGTCCAGCGAAAGGGTCGCATCTTGCATGCTCGATGTCCAGTAGATGAGCGTGAGCTCTTTGCTTTGCTCAGTGGCGTGGCGCAGTTCTTCCAAAGCTCGATGAGCGTCTTGCGTCGGCGCTACAGTGACTGCGGCGCCCAAAACCTGAGCGAGAGCTTGCCCCTTGTGTACATCGTCGGTAGCCACGACGACTTTCTCTCCTGGCGAGAGGATCGACGCGGTGGAGAGCGTCTGCGTCGAGACTGCGTGCCACTCGGGTATGCTGGCAAAGGTCATGGCGCTGTTGTTTGGCTCTTGCGTCTTCTTCTCACCTCCAGAGAACTGCAGACCTCGAATGCTCATCAACGGCACCCCCTGCCGGCTGGCAATGTCCCAATCTCGTAGCTCCGCGACCCGTCCGCGCACTCCGCCTGACCAATGCGCGCCGCTTGTGCTGATTTGCATCTGCCGGATCTTATAAGGGAGACCCAGACTCTGACCGTCGCTTTGTGCTAGGAGGACGGAGTGCAGCGAGGCATCGAGCTGGCATGGGTCCGGGGACGTCGCATTGAGGGGTTGGGCAATCGAAGAGCGGGTGAGGAAGTCCACTCGACCGACGCCATTGTGCAGCGAGTCGACCAGCCGAAAGGCCTCACCGTAATCCAGCCCTGTGGCCTTCAATGCGGCATTATCGTAGAGGCCAGTCGCCGACTGAGCCACTTCTGTAGGGAGGCCGCTACTCGGCGCAGAGCACGAGGCGATGGTACCTCTGCAAAGATCGAGCCGCGTCGCAGCGTTGCGTTGCAGCGAGAGCGTGAAGGTCGACCCACTGTCCGGCCAGCTCTCAAATGTCGTGACAAAGGCTGCCTCTTTCGCTTGAGCATCAGACAAGCGCGCAGGCCGAAGGAATTCCACGCCTTCAAGCTCGATAGCATCGATACCCTGCGCCAGGTCGAGAGCGCTCGATGTGATCATGCCGATCATCAGCGCGATAGGCACGACAATTTGCCCGTGGATCCGGTGCTGACTCAGAATATCGAGCATCTGCGGAGTACTTTTGGTCGTGACCATCGCTGCTTCACCCTCCTTCCTCGCGGGTCCCTTCGGCCACATCTTCGTCCTCTTGAACGGCGTAGGCGGTGCGGCGACTGCTTGCATGGGCGCCGAGTCTCTGTCCCATAGCGCTTTCCAGTCGATGTCCACACCGGCGCAGAAGAGGTGCGCGAGCAGAGCGTCGAGTGCTGGCTTGCCCTCGTGAGAGAAGGACGAGATGCAGTGTGTCGACTTACCCTGCTGGTGGACCAGCTTTGTCATGCCGTCTGAGGGGCCGATTTCGACGAAGAGAGTGTCGCGCTCGATGGCTCGCACCGCTCGCACCGCGTCCTCGAATAGAACGGGCGAGACGAGGTGGTCAGCCCAGTACTGAGGGTTGCGGTATGTGTAGGCGCTCTCAGCCCTGCCCGTCATGTCTGACACCATTGTTGCAGCAGCTGGAGCGGGATCCGCAGGCCATGAGTGGGCGGCAAGGCTTTGCAGCAGCTGATCAGCCGCGCTTGCCATGCCCGAGCTATGATAGCTATGTGGAGTGTTGAGGAAGCGGCATGTCAAGCCGGTTGACTTAGCCGCGGCTTCCACCCGCCCGACATCAGGGCCAGAGACGACGTGGGATAGGGGTCCGTTGTAATTTGATATGGACGACTCGCTGCCCGTAGAGAGAAGCAGGTCTTCAACAGCCGCCTTGTCCGCCTTGATGGCGAGCATGCGGCCTGACTCTGTCTGCGCGATTGCCTCCGAGCGAGCGATTGCCAGGCGTAAGGTGTCTTTGACGCTGAGATGCCCGGCAAAATGAGCCGCAGCGACCGATCCGAGCGAATGGCCGATGACATGCTGTGGTGCGATGCCCCAGTCTACCATGCACTTGCCAAGACACAGGTGGAAGAGGACGGTAAGAAGCTGGGCTTCCACTTCGTTGAGCGAGTCCCATGTTGCATCGCCCTCGATCGAGTACATATCAGGGTTGTGCGGGGCGTGAAGTAGGACGAGGTTCTGGCGCAGCATAGTGAAGTAGCGGCTGGCGTCGTCGTGCGAGTCGACGAGACGGCGCAAAGGATCCAGGTACGAGAAGCCTTGGCCTGAGAAGATGAAAGCGATGCTTGAGGAGGTTTTAGATGGCGCAGAGATCTCTTGACCGCCATGCAAAAGGGCGGCGCGAAAATTGTGATGCGTCCTTCGTACGGCCAGAGTGTGAGCCAGATCTGCTGCGTCTGCAGGACCGAGGCCCTGACATTGTCTCTTCAGAGCTGCTCGCATGCTGTCAAGTCCCTCCACACTAGTCGCTGACAACACAAAGGGGACTTGTAAAGCCGGCGTGAGGAGCGATGTAGAAGCTGACGTGGACGGCCTGCGTACAAGCACACTCGTGATAGCCCCAAAGGCGCCGAAGCTGTTGACTAGGGCGAGATGCCCCTCCTCGCTCTCTTCCAGCTCCTCTGCTTGACGGTTGAGTAGAGGCTTCACGCTTGCTGGATCGAGCTTGTCGGAAAGTTGCTGCGGTACTGCAAAAGGCGGGACAATGCCCTTCTCTAGCGCAACCATCACCTTGAGGATGCCCACCAGTCCAGATGCCTCCTCCGTGTGGCCAAAAACGGCCTTTGACGAGCCCAGGCGTAGATCTGTGGCGTCCTGGCCACCGAGGTGCTTGACGATAGTGTTGACCTCCGTAGCATCCCCGACGCGAGTGCCTGTCCCGTGAAGCTCAAGCAAGGTGACGTCAGAGAGGCTGCGGCCCTCGAGGATGGAGGAGAGTAGCTGCTCTTGAGCCCGGCACGAAGGCGCTACGATGCCGTTGGTGTTGCGTCCGTTGTGCCCGACGCGAGAGGAGAGGAGCTCAAGGCGTGTTCGCAGACCCAGTCGGTCCGCCGTACTGCGCTTGGCTAGAATGAAGGCGACGCAGGCCTCAGAGGGGACATACCCGTCTGCCTCGGACGAGAGGACTAGACAGCCGCCTTGTGACCTCGGTGAGCGCATTTGAGCGTCAGAGAGGGCGAGCAGCGGGCCAGGCCAGAGGTGTGTTGTGACGCCGGCTACGATGGCCATTTCGCAGTCTCCCGCCTCGATCAGCAACCTTGCTTGATGCAGCGCCATGCTGCCACTTGCGCATGCTGAGTCTACCGTAGAGATTGGCCCCGTCGTCCCTAGCCAATGGGCGACTCGTGCGCTCGTTGTGCTGTGAGCTGCCCCACTGATGTAAAAGCGATCATATTGACTTGCTCCCGGGGATGCTGCAGTAGTCAGCTTGTCCCAGTGATCTTCAGGCTTGGCTCCTACGATGACACCCGTCGAGCTACCCTCCATCTGCGCAGTTGTCAAGCCAGCGTCTTCGAGCGCATCATGCGCACACTCGAGTACAAGGCGTGTGTTGGGGCGAACATGTGGCGCTTCCCTAGCCGTTATTGCGAAGCGTTCTGGCTCCCATCTCATGCACGCATCGCTGAGCCATCCGCCGTGAAAATTATTGTCGTGCTTGAGAAGCTCGTCGAGCTCGGGAATCCCTCGAGGCCATCGTCCTGCTGGTGGCTGTCCGAGGATTGGGCGGGCATATCGTCCCATCAAGGCGTCCCATAGCGCAGCCTCGTCTGCAATGTCTCCGGGCAGCCTGAAGCCGGCGCCCACGATGGCGATTGGGTCGTGACCTGAGCCCATGGTGTTGCGAGCGAGTGGGCGAGCGATTGGTGAGAAGGCAAGGAGCAACGTCTCGCCGCTTTCACCCGGCCGGGGTCGACGCTATCGTTGCCGTCGACGCCGCCATTGGGTGCCAGGCACCCGAGTTTAATTAGCTTTTGCGAACTTCGCGACGAGGATGTGATGGTAATTCAGGAACAAAGAGCCTGACGCGCGCCCCGCGAACCCGACCTCGTCTCGCCCATGCAGCTCGCGGAGACGCACGGCCGCCCTCGCTAGTCTGGTCTGACGTCTGTGCGAGGCGTCAGCCAGAGACGAAGCGGCGATTGAGTTTGGGACTAGCGCATGCTCCCTCCACGAAGCGTCGAACCGAGGAAGGAGCATCGCGAGTCGCAGGGCGGTGCGTTCGCAGGTTGCATCTCGACTTCCCACACGATGCGTGACGCCATCCATCATTGCTCACGGCGCATTCCCCGACGTCTACTGAACGAGCGGCGGCGCAGAGTGATGATGCACGGTCATGGTTGCGACGCTGTTGGAGGCCCTGAAATGGGATGGCATCTCCACCTCAAGCTCGTTGCTTCCCCACCTCCCTCGCCATGACAGTCCCATCACTACCCAGCATCAATCACCTCCTCTCCTGGCATTGGTATCAGGGCCAGCCAGATGCTGTCCTCCTCAGCTTCGAGGTTGAGCATGTCGATGGCAACAGCACACCGGACATGGATGACGTTCGTCACACTCGACGCTCTCGCCCGGCTGACAAGAAGTATCAAGACTTGACATACCGTGAATGCTTGACGGCTGCGCTCCTCATCGCGGATCACCTCAGCAGACGATATGCTATCGGTTCGCAGAGCACCGTAGCTATCATCAGCCCCAACTCCCCGGAGATGCTCCTGGTGAGTCAGGGCGATGTGACGGGCTGCCTGCGTAGCTAATGACTGACTCCCCGCTATTCCTTGTCGCACAGGTAATGATGGCTCTCTGGCTCCTCGAATCAGTCGTAGCTCCCCTCGCGCACGACTCTCATGCAGACAATCTCAAAGCAATGCTCCAAATAGTCAAGGCAGATGTTGTTCTCGGCGCAGGGTACGACAGCAGCATCGCCGATGTTGTGAGCGAAGCTCTTGGCGGAGGTAGCCTGGGCTCGCAGATCGGAGCAGACGATGAGCACGTAGCAGCCCTTGCAGACCGATACCTCCTTGATCCAACCACTCAACGTCAGGCCACCGCAGTACTCCTCTTCACCTCGAGCGGCATTTCTGCGAAATCCATCAAATGCGTCGAGACGCCTCATAGCCTTTGGTCAGAGGGATGCCATGCCATGCTCCAACGGGAGCACCCTGGCGCTTCGAGACCGCTGCGATGCGTGGGATGGGCGCCATTTTCTCACATGATGGGGTGAGTGAGCGCACGTAAGCGTGCGGGATGTGGCAGAGTCTGACGCAGCTCTTCCTCGCGACAGGCTCGGCGCCGCCTTCTTTGCAGACGTCCTCTGCTCTCACGGCACCTACATCTTTGTTCCTGAAGAAGACGGAGCGCCTCTACCCGCTCGCCTTCTCAAGTGCATCCAAGCAAGCAGCGCAACACACAGCGCCGTCTCTCCAATCTTCCTCGACTACTTTCAAGAGCATGCGGATGACACCGGGCTGCAGGGGTACACACTCGCCGTGGGAGGGGCAGCTCCACGACCCTCTCACTGGGAGTGGGCTCAGCGAGTCGGCGTCAATCTTATTCAAGCGCCAGGCTCAACAGAGTGCGGGCCATGGGGAACCAGCGTGGCTCCTCCTGGCGTACGCACTGGAGCTGACGTGCCAAAAGACGCAGTCTGGCCACGCTCTGATCTCCAAGTCTGGCTCGACGGAGATGGGAATGAGGGCGAGCTAATGATCAAGGGCAGCAATATCCTCTCTCGCTACCGCGACATGAACAAGACAACCCTGCAGGATGTAGGCCAAGAGGTGCGCACATTTCGCACGGGCGATATCTTCCGACGACATGCCGAGTCGGGCGGCTTGGTCTACGAGTGTCGTCTGGACGACTTGATCCCGATGGCGTCTGGTGAAAAGGTGCCAGCGCTGGATCGCGAAGAGAGATTGTCTGCGCAGCTGGGCATTGTCAGGGCTTGCATCGTAGGCGATGAGGTGCCTTGGGAGGAGGGTGGGTTCGTGCTGCAGCCGAGCAACAAGCTTTACGCCGTGATAGAGGTCGAAGAGCGGCTCAGCGGTCAGGAGAGGCGGGAGGCGGCCGAGCGAGCGGTGCGTGACACAAATGGCGAGACGGAGAAGCAAGCGCGAGTCCTACTGGGCGACATCATCGTCTTGTCCGCGGGAGAAAAGCTGCCTCTCACTCGCAAGGGAACACTCTGGCGCAAGAAGGTCTGGGCTCGCTTTCCTCAGCTACTGCGCGACCACCTCAGCTCGACAAAGGAGCCCAAGCTGGCCGCTCAATTGGCCGACATCTTTGCGCGTCATCTCGCCCTCGACTCGTCCTTGCTTCTCTCACTCTCGGCCCCTACATTCGAGGAAGCTGGAGCGTCCTCCCTTGTCATGCAGGCGGTGATTAAGGAAGTCGCGTCAGAGACGGGCCACGTTCTACGCCTTGCCGACCTCTGGTCCTTCGCTACGGTTTCCGACCTAGCTCAAGCACTCTGCGTGCGGCCAGAGACGGCAGCGAAGGCTTCGCCGAAGCAAGAAGGCGACGACGTCAACGCAGTAGGCATCTGCGGCGTCTCGTTGCGCCTACCAGGCGGCATTGACCACACATCCGACCTCTGGGAAGCCCTCCTCGGCGCGCCAGACGGCGAGAGAGTGTACGACGCCAACATACCGGAGCGATGGGGCAAGACAAGCATGGACCGGCCCGAAGTCAACGCCGCGGCAAGTCGAGCTCGATGGTTGCCCACGTCTTCTTTCACCGACTTCGATCACGCTCTGTTCGGCATTACAGCAGAGGCGGCGCGCCATGTCAATCCCTGCACGCGGCTGGGCCTCATGCTCACGATGGAAGCCTTGGAGAACGTGGGTCTCAAGGCGGAAGAGTGCCACAACTTGGTCCCAGGCCAGGCTACGGGGCAATGCGTGGGCGTCTGGGCAGCTCAAAGCGACAGCGCCGGTCCTCGCTTCAGAGAGTTTGAGCTGCGCGGCATGGACAGCTACGATCGGTGGTACCCACTCGGGGCGAGCGAGAGTGCCATGGCTGGTCGAATAGCCCACTCTTTTGGCTTCCATGGTCCGACGAGCACGGTACAAGCTGCGTGTGCGAGCAGTCTCGTTGCGCTGCATCAAGCCGCAACCGCTCTCGCAGCTGGCGAATGCGATGTAGCCGTGGTGGTCTCGGCCACCACGGACGTTTGGCCTGCGGAGCTCGTCTACCTGCAAAAGTCTGGCCTACTCGCTCCAAACGGGCAAGCTCGAGTCTTCTCAAAGGATGCAGACGGATTCGTGCCGTCAGAGGGCGCCATTGCCTTTGTTTTGGCCCGATCGGATCGACTGCCTGCGTCGATGGGTAAGATCGTCACCTCATCCGTCGCCCACTCGGGCAAAGGCGCCGCAATGGCTGCTCCAAACGGCTTCGCGCAAGAAGCCCTCCTCAAGTCTAGCCTGGCAAAAAGCGGCAGATCAATCGACGATGTAGACGTTCACGAGGCTCACGCGACTGGCACCCAGGCAGGCGATGCCATCGAGCTCGACGCGCTAGAGCAAGTCTTTGCTGGGCGTGCCACGGTCAAGCCTCTACTCACTGGGTCTGCAAAGGAGCGCTTGGGTCATCTGGAGGAGACGGCTGGTGCCCTCGGCTTGCTCAAGGTCATTCTTGCCATGCATCATCGACGCTGGCCAGGCATGGCGGCAGAGGAGAACAGACTGGCTTCACCGCGCAACGTCAAGATAGCGCAGACCGGCGTCAGATTGGCGAAAGATAGACCGTTGCTGGGCAGCGTCAGCTCATTTGGTCTTACCGGGACGCTAGCACATCTTCTCGTCCAAGGTCCAACGGCGCCTGCGAAGAAGGACGTCAGGGAGGTCACGAGTGAGCCCACGCCCCTGCTCATCACCGCTCGTGACGAGGCGTCGTTGCGTGCGGCCTGTGAAAGGTGGACAAGATTCGCTGCCGATCCGCCTGTCTCGCTGGCTACAGCAGCAGCACAGACTCAGTCGTCTCGCATTCACCACTCTCATCGAAGAGCGGTGATAGCTCGTGACTGGCAGGAGGCCACAGAGCAGCTCAAGAGCCCGTACAAGCAGCGCACCCGAGCAACCACCCTACGCGTCCTCTTCTCTGGACGAGACGACTCCTTCGACGAGTGTCTGGCTGACGCCCATCGCTGGCAGGATCTTGCGCCTACGGCTGAACTAGTCGCATTCGATCGGGCGCTCATCGCCCTCGTCGCAGCGCAAGGCAGCATGTCAATACATGCGGGGCGTCATCTGTGGGATCTCGTCTCCACAGCTGAGGAGGGAGAGCTGCTCGTAGAGACGCGCGAGGGGCCTGGTGCTTCCAGCAAATTGGCTCCCGACGAGGACTTCATCATCGGTGACGGCCAGACCTACGTCGCTACCAAGTCAGGTCGACGATACACCGCCCCCTCACTCGAGTCACTGCGAGAGTGGGAGAGCGAGCACGGACCTGCCACTCTCAAACACGCCATCTTGTCGCCATGGACGGGCAGAGTGCTACCGGCGGGCTGTCCGATCGGCGCCGGCTTCTGGGCCAAGCATCTCAACGGTCGTGCTTGCCTGCCGCGCCTCTTCGATGATGTAGACGGTTTGGTGCTCGACGGACACACGGGAGCGGCTCTCAGCCTCGACGGGGAGAGTGTGTTGAGCCTCTTCTCGTCCGCCCCACGCCCCGCCTCGCTCTCGAATGTAGGCGCTATGCTCTTCGAGCGTGGCATCGACATCAAGTGGCCCGGCACGACGCCCACGCCTACGCGTCCGCACCCGCTCCTTTCCCTCCCCAATACCCCCATCCTCGGCCCACGCCTCTGGACATCTGCCTGAACGTAGCGCTGCGTCTCGCGAAAACATGTGTAGCATTGCGCGTAATAAGCAAATCCAAGAGTGACAAGAATGTCCGTAACGATAAAGAAGAGTCCATGTACCTGTGCTGCGCTGCAATGCGATGCAATCTCTACGCTATGCCCTCCTACCGAGTCCGTTCGAGCACTCGCGCCAGAGCGACTTGGAGAGCCCGATCCCCCACGAATCAAAGGTCCTCGTAAACGCCTCGCACAGGATGCCGAGCATGATGTACGACGTGAAAAAGACGACGAGTACCGCTGCCCAATACTCGACGCCCTTGTGGACCAGCTCGATGACGAGCCATGCACCCCAAGACCAAAAGATGACGCCGTGTAGCAGGTAAAGCGAAAAGGCGTTTCGCCCAAAGACGCTCCAGAACCGCAGCTGAAAGAAGGTGCGGAACGACGTGCAGAGGTCACAGAGCAGAAAGAAGCCGATGACGAAGAAGAAGGCAAAAAGCTCCGGAGACGTGTAAGGGATGCCCGTGCTCTCGAAATCGGTGTTCTTGCTGTTGGGCTCAGCCGAATCCCACGACGGGTGGATGCCGTACTCTTGCAGGAAGACGTCCGCTGCGGGCCCGCCGATGAAGTTGAGCCAGGTGAAGATTGCGCCGACGAGGAAGATGGCCCAGGCGATGAACTGTCCAGGCATGCGTACGCCACCAAAGAGCGGGATGCCCTTGGCTGCCTTCTCGCGATACTTGAGGCGATTGTCCAGGTCGGCAATGATCAATCCCGCGATAAAAAAGTACTCGAATCGACCCGCGTACCACGAGCAGAGCCAGCAGAGAGCGTAGAACGTGTAGCGCTTGATCGGGTTGACGATCTCGCGGGCTACTAGCGCGCAGAGGAAGACGGTCCAGCTGTACTGCACGATGAGCGGGACAGTCCAAAGGATACCGGTGGCATAGAGGGAAATCTGCGGCGGCGTGTTGGGGGGTTCGGTGAACCATAGGCCCATCCAGTCGTCGATGAAGACGCCGAGGTTGGTGTAGTTGGTGTAGTAGCTCCACGGCGACCAAGTCACGGACTGCAAGCGCGTGACCCAGTGGAAGGCGCCCACCTCGATGAGGAAGTAGTTGAGAATGAGCGCAGCGGTGATGGGCACCATAAGTCGGGGCACACGGCGGAAGATGGCCTCGGCGAGGTCCTGCAGCTTACCGCGCACGAGGTAGCGATTGGCAATGACGCGCGCGGCGAGGCAGAAGAAGATGCCGACGTTCAAGCCACCGTTGGTCAGGATGGGCCCAAGGATGTAGCGGAACCACGTCTCGAAGCCGACGTAGTGCATAAAGGCTGTAGGCGTCGTTTGGCCAAAGTAGAAGATGAGCATGAAGTGGTGGAACGAGACCAAGAAGCAGGCAAAGCCGCGCAGGCCATCGAGATATTCGACGCGAGCCGCGCCCGATGCCGTCTTGCCTCCGCCACCCTCGCCAATGAAGAGGTTCTCCTTCACCCACGCAATGGGGCCGAGGCGCGGCTTTTTGGGTCCCTTTGCTGGCCTGAGTGCAGCCTTGCCTGCGACTGGACGAGCGAGGCCACGTCTACGACCTGGCGCTTGCTCCCATCGCACGAATCCGGAGTCATCGTCGTTTTCCTCATCTGCATTGAGTCGCGCGACATTGGCGAGTGGTGAGGCGCCGTAAGCGTTGCGCGAGTTAGACCAAGGCAGCTTGTTGCTCGAGGACGATGGCGAAGAGGGGGAGAGGAGGTGAGCTTTGGAAGAGTCGCGACGCCATTCCTTGAATGCTTGACTGTCCATGCTGGCCACCGATCCTTGACGCTGCGAGTCTTCCGTCGGCGAAAGAGTAGCCTCGCCGCTGGCGGGTGCCACGTTCCCCTCTGCTTCCTTTGCAGTCGCGCCACCACCTGTCGCCGTCTTGGCATATTCGTCTGCGCTGCTACTGCCTGGTCCCTTTTCCGGAAGCGGCCAAGGTCGCAGCGGATCATCGTGCTCTTCGTACTCATCCCCGCTCTCGTCTGCGCCCTCTTCGCGATTCTGTGCGGCCAAGAGGGCTGCCGGGTAGTTCCAGTGAGCTCCCGCACCTCCTTCTTCCTCCATCGTCGTGTTGCCGCTCGTCATTGGCCCTTGGCCTGGTCGAGGGCTGAGAGGTACTCCAGCTCCCGTCCCTGCCGACTCGTATTTCCCTCGCGATGACGCAGAGTGGACAGCCCAGTTGACGAGACCATGGATGACAAGGGCGGCAAATACGGCTGCGGATGCAACTGCGAGTGCGACTGCCCATGATGGCGTCGAGTACGAAGACGTAGGACGTTCAGGCGATTGCAGAGCCGCCGCGCTGAATGCCGTGCTCCCTCTGAGTGTGAGATCGTCCGTGTTGCACTCTGGCGTGGGACCAGCGGCGCAACCCGAGTCGAATTCCGCGCTCCTCGATGGAAGCGACGAGTTGAAGAAGAGGCGAGCGTAGAGAAGCTCGGCATTCAGTTGGAAGCCCTCGGGCGGCGCTTGGCCGATGCCTTTGAATCCCTCCGAATAGTGGCGGTACGCAAAGGGCCCACCGTACGATGGGAGAGGCGAGGTGACATTGCTAGCGCCCGCAGCAATCGTTGCGCCAGACGTGCCATTGTTTGTCCAATCACCATTGTTTGTAAACCAGCCCACCTGAGGGTTCTGCCACTCCATGCGATGCTCTGTAAAATTGTGTTGAGCGTTCCACCCAATCCCCTGCCAGAGGATCTGCTGGACTGCCTGCGACGATCCTTGGATCTGATCCTGTCCCTTGGCTGCCCATTCCCACGTCAGCGTGGCGTTGTAGGACGCAGCGAGGGACGTCTCAACGTAGTCGTAGTCGTCGTATCGCACACCCATGCGAAGGAAGGTCCCCTCGTTGGACGATGGTGATGGGAGCACGCTAGTGCGGAACGATCCGAAGAGGATGTCTCTGCGACGAGAGACGAGGCCTGCTCCCCATGTGATGCGATGACGCAAGTCGGCGGGCAAAACGGCGAGCTGCATGACTTGGGACGAGAAGTTGCCATCTACCGTCGTGTATGAGTTGTTGGATCGGAAGCCTGTTCGCCAGTCTATGCCGTATCCTTCGTTGTATGCGTTCAAGTGGTCGTAGACTGACCAAGGCGCAGAGTCTGTCGCGGCACCCGTGTTGCCGGGTGCACCTGCGCCTTGGACGTCGGGTGATGAGGCTGGTGACGAGATGACTTGTGATGCTGCGTCCGTTTCATTAAAGTAGGTGATGATGGCGTCGGTCCATAGCGCGCCGGTCGTTGGGTCTGTGTGCGCCCGAGGAGTGGGGAAGCGGAATGTCAGCGGACAGGTAGCGACGGCATGCTCATCGTAGTATCGTTTACGCACCTCTATAACCACACTGGCATTGCGACTGGGCAACGACTAGTTGAGCCAGTCCCAGCACAATGGCGGCGATGACGCCAATGCGAGTGGTGGTCATGACAGCGCGCGACGCTGAGCAAGCGGCGTGGATCAACGAGGACGAGATACGGGACGAGAAATGGGGGGGATGAGTAATGGCGATCACAACGGGGTATCTGGAGAAGCTGTAAGATGCAAAGCTAGTAGAAGGAGCAACTCGATCACGATTGGCATTGCGACGACTCTGGCTGCTCGGTGCTTGAGCCTGACCACTCCTTGCTCCTCCTCTGTGGCTGCTGCGTCACTTTTGCTAGTCACCGGCGGCGGCGCGGCGAGCGAGCTGGGCGAGCTGGGCGAGCTGAAACTTGAACCGCGACAGAGAGAGCGACGAGAGAGAGACCCAGCCGTGTTTGCCCTGCGTCGTTGCGTTGCGGGGGTGAGAGGAGGAGGCCTTGTTTCAAGGACCCTGGACAGGACAGGAAGAGAGTTGGGCTGGGCCTGCGCGCGACCTGCAAGCTGCTGCACCGCCATCTCATGAGCTGAGTGAGCAGCCCTCCCTGCTATTATGCACAGAAGTTTTCGTATCCCGCGACGGCGCGACGACGAGCCAGCCGGCGCGTCCGCCCGACCGGCATCCATCTGCATTACGAGCCACGAGGCACGCAGCAGCTGCTGCTGAACCAGCGCTCCTTCGTCGAGATGCGTTCGTGGGTCTCCGATGACGATGCGATGCGATGCGATGAATGAGGAAGGTTGATCGCAGCGGGGGCAGCGATGGTGTGGTCGTGTGGCTCTCGTTCCTGAATGTTGATTCGCCGCTACTCTTTTCCCGATCGTAGTGAGAGGGACCGAGCGTGCGAAGGGTTTGGCCGTGCGTACGAGGACCGCCGGCGACGTCGAGCTCGGGCCTAGCCGCGCTGGTTCGCTGTAAAGACAGGGGCACTACTCAAGAGGCTTGGCAGGGGGGAATGTCCGTCGGCACGCTCAGACGACGACGACGACGCTCGGACGATGGATGAAGCGGCGGCTCGGGTGAAAGTCAAGGCAGAGATGAAAATTGAAATTGTCCTTGGCGCGTATCGTGCGCGTGTGAGCGGGGTGCGGAATGCCTCGCCCCGCCAGCCTGCTCACACCCTGATCCAGCGGAATAGCCATCTCGCGGCCACGAAGCTGGGCCATTCCACGAGCCAGTAGCAAATTTCAGCGACGACGAGGCTCAGCGGTATACACGCAAAGAACAGAGCCGCCAGGATGCTCGACTCGCTGGTCATGCCACGTTGATCGCGGAGAACTACGGTCAGCTTGCTGCCCAGCGCTAGGCAGACTGTGCCCGATGTGAGGAAGAGCATGAAGCTGATACGCCCCAAGTAGCGGAAGACCGGATTGGCAAAGATGCGTTGCGCTACTGCGTTGAGGTCAAGCAGGGCCATGCTGCCTGCCACGACGAAGAAATCGTCGACGCGCGGGTAGGGCTGAAGGTTGGCGTTGAGGTAGCGATTCAGGCCACCGTAGCTCTTGTCCGTGTGGTAGATGTACTCGTCGTTGCGGTGAGCAGGATTGGATGCCCAGGCCCACTTGAGTGCGAGGCCCAGTACGAGGAGGATCGCAGGTGGGATGTATAATTTGCGCTTCGACTGGGCGAGGGGAAGGTAGACGAGCGTGAACTCGGCCAGCTGCAGGGCCGTCAAGTTGTACCATGCCCACGATCCGAGCCAGTAGGTGACAATAATGAAGCCCGGGAAGCCCCAGACTTTTGCGCGCAGGCTGATAAAGGGGAGTAGGGCCGCAAAGACGTAGACGGTGAATGACTGCGAGAAGATGACGGGGATGACCCAGGAGAGCCCACTCAAGGGGGTGTAGGCGATGCCGCGATCCGACTTGTATGGCTGCGTATCGAAGAAGAGGGTGAAGATCGAGTTGAAATACTCGAGAAAATTGGGAAATACAGCCGGTGGTATGGCAGCAGAGTTGGCCGTGATCTCGCTCAATCGTTGCGCATTCTTGAAACCCCCCGCAGCGCCCACGATGGAGGGGAGGGCGAGGGAGAAGAGGATGGGGAGCAACAGGCGAAGCGGTCGACGGAAGACGGCTCCAGCGAGTGTGTGCGCACTCCTTCGCTCCAGGAAAGTCAAGACAATGACTCGCGAGGAGAGCATGATGAAGAAGGCGGCGGGCAGCGTGCTGTCCCAGAAGATGGGTCCCAACGCCTTGCGCAGATTGTTCTGCCACGCTGGCGCGCTTCCTACGAAGGGGGCTGGACGAGTGCCATCCACATCCGTGTCGGTGGCTACTGCTGGGGCGAGAGTGCGAAAGAAGATGTAGAGGAGCGTCTCGAGGGCGATGAGGCCGCGCAGCCCTTCTAGGTAGCCCACGCGATCGCTGCGCTTACGACCAAAGTCGTGGCTGTCGTCTGTGATGACGGGTTGCGGGGTGATGCCATTGGTGTCGGCATCTAGCCAAGGGGCGTACTGAGCTGAGACTTCGGCCTGCTTGGACGCCATGATGACGGGATGGAGATGGTCAAGTCGATGGGGAAGGCGGCTTGGACAGGGTCGTAGTAGTAATGGCGGCCGCGGGTCTGGCATGCAGCTCGGCGAGCAGCTCGACTCGACGACCCGCTTCGAATGAGTTTCGCTCTGACGCTCGAGGCTGCCGGCCCTGCAGTGTCCTGCGTCGCTGCGTCGCTGCGTCGCTGCGTCGCTGCGTCGCTGCGTCGTCGTCGTCGATCTCCGCTCGCAAAGCACTGCTGCACCCTCGACCACCCGCTCCTCAGGTTCGCAGCTCTCGTCGTCGACGTCAACTTGATCCCATCCTTTTCGCATTCACGCCGCATCGTAAGCGCTACGCCCGTCAACGCCCCGCCATGGTATCATCGAATCCCTTTGCCAGGCTGACGGATGGTGTCGTCCAAGGTGAGTCGCCGCGGTGCAAGAAGAGAAAGGGCGAGCTCGAGCTGGAGCTGACCCCCCGGCCTTCGCAGCGAGCCCGTACGCCATGCTAGCATGCTACGTCGTATTCTCCTTTTCCATCTGGAATCTCCTCCCGGACAAGGCATTCAACATCCTGTACGTGCCCTCGCCGCGCCCGAGCGCTCTATCGATCACCCCGCCAACTAATCTCTCTCCTTCACTCACCCCCACACCCGCAGCTGGTACATCTTCGCGACCGCCCAAACCCTCTGCGCCTTCGTGGGTGTTTCCCTCGCCATCAACTCTCGTCGCCCCTCGGTCCTCGCACGTCGTCATGCCCGCAAAGCTGCAAAGGAAGGATTTCCAGACTTGGACAAGAAACATGCTCACATTGACGTGCTGCTCATTCCGCAGGGGGAGGCGGATACGAATGACATCGTAGAGGGACTTCAGTATGTGGTGGATGAGGTCAATTACCCGAGCGAGAAGTTGCACGTCTATGTGTGAGTTTGCAATAAAGAGAGAGGATGCGCGATATCATCGGATGTTTGGAGAAGGATGCTGATACCTCATGGTCTCTCTCGCGCAGGGCCCGCGATCTGACGCACATCGACTCTCGCTGGTCAAATGTCACTTCCCTGCCTTGCCCTGCAGATGCAGCAGAAGCGGACATCATCTCTCACGCCCTTTCCATCTCCACGAGCCCAATCGTCTCCATCTACTCTTGCGGTGCCGTCCCCGATCCAAACGCCTTTGCCTGGGTAGCTCGCCGCTTCAACACGGGCCAAGTGGACGTGGTACACGGGCGACGATGCATCTCAAGCCCTACCCCCTCCGTATGGTCCAACCTAGCATCGGTGGACTACGATGTTGCCTACGGGATCTTCCAACCGGGAACCCCGGCAGGCACAACCTCGTGGGGGATGGACGGTCATTGGAGTCGCTCCCTCCTCAAATCCCTCGTACGACGACATCGCTCTGGACTCGACACTAGCGTGCGTGCCCTCCTCTCCGGCGCACGAAGCGGTTACGACTTGAACGTCGTGGCATTCGAAGCTGCTCCGTGGGGTCTGGGAGATCTGTTGGGACAGCGTGTCGCCTGGGCGAGGGAATGGACGCGAATCACCGGTAGACACGGGGTAGCGTGGAGCAAGACCAGCCTGGCCTTGGTCCTCCTCGCTGCTTACCCTCACGTGCTCCTTCAGGCTTGCTGTCTCGCCCTCGCCTCTCTGCCACGCTATGGACCCGCTACGTGGTCGCAGCTTTATCACCATGAGGACGGATTTGTCATCTCCGTATGGCTCATCGCTTTCCAGCTCATGTCGGGCGTCGTGGCGCTCAGCATCTTGTACCGCAATCGCTCGGCCAGCACGCCCAAGAGTGCTGTCCTCGTCTTTGCGCTGCTTTCGCCCTTGTACCTCGTGGCATTTGCCTGCTTGATGGTGGTAGGGCACTTCAAGGCGTTGGTGCGGGCGCGATAGGTGAGGGCGCGCTAGGACTCAAGTCGCTGCATTGCACGGACACTACTTGTATCGCTTCGCTGCCACTACTACTACGCAATTGTCATGTTTCGAATTCTCTAACTCGCATGCTCCTCGTTGCTACATCTCTGTCGCTGCGCGCCGCTTGCGCCGCCTGCGCCGCTCAGAGGTTGCTCGACTTGGCTACAAAGCTCTGTCCCTTCTCAATGTTTCCTCCCAAATCAGCGACAGCCTTCTTGACCAGCCCCTCCTCGTACTCGCTCATCCCACCGAGAGGGTGAATCTTCTCTACACCGTTCTTGCCGAGCGTAACGGGGACAGAGAAGTACTGAAGGTTACCGCCCAGCTTGGAGGCTACGTCCTTACCGCCTGCCTCGGAGTCGAGGTCAACGTACGTGTACTCGTGCACCGAGCTGGCCTTGCCGCTCGCAGCGTCGAGGACGGCAGCTGCGAAGCGTGCGCCGGCGAATGCCATGGAGAGGGTGGCGGAGCCTGCTCCGTCTTTCGCTTTTACTACCTCATCGCCGCCGAACTGGATACGGTTGGTCAGCTGGTCAATGGTAGCCTGGTCCAACTGAACCTTGGGGTCGCACTGGCTGAGCAAGGGCACGATGGTGACTCCCGAGTGGCCTCCTACAACGGGGATGCGGAACTTGAGGGACTCCGTAGGCTGGCCAGCCGCCTCTGCCACAAAGGTGGAAGCGCGAACGACGTCGAGGGTGGTAACGCCGAAGAGGCGCTTGGGGTCGTAGACGCCCTTCTTCTTGAGGACCTCGGCAACGATGGGGACCGTCGAGTTGACCGGGTTGGAGATGACCAGGACAAAGGCCTTGGGCGCGTGAGCGGCAATGCCTACGGCGATGTCGCGGACGATGGATGCGTTGATGTTGAAGAGGTCCTGGGGCGGGGCGAGCATTAGGAGCAGGAAGCATTAGTTGCTGCATGACAGGAGGAAGCGTCACACCGCACACTCACATCACGAGTCATGCCGGGCTTACGGGGCACACCAGCAGGGATGACGACGATGTCTGCGCCAGTAAGGGCCTTCTCGAGTCCTCCATCGGGGGGCAGATAGCCCTTGACGACCGAGGGGGTGTTGATGTGGGAGATGTCGGCTGCGACACCGGGCGAGTTGACGCTGCGCGGGAGAGAGGCGCGTATGTGTTAGCATCAATGATCGGGGCAATGGGCCGCCGAGAGTGCAGCCACACTCACACGTCGTAGAGGGCGAGGTCGGTAATCAAGGTGTTCTGCTTGAGGAGGAGCGAGAGAGGCTGGCCGATACCGCCAGCTGCTCCGATGACTGTTGCCTTGACCATGGTGTTCGAAGTGAATGCAGAGTAGTGTGTGTAGTCGTGGTTGAGAAGGAAGGAGTAAACCGACTCCTCTCCACGCACGCCCGCTCGCACTCTCTTGACGGCATCCAACCGGGCCCCACCAAGTTGGCGGCTGGCCATCCGCCCGCCGCACGCTGGCTGAGGCTGAGGCTCGACGCTTGGGCCACTTGTCGCTCCCACGCGCGTGGCCATTGCCCTCGCCCGCCTGGGCCGGTAATTCGGTCAGATCCGCCTCCGGCCATGACCGAATGGCTCACAGAGGTTGAAAGGCAAGCTACCGATATGATATGATGTGACGAGGCGAGGCGATGCGAGGCGATGACAATGGCATTGCGCGGGTATGCAGAGAGATGACATTAGAAATGCGATCACTTCTTATCGGCAGACTTGCTCGATTTCGTCGCCTTCGATGCCGCCACCCGTCCCTTTGCCGCCCTCTGAGCCCTCCTCTGCCTCCTATTACGCTTCGTAGCAGCCACAGCCACCGCGTGCCCCTCTTTGCGCTTGGCTTTGCGCCATTCCTTCTTCTCTGTGCGGGTGTGCTTCTTGGCTAGCTTGACTGCGTTGAGATTCGTGGGCGCAGTCGTAGAGGTGGTAACGACGTTTGGGCGGGCTGTGAAGGTGGGGGGCGGGGGAGGTCGTGCTGGTGCTGGTGCTGGTGCTGGCGGTGATACGATGCTCTGCCTCAGCTGCCTATGCGTGGCAAGAGCACAATGAGCCGCAGCGTCCAACCAGCTTGCTCGGAGTGGCTGTACGTTTGCTTCGTCTATCCTCGCTCTCAGGCTCTCGACTGGCAGCCTCTCCGTAGATAATGCCAAAGCCCCGCATCTCCTCACTCCCAGAGAATCAGCGAGAAGTAGCTCAGCCCCCTCCGGCAGCGGTATGACTCTTAGCGATCGCTTCCCACCTTCGGAAGGGTAGCATACAGCGTTGACTGAGCATGCCAGGAGAGGGAAATGGGCTGCAAGCTTCGGAGGGTTAAGGTCTGCTCGGCACACGAGTACCACGTCTAGGTCGTCGTTAGACGCAGCTGCAGCCGCCTTGTCCGCGATCATCTTCTCTAATCTCCTTGTCACAGAGTTGATCCCGTAGACGAGGGGTGGTGGGCGAGAAGGCCCGGCTTCCGTGTCCAGCTCCATCTTTTGCACCTGCTCCTGCTCCTGCTCTTGCTCCTTTGACCTTCTCGCCCGACGTCTTTGTCCCTTTGTCATGCTTCTGGGATCTTTGACTTGGGCGCGAATGAAGGGCTGGACGGATGCATGGCGCAGCACGTCAAGGAGGGTGTAGAGGATCGGTTGAGCGTCGACGGGCGATACGATAGGCCTGCGGCGAGGCTCGCTGTCAGTCAAAGGCGGCTCGATGACATCCTGCTGCACAATCTTCGCTCACCAATTGACTGTGAGAGGACTGCCCAGCACCTGCTTGAATACCGTCTTCCTCCCGCTCTCCCCCTTCTTGTCCGTCCCTTGGGTCGCCGCCGCCGCCGCCTTGCTACTCGGCCCAGCCTGTGCACTCCCCTGCCCATCCCTCTCCTGAGCTCTTTGAGCTCGCTGCCCAGCCTTCTTGTTCGCCCCTGCCCTCAGCGAATGCTTGGCCGTGTGAGTCTGGACCGATGCCATTCTGCGGCGTGCGTGGGGGTTGAGGAGCCAAAAAAAGTCGTCAAAGTCGCGGCCACGCTCACACGTCCGCGCCTGTTTCCGCCTTGCCTGCCTGCGTCTTGCACCTGCAGGCACGCACCAAGAAGCTCAGTCCGCCCTTGTCGTTGCTCCCCGCGGACGCTTGGGCCCACGCTCACGGCAAGGCGGATGCAAAGGGGCGGGCGGATGGGCGGATGGGTTGATGGGCGGATGAGAGGCCATCTTTTGCCTCATCACCAACCAACACAGCCATCGAGTCATCGCGATCAGAGCACGACTAGCACCATCGCCACACGCTGGGCACCACTGCCGCCGCCGCAGCGATGGACGAAGTCATATCTTACCTCGTCGAGGAGCTGGCAATGGATGGCGAGCCAGGTGAGTCTAAGCGCACGCAACGCACGCCTCAACGCTAGACGTGCACTCGTCTACGAGACTCGAACCCTTAACGCGCTTCCAAGCGGGGCGTGGCGCGACGTCGCAGAACGCTAATACTCCTTCTCATCTCACACAGGCAGCGACCTCGCCCGCTTCTCCGAATTCATCGAGGAATTCCACAAAGGCACCGATAGCCTCATCGACGACTCGTACCGCGACTACATCTTTCGCTGCCTCTTTACTCAGCAGAGCTGCGTTCAAGTGGGCACTAGGGTGAAAGCGGGCAAACCGCCTGACAAGCCCCCCCACCAACGATGTATCGATACGGTGGCATTTCTTCCCCGTGATGAGGTGCTGTTGAAAGGCAAGACGCTCACTCAACTCAGCGGAGAGCACGGTAACGCGCTGCGCATTACGGTCGATGTGGACCTCATCCGCCTCTATATTACGGGGACGACCGACGCCAAGTTGCTCATCGGCGCATCATGGCCCTCCGTCCAGCTCGTCAGTCGTAGACGCGCGAGGGGGTGTGAAGCGACGGAGATCGGGCGCGTGAATGGGGCAGATCAGCGAAATGTCTTTGCGATTCTCAAAAAGCTCGTCGACGTAGGGCTAGTCAAGAAGATGGTCGCGGTGAAGAAACATGGGCAGGGACAACAGGGCAACTTTGTCCTCCATCGACGCTATTGGGGCATGGAGATTGGATTTAAGGATATCGTCGCGTCCGGAGCCAAGGCGACCAAAGCTGGAGACCAAGGCGATGAGGATGGCGATGCCGCTGAGGATGGAGGCGATGCAGACGAGACTCAAGCAGGCGTGGAAGTGCAAGACGGCGGCGCATCCATCTCGGAGCCACTCTGCCTCGCCATCATCGCGCAACCGGAGGCGCTACTGGAGCGAGTCTTGCGACAGGTCGAGGAGGATGGCGCTACGGATGGGCTCTGGCAGCGCATGGGCTTTCCCGCCATGATAGGCCTCGGCGATCACTCCCTCAACGATGCTATTCAACACGGCGTACAGTTGGGATGGCTTCAAGCCACTCCCTCTTTGCTCGCCCTCACATCCACGGGCCGCGCTCACCTCTCGCGCCTTTCCGCGCCCTCAACCTCGACCGCCCACACCACCCTCGCGCATACTATCCTCGACACGAAGCACACCTTTGCAGCCAACCTAACCTTCGAGCGTCAAATCCACGAAGCGGTCCGCCAAGCCGGCTCTTCAGGCACCACGACACGCCAAGTGACTCGCCACTTCCGAGCAGCAGGCCGTGCCGTGCGCCACTTTGACGAGTACATGCACACACACGAGACGGACGGGCACGACCTGCGCGGCTATCCAGACCTGTCCATCCTGAGCGTCCTCGAGATGTTTGGGCGCGAAAAGCGCGTGAGGATGTGGAATGCGGCGGGTCTGCTGGCACACGCGGAGGAGGTTCCGGATGGAGGGTTCGAGGAGAAAGTCGAGCCGCTCCTGGGCATCGAGACGGGGCCTTTTGTCGGGTGGGCGCCATTCGAGACGTGCTGGGAGAGCGTCGAGGAGCTGCAGAAGGCCATCGATGCGGGCGCGAGGCTACCTGCCACCGTGAACAGGCCGAGGAAGAGCGAAAAAGACACGCCAGGCAAGGGCGCCGCCAAGCCGACGACGACGAAGAGGAAGAAGAACGCTGCTGCCACACCCACTGCGACGCCTAGTAAGCCGCCTGCTCCCAAGAAGGCTCCCACGCCCAAAAAGGCGGCGACGCCCAAGAAGATGACGAATCCGATTGATCCGGAGACGGGGAGGCCCAAGAAGGGCAGGCCGAGGAAGAGCGTAGACGCTGCGTCCGCGGTGGGGACGTCGTCGACGGGTGAGCCTCAAGCCAAGAGGGCGAGGGGAAGGCCCAAGAAGAATGCGGGAGCGGTGGCGGCGACTGCGGTGGGGACGGATAGTCAACCTACGACGGGCGGCGAGGCATCTCAAGTAGCCGAGGGGTTCCGAGCAGCGCAAGCTGTGCCAGGTGTGGAGGGCGAGCAAGGCCAGCCGGCTGAGGAGAGCCTGGTCGTCGAGGAGAGCCAGGCCGTTGATGAGAGTCAGCAGGTAGATGACAGCACACAAGCCGAGCAAAGCCTGCAAGTAGATGAGAGTCAGGTCATCGAGGACAGTCAGATGGCTAGCGAGAGTCAGCAAGTCGACGATACCCATAACGGCCAGCAAGTTGACGCCGAACCGCGCGACGCCGACCAGCGCGACGCCGACACGACGCAAGCTACGGAGATCGGCGACTACTCGGAAAATTCGGCCCCGCCAACGCCCTCGCGACCCATCAAACGAAGAGTGTCAGAGGTCGAAGCAGAAGCAGCAGCATCGGCGTCAGCATCAGCGTCCGACTCTCAGAGGACCACACCCTCCGCTACGCCCGCACGCAAACGAGGCCGCCCGTCCGCACCGGCCCCCGTCCGCGCACGCTTCAACATTGCTCAGACACGCAGGGAGCGTCTCTTCATCGAGGTCCTGTCACGCTGCAGCGGCCTGGCCGACGAGATGAATCTCGGCCTACTTTGGATGAACGAGCTGACCCAGAGGCATGGTGAAAACACGCAGGCAGTGCTCAAGGAGCTGGGTGACCTGCGTGACAGCAAGACTCGCACCCGCATGCTAGACTCGCTCGTCAAGCAAGGCAAGATCAAGATCACAACAACCCTCGGTCCCAAGGGGCGACAGCGCAAGATTGTCCACTCGCCCGATGTGGACGCGCGAAGCCTTCGCGAGTTCACTCAAAGGATCCAACAGGGCGAGCTGCTCATCGGCGACGTCTCGCAGGACTTTAAGCATCTCTCTGCCCTACGCCGAATCAACACGGACAATGTGAATGAGTTCGACACGGTCAAGGAGGAGACGCAGCGGACAAAGGAGACGAACGAACTCATCAGGACGCTGCCCGTGGATGAATTGTTGGAGGACCCGCGCCATGCTCACCTCTTCGAGGCGTCGACGCTGGTCCGCTCAACGACGTACGGGTTCATGGCGGGCGAGATGACGAGGCTGAGCTTCGTGCATCGTCACATCATGGCACGTCTGCCCGAAGATGGGCTGGTCGACACCAAGGCGGTCGCTCGTGATCTGCCCCTCGGCCTCGTCGTATCTCTCAAGGAGGTAGAGAACGACAATGATGCATTCAAGGCTGCTCTGCAGGACCCGGAGCGCATGGCCAGACCGATATTGGACGAGGAGATGGCCGTCAAGAGTGCGCTCGGCGCACTGAACGAGGCGCAATTCATTCGATGGTTCGAGGACAATTACGTGCAGGACCTGCAGCTGCTTCGTCTAGCCACGCCAGCGGGCGATGGGCGACTACAGTTCAAGCACTCGGCCATCGAAGACGGGCAGTGGAGCTGGGCAGCAGGTGGTAAGGGGTCAGGCTCCATGCTCACCCTCGAGGACGCTGCGGCGTACTGGGAGAAGCTATCCAAGAATCGCAAGACCGTTTCCAAGAATCTGCACAGCCTGTGCGAAGACTCCTCGCCCCTACGCTCAATGGCCCGCCTCATCGGCAACGACAAGCGCTGGCGCGCAGACAAGCTCTCGACGAGCAAGCAGCGCATCTTCCTGCGACGTCTCGTTGAATGGCCCGACCCAGACGACTGGGGCAGCATCCTTCGCGACGAGAACATGCTGCGTCGAGTCTCTGAGCTCATCTTTGCGCCCCTCGACGTGGTCAAGGAGGGCATCGCCGCATGTAAGAGGCGCATGATCGCCCAGGAAGTGGAGCAGGAGAACAAGCGCCGCACGAGCGACGAGAAGAGGGCCGAGAGGGAAGCGCTTAACTTCGAGAGGCTGGAGAAGGAGCTGCAGGAGAGTGGGCCAGACGATCCCAGGCACGATTTGAAGATGATGGAGATGGAGATTGCCAAGCTGCAGCGGGAGCTCAAGACTCGACGCGATCGTCTGACCGAGTGGACTCGCGTCTTCGAACAGGCTTGCAGAGATAATCAGCTCGAGGGAGTGCATAGGGCTGCTCTACTCGAGAATCTGCTCGAGTTCCGTGACGCCTACGCGACGGACAAGGGAGGCATAGCATTGGATGTGCTCAGCGACATGATTCGCCTGACGGTCGAGCAGCAGGGCCGACCCGACAACACAGCAGCAAAGGGCAAGACCAAGGGCAAAGGCAAAGGCCGCAAAGGGAAAGGTGCAGGCAAGGACGCTACACCTCAGGAGGGCGACGAAGATGGAGGGGCTGCTCCCGTCAAACGCCGACGTCGTCGCCCGCGCGTCGACTTTCGCTGGACGCGCGAGAGGGACGAGCTCCTCCGCGACGCCTGCGTCATCATCCGCGCCCGCGACAAGCTGCGTGGCAGTGGGCGTAGCAACTGGACGGCTCTCAACCAGGTCTTTGAAGAGGAAAAGGTTCCCAAGCTCCGCGCCCGCTTCACTCACCTCTCTGCCGCCATCGGCGAAGAAGACTATCTCAACGAGCTCGAGGCATACTGGACGCGCTTCTGGGAGGAGTACAGGGGCACGGTTTTGCTGCGCGACCCTAATCCGGGCAAGCCAGATGGGTTCGACCTCAAGGAACACATTGCCTTCCTGCGCAGCCGTGTAGACAAGGACGACGTGCTCGAGGCCGTCGAGAGGGCCGCGGCGGGGGATGGGCTTGCAGAGGACGACGATGGTGGCGGCGAAGAGTGGCAGTTGCGCGAGCAGCCCAAGCCCCGCGAGGACGCATTGGCCATCGTGCACGACCCGCACGAGAATGCCTACACTACGACGGAGAAGCTCAACGGGCTGCTAGGCTGCGCATTTACGCTCAGCGCGAGCGGCGAGGCTGGCGTCGTCGTCGACGCTGCTCCTCAACGTCACCGCCGCGAACACATGGCCGAGTGCGTGGTGCGCATGCTCATCGAGTCGCCCGACGTAAGCCCAGAGGCGGGCGTGGCGCTTTGTCGCTCCGTAGGGGAGGATCAAGTCGAGAAGGCTCTCGAGCGCATGAAGTTGGGCAAGATCGTTCGCAAAACTAACAGTGAGGCTGCACGTCGTCACCCGGGCAACAATTTCGCCTACACGCACGAGCACAGCAATCTCGACTTTGGCCCGCACCTCGAGCTTGCGCGCCAAGCCCTCGAGGCTGAGAGCGCGTTGCGTGCGGGAGAATGGACGCAGATTGGTATGGATGACGACGTGGGGATGACCATTGCCGCTGTGCAGATGCTGGCTGATGGCGAGGCAGAGGCGCAGATCGAAGTCGAGCAGCTGGCGCCGCTGAGGGACGAAATCTACTTCAATGGGAAAGCCGTCGTGGATGCGGACAACGAGGTCGATGTGGGGGTGCGCGGTCTGCGAAAGGAGGGGAGCACCGTAGCGATGTCCGCGCCCATGGCAGAGGATGCTGTGCAGGCTGCCGTGGGCGGTCCGCTCGTGGCGGCTGGGTACGACGGTGTGCTGGCGAGCAGCGTCGACGCGGCGGGCAATCTGCATCGCCACGCCCTCAAGACTGGATACGACGACTTGCGTTTGGTTTCCCCTCACTATCGCTCTGCATGGCAGGTCGGGACGGTAGATGCCGCTCCCCCTACGACTGAATGGTCCGCCAAACCTCGCTCCTGGCTCAACGCTTCGACGGGTGTCGCCGACCCGCAGCGTTGGCATCGCGCCCTTCTCGCCGTTCACTCCCAGCTACTGCTACGTCCAGGTCTCTCCCTGTCCCAGCTTTCCATCTGGCTCGGTTCGCACTACGATCGCGTCGAGCTGCGCGAGATCGTTGCTGGGCTAGAAAAGATGGGCTTGGTCGAGCAGCGTGGCGTGGGAGTCAGGCCGGACGCCGAGACGGTCATTACCCCGAGGCTGGGCGGCCCAGCTTGGTATCGATTCCAGAGCAGCGAGAACGGAGAAGAGGCTCTTTGACGGCCCAGTTGTATTCTCCCTTCCCTAGGCCGCTCACCCACTCTTGGCGCGTCGCGCAGTCGCCCAATCTCATCTCATCTCATTCATGCATCGTACAATTCCAGTGGCGCATACTCCCAGGGAGCGACTCCTTGCTTTTTGCCGAGCAGCGAGCAGGCAAGAGGGGCGCGTGCCGCGACATGCCGTGCCGCGACGTGTCAGATTGAGCTCCCAACACTACGCTAGTCTAGGATAAGGTTGACTTGACTTGACAGGACGCGGCACAAAGGCGCGAAGTTGCTGCTCATTGCTGCATCGCTGCTTGCCTACTTGGCTAGATGTTTGTATGATCGACGAGGAAGGTGAGAACGAGACGACTTACCCAATTAGGGTCGGAGCATGACGAGCGAGGCAGCGGCGAGCGGCGAGCGACATCGTTGTTGGTTCGGTGGGAACCTAGACTCTGAAGCGCTATGGCCCCTCTCTCCCTCGCTCGCTCTCTTTCCCGTACCCTTTCCCGTGTCCGCTTTGACCCCTCGCCCCCCCACCCCGCCGTACTCGTCTGTTGACCAGAAGTCGGTTTCCCACCCTTAACCTCGCATTCCGTCGCAAACGGCTTTCCCCCCTTTGCCCTCATTACCACCCACTTCCCCCGCCTCCCCCGCCTCATTTCCACCCGCTCTACTCATCGACGCGGGCCGTCGTTTGTTTGAGCCCTCGAGCACAAAGCGCGATACCCTCAGGACCCCGGCGACACCCCCCTTCTCCCCTCTTCCTCACCGTCATCCAACATCCATCGCAATGCTGTGCAAGCGCTTCGTGGCCATCCTCGCGCTCGCCGCTTCCACCTTGGTGGCATCGAGCAGCGCCACGTCCGTAGACGGCGGCGGCCGCGCCGTAGCAGCGCGTCACGCGGCAATCCATACACCTCTCCCACGCATGATTCACCGTCGAGCAGCAAAGAAGAGCGCCTCCTCCTCCTCCTCAAAGAAGCTCGCCTCCTCCTCGACGACCAATGCCAATCCCGGCTACGATGCGGACAAGGTCCTCTCTGTGGCCAAGAAGCTTACCACCCATTCATGGGAGTACGGCATCCTGGCTGAGGCCCTCCTCGAGTACTACAACGCCTCACTGAGCGTCTTTGGCTCCAACCCTTTCCCAAACGGCAAAGTGCCCAAGCCCAATGTGGCCACGGTACAAGCGCTGAGCTACGTGAAGCCGAACATTTCGATTAGCGGGAACACGCTTAGCAATGGGGACGGAGCAGCGGGTGATCCTGCGAGTCTCGTAGTCCCCGCCACCCTCATTGGGGGAACGAATGCCGCCTACACGCAAGCCGTAGACAGGCAGATTGCGCACCTGTTCACCGTACCCCTCTACAGCAACGGAGCCATCTCGCAGCGCGAAGCAGTCGCTGAGCTCTGGGCGGATGCCGTCTACATGTTCCCTCCCGCGTTCGCGTACAATGCCGTGCGGACCAACAACGAGTCGATGATGCACACGGCCATCATCCAGTGCTCGCGCTATCGTCAGATCCTGCAGCCAACCACCACGGCAGCCTGGTCCGGTCTATGGCAGCACATCGTCGGTCCACAATCGCAGACGCTGGGCATCTGGGCTACGGGCAACGGGTGGGCGGCGATGGGCATGGTTCGGGTGTTGGCCACGGTCAAGAAGTGGGAGACGAGCAAAGGATGGACCTCTCAACAGGCTTTGCTCACAAAGTGGATCTACCAGATCCTCTCTGGCGCCGTTGGGTCAGGAGTGGCGAGCAATGGCCTCATCAAGAACTACATGGTCGGAGGACCCAATGGAGCCTCTCAGTCTCCCGCTGCGGGAGACTTTGGGGATGTGACGGGAAGTGCTATGCTTGCGTCTGCCGCGTATCGAATGATGGTACTTGACCCCTCGGGAGCGAGCAAGTACCTCAGCTGGGCAAATGGGCTGAGGAAGGCGGTGGCTGCGAGGGTCAATGGGACCGGATACGCTGTGCCGAATGTGGACCCGTTGAACTGGTTCAATACAAGCCCGTATTACCAGGGAAGCCCAGAGGGACAGAGCGCTACGGGCATCCTGGCGGCGAGCTGGAGGGACTGTGTGCAAGCGGGACGCTGTTAGGCTGCGCGATTGCCTGGCATTGCTGGTGCTCTTTCCTGTTAGCTCAACTCTAGACGATCTTTTAATGACATGCGCATACGGTAGTGATGGTAGTGATGACGAGTCGGATCTCTCCTCGTCCCTCCCGCCCTGGCAGTGGCACGTCAAGAATAGCAAAGTGCCGCTTCATCTCGAGCGAGACGCATGGAAAAGAAGACGTGTGACTGCCTGGCTGCACGGAGCGGCAAGGGGCTGGCTGGGCTGGGCAAACGGGTGATCTGATCGCTCGACTCGACTCGACTCGACTCGACTCGCGGACTTGGGCCCTCCCGCCCGCCCGCCCGCCCGCCCGCCCGCCTCTTGTCCCGACCCCCGCCTTCCGCCTTGATTGTCGACTTGACTTGACTTGGAACCCGGCAGCAGTAGTCAGGGCGGCAGCAGGCAGCGGCTTTGGCGATGAGCGGCGGCGGCGGGTGCGAGGCAGAGACGAGACGAGTCGAGTCGCGGAGTCGAGTTGCAGGCGCAGGCGCAGGCGGTAGGAGGACAACGACGACGACGACGACGAGCAAGAGGAGCAGGCTTGAGAAGCAGGGAGATGCGAGCATCATCACCACGACCATTTTCTTGCAACCAACACAAACACACGAGCGCGCGCACACATACGCACACCGCGAGATCCCTCTAATCATCCTCATACCCCCCTTGCTCGCCTGCCCGTGAAGGCAACCCCTCACTACTCGTGTCCATCATCATCTCCATCCTCACGCCCACGCCCATCACGCCCACCATGCCGCGCTAATAACCAATGTCTTCCCCCTTTGTCCGCCCGTCGCACCACACGCACTCTGCCAAACCATCGTCGTCGTCTTCTTCGGCCGCCATGACGACGTGGTCTCGGTCCAGCCAGGGAGGCGTAGGCGACCCGCACGGGTGGCCTTCATCGTCGTCCTCGTCTACTTTTACTCGTGAGACGTCGAGGAGCGATTCGGCCAGCATCTCTACCAAGGCGCCATCTGCGATGCGCAGAGTCGATCGAGATTTGCCCCCTCTACCGCCAAAGGATGATACAGATGAGCCGCAAATACAACCACCTCATCGCCCCTTTTTCGGTAGGCAGGCGAGTGATGGGAGTGGAGGGACAGGAGGCATCGTGGCCTCACCTACATCGCCCCGCGCGAAGTCGAGACCGCGCAAGGATAGCTTGGGAGCTGGCATCAAGAAGATCAGCAATGCATTCAAGAAGCCATCGATTGGGCAACTCCGCCAAGCAAGCGCATCAGCTTCGTCGCTACGATTGCGTTCGGGGGGAATCGATGTACCAGAATGGGATCCATCCCTCAAAGTCCCCAACTCTGCGCCTATTCAATCGTATGGATCGCAGAGTCCCTCGCCAGGGCCTAGTAGTTCGTCGTACTTGCAACCATCCTCCTCTTCCATGGCTTCTTCCTCATCCTCTGTACCTCCCTCGCCTACGTCAGACCCCAACATCGGCCTACCCTACAGCGTCCAACACAACGTCCACGTCGACGTCGGTCCAGACGGCTACACGGGTCTACCAGCATCTTGGGCTGCTCACCTCAGCCAGTATAATGGCGAAGAGCGATGGCAGCACCACAACGAGGCGACAGCGCCGGGAAGCAGCTCAGCCTCGGCCCGCTTCTCCCCACCAGCATCAGCTTACTCCCCTCAACCATCAACAATGCGCACTCTACCCAGCAACCGCACGCGATCGCGATCACGGACTCCATCGCCCACTCGTAGCGAGTCGGTACGATACCCTACGGACACTTCCCGCCTACAGAGCAAATGGTCCATGAGCACCGCTCGAGACGATAGCAGCGGGAGGGCAACGACTCGTCCTAGCTATGCGCCTTCGGTCGCTTCAACGAGCTATTCCTCCGTCCTGCAGCGTGGCTGGGATGAGTGGTCAGAGGGAGGGGGAGGAGCAGGAGCGGCAGCATCAGCATCTTCGCCTCCTCCGCCTGTGCCGCCTCTACCAGCAGACGCGGGGGCTCAGCGTGAACAACCAAGGTCGAGCAGCTCGTCAGAAGGGGCTCGTAGTGTGGGTTTGGGTTTAAGCATCGATTCCATCAATCACGCGCTAGAGGCTCAAGCGCAGAGTCCGCTCATTCCGGATTTCCTCAGTACGGGCGAGAAGGACAATGGGGACTGGGCGGCAAGCTTGTTGGCGTCGATACCAGCGGGAGACGAGGCGGCCGAGGGCAGCACGTCTGGCAAGGACAAGTTCAGCAAGAAGGCTGCTTCGAAAAGTGGAGTCGCGAGCAGGGAGCCATCGATGAAGCAGCGACCCAGCTCACGAGCGTCAAAGAAGAGTGTCAAGGGCAGCAAGGCTAGGCAACAAGCTGCAGCCTCGGCCGCCACTACCGCAGCATCAGGCTCAGACCTCAAAGCCCCCGCCTCAACCCCCGCCGCCTCTGGCAGCAAGTCCCGCGCCACTTCCCGCGCCCCTTCACGCGCAACGACTGCCGCTACTCGTCGACGGCGCAAATCGGGCGCCTCGACGGCCTACCCGAGCGGCTCGGACGAGGAAGAGGACGAGTTCTCCTACGAATACTCGGAGGAAGGGGACGGGGACGAAGAGTACTCGTACGAGGAGGGTGTACAGATCAGCACCGCGACGGCTGTGGGGCGAGTGAGCCAGTTCATCAAGGGCAGCCCGCGCAGCATCGGTACGACGACGAGGACCGCCACAACTACGACCGCTGCTGCGACGAGTCCGAGTGAATCGTACTCGCAGACTCCCAGGAGGAAGGGGGCGGATCTGGACAAGGACAAGGCGGGCGGGATCGCGCCTGGCGAAGGGGAGTCCACCTCGTCTGCCTCGCCTACAGAGGAGCGCGGCGGCAAGGCGGGCAGGTTGCGCGGGATGAGCAAGAGCATCGCAAAGCTGGCTAGGGTAGGCTCGGCCATGCAGGGGGCAATGCAGCACGGCGGCGGCGGCGGCGGCGGCGAGGACTCGACCACTACCTCCGCAGACAGCTATCCGAGCGAGACGCTTTCTGCCACTCATAGCGACTCGCTGGGCGGTGGTACCGGAGCGTCATCCTCCAGCGCGGGGCACGGTGGTCGGTCGACGACGGTTGCTCCAACAGGCAGCACCGCCCCTAGCAGCGCGGCAGGAATAGGACAAAAGATCTTGGGTCTCCGAGAAAGACGCAAGTTGAATGGTGCCCCTCGCCTCTTTGCGAGCAACAGGGATCGCTCTGCTACGATGTCCAGCACAGAAAATGAGTTTGCGAGCGCTTCTGCCAGTCCAACAATCGACGCCTTGCCGGGCACGCGGAGGGGTTCTGCGGCGCGCGCCTTCTTTCGTCGTGAGTCGGCTCAGAGTGGCGAGACGTCGAGCAGTTCGCCTGTTATTACGAGGTCGAGACCGGGAGCAGGAGCGAGGCATGCCGTCATGGAGGACGAGGATGCCGGACCGGAGTTACCGCCAAAGGTCCCACCTAAGGACCCGAGCCCGTCCCTCCTCTCGCCCTTCCTTCGCACGCCGATTGAGATTATCAGGCCTAACGCCGATGGGTGGTTCACTGCACCCGCGAAACGGAGCGCCTCTGCTCAGAGCTCCTCTAATGGGCATGCCAACTCGGCGGGTGCGCAAGGGCAAGGGCCCGGCGGGCACTTCCTCGCGACACCGACTTTCCCGCCTTCGCCCGCCTCGCCCGGGTCCAGGGAGGGATCGCAACACAACTCGTACACAGCGAATGACTACCTGGAGCAGTGGATGCAGGACGAGGGGCAAGACGGCGCCGGGGAGGACGATGAGACTATGCCTGGTGAGAAGATTGGCTCAGGAATGGTGGCCGCAGCCTCCGGCTCAGCGTCCGCCTCACGCTCCTCATCACGGCGACATCATCACCACCGTCGCTCCTTCACTGGGGCCACACGGGAAGGAACACCTGCCTCGGCCTCTGCCTCCTCTTCAGCACGAGCTTCTCGTCCCCTATCCTCCGCCAGCCTCCCCACCGCACCGGACGGCATCATCCTGCCCTCCCCGGACACCGAAGCCCTTGAAGCGGCCAATGCTGCTCGTCCCTCCTCACGCATGTCTCAGACGTCCCGCTCCTCTCGTCGGGCCACGAATACCGCTCGCGTACCGCGGAGATCAGGAGAGACGACGCGCAACCGTTTCCCAGTATCTACGCACTACCCTAGCGGTTTCTCCGAGGGGTTCTTCGACGAGAGAGCTGGCGGAGGAGGGCAGGGACAAGATGGCAACTTCTTGCCGCGCGAGTCGTTCGACCTCGACGATCTGCTGCCGCAACACCTCAACGACGTGCCGCCTGTCCCGCCTTTGCCCGTCAGTTTGGACTCGCCGATCGCTAAGAGCAGAGGACTGCCCTCGACGGAGGAGGGGCATGGAGGGGTGGTGCACAGAGAGAAGAGCAGACCTTTACCTTCCCGCGTGCCTTCGTCGGGCGCCGGCGCGGGCAAATCGCCAAAGATGGCCATGGGGCAGCAGAGTCCTTCTACGTCTCGTCCCGCCTCTCGTCAGTCCCTCAACGCAAGGAAGAGTCCTCGCAGACGCTCACGTTCCCGCTCTCGCGTCGCTGGCGGAGGCAAAGGGGCCATCCTCCCCGCGTCGACATCCGCAGCGTCAGCGAACGACCTCCCCGCGCCAGGCCTGCCAGAGTCGGTGAAACCGGCCTCGCGCTTCCTCTCCTCGGCAGACCCGGAGCGCGTCTTCTCCTCGCTGACCCTCATAGGAGCAGGCGAATCAGGGGACGTCTATTCCGCGCGTGGCCCGGGCGGGATGACCAGCTCGAACACGAACGGCATAGTGGCGATCAAGGTTATTCGACTCGACCCTCCAGAGTCGGAGGACGACGATGAAGAGGAAGGTAGCACGGGTGCCTCTAGACTGGAAGGTTTGGCCAGCGAGCTAGCATTATGGACCCTCTGCAACAAACACGAGAACATTCTCTCCCTCTACGACGTCTTTTTCGCCTCTCCCGAATCCACCACACCTCATCCGGGCGTCTGGCTTACCCAAGAGTTGGCAGATCGCAGTCTAGCGGATGTGGTGAGTCTCAAGCCTTCCGGGCTCATCCTACGAGAACGCGTCATGGCACGTATAGTAGCCGACGTTTTGCGAGCCCTTTGCGTCTTGCACTCGAAGCGCATCATCCATCGCGACGTGCGAAGCGATAATGTTCTCCTCTGTTCGGACGGTCGTGCGAAACTCTCCGACTTCACGCACGCCGTACAGCTCGACCTGGCCGGTGAGGCGAGGAAGAGGAGCAGTGTAGTAGGGACGGCCTACTGGATGGCTCCGGAGCTGATCCGCGCCGAGTCGTATGGCGTCGAGGTGGACGTATGGTCCTTGGGCGCCACGCTGTACGAGATGTGTCGTGGTGACCCGCCTAGAGTGGACTTGTCCCCCAGCGAGGCCATCAAGGCTACTGCGGAGAGTGGGCTGCCCGCGCTTGATCTGGAGGGCGGGACGACGACGACGACGCGCGAGCTGAGGCAGTTTTTGGCGTGGAGTACCGAGATGAAGGCAGAGGCAAGACCGTCCGCTGAAATGCTTCTGCAGACGGCCTTCTGTTCAAAGGCGGCAGAACGCGGTGCGGTTGGAAGGTTGTTGGAGCAGTGTCGTCTCATCGAGGCTAGTATGGAGGACGAGGACGAGGAGGAGGAAGAGGAGGGGGAGCGAACGGATGGCGATGGAGAGGGAGGAGGGGACTTTGTTGATGCGCGTGGTTGACGTCTCTACATTACGGGTTCTTCCCATCTAATATCGCGATCTACGACGGCGCGAGAGTTACACCACTACGGTAAGGTACGGTGCAAAGCATTGTGTCTATCATTGCGTGCGAATAGCGTGTGCGTGTGCGTGTGTGCGTGTGCTTGCGAGAATGATCCTCAGTCCAAGTCCTTGACGTACGACTCGAATCCCATCCAGTTCCCCCGCAGTTCCCCCGCAGGGCTCACGCCGCGTACTCCCCTCCCAGTACCCGTCTCCACTGCTCGAGGACGACCTCGACCACGAGCAACAGTACACCACCTCCCGGGGCCAATCGAAGCACCTTTGGCGTGAAGCCCTTGTAAAGCGCTGCCGCCCCCTCTTCGCGTGCGATGGTCAGCATAGACGGGAACGTCCAGTTGTACTTTGGCACCACGCCGGGTACGCGCGGTGTATTCTCTGTCAGCGAGCGAGTGAGCGAGCGCGAGCGGGAAGAGATGGAGCTGTCAGCAGTCAAGCTAACAGAAGGTACTTTGGCGCCGTGGTACGCACGAATTCTCGACTTGACCAGGTCCGCAGGAGTATTGAGTGCCGTCCCCACGAATCCACCGATGGCGCCCGAGATGAAATTGTTGCGGAGCTCTTCGCCCTTGCCATTTGCCTTGGGCATGAGTGAGCGCACCTGGTGGATACAGCCGAAGTAGCCTGGGCGGCGTGACGTGAGGCGGCGTAGAGGAGTAAAAGAAGACGGTCAATGGGGGGAGGGGGAAGCTGGGACTACACGCGAGACTCACCTCCGTTCCACAGCACATGCCTCCAGAATGTACTCTCCATCCCAGCGTACAGCCCCAGCAACCCGTCAGTCTTGACGATCTTGGCCACAACATCCATGGGCCCCTTGTACAGGTGAGCCTGAGCCTTATCCTGGAGTCGGATCTTGACCAGCTCGAACGGAACAACGACAAAGGACTCGGTTGCTCCAGCTGAACAGCCCGTGAGGACGGAGAGGCCTTGGGTCATCTGATCTGTTCCAAAAGCGGAGCGATACGTCTTTGCCCAAAAGTCGTTGGCTGCAAACTTGACGGCACGTTTGGGCGCTTCAAGCATCAAGGGTGGGACGATGCCGCGATAGAGACGACCGGGGCTGTGGGCGAGCGAGCGAGGAAGTGAGTGAGTGAAGAGGGTTCAGTCTTCCCTGAGCGAGAAAAAGGGCGGCAGCTTCGCGGCGCACGCACCCTTCGCTCGCTACAATCTTCTTGAAACAGTCCACCATGCCATTATAGCGATCCGCGGGCGCTACGTTGGCTCCTTGGAGCTGCATGCGCGTCTTGACCACGTCGAGAGGGTAGAGGCATAACAGCTCCGTGACGCCAGCTAGGGCTCCTGCTGAGAACTGGCAGTAGAAGGGGAGGGCTGTGCGGGGCGAGGCGACGGGGGTGATTGGAAGGTGAGTACAAGCAGCAGCAGAGGTTGCGTTGGGTGGAGTGGAGTGGGGGAAGCGACAGCGGCAGCGGCAACGCACGTTTCGGCTTGCGTTGAGTGGTGGCCATTTTGCGTTGCGTTGCGTTGCGTTGTCTCGATCGTGATCCTGATATCAAGAAAAAGGGGGACAAGACAAGACAAGGACAAAAAGAAGGAAGAAGTTGCTTGCTGGTGGGAGGAGGAAGAAGAAGTGGAAATCGAGTGGGGTCCGGCGATGCAGCGCAGCGTTGCAAAATGCAGCCCTTTCTCACATCCTCCCGCCGTTCCCCCCGCCCGCCTGCACTCTGTCCGGCGCTGCGAAGATGTCCGTGCTCGAGCCCTCTCTCTCCCGAGCGAGTCAAGTCAGACGGGCGGCGTCGTGTTCGATTGATTGCCGCTTGCCGCTCGGCGTGCCCGCTTACCCACTGTCACGTCAATTCCAATCCAATCCAATGAGCCATCAATCGGCTTCCCGAGGAAGAGTGAAAGAGAAGAGACCGAAGTCGATGTGCGGGACGCTGGGCGCGAAGCGACGATCACAAAGCCACGAACACGGAAGCATGGACCGTTGAACCCCCTCAACAAGCTGTGAGGTGTAAGTAATGACCTTGCACGATGTCTGTCATTGATTGCTTTTTCTTTCTTTCTAAGACACGCCACCCCTCACTCTGGCTGGCTGGCTGGCTGGCTGTATGCTCTTCCTTACTCCCTCTGCCTCTGCCTCTACCTCTCCAAGTGTACGTATACTCTCTCCACCTCTCCTCCTCTACTCATCCCCCTCCCCCTCCTCTTCGGGCAATTCCCCCTTCTCCCCCTCCTTTGCGGCCTTCTTCTCCTGCTTGGCAGCATTGGCCGCCGCAACCACGCGCTTAGGGTCGCTCACCGGGTCTCCGTCCTTTGCGTGCTTGAGGCCGGACTGCACGAGGGAGCGAAGCGACCGAGTACGAGTGCGAGTGCCGAGAGGGAAGGAAGAAATCAGCGTCTTGACGATAATCGAGTGACGAGGGTCGTCGGTCAAAAAGGGCACGTCGCTTACTCACCTGGAAGTTGGAATTCTCCTTCCCACTCGTCTCGTTCGAAGGATCCCTCCCCGCAGGGCTCTTCTGCTCCGGCGCTTCCTTAGAAGCGGCATGATCGGCCAGATGCTTATTTCCCTCGGGTTCATCCTCCCCATCAGCCTCTTCAGGCGTACGGGTCTGTTCATGTTTCTCCTCTCCACCTCCTTCCAATTTCCAAACAGCGTCATCCCCAGTCTTGTCGTCGGAGGCGGACGAACCGGCACCGTGTTGGGCGGGCTTGTGAGCCGCTCCCGTGATATGGCCGTGCTCGTTGTGCGTCTTAGACGAGGGGGAGGTGGCGTAGATGAAGAGGGAGCCGAAGATTAGGGCAGAGCTGATGGCCCAAGGGGCGTCCGAGGAGGGGATGAACTTCTTGGCCGTCTCTGCGGCCGAGGAGGCAGCGCCGCTTGAGCTCGACGAGGAGGAGGAGAAGCGCGGCACGGGAGTGCGAGCTGCCACTACTCCGCGACGAAGGGCTGCGCGGGAGGTGTTGAGGGCGAGGCGGGATGCTACCATGCTGGGTTGGTGTTGGTGGATGAGTGTATGCGGGTGGGATTGCTGGTTGATGATGATGACGAACGAAGGAAGTCGCTCAGTCCTGCACGCCTGGGCTCCACCCCTCGACCCGCGACCCGCGCCTAGCCGCATCGGTCCGATCCGGTCTTGCCCACCTTCATGCGTGACTGGCTGACGTAATGCCGCCCTACGCCGGCGGGCCTAGAGGCGGGAGTGACGATGAGGATGATGCGCCACGTGACGGAGTGGGGGCATTCCTCCCTCCTCTGAGAATAGCACGCCAAGCTCGCGATGGTGATGAGGGGACAATTTCATTTCAAAGTAGGGAGGCGTTGCTGTTAAGGATAAGAGGGGAGAGAGAGGAAGCAACAAGGCAGAAGAGCAAGAGACGATGGAGGAGCAAGAAGAAAGGAAAACCCACGGGAATAGTTGCAACGTCGTAGAGCAGGGCAGGGGTAGCAGCGTGTCCCTCTGCGGGGGGTATACAAGAGCGAGAGTACTCTAGAGAGGGAATGCGCTGTTGATGAGCACCTGTGACTGTGACGTGCAATGGGTGGCGTGGGTCTTGTCCTCTTCGTTCATTGGATGCGGGAGCAAGGGGGGAAAAGCAGGTTGAGGAAGAGAAGAGGACTAAAGGAGGGAGGGGGGGGGGGGCATGTTGATGATAATGATGATGCACCTCGTCGTCGTCTTCGACGAGGGCAGGGATATTCTCTATGTCCACGTCGCAGAATGGCGCTACTAGACTTGACGGGAAGCTTACGCCGCAGCGGTCACGGGCGCAGAAGCGGCGGGGGCAGCCTCGGCCGGCTTGGCAGGGGCGGCAGCCTCTACTTCGGTGGGCTTGACGGGCTCGGCAGCCTTGTCCTCGGCAGCGGGAGCCGCCTTCTCCTCAGCAGCAGCAGCAGGCGCCTTGTCCTCAGCGGCCTTCTCCTCAGCAGCAGCGGGAGTCTCAGCCTTCTTGGCGCCTTGCTTGGGGAAGAGACCGCCAATACGAGCAGAGAGACGTCGACCGAGCTTCTCCTTGTTGGCTGCGGGGGATTGAGGCGAGTCCTCCTTCTTTGCGTCCGAGGCGATCTGCGGGTGAGCGAGGGAGCGAGCGAGGGAGCGAGAGAGAGGGCAGGAGGAGGAGGTCAGCATGAGGTGCGGGAGAGGGAGAAGGAGGATGAGGCGCTTGCGACGCACCTTGACTCCCTCAGCGGGCTTGTCGCCCTCAGCTGCCTCGGTGGCAGCAGCGGGCTTGGCCTCATCCGTAGCAGTAGCGGCGGCAGGGGTGGCTGCAGTCTCCTCAGCAGCGGCGGGCGTGACAGCGGCCGTCTCGTCAGCCTTGGGAGCCTCCTCGGAAGCAGCAGCAGCGGCGGGCTTGGTCTCGTCAGCCTTGGCGGCCTCAGCAGGCTTGGTGGCGGCCTCGTCGGTCTTCTTCTCTTCAGGCTTCTTGGGGCTGTGTGTGGGTGCGTGACGAAAGAGGGAGAGGCGTGAGCGAGGAGGGAATAGGCGGAGGATGGAACGTGAAAGGCATCGCACACTCACCTCTTCTCCTTCAGGAAGCTGAGCAGGCGGTTGATCATGCTCTGACGCTTCTCCTTCTTGGGGGTGGCGGGGGCCTTCTCCTCCGTCTTGGCAGCTGCGGGGGTAGTCGCCTCGGCCACGGGAGCAGCGTCCTGCGAAGAGGGGGTGACACGCAATGAGCTGACTGTGCGATGTATGCATGTAGGTGATGTTGCGTCTCGCGCTCACCTTGGTGGGCTCAGCCTCAGCTGCTACGGGGGCAGCGGCAGCGGCAGTGGGAGTCTCGGTGGTGGCGGGCTGTACGATCGAGGGAGTACACGATCTCAATGTCAGCTCATGCTCGCTTTCAAGCTTATCAGCGCCGTCTGGTCTCACCTTGGCAGCCTCCTCCGTAGCAGCGGGCGCAGCAGGCGCAGCAGCGGCAGGCGTAGCCTCAGCGACGGCGGCGGGGGCGGGTGCCTCCTCCTGTCCAGCGTGCGCAGAATGATCAGCATCTCCAATTCACGCCTGCACACTGTGGCGACGTACCTTGACAACGTCAACAACGGGAGCAGTCTCCGCGGTGGGAGCGGTGGCAGTAGTGGGCTCGGTGGGGGCGGACATGTTTGTTTGCTAGAGGGCTGGTATGCGTATGTGATCAAGATGGAGGAAAAGCAGAAGAGCGGATGCGAATGCGGATGAAGTTGAAGGGGGAGTGTGTGGGGAGAGAGGACAAAGAGGTCAGTCAGTCAAGTCACGCCTTGAGTTGCTTTGTGTCAACGTCCACGGCCACAGCCAATGGCAAAGCGAGGCGACACGGCACGGCACGGCCCGCCCTCTCATTTGGATCGAGCGCGGTGGGGGGGGCTTGACCTCACTAGTCTAGCCAAGCCAGCAAGCAGGAGCCATGACTAGAGGCAGCAGCAGCGCTCCCTCGCTCGCTGGCTGGCTGGCTGACGGGCTGGCATCCTCTGCACGCCATCGCCCATCGCGGTCGCAACGAGGGAGCTCGGCGAGCGATAGCGCCTCTGTGACGCCGTCCGGGTGCGCCCTGGATCTCACTCTGAGTGATGAGCCAGGCAGCCAGCCCTCTTTCTCGGGCCGAGCTAGGCTCAGCTCGACGTGCTCTCCTCTCGTGCCCGGCGTGGCAAGTCCAACACCTGCACGGTGCGCCCGCCCTAGCCTGTCAAGACAAAGAGGCCGGGCGGACAGACAGACACCCAGGAGCGAGCGAAGACAACGAGATACGGTTGGTTGCTACTTACGTTTCGAGCTATGCTAGTGGGAAAAGAGGTGGGAACGAAGAGTGATGGTGGTAACGAAGAAGAGATAGAGAAGGGGGGGCAGGGAACAAAGGAGACGCTTGGTTGGCTCTGGTTGCGCAGGCAAAATGTGACGATAAAGTGACCTCTTTCCCTGCCTGGGCGAAAAATTAGGGGTCGGCCAAGGGCGCAGCAGCAGGCGCAGGCGCAGGCGCAAGGGAGCGCGGACGGGCGGGCGCTTTGTGCTGCTCTGGCTGGCTTTCTTTTTCTCGAAAGAAGAGCAGGAGCAGAAGCAGAAGGCTAACATACATGCAGGCGGGCGGGCGTTGATGCGAGCGCGGACACGGAGAGAACACGGAGCAGAGGCAGCTTTATTCTCGAGTCGCAAACGAGTTGGGAGGGCGAAGGCCAAGGCAGGGGAAAGATAATGTTGGCAGCCCAAAGGCGAGGCGAGGCGAGCTGGCGAGCAATGCAGAGCCCAGCCAGCCAGCAGGCAAGCAGGCTGAACGAACCGCCGGAGGACCGCAGAGTTGCAAGACAGCCGTGCGTGTGCAGCTTGATAGCGAATGCCGGGTTGGCGATCAAGGTTCGAGGTTTGAGATGGGACCCTACACTGGCTGGGCGCGACGGCAAATCACAGCTCACACGACCTGTTCCAACGTCCAGCGTCCAAGGGGTATCGACTTAGCATGCCATTCGCGTCGCTCGCTCGCCCGCCCGCCCGCCTACCTGCCCACCCCATCCCTCAATCTCCCCCACAACCCCCCTGCAATCTCCACAGCACCTTGAGCCGCATCCCCCAATCGTTGCGCCGGGTCCACCCCGCTCATGCCAGCCGCCCCTCCATTCTGTCCACTGCCACTTCCATCTCGCCCTCCGCCTACATTGAGCTGCACGGGGCCGATACGAAGGTTAAGCCCCTGCCCACCCTGCGTTGCTGATTGACCTGTTGTGGCGGCGTGAGCAGGAGCAGGAGGTGGACGCGCAATGCTATGGCCGAAACGAGTGGCCGCGTCCTGCACTATGTCCAGCCAGGAGGAAGAATTGAGGATCGTCGACCCGCCAAGAAGAAAGCGCGTCGTCTGCCCGCCGCCAACCGGGTGTGTCGGTGTAGAGGTTCCCGTGCCTGTGCCCGTGCCACTGCCGGCACCCGAGGCGCTCACGCCCTGTTGGTTGAGCTGGTGCACATATCTCGCCTCCTCGTACGTTGCCCCTCCCACAATGAAGACGATGACCTCCTGCGGCACAGGCTGCGGTGCACCTGCTGCCACGCCGGGTGGAGCCCCTCCCCCCACATAAGGGTAGGATGTCTCCCTCAACCTGCCCCTCATCAAGGCCTCGACGGCCTTGCTCAAATGCGGTGTATGTTGCGTATAGACATTCTCCACTCCTTTGATCCCACGCTGCAAGGCACTCCTCCCTCGACTGAAGAAGCCTTCGTTGGAGAACAAGTCGTCCTGCCGTTGATCCGCCCCCGCCATGTTGAGTAGGACGAATACGAGCCCGGCCTTGGATTCGGGTACGCCCTGCGTGAGGAGGGACGAGACCAGAGAAGTGATCTGTGCCGCCGGATGTTTCTGGTAGCGCAGCGCGTAGAGGATTACGAGGCGCAGTTTCGAGTCGGGAGATATGTCCGTGCGGGGGAGGAGGTCTTGGAGTGTCTGCGCGCGTGAGATCGGGGGGCAAACAGGGTCAGTTACGGCAAACCCCTAATGCCCACTCGGAGGCCCATAACGGCGAAGCATTCGCCCTCGCCTCGCACGCGCCTCACACACGCTCACCCACCTTGAGGTCCTGCGCATGACTCTCCTGACTCGCCAGTCCCTGCTCTACTTCGCTGACCTCCAACAACTTCTCCCCTTCGACAATCCTGCTCAACTCGCCCAATAACGTCACATGCTTCGAAACATTCCCTCCCAATTTGCGAAACTCCGGGTACTCCTCTACAAATCGCTTCATATCCTGGACGGTCTCTATCCTTTTGCTGGAGGCCGTCTTGGTCTGGAAATCGAGGACGTAGCGTTTAATGCTTGCACCGAGGTCCCCGTAATTGTCGTAGAGGTTTGAAGCGAAAAAGGGGTCTTCGCTGGTTGAGAGGACTAGTTCGCGTTGGTTGGGGGGAAGGGAGGAGGAGGCCGGGAGGGAGATCCTGCCATTGTGGATTCTGAGGAGTTGGTGAAGCATGGCTTGGTAGGTCCATTGGCTCAGAAGTGGAGTGACGGGGTCGTTGCGTCTGTCCAGGATGAGCAGGAGTGGTGGTGGTGGCGAGGCAGGGGAGGAGGAGGAGGAAGAAGAAGAACGGAAATCGAAGAGGGAAGGTTGACCTTGCGTTACCTGGTAGTGAACCTCTTCGCCCAACCGCTTGGCTAGACCACTCATCCTCTCGTAGCGGATTGTTGGCTTCTTCTTGAGCGAGAGTAATAGCGCCATCAGGCCCGCAATGTGCCTCTCTAATGCTGCCGGGTGCCATTCGTGTGGAGATCCACCCCAAGGGCCCAGTGGTTCTGATGTTGACGCCGCCGAGGAGCCAGGCGAAGGGGAGGGGGAGGGAGCCAGCGCGAAGAGATCACGATTGACGGGCAGATAGTCGGCAAAGTACTCCTGCACCTCCTTGACCACATCATGCTCATCCGCCTCTGCCAGCCGCTCTATATCGCCCTTTGCGAGCACGTTTGTGAAATAACAATAGTAGCTCGCATACTTTGGCCATGCAAGCTCGTCGCACAGAGACTGGATGGATTCGCGCGTGGGGCGCAGCAGGACGATACACTTGAGATGTCGCATGCGTTGTCGCGAGGGATCGTCTATGCGGTCTGTGAGGTAGACTTGGTGGGAGAGGAGCGTGGATTGGGTGAGGGAGAGGCTGATGATGGGCGTTGTATGCGCGTCGAGGAGGAGGACTTTCATTCCTGACCCGCCTGATGCCGAGGGGGAGAGGAGCCGAGTCAGGTAGGAGGAGACGGCTTTCTGGACGTCCATTGTTGGCGCGTGGTGGCGAGGAGTAGTGGCGAGAGAAGCTGGCGTAGATGTTGCGCTCGAGGACCAGGAACAAAAGAAGGCGCAAGGACGGCGTGCCAACGACGGTCAGTCGAGACGTCGGATTGCGTCGACGGACGGACAGAGAGGGACGAGGCGCAGCGCAGCCCTCAGACGGAGGCCCGTGCAGTCGAGTCGAGTCGAGTCGCGGCAGCGGGACGGCAATCAGGAACGGCTCAGACGCCTGCTCTCCCTTCTTTGCTCCCTACCACATCATGCCATCTCCGCCTACCCACACAAAGGTGGCCCGCTACGGCACATGGGAGTCACCGATCACTCCCGACCTACTCACACAAGGCGCCATCTCCTTTGGCGAGATCACCGTCGTCGGCTCTCCTCCGCGTGTCGTGTACATCGAGAACAGGCCAGTAGAAAAGGGCCGCGCAGCTCTGGTGGATATCGGGACCGTCGAGGATGAGGGCAAGTCAGAGCCGGCGGACATCACTCGCGGCGAGATCAACGCTCGCAGTGCGGTGCACGAGTATGGAGGAGGGGCATTAGCGTCGTCCGACCTCGAGGGGGGGATCGTCGTCTTTGCGAGCTACAAGCCGGGGGACTATGGGGTTTTTAAGAGCACCTGGACCGGTAGCGACTGGTCAGCGCCGCAGCGCATCACCCCGCACAATACAGCAATGCGCTACGCCGACTTCTGCATTCATCCTTCCAACCCTAGCCTGATCCTCGCAATCCAAGAGGACCACACCGTCGACACGCCCTCCGCCGTGGTGAACACGCTGGTTATCATCGATGCGAGCGACAAGACGGTCAAAGTGGTGGCGTCAGGGAGGGACTTTTACTCCTCGCCACGCTGGTCCTCCGACGGACGCTTCGTGGCGTGGGTGAGCTGGGATCATCCGGAGATGCCGTGGTGGGCTACAGAGCTTTGGGTTGCTTCGTTTGACGCGGGGAAGAGGGAGATCGTAGACTCACGCGTCGTGGCGGGAAAGGAGGGGAAGGTGAGCGTGGGACAACCCATCTGGATGCCCGGCAACTCTGCGAGCGCGGGAGGTCAGACACTCGTGGCCTTCTCCGACGAGAGGAACGGCTTCTCCCTGCCGCACAAGATCAACGTCGATGCCACCCCAGACAATCAGCTGCAACTCGGTTCTTGGACTCCCGTACTTGACAAGCCAATCGAAGGGGACTTTCTCAAGCCGGCCTGGACTCTCAACAATAGCAGTGTCGTTGCCCTGAACGGGGAGACGCTCGCCTGCATCGTAACGCGCGGTGCGACGGACACCCTCAGCGTCCTCTCCCTTGGCTCAGGCAAGCTCACCGAGCTCGTCACGCCGTACAAGGCCTTCCACCAGCTACGCACAGCGGGATCGCGTCGAGTAGTAGTCAACGCGGGGAATGCGCAGCAGCCCAGCGCCATTGTGGCCATCGACGTCGAGGCCAGCTCGCCCAAGCCGCAAGTACGCGTACTGCGCCAATCCTCCGACCTGATCGCGTCCGGCAAGATCTCCCCCTCGTACCTCTCCCAGCCTAGGGAGATCTCCTTCCCCACCACCCTCCCCCCGCAATCCACCCCAGCACTATCGCACTGCATCCTCTTTCCCCCTCGCAACCCCAACTACACCGCTCCCCGGGGCACGAGCCCGCCCTGCATCTTCCGCATCCACGGTGGCCCCACATCGGCCGCGTCGGGCGGCGAGTTGAATTGGGAGACGAACTTCTGGACTTCACGCGGGTATGCGGTGTGTTTCGTCAACTATGGTGGGAGTACGGGGTACGGGAGGGAGTTTATGCTCCGGCTGAACGGGGAGTGGGGGAGAGTGGATACGAGGGATTGTGTGGCTGCGGCGAGGTATTTGGGTACGGTGCAACGACCTGCGCGAGAGGACGTGGGGAAGATGACGCGGATTGCACGCCAGCAGTGGGAGGGGCTGGAGGAGGTGTACGATACGGCGGAGGGGAGCGTAAAGGTTACGATGCAGCGTCCGCAGGGGCAGGGCGGATGGGGATGGTGGGACCTGGTTACCACGCCGCTTGCCGCAGTCGCTTCGCTCGCTCTGGGACGTCTCGCAGCGGGCGTGGGCATGGGCACGGGCGGGCTGCTCGCCTCCCACCCGACAGCAACCACGGCTGGTGTCACATTGGCGGGCATGCTAGCCTACCTCCGCCTAGCCAAAGTACGCGTACTGAGCGAGAGTGTTTGGGTTTCTTCTACGCTCGGCTTGCAGACGGAGACGCGGCGCGGCCTCTTCCTCCCCTTTGCGCGCCGCAAGCCCTTTGTCCTCTCAACGCAGCGCTCCCCGCTCATTCCGAGGGACAGGATCCTCGACCTCGTCCTCAACTCCAGCATCTCGCGATGGTCCGTCCGAGACTACCTAGCCGTGGGGGTGCGCGCAAGCCCGCGCGACAAAGCGGGCAGTGCAGGCGGGTCCTCCTCATCGTCATCATCCGCGCGTAGCGCTGGGAGACAGCTGCACACCCTCTTCCCTCACATGGAACCTCGCCTCCCCATCGTAGAGCGCATCCACTCCACGCTGTACCCGGCCCTCTTTCCCTCCTCGTCCAACCCAGTCGAGGCAGCCCGCGCCCCCATCCCAGCACTGAGGCACAACGCTCCCCCCTCGGGCTCACCGCTCATCGACCCGACGAAGCTGATCATCTCGGGCGGGTCCGCCGGCGGGTATACGGTGCTCGCCTGCCTGGTGAACCATCCGGAGCTGTTCAGCTCCGCCACGTCCAAGTACGGCGTGGCCGACCTCACTCTTCTAGCGCAGGAGAGCCACAAGTTTGAAAGTCAGTACGTCTTCCAACTCCTGGGTGGGACGCCAGAGCAGGTACCCGATGTGTACCACGATCGTAGCCCGATCTATAAAGCTGGGAGGATCAGGACTCCCTTGCTTGTGGCGCAGGGGAGCGAGGATAAGGTCGTTCCGCCTAATCAGAGTGAAATGATCGTCGAGGCGATCAAGGGGCAGAAGGGGGATGGGGGGGAGGGGAGAGTCAAGTACTTGTTGTTCGAGGGGGAGGGGCATGGGTTTAGACAGAAGGAGAATGTGGTGCGCATGCTGCAAGAGGAGGAGGGGTGGTATAGGCGGACGTTGGGGCTGGATGCATAAGGAGGGACCGTAGGCCTAGCTTGTAGCGGCGGCAGTAGCATAGCGATTATCGAAGATTTATTCATTCACTCTTCATGCCGATCCGCATCTCATCTCTCATCTCTCCTACTCGTCCTCCAACAAGTAGCCGCCAATCTTACCCTCCATGGCACTCCGATCCAGCCGTCGCGTAGCGTGCCGACGAAGGATGGCTACGGATTCCTCGTCGCGCGCTCCCTGCGAATGCCCTTCTGTATGCTCGCCACCTCCAGCCCCATTCGCAGACACGCCGGGAGCGGCGGCAGCCATCTGTCTTCGCCCTCCGTCAGCCGCGGCGTCTAGGTCCAGCTGATCACCCACTTCATCCTCCCCTGTCGTTTGCACCGATTTTGACCCGCCTCCATTCGTAGCCATCGTAGGCTGCTCTGCCCGCTCGTAGCACAATCGCTCCTCGACTATCCGGCCCACATGACCGGGCAAGACCAGCCCGGCATTATCGCCCTTGTTCGCAGTAGCCGCGTCCAGGAAGAGGGAGAGGCAAGGGTAGCAGAGCATCTCGTCCAGCTCGACCGTCTCCCCCCGCGCATCCGTAGACGCCGTGTCCGCCTTTCCCGTCCCGGCCTCCTCCCCTCGCGTCCCCATACGACGCATGGTGATCTTCTCCCTCCATCTTCCCGCCTCTTGCTGCGCTGGTAAGCCGCAGAGGGGACAAGGTAGCACGACTCGCGTCGAGTTGGCATTGGCGTTCGCGCTTCCCGCGCGCCAAGTCCATCTTTGCGTCTGGGTCAAGACGGTTGCCATCAACCTATCCCCCTTTTGTCCTACGCCGCTGCGTCCGGCGACACGCTCGTCCCATCCTCCTCCCTGCTGCGAAGAAGCGTAAGGGATCATCGTCTCGCCCAGGCTTTGCACGCTCCCCTCTTCCTTGAGGACCAACTTTCCCCCCGTGCGCCCGACGGTGGAGACGGTGGAGGGAACACCGGCCTCGAGGGAGAGGAGGAAGTCTCTAGTCAACCCGCCTATGCTACCGCCCGACCCTAGCAAGGAGCGTGGCTCCAAACAGGTCAACCCTCGCTCTCGCACGTAGTAGGCTATCTCCTTTCCCCCCGTCTCCCTCAGCGGTCGAAGCACCAGTACCTCATCGACCCAAATGGCTTCTGAGCCTTCCACGGGCCACTTGTGACCCCCGCCTGTCGAGAGGGTGGAGAGGAGGCGAATGGAGGAGCGCGTGGCCGACTCGCCCAAAAGGAGGGTGGAGCAGCCCAGCACTGCGGCCGTGTGGCGGAGGAGGTGTTGGAGGAGAGAGTGGTGCAGCGTTTCGAGGCGGGTGCGTGTGGCGGGTTGGAGGGAGCGAGGGGAGGTGGAGTGAGGGGAGAGGGTGGAGAAGAGGCGGCGGAGAGAGGTGAGAGGAGATGGGGAGGAGAGGTCGTTGCTGCTGCTGCGCGTTGCTCGTATTCGTGAAGTCGACGTGGATGTAGACCCCGCTTCTTCTCCCAACCCGGCGGCGAGAACGAGCTGCCCTCCTTCCTCTTGGCCTTGGAAGAGGTCCTCGAATTTGATCGGCACAAAGTCCAGCCCAGCTGCTGCTCCCCCTTCTTCCTCTACAATTGCCCTCACATCCTCCGTAAGATCTCTCGCTCCACCCTCGTCGGAAGGATAGAGGGCCGAGTCGTCTACGTAGATGACGTGAATACGCGTCACGTCTACGGGCTTGCGCTTCCCCTTGTCCTTTTCCGAGGACGAGGAGGCAGAGGAGGCCGGCGGTGGATTGAGAAGGCGGCGTGCAATGTGAAGGAGTGCTCTAGGTGGAGTGCGAGGGATGTAAGGGACAAAGAACGTAAGCATATATCCACCCCACCCACTCTTTTTCGCGCCTCGCCTTCTCTCCCTCACCTGCTACTAGGCCCACCACTGAAAGCGAGAGCGACAGCGCCGCGAGAATCTTGAGACTGGCTCGAAGATTCGCCAGTGGTCTCGCTGCTACTGCTGCCCCTGCCCCTCATCTCGTCGAGAAACCCATTCCTATCCAAAAGGGCCGCTCCCCTCGCCAGCTCCATCAAGGGCTTAGAGCGCACCTCGACGGCCTTGCAGGCACATTCGCTGCACGATGCTAGGGTTTTGCGAAGGAGGAGTGTGGCGCGAGATGAGCAGCGATAGCACTTGCGAGGGGGCATGGTGGCGCGGCGTGGCGTGGAGTGGCGTGGTATGGCGATGAGGAGGAGATGGGAAAGAGGGCGAGAAATAATTGCATTTGTCGTGCGGCGTCAAGCTGCACAAGGGACGGCGGAAAGAGAGTTGAGAGGAAATTGAAACTCCGTCCACTGAGGGTGGCGCGTATTATGTAAGCACAGGTGCGGGCGGGCGTGCGGGCGTGCGGGCGGACCAGATGGGATGCACCCTGATTGGTTGATTGGCTGCTTGCTTTGCTTTCTCTCCCCGCGCTCTCCCCACCCTCCCTCCCTCTCCAGCATGACCGCCGACCTAGACCGGTACATCTCTACGCTGCGACAATGCAAGTACCTTCCTGAGCCGGACATCAAGTCTCTCTGCGAGACGGTTCGCTCCCTGCTGATGGAGGAGTCGAACATCCAGCCTGTCTCGAGTCCTGTAACCATCTGCGGTGATATCCATGGGCAATTTTGGGACTTGTTGGAGCTGCTCAGGGTAGGAGGGGAGCCCCCGGAGACGGGATATGTCTTTATGGTGAGTCGCGATCGCAGAACGAGGGGCCAGCGGGGATGAGAACGCGAAAGGTATGCTGACATTGAGCTCATGTGGCCTTGCTTGCGCCGCGCAGGGCGACTTTGTAGACCGCGGCTACTTTTCCCTCGAGACATTTTCGCTTCTCATGGCAATGAAGGCCAGGTGAGGCTGCGTGCGCCACTCAGGCAGGCTATATGCTATGTCATCCCCCCTCGCTCACCCCCTCCGAATCATGCTGCCTCCTTGCACCCAGATGGCCGGATCGAGTCACTCTCCTTCGCGGGAACCACGAATCGCGTCAAATAACTCAAGTGTACGGCTTCTACGACGAATGCCAGCACAAGTACGGGAATGCCAATGTGTGGAAGTCCTGCTGCCAGGTATTCGACTACCTCAACCTGGCAGCTATCATCGACGGACGGATCCTCGCCGTTCATGGCGGGTTGAGCCCGGATGTGAGGACGTTGGATCAGATTAGGATCATCGCTAGAGCACAAGAGGTGCCGCACGAGGGGGCGTTCTGTGATTTGATGTGGAGCGACCCGGATGACGTTGAGGGGTGGGCGGTCAGTCCGAGGGGGGCTGGGTGGTTGTTCGGGGGGAGGGTGACGAGGGAGGTGAGTGCGAGCGGGGACGACAGCGCTTGAGGCGCGGAGAAGAATGATTCGCTGACTGGAGATCCTCACGCAACGCTACGCTACGCCGCGCCGCGCCGCGCAGTTCAACCACGTCAACGGCCTGGATCTGATAGCAAGAGCACATCAGCTCGTACAAGAGGGATAGTGAGTTGGGCGCGCGCGCGTGGGAGCTCTTGTCAACGTGCCTGCATGTCCAAGTCATGCTTACCCGTCTCACCAACCTCTACTCCCAACTCCCACCCATGCTCACTCGCCACCCTGTCCCCCCGCTCGCTCGCGCAGCAAACTAATGCACGACAACGGAATAGTGACAGTCTGGTCTGCCCCCAACTACTGCTATCGCTGCGGCAACGTCGCCTCCATCTTCCAGGTCGACGACCTACTTGCGCCGCCGCCGCTCGGTGACGAGGACGAGGACGACGCGGCGGGAGCGACGAAGTCTGAGGGTGCGGCGTCGCTGGAGGGGTACCCATCAGATAAGCCCCCCGCGGGTCAAGCGAAGGAGAGGCGATTCGGCGAGGGCAACTTCAAAATCTTTGAAGCAGTGCCTGATCAGGAAAGGACGACGCCTAGTCGGATGAGTCAGAGTGCTTGGTTCTTGTAGCGGGGCGCGACGTCGTGACGAGAATATACACATTCAGCATCATCGACATCAGAGTGGCGTGCTTAGCGGGTTGCCCTCGTTGTCAGCCGTGCGGTCTCGTTCAGCTTTTTCTGATGATTGGGGGCTTCGTCCAGCTTGTATGATTGTTATTCCATTGCTCGTCTACGGTACGGTAGGTACGCTTCGCTCTCGCGCACGCTCACGCCCATGCCCACGCCTGCTTGCGCCCACGCTTCCCGTCTTCCCGCCCCGCCGCACGCACGCACGCACGCACGCAAGGGCAAAAAAAAGCTCTCTGGCTCTGGCCTCTTTGCCTCGCCTCGGCCTCGGACCGGCGGATTCAATTTGGCGCGGTGTTCCGCTCGCTGCCTGGCTGCCTGCGTGCGTGCGTGTCTGTTTGCCTTTGCCGTCACGACTCGCTCGCGCATCGTTCCCCGCTCCCATCCATCCTAACCCACCCACCCACTCGCGACCCTATATGCGCTCTTTCCTCTCGCTTTCCCTCGCCATCCCGAGCCAATAGCGCCCTCAATGATCAACGACGATGAAGCCTGAAGCAGCGTAACCCCATCGTGCGTCGTCATCGATACGATAGGCGTTGAAGCAACCGCGCGAATCGCCGGAGCGACCCACTCGTCTACGAGTAGACCAGGACGCCATTAGAAGTTCGTTGCCACTTTGATAGGCGAAGGAGCGCAAAGGCGGCCCGCAATACGCACGGCTCACCGCGACTGCGAGAAACGACGGACGACGGACGACGGCTCCTCGACGCTCGTAGCCTCGCTCCCCCTCCGCTCAATCTATTTCCCTCTCCCAAGGAGCAGCGCAGGGCAGCGCAGCGCAGCGCAACTCACCCAGCAAGCAACCCGCCTGAAGCTCTCCACCTCCTGCTCTGTTCCTACCGAGGAAGAACTCCACCCGCTCAATTTTCATCAATGGCCACAATTTCCGGTGGTAAAGCTGCGGGCCAGCCCAGTAGCAGCGGCGGCAGCAGCAGCAGAGTAGAGCAAGGCAGGAGCGAGCGAGGGGAAGAGGCGGAGGTGGCAGCGGAGGCGTGCCTTCCGGATGTGGTGGCAGCGACTTCGTCCAATTCCCAGTCCAACTTGGCGTCATCGATCTCGGCCTCGGGCATCGCTCCTTCTTCTTCCAGCGCCAGCGCCAGCGCCTCCTGCTCTTGCTCCTCCTCTTCTTGCTCCTCCTCGCGACGAGGCTCACTCGACGTCGATCCGGACCTGGTCTTGGACCTCGACCTGGACCTGGACATCGACATCGACAGCATGATGGGCCGCATCCCCGCCCCAAGTCGGCACACCTTTGCCGTACCCATGAGCGGCGGGCCCGTCTGGCCAGCTACTGCGTCGGCGCCTTCGCATTCGCACTCGAGCACGACGAGCACCAAGAAAGAGTCCTCCTCCTCCTCGACGACCACGCACTCGGGCGCCGGCCGCCACGAGCATCGCCACATGTGGACAGCAGACGAGACGGAGGCCCTTCGCGCCGGCTGCACAAAGCACGGCGTCGGCAACTGGAAGGCTGTCCTGCACGACCCAGAGTTCCACCACCGATTCAGCCCCGACCGAAACCCTGGCGACTTGAAGGATCGCTTCCGCACAAAGTTCCCAGAAGCGTACCACGAGCTCTATCCAAATGCCAAGACGCACGTCACCCCCGCTGCGGTGCGTGCGAGCGAGCAGGTGGCTGCAGCCGGTGGAGCGGGGGGTGTGGGTGGGGGTCGGGTGACGTTGTTCGAAAAGGGCAAGAATAAAGAGCGCCGCAACTTTACGCCGGCGGAGGATGCTGTCCTCAAGCAAGGGTACGCGACGCACGGCGCAAGCTGGACGCTCATTGCGCGCGACCCCGTCTTTGAAGGGAGGCGCAAGCCTACCGACTTGCGTGATCGATTCCGCAATGCCTTTCCCGACATGTACGAGCAGGCCGGGTACAAGCCTCGCTCCAAGGGGTGCAAGAGCAAGGAGAGGCGCGCGAGTGGAGCGAGCTCCAAGGGGCAGAACGATAGGCACGATCATGCGGTGCAGCTCAAGGTCAAGAGGGAGAAGGGCGCGACTGCGGGCCAGGGACAGGGGCAGGGAGGGGCTGAGGCGTCGGGCAATGGCGCGAGCGGCGGCGCGAATGGGAACCTCAACTCCATCTCACTTCAACGCCCTGCGCTACATCGATCAGGCACGAGCGACCTCACGGCCAGCACCACGAGCTCGTCCTCCGCCTCCGCCTCGGCCTCCGCCTCCGCGTACGGTTCTGCTGCGGAGAGCGACGGGCAAGGGACGTCTTTCTCGCCGTGGTCATGGCAGGAACGCGGGCAGCAGATGGACCACGCTCAAGCGCAGGCTCAGGCGCAGGCCCAGGCCCAGGCCCAGATGTTTCGCGATGGAGGCTACGGTCCCGCCTACGGGTATGGCGCTGGGTATGGATATGGGTATGGGTACGGGTACACCTTTGGGAACGGGAATGGGAGCGCGAGTGGCTATGCTGGGCAGGGCGGAAGTGCTAGCGATGCAGGGAGCGACTACAACAATCATGGCGCAAGCGGCGCAAGCCATGCCAAGAGCGTGAGCGCGAGTGCCGGTGAGCAGGACGAGGGGAGGAGCTCCTACTTTCAGCAGCAGGCGCAGCCGCAGCAGCAGCAGCATCAGCAGGTCGACCCACTGCGTCGCACTCAATCTCTCAAACGCTCGCGACCCCAACCACAATCGGGCATCGAGGCCGCCGCGCATACCCACTATGGCGTCCCACCGCCGCTTCCCCACCCTTGGGCGCTCGGCCTCAACACCTCGACCTCAACGGACGGACGCGTTTCTGCTCCTCCAGGGTTCAGCCACAGCCACGCCACCTTCCAAGATGGGGACGCACGATACGCGCAGCGACAGGGACAGGGGCAAGGCTTCCCCGCTCCCGTTGCAGGCGGATCTTCCTCGATGAGCCTTCCACCCTCGCACTCGCAGGGTGCACCAGGCGGGTCGGTCGACTTTGATTCCACGCAAGTGCAGTTGGCCGCAGCCTTTGACGACGAGCAGCTCAGGCAGATCAACCAGTTGTTACTGGACTACAATGCCGCGCCGGGGGGACAGCGTGTGGGCACGCAGCCTCAGTCGCAGCCGCAGCCGCAGCCGCAGGGACAAGCGCAGGGACAACAACCACACGGCGACGCAGAGGCTACAGCCGCCGCGATGGCTGCGCTGATGGATATTGACCCTGCGACGGGGATATCTTCTCTCGCCGGGGAAGAACAAGAGGCGCACGACCGAAGCGCAACGCTCGCAGACCTTGCTGCCTTTTCCTCTCCTCCTCCTCCCCCTCCTCATCATCTCCACGACGGGGCTGAGTACCACTTTGGCCTCCCCACCGCCAACGGGCACGGGCACGGGCATGTGCACGCCTTCCAGCCCGCGCACGGCGCAACGTCATTCCACGACGGTCCTCCCAGCTTCATCGACCACCATCATCCCTCCTCCTCCTCACACTCCTCTCACTCCTCGCATTCCTCGCACTCTTACTCAGCATTCGACCGCCTCGCCTCGATGCACTTCGACACCTTTGGCCCCTATCGCGACCCTTCGGGTGCCGGGCCCGCCTTGTCCGAGGGAGGGGGGAGCGTTTTCAGCGATGGGTCGCTCAGCTCGCATGGCGTGGGGATGGCCGGATTTGACTTTGGCGCCGCCAGTGCGAGCGCGAGCAACTCTGCCTCTTCGACTTCTTCGCATTCCAACCACTCGCATGGGCAGGAGCATTCTGGTGATGAGGCAGGGTACGGTGCAGAGCGCGATGAGGGATTGGATGAGGACGAAGATGGATTGCCCCGCACGCAGACTATTCAGCCTCGCCGCACCGCCGCCGCAGCGCCCCAAGCGCCGCAGCAAGAGCACGCTCTCGCCTTCTCCGGTGAAAATGGGACTGACGGCGGCGGCGCAGCATTCGCTTCCCTCTCGCTCGGTCGACGTCGTTCTACCGACACGCTGCGTGAGGACCTCGAAGAGCACGGAGCAGTAGAGGGCCGCGGTGGGAATGGCGACTACTCGTCCTCCCTCTTCGCCCCGCAACCGCACGGCGGCGACACGCCTCTTGGCGACGACCCTTTCCTGCGTCCCGGCCCGGCAATGGGCAGGGGAGGGGCGACGTTTCCCACCATCTTCGAGCAGGGGAGCGCGGGGAGCGCCAGTGCAGCGGGAGATGGAGCAGAGGGGGAGGGAGTCGAGGTGGGAGAGGACGACGGGTATTGTCGCGACCTTGGCGAGCGGGACGAGCATGAGGACTCGGACTCTGATGGTGATGCGGGCGAGGAGCGGGAGGGCGAAGGGGAAGGGGACGGGTACGACTTTGACTCGGTGGATATTTCCACTCTTCTGAGGGGTCGCGCACCACTAGGCCCTTACCAGCAGCCTACATCGTCGGGACTCTCATCGGCGCATTCCCTCGACGAACACGATCATGACCATGACGGCCGCGAGGATGCCGCGCAGGACGGACATCACGGTCGTGAGGGAAGCGGGAGTGGGGCTCATGGAGCTCCTCAACCTCACCTGAGTCCGAGGAGCTGGGCGGAGGTGGGGCCGGAGCTGGACATGGATAGTGACGGGGGCGAGAACGATGAGGAGCAGTGGTATGCGCGTGAGCGTGGTGCGGACGGCGTGGAAGTGGGCAGTGATGTAGATGCCGAGGGGGATGAGGATGACGAGCAGCGTGCGTGACGCAGCGTGGGGTGGGGGAGGGACTTTTGTTCATATTCTCGACTCGATTTGCTCCTGTCCCTCTAATTTTCTCTACTCCTCTACAAGGCGCAGGGCGCTTCACAAGCAAACCTAAGCATTCCTCAACGAGCCTTGGCTAGTCCGGGCTCAGACATACAATCATATTACACTCGAGACGAGCGGCATGTGAGAGTGGGCCAGTGCGCGCTGAGAAGGCAAGAGGGTGGTGCGGATGAGTTTGAGTCTTCGTTTCGGCGAGGATGACGAGCTCCATAGGGCTAGGAAAGGGCCACCTCGCGCCGCGTCCGACGTTGAGGATCGTCTTTCCCGCAGAGAAGTTGCTGCTGAGCGCTCGGCGTTCATGGCAGCGGCCAAAAATTCGCCGATGCGCTCGCCCACGTGGCCGCCTGCCCGCCCACCCCTGGTTCCGTGCCTCGTCAGCTGCGTCGGCCAACTGATGCAATCCGCCTTGTCTCTACACCATCACATCCTCTTCATCGCAGATAACAGGCCTACAGAGGCCCATTCGCCATCATCTCGCGCCGCGCCCTCTCCCACGCGTGCTCCTCACGGTATGCTGGCGCATCGTGGAGCGCAGCTGTGAGCGGCACGCGTTATCAATCCAGCGCATCCGCATCCGCATCCACGTCGTCTACCTCTGCGACGAACGACTACAACCATGATGGGGCCGACTATCGCCGCCCTCAGCCCTTTTGGTGGCGACTACAACGGCGTGAAGGAGACACGCACCGCAAGGCGGCCAATTCGCCTCGCACGCTCGACCCAAAGGGCAAGGGACGCGATTTCTTCGACATCATCGCTGCGGAGGAAGCGGCCATCGAGCGAGAGTTGGCGGCCTTGGATGCGCAGCTGAGCGTGTCAGCAGTCAGCGCTCAAGTAGCCTCTCCTTCTTCATCCACATCAACGTCTCGCCCCTCCTCGCCCACGCTGGCAGACCGCTTCGACTGGCGTCTGACCGCATCCGCCTTTCGCCACTTACATCTCTCCGAGGGACGCCCCCCGCGCCGCCGCCGTCAAGCCTCTGCTCGCCTCTTGCGTACGCTGAATCGTCATTCGCCGCAACTCGCAGCGCGCATCGAAGCGTACCAGCATCGCCTCACAATGCTCGTGGAGCTGGAACGCGACCACGAGCGGCGAGAGTGGGAGAGGGTCAGGGCGCGCAGCCTCGATGAGCTGGTAGCGGAGGGGCGCGCGATGAGTGGATTGGTGGGGTATTGGCAGGGTGGGATGAGCAAGGGCAAGGCGCGCGCACCCAAGGCTCGAGTCGGTGTATTCACGCGCGAGGGAATGGAGAAGCTGGGATGGTCGCGATTGAAGGAGGGAGATCGAGTCGAGCTGAGCGTAGCCGTGCGCGAGGGCGAAGAAGAAGCAACGGGACCGCAACTGCAGGATCTGCTGCCCAAGGAGGCTACGATCAGCAACGCCAAGAAGCAGAAAGACAACGCTCCGCCACGCCCCGCGCAACTGTTCGCCACTGTCCTCGCTGTAGAGACGCACCGCCTGCGCCTCCTCTTCCACCCGCCCAACTCCCTCGTCGACCTCGAGGCGTGCCCCTCCTGGCGAATCGACCTTGCGCCCAACGACGCCATAGACGTCAAGATTGACGAAGCCATCGAGCGACTGGCGGTAGATGCGGCTGCGCTCGAGGCGAGCGATGCGGAGGGCAAGCTAGAGCTGCAGGGCACGCAGCTGAGCGCTGCGCTCGTGGGCGAGGCCGACGAACGTGCGCCTACGGGCTCGATGTTTGAGCAGGACCAGCTAATCCGCTCCTGGTACACGCGCTACGCCCGGCCAGACCCATTGGTGTTGGATGGCGATCCGGACTTGCGCCTCAACCCTAGTCAGCTGCGCGCCGTAGCTACCATGCTGGCTAATCGCATCTCGCTCATCCAAGGTCCGCCTGGCACGGGAAAAACGCACACCCTCGTTGCGGCGCTGGTGCTCCTCAAGAAACACTTTGCCGTCGCGGCCCCCGTGCTGCTGAGCGCGCATACGAACATTGCCGTGGATAACCTGTGCGAGGGAGCCATGCGAGCCGGATTGGAGGTGGTGCGCGTGGGGCCTTCCAGCCGTTTGGAGGAGGCGGGCTGCACGCTCGAGAAGAAGATGGAGCAACATCCGCTCTACACGAGGCTGGAGGGGGTAAGAGCGCAGATGGCCGGGATCAAGCGTCGTCTCGCCGCGCTGGAGCACGAGGGCGGCGAAGGGCAAGGTCAAGATCACGCCCACGATCCGGCATCCACCACGTCGGCCGCCTCTCTGCGCGCCAACCTCTCCCGCCTCGCACAACAGCTCTACCTGCTCACCTCGCGCATCCACTCCTCGATCCTCCTCCGCGCCGACGTCGTGTGCAGCACGCTCCTCTCCTCCACCTGCGCTCCGCTACGATGCATCGACTTCCCCTTTGTCTTGGTGGACGAGGCGACACAGGCGGCCGAGGTGCTCACGCTGCTCCCGCTCATGAAGGGGTGCAGGCAGGTAGCCCTCATTGGGGATCATAGGCAGCTGCCGGCCGTGGTCAAGAGTCGCGAGGCGAGGGAGCAAGGCGGGGAGCGAAGCCTCTTCGAGCGACTCATAGAGGAAGGCACGACCCCGAGCGTAATGCTGGAGGAGCAACATCGCATGCACCCAGAATTGGCGGCTTTTTCCAGTCAGCACTTCTACGAGGGCAAGTTACGCAACGCGCCCAGCACGGAGGAGATTGATCCACTTGCGTTGGCAGCGGTATCCGCGTCGCGCCGCCTCATCTTCATCGACCACCCGGGCCTCGAGTCCGTATCGCGGACCAGCTCAGAAGTGTCTCTGATCAACGCGCAAGAAGTGGACCTTCTCACCTCCCTCCTCGCCCGCCTCGCCCTACAACCCTCCGTCTCCATAGGCATCATCACCCCATACCTCGCTCAGGCCCGACTCATCTCGCCGCGAATACCCAACGTCGAGGTGAATACCGTAGATGGGTTCCAGGGAAGGGAGAAGGACATTGTCCTCTTTTCGGCCGTGAGGAGTAGCGAGGAGGGAAAGGTGGGGTTCCTCGCTGATGAGCGGAGGTTGAATGTTGCGCTTACGCGCGCAAAGAGAGGGATGGTCGTGCTGGGTAGTCTGGCGGCGTGGAAGGCGGCTGGAGGGGTGCTGGGGCGTTTTGCTGCGTGGGTAGAGGGGAGGGGTGGGGTGGTTAGGGGGGAGGAGATTGGAGGGAGCGGTAGATAGAGGGTTTCACTGCACCTGAGCGGGAACGTCTGTTCTCGCTGCTTGGTATGCTACGCCGCATCGCAATGGCATCACCATCTCAACGGGCTGCTCACGCGGATGAGGAACAGTAGGCGTCGAGCGGGGCTAGCGGGGCAGGCCCGACCACGTGGCTTCGAGACCAACACGCGGCGCGTGCACTGATCAGCCCAATCAATCAGTTCAAGGCCGCCGCCGCCGCTTCCGCCGCTTCGCTCCTTTGTTCCTTACTGACCAATCTCGAGACCGGTGATTAGCTCTCTCTCCCTCGCTCGCGCTCATTCCCATTCGGCGAGAGAGCCGACGACCGACGACCGACGACCGACGATCGCTGCTCTCTCGGCCGCTATCCCGACCACAACAACCGTATCACACCACCACCGGAGTACCGCCCCCGAAGATGATTGCTGCCGCAATGGGATGAGCTCGAGCGCAGTGAGTGGCTTTGCGGCTCCTCTCATCACCCTCATCACCAAATCACGCCGGAAGACCGTCGCCGAAGATGATTGCTACCGTAGACGCAACGAGAGAGGCAGGCGTGCGGGTGCGGCTGCCCTCGTAAGCATTCGTATCACAACGGGACCCGTCGTCCGAGAATCATCACTCTCCCAATCATAGCAAGACGAGTGAGCGAGCGAGCCCGCCAACTTAGCCTAGCATTGCTCAGGTACGGCGTGGCGTCAACTCGAGTCGCTGCTGCTCCGCTCAGCCCAATTCTCATCTCGCAATCACCCGCACTTTGTTCATCTTCCAATCACCCCTACCGCTCTCGATGGTTTTGGCTGAATCGCTCAGCTAACTTCCACGTCGATGGACGTCGACGGCCTCGAGGACGACAGGCTATAAAAACGCAGCGGTTTCTTGGGCCCCTCTTCGTCGTCTCTTGTCTTCCTACCCATCCACCCGACCCCGCCTCGACTCGACGCCCCTGCCTACCTCACCTCACCTCGCAAGCAAGACTCTCTCGACTCAGCAAGTAGCCAGGGCGTCGCGCTCTATGCGTGGTGAGTAGTAGTGGGCGTACGTGACTTGGCGCGCAGCTGACTGTATGCTACCCTCTTCGCTATCGCATAGGCGCCCCTGGCCCCCAGCCACGTCACCGTACACCAGACCAGCCCAAGTCTTGACGTATGTCACTCCAGTCTTGGCTCGCATCAAGCATCAAACGTCAACACTCAAGGTCACCTCTTCACCACATCACGTCACGTCACGTCACGTCATCGCTAGTCCTCATCCCGTGGACTACCTTGGCCTAGCAATAGCAAAGCTTCGAGTAGCTGGACTCAAGACAAGGCGCGGAGTGAATAGCTGTGGCTCACGCATCGCGAGGCTTGGTGCTGACCTTCTCTCCACCCTCTGCGTCACAGCCTGACCGCCAACGTCCCCCTACGCCGGCTACGACTCGGGTGACTCATGGGAGCCTCGAGAGGCTGGACGCACAACCACACGTCCTCCAAACGGATCACGATAACCCCCACCCAACAACCACTACCACAATGCTTCTTTTATTGCAAGATTCACTCATGGGAACGGCATACCACTGGCGATGGGCGACGCCGGACGAGCCCGACTTCGACGTGATCGTGTCGAAAGTTCTTCAATCTCATCAGAGGAGGCTCGATGAGATGGAAAGCTCGGGCAATGGACGAGCTCGCTGAGCTACATCGACTCTACGGTCGTCACCAAGGCGGGTCACAAGTGGCGAATGCCACTTGTGGGAGGCATGAGCACAACAGAGGTGCAAAGCTTTCGCTCGCGGGGCCACCACGTCGGCGTCCTCGGTGAGTATCAGCGCCGTTGCGACGTGTTGCTGAGCGACTGCATGCTGACCGTAACGTAGCCTCGACCTCCGCAGCGCACCCTCCACAGCTACCTGTTACCCGCTCAGCCCCCGCCCAGCCCCCTTCTGCCCGCGTTCGCCCTCTCGTTTCTGGTCTCGCTGCTCTCGCACTCTACGGTTCTTCTCCTCGCGGTTCTCCTTCTTCCTCTGCTCCTGGTTCTCCCTCCTTCCCTCTCGCACCGGCGGACGACCTCCCGGACGTGCCAGCGATGGGCCCGGACGACGTGCCGGACGAGGTGATGGACAGCGGCTCCTCGGACACCTCAACGCCCATCTCCCGCAGCACGACCTCTGGTGCTGCTCGTCGTCGTCGCCGCCGCCGCATGCTCAGCAGCAGCAGCCAATCCCCTCCTCCTCGCGACGATCGTGAGGACAAAGCGAGCATCGCTGCGGCCGAGGTGCAGGGGATCATTGAGGCCATCGACGTGCACACCATGTCGAGCGCAATCAAAGCCGCCCTTCGCTCCTGCTCTTCCGTCGGTTTTCTCTCCGGTGGACCTTTCGGTCACACTCCTCTCTCCGCCGCCGACCTCGCCCACGCCCACGTCGCCCTTCACGTCGTCATCCTCAAGCGCTGGCTGTGCTCGCGTGGCGGCAAAAAACAGCGCACGGCCGTCGATCTGATGGCGTACGCGCGGGCGCTCACCGTGGATGAGCATTCCTTCTGGCCCCTCTCTCGCTGCCCCTCCCTCGCGCCCCTCTTCACGATGCAACGCCTGCTCATGTACGGCACCGGCGTTTCCGCTCAGTTCTCCTCGTCGTGGCTCACTACCACCGTCGCCAGTCAGCCCTTCCGCCTCCGCCTCACGGACCGCACCCTCGCCAACGGTCCGGCAACTTTGACCTTGGAGAGCGCGCCCGAAAAACTGGGTCTGCCAGCCGCTGAGCAAGCCTCAGCGGCTCTCAACCGCTTCAAGATCATCGTGTGGCAGGATCGCCGCCGTGTCGCTGCGTACCAGCCAGCGGGCATGGTAGTAGACGACGAGTGGGAGAGGCTGTTTGCGCTGGTCGCAGAGGTGGCGTCGGCAGAGAAGGTAGGGGACTTTGAGCCGGCGTACACGGAGGTCCAGCACGAGGAGGTTCGCCTCCTCGGCGGCCTCGCCACCCGTCTCATCGATGGTGGCGCCCGCCACTCCTTCGCTCGCCTCTACCTCCGAGACTGCCAAGGACGCATCTACAACTGCTCGTCCGCCCACTACCCTCTTCGCTCGCGCCTGCTCCTAAGACTGGCGCAAAAAGCTCTCTTGCAACTCACCTTGCAGCTCAGCCGCCTGCCGACCCTTTCCTCGCCCCTGCTATCCCGCCTGCCTCTCCCGCCAAAAGCGCAGCTCAGAGTATGCCCACTACGCCTCCGCTCGCTTCGCCCTCCGGGACTACCAAGGATGCCGCTCCTGGTAGGGCGACGACACCTCGTTTGCCCGCTACCCCCGTCATCGCTGCTACGTCCACGGCTGCCGATGCCACCACGTCTGGCAAAGACGCCTCAAATGCTGGATCTGTACCGACATCCTCCCCACTCACGCCTGCTCCTGCGGCTGCCGAAGACATCGTGCCTGCACCATCTCGCCCTACCACGTCGCGACCCGTAGAGCCCCGCCGCAAATTGCCTCGCGTCGCCAAGGACAAGAACGCGCGACAAGCCCGACTCTCTCGCCTCTCTCCCGTCCTCTCGTCGGAGACCATTGCGCAGAAAGAGCAGAGTAGAAGGGAGAGCCGTGTGGACGATTAGGGAGAGCCCAACGCTGAGGCCGCAGAGCACACTGCCGAGCCCGTCGAGCCCGTCGAACAGGGAGCTACGCGCGAGGAGAGCGAGGACGACGCTGCACTTGCCCTGGTGGCCCTGCAGAGCTTCTTCTCCGCGCAAGGCGACATCGACCCGCTCAACGTCAACGATGAAGCAGGTCCGGCGTTGCCCTGCGCCGCAGACGCCGCCGCAGACGCCGAGGAGGCCGACATCACGCGGGACTACCTGGCAGAGGAAGACTCGGACGAGGAGAGCAGTCCCAACCTCCCCCGTCACAGCACTAGCACCGCCCCCTCCTCCTCTCCACGAGCCGCTGCGCGCCCCCGACGCAAGCAAGCTCGCGAGTCGGTAGCCCAGGCCAAAGCGGCTCACCACGCGTGGTGGATTGTGGACGAGCTCCGCGTGAAGCTGCACCTCAAGAGGACAACGGCAGCCGTCACCGCCGCGCGCAAGTCTTTCCTCGACGCTCTCGCGCAGGACGGGCTTGGTCTGGGTGACGCAGCTGTGCAGCGCATCAAAAAGCGCGTACAGGAGGGGGAGATGGCGGAGGCTATCGTGGCGGAGATCTGTGGTGCTGTCTACCTGGCCAAGAAGCACATGCTGGGACGCGCAATGGAGGACTGCGTCACAGGAGTCGCGCTGGAGAGGCTGATCAGAGGGCTGGCCGACATCCAGCACGCCGAGGGCTTCTTGGCGCGCCTGTCTTGCCCGGCTCATCTATCTCCGTACGTGGCAGCAGGCGGAGCAGCTGTTGAGGGAGAGGCCAGATCTCGATGCGCGTAGATGCAACACCTCCGGCACGTATGTGATCATCGTTGTCTACAAGGATGCAAAAGGGAAGAAGAGGTCTGCGCTCTACGTCGGTTGCGCGTACGACCAGAGGACAGCAGAGCATGATGCTCTTTCGAGAAGCTGCGTCGTGCGGAGGAAACGCAGAATAAGCACGAGATTGACAGGTGGTCGGATGGGCAGCGGGGCCTATACCGCCGCAACACAGTGCAGCGTGAGCATTGCGTGTCCCTCGCTCTCGAATCCATTGCTAACCTCCCGCTTGCCCGCGCGCTAGGCTTTCACTTCGTTCTGACTCGTACGGCTCCGGAGGGCACGGCCAACCCCTGCAGCAGCTCCTCCTGGCTCGAGTTGCTGTACAACAAGCTCTTCGGCACCTCGCTCGATCGTCTCTGCCCCAAGCAACACGCTATCTCGGACAAGCTGATCATCCGAATGATCGTTGCTTTCGACGAACACATCGGGATCGCCCTCTTCAACAGCATTTCAGCAGGCTCGGGCTATGCGTCCATCGAGGATATTGCTGACGCCAGGTACGACCGCCGCGAGTTCGACAAAGCCAATCTCCAAGTCCCCGCGGTCTCGTTCA